TTACAAATTGAGAGGGGCGGTGTGGTGAGAGTAGTGCTATAAGGTGGTTGCAAAAGTAGGTTCAAAAAAGACGTTCTGACCAGGACACCTCCGTCGCAGGGCTTCTCAAGCAACCTCATAACTCTGCGTAGCAATCTCCATATAATACGCCAGTTCCTGCTGATACGCCTCCACCCTCCTCGCAGGCCTATACATCCTATGCTCACAACCCTTCTTCACAGGCTTACCCTCAAAGCGCTCCGCAATCCAGTCCAGCCATATGCGCTGGCTCGCATACAACGTTGGCACATGGTCCGCCCCTTCGAAAAGCGCATATTCGATCTCGCTATTCGGATACAGCGCGCACGTCTCTTTCACGAAATGCGTTGTCAAGTTGGTCGTGATCACGACGTCACCTGTTCCTTGCAAGACGAGCATCGGTCCGGAGATCGGTCGCCCGCCGTTGCCGGTGAGGTTCTGGAACTCTTGCATCGCAGGTGTAGTATCCCAGCCAGGCTTAAGGAGCTTTGGCTGGTAGAAGAGCGGCAAGTATGAGCTGGCGCAACCGCCTATCTCCGCAAGAAGATCGTAATGCCGCACGCCTTTTGGCGTCAAGAAGTCACTGTCATCGAAGTCGGGGATCGTTGAAAGGAGTCCTGGAACTAGTTCAAATGGCCATCCAGCATCCGGCGTTATGCGGTACTGCATCACAATGTCCGTGACCGGGCTGGCCGCGATCGTACCCAGATGACCCTCAACCGGCTGCCTTGCCTGCCTCTGCGCAGCGCCCCACGCCGCACCCCCACCCTGAGAGTGCCCGAATAGCACGAAGCGCTCGCTCAACTCATCTGGGTACGCCTTCTGCGCGGCCTCGACGGAGTAGAACAGGTCATTGGCATGTGCCGGGTTATTGAAGGCAGGATGCTGAATCTTCGTCCCGTTGGGCCACCGGTCAACGCCTAAGCCTGTGTAGTCCGGCGCGACAACGACGTAGCCCTGTAGTGCTAGGATGAAAGGAGCGGAGTACTGGTACCACAAGTTCCTGATATGGCTCGGTGCGCACTCGCCGAAGATGCCAGAGGTTCCGTGGGCCCAGCCTACGACAGCGTACTTGCCTGTCGCAGGATCGATACGGGGGTGCCAGGGCCAGAGGATGTAGGCTGAGGCCGGAACGGGAGCGTTGGTATGGTCGTTGAGGTAGATAGCGGACTGGAAGATGATACGGGAAAGTGCGACGTTAGGTGGTAGTGTGTACAGGGTGGTATTCGTGTAGTCTTCCACTTTTAGAAGAGAGCCTGGTGGAGCACAGCTGGCGTTGGAAGGTGGTGTGTAGAAGGGATCATCGTGAATGCTGCCGGTGGCCCAGTTGCTTTGTTCGAAATGGATGGCGATGTTGACGTTATTGACCGTAGTCTTGTCGAGATTGGCACTGCTTATTTGAGAGGGTGAAAGTGAGAAGGAGGAGTTGAAGGTGTTGCTCTGCGAGCTATATTCTTGTGCGGCGGCGTATGTTGAAAGGGTCAAAAGCGCAGTTGTGAGCAACCACGAAGCCATACCTGGGCTCCAATGTAGGCCTACAGATGGCCTACTTGATCTTGAGAGGAGGGAGATAGTCGGTGGGTGCAGCGAAGGACGTGTTGAGGCCTACCGGTATGGGCCTGCAGTGGCATGACGTCTGGGGGTGCAGCCGAGTGTCTTGACGAACATGGATTTAAGCGAGGGACCAGAGTTGAATGAGGTTTAGGACCATATGTTGGCGTGTTTGCCGGGAAGTATCTGTTGTCTGGAGGGCATGGAGGACTTCAAGGGTGAGGTATCGGCTTGAAGTAAAGGTTAAGGAGTTGGTGGAAATTGTGGTTGTTAGGCGGAAGTGTTGATGCTCCCGATCTATCGGTCTATATGAGGAGAGCGATTGTTGCTCTCGAGATTTATGTCACCCTGTAAAGGTCACGAGCACCACCTTCTGTCCCTATCTTCGTGTTGGACAACCACTGAAGCTGACATCTCACTATCAGCATCTTCTCTCGCTCATTGCTTCTCCTTCACGATGCGCTGCACGGCAGCGTCTAAGTTCTCGTTTTCCAGGCCCAGTGTTTTCATAGCAAAGTTCTGCTTCGCCTCCCAGTTAGCATCCAGCGCGCCCAGAAGCCACACCAGATTCTCGACAGCGTCAAGATCACCAGCATCAGCTTTCCGCTTCTCCTCTGCCTCGTACTTCTTCGCATCGTAGGAGATTTTCTCCCACTTCTCCCCAGTAGCTCGCTCGAACGCTGCAAAGACTTCATCCTGCGTGACGCAAAAGCTCTGCACGTAGACGATTTTGTTTCTCGTCTCATCAGGATGCAGCAAGATCCTAGCAGTGGCCTCTCCGATCCGCTCAAGCGTACTTGCAGACCACTTCGTCTCCCCATCGTCCAAGAAGTCCATCTTCCGCTCCTTGAGCCAGACGTGCAGGAAGTCGAGACTCCAGTCAAAGAAATGGCCACACACCAGACTCGTCCATTCGAAGCTGCTGTTCTCTTCAGCCAACTTCATTAGCCGCTCCCGCAGCTCAGTTTTCCGCTTGTACAGGGGCACCAGATCCTGCGTGCGTTCGCTTGAAGAGTCAACTGAGCCAAAGTCAGCGGGGATAAAGCGCTGAACACCTGCTTTGACGCATGCCTGCGCGAGGCGGTCCTGGATATCGGTCTGGCTGCCCTTGATTGTGGCAATTACTGCGTCGTGGCCATGAAGGTGGGGAGTGATCGCGTCTACCGCGAAGTCGTCTTGAACTTTGGCAACGGAAACACCTTCCGGGTATTCATCGCTGGATTTTGAGGACTGGCGTTTCAGGACTGTGGCTTGGAAACTGTGTGCGAGGAGGGCTGTGAGGACTGCTGGGCCTAGATTGCCGTCTGCCCCAAGGAGGGCGACCTTTTTGATGGCCATGTGTGGAAAAGACGATAGCAGGTCCTTGAGATCTTGCAGCGTGGCTTCTGATGAACGATTTATGAGAACGTCCAGAGAGGGTGCCTGATGCTAATTGTGACTCTGCGCGACGTTCGATATTACTGTCAGCGTCTTTAGTATTTGTGTGCCTCTGCATGAATTGAAAGAGTCATCTCTGCCAAACTTTTCTTCGGGGAAGGCTTCGTTGGCCGACCCTCGACCTCCTTCCAATGTCAGACTTCAGGAGACCGACTACATGTATAGGGCGTCTATGATGACAAAGACTGGATGGAAGCATACTGTGTCCACGAGACATTTTCCATGTTCATACAACCCTTAAAAAGGATGTCATCGTTCAATGTTTTTATGCAAGGTTTGGAGACGTTGGTAGGGCTGAGATGAGCAGGAGAGCGAGAGCGGATGTCAGCTGCGCCGATCCGGCCTCGTGGCATTTAGTTCGTCTTTCTCAGCTGCAGGGTGATGTATGCTCCCGTCCAACCCATTCTCACAGAGTACAGTCAGACATATCACCAGTCACCATGTCTTGTGGCGTCGTACGGAACATCTACATCTTCTCGTCCTAGGTGGGCGGCAAGACGAGGGGCGACGACGCGCCGACACCACCCCCACGACCAACGCCAGCCGCCAATATGCCGAAGGGAACACATCTGCCTGGACATCTGGACTCGTTCCGGCAGACTCTACGACCGAAGCATCAGCTTCTCGTCCTGAAATGTTACCCACGCTTGCCGAAGAACAGCGCGGCCGACGTCAAACCGAACGGCAGCGAGCTCAGCTATCTCCTCTACTACGCCAGCACGCGGCGCAGTAAACTACACAAAGTCGGCAGCTTCCTGGAGCGCAAGACCGCGTCTGATGTGTACAAAGCACAGAGCGCGCGGGTCCTGGTCACGCTACAAATATTGACTACGCTGCTGGAGAACAAGGCAGTTGGTGGAGGGAGCGGTTTTGCGCTTATCGCGCCATACGTGTTGCGGATTATCAGGGAGATATTGCAGAGCACGAACGACATCAGCTTGATTGAGGCGAGTCTGACTACTTGGGCCGTTTTCTGCCGGGACCAGGATCAGGCAACACTGAACGCGGATCACGAGTATCGCGAGCTCTACGAGGAAGTTGTGAAGCGCTACGCGAGTCTGGCGCGGAAAGATGGAGCGAAGAAGCTGGGACGGAGTGCGCAGGCAGTTGCTGTCCAAGATGCTATACGGCTACGGGAGGCTGGACTGAGCGCGATGAAGAGCATATTACTTTCTGATGCGTTAAGCGAGAATGGGAAATTGCTGGATCTTGTCGTGCCGACTATCCTCACCAATGTGCATGGGGAGGATGAAGCGTACTTGACGAATCTCCAGCGACAGAGCCAGCAAAATGAGGCGGATGAGAAAGACAGAGCCGTTGCCCGTAGGATGAGCATGGCCACCGTCCGGACTTATACAAACGCCACCGCAGATTCTTTTGACGCTGATCCGAGACAAGCAGAGGGCACAGTGCAGGATGCGGATGCGCTGGCTGAGGAGGAGGCAGCTGTATTGGCACTGGACTGTTTGCGCGCTGTTTTCGCGACCGAGAATCGACAGCAGATACGAGCAGCGGCGAGCGCGGTGCTGCGGTACTTGAGTGGCATACCATCGCCTAAAATACCGTCAAAGCCATCAGAGAAGGACTTTGTCTCCAACAGCTGGGCGACGAAGCTGTTCGAGATCTGCACGGCGTGGACACCCGTTCAAGAGCGCTTCATTCTTATCGTCACGGCCGTCGAGACTCTGGTGCGATTACCGCTCAAGGAGTCTGACCTACAGCAGCATCTTCTCTACACCGACATTGTGGGCAACATCCTTCGATCCGACCTCAATCTCATTGGGTTGTCCGTCATGGACGTCCTCCTCAGCCTAATACAGCAAATCCTTCGAGTACTCCAGCTCAATGGCCCACGTGTGTCTGGCCGGAGTTCAGCGGCTCAACTATTCTCCAGCGACGAAGAGATCAAACACCCTGCTTCACCCACCTCGGTACAGCCAGAGAATGACTTGCCGTCAGAAGCACGAATACGACTCACAGAGCGATTGAAGCACTGCATATCAGATCTTGCCACGCATGTGTATTACACTGACCAGGTCTCTGATATGCTGGCAGCATTGCTGATGCGCCTCAAGCCAACTCCTGCATCAGCAGGCCACCAAAATGCCACTGTCACCGCTGCTGCGATCGAAGAGCCAAAAGCTGCTGTTGCAGAGGTTGCTTCGAACGTTAGCCTGCCAGCCCGCGAAAGATCGAATAGCGCAGCGTCTGCCTACTTCACGTTCGACACAGCGCGGCAGATTGCGCTCGAAGCTGCGAGAGACATGCTTCTCGTAGCCAACTCTGCGCAGTCTATCGCCACAGGCGGCGTTGCCGATTCAAGAAACAAAGTGTCGTTTCCAGTTTGGGAAGGCACACAATGGCTTCTCCGCGACCCTACCTTTGCTGTAAGGAAAGCCTACATCGAGGCTCTGACCACATGGTTGCAGCTGGAGATGAAACCAAGCGACGCTCGCGTCAAAGAGCCGAAGGACAAGACGAAGGTGAAAGCGGATGGCTCTGTTGCAAGACGAGCCGTGAGCAGCGCCAGCCATAAAAAGAAGCAGAGCAAGAAAGCGACAAACACATTCCTGCAGCTGTTGCATCTTAGCATCTACGAGCACGCGCTGTCGTCCGCAACTTCTCAAGTCGATGGCGATAGAGAGTTCTTGTTCTTGCACCACTTGCTTGTGACGCTTGTTCAAAAGCTGGGCGTCAATTCTGTTGCGAGTGGACTTCCGATGATACTTGCGCTGCAAGACGAGATGGGCAACACCGAAAACATCGGCGCGAAAGCTAGGATTGGAAGTCTGGTACATGGCTACCTGTGGACGCTGTCCGAAGTCTTCGAATTCGACGCTTCGTTCGTTGGACAGGAGATCTTCAGTGAAGTGAGGAGACGACGGGATGCTGGAATTTGGCTCAAAGACCTCAGCGTACCGCCCAAGCCACTGGAGCAGGCGGCGCTCGTGTCAACATCGAAAAGCAGTCGTGGCCAGACTGCAGACTTGCAGCCGTTTGAGAGTCGACAAGCACTCGTCGACCGCATCGCCGACTCCTACTCGTCTGCCTTCGCTTCGCCTCCGACATCAGCACCTGGCTCTCCTGGCCGCAGCCCTGGACGCAACAGCTCGATTGCAGTAGCGAGCCTCGACCGGACAGCAAGCAACTATCTCAGCGCCAAACAACCGCCAGATCCATCCGCCGCTCTTCCGGACAAAGTCAAGGAAGCCATGCTCGAGAAGTGGACAAGAGAAAGCTGTCTGGCCGCCATCGCCGCCGCAGCTCCAAAATCTGTCAGCGTCAGTGCGAGCAGGAGCTCGCCGTCACACGCGCTCGCGGCGGGCAACCATCGCCAGCTGCTCGCTGCCGTCAATGGGCCGAGTCCTGTTAGGAACAACAGCGTCCCGAAGAACCTTTCATCTGCCGGCAACGGCACTCCTCCCTCGCAGAAGCAACAGAACCTCGGTGCGCGCCTGCACTCGCAGAGTCCCCATCGCCAACGAAGCGGTAGTGTGGATGACACCGGCGCACCCAACAGCTCAGCCGGCCACAGAGGCACGGTTCGTGTTGACGATCTCAAGCGCGTGCTCGCCGGCGGTGCCTTCTCCACAGGCCTTCTCGGTGCCTTCCCCGGCCAAGGAGCCGAAGATACCGCCAGCGAAAGTCTCGTCGACGTCGAAGGCGAAGACCTAGCCAGCGAGAATGGTGCGGGCTTCGAGACACCTCCTCAGTCGCAATTTGAGGCCGCCGCCGCTTTTGGCAGACCACCCGCCATCATCGAAGAAGCACCAACACCGATGAACACCACAAACGACCTTTCTTCGGAAGCCCCGCCTGTGCTGTCGCTGTCGCAAGGTGCTGTAACGAATGGCAAACTACCTTACGGTAGCAGCCAACCCGGAGCTGCGCACGTGAATGTCACGAACGGGCCTGTGCCGACGAAGCCGCCACCTTCTCGCGGCGGTGCGAGCGTGAAAAGCAATAGAGGCGGGCATAGCAGGAAGGACCTTACCGCTTTGCTTGCTGGTATTGGGACCGGGGATGGTGCTGAGAAGGAGAAAGGGGCTTTTACTGGGCTGGAGGCGCCGCCGTACTAGATGGCTTGGGTTTGGGGGGTTGTTGTTGGGACGAAAGCATGATGCATGGCGAGCGATGAGTGGTGATATCCATTTCGTACTGTATAGTCGCAATGGGCGTGGCGCCGTTGAAGGCTTTAAGCGGCATTTTTGTTAGCATTGGGGATACCAAGAGCCTTTGGAGCTGTTTCTACATTTCGCTCTTGTAACAATGTCTTCGTGAAGAGAGAGAACCGAAGTGGATCCTCCCTCCAAAGTGCATCGCTCTTGCCTCGCCTGTGTTCCAACCCAGCGGATCGCTCTTGCCTCCTTCAATTTTCATATGCAAGTGGGGCCAGCCACGCATGAAGAAAACGAGCAGCATAACTCAGAATCTTGCTTTCTACCCTCAAAACAAAACAGAACACGAAGAGCTCTCGAACGATGCTATGCCTCCTCTGACCTCCGTGATCCAAATTATCCCCCCAGACAAGGACGAAGAGATCGAAGACATTTTCGCCTGTGTAAGTTCTCTGGATATGTGACTTGCCTCCAAGGCAGGGTGTGGACACGAAGGGCTTTTAACGAATCGCACAAACACCAAATGCTTTTATATCATATCTAGGAGTACTGGCTGATCGACTCGGTCCATGTCGACAGGCTCCCGGCCTCATCTTCACAGACGACACACGCAACCATCATGGCGACCCGGGGTCAACGATAGTCTATAAAAGCGCTCGATTTGGAGATATTGACCTGAAGACTACGGATCCGGAGCGAGAGGAGGAGAGGCAGTTGTTTGGGCATTATCTTTGGAATGCTGGGATCAAATTGGCGGAGCTGGTTAGTGAGGAGGATGATGGGAGGTGGAGTGTGAAGGGCAGGAGGGTGCTTGAGCTTGGGGCCGGTAAGGGAGCAAGTTACTATAGTATGGTGAAGATGGGCTGACTGGGTGGATAGGCGTTGGACTTTGCGGTATTGTCGCTACGCTTGCTGGGGCGGAGGAGGTATGCATGTCTTTTGTGTGGTGGCGACTTTATGCTGATGGTGTATGAAGGTCGTGATATCGGACTATCCTGCACCCGTAGTGCTCGAGAACATTCGCCGAAACGCAAAGCATGCTATTCCTGAAAGGCTAGCATCTGCATACTCCATTGAAGGCCACGAATGGGGCGAGCTGGGGACAGACTTCGCCACCAAATTCGCAGGGCGCTTCGACCGCATTCTCGCAGCGGACTGCTTCTGGATGCCCTCACAGCATTCGAATCTTGTGCAGTCCACGCTGCATTTCCTGGCACCCGATGGGCGGGTCTTCGCAATCGCTGGCTTCCATACTGGACGTGCGAAGCTAGCTGCTTTCTTCGACGTCGCTGTAGAGGAAGGTTTGGAGATCGAGGAGATCTGGGAAGAGGATGTAGATGGGGTACGGAGAGAGTGGGCCAAAACAAGAGATGGAGGTAGGGAGGATGTGACGGGCAGGAAGAGATGGCTCGTACTTGCGATCCTCAAAAGGCGAATGAGAGGATCATGATAAAGATCTGCCTTGTGTATAATTACTGATTGAACTCTGTATCGGTCCAGATTCTAAGCAACAGAGGGGGGCTCCGATCTCAAGGTGCTGCCGCCACATTCGATGGCAGTGAAGCTGCTCCCGGTAGGATTCGATAGTTTAAGAGGTCGTCGCTTCGTCATCGTAAGCACTTCAAGATGTTCTGTCATGACGACCTGAAGATGTTCTGTCATAACGACCCGAAAGAGATGACAGTGTTGAGACTTGCTCGTAGCTACCTTAGTCACCTGCTTGTCCCAGCTATGCCCCAAGAAAAGTGGTAGTCAACTTTTACCTTCTTCTCCGTGACATATGGCGTACTATTGAGCCTGGTTTTGGGTTGTCGATTGATGCTCTCTCGGAAGAGTGTGCTGTCTTCTTATCTGTATGTCGCAGGACAACAGCCTACTCAAAGGCTCTCAGCCATTTTCTTCTTGCTCTGAGCCGCGAAGACGGCCACTGCATGAAGAACGCATCCGCGGGCAACACCATGCGCCTGTGGAGCTGCTTGTCACCTCCTAGAAGTATGATCTGAATTACCGGCACGACGGAACCATGGTCCTCTGAAAGGCAATCACGTGGACGCAGAGAGAGAAATCGCCACGCGTACGAGCGATTGCACCATCGCTCATGACTCCTGCAACTTCGCGAGAGGGTAGGCGGCGGAGCTTCCATTTCCGCCCTTGGCCTTCATGGCATTCCTCCCCCTTCAGAATGCCAAGGGCGCCACGGCGTAAACGACGTAATAACCTCGGGTTTGCTGTTCTTCTGCGTGGTGCGCGCTAATTGACATACCGCTGAATTCGTCCTTAGAGTCCTGGCTTGCCTCGTAAGCGTGTGTCGGAATGAGAGAAGCACTTTCGGAGGAGCAGGACAGCAAGGACATCAGCTCTGCGTAGCTGCTTCGGTCCTTCAGCGTTCCAGAATCAGCATCCGAGAAGAGTTACTCCACGAGGGTCTGCCAGATATTAGCTTATCTTCTGAATTTCTGCCAAGTCTCTAGATCCTAGTGCCAAGAGAGACGCCCTCCCCATCAGCCAAAGAGACGCGCCGTCTGAGCGAGATGGCGAGGATGGAAAGAGGTAGCCTCCCTTGAAGCTGGCACTGCCCCCGCATCTGCTGTGAACGGGTCAACACGGACTGTCGCTGCCCTTCGCTCATCTCATCGTTTCTTCTTAAGGTCCCCCATCCTTCCGCTCGGATGCCCAGACCTCGTCCTTCCCACCCTCTCCCATTCACCACGCACAAGAGCGGTGAAACATTATTCACCCCGTAACAGCATTTCTTGCCCGTTCTTCGAGAACGAAAACGCGCGAATCTTGTTTGTGATCTTCCACAACCTTCTGCGTCCAAGGCTTTGCCTCGCCTTCCTCAACTTCTGAAGTCTCTGCCAAGAGATATCCATCAAGCAATACATCGCGAAGCATGGACGACCCTACCCCTCAAACAGTCGCCCAGGCAGTGCAGGCCGCAACACAACAACAGGCCCAGCAGCAGCAGATCTCATCGCCGCCAGTCCAGCCCGTGCAGAGCGCGCACAGCAGCGCCATCGACAACTTAACATGCCAGTGGCAGGGCTGCGGCGAGCGATGCGACACAGCAGAAGCACTCTATGTATGTATCATAACAACCACTATGACTCCTGATAATAAGTCGCTAACACGCGCCTCCAGGACCACGTCTGCGAGCGCCATGTCGGGCGCAAGAGCACCAACAACCTCAACTTGACCTGTCAGTGGGGCGCCTGCCGAACCACCACCGTCAAACGCGACCACATCACCTCACACATCCGCGTTCACGTGCCGCTGAAGCCACACAAATGCGACTTCTGCGGGAAGGCGTTCAAGCGCCCGCAGGATCTGAAGAAGCATGTGAAGACACACGCCGATGACAGCGTTCTTATGAACTCGCCCTCGCAAGGCAACAACCGCACCAACATGGGTGGCGGAGGAGGTATGGGCATGCAGAATGGAAAGCGTGAGTGTACATTCACTTACCTGTGCTCAGACCCGAATCATCGACCTGACCCTAGTCTCTATACAGCATATGGCTACTCACCAGCTCAGCATGATGGAGGCATGGGCAACCCATACCCTGCCTACCAGCCCGCCATGGGCAACGGCGCCAACGGCTACGCTCAACCAGCTGGTAACGGCCAGTACGCTGGTTATGGTTCCGTCAACTACCCCGCGAACAACATGCAAGAGATCCAGAGCATGGACACCCGGCGCCGCGCCATCGAAGCTCTTAACGACTTCCTCGGTGACATCAAGCGTCGCGCCATCGACCCGGCTGCTTACTACGACGTCGGCCAGAGGCTGCACAGCAACGCGCTCCCACTCCCAGTCGGCAACGGCTACAACACCGGCTACAGCCAGCCAACCGGCAACTACAACAACAACTACAACACGGCTAGTCTGCTCGAATCCTTCACCCAGGGTGGCAACATGGGTGGCGGTGGTGGTGGCGGTGGCGGCGTGTCGTTGGCGTCTCAGAACTACTCGCTCCCGTTGCCTAACGCTCGCACTAAGAATGATCTGCACGACATTGATCGCTTCCTGGAGCAGCTGCAGGCGACGGTGTACGAGACGAGCAACCACTCCGCCGCGGCAGGCATCCAGCAACCAGGCGTCCACGCCATGCACACCGGCGACATGGGCTTCGGCAACCACCAGGCAGGGTACCGCTCCAGCAACAGCCCGCCAGGCTACAGCAACGGCGGCAGCAGCTCCGGAGATATGCAAGCAATGAGCAGCGGGATGAACATGCCAAATTCGACCGCGACCGCCTTGGACACGCCAGCGCTGACTCCAGCAGCATCCGTCTCCTCCTACGCAAGCTCGGGTCACTCGCCGATGAGCAGCCACAGCAGGTCCAGCCTTGGTGGTCTCGGCTACCCCAACCTTCCCTCCGTCACCGGCATGTCTGACCTAGGCGCTGGCTACCCAACCACAACATCCGCGCCTGCTTCTGGTCTTGCTTCCGGCTTCGAAGGTCTAGACGGCCGCAGGTATAGCGGTGGTCGCCTCCAGCGTCAAGCACCCGCTCAAGACACCGAGATGGCCGACTTCGAAGATGGCTCCCGCACACCGAAGGCTTCTGACAAGCGCTCGAAGAGCAAGGGCTTCAGTAGCATTGACCCTGCTCTCCGCGGCGAGGACGAGAAGTCTTCCTCCGACTCCGGACATGGCTCCGAAGGCGCCGACGACAAGCGTCAAGAAGAGTGGGTCGAGAACATCCGCGTGATCGAGGCGCTCAAGAAGTGGGTCGGCGATAGGTTGAAGAACCATGAGTATGAGGACGAGGAGGCGCAGGTGAAGCATGAGGGCGGGTCGGATAGCAGTATCAACATTGCTAAGCTCGTGGAGGAGAAGATGGCGGATGCGGATGGCGTGCGCTACCCTTCTCTGCCGTCGTAGATCTATTCGACGACTGACGCGTGTGACGAATGGCTGGGATGGTGTTGCGGAGTTCGAGAAGACGACAGGGCGAGCTGAACGCCGCTTGACGTGATGGGATCGGTATGGCTCGGGACTCGGATAGCTGGGATTGAACGGGTATGATTTTGTTGCTTGCTATTATCAGAACGACTTTTGCTTCTGCGAAGAAGCTGCATGCTAGCTTTGAGAAATGCATTGCTTCCACACTTTATACACCCTGTTTCTTCATTTCCTCCTTGTTGACAGCCGCGTCAGGGCTTGCGTAAGCTTGGCGCCATTGACGTCCTCCCTCTGCGAAGCAGCCACATGTTATGTCGCTCAACAGCTTACGGTCCCTCTGCTCACGCACAACGATAGCTGAAATGGGCATGCTCCCTCTAATCTTCATAGACGGCAACTCATCTGCCGTGCGCAATCGAGCCACTTCACATCATACCACCCGTCCAGCCAGCTCACCCCCTAACCTTCCCAAAGATCTTCGACCCGACATTCGACACCTTCAGCACATCCCTAAAGGTCAGACTAATCCTCGTCTCCCTCAAATTATTCCCTCCACTCTCCATAACCCTCTCTCTATCCCCCAGCAAATCCCAATTCGCCACCGTCTCCCCCTTGAGATCAATATCCTCCTTTACTTCAGCGATCCCGTGCAGCGTCTCCGTGTACGCTGAGCCGGCAGTGACGAGCAGGGAGCGCGGTTCTTGGAAGATGCGCCAGGATTGGCGGTCGTCTTGATCCGAGGAGGAGTCGTTGGATTTCTTCTCGGTGACGTCGAGGACGAGGGAGCTGGAGAGGCTGATGGTTGCGACGACGGGGTGGTAGGCGGAGCCGTCTTCGTGGGGCATTATGCCTTGGCCTGGTAGGTATCCGTTCTAACGACGTGTAAGCGTTTGCCCAGGACAGCGTTGGGTGGAAGGGGAAGACGTACGATAAGGCAGTGGTTCGCGGTCTTGTACGGCGAGTCCTGGAAGATGCCCAGTTCGTCTATACGCTGCACCGCTGGTTTGAGCAGCCATTCTGGCAGACCAGATGAGGCAACCAGGGCATTGGATGGAGTTAGACGAGCTGGAATAGCTTGGAGGCGGCGATGAGAGAGCGTGATCCATTGGTTTGCTGGAATCTGGTGGGCTGTTAGTTATTCCTCCTGTGGACCATGGAAACGGATACCTACTTTGCTCAGGATGTATTCTTCTTCGTCTTGAGTGATGAAATTTGGGATGTAGAACATCGAGGCAGGAGCATCCTTGATGCGGGACTGCTCGAGGTCGATTCCTATCTTGTCAGCCATTGTCAAACCACTCTCTGGACTGATATATTAGGTAGTCATCGTGCATGATCGATATTCGAAAGAGTTGTTGGTGAAGACGGATCTCGAAATCGTGAAGCGCTGTCTGTCTCGTGAAAGCGGCCCGTGCCCTCGTGGACTTCACCTTCTATTCTTCGTTCACTTCTTCGTTCTTGGCACATCTACCTGCAATGGCGCCCAAAGGCAAGCAAGGCGACAAGTCGAAAGGCAAAGACTCCGGTGATAAAGGTGGCAAGAAGGAACAAGGCGGAGCCCAAAGCATCAACGTCCGCCACATCTTGTGCGAGAAGCACTCCAAGAAGGAGGAAGCTCTGGCAAAGCTGAACGCTGGGTCAAAGTTCGATGAGGTTGCGAGAGAGTTCTCGGAGGATAAGGCGAGGCAGGGTAACAAAGTCACAATATCCCTTTCTCATGGATCGACTGTGCTAATCACCAAGAGTAGGCGGTTCGTTAGGATGGAAGGGAAAGGGCGCTCTACTGCCGGAGTTCGAGAAAGTGGCATTCGAGCTTGAGCCGTCGACCACAGGGAAGCCGAAATGGAGCGAGTGCAAGACGAGCGAAGGCTACCATATAATTATGGTCGAGGGCAGGAAGTAGGACTTCTACTATTGCTATGTCAAATCTCTGTCTTCCTGCTGGCTGGTCGAACTGCTTCTCGACTCTCGGCTCGATTGACTTGGTCTACATCGGACGCTGCGCATATCTCTTCGTTGCCTCATCCCAGTTCAGCACGCTCCAGAATGCCTTGATATAATCAGGCCTGCGATTCTGGTACTTCAAATAATACGCATGCTCCCAAACATCAAGCCCGATGATCGGAAAGCCGCTTGTGCCGGAGATCACTTCTCCCATGAGAGGCGAGTCCTGGTTCGCGGTCTTAACAACCGCAAGCTCGCCGTTTTGCACGACCAACCAAGCCCACCCGGACCCGAAGACCGTTGTGGCCGTCTTCTCGAACAGTGCCTTGAACTCTTCGATGCTGCCGAACTTCGCCGTGATCGCAGACTCGAGATCTCCAGACAGCGTGGTGCCCATCTTGAGGTTCTTCCAGAAGAATGAATGGTTGGCATGACCACCGCCATGATTGCGGACGGCAGCCTTTTTGTCGGACGGCACTTTGTCCATCTGCCTGATCACCTCGTCGACGGACAAGGAGGACATCTCATGGTCCTTGAGTGCAGCGTTGAGGTTCGTAACGTAGGTCTGGTGGTGCTTCGAGTGGTGGATCTCCATGGTCATTGCATCGAAGTGTGGTTCAAGGGCATCGTAAGAATAGCCGAGTGGAGGCAGAGTGTATGCCATGGTCGCGGTGTCGTTCGTTGTGATGGATTCAAGACTGATGGCACATCGTTAGCTGAAGCTGTTGGACGTCCTTCCTCGAGCCATTTCAACGACACAGTGCGGCACTAGGCGTGCTGCAACCGATCTTGACTGGATCAACGACAAGGACTCACCTCTGTGCTACTAACCCAAGTCGCTCTTGTGCTGCTGATACCATCCGGTTGCCTGTATCCCACAGCGAGAGAGCAAAAGTGAAGTTCGAGAGTTGCACCATAATGTCGTCTTCTCAATGCTGACGTAGAGTAGACTAGTGCACCATCAGGGTAAAGGGCTGAGCTCGAATGAGGGAGTTTCCCTCCAGCTGGTCGCTCGTGATGATTCGTCCTGGCAAAGACTGGGCAGCCCTGCAAGAGGCAGGGCTTTCTCGAGAACGGCCTAAGGAAGATCGATCTGCGGTTGTCGTAGTAGAAGGCGGGCGTCTGTACAGCGTTCTAGTTATGTCACCTGTCTTCCTCTGCAGCTGTGGGCGATGAGCTCAACGAGGAGCCAGAGTATGGATGCTTTCTGATGAATCGCAAGCCGCCGTGCCTATATCCGCTTGACTAGAATCAAGTCAGCAGTATTTTCTAAAGACGCAGTGAGAAGAGGTCGTAGAGGCAGACGTCTTTATCGCAAGATTGATGTCGTCTGGACCCAGGGCTTTTAGTCAGCATTCAATATCACGTGTCCTTTCAACCTCGTCCCCTCAGACTATCGAGATACCTCGCTGCAAGCGCAGAACATGCCACCGCAATGACAACCACCGCCCAAACAAGCCGGCCAACGCCTCCCCACGATGACACTCCTGCCCAAGGCTACGGCAGCTGGGTTCCGCACGATCTACCCTACAACGCCGACTTCGAGGACAGCCTCATTCCAGCAGTCCTCGATTCCAACCGCTCGTCTTCTGGCATCCGCGTAATACCTGAAGACAGCTCTGAAGCCCCGGTCCCAGGCCAGAGCGTGCGCATTCAAGACATCGACCTCACGACCCTCCCCAACCTCACCGAGTCCTCCCTACCCATCCCTCTTTCAGATCCGCGGCGCATCTACGCCTCCTCCATCCCCGGCATAAACCTCACCCATCCGTACGGCTGGACAGAAGGCGGTCCCTCGCTTGATCCAAACCTCGACACGTTCGCGGATGACTTCCTGCTCAACCACCCAGACGTGTCGAACGAAGCGCAACTGCGCGCGGCCGTGGATCACGAAGTGCAGGAGCATTTGGAAGTGGTGAAGGAGAGATTGAGAGCGCGGCAGAAGGCTAAGGAAAGGAATGAACAGATCCAGAAGGAAATTAAGACGTTGACGGATCAACACGATATGGAGTTGAGGATTCAGCAGCGGATGCAGGAGGACCAGAGGCGGAAGAAGGAGGCGAGGGAGAAGAAGAGGGTGGAGAGGGATGGTGGGGGATGAAAAGGCGAGGCGTCGCCTGGGGAGGGCTACATGGACTTGGTTTAAACATGCTGGGGATACTTTGGTGTAGGTTGACAGAGGATTCGACTGATGGCATGCGTGTACCGGTGGCAGTGAAAGAGGGCCGGCTATGGCAATACGACAATATTCCGGCACCACTTGATGCAAACGATTGAATGAAGATGGACATCGAGACGACCCGGTTCAAAGGCTACGCTGATCACCAAGAGGTAGGGGTGCTTGGAAGGCACAGAATGAGATCGCGTAACGGCATGTAGCACCGGAGGTGTGGATTCGCGGTACAAGTAGACTTGTTGGTTGGAAATAGGAAACACGTTCGAGGTAGACATCAACTATCTTCAATCTTCCACTCCTCATCCCCGACATTCCTCTCCCACCTTTGAAGCGACATCTCCCTGACGTCCTTCTTGACGTGCTCTCTGATCTGAGACGTATGCTTCATCTCGCAACAAGTGCCCTTTCCAGACACCTCTGCAATCTCCTGCCCAGCAGTCGCAGCAACATCAATGACATCCTTCCACATTGCCCTCCTGCTGGCGCAACTTGCTCCCCTGGGATCGAATTGCTTCCGTCCCTGTAGGACCCCATTGATCAAGATCTCCTGCCGCTGAGGTGTAACCATCGCGGAGAGGTTGCTCGGTACCGCAGCCGTCGTAGTGCCAGATCGCCTACTGTACTCGAACTCCCTGGTAGTGGTCCGGACGTCGAATGGCTTGAAAGCATATCCGCCTGCCTTCCAACTTTCCCTCTGTCTTGTGTTCAGGCTGGCAACCGCCTTCATCCTACCTTGAGGTCCAAACGCTCGCTCAACAGCCGTGCCCACGTACTGTGACTCCGGCAGCACGAGAGTATACAGATAGACGTTCTCCGGCCACACAAGTCGACTCGTCAGCCCGGAGAGCAAGCTCGTGCACTGCTTCATCGCCAGCTTGTCGCTACAGCTCTTGCTCAGAGTGAGCGGCGCATCCGGGCGAGCAGGCTTGCGGCGTACGATGCCCAGGCGATCGAAGTGTCCTCGCCCCAGCATACTGCTGTCTGTAGCATGTGACCCAGAACTCTTGGACCAAGGTGTATCGTCCTCTTGCTCCGCCATCGTGAGCTCCATCGACGCATCGCCACATGGAGCTTCGGAGCAGTACATGTGTATGCTGACGTCGTCGCGAAGTTCGAAGGGTGCACTGCCCACATCCCCTTCATGCGCGCTCTCGAGTCGTGCATGCCCATCGTCCCTATGCCTCCATCTCACCCATCCGCCGGTATCCTTCTCCTCGAACCCCTTCCTGGCAAGATCCGCGCACTCATCCACCAGAAAGCGATTGAATGCCCGTATAGCCAGTATCTCCGCATGCCAGTCGTGTAGTACGTTGCCTTGCGCCTGTGCAAGTTTGTTCTGTGGGAGGCATTTCATGCCGGTCGCCAGGGCTGCGCACGTAGGCCCGGGTGCGGTGTCTGTTGTCTGCCTTCCATTGCGAGGTGTCACGGTGTCTTCTCTACCAAAGCGTCAATTCCTCCACCGTGGTTATCTTTCAGGGCGGCGGTTTACCTCTACTCAACACGATCCCAGCCAAGGGAACCCATTCTCTTCGCCCATCCGCCAACACCCTCGGCTTGAACTTCACAGGCAAGGCGTGGAAGGCTTGCAGCGCGCAGTCGGCGATCGCGTCGGGATGAGGTGGCATCGGTGTGGAATCCGTGGATCGAAGGAATGGACGCCGAAGGAGAGGTAGAGCAAAGTTGGTGATACTACCTGCCTTTACTGCTTCTCGCGCTCAGAGGTGTGCTCGGTGAGAGCACCCAGCACCTCTGCACCTTTCCTATTGCTTTGGAACTCCGAGAGAAGGGTCAGCACGCTGGACAGCGGAGTCTAATGCTTACATACCTGGTAGCTGGTCGACTGAGTGGAAGGGGCATTGCTAATGTACGGGCGCTTTCACACTTGAGGTACTTTTTCTCTCCAGCGTGCTCGTCCAAGTCTCAACGAAGCGTACAGCACGTCCACGCCTGTTCCTTGTAAGCATTATACTCCGCTGTCCAGCGTGCTGACCCTTCTCTCCAAGTCCCAAAGCAATAGGAAAGGTGCAAAGGTGCTGTGGGTTCTCTCGCCCAAGGAGGCTGAACACCGACTGATCGTGGTAGAACTTGGTCGAGATATGGCACGGCTGGACAAGACATGACAACAAGGACATGGAAAGCGACGCTCAGACAACGTTCGTATGCCATCTATCTGAACGCTGCATGTTGCAGAAATCTAAGCTACAGACAGTACAGCTTGAAGTCCGCATACAGCCTTCCGACAGTCCATCTTCGCTTCATGATCTCGTTTGCATCAAACAAAGGAAATGGTCGATTGTGCTTGAACTGGTGTAGCAGCATGATTGACCCAGCCGACCAAGGCCATGCATGTGTGTCGCAAGTCGCTCGAAACAAGTGGTGAAGAGGGTATGCTCGTCGAGGCAAAACAGGGAAGAACGGCCCGCTTCTGTCCCATGCGAGAAGAAAGGAAGACGCTCAAACACCCATGACAGCCCACAAACATTAGCTTTTGTAGAATGCAAAAGCACACACCGCATCTCAGTCGCACTCGCTTATTTCTTCGATGCCTTCTGGGCGGCCTCTGTGAGATGTATTAGCAAGCGGTCGTTTGGAAGATGGAGCTCTTTTTGCTTACTTGTTACCTTGCCCGCGCCAGACTTCTCAGACTTGGCGACGGACTTGATGACACCGACAGCGACGGTCTGACGCATGTCACGGACGGCGAAGCGACCAAGTGGTGGGTACTCGGTGAAGGCCTCAACGCACATCGGCTTGGACGGAATCATCTTGACGATGGCGGCGTCACCAGACTCTGGAAAGGTTGTTAGCAAGTGGATTGCCAAAGGTGAAATGGTGCTGTCTTACTGATGAACTTAGGCTCGTTCTCAATCGACTTGCCGGTACGACGGTCGATCTTCTCGAGGAGCTCGGAGAACTTGCAGGCGATGTGGGCGGTGTGGCAGTCGAGGACGGGCGCGTAGCCGGCACCGACCTGGCCTGGGTGGTTGAGGACGATGACCTGGGCGTTGAAGGAGTCGCAGCCCTTCGGTGGGTCAGTCTTGGAGTCACCGGCGACGTTGCCACGACGAATCTCCTTGACAGAGACGTTCTTGACGTTGAAGCCGACATTGTCACCAGGAAGACCCTCGGTGAGCTGCTCGTGGTGCATCTCGACGGACTTGACTTCGGTGGTAACACCAGCCGGGGCGAAGGTGACGACCATGCCGGCTTTGATCACACCAGTCTCGACACGACCGACAGGGACCGTGCCAATACCGCCGATCTTGTACACGTCCTGGAGAGGGAGACGAAGAGGCTTGTCGGAGGGACGCTGCGGTGGGTCGATGGCGTCGATGGCCTCGAGCAGGGTCTTGCCGGAGGTCTTGGTCTTGGTCTCCTTCTCCCAGCCCTTGTACCACGGGCAGTTGGTGGAAACCTCAATCATGTTGTCGCCGTTGAAGCCGGAGATCGGGACGAATGGCACGCCCTTGGGGTTGTAGCCAACCTTCTTGATGAACGACGAGGTCTCCTTGATAATCTCACCGTAGCGCTCCTCGGACCACTTGGTGGTGTCCATCTTGTTGATGGCGACGATGAGCTGCTTCACACCCAGCGTGTAGGCGAGGAGAGCGTGCTCACGGGTCTGGCCATCTTTGGAGATACCGGCTTCGAACTCACCAGTGCCGGCAGCGATGATGAGAATGGCGCAGTCGGCCTGGGAGGTACCAGTGATCATGTTCTTGATGAAGTCACGGTGACCGGGGGCGTCAATAACAGTGACGTAGTACTTAGGCGTCTCGAACTTCCAGAGGGCGATGTCGATGGTGATGCCACGCTCACGCTCGGCCTTGAGCTTGTCGAGCACCCACGCGTACTTGAAGGAGCCCTTGCCCAGCTCGGCGGCTTCCTGTGGTTCATGTTATCAGTGAATGTTCAAGATTATTTTGATGTCGATGTCGCTGTCGTTGCGTTGATGGAGAAGAGTGAAGCCGGGGTGTGACCCGGAACTTCGCGAAGCCCCCACCATGATGAAATTTCTGCCCCGCCAGCCCACCAGAAGTGCGCAGCGATAAGAAATTTTGCAGTGCAGGCGACAGCGAGGTGAAAATTGTGCGACATACCTTCTCGAACTTCTCAATGGTACGCTTGTCGATACCGCCGCATTTGTAGATCAAGTCTGTGAAACATGTGAGCCGTCTGCCGTCGCGGTCGCAGTGAGGTGAAACTTACGCCCGGTGGTGGTCGACTTGCCGGAGTCGACATGGCCGATGACGACGACGTTGATATGAGTCTTGTCCTTACTGTGTGTTGTCAGCCGCTGCTCTTGCGTCGTGATGTGAAGTGATGGCGACATACCCCATGGTGTCGGTGTTGTGGTGTGTGAAGTGTGTTTCGTGGAAGTGGTCGGAAGTACTGAAGGATTGAGTTGCTGGCGCCAATGTCAGTATGCGACGATCGTGAGATGGATGAGGGTGATGAAGACCTACCTCAGATGACGCAGCTGTACTGAAGATGTATCAGAGTGCACGTCGGTATGAGGGACGAAGAGAAAAAGAAGTTGGTTGCTGGAAGGTTGGTCTGAATTTTATGGCTCTCAGTGCGCTTGGTGGGGCAGCGATCGCTTTAGGTTTAGCGCAATTTGGTGGGGCAGCAACGACATCACACGAGTTGAGTCGAGTGTTGGAGGTGGCAAATAGCGCAAACACTGCATGAAGACGCCGGTGAAAAATGTGCATGCGGCTGATTGGCAAGCGATGGACAGTGAAAGCGGCCAAGCGATCATAGCTGGCAGTCTTCTCCGACACGAGATAGTGACCAAAAAGACCACATCCCTCTCGCCAGTGGGCTGTTATTGTCTGTGAGAGGGTCCCTTCCACGGCTCGCTCTGACCTGACGGGCCGCTTTCACTGTCGATATCTTGATTGGGACTACGGTGCCTGCAGGAGGCTGTTGACTCACCACTGTAGGAGGTATGGTAAATCCGTACAGAGGAAGCACATCGACAGCACCACATGTCTTCAAGTGAAGCATATGCGTTCAATTGACGTTTGTCCTTGTCTACGTATATCGTATGAAAGGGGCATTACTCTCATCACTCTCAAGACCTCCTCCAGATGTTGAACGCACCGGCTGCTCATGTTCAGGTTGCTGCAGTCCAAACCCCTCATCACCAGCCCACGCCGGCTTCAGCTCCCTAGCAGCAAGCCTCGTGATGGTTCTCGCCAGTCCCAGGCCAGTCTCCACTAGGTTCAGAGTAGCCGCGCGCCTGCTCTTCTCATTGTCCTCCGCCTCCTGAGCCCACCAACCACGATCACGATACATTCGCCGGAGGCTCAGCTCGGTCCTCTGACCTTCCAGGTACTCGCCGTCGATGTTGCTATACTGCAGCCAAGTGCCAGGCAGCATACCGTCCAGCACCTGTCGCAACCCAGGATCCACGTGGTCACGACAAAGTCCGTCTTGCGGACGTTCAAAGCCCATGGACTGGACAAGTTCGAAGCGATCGAACATGTAGTTAACCTCGACACCTTCGTTGTCAACCTTTTGGCCTTCCTGAGCTTTCGCCGACACCAGCCACGGTGGCAGCCTCATTTTCAGGATCGGGTGCGGTTCTTCTATTGGACGACCGTTCTCGACGGCTTCTCGCAGGAGCTTTGTGGAATCGCGCAAGCCCAGCCATCTCGCAAGGCTGTCGGACGTTTTCACCTTCGCCATCTTCATCGCCACATCTCGGGAGAAGCAAAGGTCCACAGCTTCGCCAGGAAGTGGAACCAGCACTTGTTGGCTGGAGATTGTGGTTCTGACAACTTCTGGCTGCATGTTACGAAGAGACTCGAAGCGGATGGAGATCCTTGGGAGAGCTATCAAATCTTCGGGGCCGTCTGAATGGAGCGGCGAGGGCATGAAGTGCGCCACAAGAGAAGGAGAACGAGTTTCGCGAATCTCTGCTACGGTTTGTGCCCTTCCTCTTGCCTGCGCATCGAACCGTGTACGTGGCGTGAAGTAGGACAACAGTGCGGTCAGCTGCGGGATTCTGCCATGAATGATGGGATCATGCAAGTCCCACGAGCCGCTTGCCATACTAGCATCGTTGCTTTGTGGCGGCTGGCTTGTGGGGACATGTCGGTCTTCTTCTAAAATCGGAGACAGGTGTCTGCAAAATTGGATGTTCCACGACGTAGGCCGAATCTTGGATAGCTGTTCTAGGGTCTTCTCGTGGTTTGCTGCAGTGCCAAGGCAGGGCCAGTACGGCTTCAGGGTATTCAAATACTCAGCCAGGTCTTGAGCCTGGTTGGCGTAATCAGAACTCTCCATATCGGGCGAGGGCTCTCTCGATAGCGTTTGAGACGAACGTGAGGCTGTCATGGCTGTTGAGGCGTTGCCGCGCTCCAAGCTAGTTGTCTTAACGAGCCGACCTAACGAACGACGGTGATGGCGGAGATGCAAGCCAGACAGATCGTGCTCGAGCGGTTGCATGCGCGGATCCCCATGTTCATGTGCTGGTAGACCTTCTTTCGCGCTGTGCAGCGGTCGAATTTCAGTGCTGACTCCCCAGGGAAGGCTCACTATCGACAACAACCGACGCCTCGCGGTGTGCAAGTCTTTAATCGACCGCCCCCAGATGAATACGGTTCCGTCTCCGACGAGCTCGAAGACTGTTCTGGTACGGCGGCTTATGTTAGTGCAAAGCTGTGAGGCCAGGAGCTGGGGTATGTCGCTTGGTCGGCTACCTGTACCAAATAAGCGGCTGAACTTTGACAGGTCCACTTTGAGATGTAAGAGGTCTTCAAAGTTGCGTTGGATCTCACGTGCCATTTGCTCCGCCTCAAGTCGGTGTCCCGTGATGCGTACCACATTGTTAGGCTGGTAAGCGCGCACCTCGCATTTCTCTATCAACGGATTCGAGTCCACGAGTGAGTGGTACATCGGTCTGTCCGCGCTCTGCAAATCAAACATATACGTGACTTGCCAGCTTTTCAACTCAAACTCCAGCTCGCCAACGTCCTGCAATTCAGCGATGTTCGTCAGGTCCCAAGCGTAGCGCAGAATCTGGTTGATAATTGTGGCTTTTCTTTTGCCGACGTCGTTCTTCGAGATTGTGATACCTTCGCCATGTCGTTCGCTCAAAGGAGTCGTCCCTGCGCGCCAGGATGATAATGCCGGCCCACTCTTGCGTGTAATCTTCGCCTTCGGTATAATTCGAACAGTTTCAGCGTTGACCTTCGACATTTGCAGCTTGTCGGTGAGATATGTTGTAAGCTGTTTCGTGTTGTACGCCTGATCCAGAGATCTAGCCAGTGCTTGAAATTGTCTGTCGTCGGCCGTAGTCGAGGTCGGCCGCAATGCCTCGATAGACTCGAGAACCTCTGCTCTGCCTGGCATGCTTTGCAACGACACGATGTCGCTGGCGTTCTGGCCATCACTGGGTGCGAGAGATTGTCTCATGTGATCTTGCCGTTGCGCCACATTGTTCGCCTCTGGTGCATCATGTATGATGGTCACATCAAACGGCTTGCCCATTGCCGTAGAATTGAGGCGCTCAGTAGTCTGGTGCTGGCGCCGGCCATGTTTCCCAGCCTCCCGACTCAATGTGTGTTTTGACCGCTGGCTTCCATCAGTATCCTCGGGCTGTGTATCATCGGTATGATTTTCTTCTGCCTCGCGATATTGACGGCCGGGAGCTGTGAAGCGTCTTTGGCTTGGTGATGCGGGAGGTAGGCATGCTGTCCGACGGCGACCGCATCCAGGTAGGATGATTTGCCGTAGCTGACATCGTAGACATACTGACGATGCCGTCCGACCTCCAGTTGATAGCATATGCGAGCAGGTTTTGGGAAGGATCGCAAGTGCGCGTGAAGCTGGGATCCGACAAGAACTAAAGCCGAATCCGGAAGGAGTGGCTCGTAGGGCTGAAGAGGCAACAACACGCATGTTCTACAATTACTTCTGCCCCGTTCAACAACGTCTTGGGTATGCACGGCAAAACTTCGACGAGATAGATGCTTGTGTCTGCGCGAAGACCACTTCGCAATGTTGGACGAGCAAAATGTCCAACGACCTATTTGCTGCTTTTGGAAGCCCACCACCCAGCAATAAACAATCCCATGAAGCAGAAGACCCATGGCGGCAGTTAGCCAACGCCGATGACAGCCAACCATGGACGGAACCCAATGCGAAGCAACCCAAATTGTCTGGCACGTCAGATTTGGCCAGCCAGGCGGACAACGACGACGATGACTTTGGAGACTTTGAAGACGCTTCAGTAACAACAACTGCACAACCTACAGCAGAGAAGCCAGACGGTGTACCTTCGCGGGCCTCAGCAGCGTCGTCTGCCGCGTCTAAAACGAGCTCTCGCAGTACACAGAAGCCATTCCCTCCCAAGGCGCCTCCTTCTCAGCCAGCCAAACCTGCGGCTAAGCCGAAAGACAGCGCCCGGCACCCTTTTGCCAATCACATGGATCTGCTTTTTGAGACCGGTGACGATGAGTATGATGCCGGAGCTGACGAGTTGGCCGATCTGTCCAACAACCCTGAGGCCGCTATGGCATATTCGAAGCGGATCATCGCAGAACAGCAAGCCGCTCAGGAAAAGTCTCAGCCTGTGGTTCGAAAACAACCTATCTCCACGGCGGTTCCAAAATCAGAGCCTAAACCTGCGCCTAACAAGCTCAGGAAAAAGTCTGGATATGCGCCACCAAGCCGCAATGCTGAGGTCCTGTTCGACGCCGACACTGTCAGTGCTGGGGAGGACGATGATTTTGGAGATTTCGAGGATTGGCAGGAAACAGCGATTCATTCGAGGACTCCTTCGAAGGCCAAAGCTACCCAGAAACAGGTTGCTATGCCTGCGCTAGATCTACTTGGACTAGATGAAGCGCCCGAAGTTAGCAGTGGATATGACAGCACATCGAAGGGCGTTACCTCACCAAAACCCTCTGATCTGAAGTCAGCTCAGGAGAGGGTCCACCAAAATCCACAACCTAACCTGTCGAGTGTCTCCGCTGCTGAAGACGATGAATGGGCGGACTTTGAGACGACCGCACCACAGTCTCCGCCAATACCTACTCCCTCAAGACCGCTTCCGAGCTCGGGTCCCAACACTCATCGGTCTCACGCCACTGTCAAACCAGAACTCCTCCCACCAACCAATATACCAACCCCCATAATGCTCCTCTCGCTGTTTTCACCCCTCTTCTCTTCTGCAGACGACGCACTATTCGACACCCTCTCCAAGCTAGATCTCAAGCAACGCCAGGCTCTTCTCGCTCACCCAGCCAGCCATCAATTCCTCCGCGGCTACCTCGGTCACTGCGGTGTCCTCGCCCACATCGTCGCCGGCCGCAAGCTCCGTTGGAAGCGAGACCAGCGCCTCTCACAAAACATGCGAATCGGTCCTGCCGCTGCTGGCGGCAAAGGTGGGATGAAGCTTACCGGCTTGGACAAGACCGAGGTTGCGAAGGAAGATCGAGAAGTCGTTGATGTGCTGCGGCTGTGGAAGGGTCAGGTAGGCAAGTTGAGGACCGCTGTGACCGCGGCATCCGCTACGCCGGGTTTGCCGAAGCTGCCGCATGTGCCGGAGATTGCGGAGCAGATGCCTGTGAAGACGTTGAAGCAGACTGAGGGCGGGATTATGGCACCGCATGCGTGCGCACTCTGTGGGCTGAGGAGGGAGGAGAGGGTGGCAAAGGTTGATGTAGAGATTGAGGATAGTTTTGGAGAGTGGTGGGTTCAGGGTATGAATATGCATGTGGTGTGTAGGAAGTTCTGGGAGGAGTTTGAAAGGAAGTTGAAGTCGAGATAGTAGCAGTTGGCGATCCCAGCAGTATATCCAGCGAGCTCTCATATCGACTTCCATGCAAGTTCCGTTCACTGTACTCTCCAAGGTTTCTGCCGAAAACGACGCTGAAAACACATGAGAATGAAGACAAATCGACAGGGACATAAGCAGTGGAGATCTGACATTGTTCTGACATTATTCATGGCTTCGTTATGCATGCTCTAGGCTATCATCTCGACTTTTTGCTCTGTGTGGCAGATTCGAGTCCGTCCAAGATCTCCTTGCCGAAGACGTATACGAGATAGCCAGGCACGACGATCCAGGCAAAGTTCATCGGTCCCCAAAACAAGATGAGGGTCGCCCAGTCATTATGGCCAATGTTCGCGAACCCTGAGCACTATTAGGAACTAGCATCAAAATAATGGGCATTGAATACATACCGGCGCAAGCCTCAATGACCCAGTACAATACCGTCTTGAAGCAAGTCACCAACGCAGTCCCGAACCCAAGCAGCGTCGCGAACGCCGCCACCCTCCCAGTCACCGTCCGACTCTCACTCAAAGCCCTCAACTGCCCCATAGCACTCTTATCCGGCGCCCCGCTGCCTTGCCGCGGCTCCTGCTCGCCATACTCATACACCATGTACAAGTAAACCATATACGCCGCCGTTTCAAACGCATTGCTGATTCCCTGGGCTGCTGTCCAACCTTCGTGCGCGTTGTACGCTTTGAAGCCGTATACGTAATCGACGGTGCCGTACATGCCGTAGGGATACCATATCTTACTGAGAGACCCTCCAGGCATTGAGAGCGGGCGGAGCAGGACGTAGCCTGTGTCCCAGATCACGAGCGGAAGGCTGATGGCGAGCCATAGCAAGGTGAAGTTGGAGGGTGTGTGCGACCACCCTAATTGCGGAGGTGTGCGCGAGAGAGTGGGTGCGCGCGGTCGGGCTGGTGTTTGAGGTTGAAATACTGCTTTGGTGGGACTTGCGTTGTTCGCGGTCGATGTTCGAGTTGTGCGCTTGCGAGGCGATTCCTGCGCTGTCGCTTGCGCGGTTTCGGGGTCTGGGAATTCTTTTGGGTGGTTTCGAGTCGCGACCATGTTGGCAATCGATTTGAGGTATTGGCGACTATGCGCTGGTATAGTGGTTCGGTATACGTAGAATGCGCCGCGAGGTGAGGTTCGGAAACAAGACGAAGTGGGAGCGAGGCACAACGCTTTCCCCAGCCTCCTCCTCCTCCACTTGTCGATCAGACTGATCCCACTGACGTGATGCAGCCGTGCGAGGTTAAGCGCCACGCTCAGAAGATTGGCATGCACCGTCGAAGCGAGAACCGGACGCAGGTTGTGCTGGCGACAGCCTTGACAACAAATGGAATGGGGAAGAACAGCGAAGTACAGACGGTGTGAGGTACTACAGCTCAGCCATATGCCCCTTCTGATACCAGCTCCATATATTCAAGCCAATCTTCGTGCCCTTGGTAACAGGCATACCAGCATGAATGACCTCCTTGTACCCTCTTCTCTCGCTATCGAAGTTCATCCAGAAGATGGCGTTCCCTTCCTTCGCCTTAAAAGTGACTCCTTCGCCACCTGCGTCCTTGCCGCATTGTATATATCGACACCACTTTGGGTCGTCCGGCATCCGCAGCCTAGGGAAGTTGGTCTGCTGCTTGTCAGTATGACTCCGTCCAAAAGGGTGCTGGGGGACGTACGCCGCCGCCTTCACAATCGGCTTTCAGGTACACCATGAACGTGCTGACCCTCATCGCCTCCTTGGTCGCTGTACTCCAGTCGTAGTGGAAGGAGTAGTGGCCAGAGACATTGTAGCGTTGCGTCCAAAGGCGCTCGATGAAGGTATCTTTGGGCCAACCTTGAATCGATAAGGCTCGCTGCTCGATACACTGAACAACGTCGTCTCGAGGTATGAGCGCCTTCTCCGACTTGCGCACAGCCTCGTCCTCGGTCTCAACACCTGCATTGAACACGGTGGACTTCTGCCACTTCCCTTCGCTGTTTATGTGTTAGTGATGTTTTTGAACTCGCTGGACTCGGCATTACCTGATATCAACAAGATGTTCCACCTCGTCGCCGCTCAAGAAGCCATCAATATAGATCACCAGAGGCTGTGTAGAGAAGATATGCATATCAACTCCATGCTTCGAGCATTTCAGATCTTTCCAATCTGGATAGACCAGTGACTCGGCTCTGGCGCGAGCGATTGGCACATCTTGCTCGCTCGTGCTCTCAATGTGACTTGGGGTCTTTAGACCTGGAGCACCCAAGACAATGTAGATAACAATGCTGATCGCAGCGACTTCGACAATCGTGCGCCAGCGAAATGGCTTGTCAGACATGTTGATACATTTTTGAGAGTTGGATTGATTCGAAGGTTTTTGATTGACTTCGATTGGTGGAGCGGAGCACGTTGCAAGAAAGCGTCGCGACGCGCACTACGAACGTCAAATCATCTGTCGAGATCACGCTTACAGATGGTCTGATACTCTGATGTCTTCTTTGCCGTAGGCGGCTGCAGTATGTGATTGTAGACACTGACGATTCCGCAAGAACACATGGGAGAAGCGAACAAGAAGTGAAGCGTAGGTATGCGACCTCTGTACACAGTATCTACTTGTCAAATCAACCACCGTGCAGTCCTCGCAGTACAGTACAGTACAGTGCAGTATAACAACCGGACCAACTGCCCTCCCTTCATCCCGTATTACCCGATTATCTCTTCTCTCGGCTCAAACCAAGACTCGAAAGCACAAACATCCCCAGCAGCGAAGTCAACGGAAGAACGCCTTGTATGCCAGCACCTGAGACGCTAAAGTCATAGCCAAACCCGCGGAGTGGCTGCAGAATTGTCGTAGATGACCAAAGCAGGAGCTTCTTACAAGAAGAGCGCGAAGAGAGCACCGGCGGCGGCGAGGATGCCACCGGTCTGGACGGTCGCACCGGCGCCGGTCGCTGGGACCCACGCGGAGGCCGACGGGTAGGCAGCACCGGTGCCAGTGGGCATGACGCCGCTGGACACACCGGTTCCGTAAGGTGCAGATGGGGCCGAGGCTGGGCCGCTTGGGTAAGGTGCTGGGGGAGCGGAGGCTGGGCTGGAAGGAGCCGCTGGTGAGGCGGATGGGTAGCCTGGAGCACCGCTGGAGACAGCGGCGGCAGAGCTGCCGGAAGGCGCTGGGTAACCGCTCGGGTAGCCGCTCGCTGGGGCAGAGGGAGCCGGTGCGCCCCACGAGCCAGAGGCAGAGCCTGATGGAACTGGGTAGCCGGACTGTGATGTGTTAGCAAGTGCTCAAATCTTCGAGAAGCCTAAGATGTCCCGTTGATCACATCGACCGCCTTCATGCTCATCCGTCCTCTCAAGATGGGAGAATGCTACTAACAGGAACTGGGGCGCTGCCAGCCGGGGCAGAAGCAGACGCGTAACCGCCAGGAGCGGACGAGCCACCAATCGCACCGGCAGAGGAAGAAGCCGCCGCAGGGTAGGATGCTGGCACACCCGATGGGGTTGGCGAGCCGGCCGGGCAGTCGGTGACGGTGGCAGCGCAGCTGGTGACGGTCACCTCCTTGGTGATCTCAACGGTCGAGGTACCCCAGCTGCCGTTGTCGTTGCCGTAGGCCGGAGGAGCCCATGCGGGCGAGGCGAGGGCAGAGGTGGCGAAAGCCGCGAAGACCATGGCGTACTTCATTTTTGCTGTGTGGTGGTGGTGGTTGTTGTTGGAAGGTCGGGTTTGGGGGAAACGTCGAAGGGACTTTGAAGAAAGTGAAGGATTTGTTTGTTGGCTTTGTTTAAAGAGAGGACGACCGAAGTCAAATTATTAGAATACTGTAACTCGTGGAGTGTTGTGTGTAGAGAGAGAAGAGCGGTCGTGTAACGAGAGGCAGCGCCTATTTCTACAATCAGCGTCGTGGAGCCGTGCGAGACAGAGTGAGATTGCACTCCGTTAGTTCAAGCCGTGGGCGTGTCGGGACGTGGTGAAGTGGCCTCTGCGTTAGATTAAGGTGTGCAAGGATCGACGACGGATGCTGCCCTGGAGATCTGTGCGGACTGGTTGAGAGGACCTGGGCTGTCCGATGTCTGGTGTAGCACAAGCGCCAGCGAGCGACAATCTCGGAGCAAGCAGCATCGTGAGACCCGTCGTCGTGCAAGTCCCCAGCGATGGCGGGTGTCTGTCGCACATCTCCTGAGAAGCCTCCTATCGGAGCAGCGACTGCATTCGGCTGAACTCTGGAGTGCGTCGATATTCAGGAACAGGGATAGCGGCCTTTACCCCTGATGAAACAGAGGAAGTGGCGCCAACCGTGCCATTCGTGGCCAAACTCTGCCCGCAAAACGCCAGAAAGCTTCGCTCCCAATCCTCTTTGCTGGATCGCAGCATGTGGCTCTCTGTGGTCCGGTTGCAAATGCCCTCCACAGATAAGGGCCTGGACACGCGTACACACTATTGGTAGATTGACATCGTCGAAGGAGGTGGACTCGGCTCCTTTCTAACATCTCATGCACGTGATCTGAGACCTCGTAAAGAACCTGAATGCCGTGCATGTCGCAATTCCAGGCGTCAGCTTTCTCGTATTCCTGTGTATAAAGTATGACCCTGCCCCAGGGCTCGCGTGCGTGAGGTGAACTTGTTCTTCTCGAGATGACTGCACTCAACATGCGTCCTGGAATTTGCTCCTCAATATCGCGTCCTTATCGAAAACAGCCGGCGGAGGATCTCAATTTCCAATAGTAACAGCCACGACTTTTGCCCGGGCCTGGCCGCGCGTAGACTTCAGATGCCACCAGAGCTAGAATGCCGACTCTAGACTCGGACTGCGATGGCGGAGCACGATGGCAGACAAGGTCAGCGCTCTGCGACTTCAGGTCAACGCGGCAGAATTCTTGTTGAAGAGCCTGCAGGATCAGTTGAAGGAAGCTGAGAGGCAGGCTTCGCTCCTGCAAGAGAACAACAACCTTGCTGGGAATGCGCTGCCACAGGCCGGGAATGGTTTCATCCCACCTCCTACTAGTGGCACTGGAGGAGATGAGAGTACGCATCGAAGGTCAAACGTGAATCATCTACCTGAAGGACCGAGCGAGGATGGAGCCGGAGGCAATACCAACGTCAATGTAGAGCCCACTGGCCAGACCGCGCTGCAAGACGACAATGCTCTCAACGACGACGAAGATGCCCCCCACGAAGACGATGACCTCTTCGGCCTGGATGACCCTACCCAGGAACACCGCCTCCCAACCCTAGAGGTAGGCACCATCTACCCCTCCCTCGAATCGATCAAACAAGCCGCCGTGGCCCATGCCATCTCGCAAGGCTGGACATGCGGCGTCGACAAACGGGACCGCAGCCGTCTTCTTCTGAAATGCCGCAGCGACCCCTCATGCCCCTTCCACCTCCGCGCAGAACAGTACGAAGACGCAGCTCGAATCTGCTCCTACAAACCCGAGCACTCTTGTAACTTCCAGCCAGACCAATCGCATGTCCCCAGGGGCCACGCGACTCACCTAAGATTCTTGCGGGAGCAATTGCCGAGTTTCATGACAGTGGATGAGAGCACGACTGCGCGAGAGGTTTCGGATGCGATTTTCCAGCGTTTCGGGACGAGGGTGAGTTATAAGCAATGTCGGAGCGTGTGCGTGGGGCCGAAGAGGAAGCGGAAGCCAGGGGTGGCGGGGTGCGGGATCTGTGGTGCGGTGGGTCATAATAGGAAGACATGTGGGAGGAGGGAGCCGAGCTAATGATTACTCCAAAAATGAGCAAGGCCTAATTACGACGTAAGGACACTTCTCAAGCTCTCTGCCACAAAGCCCTTGCTTCTCCTTACCTTAATTAGTCCTTATGCCAATCTCTCCTGCAGTCACAATCAACTCCCCGTATGGCGCGCATAGCTTAGCACATGGACAGGCGCGCGAAGGGCGGCCGAGATTGGGACGGTTGTCACACGCTGGGGGGTGATGTCACTTCATTTGGTTACTGTGTAGCAGCTTCTACGCGCAGAGCAGGGGGGTCATGATTGAACTTGAATGGTGAATCGTATTGTCAAGGTCTATGTATTCGCCGCCGCACCCTGACTGCCGCTTTGGGGGTCGTCTCCCCCATCATAATGCCTTGAGCTTCCCGCGACTCGGCGCTTCTGGTCTTTGAGCACCAGGCACGGCATGCCGCGTCTTCAACATGAACGCCGGCCATACTTCTTTCCTGGCTCAGAAACTGGTCTCGCTCAGTCGAGCGCGAGCTTTGTTGCCGCAGCATATGTGGGACGGTGGGCGGCAAAGTCCTGATCAAGCCTCGGGCCAGCTCATCCACCATCCATACCTCTCGTCCAGCGAGCTGAAACACTCTCACTTCTTGATAATCGTAATAATATCCTCATCCGTCAACTCATGCGACAACCCCACCCTCTGCGGTTGATGCTTCACACTTCGTCCATACACAATCGCCACCCGGAACTGCTCCACGATGGTCTTGTGAATGGCATTACAGAAGTCCTCGACCGTACACGCTGAACTCCGCAGCACGACTGGCGCAGTGTAGTCCGGCAGCTTGCCCTTAGGCTTGGTGTAGACCCGCTTGAGATTCAGCTTCTCCCACATCTGCTCCATGAGCTCGTCGACGTTCCAGCCGTGCTCGGAGCTGATGGGGCAAGCGTTGGGGATGCGGTAGAGGAGATCGAGCTCTTCGATGCTGATGGCGTCGATTTTGTTGAGGGCGTAGATGACGGGGATGTAAGAGCGGCTCTTCGCTTCGATAACATCGATGAGGTCGTCGACGGTGGCATCGCAGCGGATAGCAATGTCGCAGTTCGCCATGCGGTATTCGTTCATCACAGCCTTGATCTCGTCGTTGTCGATGTGCGTCAAGTTGACAGTCGAAGTAATGGAAATACCACCCTTATCCTTCTTCGTGATCTTGATATTCGGAGGCTGTTTGTTGATCCTGATCCCAAACCCCTCCAACTCCGTCTCAATAACCCGCTTATCCGTCAAGGGTTTGTTGACGTCCAGCACGATGAAGATCAAATGGCACGTCTTCGCCACAGCAATGACCTGTCTTCCTCGACCCTTGCCATCCTTGGCTCCTTGAATGATACCCGGGAGGTCCAGCATCTGAATCTTCGCACCGTTGTATATGACCTGCCCAGGCACCGTCGTCAAAGTCGTGAATTCATACGCAGCCGCCTCGGAGTGTTGACCCGTGAGTCTTGACATGAGCGTCGACTTGCCCACCGAAGGGAAGCCGATGAAGCCCACGGATGCCACACCAGTCCTCGCGACATCGAAGCCCACACCCGTCCCTCCACCGCCACCGCCTGAGGGTGTTAGCAACTCTTTCTTCAATTTCGCAAGCTTGGCCTTGAGTTGACCCAAGTGGAAGGATGTGGCCTTGTTCTTCTGGGTCTTGGCCATCTCGGCCTCGATGTCCTTGATCTTGTCCACGGTGGTCGCCATGATGGGCTGTCGTCGCTGGAGGCAGTTTGGTATATGATTCTGGTTCGCTCGTCTCGTCCACTGGCAGTACCTCAGATGTCTTTTTCAAGATATGACTTCGAGTGGCAGAAGCGGGATGTGGATGTGGGGCAACCGTCACGTGCACTAGCAGTGCAGTGACATCCTTCACTTCACTTCGCTTTCCGTCAAAGCAGTCTTTCGTTCGGACTACATATGTACTCATCAAACACGGCGCTCGACCGACCATTATCTCCAACTGGAGTTCTAATCATCGATCAACCGAGACAAGAGAGAGACCCGACGAAAATGCTGCAAGTCCTCCCGGCTGATGAACCCATCTTGCCCATTCTCCGAGAATCGCGTGTCTCATTCGCGTCGGTGCAACTCATGCATCTCTTCTTTCGGTCTCGCACTGCCATTACTAAGGCTCATGAGCCCTAAAAAGATACTGCCATTACTAAGGCTCATGAGCCCCAAAAAGATGCTGCCTCTCCCGATGCCAGATCGAGTGCGGACTGCAAACTCGAATCACTAAGCCGGGGCGGGGTTTACTTACAAGCTGAACGCGAGGCCTATCTTCGAACGATGCCCTCGGCAGCTTCGGCGTAAAGGTATTTGAAGCTCTGTTGACCGCAGCTGAGGTATTTGTTGTTATCTGAACAGCTTCTTCCTCTCACTCTGTTGGTCTTGTTTCCTTATACCCTCCAACTCCTTCAGAAACAAGCCCAGGTCTCCGCCTTCCAACTACTTCTTCTCCCTTTACTCCCTGCCAATACCACCCACCATGCCTTTCACAATGCACCCAGAAGTAGGAGCAACCCTATTCGCACTCTTCGGTGCCAACCCACCCAAATCACCCGTAAGCCTCCCCTTCGCCATCCTCCTCCTCCGACCTTAACTCTCTCCCAAGGCCGGCGACGTCAAAGGCCGTCGCGAAGCACTCGACGGCATGTTCGACATGCTCGCCGACCAGGGCCCCAAAATCTCCGGCGTCGAGTCCAAAGACTTCACCACCAAAACCTCAGACGGCCACGAGATGATCCTACGCTGGTACACCAAAACCGGCGCCACTCCACCCGGCAGCGCCGTCCTCTACGCCCACGGCGGCGGCATGATCGCGCTCAAAATCGAGCACTACGACGAAGTCGTCAAGCGCTACGTCTTCCGCACCGGCGTGCCGTTCCTCATGGTCGACTACCGTCTCTGCCCCGAAGTGCAAGCCCCTGTTCCCGTGACCGACACCTACGCCGGGCTGAAATACCTCGTCGACCACGCCTCGGAGCTCGGGGTCGACCCCTCGCGCATCGGAATCATGGGCGACAGCGCCGGCGGCGGCATCTCCGCATCCCTGGCACACTACATCAAGCTCAAAGGCGGACCGGCGGTGAAGCGGCAGATTCTGATTTATCCGATGTTGGACGATAAGAACGTGGAAGTGGATGAGAATATCGCTCCGTACGCGACTTGGAGCTACGATGATAATATCACGGGCTGGCAGGCGCTGCTGGGCGATAAGATGGGTAAGGAGAATGTGGATCCGATTGAGGCGGCGGGGAGGATGACGGTGAAGGATGCGAGGGGGTTGCCGCCTGCTTATATCGATGTGAGTCCCTTTTCCTCTTAGAACACGGATTTGGTTTCGTGGAACTAACGGCTTGATCAGGTCGGTGAGCTGGACATCTTCCGCGACGAAGACCTGCAGTACGCTTCGACGCTCGGCAAGGCAGGCGTGGAATGCGAGTTCCACATGTATCCAGGCGTGCCGCATGCGTGGGGCGAGTTCGTGCCGGAACTGCAGAGTGCTCGCGATGCGATGGAGAACAGGTGCAGGGTAATTTCGTCGCTGTAGGCTAAGGTATAGATGAGCTGCACGGTATAGATCGAGTGTACAGGGACAGACCACTACGGTGGCAATGCTAGCCTCTCCACAACGACGCTACGCGTCGGAGTCTGTGAGCCGTCACAGTCACGGACTTGACAAGGAAGTTTTTGCGTCAAAGCACAGTAGATTGATTTGAATCCAATCCAAGGTCCGCCGCCGATATCCAGGCAGACCTAAATCCCCCAATTCTTTTCCGTTAAAGCACATCCAGTACAGCGACGGGTATATCCAGGCAACGCCGCCAACACCATCGCTCGCTTTCCCATCCGTGAAAAGTCCCATCCAACCCATAAGCACTTGAACTCCAACCCTTCCATCATCTCACTTCACCCCCCCCCATCCCCAAACACCATCCCCCAATCCACTCCCCCCTCATCGGCCCTCCAATCCATCTCCTCCCCTTCCCCGAACCCCAACCCCCCTAGTCCCTCCTCTCCAACCATCCACTCCGGCACCCCCGTGTCCCCGTCCCCAAAAGCATCCCACTGCAAATTCACCTTCAACCTCGCGGACTCACTGACATCGCTCTCCCGCGAACTCTGCGAGTCCACCGAGGAAGGCGTGAGCTCCGCTTCCGCCTCCGCCTGGCGGGGGAGGTTCCAGTTCGTGACGGCCGCGAAGTCGTCCCAGGAATTGGAGGCGTAAGGGGAGGAGGGGTTGAAGAGGAGGGGTGGGAAGTCGTCGGTGGTGGGGTTGGTGGGGGACGGCGTGGTTGGGGGGAGGGGGAAGGAGAGTTTGGAGACCATTGTGTCGAGGAGGGAGGGCGATTTGGCTGCTGCTGTTGTGGGGGCGGGTTCGGCCGATTTGGGTTGTTTAGGCAGGGGTGTCGAGGGCGCCTTAGACGCAGCGCGGGCGTTGGGCGCTGGAGTCGGTTTTGCTTTGGTGTCGGACACAGCAGCCTTATTCCTCGCCTGAATTGGATCCTCCTTCTCCACCTCTCCAACCTCCTCCGTCAAATCCATCAAGAACTGGAACGGATCCTCAATCGGCCGGTGCTCCTCCTCCCGATGCCGCTTCAGCGCCTCCTCGCTCTCAAACCCCCCAATCGACCTCTCACACAGCGCATCCTCACACCTAAACCTCGGCCGCACAGGCTCCACGGGCTTCGCCTGCGCCTGCTGCATCTGCATCCTCCTCACCTGCTCCGGCGTCGGCGCCTTCGCTGCAGCAGGCACACCGGGACTCCCGGCCGTTCCGCCAGGCGTTCCCGTCTGCGCCGCGGGAGTCGAAGTCTGGCTCTCGCTCTGTCCCGTCTTGCGCCGCTTCGGCGGCGGGATCTTTAGCTTGTCGGGCGTGAGCTCGGTGCGTCCGGCCTCGTACTTGGGGATCCCGTGCGGGCTCGGCGCGCCCCAGTCGAACTTCTTCTCGTCCGTTGGCGCGGGTGGCGCTTTCGTGCTCGAAGACTGCTTTCTGCCGTGTCCCGTCTGCGAGATCTTCCGATTGAGCGGCGGCGCTTGCGGCGCGGGCTCTTGCTTGACAGGGGGCGGTGCTTGTGGTTGCGGCTGCGCCTGCTGTGCCTGCGCACCATTCCCTCCGACCTGTGGCTGCTGCTGCCTGCTCTTCTGCCAGGACGTCATCTGCGCGAAATAGGCCATGGTCCATTGCTGCATCTGCTGCAACTCCGGCAGAGAGAGGGACAGGTAGTCCTTGATCTTCCCGCTCGCATCTGCGGTGTTGTGCTGGATCTGCGCCCTGATCTTCATCATCTGCAGAAGACGTTTCTCTCCTAGGGTCGGTAGATTGAGCGCGGCTGGGAACGTTGATGCAATCCTAGTCATCAACGGGTATAGCTTCTTCAAGATCGCCTGGGCCTGCTCGAGTTCCGGTGGGCTGATCTGCACCGCCGGGCCCTTTGGTGTGTTCCTGTAGACGTTCATCCACATCTCTTTGACCTTCTGCTCAGTCTGCTGGCGGAATTGTGCCTGGTCTGGACCTGGCGCTTGGAGCTGAGCCTGAGCGGCCTGCTGCTGCTGCTGTGGCGCTGGCGGTGGTTGAGGAGGAGCGGGTTGGTTCGCATTCGCTTGACCATTCGCAGCGGTGCTTTGCGCACGACGAATCGCCTCGACCTGGCTCAAACGCAGCTGGTAGCTCTGACGCTGCTGAGGCGTCATGTTGTTCAGTTGCTCCTGCGTCAGAGGCCGACCGAACATCTGCACCGGATTCATTTGCTGTGAGCCAGTCTGCTGCATAGGCGGTGGCTTGGGTGCGTTGTTCGCTGGCGGTGCCGACGGATTCTTGATCTCGATAATATCGTCACTACTCGATTGCGGCCGCTTTTGACCCTGACCCTGACCTTGACCCTCGGCTTGGCCTTGCTGTTTCTGGCCTTGTTGGGCACGCGCAGGTTGCTGCTGGTCTGCCTGGGGAGCATTGCCCGCTGGACCGGCGTTGTTCGCGAGGCCTGCACTTCGCATCTGAGCGTTTTGAAGATAGTTCCGCCGGCGGACAATGACCATCATCTGCCTGACGTGATCGTCAGACTGTCCTTGTGCTTGGGGCACGCGCGCCCGGAACTGCTTGACTTCCTCGTCTGTAGGTGCATGTTGCATCTGCGGAGGCCGCATCTGGCCTTGGCCCATATTTGGACCAGGCATATTCGAACCAGGCATGTTCGGATTCTGGTTGAGTGGTTGCTGCATGGGTGCGACGGGCGGGACCATCTGCGCCGGAGGAGCTGGGCCAGTCTGCATCGGCATTGAGGACGGGGGCTGGGAGGTTTGCATATTCTGCTGCTGCTGTTGCTGCTGATGGTGCTGTCGCTGTTGTAGCTGCTGCCTCTGCTGCATCAAGTGCCACCGCCGCTGAAAGTCCTGATGTGCATTTTGCATGTCCTCGGGATGGGTGTCAAACCAGTTGTGTTGCGTGTTATTCAATTTGTCCATGGTGTTTGGCGGCAGCACGCTCTGATTCGACATCACATAGCTCTTCAGCTTCCCCCAGGTGTCAATCTCCGGGCCGACCTGCATGGCCATCTGTTGCAGGATGTGCTTTGGGAAAGAGTGCATGTCCATGGCGCGCTGCTTCACCTGAGCGGCTTGATGGGCCTCCATCTTCTGGAAAGTGAATGGCTCCTGGTTCGGCCGTTGCTGTTGCTGTTGGTTTGGCGGAGGCTGCGACATGAAATTCGGGATGGCGTTGCCCATGTTCGGCGGGGCACCGTTTCCCATGGTTTGAGAGTTGCCCATCTGGAGGCCACCCGGAGGCTGAGGATGGAAAGGGTTCATCGTGTTCTGGTTCTGATTTCCCCCTTGTTGTTGTTGTTGTTGCTGCTGCTGACTCATGATGTGTGACAGAATAGCCGGTATCTGAGCAGGAGGGGCCGATTTTATGGTATCACGGAGTCGTGGCGGAACTTCTGAGAGCAGGCGCTCAACGTCTTTAGCCTGCAGCTGCTGGTTGTTCTGGTTTTGACCCTGGCCCTGATTCTGGTTCTGATTCAGCATGGCCTGATGGTGCTGAGCAAGCTGGCTGGCGCCATTCATTGGCGTCTGTGACATGCCTTGGTTCGGCCGGTTTTGCTGGGGTGTGGAGGGCGTGGTCTGCCCCGGTGGCACCATCGGCCGGTTGAGCATGCTCATGTTCATCGCAGGACTGTTGACCTGGCCGCCGTTGAGTGCATTCGGGGTACTGAGTCCACCAGGCTGCCCGCGGAGATGGTTCTGCGCTTGCGCTTGCTGCGCCAAGGCTTGCTGTCGCGCGAGATGATTCTGATTGTTCTGCAACTGCTGTTGTTGCTGTCGTTGCATCTGCTGAGCCATCTTCATCTGCTGCATGTTCGCGTTGTTGTTGGGCTGACCATTCGGGTTCCCCAGCATCTGCGGGTTCACGCCTTGGTTCATGTTTGCCTGACCGCCCATGTTGAAGCTTTGATGATTACTCGCCGGCACAACCTCGCCACCAGACTCCTGAGATCTGATTGCGTTTGCTTGCAGGCCGGTGATGGTCGAGAAGTCCGGCTGTGAAGTTTGCTGCAAGTTGTTCGCAGCCATGCTCATACTGCCTTGCATAGGGTTCTGCATCGGCATACCGTTGCCGCTCTGCTGGCCTGGTGGAGGAGCCAAGCCGTTCTTCTCTTTGAAGACCATGTCCCTCGCTCTGCGAAGTATGGCGTTGTGGAGGGGGTCTTGGTTATTGTGCTGCAAATTCAGTTTTTGCTGCTCACTCATGTTTCGCAACACCTCCTGGCGAAGCTGGTTTTTGCGTTCCTCGGTCAAGCCTGCAAAAATGGCCCTGGCTTTTGTCCTGACTTCTTCCTGAGTCGGCTGTATGGGCTGATTCTGCCCATTCTGATTCATGTTGGACGCTTGCGGGTTCATGTTTGGCATTTGGGACTGCATCTGTCGTAGAGCTGCAGGATCCACAATGTCGTTCTGGGGTTGGCCTTGGAGATGTTGTGGCAGTGGCGAAGGCTGCATCTGCCTCTGAAGCTGGGTCGGGAAGTTCTGGTTCTGCTGCATTCCATTCATGCCCATCTGCCCGTTTCCTTGGTTGAAGTTCATGTTGCCACTCATGTTCATGCCCATGCCGTTCATGCCCGGGTTCTGCATCATGTTCATGTTTGGGTTCTGGTTGCCCATGTTGTTCTGCATGAGCATGTTGCCGTTCATGCCCATGGGAGGGCCCAGCTGTCCGTTCTGCATGTTGTTTCGTACGGCCTCCTCACGCTTCCTCTGGATTTCTTTAAGCTTCTCTTGGATGCTCGCGTGGTAGGCTTCCTTGCTTGGAGCCTCTCTGATTGTTCTCTCCTCGTAATTCTCCGCGATGCTCACGCAACGACTGATGTCGGGCTCGAGGATTTTCAACTGAGAAATGCTAGGTGTGCGGTCAGCATCTGAAGCCTGTCTGGGCAGGTCGACGTGATATTGGGGTATACACACATCTGAAAGATCTGGGCAGCACGATGACCAATGTCGAAGGTTGTCTGCCAGCCTTGCGGTGTAGGCTGCTGTCGCTTGAGATCGTCGAGCTGCAACGCACGAAAAGGTAAGCGAACCATTCATGCTCTGCCCTTTCTGTCGTGCGACTCACCACTTTGGCATACAACTGCTGCATCTGATTTCCACGCTGCGGCCGCTGCATGCTGTTGATGTTCTGCATCTGCATGCCGTTTGGCATCATGTTCGGATTCTGCTCCATATCTGGCGGGACCGAGTGAATGTGGATTGTTCTTACTCGCAGACGGCTGACTAGCAGCTAAAGCGCCCGCGCTCGTCGAATAGGTGTATACGCTTTTCTGCGTGCATCCGGTCCGAGTAGGACGAGGTGGGTTCGCGTGCGGAAGGGAGGCTGTGAGTGGTGGAGGCCGCCTCTGTGCACCGGGGCCTGGCTCCGCGGGTGGTATGACCGGGCGTACGAGGTCGCAGGCGAGTGGTACGGGTAGATTGGGCCCGTCTGCTTCACCGGCGTGCTATTTCCACTACGTCTCGGAGGGCATGCCTTGTCGCCCTGCGAAGGGTCGAGGGATTTGCGCTTTGGTTGGAGGAGGGATGTGTGTAGGTGCAGTTTTGGTGGGGAGCGAAGAGAAGTTGCGTGCGAAGGATGGTGGGCGGCGGTGGTGAGGCGGGCAGTTCGGACGTGGCTGTGCTGTAGGATGACCAGCTGCGGCGCAAAAGGCAGCGGGCACGAAGGATATAAAGGACGGGTCGGATGGCTCGTGGAAAGCAGCGTCGCATGTCAGACTGGTTCTGTCGCGGGCGCACAGGATCACGTCTTGAACTCAGATGCTCTCTGCTGCTGCTGGATTGGCCAGGCTGATCACTCGACGCTAGTGCTCCTTCCGCCGGCCTCTTCCGCGAAACATTAACTTGGATGCGAATCATGCCGTGTCACTGATGGGAAGACGACGACGAGTGCGAGTTCAAAGGACCATGTGATGATCCATACCTCGACAGTATATAGATCGGCTCCATCAAGCCATCTTGCTATCGAACAACAGCAGCCTTTTGATCCGTCCTGGCCTGCTATGTCGGGCGTCAAAAACGGTCACAAGCGAGCGGCAGCATCTCGAGCTCTTCACTTTGCGCCATCCTGCAGGCATCTCTATAGGACGAGCTGGTCAACTGATCTGATCGCTCTGTTCGACAACTCCCTCGACGCCTTCGTCTTCGAGATTACATCAAGTCTACAATTCTCTACAGCAGCTTCCAACAACTCATCAAACCAGTGCATTATGAATGAGAAGGATCGTCAAAACGAGGGTCCACAGATCGCCAACGGCCACGGCCCGCGAATTAGCGCGTGCGTCGTGCGTCAAACGCGGTGGCGTCAAGCAGTTTTGGGAAGTCGCGTCCTTGGACAATCTGAAAAGCGCTGACGAGAGCGCGTAACGACATCTTGACAAACGTCCACTCGCTGTTCACCTCATCAATACAGGAAGGTCGCGTGAGACAGCTCCTTGCCATTCAGCGAGGAAACGATGGAGAGTAATTTGATCGAGTGGCTTGACCGCCCGATCGAACGCGGCCGCACTGGTGAGACATGGCGTGCATTCTCCGATTGGAACACGCAGGAACTAACTGCACGACATGCACAAGGTAGAGACTCATCAACACTCGAGGTAATTCCTCAATCTACCAGTCCCCTCTGAATTCTCCCCTCTCAGACCCCCTCACTTCTTCACCCCCACCCCCTTGAACTCCCTCGTAATCCCCGTAATCGCCTCCTCCACCGGCAACCTCTCCATACTACTCGCCCCGAAAAACCCATGCACCCCCTCACACCTCTCCAACACAAACCGCGCATCCTCGGGCTTCGCGATCGGTCCCCCATGGCACAGAACAATCACATCCTCCCTCACCTCCACCGCCGCGTCCCGAATCGCCTGAATCTCCTCGACACACTGCTCCAACCCCTTACCTGTTTGAGCGCCAATCGCCCCGGACGTCGTGAGACCCATGTGCGCTACCAGCACGTCCGCGCCCGCCTTTACCATCGCCTTCGCTTGCTCCGGGTCGAAGACGTAGGGCGTCGTTAGCATGCCCAGCTCACTCGCCACTCTAATCATCTCCACCTCGAGCGAGAAGCCCATCCCCGTCTCCTCCAGATTTGCGCGAAACGTGCCGTCTATCAGTCCCACCGTCGGGAAATTCTGCACCCCAGCAAACCCCAAGTCCTGCAGCTGCCGGCAGAACCGTCGCATGTCCCGGAACGGATCGGTGCCGCAGACGCCCGCGATGACGGGGGTGTGGGAGACGATGGGGAGGACTTCCGAGGCCATGTCGAGGACGACGGCGTTGGCGTCGCTAGTATCCGTAGAAGAAGAGGGAGTCAGCAGTGGTTTCATGAAGGAAGGGTAGAGGGGGACGCGGCTTACCTGTACGGCATGAGACCTGCTAAGGAGCCGCGGCCGGCCATGCGGAAGCGGCCGGAGTTGTAGAGGATGATGAGGTCGCCGCCGCCGGCCTGGGGGGTGGTGAGTTATGGTGGGTGTGGTTTGGTGTTGAGATGGGTGGTATACTTCGATGAATTTGGCGCTGAGGCCGATGCCTGGACGGGAGGTCAGACGAGCATATGAGCGATGGTTGAGGCGAGTATTTACCTGCGCCCGCTCCAACAAGTGGTTTGCCATCTTTTATCTGTTTCCTAAACCCTTCTAAGATTGTCTTGCGATCTGTTGGTGGACTCATGGTGGAGAGTTCTCTTCAACACAACTACCTGCTCAAGAATTCTTTCAGTATACTTCTACGCCTTCAAAGCCCTTAGGTGTCTCTACATCGACATTCAATGCGAGAAAAACATCATTTCTAGCTCGACCTGTCGATCTCAAAACATTGACGCAATGAGCCGTCGAGCTTGCAGGACGATCTCCACCTTCAATCCCGAAGCTCACAACAACACCTCGACAGTCCCATAACAATAGACTCTAAAGTAAAAGACAAAATCAAAATGCCACGCATAATCATCCTCGGAACCTGCGACACCAAACTCCCCGAACTCCTCTCGCTCCGCTCCCACATCACCACCCAATCTCCCAGCGCCAAAATCACCCTCGTCGACGCCGGCCGCTCCCCCATCAAACACCAACTCATCGACATCCCCCAGGACACCCTCACCAGCACCTACGCCCCCTCCCCCAATAGCCCGCAGGACCTCTCCTCCCTCCCCCGCGGCGAAGTGATACACCACATGATCACCTGCGCCACCAACTGGCTCCGCGAAGCCTACGAATACGGCCTCAAAGACCCTTCCGCCGCGCTTCACGGGATCATCGCCGCCGGCGGAACGGGGAATACCGCGCTCGCGTCCGCGGTGATGAGAGCGGTGCTGCCGATTGGGTTTCCGAAGTTGATTGTGAGTACGAATGCGTCGGCGGATGTGAGTCATGTGGTGGGCGAGACGGATGTTTGTATGATGCCGAGTATTGTTGATATTGCGGGGAGTAACGAGTTGTTGGAGCGGATTTTGGGGAATGCCGCGGGGGCGGTTGTGGGGATGGCGGGGGCGTATGAGGCCGCACTTAATGATGAGGACGGGGGAGGAGGAAAGGGGAAGGGGAAGAAGAGGGTGGGGTTGTCGATGTTTGGGGTGACGACGCCGGCGGTGGATCGGATCAGGATGTTTTTGGAGCGGAATTATGGGATCGAGTGTTTTGTGTTTCATCAGACGGGGGCGGGGGGCAAGGCTATGGAGAGGTTGGTTGAGGAAGGGGGGTTGGATGCTGTGTTGGATGTTACGACGACGGAGCTGTGCGATCATTTGTGCGGGGGGGTGATGGACTCGGGACCGCGGCGGTTGGAGGCGGCGTTGAAGGCGGGGATCCCGTATGTGATAAGCTGTGGTGCGCTGGATATGTGCAATTTCGGGCCGAAGGAGACGGTGCCGGAGAGGTATAGGGGGAGGAAGTTGTTTGAGCATAACCCTACCGTGACGCTGATGCGGACGAGTGTGGAGGAGTCGAGGGCGATTGCTGAGTTTATTGTTGAGAAGGTGAAGACGCATACGAAGAGGAAGGATTTGGTAAAGGTGGTATTACCGCTCGGAGGCGTTAGTATGATTGCAGTGCCTGACGGGCCTTTCTATGACGCCGAAGCGGACGACGCGCTCTTCTCTACCCTGCGAGATGGGCTCAAAGACTCGGGGGTTGAGGTGGTCGAGGACCCGCGAGCGGTCAACGATGAAGGTTTCGCGGTTGATGCGGCGAAGATGCTGGTGGCGATGATGGGTCTGTGGGGTCTCTGAGGAGAAACGTCCAAGACACCATGCTTTTTGCTTTGAACAAACATGTCTGAGCGCCTGTCAAAGGAAGGCTTCGCCACAGTCGAGATGAACATGCCTGGCCGGTATCGCCCAGCGACTCCAAGGGCTCGTCGTCTTCCAGCAGCGGGTGCCTCGATGATTGCACAGCGAGTCAGCTCTCCAGACATGAAGGTATCATCTCCGCAATTCCTCCTACCACTCTCAAACAATCACCTTTAGATTAGAGCTTGCATTTCTTCGTTAGAGTGTTGCTCAATACGGCTCCCCACCAGGCAGCTTCGCCTTCTGTGGCATCGCAAGATTCTCCTTTACCCTCTTTTCAATATCTTGCTTCAGCTTCTCCCGACTCACGTGCTCCTCCTCTCGCTTCTGCGCCGCCTCCCCCTCCCGGATCCCAGCGCTGTACTCGCGATTTCCTGCACCGCCACGACCATACGTCGCCGTGGCTGTGGTCGTAGCGCCTGTAGGACGAGTCTCCGATGCCAGTGGGTTCTGCGGTTGGGCGGAACTTGGGTCTACAAAGTTTCCCGCTCCTCCGCGACCGGTGGGCATGTATTGTTGCTCCTCACGGTTCAAGTAGTCGGCTGGGAGCGGAGCCCTGTTGTAATTGTCTGCTGAGGACTGATTGGCTTCGAGGTCGGCTGAGATTCTGGCATTTTCTTGCTCGATGGCTTGGATATTGCCCACGCCTCCACGTCCGTAGGGTGGCATATTTGCGATGGGCTACAGTCTCCCAAGTTCTTTTACCTTCAGTTTAGAAGTTCTCCATTGGGTCGTTGGCGATGAGGAACAAGTAAAGTCAACTTTGCCACCAAGAAGCTCATATCGCCCGGGCCGTGCACTTCCGAGCGAGGTTCACCAGAGGCCAAGCAGTCGCAACCGTGTCCAGCTTCTCGAACATCTTGAACATCTTGCCAACACAAGCATTCCCATCACAGTTCATACGCCTGGAACCACACTCACTCTTTGCTGCCAACGACTACCATCCGCTCTCGAGACTCCAGCGCCTGCCAAACTGTCCGAATACGGTGTAGGCCGCAACTTGCGCGCCAATAGACCCGACAGCTCCATGACCGACTCTACCACCGCATCGGCGCCCAAGCCGAGCAGCAGCGTCAAGCTCGTGCTGCTCGGTGAGGCGGCCGTGGGAAAGGTGCGCTCCTCTACCACCTTTGCCCAAACCTCCTGCTGACCGCAACCTTCCAGTCCTCCCTTGTCCTCCGTTTCGTTAACAACGACTTCCAACCCAACAAAGAACCCACCATCGGCGCCGCATTTCTCACACAGAAGTGCCAACTCCCCAGCCGGACGATCAAGTTCGAGATATGGGATACTGCGGGGCAGGAGCGGTTTGCGAGTCTGGCGCCGATGTACTACCGCAACGCACAGTCTGCGCTGGTGGTCTACGATATCACGAAGCCGAGTAGCTTGGTGAAGGCGAAGCACTGGGTCGCGGAGCTGCAGCGACAGGCCTCGCCGGGTATCGTGATTGCGCTGGTGGGCAACAAGCTGGATCTCTGCGATGATGACAGTCCCGAGGACGACGCGCAGGATGGGGAGAACGTGGATGGGCACGAGGAGGAAGCGGTGAGGAAGGTCAGCACGGCGGAGGCGAAGGCGTATGCGGATGAGGAGAGTCTGCTCTTTTATGAGACGAGCGCGAAGACGGGGCATAATGTGAGCGAGGTGTTTACGGCGATAGCGAATGCGATCCCTGAGACGAGTTTGAAGGGACCGAGGGGTGGTGCTGGTGGTGGGACGCAGGCTGCTATTAGTGGTGGTGGGGGACAGGATAGCAGCCGGGTGAATTTGAACGCGAGGGGTGATGCTGGGGCGAAGGAGGGCTGCGCGTGCTAGGTGGGCAAGGCATTGAGAGTGTGCTGATAACTGTTTTTGATACCGAATTGACGAGGGCAGACAGACACTGTAATTTGATCAGAGCGCAAAGCGAGCGTACTTGGTCCGAGACTCATTCCTTCCTAAAGCTCCCACCAGGCGGCTCCTCCTCATACGCCTCCACGCCCTCAGGAATATCAATGACGGCCGACTTGGTCCAGATATGAATCGCCTCCCTCATCATCTCCTTAGTCAGACCGTCCAGGCACCCAGCCTTCACGCTCACCATCTCCGCCTTCTCACCAGAGGTCGAGACTGACTGATGAAGTAGCCTGGAGCCGCAGACTGTGCAGAAGTGGCCCTGCGTCTGGCCTGTGGAGTTTGGTCGGCTGTAGACTTTTATCACGCCCTCCCTGGGAGAAGACAGGTCAAAGGTCGGGAAGATTGCTGTCATGCCGTAGGTGGAGGCGGATTGGTGGCGGCACTCGGTGCAGTGGCAGATGTAAAGGGTGATGGGCTTAGGGATGGGGGTGGTGAAGCGGATTGTGCCGCATTGGCAGTGGCCTTCCATCTTGATGGTACCTTGTATGAGTGTTGCACAACGAGCCTGGAGCGATTGGAGAGCTCTGATTAGACAGGTGTGGTGTCAAGGCACAGGAGTGACTGATGTTTCCTCGTACTCTGGTGCTTCTTGTCTCTAACAGTCTTGAATCTTGGTGGTCGTCTTTGCCATACTCCTATTCTTATCACATTCATGCCGCCTTGAAGCTCGAGCTGCAGTCGAAGCTGTCGTCATCACCAGCCGAGGCGTTCCACCTCACAGAGTCCTGCCTCCCACAAACCCTCACAGCAACTTCCCATAAGCATCGAACGATAATGGAACCATAGGTAGGCACCTGCTGTCCCCTCATACTCATCACCATGGCAAGTACAGCGCAATTGCCTCACCTATCGTGCAAACACTGCGATTCCTCCCACCTCATCACCGTCCCCACAAGCATGCAGACCATGCAGACTACTTTATGCGCTGGTCTTGGTCTTTCGCCCTAACTGTCGTCTTCATACTCATCTTCCTATTCCTGATAGTCCAATACATTTGGCGCAACCCAGACAACAAAGCAGCAATCATGAAGGCGTTTAACAAACTCAAGAGCCACATCATGGAGAAGCAGGCGGACACCGCTCAAGTGCCAATGACTCAGCCTGGCATGGGTTGCCACCCTCCGACAGCGAAAGATGTCCTGCGCTACCGATATCAGCACGCTTGCAATGTCGGCTCGGTCTTCATTCTCGAGCGCTGGCTCACACCCAGCATGTTCCCGGATTCAGCACCAGGTTCCAGCGAGCTCGCCGCAGTCCAGGCCTGGATCGCTCAGGAGGGTATGGAGCTTGCTCGTCAGCGGTTTGAGAAGCACTGGCTCGAGTATGTCACCGATCCCGACCTAGAATGGATGCGAGACGTTGCGAAGTGCAATACCATCCGACTTCCCATCGGCTACTTCACCCTCGGACCCCAGTTCTGCGAGCACACTGCTTTCAAGAAAGTGGCGCCTGTATATGAAAATGCCTGGCACGCTGTCCAGCAGATCGTGTCTCGCTGCCATGCGCGAGGGATCGGCGTCCTTCTCGATCTTCACGGCCTTCCCGGCGGCGCCAATACTGGAGACCATTCTGGCACGAACTCAGGCAAGGCTGAGCTATGGGACTCTTCGCGCAACCTGTCGCTTGCTACCAAAGCCGCTTGTCACCTCATACGGCAGGCTACGACCATGGACGGCGTTGTGGGTGTCCAGATTATCAATGAGGCCGATTACGACGCCAAAGGCATGTATACTTGGTACGACAAAGTGCTCGCTGAAGCATCACACATCGACCCAACCATGCCCATCTACGTCTCCGACGGGTGGATCCTCGAGAAAGCGCTCGCCTGGTCTCAAGGCCACAATAACGCCCATACCCGATCCGCCTGCAACCCCGTCGTCATCGACACTCACCTCTACTGGGCCTTCTCCGACGCCGACAAAGCCAAGGACCCGCAGACCATCATCCACGAAGTCCCAAGCAGACTCGCTGAGCTCGACGGCAAAGACGGCGACGTCCAGGCCCGCGGCGCCGCTCAAGTCGTTATCGGCGAGTACAGCTGCGTCCTGACCGAGGACAGCTGGGCGAACAGCCATGGCGTGCCGAAACAAGACCTCGTCTTCCAATTCGGCAACGCGCAGTCCCAGCGATACCAGCAGCGGTCCGGCGGGTCATTCTTCTGGACTTACAGGATGGACTGGATGCCAGGCGGCGAATGGGGCTTCAGAGAGAAGTCCGAGCAAGGCGCCATCACACCCCCCATCTCCCTCACCCTCCACGCCTCAGAAATCGCCTCCCGTACCTCTGGCGCGCAAACCCAGCGCGACTTCAAACGCGGCAATACCTGGGGCCAGCACTGCCAGTATTGGGACACGAATTTCCCCGGTCAATACGAGCACCACCGCTTCCCGGAAGGATGGGACGTCGGGTTCGCGGACGCGACGGCTTTCTTCGGCATGCGGAGTCAAGCTGGGCAGGGCGTGGGTGGGGACAAGATTGGGATGCTGGATTTGTGGGTTCTGAAGCGTTTGAGGGAGAGTGGGCAAGTTGGGAGCGCGTTTGCGTGGGAGTGGGAGGTGGGGTTCCGGCAGGGGGTGAGGGATTTCTGTGAGTTGGTTGGGGTGTAGGGCTAGCGGTGGTTTGGTGGCAATGAGGGTGGTGGAGGGGCAATGAAGGGAATGACAGGTACCCGACCTACGATAGCTAATGAATGTGAGACGAGCAGTTGCCTATTGCAGGTGTGGTTTGACTGGTTTCTACTCGCAACTTGCCCTGGTCTGCCATCGTATGCGGGTTTTGACGAGCTGTTGCCGACTCACCAGCTGTTTATCGCATGCGCGCCGAAACGAACGATGACATGGCGGACGTCTCGAGACGGGTTGTGGACAGCTTCGCGAACTCCTGTCCTTGGTCGACAATCGAGGAGCCGTTGGAATATCCCCGACGTCTCAGGATCGGTTTTGACAAGACAGGCCCAGCGAACTGTTCGCCTCCAGCTGCTTGTCGGCTGTCATTCGGAAACCTGTGACGTCTCGTGAGCCGTCATCGTCAAGAAGTCCCTCACGTTTGCCGGTCTGCCATGTTGCTGGGGTGAATGTAGTCGCGATCCCTCGATTGACTCCAACGGCGTCACCTGCCTCGCCCATCACGATGTCCAGGAGATGAAGAACAATTGCGACTCCACCAGCAATATGAGCAATTTGTTGCTGTACGACTGGCCGTTCTCTCAATCAATTTGCCTCGCACTCGCGAGCACATAACAAATTATCCTGCTGGCTGGGCGAGTGGGACTCTTCTCCGCTGTGCCAGCGAACAACGAGCGCCGGGTTTCAGGAGGAGGTGGGATCATTTGGGTTGTTCGAGTGATTGGCCAGACTCGGGCGTTAAGCATTAAGCATAACACGGGTACCTTGCAGCGGTGACGCCAATCGGAAGCTGGCGACGAAGCGCGAAAACCACTCCTCAGCTTGCTCTCGCTATTGCACTTTCATACCGCGTTTGCAGGAGGGCTATGCATGCACTCGGAGACGACGGAGGGCAGTATATGTGTGTGTAGCGGAAAGTGTTCTTCACAGTGTTCAAATACTGAAATACCGCGGTGAATGCTGAACTCTTGGTCCCAAGCACATCGTCTGCAAATTGATGGAGATCTCCACCAGTCATGAAACATCCCTGATTCGTGTTCCCACCTCTCTCTTCCTTGCTCGCACCTCAATCTGAAGCGCACCACCGGCGGGTGCTGTCCCTCTCCTCCCCATCCTCCCGACTCTCTCTCTCATCGTCCTGCCTGTCCCCGAAGTCTAGACCGGTTCCCGCAGAAGCTGGACAAAGGACTGCCACCACCTCACACTCGTTCTTCACACCGGCCGCTCCACCACGCTGGACGCATCGCTGCTGCGCGGCTTCACCCTCTTTGAACAGGACACACGACACACGACGAGATAGCCGGGACCGGTCGCATACCAACGACCAGGCCTTTCTCACGCTTTCTCCGAGCCTCCCACCTTCGACACGTGCTGGTCACGACAACGACGGACTTGTTCACTGCCTCCCACTCATAAGTGGAATCAAATACCGACAAGTCTCGATACCGAACCACTCAAACATATCGACATGACGTTCACTTCCAAGGCGCTGCTGGTTGCAGCTGCTCTACCACTCGCACTCGCCGACGGAGACTGGGAGCCTACGGCGGCCGACTACGCAGCATGGGCAGAGAACTGGAACATGTGCAAATACACTGCCTGGACCTGGGCTGCCATTGTGGGTGTGATGCTGGTTTACCGCTGGACCACAGAACTCCTGCACCACATTCGCCGGATAGCGAACCTGAACCACGGCACTTCGAGCGATAGCAAGCAAAAGTACTTCACCATCCCTGACGAGCGATGGGCGAGCTTCAAGCGCAACTTCATCGTCGCTCCACTGCTACGGAAAAGACACAACCGCGAGTTCAAGCTCTCAGCGGCAATGAATGTTGGTACTCTCCCAGGACGAGCTCAGACTTTCTTCCTGGTTGGCTACCTTGTCATGAACGCCGTTACATGCGCAATGCACATCAACTGGCATGGAGACACGCTGACCTGGCTCGGCGATGCCTGCGACCGTACGGGCACACTCTCTGTGCTCAACATGATCCCGCTCTTTGTTCTTGCCGGCCGCAACAACCCGCTCATCTGGCTGCTCGGAATCAGCTTTGATACTTACAACATGATCCACCGCTGGATTGGTAGGATTGTTGTCCTCGAGGCCGTCCTTCACGGCGCTTTCTGGATGGCCGAAGAGGTTGTTGAAGACCCAGAGAAGGGCTGGGCCGCGATCAAGGGCGCCATGGCTGCCAGCCCGATGATCCTGACCGGCACTATCGGTGTCTGCGCTTTCATCGCCATCCTTTTGCAATCGCCATCGATTGTTCGCCATGCCTTCTACGAGACGTTCTTGCACGTTCACATTATACTCGTCATTACATCGCTCGTCGTGCTCTGGATGCATCTGGAGGGACTGCCACACCAGAAGCAACTCTTACTACCAGTCATCATCTGCTGGGCCATTGAGCGATTCGCACGCATCTGGTCCCTCGTCCGCCGCAACATCGGCCGTGGTGTCACCAAAGCCGAAGTCGAAGCCCTTCCCGGCGATGCCGTCAGAATCACCCTCCGCGTCGCCAATCCCTGGAAGTTCCGCCCCGGCCAGCACGTCTACATGTACATGCCCTCGGTCGGCCTCTGGACCAGCCACCCCTTCTCCCTCGCCTGGAGCCAGGAAGTCGACCGCCTCGGCAGCGAAAAGAGCCTCCCCTCCGCCCGTCAAGACGTCCTCGGCACCCGAACCACCAGCATGTCCCTCATCATCCGCCGCCGCACCGGCTTCACCGACACCATGTTCGCCAAAGCCGAGCGGTCACCCGGCGGCAAATTCATGACCACCGCCTACGTCGAAGGCCCGTACGGCAGCCAGAGCTTCCAATCCTACGGCACCGTCATGCTCTTCGCCGCCGGCGTCGGCATCACGCACCAAGTCCCGCACGTCCGCGACCTCGTCGCCGCCTACGCCAACGGCACCTGCGCCACGCGCAAGGTCACGCTGGTCTGGATCATCCAGTCCCCGGAGCACTTGGAGTGGATCCGTCCGTGGATGACGCAGATCCTGGGCATGGAGAAGCGGCGCGACATTCTGAAGATCCTGCTCTTCATCACCCGTCCTCGGAGTACCAAGGAAATCCACTCTCCTAGTTCGAGCGTGCAGATGTTCCCGGGCAAGCCGGACGTCGGGGCGTTGATTGATAAGGAGCAGGCGCAGCAGGTCGGCGCGATGGCGGTGAGCTGTTGCGGGACGGGGAGTATGAGTGATGATTTGCGGCGGGCGATGCGGGAGAGGTGTGAGAAGACGGAGATGGACTTTTTCGAGGAGGCTTTCTCGTGGTAGTGAATGGTGAGAGGATGGTGTGGGTGCGAGCGAAGGTGCTATCGCTGGTGTGACGGCCGGTTTCTTCACTGTACTTTGCTTGTGTGGCTATGATGAGCGAGGTCATGGGCTTTTTTTCGTTTCTGAGTACAGGTTTAGGTAGCTTGGGGAGCTGGGAGCCAGTGATGGCGTGGCTACAACACCTTACTCTTACCTCGTTGACTCAAGGTATCTCGATGCAGTCACAACAAAGCTGCGTGTACAGTACGCTTGAATCCTTCGCCCGTCGATCGTTTGCAAGAGATACAAAATGATCAGCGTCGTGACAATCACCACGGAAGGATTCACCGCGCGTCAAACCCTAGGGCCGACTCCTTCCCGTCCTGCACGGCTGAAAAGCTTCGCTGATGCTTGAGCCCGGAACCAGTACATACATGCAGTACCTTTACGCCCTCCATTGACCTCATGCTCTCCCGCTCCTCAAGCCGCAGTGAGCGGGTATCTGTCAGCCTTCCAAATACCACCCTTGACTACTTTTCAAGCTCGGCGAAGTTGGTCAGCTTTCACGGCCGGCAGGATAGTGCGCTGTTGAGTGAACAGCTTCTCGGTCGAGGTGTGTGGTATGGGATTAGTGAGCTGGATGGCTGCTCTCGCCCGAGTCTTCGAGGTGAGCGGGATGGGAGAATGTAGCTTACGAGACTCCTCTAGAATTGAATCGCGTACGTTCCAGGGAGGGGAGTGGCAGAAGGGGAGAGAGAAGGTATAAAGGCAGCCGGTTACCTCATGTCATATAATCCTATCATCGAGCCTTGAAGCAGTCCAAAATACATCAGCAAGAATCACATCGTATCTCTTCTGTCAACTTTCCACCCAGAGAGACTACCAGCTCCCTACGCGATCACCAACATGTCCGCCCAAGAGATCCGCGAGATCAACAAGCGCAACGAGTACCATTTCCTCCTTGACCCAGCAATCCCCGGCTAGGTACTAATACTCCATTGATCAGTGACTTCGCCGCCCACCACCACCCCTCCATGCCCTTCTCCGCCTTCCCCAACGTCAAAGCCACGATGGTGATCTCCTGCATGGTAAGCCCTATCCCCTGGATCTGCTTTCCGTCTCCATCTCTGACCTCCCTCCAAGGACCCCCGCGCCAACCCCAACGAATTCTGGGCCTTCTCCGAAACCTCCCCCGTCCAGCCTGCCGTTCTTCGCAACGCTGGTGGACGTGTGACCGAAGACACTCTGAGGTCTATCAGGGTGCTGTCGGGGATCATGGGGAATGGGAAGAACACGGTCGGGGCGGTGGCGGTGGTGCATCATGCGGATTGCGGGCTGAGGAACTTCTCGGATGAGAGGGTGGGGGAGTTGCTTGGGGAGAGGGCGGGGTTGGACGAGGGGAAGAAGGGGGAGGTGGGGGGGATGTGGTTTGGGAGTTTTAGTGGGTGCGTATCTTTTCACTCTCTGAACGGGGGATCGACTGCGAGGAGATGTGGAAGAAGAGACTGACTTTGTGCAGGGATGCGACGCTCGAGAAGAGCGTGAGAGAGGATATGGAGAAGATCAAGGCTGATCCGTACTTGCCGAGAGACTTGGAGGTGATCGGATATACGTACGACGGAACCACTGGAAAGACCACTGAAGTGGGTGTGCTGTAGAGCAAGGTCTTCAACACTGCTTGTTTCCTCCTGCGTTGAGCACTGTAGATAGAGCTAAAGCCATCACTTCCCACCGGCCCTCGCCTTATTCTTCTCAGCCTCCTCGCGCATGCCCTGCTGCACCCACTCACGACTCTAGAGGCATCGTCAGCAATCGCCTTTCCCCGCAAAGCATCAAACAAGAAATGACTACTCTGCTTCGCAATGAGCTGGCGTACCTTTGCGGCATGCTTCTCCATGGCCTCCTTGTCGGCGAGAAGTTCCTTCATCTTGTACGGATCAGGCACATTGGCACCCTTCTGTACCGCTGGCCTTGCCCACATACGGTCTTCCCATTGCTTGAGCGTTGGGAAGTCGTCGATGTTGATCTATACAGCATTAGTCAACCACTCCATTAGTGAATTTGTGGAGGAAGATTACGTACACCAGCCCATCCACCAGCAGAGATCCAGCCCCTAATAACTTCGAATCAGCAACCTCGTCACTTCATCGCCAGAATGAACAGTCACTCGACATACCAATGCGCAATATCAGCAATCGTACACTTATCCCCCACCAAATACTCTGTCCCTGCATCCTTCAAATGCTTATCCAACACCCCATACAGCCTCCTCGTCTCATTCTGGTACCGGTTGATGCCATACTCGATCTGCTCCGGGGCGTAGCGAGTGAAGTGGTTGGCCTGCCCTTGCATGGGCCCGACGCCGGCGTTCATGAAGAAGAGCCAGTTGGTCATCTACTCCGTCGTTCAGCATAGACGAGGGGAAGAGGGGGAGGGGAGGGGCGTACCTCGATAGCTTCCCTGGTTCCAGCTGGGTAGGAGATCTTGTGGTCCTTGTCATATCTACTCCATGGTCAGCAGCCGTCCCTCGCCACCCGTTCCTCCCTAGGTCTGAACAAGAGTAGACACGCACCTCTGAACAAGATACTGCATAATCCCCCCGCTCTCGAACAATCTTATCGTCTTGCCATCTTCGAACGTATCGGTCAGCGCCGGAATACGTCCATTAGGATTGATCTCGAGAAACCACGGCTCCTTCTGAGTGTTCTTCGAGAACTCTATCTTGGTTGTTTTATACGGCAGTCTGAGGCATGGTTAGCTGAGAGCGAGAACCAGTAGGAGGGAGTGAAGAAGGTACCCAAGTTCCTCCAGGGTGATGGAGATCTTGATCCCATTAGGCGTCTGTGTAGTATAGAGGTGGAGGTCGGATGAGGACATTTTTGCTGCTGTTTTTTAACAAGACTGCGGTCGATATGAACAGTGTTGCGAGTTTGATCTGTCCTTCGTTTTATAATCTCCTGCTATGTTGACCCAGAAGACCTACCTGTTCGACGAGCATCAGCCCCTCGGCCGCATCGAGGATGGATGATTCCTCAGCATCGCAGCGACATCATCGCCCACAAAACAACCCCGCTTTGGGCAAGAGGTGACATCCGACTCCGGCAGACGGAGGCAAGGAACTGGATCACGCTCATCAGTTGTAGGGCTGGCAGCGGCTGATCTTGCGCGTAAACCTCGTCTCATATCATATACCATGCTATTTACAGCTCCGTTTTCACTCCCAGCGTGCGGTGCGGCTGCATCTACAAATCTTACAATACGCACGCATCACCGTTGTGCTTTTTGGTAATGTCCTTGCATTTCGCGCAGTCCCAGTTGCTTGAATCATTTCTCATGCACAACCACAACTTCATCCCACCCCACTACCTGCCCGTCCATACCCTCACCTAGCGCCCCCCACTTCCTCATCCTCGACGAGTCCTGCTCCCAGTACTCACGGAGGCAGTCGACGAAGTTTCGACCGTCCTGATCCTTGACCGAGAGGTTTTGATGGGCGGGTGAGAGCGCGTCGACCTCGACTTCGGCTTGGGACAGCATGGGATGCAGATTCGATCGCACGTCGTTGAGCCGTACTCTGCGCAGCGCAACCGGCGAATCGCTCCGACGAAGGACGTGCTTAGCGTTCATGAAGTTGCGATAGCGCGCAGCAGCACGGCGGAGTTCTTCGGACATTTCGAGCTCGTATTCCTCGTGCATGGCGTCCCCATCGGGCGTGGTGTCGTCGTCTTCGTGCTTGGAGAAAGCCAACTTCGCGAGTCCTTGATCAACAGCCATCCAGTCCAGCTCCTGCAGAGGCGCCGTCCTCCAATGCTCTACCACAGAGTCGGCGTAACCAGGCTTCTCGACCTGGAAGAACAACTGTAGACCAGTGGGCTTGTCGAGGAGAGGCGCGGCATCGAGATTGAGGACCCATGGGTCACTCGTATCAGCTTGTGGCGCAACCATTGGCGACGACCCAATGACGCGAAGAGGTAGCAGTTGCTCGCTCGCTCTGCCCTGTCCTGAGACTGGGTTAGGAGTAGTCGGCTTTAGCATTGAAGCTAACGGCTTAGGCAAAGCAGCAAGCACCTGCGTCTCGTAATCGCACCGCTCCCGCTCTGCCTCCGCCTCCAGCCTCGAGCGCTCCTCCGCATCCTTGCGAGCTTGCTCGGCCCGCTGCTGCTTCTCGAGTTCCTCAGCTTTGCGTTGCTCTTCGGCCATGCGGTCTTCTTCGGCCTTCTTTGCGGCCTCTTCAGCGCGTTTAGCTTCCTCCGCGGCTGCTGATTCGGCATTGCGCTTCTCTTCGAGACGTTGCGCTTCGGCGAGGCGGAAGAGTGCTTCTTCTTGGTGTTGTTTCTTCAGCTGGTCTTCTTCTTCTTTCTGCTGCTGTTGTTGCGACTGAGACGAAGATGGCTGCGCGTCCTGATCGAGGTCCTTATCCTCCTCCTTCAGCGTTGGCAACTCCGGCGCAGCCCGCAACGAGCTCGACCGCCTTCTTAGCTTGGCCTTCCGCGACGCCAGCGTCGGAGCAGCCTGCGCTGGCGAGGAGATGCTCTTGCTTCTCAACCGCCTCCTTGTGTTCGGCGTGTCGGGAGGCTTCATTGTGTCCTCCTCTGCAGCTGTACTGGAGTGCTTTGCATGAGCAGCTTCCTCAGGCTCGTCAACGTCCATCTCGCCCTCGGCATCTTCCTCGCCATCATCGGAATCGGACAAGCCGCCCTTGCCGCCCACCGCGCGCATGTCCCTTCGACTCATCAACCTCCTCCCATTCTTTCTCTTTGCCCTTCCCTCAGTCTCTTTCTCCTCATCGCTACTGCTTGGAGTGCTGACCTCCTCCTCCCTCCTCGCCATGCCAAGCCGCCTCTTCGTCCCATCGCGCTTAGCAACCGGACTGCTAGACCGCCTATCTTTCGCGCCACCCCTCGCCTCATACAACCTCACCAACAACTCTTTCTCCTGTCTCCACATCGGCCCCATCCTCTCCTCGGCAATGTCCGCCCAAGTCTTGCCAGCTCGATTCCTCCACGTCGCGTTGAAATTGTCCAGCTCCGTGAGCGCCTTTACCATATCGAAATGGCTTGTACCCAACACGCTCAGCATCGGCTTTTCCGGCTTCTGGCTCGCCTTCTTCTCCGTCATTTCCGCCAGCAGCATGTTCACGAGGTATAAATCTCCTGTACGCGCAGCGGCGGCGATGATAGCGTTGTCCACGGGCACGCGCGCAGCGAGGAATTCCCGCACGCCGTTGCGATCGTTATTCTGCACCAGCTTTAAGAGGTTCTCGTACGAGCGTGCCATGAAGTGGAGTTCCTTTGAAGGGCCCGCGCGGTGTCGTTGCTCTTCTTCTTCCTCGCGGCGTTGTTTGGCCTCGCTGCTGTTCCAGTGGTCGATGGCCTTGTGCAGCGCGGCGCGGATCGATGTGGCATCCTCGGTGTCGTCCGTAACAACATCCAGGGCTTGCTGGCCTTTCTGATTCTGTCGGAGAGGGTCCACGCCGGCATCGAGGAGAAGTTTGACCACGCCGAGATGACCGTTCTCAGCTGCATCGATCAGAGGTGTGTCTTTATCCACGTTCGCGCAGTGGATCTGACAGCCTTGCTCAATAAGATATGAGACTACTTCATCGTTGCCGTTCAGCGCAGCAATCTGGAGCGGCTTGTTGCCAGCGAATTCTGCGAGCTCAAGTTGCTCCGGGTCTTTCTCTTTCCACTGCTTAACAACCTCGACATTTCCGTCCTCGCACGCCTCAGCTAGGCGCGTAAAGCCGTACTTATTGACATGCCGCTTATGCTCACGTCCACCAGGGCGGTTGCCAGGCGTAGCGGAAGACCATCGAGTGCTGCCGCCGCGTTGTGGACGTTTCGACTCGTCTTGCTGGCCACGTGAGGCAGTGTCGGACGAAGTAGATGATTCGTCCCATGTCTTTGCGGACTTGACCTCACGCCCAGGCAGGGTAGGAACGGATCTTCGCTTGCGGGTGCTGCTGTCGATGGCGGATTGTGTCGAAAAAGTGCGGCGATGCGAGCGCGCATTCGGAGAAGGTGAGCGATTGTGCGAGCCCAAGTCGTCGACACCCATGCTGTGTCGGCCTCGTGCTAATGTGCGCTTCGGTGGATCCATGCTCTGCCTTTTGCTGCTCGGAAGGGTGACTGAGCTCGCGCGGTGCTTCCTCTTTCGCGGATTTGGCGAGTCAGAGGAGCCGTTCTGACCCTGCTGGGGTTGTTCTGAGGTAGCACGCGACGGCGGTTGCGAGCGATCATCTTCCGACTGCGGCGAACTGAGCTCGTCGCTATCGCCATCGGTGTCATCTCGATCTCTCATGTGCTCGTCCTCGTCCTGCTTGACATCACCTCCATTCGAGGTGGCTTTGCCAATGCTGAGCTCGGTACTATCCATTGGCGAAGCGACAGACTCGGCATCATCGTCGTCATCCTGAGGTACCGGGAGGCTTCCTATGCGACTCTTCTGCGGCTTCTCGGGCTTGACGGCTGGAGCACTTTGCTGTTGCTGTTGTTGTTTCTCGGCCTCTCGTTTCTTAACAGGTGACTCTATCTCCGTCTCCGCCTCCGAGTCATTGTGCTCGTCGGCGCCATTCGTGGTCGCATGAGCTGAGCTCTCCTGTTCTGCTGCTGTTGGCGCATCGGGCAAATCTTGGTGGGTTTCTTCGATAGACGGGACGGGAGAGGGGTGGTCTTGGTGTGAATGAGTCCGGGTGTCGAGAGAGTGAACAGCATTCATAATGAGATGCAAAGCGGCCGGCTTATCATCCTGTTCCCATGGGCGCAATAAGCCTCAATCAGCGGAGAGGGGAAGCTGGCGTCCAGTGGTCGCGTTCCAGTGGTAAGAGGTGCTGGATAGTGGTACCAAGCGGAACAGTACGTGTGATAGTGGTAGCAGATGCGCTGAGTGATGCTGCGAACCGTGGATGAGGTGTCGGTGTGCTTTGCAGAGACGACGAGACGATTGGGGAGAGAAGGGTTAGGGTGGGCTGTCGAGGCTGGTTGGCTCTTGCCAATTAGGCTTTTTGGCCAGCTTCTCCATCGGGTGCTAGCGTGACACCGGCAAAACTTGCTGCCGGGGAGTGGCTTGGCACACACGCCGGCTATTTCGAGTTCAATTCATTCGAACGTCTCTGACAGGCACGACGACCACACCACCTCCCACCACACCACCGACAACATGGCCTCTCCTCAAGCCCTCAACAAGATCGCGCCCAACAGCCCTTCGCGGGCCAAGCCGTCCGAGATCGAGCAGAATGTCGCGACCGCCCTCTACGAGCTTGAGACCAACATCCCCGATATGAAGAGCGCTCTGCGTCCTCTTCAGTTCGTGTCCGCACGCGAGGTAAGATAAGATCAGGGACACCAGAAACAGAGTCAGGAAGGACACCTACAACGCACCTCGATATGTCACAGAAGAGGCGGTGGGCACTGGGCAGCCATCAGCGCTGACACCAGGATTCTTCACAGATCGAGGTCGGCAGCGGCAGGAAGGCCATTGTCATCTTCGTGCCGGTTCCACTGCTTGTCGGATGGCACCGCTCGCAGCAGCGGTAAGTAACATCCATCCCACAGGGCCAAGCGCTCCAGCTATACCCGCCCTCACCCACCTGAAGGACAGTGCTGACATGTGCACTAGCCTCACCCGCGAGCTTGAGAAGAAGTTCTCCGACCGCCACGTCCTCTTCATCGCCTCCCGCCGCATCCTGCCCCGCCCCAAGCGCAGCAACCGCAGCCGCACGTCCCAGACCCAAAAGCGCCCGCGCTCCCGCACGCTCACCGCCGTCCACGACGCCATCCTCGCCGACCTTGTCTACCCCGTCGAGATCGTCGGCAAGCGCGTGCGCACCCGCGATGACGGCAGCCGCCTCCTCAAGGTCGTGCTCGACGAGAAGGAGCGCGGTGGTGTGGACTACAGGCTCGACACGTACCAGGAGGTGTACAAGCGGTTGACGGGCAAGGGTGTCGTCTTCGAGTTCCCGCAGAGCACGCAGACCGACTATTAGATGGAGTGAGAGCGTGGCTGTAGGATCTGTGCAAGAGAGGCATATGCGAAGGACATGGTCATTGGGCACAGCTCGAGCTCATCATGGCTGCTGGCCCTCATGATAGATACCAACCAAATGCAAGAGCACTTTCAGCTCACCAGGCACAACAACTCCTGCTCCAAGATGTACTTCCCCTCCTTGTACTTCTCCGTGCTCTCGTACGCCCGGTCGTACTTCCATCCCACCACCTCTCGACACTGCCTGCACGCAATGTCTCGCACCACGTGTCTGCCTGTCGTCATGTTTCGTTCGCCTGCCTCGCCTTGCTGGATATTGACGACGCTGTTGAAGAGGTATGCTTTGCCATGTTGGCCTCGGAAATTCTAACAATCATCACCGCACCTGTCAGTGCATGGTACTTGGGAGCGTGAGGTATGGGAGAGAACGTACCCTACTTATGATCTCGTCATGATCGGCCAGATGGGTCTTGCAGTTCTTGCAGCCGTAGATCTTCTTCGCGTTGAGGTAGACGTTGTAGGCGAGGCCCTGCAGAGTTACTGTATCAGCAGTTGGGCGAAGGAGGAAGTGAAGTGCGCGTGGGGGTGGGGTAAGAGTGAAGTGAAGCTTGTGGAGAGATGGGGGGAAGGGGACTCGTAGCATGTAGAAAGGACGTTGCATACCATCTTGGAGGATCAGGATGGGACACTCTGCCTACGGCTTGCTCTTGAGACCGTTTGCTCGTCTTGAGGTGTCGATGGGCAGTGCAGCGTTGTCGAAGGGCTGGAGTGCAGTCGAACTGTAAGGCGAGGTGGAGTGACGGTCCAAGTGGCCGAGCTTCCCGCTTCTTAAATGATCGAACGGGTAGGTCCAGTAGCCCTCAGCGAATACCGTCAGGTGGTGGTGTAGGTTCGAAGTAGGTCAAGCAGCCCTCAGTGAACACCGTCAGGTAGTGGTGTAGCTTCGACGCAGGTCTGATCAGCGGACAGGTCGACTTGGAGCTTGCTGCCGGCTTCCGTTCCGACGACGGCGATGTCCGAGGTCGGGGGTTGAGAGTCAAGCTCGTAGGTCGCAGATCAGGATCACCAGGGGAAGAGGAGTTGTTGTCGGCAGCGGAGTCAGATCGTCGAGGAGATGCAGGAGAGCAATGCAGAGTAGAGTAGAGCAGAGCTATGGTTCTACGTTGGTGGTTGCATCAACCAAGAGCGATACGGACGCCCCTCCGCCTTAAGATGTGGGGTCAGCGTCAACGTCAGCCCTGTCTCCTACCTCCTTACGACCACACGTATACCGATCAGTGCTGACTACTTTCCGGCATAACTGATTAGATCTAGGGGACCACAGTCTGGAGCGAAGATGCCGTCTTCCAGAAGCGCCACAAGCGAGCGCTCCTCAGACTAGTCACTACAAGATGCATAGGCTTCGGCCAGTGCATGTGGAAGCGCGTGAGCTGGAGTCTAGATCACACATCTCTTCCTTTTGACCAGACCTATCGGATCGGCAGCCTTTCACGAAATCGTGGTGGCTTGCTAGCCATATGCCACAACTGGTTGGACAGCCGCGCTGCACCGGTGCAGTACGACAATGAGATCAGCCTCCGTGAGGTAGATACGGGTCCTAGGGCGAAGCATCGAACATGTGTCCGGAACGGCTTCATGAGATCTCACTCACTTGGACCGCATCTCGAGAGAAGTGCACATGGGCATAACATTTACGTTTGCGCGATGCTGCAGGGCTAGATCGATAGCGCTGCATGGCACGACAGCAATGGCTGTTTTTGCAGCCTTGCGGTTCTGTAAGTGTTCCGCGGGCGTGTAGGTTCTACAGCCTTGCGCCTCGCAAGACTCTCGGTCGTTGTATCTTTCCCCTCTCCAATCTCTTTCTCCTCACATCTCTCTCCAAAATCCCGCTCGTCAACAGGCCCATTATATCGCCTTAGCGAACCAGAGGAGATGGATGCGAAAAAGAGAAAGCATTCGCTGCTCACGAGTGCGGCGCCTATGTATGCATCCCTCCTAGCTGGGGTCATACTGGCGGCTGGCCACCACATCTTCTACGCCCATCTTGCAGGCACCAATGCTCCCACCGGATCCTACACGATCGGCGGAAGCGATGTACCTAAGCAAAGGTTCAATACTGCCGTTGGCACTTTATTCGCCTTTCTCGTCAAAGCAGCATTGGCTGTCGCCGTCTGGATCGCATATACGCAGCTATTCTGGAGATCAATCAGGACTTCTACCAAGGGAGAGTCTCTGACGACCCTTGACACCATCTTCTCGGTATCACAGGATTTCCGATCTCTGTCCAAAGCTCGTGTATGGCTTAGGTACCCTGTAATGCTCCTGTTGGCTGTAATTGCATGGTGAGGTTATTGCGATATTGGCAGCTGGATCCTGCGACTGACATGTCCGGGCCAGGTCGATACCCATAGCCGCGATTATTACCCCAGCTACTCTGTCAGTCCAGAGCGCTGTTACTAGGACACAGGCTCTGCACAAAGTTCCGAAGTTCGACTTCACAACCTTCAACTTCCCATCTCCGCCCACGCTTCCTGATTACTCAGGATCATTGTCATACCTTTATCTCAACGAAGAAGATTTCTACACCTACTCCTACCGTGGGCCCTCCCGGGTCGTGGAGCGCATTTCCAATGCGGTAGCTGCGTAAGGCGAAATCCTTGACATCAAATCTCCAGCACTGAATGCGACCTGGGAAATTGACTTTTACGGTACTGCTGCACCTAAAGCTGAGCCAAGCAAGTTTACTAATGTCTTCTGCAGGTCCCGACCTTCGCTGCGACACAGTCTCCGCAGAAAAGCACCACAAGCTCTCAAGGAACATATGGGAGTTCTACTACGAGAATTACGACAACTGTTTAAACTCGTGGAGTTACATGGCCTGGGTCCCCCAAGGAGATCGATACGTCCCTTTCGCCAATACCTCACGCGCGACCAACCGCACCGCGACCAATGGGACAAACGGCTCCAGCACCGCGACGATTTTACCACCTCCAATGCTTGGAGACCATCTGTCGTTCGGCAGGCCTGCGACCCTCATGTTGGCGGTAATGCCGGGACTGTTCTCCAACTCGGTGGAGATGCCGAGTCACATCATACCGGCCGGCTGCGCCTGGCAGTCGAGTTCGTATTCAGGGTTCTCGGAGGTAGTCCTGTCGGACGCCACATTCATCGAGTGCCAGGTCTTCAACACTTCTCTGTCCGCGAAGTTCGAGTATGTCAACGGAGGTCAACAGGTCGTTGTAACACGCAACCAGAAACCAGACGATCTACCTTTGTTGCCTATTGAGCAGGTGACAGGTCCCATGAACCCAACCAATGGAGGGAACGACTTCCAGATTGGTCTCGACGAGATAAAAAATGCATCATGCAGTACTTTGAACTTGTCTGGAGAGCAATGTCTCTTTCAGCCAGAAGTACTTCGGGTCTGGTCCTACCAGGCAGTTGTAGATGCTTTCAACCGATTAGTTCAAGGCACCATAGGACTGGATACCAGTTCTATATCGCCCGGCATCGACCCACAAACCAATCTTCTCGGCACCATTTTGCAGAACAGCAACGAGCTAGCGTTCCTCCAGGGTTACGACATTAGAGCAGACTCCACCATACCTTCGTTATCCGCTTTAGTGGACGCATCTCTCGGTAGCGAGTACGAAGGCCTCTTCAACAACGCCACCATCTTGGACCACCTTCCCCTGGCCACAGCGTTGGAAAAGCTGTTCCAAAACATCACAATAAGTCTCCTGAGTGACAAGATCCTGCAGTAAGTCTCTCTCTTCCTCTAAATCACCACTCCAGCAGCTGACAAGCCCACCTCGCAGGCCGAACCCAACTTCAGCCTACGCACCCCCTCTCGAAGCAGACGTAACAACAACAAGAACCCACAATATCTACATCTACGCAGCACGAACGCTCTGGCTAGCCTACGGTATCGCCATCGCATTTACACTCCTCTCCGTCGTCGCTGGCACGGTCGCTCTCGTACTGAACGGCGCCTCTTTCAGCAACGACTTCTCGACTATCGTCCGCGTGAGCCGCGTAGCGATGCTCAGCGAAGAGGTCACCCAGAGTGACGGTGACGGAACTGAGCCTCTGCCGAGACATTTGAAGGACTCGAGGCTGTCGATGAAGCGAGCGCAGGAGGGTAAGGGTGTGCTGTTAGAGTCTGTTCCATGGGGAGAGGGAAAGCATATGGCTCAGGAGACGTATATGCTGACGACTCGTGGGGGTGAATCTCGTGCTGGAGGTTCCTGGTTCACATGACGCTTTGCGCGGAGTTGATAGAATCAATACATGTAGATTTTGACAAAAGCCAACTTTTCCTCGGCCTGACCGCGCAGTCAAAGCTTCTCTACCTCCTGGCAAATCCCATGGAAGTAATGTTATGGAGCACCGAGTCATGAAGTGCGGAACAAGCGTTCCCACGCGATCAACCCTGCTGACATGGTGTGGGGTCCGAATCGATTCCTACGGACATTTCGGGTCTTCGAACATTGAACGCTGACAAACTTTCGCTCCTCCTTCGAGTTTACCAGCGGCGAGGCGATGTCTAGTTTGCAGAGGAGGTAGGATATATATCAAACTGCTCGACCACTCGATCAGGTCTCCAGAAAAGCGAACGACAACCCTTCGGTTTCGACGCTTGAATCACCACCAGCACAAGTCTCGTACCACAACAACCAAAAGGCCCAACCATGTCCCTCCTAACCCCCGGCCGCATTCTCATAACCCTCGCCAACCTCTCCTACAGCGTCGGCGCCTTTCTGGCTGACTGGTAATAACCTCTTGGACACCACCTTTTCAGTTCGATGACTTTCGCTGACCCTTTTGCCTTAATGTTCGTAGGTCGGAGACACATGTCCTCAATCCCCGCTGGTAAGTATATTGAGTTGGAACATGTCGCTGCTCCCTCTTACACCTGAACGCCTCCGAGTGCTTGGCCGGCCGAAACGATCTCTATGGGTCATGTCACGGCGCTGTACCCTCCCCCAATACAGCAAGCTGACTAAGCTAACGTCTTTCGCGAAAACCAGGCCGCCGCATGCGCGCTTCCACAACGGCCAGACAATGTCCCTCGGCGTCTGCCTCGCCGCGAGTTCGATCTGGTTCATGATCCGGCCTGGCCTCACCTCCAACTCCTCAGGCAAGGGCGCCACCGTCGCCGAGGCAAAGCGAGGTGTCTTTGATGCGGCGCTGGTGGGGAGTTTCTACTGTACGGCGGGGATGTGTGCGATCTTGTACCCGGGGACAGATTGGACCGACCCGGAGTTTGGCGTGGGTGGCGAACAGAAGTTGTTATTTCCTGGTATCGTTGCGGCGATGTGGGTGGGTTATGCGCTGGAGATGTGGAGGCTGGGAGATGGAAAGGGGAAGGGGGCGTAGGTGGGAGCGCAGCCAGGTCACCAACGAAGCCGGCAAGGGGTTCTAGTAACGAGGCTCGAGGACGAACATTCACAGCGAAGTGATGAAACGACTGCGAGAATGCGGAAAGCTTTTCGATACTCATATCTCGTTCCCATCCCCGCTTCTCATCCGAGAGAGCAGCTGCTTGCATGTGATGCCAACGCAAAAAGCCGCTCTACATACACGTAAGAAAATGGTATAGCGCTATGCAAAATAGCAAGTCATCAGAAAGCCATTCCAACAATGGCACTAAACAACTGACGGGTTAGCCTCTGCCGTGTTAAGCAATCGCTGGCTGCCGGGCAGTCGTCAAAGTTCCTTCGCTTCGTGGAGAGATGTTTGGTGGTGTCGGTCGGTGGTCAGGGATGTGATGTGACGTGATGTGAGGCGAGTAGTGAGTCGAGTGAGATCGTATCGTCGTAAGAGAAGTGCTTTTGTTGTGGTGGTCCGGGATTATGGGTTACTGCTGCCATCGGAAGGCATGAGTCGTAATAGAGTCGTAAGATGTCGAGAAGGAGAGTCGAGCTTGAGTGAGAGAGAGGGCAAGTCGCATGAGAGGTCTGGCCAGGAGAAATCGTGGTCAGGAGTGCTGGGAGAGTTTTTTCAAGCACCGAAAAGAACTGGCGGGATCGTGCGGGTTGGGGAGTGTTGTGCACCGAAGTTGAACCCGTAGCCGCGAGCGCTCTATGCAGCGGCTTCGGGGATCTGGCTGCGCCGCATCTTCTCGGCCTCCAAGTTCTCATAGAGGAGGTACAGAGCCTTCTCGTTCGCGCTGGGGCCTCCGGTAATAGTGAACATGCGCTCGCCAGTCTCATCATGAGGCGCCTTGGCGATCGAGATCCGAGCACCGGACGACTTGCGGATCTCGGAGATCTTGCTGCCGCCGCGGCCGATGATGCAGCCAACCATATCAGCGGGGATGCTGATGTTCTGGGTCTGAATGTCCTCGCCTTCCTCGACGACAGGTGGAGGACCGGACTCGGCGCCGATGCTGCGACGCGGTGCGTAGGAGGGAGCTCCGGTGAAGTCGGCGCCATTGCCAGTGCGATTGAAGCTGCGAGGAGCACCATATCCAGCATTGCCGTTGAGCGGTGGAGCGCCGGGAGCGCCGCCTTGAACGCGGACAGCCGGGCTGTACAACACAGTGCCGTAGCCACGCTGCTCGTCATCGATGAGACACTTGCCAATCTCCCAGACAGCCTTCTGAATACCGTCCGGAGTGCCTTGGACCTCCACAATGCGCTCGGTGGACTGCGGCAGCATCTCCTTCTGGGCGACCATGCGGACTCCAGAGGCATCCTGAATCTGCTTGATCTTCTGACCTTGGCGGCCAATGATGGTGCCCATCTGGTTGTGCGAGATGAGGAGTCGGATCGCTGCATATAGTTAGCAGTTGTGCTTGCCGCCATTGAAATTGGAAACATACGATGCGTGTTAGGACTCGCCACCACACCCCCCATGCCCATCTGCGGCGCTCCCTTCACAAGCCCATCCGCCACAAGCCCGTAAGCCTCCGAGATGCCCGTCAAGTGACCCGTGACTGTCAAGACGCGGTCATGCACCCCCGGCACGACCTTGCTAACTCCAGCGCGCACCCCAGTCTTGTCACGAAGGTCGGCAACATTCTGCCCGGCCTTGCCGATGATCACGCCGGCTTCCTTGGACGTGACGATAGCACGCAGGGTGAGCTGCGACTGCGCATATTCCTCCTCGGTACGGGGCTGGTCATCCATGCCCATGCCGCCGAGCTTATCGCCAAGCTGGTCGACGCCCGAGTCCGCGCCTGGGGAGAGGTCTTCGGCAGACATTGTAGGTGAGTGATGAGGGTGAATTGGTTGGGTTAAGAGGGTCGTTCAGGTTCGAGGGTGGCGATCTCAGGGTGAGGTCGAGAAGGCTCGAGGTGAAGGATTGGTGTGGTCAGAGGAGCTGCTGTATAGTGCTTCAATTAGCCATGAGTGTGCAGAGGTGGGGTATGCACGTACGTAGAGGGATGATGAGGTGTCTGGAATTGACGGGGCGGTGGAGGGAGGAGCGGGTGGGAAGGAGGATGAGTGGTGTGGGCGAAGAGGCAGGATGTTGTTGTTATCTGTGTCAGTGCATAAGAGAAAAGGTGAGGTCGGGAAGAAGAATGGGAAAGAGTTGCTGGTTTTGTTGATCGCCTGCCAGACTCGCGAATTTGTGACAGGGAAGCTTCACCTGCCGGCGGTGGGCCTCTCCTTCCGAAAACCGTGCCAATCATGTGAAAGCACATCTGCAGGGCAGCTGTTGAGGAAGGACTGGAGAATTTCAAGTGCAATCACGAGTTCATGTATCAATTGATTAATCGTCATGCTTCGACATGTGCGCTGCCAAACCTCTACTCGTACTTGAACGGCCCATTCTCCTTCGCCCACTGCTCATACGAGCTCAACTCAGCGTCCTTCAGCAGGAACTTATCATGATCGCCTTGCGACTTCTCCGCTTCCTTGCCGTAGTAATTCCACCCCCCAATGAGCTGCATCGTTTCCGACAGCTCTTCGCCAACGACCTCTCCCATCGCCTGTTGCATAATGCTCGTGAATACGTTGCCCGGTAGAGCGTTGAAAGCGACGTCGCGGTTTGCGTTCTTCGTGATCGCAGCCACCACTTCCTTCGGGGTCGTCCATGTGCTGACAGCATTTACAAAGGCACCATTGGCGCTCTCTCCAGCTTCGAAGGCTCCCATGACCCATTTGCCGTAGTCGCGGCGTGGGAAGATGAGCGGCCATGCAATCGAGTCGGAGGGGAATGGCATGCTGAGCGCTGCTTGGCCTTCGTGGACTCGTGTCATTCGAGTCAAGGAGTCTCCGAACATGGCTATGTAGCATCACATTAGTAACAATTCGTCAAAACGATGAGTGGTGTGCAAGACCTACCAGGCATGACATGAGACACCCACATGGCCCCCTTATTAGCCTCAGCATACTCCGCCACAATTGCCTTCGAGTCGAAATGTTCCACATGCTTCAACGCTCCCTCCGTGAGCTTTTCAGCGTACGGCAGCGCGCTCCAGACTAGGTGCTTCACCCCAGCCTCCTTCGATGCCTCGAATATGTTCTTGCCCTGCTTGATCTCACGTTCCTTGTCCATGATGCTCCAAAAGTCCGTGACGCCGAAGACGCCGTATGAGCCCTTCACGGCGGCCTTGACAGCCTCGAGATCGTCAACGTCGGCCTTGACCATTTCAACGCCTTTCTCGTTCAGAGCTTTGGATTTGTCGGACTCTGGGTCGCGAGTGATGCCACGGAGGCTGTATCTGTCTTGGAGGTCTGGACGGCTGAGAACGACATCGAGCACTGAGCCGCCTTGGTTGCCTGTGGCGCCGAAGACGGTGATGAGTTTCTTTGATGACATTGTTGCTGTGGTAGAAGCTGGGCGCTGTGGTCGACGTGTGGGAAGTTTTGTAAAGCTATTCTTCAGTGCGTTCATATATTGGGAGTCGATGTAGACTGTATTGTTCGGTGAAGCTGTGAAGCTGCTTGGTTGCTGAGAGAACTGATGGATAGGAGTGAAAGTTGCGAAGAGACACCTACTCACTATATACTTACTCTGCACATGCAAACTTCTTACCTAACCATCGCGTTCGTTATGCCCAGAAGCAAACACAGCGAAGAGAAGTTGGAGCCCTCGTCAATACCTCCGCAGGATTATTACGGAAGCATTGGAGAGCTGAGAAGCTCCCAGCTATGTCCTGAATTATTAGCTCCGGTTGGACAACTTAGTCACAAGCGCAAGCCACCAAGCTGGAGACCACAAGGTCCGGAGTTGTGGTATGTCGTTCTAGGCAAAGTGGTGTTGTGAGTGGCGTCCGGGTGTATTTGTCGTCCGGCTTTCTTGCAACCAACAAAGCCGGGCGCGAAAAACCGAGTGCTACTGATCACAGCGGCAGCGGACGTAGGTTGGTTGAAGATAACGCGACGTTTGTCAGAAATTCGTTATATGAATGGCCTTTGCGAGAGTCGATGAGGAGCGGATGGACAAGAGATGGTTCGTGAGGGCAAAGGAAATAGACGTTCTCGCGAGCTGAGGTGGGCTTTTGGGGGCTGGCCAGTGCTCATTCACGTCAGACGATGACGATTCAGGTTCAAGGCCTGAAGGACAATCACACGCAACGTGGACGACTGAAAGCTAGAGCAAGTTCAAGACTGCAGTTGTTCATCAAAGGACCTACTGCTCGGCCAGCCGGACAGCGTCCATATTCACATCCTTCCCCTGCCACGACCCATCCTTCACCCTCTGACACGTCTTCTCAAGCATCTTCGCGGCATGCATAAAATCGTCCTTCGTAAGATACACCTGCGCGCTCAACCGCACCCACCAGTTGCCACCATACGAGTACACATACACTGCAGTCTCGTTCTCTTCAATCATATGTCGCATCATCCATGCCGTGATCTTCTCCACCTTGACAGAGTCTCCTCCAGTAATGCCATCGACTGACAGCGGCAACCGCACGTTGGTGAGACTGCAGTTCCCAAGCGTCCTCTCGTCGTTCTCTAGGACCTCTGTACCGAGATACTTCGCCACAGCTGCTCCGCCTTCTCGAGCAAGGTAAGGGAGATACGCCTTGACAGCTTCATCCCCCTTCTTGTCACCCCACATGAGTCTTTTCCGCCAATTCAAGGCCGCAGGAACGCAAATGTAAGGTGTGTTATCCAAGGTTCCAGTGTCCGAGAAGTTGTTGGCGAACGATGCGCCATAACCAAAACTTGTGGGTAACGTCGTTTTCATTATGTGGTGGTTGCGTTCCGGCACATAGAGAACGGCGCACCCGCGAGGAACGTATCCCCACTTGTGAAGGTTCGAGACGAAGAAGTCCGGATCGAGTGCGTTCAGGTCCAAGGGTATTTGGCCGGCGCTGTGTGCGCCGTCGATTAACGCGAGTACGTTGTTGGATCTGCAGATTGCCGTGAGACGCTCGAATGGCATCCGTGCACCAGGAATTGAAGAGATGGTGTCGAAGAGGGCGACTTTGGGCCTCTTGTTCTGCGACTTGATCGCATTGATGGTGTTCTCTAACATCTCACAGACATGATCGTCAGATACCGGCAGCGTGTAATCGATCTGGCGGAATTCGAGAGGACTTCGTTTCGAGAGATAGTCCATCGTGTTGGCGAACGCAGGGTAGACGTCTGGGAAGCAGATCATCACTTCCCCTTCCTCAAACACCAGGTTTCGAAGGACAGTCTCCACGCCTGTCGTCGCATTTGGAACAAGAGCACATGAGTTGGGTGGAATCCCAAGGTAGTCTGCGATAGCGGCTCTGGACTTGTCGAGCAGACCAGTCCGGTATTCATGGCGGATGAAATTGTCAGGACGGGCTTCTACTCTTTCCTGAAAGTCCCGAAGGACAGAGCGGACCTCCTTGGGATACGTGCCGTAGGAGCCTTCTGGGGTGTTAGCTCTGACTTTACAGCCGATTCATTATTCATTTGGGGGCATACCGTGGTTCAGGTTTCTGTAGCCATCGGCAAAAGCGAAGTGTTTTGCTGCGTCCGCACCGCATTGAAGGGGCGAGTCATCTGCCTCGTCGGCTCTGGAGCCCATGATGCCCAATTGTGCTCAATGGGTCAAGTAGAAGTACGGAACAGCAATGATGGCCTAGGTGAGTGTAAAGAAACCGCTTGATATCACCAAATGACTCACGCGGGAAGGGTCAGTAGTATCCTGGCGGCTGAGAGAGCAGCTCAGAGTACGATAGCAAGACCCACCATACTAACGTCAATGAAGGTATGGCTGGATGTTGATGGTGACTAACGGCAAAAGAATGGCTGGAGCTGATGAATTCTGGTCAGCTGTTGCCGCTTCCTCCCTCTCGCCGCTTTGATACTGCCATGAGCTGCCTCGCTACTGTGGGTATGGCCATGGCCTGCTCAATGGCAGCGAGAGAAGAAGTGGACATGTGTGGGTGGTTGTCGCAAGGCACGTGAAGTCAAGATGTCCCCGTCACCGCCCAGACATCCTCCTTGTTTCGAAGACCGATTTGTCCTCCGTCTCTACGAATACATAGGTAGTTACCTTTACCACGCTCAATCCATCGTAATGCTGAGATAGCCGCGACGCGTGTATTTTCCGATGAATGTCGCATCGCGGCGATACGAGCCAAACGAAGGTATGACGACTTGAGGTAGGAGCAGGATCAGTATATGTCATCTACTCGAGCTGGTCTACGTCTTCACTTCTTGCACTCATTCCATTACCTCCCCTCTCCTTCACCATACCCCAAGCATGGCCACATCAGCAGGCCTAGGCCCCCTTATCCGCCTGCGCAACCTCTCACCCTCCAGTCTCCCATCGCACCCCTCCCTCAAAGATGCCAACGACACCTCAATAATCTCCTTCGCCGCGTCCGCTCTAGCCGAAGCCAACATCTTCATGACGGGCTACGCTCCTGCGAATTTCGACGTCAAATCTATCGAAAAGCACTCCGCGCCCGCTACTGCCGCCGTCGAGCTCTCCGCCAAAGACATCCCGGCCTCCGCCTTGCCCAAAGACAGCGGTGTCCCGAGCGAAGTGACCGAGAACTGGTTCGCGCGGAAGTCGACCCACGACAACAAGGCGGAGAAAGGCACGGGGACTTGGGAGGAATTCGACTTTGCGCTGAGGGTGGACCATAGTCAGCACGAGAAGGACTATACGCCTGATGTTCTGGATGCGCATGAAGTGCTGAACTGGGACGAGCAGCTCGAGAGCAGCGGGAGGAGAGTTGAGGGCGGGTGGGAAGATGTACATGCTGGGGTATATGAGATGTGTCATAAGATACCGCCGCCATTGAACAATCGAGTCTTTTCTGTTCTGGTGATTACGGGGAAGAAGGAGAAGGAGTTTCTGGTGGTGCAAATACCTGTTGGGACGCAAGGGCTGCCGGGGGTAAAGTATCGTGATGATTCGAAGGTTACGGCTGGGATCTATTGCAGTATCGAGAGGGGTGAGCTGCTGGAGGAAGGGTCGAAGGTGGTGTGGCAGATGGCAACGGCTAGTGATGCGAAGGGTGTACTGCCGATGTGGGCGCAGAAGATGGGAGTACCTGGGGCGGTTGTGAAGGACGTTGGATTGGTGGTTGGGTGGCTTGATGAGCAGAGAGGGAAGGGGAAGGTGTAAGATCATGATATGCCTATAAAAGTAACGGATACGCCTCATGCGCCATCGCTGAAGTTCATTCTCATGATGCCTTTTCCTATAGGCATGTAAGCCCCAGGTCGTCACAAGAGTGTGTACATTCAAGCATCCACCTCCATCTCCTCGTCCTCGTCCACCGTCCCGTCCCTCCTCAACTTCTGCTTCCTCTTCGTCTTCATCTTTCCCTTCTGCTTCTCCTCCAGCACCTCCTCCTCGACCTCCATCGCCTCCGGCTCCGCCAGCACCTTCTCGACCTGGTCCCGGTATTGCGGCGGAAGCAAATGCTGATTCTCCTCCACCAGTTTCCGATCCTTCTCAATCTCCTTCTCCTTAACCCCCTCCATCCGCTTCCTATAGAAAGCCCTCTCCCTCCGTCTCCGCACCTCCTCTACCCTCTCCATCGCCAGCAGAGTCTTCGCCACCAGCTCACGGTTATACCGCACAGGAATGTTGCGCCGTTGCTGGAACTGTAGGGTCGAGTCGACGGTCATTTCTTTCCCGTGCGCACGGCGGAAGGCTTTTGTCCACCCGAGCTTGCGCGGGTTGCGCTTCATTTTGAAGTTGGCGTGGCATTTGCTGCGGCAGAAGCGGAAGGATTTGGCGTCGTTGCGCACGAAGGTGATGCCTTTGCTGGGGTAGCAGGGGCGGGAGCAGAAGTGGCAGGTTTCGATTCTGTTATGTTTCGTTAGCTATCAATACGAGCGACTCTTGGTGTATAAATACCTCATGGTTGCGGTGGCTCCTCGGCGGACTTGGGTGTGCTGTCGTTGGTGTCGTCGAGAGTGAGAAAAGTTCGTATCTTATCGGCTCTCGGTCTCGCTTTCGCTTAGCCTCCTTCGCTGAAAGAGGCAGCTCAACTTTGCGGCGAACATCGACACTCCCGGGAGACGAAGCAGAGGATACAGTCCTTTGGCCTCATCCTTTCGATTAACAACCCTTCTACCTACATCCATACCACCTCACGACCCTTACCGCACAACCCCGATGGCCACCGCGATCGCAGTAGGCGTAGGCGTCGCCGCAGCAGCATTCTTCGTACGATTGCCCCCGACCAATCTAGCCACCCAACGCCATCTAATTCCCAACACAGGGCCGCGCAGGCTTAGTAGCACTCCGAAGATATCGAGGCGGCACCAACGCAATCGGCCGCGCATTCTATAAAGGCGGCTTCGAGCAGAAGATGAACCGGCGGGAGGCGGCGTTGATACTCGAGACGCAGTAGGTCACACCACCCTAACGAGAGCGTGGTCGATGCGAGGAGACAGCGCTGATGAGGCTTTTGTGACAGGGAGCGAGGTATAACGAAAGAGAATATCCGCAAGAAGCACCGCCAGCTCATGATCCGAAACCATCCCGATCGAGGCGGAAGCCCATACCTTGCGACGAAGATCAACGAGGCGAAAGAATTTCTGGAGAAGGGCGCTGCATGAGACCGACTAGTTGTGTTTGTGAGGGCTCTTTAGCGACGGCGTTGGGGAGCATGTACAGCGGACTTTGTACGGCATACTGTGAGCGACTATCACCACTCAAAACATTTCTACCGGACAACAACCTGTCGATGCGCCGAGTCACCATCATACATGTCTACGGGCCTATCTGGACTTCGCTTGTCCCTCGCTGTTCCTGCCAGCCTGTACGATAGAGGTTGGAGGGCACTGTTCACGCTCGGGACACCAAGATTATGGTAGGTGGTAACTAGAGGTAAGATTCTAACCAGTATCCTAAAAGTTGAATAGGTAGGTGCTCATCGCTTCCAAAACTTCAAGCACTTTCAGAAGCGCCAGTGGCACAAACAGGATCGGCTTCCAACGCCCCAGAATGCCCGCTCTAGTAGCAACGCAAAAGCAAATTTTAGCCTATCCAACACACTGAACTCATCTGGTCCTCCTCGAACGCCATTCGGCGGTCCGAAGGCTCGGGTCCGCAGCTAAGGCCGTCTCTTTGAATCAGCTCATCCAAGATTACCGCTCGTTCATCGACATGTCGTCCGTCGGTCGTTTGGTCGTCTGCAGTCCTGTCTATTCCAGATCACCAACACACGCTCATAGGACGAACCGCACATGTCGCGGCGACCGCGGCGACGCAGTCTCGCCCTCATCGTCCGACCTCGGCTCATAGGCCGGCGGCGGCGTCCTTGCTCTGACAGCAGTCTCGTAAGTCGGCGGTGCCTCAACGACTCCCTCCGTCACAGTTCTCCTAGCATGCCGTGGTCTGCGCGCAGAATATGGGTTCTCTCCAGTCGCGTTGGGCTCATCGAACTGCCGCGCCCACAGACTGACACTCGGTGTGCTGCCCACTGGCGCAACAGCTGCAACCATTCCACTGGACCCTGCCGCAACCTCCCCCATGGTCGAGCTCCCCTCGCCAACCAACGTCCTCCTCTCCTCCCTCGCAGCGTCCTCAGCCTCTAACCTCGCTTCCTCGGCCTTATCAGTGGATTCGTTGGAGCTGGTACTCTCGTTACTGCCCCTTCTTCTGCGGCAGAATTCCGTGATCCACCTGTCTCGCTCGCGCTCCTCCATCACAAGGAAGCGCACCCATTCGCTCGAGGACAGCTCGTCGGGCTCGATGTCGCGCATGCGGAGTTGCGATGCGGCGAGGTGACGGCGGGCGATGGAGAGGGGCCGATTGGTGATGGCTTCCACTTGTAGAGCGCCAAATCCACCGGTGCGGATCTGGGGGGTGTTGTACATCGCTGGTCGCGGAGGGCGGACTCGGGTCGGCATCATTGCGGCTGTGATGTTTGAAGTTCGGGGTATGGCGTGCCGAGTGTATATGTGCCAATTGACTGACGCTCCAGAGTAGTCAAGCGGATGAGTGAAGGGTTCAGGTGTTGATAGTAACAGCAACTCTACAAAACCAGACCTGCTCGTGTGCTTGCTTGGTGAGCACCGAAAGAGGACCTTACGTGACGCCGAGCCAGATCGTCACGGATAATTCGCACGCAGCAATGCTCGGCGGCTCTCTGCTAACCACTGCGCCTCGTAGGATTCAAGGTATCGGGCGGCCCAGACGCAGGGCTCTCCACCTGAGGTGTGCCGCGCTACTGCACCACGTGCTGCAATCGGGAACGCCTCGCGTGTGCTGGCTGTTGAGGTTGATGCTTAGGTGGTTCGGTAGATGGAAAGGCGTGAGAAGAATGATATTTGTTCGGGGTATCTGGTACCGGTGTTAGGTGGTGAGGTATACTCTGTTGTTAAAGTCACTCGTGACGTTGTAGAGTCGAGATGGAAGTGGGGCTGACAGGTGGGGTTGAGGATGATGATATGCCTTGGCGGAACGGTAGAGACCTGACGACAAACGGCGTTAAGAGGACGCAATATCAGGTACGGATAGAGACTGCAAAGCCAAATACACTACTAGAGCCACTTAAGACGTCTCGCGAGCGAGAACACCGCGGCCTGAACGCAAGAATAAACTGGTCGACCTTCGGGTGCGGTCATGCCAATACAATCGGCATCTTGGCGGTACCCAGTATCGACAACAGTACCGGTTTTGACGCCGGCCGCTCCGTGAGGATGTCTGTCGGTGCATTTATGACGAGGGTGAGTAGCATGTGAAAGCTGGAAGTACCGCATTGGGAAGGAGCAGATCTGGCCTTCCTTCAAAGCCTCGCCAACGGCCCATCGCTCCTCACGACTCCCAAACATGCTGGAGTAATGTCCTTGATGCTGTTGCAGCCACATAACTGCATGCACCTCTTGAACTCCTGGTGGAACGTTTCGAGCATCAACTCCACCCCTTCTCGTCCAGAATGAGACAGCCCCCAGAAGATGGGTCTCCCTACCCAGCAGAACTCTGCCCCAAGTGCAACCGCCTTGAACATGTCTGTTCCTGACCGAATGCCGCCGTCAACGTGCACTCGTATCCGCCCTGCTGCGGCTGCCACACACTCTGGTAGTGCATCGATTGTTGCTGGAACTCCATCTAGCTGCCGTCCACCATGATTGCTCACCACGATCCCATCACAGCCCATCCCTACCGCCATCAGCGTGTCTTCTGCGGTGACGACACCCTTTATCCAGATCTCCATCTTGGTAATACTCCGTAACCAAGGCACCTCGCGAGCCCAGCTGTGCGCATCATCCGTGAGATTGGCAAAGCTATCGTCATGCGTCTGCTTACGGATCTTCTCGGTATCCCAGCCGTAGATCGGGAAGCCCAGTCCATCCGGAGTGCGGAAATCGTTGCGCCATTCGTTGTAGCGGACGCCAAGAACGGGCGAGTCCGCAGTGAGGAAGATGGCAGTGCAGCCTTGGGCTTCTGCTTCGCGGATTATGCTCGCTTCGAGGTCGCGGTTCTTCAGCGTGTACATCTGCATTGCGTGCTTGATGGGACCAGCGCTGAGGCCGGCAGAGCGGACCTCGTTGATAGGGTAGTTGGCGAAGCTAGAGATGGCCATAGGAACGCCTTTGCTGGAGCAGGCCCGAGACGTTGCTAGCTCGCCGTCCGGGTGGGCGAGGCCTTGGATGCCAGCTGGTGAGCAGCCGAGAGGGAAGGACATGCGTTGGCCGAAGCAAGTTGTCGATGTATCGGCCTTGCAGACATCTATAAGAACGCGACTTCGGACGCGGTATTTGTTGTAGGCTGTTGTGTTCTCGTGGATAGTAAGCTGGTCGGTGGAACCAGAGTTGATGAAGTCTTCGAGAGCCGTATTAGTTGATTTCTTCGCTTGTCTTTGGACCTCTCTGTGGAGGAGATGGCGATAGAAGCACGGTACGGCAGCAGGACACTCTTACCTGCGACTCCTCTCGGCATCTTCTTCAACGCAGCCCTTCTCAAGTCCTCAACACACAGTATTGCATCCTCTGGATTCCGGGTCGGAATAGGCGCCGGCACGCCGCCCATGGTGCTCTTCTCCTTCACAAAAGACGAGATGAAACAAGAGGGAATGCACAATGGAGCCAATGAAAGACAATACTTTACCACTTTTCCCTTGTGAAGATACGGCTGATGAAGCGTACAGGTGTATGACCTCGCTGTCAGGGCAAGCTCGAATAGCCGCAGACTAGTAGAGCAGAGCTGCATGCCGATAAGGGAGGTCGCTGTGCGGCTGTAATGAGGCCGCCATGTCTTGAAGGCACTTGTCTCGTGGAATGAGTCGTCCTTGATGCCGTCGAATACCTCCTACCACTCAAGCTCCTCATGGGGGCAAATATTTGGGTGCTGTCGCAGGGGGAACAGGGGATTGAGAGACAAAGAGTCCTCTAATGATTTCAATGGGGTCTTCGGGCCCGTGAAATAGGCAGCCAATGGGGCCGCATTTGATGAGCAACGAACTTGGCTATTTCTGGCCGGTCCCTGAGCAAAAGCGAGAGCTGGAGTTGTTGGAGAGCCGTCAGGCGCGATCCGTGCTTCAAAGCAACCAGACACTTTTCCACTCCATCCCATCTCATCCCCTCCTTCGCCTCAACCACCACCGCTAGCACATATACCATCCAAGCACAGTCTCTAGAGACCACGCCGCAACAATGGCACCAATGCAAGCCCCCCTCCTCCCCCACCAAACCAACTCCAACTAACATTTTCCCCAAGGAAACCCATCCACCCCGCCGCCGTCCACTTCCCCATCGCCTTCCTCGCCCTGGCCTTCGGCCTCGACATCCTGCACACCCTCTCCGGCTCCCTCCCCTCCACCATCACCAAATCCCTGCCCCCACCCACCGACCTCACCCGCGCCAGCTACCACCTCCTCTCCCTCGGCCTCATCACCGCCGTGCCCGCCCTTGTGACCGGCGTCCGCGAGGCCGTCGTCCTCATCGCCAAGCAGGGCATGTACGAGACCGACGCCTCGGGCTACGGCGTCACGATGCGGACGAAAGTGAAAGCGCTCATTGCGCACGCAGTGGCGAATGATTTGGTGATGGGGCTGAGTTTGTTGGTCTGGTATAAGAAGAGGGCGAATGCGAGCGAGACTATGTTGGGGAAGATGGGAGTGGGGAGTCTGGGGACAGGGGAGGCGACGTACCAGCCGGCGACGTGGATGGTGGTTTTGGAGGGGTTGTTGTTTGCGGGGCTGATGATGGCGGCGAATATTGGAGGGAGTCTGACTTATATTTTTGGGATCGGGTTTGCGGCGGGTGGTGGAGGGGCGAGCAAGAAGAAGGCGTAGATGGAGTTGGTGACAGGTGTGGGTGATATGGAAGTGGTGAAGGTGTAGCAGTGTGTTCGTGGTGCAGTCGCGGAGGCGCAAAGGTGGAGGGATATAGGACTCGACCGGTTGAAGACTTGGTAAATTTAGAGGCAGCGAGGAATGTTGGTTAACTGTGATCGAATCGAAGCGCTTTGGATTAGATGAGGTTCGTCAAAAGCTATCTGAACTGTGAGCACAGCATTTCCCATCCTTCGTCCACCCGGCCTGTCCATGAGACCTTTTTCATGCTCTCCTCATCGCCTGATGCGCCTTCGTTGAAACCACCCACAACACCATGCACAAACGCGTAGCCAACCTCCTCAACACCCTCGCTACCACGCACCATCGTCGGCTGCGAATGCAGTCATACCCGCAGTCCACCCCGACCTACCAGGCCTGCCACCCAGCGGAAGCTCCTTCAACGCCGCCTCCAACTGCTTCGCAAGCTCCTTGTTCTTCGCCTTAAAATCCGCCGGCTTGGTGACCTTCGTCTGCACCTCGGAGCCTTCGCCAGCAGTCCCCAGCCTCCTGCCCTTCCCACGACCGAGCGGCGCCTTGTCGTTGATCCACTGGCAGACCGTCTCAAGAATCTCCTCGTGCTTGTTCTCGAAATGCTTCTTCACTACCGGAGCCCACATATTGCTCTTGTCGACTGGCGGTGGCTCCGGCTTGATCCGTCGAGGGTTGACCATGGCGCCGGACTGATGTGTCGCGAGCGCCTGCTGGGCCTTCGCAAGGATGTGCTGAGATGCGAGGGCTTCCGTCTCAGCATACTTGAACCATCCGGTGTGCTTGGCGTTTGCTGCGGAGTCCATCTGCGCATTCTTATGAGAATCCGTCTCAGTGTGCTGGGCCTTCGCTTGGACGTCTACCTCAGCATGCTCGACATCACCCAGTCCAGTGTGCTTGGCCTTTGCTAGGGCGTCTAGGGCGCCCATGTGAGCAGACTTAAGATCATCCAGCCCAGTGTGCTGAGCCTTTGCCAGGGAGTCCATCTGAGCAGACTTAATAGCATCGATCTCAGTATGCTTGGCCTTCGCTAGAGCCTCCATCTCGGCATACATTTGTTGGTTCATGTCACCCATGTCATCCTGCTGCTTCTCCACATCGTCCTCGCTGTCTTCGGGAGCGTCTTCGATGTGAAGGCGGTGACGGTAACTGGCAGGCGTGACCGTGCGAGCGCCCTCCAACCACTCCAGCATGGCGTACTTGATGACCGCTGGGTAGAGGCCGCGATTGTAGTTCTTGCTCAGATCTGAGCCAACGTCGCGCTCGAAGCCGGGTTCGTTGCAGTGCGGCTCGTCGCAGAAGACCATGGCTTGGATGCTCACGAGGATCTGCAGAATCGTGCTCTGGCCGGGTGTCCATCGCTGGCCTTGCCAGGTGTTGAGGAGGGACAGACAGACCTTCCCGTCGGCGTAGAGGTTGGGGTTGAACCTCTGCTTTCCACCACCTGTGGTCTTGATGTGCATCTGCGGCGGTTCGTTCGGATAGTTGGCCGGACAGAAGAGATCGAACTCGAAAAGCCCGTTCTCGTATGGAGTGTCCTTGGGACCGACAATGAGCACCTTCATGACATCCAGGCGAGACTCACCATGGCGGACAAAGATACCAGGGGGCAGACTTGTCTGCATGCTGGTGATCTCCTTGATCAGATGGCGCATACGGCCGGTCTGTGTAGTCTTGCAGTTTTTGGCCGCCTTCGAGGAGTAGTGCACAGCGAGAATCTCTTCGTCGGGCACCTCAAGCACAGCGAGCTCTCTCTGCCACGCATCCTTGTCAACGGTCTCGGGCTCCTTCGCCTTGCCTTTAGCAGAGCGTCTCGGGGTGCTTTGCTGAAGTACCTCGCTGCAGTTGATGACGTTCGTGCAGAGAATGATGAGCTGCTGGGCCTCTTCCGTCTCAAACACCTCCTGATTCGCAGACGCATTTCGGAGCATCATATTGCTCTGGCTAGTGACGTTCGTCATGCTCTGGATGATGGGTGCAGCGGTGTCTGGCCGCTCGTTCTTCATGCGGGACGGCAGGCCGTACGATACCTTCAGCAAATCGTGGCCAGCCTTGTTGATTGTACGCTCAGAGTGAAGGATTTCGGCTGTCATGCGGCTACCAGTTGCCAGAACGCGGATGAGGTCGAGTAGGCTGCCGTACAGACCGCCTCGTTTTGTAGCGTCTTCGAGGGAGTCGTTCCGTAGCAGTTCGGCAGCTTTGTCAAGGATCGAGCTCCGTGACAGCATGGAAGATAGGTACCGCGGCGGATCAATGTCGAAGGCTGTCGGGAAGAGAGCTGTGCGCGAGGGCAGGATAGCAGCAAGGGCTGGCATCACCTGAGCGGTCAGTGCGTCGTCTGGATCAACAGTCCGACTGGTTGAGGTGTTCCGGCCGCGAGTGGGCGTTGCTGTTACAGTACCGTCGACCGAGACGCCAGTGCCCGTGAAAGCCGAAGCTTGTGGGTACTCGAAGTCATCGTCACCAAACCCGTCGTACATGTAATCATCGTCAGGAGCATAGCCCACGCCTCTCGCCATCGTGCCACCGCCATGTCCGCGACCACGATGGTGATGAGCTCCGTAGATTGATCGATTGCGTGGCTGTGGTGCTGGAAGCTGCTTGCGTGATGTCGTCTCCACTGGCTTGTTGTGTTTGGCGCGATTATCATAGCCGGTCAGTATGAGCCAAACCAGCGCCAAGCGCCCAGCATCGCAGTGCCACGTGAAATGCAGGCCTTTCTCGGTAGTCGCGCCGTACTCGAAGTTGTCGGTGCCCAATGTCACCCCACAACCCATGCATGTCTTCGACTGACAGGTCTCGCATGTAAGCAGAAAGCTAAGGGAGCCTTCGCAGCTTCCATCGAACAGACTGTCGAACTGCGCGACAAGCTTCTTCTCGTCTAAGCTCCGTGCGCCGTGACACCGTCTACAATTCATCTCTGCGATCGGCCTGGCGAATTGACGCACTACGATTGCATCGTCACTGCGATCGACTGCGTCGGCGGTCACATACGTCAGCGGGGGCCGTTCGAGCTTGGGCAGGCGCTTCCTCCGTTCAGCGTAAGCTTGCTGCAGTGCATCCGAGTGCGCGTTTGGATATTGAGGAGGTGGCTGGTTGGGATGAGATGGGAAGAGTGTTGGCCCACTCGAAGGACCAACATGGGGAGTTAGGAAGCTGGCTGCTTCGTTGAGTGCATTAGGATTCGCCGGCATCCAGTACTCCAGCGCGGGATTCGGTGGGACGTTGCTGGCTTTTTGCCCGAACGAGTTCAGCGCACCCCAGCTAGGACCGTTCGTAGTCGGGTAGGCGTCGGGAACTTGCTGGTGATTGTGTGTCTGAGGAGCGTGATCCGGCAGCTGATTGCCCTCGAAATCAGGGAACGGCATGTAATGGGAGTCCATGTCGATGTTTTCTGGTGGATGGGTCTTCTTGACCAGCCGTTCTTCGTGCTCGATTTGCTTCTGAAGTTCTCGTGCAGATCTCTCGTCGTGAGTAATGTAGTCTGGCGTGACCATTCCGGGGGTGGTGAGTGGCATGTCTTCGTTGGTAGCTAGTGGGTCGAAGAGCTTCAGCCTTTTGTTGCGCAGCGAGTCGAGATCCATGGCTGCGGTTCCCTGCGGTGGTTAGGTGGTGAGGTTATGGGGAGGGAGCAGGAGGCTGTGTCAGTGCGAGGCAGTCTGGCGCCCGGGCTGGAGATTGAGGTGAGGTTGTTTCGCTATGTTTCGCTGCGAGAGGCACGTGCGTGGAGGTGAAGTTGGAAGGTTGCAGTTGCAGCGCGGATGGCGGTGTTGAAGAAGGCTCACCCGACGCCTGCGAAAGAAGTGTCGTGGATATCTTACCCAGTGCTATGCAGTGTGAAGAGTGGTTGAGGTGCAGAGGTGCGGCACGAGTGGGTGACACGAGGCTATCCGAAGCGGCCACTCTGCCTTGGAAGGTTCTCATTCGAGGAGGCTCAGGCAGCACAGCACAGCTCGCTGTCTTGAAAGCGCACAGGCAGTGTCTGTTGAAGCACACCGCACGTCATATGTCTTCAGTATCATGTGATGACCGTGAGCAGTGTTGAGTGTCGTATGGAAGTGAATGTAAATGTAGTTAAAGGCAGCAAAGGAAGGACCGAAGTTGATCTGCACGTGCTCTCGGCAAAGTTCCGTCGTCTGCGGCAGCCAGGGCAGCTCGACCACGACAGCTCCAGTTGCCATTGCGCCTTTGGCTTATACAGCGGCACTGTACGAAGTCCTCCACTACGATGGCGTCTGGATATGGGTGAGACATCGACAGACCACCATGTGTGATACCTTTGCTAACTCCCCGTAGATTGACAGGCGGTATAACGAACCACTCCCCAATGGAAGACGACAGACTGACCACAGCCTCCCAGGCCCATCCCGCTGCTTCCCCTTCTGGCAGGAAGTGCTCGCCTGCTACGTCGTCAATACCAACTCGGAAGACGAGTCCGGCAAGAAGAAGTGCGCGCCCGTGCTAGAAGACTACTACGAGTGCGCCCACCCACCACCTTACACCCTCCATCATCCTCTGGACTAATAGCAACATCAGGTGCCTCCACCACAAGAAAGAAGCCGCCAAGGTCCTCGCCCTACAACACGCGTACAGACGGCGGGAAGCAGAGACATCACGAGACAATGCGCCAAGCGCGGGACAAATACGCAGTCTGGGGCTGTTAGATAAGTCGGCGGAGGAGCTGGCGGTGAACAAAGGAACTGTGCTGCCTACGCTAGAAGACAACATGGCGCGGCCGAAGGGGCAGAAGCCGATTGTGCATTGATGTAGAGATGAAAATTATACAAGCTGTAAACATATCACATGTTCGAGCAGCCGACCATATGTCATACGTTGTTTGAGCTACGTGCAGCAGTACGCTCCGTCTGTTAGGTGTACGCAAGACGTGGTCTGCATCTCGGGCGGGTAGATTGTCCCTCACAATGCATTCTATGGCGTGTTGAGAGCAATATGTGCTAAAGTCATACATCGTTAGGAGACAGGATCCATGATCTTGAAAGACACGTCCATCCCAGCTCCATCACCACCGCCCACGCCTCTCATCCGGCCCATAATACTCTCTCCGTCTCCCGCTCTCGTGACTACTCACATCATCCCTCCGATACTCCCTCTGACTCTTCTCATAACTTGGCGGCGTCCGCCTCTTCCTCCTCATCTCCCCCATCACAGCCGCAGCAATATACACCACGCCCACAACGCCCGCAACGACCGAATAAGCAATCACAGCACTCCTCCCCGCCCGCGCGAGCGCCAGCCCGAGCCCTCCGTTGACCATTCCCAGCAAAATGGCCGCTCGCCCGTGCCAGAGATGCAGGTAGGACCATAGCGTGCGGTGCCCGTACTTTTTGAACAGTTTATGATGCAGCCAGCCGAAGATCGGTTGTCCGACGAGGATGATCAGCAGAACTATCCCGATGATCGGGTGCGTGGAGCCGATTAGGCGCGCCTGCATCGCGAGGTAGACTCCCATGCCGAAGGCGGCGATGTAGATGGCGAATGCCAGGATTTGCAGGGCTGCGTGCACCCATATCAGCCCGGTGAAGTTGGCGACGCGGATCAGGATGCCGCCGATCGGGAAGAGTGCTACGAAGGCTAGGCAGGCGAGGACGCCGTGGGCGAGGACAAGGGTGTTCCAGTTGCTTGAGCCGCCGCCGGGGTAGGAGCTAGCTGCGCTATTGGCTTCGTAGCCGGCTGGACAGCCGTCGTCGCGCTTTTGCTTGAGCTTGTTGTTCTCCCTTGGTGGGCCGCTGCCGCGCCATCGGTGACCTCCGCCGGGGAAGCAGGACGCTGGCCAGGTTGGACGAGAAGCTGGTGGGCCGTCGGCGGAGTTCGGTGGCCATTGCGTTGGGCATGCGGTGCTGGATGTGGATGTGATCGGAGTGCATGTCGCTGGGATGGTGCCAGAGCCGGATTTCGAAGTAGTCGTGGCGTTCGATCCTGAAGCGAACGGGTTGACGTCGGCGCTGCCACCCGCTGCGCTTGACAGGTCAAACGTGAAAGACGAAGCGCTGTCGTGCATACCGATGTTCTCGCTCAAGTCGTCGGAATCGAGACTGGATCCAGACTTGATAGCCCAGATCCAGGTGGCGCTCGAGGACGAGAAGTCCATCGATCCGCCGCTCCAGCTATCACAGTTGCTGCATCGCACGTTCGCAGTCATGATACCGTTGCTCACTCCTGAGCCCTCCAGTACCTCGATATCTGCGCTCGTGTCGTGCAGAGGCATGACATTGCCTGTGCCGATTCTTGGCGAGACGGTGACGTTGGTGCCATCTGCAGAGGTATACATGACGAACATGTTGGATCCAGCCATTTGCGAGCCCTGTCCCAGAGCAACATATTGATTCGAGGTCGGACAGCTGAGTTGGAAGTAGATGTCGCCCTTGCCAGAGCTGGCGGTCTCGTCTGGTATACTGAGGGAGTAGCAGACATCAGACGAGGGGCACGATTGCACTATCTCGGCGTAGGCGGTTGGGGCTGATGAGTTGTTAGTCTAGAATACTTCTCGAGAAGGGAGAAATACATACCGAAGCCTAATGCCGCCGCCGCCACTACGACCGCCTTCATGAGAACAATAACCCAAGTCGAGGATCTAGGGCTGAAGTACACGAAATCAACCACACCAGCAAAACAATAGCGCAAAGACGAAAGAAGTGCGCACTAACGAACAACAATACCAAAAAAACAGAAAAGATGCACACCTACCTCTGCATTATACCTACTCGTAACCAGCCCTGTCCAAGATCCACAATCCCCATAGCCCAGCCAACTGCACAACCCACCAGCTTCGACTTAAGCCTGCCACCGCACGCGGCCTCGAATATAGCACCACCGCATCGCCCGCCAAACCTGCACAGTGAATGCCGCTCCACGAACAGGATCTCTGTGCGGAGAGCCGTCGAACGCATTCGCATCGCAAGTCTCGTCTAGCAAGATGTGCTGTCGCGTCAACGCTTGCTGCACGCGCGGCAGGACGAAAGGCCGAGGTGCCAACATTCTTCTGATGGGCATTAGGCGAAGGAGATGCATAGTCGAAGACATCAGAGTGCAGGCGACGAGCAGCCTTGTGAGCTTGAGTCAGGGAAATGCAGGAGGTGAGGTTGATGTGATTCGTTGAGTTTGCCGGAAATCGGGATATTTTTAGAGTTTAGTGCACGTGCGGCGAGATGCGGTCAAGGCGGATGCGGCGTTGATCTTCTTTGAAAACCTGACTTCGTGCCGTCTTTGTGGGAGTTGTTGATATGCGGTGAGACCTTGCTTTCAAGTGAGAGAGGACAAGCAGCGTGCAGAATCGATGTTTCAACTCAAACTTGATGCGTACCTGGGATATCTGCCGCCGGGGTATCTAACAAGACACAGCATTAACAAGATCAATACCATCCTGTTCCATTCCAGCCAGGACCATCTCTAGTAGATGCCGGGTATGATCCTCCACCTTACCTGCCGGCAGTACTCCTCCCAGTCCTTGCCATACTTGTGTCTGCACTTCTCCTCGTCTCTCCTCTCTCGGTGGACAAGAAGGACGGCGAAGTAGATCAGGTAGAAGTACGTGATCGGTATGGCCCAGCCCTTCATGCCTTCAGTGCTCACCAGTCTGGTGCCGGGGTAGAGGATCGAAGGCGTGAGCTTGTAGCCCGCAGCGAGTGTTGGCAGGCAGTAAGACCAAGACAGGATGAAATCACCAAGGTAGTTGATGTGGCGTGCCATGCCCCACCAGCCTGATGTGAGGAGGCGGGAGCCATTGGCGGTCTTGATGGATGTGAGTTTGGCATTGGACGGGTCGGATGGGTTGGAGCGGAAGCGATTCTTCTGGCTGTTGCTGGAGCGGAAGATGTAGTAGCCTGTGGCTTGGACAGCTAGGATGAGCAGGACGTAGGAGGGTCCAAGAGCGACCGGGTGCACTGAGAGGTATTTGGCTTGCAGGCTGTAGATGAACGGCACCCAGACAAGGTCGCCGAACGACAGCATGAAGCCGAAGCCGTCTCGAGTGATGTCCATGGTGGTGAGGATGGCCTCTTCCATGTAGAGGGCGTCAAAGACGTAGACTGACTGGGAGATGATTACCATGAGCATCGAGTCGGTGATGTAGCCGTAGCTCTTGTACTGCTTGGCGGCAAATGCGAGATCGAGCATGATCCAGCCCAGCATGCCTGGTCGCAGCTCCATGAATGCTTTGATGTCGACTTCGCCGAAAAATGGAACAACAACACGCGGGTTGAGCTCGCGTCCGATGAAGAAGTCGTAGAGAATGTTGCCAGTGTGGCCACCAGCTGCGAGTTCGCGCTTCTCCTTGTTGTGCGCTTTGACCGAGTATGACCTCAAGAACACCCACGCTGCCAGTGCGTAGGATACGATAACGTTGGCCGTAATAAGCTGGACGTAGTGCCGGTTGATGAAAGTCCAGACCTGGAAATCCGGGCCAGAGACCCAAGTGCCGGCAGCGCAGGTGATCATGATGGCGACTGCAGAGAAGAATGCTGAGAGTGACTGTCAGCTAACACGCAATCTAAGAATCGCATTATGCTTACCATTCATGCGATACTTCAGTCGCCCTCCAGTCGCGAGCTCAGTCCCCTCGACTTCATATGCGGGCAGCAAAGCCCACAGCGCCAGGCTCAGGCCGTACCACGCGACCGTCCCAAGTACTGCCTCGACGTTGAGCAAGCCTGTCCACCCCGGCCATCCCACCTCATGTTTCAGCGTATCCAATCCATGCTGCCATCCTGATTTCGTAGACAGTGTCGGAGCCGTGAATAGCTTGGCGGGAGACAGAATGACGGGTGCTGGGCAGCCAGAGACATCGTTGCACAGGAACGCGAATACGTATACGAGGGGTGGTAGGAGGAGGGTCAGGATGGTCGTGAGGATGCTGTTCCTTGTCAGCCAAGTATGCGATGTAATGCGAGTACAGCTGCACCCACGGTCCGCCAAACTCGAAGCCATGCTGCGCCAGATCGTCTGCTGCTGCCGCGACTTGATCTGCTGTCTTTCTCACGCTGGGCGCGCGCGCTGTTTTGGGTGCCATGTGGTCGGAGGTGTGTCGCGGGGTTTATGCGACTAAGACTCTGGAACAACGAAAGTGAAATAGATCGAAGAGAAGGTCATCTTAGAGATTAAAAATAAGACGCGTGCTTGTGATCGTACCACTGACGCCCTCGAATCGAATGCGGTCTAGCCTCTGGTGGGTCGTGCTGCTCGACTACAGCGACATGGTCCTCCGCGACTCTCTTTGACTTACCCATGGCAATGTAATTGAGAGCAGGGAGACGAGTCTAATGGAATGTACTCTATTTTACACGGAGATTGCAACGCCAACACGCCTGGCCTGGCGACAATTCCCGCCTTCTGTCTACCACGGCTGACTCTCTGCCTCTTCGCTCATCGTCTGCCACAACTCCAACAACAGGCCATACCCGTCTTCGGTCATTCGCCCAATTTTGAACACGTCTCCGCAGCAATCGGCCTTGATTCCACCACTGAGTTGGACACTCGTTTCCCTCTTCACAGGGCACTTGCAGACCACGTCCACGTGCGGATGTAGTCCTGAGTTGACGAATGGCTCATGAGGGAAAAGTAGGTCATGCTCAGCGTTCCTCATCGCAACGTACTCCTTCCTGATCCAGGGTGGTCTTGATCCGAGGCCACGACCACTAAAGGTGTACAGCGGGAGACAGTACATGCTTTGCTCAAACACCATCAGGACCACCAGCATCCTACGCTTCGAATATACTGGACCTTCGCATGTGTGGGTCAGTCTGACATCGTTGGGATCAGTGTTTGGTACCAGATTTGGTTGGTGGTAAGGCGTGCTGATGATATCGCCTTTCCTGAAGTGTGCTTTGGTTTTACCACTGAGCGCGCAGTTCGGGTTACGCACCGCACCACGGTATGTGGCCTGCGTCCCTTGGGATACCTGAGTTGGTGCACGACTCTGGACGTCATTCCCAGGTGCTATGCTTGGCATAGGCGCCTCAGATGGATTGTACGACACTGTTGACCCCAAGGTTACATTCGCCATTTCTGAGGTAGGAACCGAAGGGCCTGGCACCACTATCTGAGGTACTTTCGGAGCTCGTGGAGTACTGGTGGGTGTGTTTCTCGAGGAACCTTGAGAAGGCCCGCTCTGAAAACTGTTCTGCAGTGCAGCCCTCTTTTGCGAGTCGGCCCAAACACTGCCGGTTTGACCTGCTGGTTTGAACTGCTGTGGCGGCCTGGCTGCAGATGCAACGCTCAGCATTGAGCCCTTGGCTTGTCTTTTCTGGATCAGGTTTTTACCATCGTGGCCCATCTTGAAGAGGATCTGTGCTGGCTGTGCGTGGTGATTGGCGTGATTAGAGTCCGGGTTGTTCTTCGATGGTCGTTACTGGAAGGCTGCGTAGAAGTGTAGGCGGGCCATATCTGCGGATCAGCATGGCAATATGACTTGACCACCTCGACATTGTTTGAAGTGCGTCGAGGATTGTCTTGAATTCGATTAACATTCAAACAAAGGCTGCGAATACTCTCGTGAGATAACGTGGTGGAACTAAAAAAGGAAGACTTGATCTCTGATGAGACATGTTTGATCATTTCTCTGAAAAACAAAGGATTTTGAATAACCTTGCGAGATTAGGTCTGATGTCGAGAAGATATCAAAGTGCGGGACAGGCACGTCGACTGCCCTCTCAATCGACTTCCCAGGTACTCTTATCACCGCATACAACAAACATCACTTGGACTTTGGACGGCCTGTAAGCATTAACAGGAAACATGGATCGCCTTACCAAAAACATCCGTTGGACCTTGCGGTCAATGTACAAGGCACGACGCTCACCAGGACATCCAAAGTTGAGGCCGCATCCGATAGCAATTGCACACGCTTCCGTGGAGAATGGAGAAATACCAAAGAAGTCACTAGAGACCCAGAAGGTTTCTGTACCTACACTCGACTCAACGTCAACGAACGCCGCATATGCCACTTCGCAGAGCGAGGTCGACTCAGAGACGGCCCCAAGCTCCTTGTCACAGCTTGAAGCTGAGGACCAGAGAACACATTCGCCTCCGGCAGACAACGTTCAAAGCAGCCCATCTGAAGCTGACGACGTCGTTGCAATGGACGGTGACGAGCCAATGGGAATAGAAGACGCCGAAGAGCTTCGACGGCAGGCTTACGTAACGTTCGATGTCGAAGAGGATAAGGACTACACTGCAGGACCGGCACGTATGGTAGTCGCAACTGACGGCGTGTTCGATTGCGTTGCGCTTTTGATGACCATGGCGCTCTCAGCTGCGGTGAAGAGCTCGGTGACTGCACAGCGAGCCTACACCAAGGTCGAGGCGGAGGTGGAGGCAGAAACAAAGACTCTCAAACAGTTGGAAAGGAAAATTCGCCATGAGCTATGCAACCACAATTTGCGGATCGGTTTGCTGGTCGAGGACGAGGGTGCCGGGCAGAAAGAGGCTTTGAAGAAAGAAGTAGAGACTCTCAACTTGATGAAGGAGGACACGGAGGCTAAGCGTCGAATCCTCGCGTTCCAAGTGGAGGAAAAAGTGCGATACCTGAGGGAGCGCCAGACTGCTTTGAACGCACTGTTGGAAGAAGCCTTCATCGAGGCCAATCTGATGGAAACGCAAACCAAAGAGTTCTTCCAGTCACCGAAAGAGGTGAATCCCCAAGCAGAGTATCAGAAGTTCTGTGTCGAGCTTAGGCAGTTCCAAGGATACGGCGAATATGAAGAGGCTGAGGTCGCTCCTTTGGACGACACTGAATACAAGTACGAGGCGCCACCACTCAGCGCCGAACAACAAGCACAAAGAGATCTACAGGATATGTACTGGGAAGCCCAGCAACGGTTTGCAACTGCTCAGTACAACTTCGACGACCGCGAGCAGCAGCGCTGGGACGAACTTCAGATGAACTGCGATGCTGCAGATCGCGGCGAGGACACTAGAGACGATTCACCGGAAGACTTCGATCTTCGCTGGGTGCAAAAGACCCACGATCTGACGCACGAGCTGGCCGAAGCCGAAGAAGCTTTCACAGCAGCAAAGCAAGCCTGCGTAGATGCTGGCGTAGACATCTGCGACGACGACCGCATGTCTGGCTTTGTTGACGACACTGCAGACGGCTACCGACTGAGCTTCGAGCAGGAGCAGATTGCTTCGGTGCCGTCGCCCAAGATCAGGACGTGGCTTAGCAGCGTCGACGAGCTGGTCTCGCCGGGCTTTGATGACCCTACTAAACAGCAGCCGGATGACTAGCAGGCGGAAGAGGTCGACATTTCGGATAGCGTGAGCCTAGTTGAGGAAGGAGACAGTCGCAAGCGAATTGAGAAGTGGCGGAGTATTTGCGGGTGGTGAGGATGGCCACCAGCTGCCAAACGAGCAGTTTAGTCTCCCTGTACAAGTTGTATACTTTCGAATGGCTGACTCTGAGCATTTGCATTGTGCGGTGTTTCCAACAGATCTGGCTTGCTGTTCTTGGCCTGTACGAGCTGCGGTCCAAAGTTCCTTTCCCTATGTGCAGCAACAGCATGCTAACCAGACTATCCGTAGTATACTGAATATCACGACGCTGCCCATCCGCCGCGGAATGGACGGCTTGGATCACATCGTCACCGAAGCTACAAACGAAGAGAAAATAAGTCAAGACATTTGAATCTGCTACCTGAGCCTGCATCAGACATTCCATCTGGCTCTACCGCGCAATCTTCGCTATGTGGTCATATCGCTGTGTCTTGGCCTTCTCATGCAACTCATGCCACAGCCCGACGAGGTGCATAAGACTCTTCTCCGTGACTCTCCCGCACCGAGATATGTTCTCTTCGCATCTCACGGGGATCGCGCCGGTGATGTGGATGGTTTGGTCGAGTCGAATTCCTTCCGGCTAGTAGCTTCGACAGGCTGATACCTGCCTTGGTTCTGGAAGTCGCGGTCCTTCACGTTCTTCACTGATACGTATTCAGGTTGCAAATTGTCCGCCCTCGACGAGACCCCTCTTTTGTCCCATGTGTATAGCGGCACGCAGAAGAGGATTTCTTCGTAGATCCAGAGCACCACTACCATTCGCCGTTTCGAGAATACTGGTCCGTACTTGGTTTTTACCAAGTCACTGGCATTGGGGTCCACGTGGGGATTCATATTTGGCTGATGGAAAGGAATCGCGATGATCTCTCCAAGCTTGTAATCCTCTTTTGTCAAGCCAGACTTCGCGCATACGCCGCTGTCTATCCTGCGACCAGCGCGGGTGATCGTGGTCACTTGGCTTTTTCCGGACGCGGGAGACTTGGTCATCTGTGAGGGTGAGGGAGCAACGGAAGGATCCCAGGTTTTGGTTTTGTTGGCAAACGGCCCCTGGACATTCATCTGGCTGAGGTTTGAGCCCAACTGCTGCACTTGGCTGGGTCGACTCGCTCCCTGTTGGCCTTGATGGCTGACAGTGAGCCTGGGGCCTTGGCAAATTGCATTGCTCAGTCCTCTAATCACGAAAGTGGTATCTCCGCCATAGGCCCATGCCACTCGAACAGGCTGCGGAGGGCCAGCATTGCTTGGTATGTTCGTTGGAGATGCAGGTACGATTGAGATCACTGAATGCGCAGGTCTTCGAACTGGTGCCATGTCGTGTGGGTGCGGAGGCGAGAGCTCAGACCAGCTGATATGAGGTATATTCGTGTGCGATGCTGTCAATTTTTGCGAAGGTGAGAAGCGCTGTCGTGGTTCCAGTAGGCACAGAGTGCTGCGAAAGGAATATGAGCTCTCCTCGGAAGGTCTTCGACTGCCATATTCGATGAGACCAGATCAAAGACTGACATTGGTAGATCCGAAACATGATCTTAGTACGAGAACGAGTACTGAAAGACAAAGCATTGCCCATACGACGTGAGATTATGATCGAGTCTTACAGACAAAGGGATTCATCTCACCCCGTTGAAGTTCCTTATGTCTTCCAGGCAGGACAAAGAAACCCGGAAGACCAGCTACTCACTCCAACCGCCAGTTTCAATATAACTGGAGAAAGTATCTGCGGCGGCCTCCTCATAGAAAGCATTCGACTTGCTTCTGTGCTCAGTCTATTCGCGGTTGAACTATCTCCAAACCATCAAACACGCATTACCATGCAACGCCTCACCACACGATTACGCCGCAGGCTCGGTGTTGTTAACCCCCGAAAACCTCATGCTTCCAAGCAGGCCCCAAAAGGCTTCATCAATATCAAAGATGCGAAGACTTCACAAGCGGTGCTACAGATTCTCAGCCAAAAGACTGCCCGTACATCAGGTTTGCTTACGGGGGTGTCCAGCACATGCACTGGAGATCATCTGAGTCCCGCTCAAGCAAGCGGCAGCAATAGCCCAGAAGACGAGAGCAGCACAGAGGTGCCTGACGAGGTTGCGTCAAGTGACGAGAACACTGTAACTGCTACCCCCACTGGCGACGCAGAGCCCGACACCAATCCGACAGTCGACCAGAGTGATGGTGGCAGCCAGACAGCGATCTCTGAGCCAATGCAGGCTACTCCAGCACTATCACCAGAGCAGGCACAAGCACTCCGCAATCAGCAGCATTGGGAGTTCCCCACCGAAGAAGAAACAGACTACACGCAAGGACCTGCACGGATGGCGTTCGCAACAGACGGGCTACAGGAGTGCGCGGCGGTGTTGATGACGCTGCCCTTGTCGCAAAAGCCTCAAATCGCTCTGCAGGCACAGCGCGAGTTCATCGTTGAGGACAAGAAAGCACTCAGGAGGCAGCAAGCTTTGGGAAGACTCCTCTCTGCCATCAATGCTCAAATCTCGAGACGACACATCAAACAGTGCGACGACGATCTGACTGGGGACGGAATGCTCGCCCTGATCCAGGAGCTAGCCATTCTGGACCAGATGGTCGAGGAGACCAAGCGTCAGCAACACGAACTCAAAGTTGACGTCGAGTGCAAGATTGAGAACACAAGGAGGATCTACGAGGACGCCATTGCCGGATTCGAGGAGGTCTATGTGGCTGCTGGACTCATAGAGCCCATCGATCACGACATTGACCTGCCCTATGAAGAAGTCGATCTGCAAGACGAGTACCAGAAATTCTGCGAAAAGCAGAACGAGGTGGACGAGGCTTTCCCCGTGCCGGCTGCTCCTCTTGACACCGGTGCTAAGTGCATGATGGCTCCATATGTGCCAATGACCGAGGAAGAGCAGAAAGTCCACCAACTGACGCGGGAATACTGGGCATGTGAAACTTTTCTCGAGCACGCGCAGAGACGCTTCGACCGTCGCGATGAAGACCGAGCGCAAGAGCTGCAGTTCAACCTCGATGCTCTCTCGCGCGGAGAGCCGACCACTGACGCTTCACAAGATGGATTCGACGTCCGTTGGGTCAAGCAGATGCAGGAGATTACGCGGGATCTGATCGACGCTGAGGCTGCACTGGAAGCGGCCAAATCTGCTGCTGAAGTAGCTGGTACTGATGTCGACTTGACGAACGATGGGTGCTCGCCTTGGGCAAGCCCTGTTGAAGACGGCTACCGTCTGAGTATGGAACAGGAGCTCATCGATTCTGTGCCTTCGCCTAAGATCAAGAACTGGGTCACAGACATCCCGGATCTTGCCTCCCCAAGCTATAATGAGCGGTTCGATGTGCCTGATCAGTGGGAAGCGGAGGACGTTGACATCTCCGGCAGTGTTAGTTTGGTTGCGGAAGGCGGTGATCGAAAGCGTATCCAGAAATGGCGGCAGATCTGTGGGTTGTAAGTGCTAAATCAGTGTATAGTGGTGGTCAGCACGCAGTGTTCTCGAGTGTACACCCTCGTGACAACATCCAGAGCCTACTCCTGTACCTTCTTATTCAGCCATAGCACACAACTATCACATGTTAGCTCACGCTCAGCCCAGTATTTTGAAACCTTATGCACGCACCGCGAGACCTTTAGCTAAGCGGTCGAGACTCTCTCGATACGAAAAGGTCGTCTGATCGATGTAAACGTAGACGAACTGTGTTGCACAGTATGCAAGCCACCAATATACCGACGGCGACCGCCGTGAAATGCCAAAGAAGGTGGAGGCGGGGTGAAATCCGTTGAACAGACAAAATCTACACCGTAACGCATTCTTTCACCCACTCACGTAGAGGTATTCGGAGTCCGCAGAGCCTCTCGTCACGCCTGGTAGGGAGCGAAACAAGTGCTGGATTGGCCGGTGCATCTGGTATGCTCAGCTTTCGTACCACGTTAGAAGTCCAGTGGCTTGCGTCTTGCGGTCCAGGACTATTGGCACTGTAGTATAAGTATTCGCACTGCGACACTGATAGTTTGCCATTTCAAACCAGACGACTATCTCGCAGGGCCTTCATCTCGCTCAGACACTCATCACCTAGCCCACCAAATACCATTCAAGGCCACTTACCTCAACCTCACAAAATGCAACTCCTTCCCCTCGCCCTCACCGCCGCCACCCTCCTCACCCACGCTCTCGCCAACCCCCTCGCCGCCGCAGCCCCGGCCTACAAATGGTCCGTCACCAAATGGTCCTTCACCCGCGGCCAAGCCGCCTACGACTACTCCTTCACCATCTCCGGCGCCGCCCACGGCGCGATCCCCGCCTTCAAAGCCTCCTGCACTGGCACTCAAACTGGCGGCTTTCGCGACTGCACCATCCTCTCCGACAACCCGGTACCGCCGACGGTTTCTGCGAATGTGAATATTGTGCAGGATCCGGAGAACCCGAATGATAATATCCCGAGGGTGTTTGTGAGGGTGGAGTTTGTGGATGATGAGGATTGTCGGTATAATGATGCTGGGAACCACTATGTTTCGCTTGCTCCGAAGAGGTTTAAGATCGATGCTAAGAAGTCCACGGCGATTTGCTAGAGTCGTGGTGGTGGTCCGGGGTCGAGTGGGCGAACAGGAGCTGTGGCGGGCATTGCTAGGAGCTGGGTGTATCCTCCTGGAGGATCATAAAAGCGTTTCGAGATGAACGAGAGTGAAGTGTTTCGTAAGGGAGCCATTGCAAGAAGGGGGCTCACGGACTCCTTCTTCCACCTTACCTTGGCAAATGTCTTTACCTATCTTCCGTACTTCTGAGTAAACAATGCCGTGCTGGAGGCTATGGTGCTGCCGGATGACGTTCTTGTATCGAGCGGTCTAGAACGCAGTAAGAAACACGACATCATCGTCTCTGCGACCAGCAGATATTTGATGCGCGCAGTCGTGACAGTAAAACAGTGCACCCAGGATCTTTGTAGCGCAGCGAAGTGGAGGAACCGATAGCAAGGGTAGCTCTGACCGACCGTTCTCTCCGCAGTCCAGCGGATTTTGTAGGGCAGAGAGCTCGCATGTGGCGGTCTGCGGGCAGAAGAAGTGTGGAGTTTGCACAGCCAAGTGGGTTTCTGCTCGTGACACCCTCAGCGGCAGCCCTACCGAAGTCTGCCGGTACATTCACATGCCACCAGGAGGATTTCACGTGCAGGAGCCGCGGTGATTCGTTGAGGTGTGGGCGAAGGGTTTGTGCTATTAGGTCAGCCTTTGTCGATTGTTCCGATGCATTGTTCGTGCCAGCGCATGTCACGGCGAAGTGATTCGTGATAAGACGGGACGGCGTGTCGGCAGCGTCGCCCTCGCCATGTCATCAGTCTTGAACGTGAACCGGGGCAAGCATGCCTGTCTGCCGCAGTAGTGGGGACAACACTGCCTGACCATTTCTTCCGGGTGCCGCAATTGCCTGTACGGCGTATATGATGAGGTTGTGGTCATTCGTGAAGGCTGTATCACCTCGCCGTATCTCCTGATGATCTCTGCCTGATCGTCTGGAGGCATCGTGTTAGTCGTCTACCAACCAACACCACGCGCCGGCCCTGGAGTCTGTGCAGGTTTCAGAAAACCGCCCGCCGTCGTCACCGGTCAGACCCCAATCAGCACATCTCCATCGTTGCTCTCCCTCTCGACGCACACCTCACTGTACTCTACACGACCGAACGACCAGACGATTGTTGTAATCCTACACCGCAGCATCGAGTGTCATCAGCGCGCCAAGTCGGCGTGAGAGAAGCGACTGGTCGGCTCACGCTTGACCGTTGACCTCGACCCTGGACACTTTGTTGGCTTGTTTCGTCAGCCCAAGCACTCGTGATCCGCCATTTGATCCCTCGAGATCCCTCTCGCCGCCGCCGCACTCGATTCCTGCTCAAGCGATCTGGATACATCACCGCCTGTACGGAGGAACTGCTGCCCCGAGCCAGCGGCTACCTGCAAAACACCACCTTGACCCCAGTACCGCACTGCAACACCAAAACAGCAAGCGTCTCGATTGGAGACACAAGCCGACGTCGTACTCTACCAAATCTGCCGTGCTGTAGGAGGTACAGCTTTCAGCCAGCACATTGCGGCCCCAAATTACGCAAGCGGACCAGGCAGGATCACAGCAGCAAGTTACAGCGCCGGGTCATCCAGCTCAGCGTATACCGCTTCGACCGACTGCACACACATCTACACCGTACCTTTCCCTAGGCACACTTCGCAGGCTGTCAAGAAGGCGCTCCAGCACCTTCTCTGACAGCCTCGTGCCTGCTTGAGATCTGCCCACGGTGGCAGACCACAACCCATACCTCCAACAACCTCCCCAGGACCGCTCCAACATGGCCTCGCCGGCTCCTTTACTGCGGCCGCCCATTCCGGGTGGAGGGAGGTCGCAGATGGGTAGTAAGATGCCAAAGCTAGGCTTAGCCATACCCGCGTCGCCCAACCAAAGACCGGTGAACAGCTCGGCCGCACCTCCAGTAGCGGAGAACGCGGCATTACCACCTCTGGCCATACCGAACAGACAACCTCCACAACTGCGCCTCGCGACGCCGTCAGGCACGAACCAGACACCACATGAGAATACACAGGCAAAGAGAAAAGGGCTGTCATTGGTCATGCCAGGGAGCGGAGGGAGCAGTGGAGACGACTCAGCGCTCAGCGGAGCACCGAGTTTCGCCGCCAGCAGCCAGCAGGGTGGGTCAATATCGACAACATCCTCAACATCAGCGACTTTGAATTTCAACGACATCATCGGGCGAGCTAATGATACCGGGTCCGCTGCGTCGTCGACGAGCATTGGAGCGCCGGGCATGGCAAGGGAGAACAGCAATCAGGGTATAGAGATAGACCTGGAGCGGTTGAGTCTGGAGAAGGGCGCTCCGTTGGACGTGGAGGATTTGGATGACAATGGATGGAAGGCTGCGAAGAAGGAGGGTAAGATCATCGAGCTTGGCAGCTTGGGAGAGGGGGCTGGAGGTGCCGTGACGAAGTGCATGCTGAAAGGCGGCAAGACTGTCTTTGCGCTAAAGGTATGCGTTGCTGCTGAAAGACTCGGCAAGTGGACGCACAACTGACGGCCATCAGATCATCACTACCGACCCCAACCCAGACGTCAAGAAGCAAATCGTCCGAGAACTTTCCTTCAACAAATCCTGCGCCAGTGATCACATTTGTGAATATTACGGCGCTTTCATGGATGACACCGCTGGCACCATCGGCATCAGCATGGAGTTCTGCGAAGGCGGCTCCCTCGACTCCATCTACCGCGAGATTAGGGAGCAAGGTGGCCGCATTGGCGAGAAAGTGCTCGGTAAGGTCGCGGAAGGTGTTCTCAATGGCCTGACATACTTACATGGCCGCCGCATCATCCATCGCGACATCAAGCCCAGCAACATCCTGCTTACTCGAGGCGGCAGTGTCAAGCTCTGCGATTTTGGCGTGAGTGGAGAGTTTGGCACGAAGGGTGACGCGAACACTTTCATCGGGACGTCGTACTATATGGCTCCGGAGCGAATAACAGGGCAGTCGTACACCATCACGTCGGATGTGTGGTCACTGGGCGTGACGCTGCTGGAGGTGGCGCAGAACAGATTCCCATTCCCTGCTGATGGGACGGAGATGAATCCGAGAGCTGGACTGATCGACTTGCTCACGTACATTGTGCGGCAACCGATACCTAAGCTCAAGGACGAGCCGGACAAGAAGCTCAAGTGGAGTGATATGTTCAAGTACTTTATTGAGTGCTGGTGAGTCTCGACGAAACTGTCTGTTGAAGGATAGCAAGCTGACTTGTTCGGGTAGTCTGGAGAAAGAGCCCAGCCGCCGTGCAACACCATGGCGCATGATGGAGCACCCCTGGATGCGGGAGATGATGTCGAAGAAGATCGATCTGCCTCGGTTCTTGAAGACTGTATGGGCCTGGGAGGAGAAGGAAGCATAGGAGCCCACCAACTCATGGACGGGCAGCAAGTAGTTGACTTGGCAACACATTTGGCTGCGCTTGGAAATCGACAGAGTGGATTTGGAAATGTTGGAAGAATGCATAGCGATGCCTGCATAGCCAACAGCTTGCAGCGGGGAGGAACACAAAGATACCACGGTAATGGCCACGGCTCCGTGCCATGGCGGAGGCGCACTGTACGTCCACGGATACCACCACATTGAAAGCTCAATCTACGTAGATAGCAAAGGGAACCGCTACACGCACAATCGAAGAACAATACATCCGCTACCGACCAGTCCAGACCTAATTCCAGAACCCACCACTATCACCCCCCTTCTGCATCTCCCTCACCTTAAACCCCGCCTCCTTCATCTCCTTCACCGCCTCCGGCCCCCTCGTCGCAATCTGCGAACTCAGCCGCCACGGCACATCAAGCATGTCCATCACAATCTCCACCACCTGCACCTTGCTGGGCTTCACCACACTCTCCTTCTTCAACACCTCCTCCAACTCCGCTTTCGTCTCCGCCCGGTGGAAACACTTCTGCGCCTCGGCCTCGGGCATGTTGAAGAACGGCAGCATGTGCTTGTAGTTGAAGGGCACGATGTCGTTGTAGCTCTGTCGCGCGCCGTGGATTACTCGCTCGATGGTGTAGCCCGCGTTGTTGATCAAGAAGATGATGGGGCAGAGGTTCTGCTTGACCATGTTGCCTACTTCTTGCACCGTGAGCATGAGACTGCCGTCACCGGTTACGAGCAACGTCCGGCCGCGCGGCGCGCCTTTGGTTGCCGCGAGGTCCGCGAGCGCGAGATCTGCTCCAAAGGCGGAAGGGGTGGCGTAGCCGATGCTCCCGTAGTACGTCTGCGTGATCCAGGTGGTGTTGGCGGGGAACTGGGCGTCTGGCAGGCCAAAGGCGGCCGTGCCGGTTTCGCCGTAGACGACGTCGTGGGGCTGCATGAAGGAGGCGAGGCGGTGCCAGATCCAGGATTGGGTGATCAGTTCGGAGTCGCGGTCGTCTTCGAGGGGGCGCTCGGGGAGAGTGTGGCGGGGGTTTTTGGTTTGGGTGATGGTGTAGGAGGGGGCGAGGGAGGTGAGGGAGGCGATGGTGGCTTTGAGGGGGACTTTGGAGGTGGTTTTCCAGCCTGGCATCGAGACGTCGTGGGTGTTGACGTAGGCTGCGTTGGTGGGGAGCTTGCGGGTGAAGCCGCCGCTGTTGGTGTCGGAGGGGAGGGTTCCTAGGACGAGCACGAAGTCGTGTTTGGCGAAGACGTCTTCGATTCCTGGTCGTGATGGTCCGCCGTTGTACAGGTCGACGTAGTTTTCGTGCGTTTCGTCAATGATTGTCTTGCCCATGTTGCTGGTGTAAGTCGGAAGACCCAGCACGTCGACCAGCTTTCTCGCCTCCTCGACTGCTTGATGTCGTTGAACGAGACAGTCCACGAACAGAGCTGGACTTTTGCTTGATGCGAGAGTTTCCAAGATCTTCCGAGCAGCGTCCCTCACAGCATTCTCATCGGCCTCCGGCTTCAAATCCAATGGCATCTCCAAGGCCTTCGCCGGTACTTGCTGGTCGACCAAATCTATTGGAACGAAGATGCACACAGGTCCAGACTTGACGAAGCACTCTCGCAAAACCCGGTCGATCTCCTCAGCTGCACCTTCTGCGGTCTGAATCTCTGCTGCAGCAACCCGAAAGTCCTTCGCTGCTTTGTTGAACATCTGGTGGTCTGGGCTGAAGCCAATGGAATGGTGGATCATCATGCGGTTCTGCTGCATCTTGAGGGATGTCTGGCCGACGACGTGGATGACCTTGACTTGCTCCGTCATGGCTCCAGCAATGCCGTTGAGTGCTGAGAGCTCGCCGACGCCGTGGGTTGTGACGAGGCATCCGGCTCCGTTCTTGACTCGGGCATAGCCATCTGCTGCGTACTGTTGTAGACCTGTAGCGTTAGCGAAGCTCTCGGTCTCAAGGGGAATGGTTGCAAGCAGCTTACGGCAGCGTTCAGCTCGTTGGTGTTGCCGACCCAGTCCAAGCCATCAACATTGTAGATGTGATCAAGCAGAGTCAAATTGAAGTCGCCCGGAACTCCGAAGATATGGTTCACCCCGACTTGATGGATTCGTTCCCAGAGATATCGTCCAAGAGCGATGTTCAAACCATGGCCGTTGGCAGCAGCGCCATTGCTGGTCGCCATACTGGTCGTCGTGGTAAGCTAGTTGTAGGCGGAGACCGATAAAGTGATTCCAGGCTTTGAACTACTGTTGCTTGGTGAGGAGGATGTGGTGTAACCCTGCAAGTGTACACCGACTTCATCAAGCACTCTAAAAGACGGCTGCTGTGATGAGTCTGAGTAGGCTGACACTCGCAATCGCGAGCTGCTATGCCTCTTTCCTTACGAACTTTACGTGGAGCTACCTCTACGTCCTGTCGGACCTCATTCTTGCGCGAGCAACGCCGAGGTTGCGATTTCCAAAGCCGCTGCGGCTTTCGACGGCTTTGAACTGAACAACAACCGTTGACACATGAACGGAGCATCAAGTTACGGCGGAACGAGAACAGCTGGACGTGAGCGGTATTTGGTGAGGCTCAGATCCCGTGCTTCTCGTTCCGATTGTCTGGCCGCGATCTAAGTTCTTCATCTAACCTCGCTTGCCAGCAGAGCCCTGATGGGGGAGGACACAATGCGAAGGGCAACACTCTGAAGGGTGGCTCATCCTTTTCAAGTCGTCTGTAGATTCAGCATTGAAGGTAATCCCAAGCTTTGTAGGAGTTGAGCAGCAATCGCGTTGAGGTCTGCTGGGGACGAGGCCATTGACTGCCTGGCATACCTTGTGCTTGCCGAGGCAAGGTTGGTAAAGAGGAGTACCATAAGTATCAATTGAGTACGTTCAACAAGCTGTAAATGTTGTGAGAAACAAGATCAGGCCATCAACTCATATCAGCATCCCTTCGACAAAACAAATTACGACAATGTCCGTCTACATCTACGTCTCCTACCCGCGCAAAGAAGGCGCCACCTTCAACGTACCTCCCTCTTCCCTCTACTTGCCCCAACCGCAGCTAACCATGCCCTGCAGATGGACTACTACCTCACCACCCACATGAAGATAGTCGACACCCACTGGCGTCCCTACGGCATGAAATCCTGGTCCGTCGTCGAATTTCCACCCAACGACCCCTCCGGCATGCACGTCCAAGCCATCATGCTCTGGGACAGCGTCGAGGCGTTCGAGAAAGCCATTGCGGCGAACATCCCGGAAGTGATGGAGGATCTGCAGTACTATTCGAGCGAGCCGCCGGTGAGGTGGTATGGGAACGTTGCGAAGACTAGTGGGGAGGGGATTTAGGGGCTGGTCGGCTTCTAGGTCGTGCGGCGTATCGTGGTAGGAAGCAAAAAGATTCAAACCACGAGCTTGTTCTCAAATTTCGACTTCATTGAACGGTACGTCTCAGCAGAAGAACAGCGCAGCCGGACAACGTTCGAGGTATGCTCGGCAGGACGAATGCAGAGGCACACGACACAAGGGACTGCGAACACATCAACAAAGGTCTTTCATTTGATCAATTGTCGAATACCGAAACGAGTAGCAGTGCTGGATAGTACTCGTGTCACCACCCATCACCGCCAAGCAGCTCCAACGCTTCCCAAGCCTTCGAGCACCTTTCCGCATCAAAGAAGGAAGCTGTGGGTATACCATGACCCATCGCTCCATGTTCCAATCTTGCCATTCGTCCAGTCGATGCATGCAGTCATCAAACTTTTCTCGACATAATGTCAACGCCGAAATTACCCATGCTGATGAGCCGTAGCCCTGTCCCATAGTACTCCGTGGAGTTCGTGGAGTATCGTCACGCGAAAACCAATCATGCCGCCCGCCGCCCGCCAGTCTGCCATGCCCACCGCAACCAGTCTAACGTATATACGTACCTTGATGTCCTGCGCCATTACACTGTACAGCACCGAAAGAGTCTGAAGTTAGTGAGTATACAGATCAGGGATGTTCGGCTGGCTTGTGCGAGCCGCCTTCCTCGTTGACCGGCGAAGGCGAGCGCACAACGCCAGACCTCATCGCTTCCCGCTGGGGCTGCGAGTCGGTCCCCGTATCCGCGCCCAACGCCGACGAGATCTGCGCCTGCGGCACCGCTTGGCGAGGTGACAACGACAGCGAGGACTGCAGATCAGACTGCTCGCGCTGCTGCTGTTGACGGCGGCGACTTTCATCTTCACTGCTGGGCGGGCTCTCCTCCACGATGGAGATCCCACGGCGTAAGCTGCTGCTTTCCATGCTCTCTCTGCGAAGCCTATCCGCCTTGTCCTTGAGCACCTTGGCTTCTTCTGCTGCGCGCTGGGCTCTGACTTGCTTGCGCCACATGCCTGCGTAACGGCCTTTCATGGCCAGTAACTCCATGTGGGTGCCACGCTCTGCGACGCGGCCTTCGTGGAGGACGAGGATTTGGTCGCACATGGTGATTGTACTCAGGCGGTGAGCGATTATGAGCATCGTGCGGCCGCGTCCGAGTGTTGTTAGCGCTTCCTGGATGTGCTCCTCGGTCTCGGTGTCAAGCGCAGCGGTTGCTTCGTCCAGCAGGATGATCCTGGGATCTTTGATGATGGTACGTGCGATCGCCACTCTCTGCTTCTCGCCGCCAGAAAGCCGCAGACCGCGCTCTCCAACCTTGGTGTCATACCCATCTGGAAAGCCAATTATCTTGTCGTGAATGCTGGCAGCCTTGCAGGCTGCGTAGACTTCCTCGTCTGTCGCACTTTGCCTGGCGTATTTCAAATTATACATTAGAGTCTCATTGAAGAGAACCGTATCCTGCGGAACGACACCGATGTGCCGTCTTAGGCTGTCGATGGTCACGCCTTCCACGTCGCGCCCATCCAGCTGCATGCTTCCGGACTCAGCATTGTAGAAACGGAACAGCAACCGGAAGACTGTTGATTTGCCGCCACCGGACTCGCCAACAAGCGCGGTCGTTGTGCCAGGCTTGCATCGGAAGGTCAGACCTTGCAGAGCAGGCTTCCGGTTGTCGTATGAGAAACGCACGTCGTTATAGCGAATTTCTCCTTCACAAGTCGGCATCTCCTCTGCATCGGGTCTGTCCACCACCGTCGGCTTCTCCTTGAACAGCTCCAGCATCCTCTCACTGTTGATCATGTTGTTCTGGATCATGCGATAGAACGTCCCGAAGAAGTTGAGTGGTCCTTGAAGCTGGCTCATGTACGACAGGAGCGTCACAAATCTGCCCACCTCCAGCTTCTTCGTCGTTACTTGGTAAGCGGCGATGAAGCACATGACGATCAAGCCCATCATGAAGACTAGATTCTGGATGGTATTCATCAAGGCCAGCGAAAATGTGACGCCGTACTCGGCCTTTTGGTATTTCATCACGGCGTCTCGGTACCTGTTGAATTCGTATGCTTCGGCGTTGAAGTACTTGACCGTTTCGTAGGACATCATCGAGTCGTTTTTCACAGCATCTTCCTCCCGGCTCGCGTTAGTAGCCTGTCGACGGATGTCTGCACGCCACGCAGCCATGCGGATGGTGATGTAAATGTACCAAAAGGTGATGATTCCAATGACGAGGGCATAATAGGCATCGAAAGCGGCCAGGAAGTACACCACTGCCACCGCAAGATCGACCAGCATCGGCAGCACATTAAACGTGATGGACTCCAAGAACGTATTAAGAGAAGCACCCTTGCCGAGAGCTGATAGCACCTCCCCAGTCTTCTTTCCGAGATGGAACTCCAGGCTCAGCATGTGGACATGCTCGAATGCCGCAACGGAGATCTCGCGGTACGAGTATTGCTCGATTGGGATCCACAGCACTTGTCGTGCTGCACCGAGAAGGCCGTTGCCGCCTTGAAAGATGCGGAGCACAATGTAGAACGTGATCAGCCCCCATGGCATATAGGATGCATGCGTCTCATCGCCAGCCAGAGCGGTCGTGATGGCGCCGGTCTGGACCGGTACTAAGACCTGAACGCCGCGCTGAATAATGACGATGATGATGCAGAGCACAAACTTGAACTGCAGCACTTTGTCCTTCGAAGGCCAGATGTACGGTAAAAAGACAGCGTAGGCGCGGATGTACTCCCACCAGCTGCGTGAAGGAGTCTCCTTTGGCTTCTCCCAGCCTGCAGGCGCTTCTGAAGGGCCTTTAGGCTTGCCATTCGTGCCGTAACCGTTTGACGGTCCGGTCGCTGTCCCGTTGTGCTCGGCTCTGTCCTCTGCCAACAACCCTGTCTGCTCCTCTTGTGTGGCCTGCCTCATGCGGTAGTTGCGGAGATACACAAATAGCGTGTAGAAGCTTATCAAGCCGAGCAGAATGAAGATTCTGCCAAAGTCGAGTATGACCTCGGTAATCTCCCACTCCGTCATTCCATGCCGCAATCGTCCGCCATCAGGATCGCCAACAACGGATTCGTGGTGTGATGTGCTGTAGACCGCGATCGATGCTCCGAGAAGCAGAATCTCCATGACCGTGGCGACGGTCCATGTGAGGGCGTGGGCTGCATTTGGCGAATGCGTCGTATCGATGAGGGTGATGAGTAGCAGGGCGTAGACCATGAAAGAGCCGACTAGGTAGATCTGATAGGTCAGCTAGAAGGCCGTACATCATACAATTCATCGACCTACTGTCGGTGCCTGCCCGCACCACCACTCCTCCTCACGGGCATAGAGGGCATGTGCGATGACCACGACGATGTTGCCGAGTAAACTGAGCAGCACGCCGGCGGACAGCCATTTGAAGAGTAGCCTCCTGGGCCGCGAGAAGTCGAGGGCGTCTGCAGGATGGGTGTCTTTGAGGTTGTGGTTGTGAGAGGGGAGGGGCTTCCCGCCGGGGCCGAGTTGTTGAGATTCGTGAGTGAAGTCATTATCATTACGGGCAAAGGTGATGCTGCGAACGGTGAAGGCGATCAGGTAGAGGAAGAGTACGACCAATGGATAGGCGATCTGTTGGACCTGGAGGAACTTCTCGACCCCAGGGTTGGTGGTCTTCGTGCTGTGGAGGGGCATAGTGTCCGAGCCCGTTATGTCGTTGCCGTGGCCAGAACCTTCCAACGCTGCTCACCCCAGTAGCGACTGTGGCTTGAGAGATTAGGAGGGTGTTCGTGGTGGAAGCATGACCGGTTCGACGGCGGGGGAGGAGAGGGTCTCGGGGGTGTCGTTGTCCTAGAGGGAGAGTTGTGCAGTCAAGTTCGTGTCTGAAGATCGGTTCTAGAAGTGGCGTTCGGCTTCCGGGCCCACGCGCTAAGACACGCATCTAAGAGCAATCACATGCTGCGTGGGCAATAGGATGCGAGCCTCGAGTTCCACTACTTCACCTTACATACCACACCGCGAAGCCACGTCAAGCTGCCGCGATCGTCCTCAAGCCTCATGCTCCTCCATCAGCATGGAAGCCCGTCCTTGCTTGACCGCTGCTTTCCTTCACCTCCTTCTGTCCATCTGTCTCCTCGCCTCCCTGCCGTTGACATCAGCCGCCATCTGCCGTCCTCGCCATAGCTTCGTCCTCGGCAGTGGTCAGCTGAGGCTTCACGAAGCCTGCCCGCCACCGACTAACGATGGCGAAAATGGTCATGAGCCGCGCTACGGGATAGACTCCGCCTCAAAGCCTATTGCCTCTGCTGTACTAGAGAACCTCAGAGATGCGGTACACGTTATGCAGACCACGTGGTTCGACGTCCCGGTAGGCAGCTGGGCGACTGCGATAGACTGGACGCGCGCCGTCATCGACACGCATCTCGTGGCCACGATCTCTACGCTTAGCAGAACGCTGGATCGCGCACCACGAGCTGCAGGCGGGATTCAAAGCCCACGCCTTGGCGATTTCGAGGTCGAAAACGAGATTAATCACTACTTCGCCCAGAATGTAATTCCATCGCTGGCTCTGCTGAACTGGAGGACCTGGAGCTGACGGCATTCTGTGTAGATTGCCTACTACTTTGGAGAGAATGCCTTCCGGATCCGTAATGAGGCCTACGATGACATGCTTTGGGTCGTCCTTGGCTGGTTGGAAAGTGTGAAATTCATCCGGAGGCATTCGCAGCAGCACTACGAGGCCGACATCAACGGACGGATAGAATGGCACGGCATCCAATTCATTGCAGCCTTCGTGCACCGAGCTCGCGTCTTTTACGACCTCGCCTCGCGCGGCTGGGATGAGAAGTTCTGCGGTGGCGGCATGGTATGGAACCCCAACCTAGGTCCTTATAAGAACGCCATCACCAATGAGCAATACATCGCGGCTTCTATTGGAATGTACCTATACTTTCCTGGCGAGAACAATAGCTCTCCATTCTTGGCCGAAGAATCGCGGTCGGGCTTCTCCAGGGGTACGAAGCCGTTCGAGAAAGCATATCTGCGACATGCTGTGGATGGCTATTTTTGGCTGAGGAGTAGCGGCATGACAAACCATAGAGGATTGTATGTCGATGGTTTCCATATCGCCAACTGGCGAACCAATGGCACGGCTTGTGACGAACGTACCGAGATGGTCTATACGTACAACCAGGGTGTCCTGCTCAGCGGTCTCAGAGGTCTCTGGGAAGGTACCGGCAATAGCACCTACCTCGAAGATGGCCACGAGCTGGTTCGGCACGTCTTCGCAGCCACTGGGTGGGATGCCGAGCTCCAGCGTGCTACAAGTGCAGACTGGGCCGGTCTTGGCCGGAATGGCATCCTGGAAGATCACTGCGACGCTGCCGGCAACTGCACCCAAGATGCGCAAACGTTCAAGAGCATCTTCTTCCACCACCTCACGCTGCTCTGTGAGCCGCTGCCGCTGGAAGCTGTTGTGCCGGGTAAGACTCACTCTGCTGACAGGACGCTTGCGCATCTGCATCGCCGGAGTTGTGAGAACTATGCACCTTGGGTCGCGCATAACGCAAAAGCTGCGTTGGAAACTCGTGATAAGCATGGCAGGTTTGGCATGTGGTGGGGAGCTAACAGTGAACTTGATCCAGCACCTTTACCAATACACTCTATTGACTATCGCAATAACGCTTCAGAGACTTTTGAAAGCGTGTGGGCGCCCGGCGCTGGCTTCTCCTGGTCGGACAGCGTACGTCGACACCCCAGCTTGAACGCGGACGGTACGTATCTGGACGCAGTACCGGGCCTGTATGCGGCTGTTAAACTCTCCGAAGGCCAGCAGGTTCTCACCAGCCAGGATCTGAACGATCGCGGTCGCGGACGCACCGTCGAGACTCAAGCTGGCGGTGTCGCTGTCCTCCGCTGTTTGTGGGAGTTACTGAGTCTGCCCTGAAACCATTGTCGCAGAGCCACATTCCTCAGCAACAAGCTGGAATGGCCGGAGTTCCGAACCAAAGACTACCTTTATCGACTGGCTCTGTCTTCAGTCAAGTTTTACAAACAAGGCCAGGCTTGCCATAATGGCAAAGGCTCGTTGCCTTTGGGAGATGTGTTTTCGAAGGTAACTCGCTGGCTTCCTGTGGGCTTCTTGCGTACGCGGACTACTCCGGCCGACAGATCACATATCTAAATTCAAAGGCCAGCGACATATTGCATACATAATGGCAGGTTCGTAGAAATCGCAGGAATCCAAAGTAACGAATTGCTTCTTCCTCATACACGGCTTCACAGTCACCGGCAGAAAGAAGAGTGTCGTGGCATCATCGAGCCCGCAGAGAAATGCACCCTCCGGGAACAGCATCCCGGATGTGGACGTCAAGAGTTTCGAAGAAGTCCCGCACCCAGCCCGCCGCCTCAAGCAGAGAGGGATGCGTTCGAGAGGCAGCGAGATCGCGATAAGCTAGGGACGAAATGAACGGGAGGGTATGTTTTCAATTTGTAGCTCATGTCGATACGTCTACAGATATTAAGTCTTTTCGCGGAACGGCCTGTGCTCCATCGCATCATTTACCTTCACCAAGCAGATTTGATGTTAGCGAAGCACTGTTCTTCTGCTTTAAGGCGGGAATGTGAATCTGCCTTCCACTCGCTTGTGCCTGCCACTTTGCCTTCCGGCGCGATCCGAGATCTGTTTTGAGATCTATGGATCTTAGATCGTACCGACGTCACCATTGTTTTCTGTCTCCTACAACAACATTGAATCCAACCCTACGTACCATTACGAACGGCTTTCTCGATTGGAGATCCATTGATACGACCTATACACTCATCATGGCCTCACTCCGTGTCCTCCGTCCGCTCGTCCGCCAGGCACCTCGAGCAATCTTCCTTCCGGCACCACGAAGATTCCTCCAGACGGACTCTGCCCCCGTCTTAACCACGGCAAACGCTCATGTAACAGGTGGACGTGCTAATGGGTAGGTCGAAATCATGCATAGTAGGCATCAGATCACTAACTTTCTTGTAGACACGTCAACGCCAATGCCTTGAACCTAGGTATGTCACAAGCGTCCGGCAAACCGCAACATGAACTCTCAACTCACATCCAGCAGATCTCGGCATGCCCCGCGAGCTCGGCGGAAAAGGCGACAAGATCAACCCCGAAGAACTCTTCGCTGCCGGCTACGGCGCGTGCTTCCAGTCTGCCATGAACGCCACTGCCAAGGGCATGGGTCTGACGATGCCAGAGGGCGCTAAGGACAGTATTGTCGACACCACCGTTAACCTTGTCGGTGACCTGCAGAAGCTTGACCTCGGGCTCAAGGTCAGCATGACTGTCAAAGTCCGCGGCATGAGCAAGGAGGAGATCCAGAAGGTTGTCGATGAGGCGAAGAAGGCTTGCCCCTACTCGAGAGCTACTCAGGGCAATATCAGCACCGATATCAAGGTGGAGGTGTTGGAGTAGCGTGTCTGTAAAACTTGAGAAGAATTATTGGGAAGCAATGGGACTGTAACTTTAGTACTCAAACATCTACAGCTTAGCATTAGGCATAAACCTCATCGCCTGTCGCACCCCCAGATCCGCCAGTACCTCCTCCGCGCCACCAAGGATCGCATCAAACTTGTATGTCCGATGGAACATCTCGACCACCTTACCCATTCCACTCTGAGTTATCCCTCGCCCGCCAAAAATATTCACAGCGTCATCTGCGATCTCATGCGCGCTTCGCGTACAGAAGGTCTTGAGAAGCCCGATGGGTCCACTGAGGTTCTTGGCCTGGTCTTTATAGGACATGTGGTTCATCTGGTAGGTAATTTGCTCTAGCCAGGCTTGGTTGGACTCGACGAGGCCAATCATGCGGGCGAGCTTTTGACGGATGACGGGCTGGGAGATGAGTGGTTTGCCGAAGACCATGCGTTGGTGCGACCATTTGAGGCACTCTTCTAGGACTGTACGGCTCCATCCTGCAGGACGAGTCAGTGAATTCGTGCTGGGCTGATAGAAAGTAAGTGACTTACGGGACACCATGCAAGCCATCATCCATCGCTCGTGACTGATGAGCTGTTAGTGAAGTCCAATCATAGACAGCTGTTTCCATGGCAATGCTTACTTGAAATTGCTCATGATCACGACGAAGCCTTTGTGCTCTTCTCCAAGCAGGTTCTCCTTCGGTACCTTCGCATTGTTGAACTCGATGTATGTCGTGGCAGCAGCAGTCGAGTACGAAGTCTTGATGAGCTTGACCTCGACATCCTCAGTCTTGGGTATCAGCAGCACGGAGAAGCCCTTCGATGTCTTGCAACCGGTTACGAAGTAGTCGGAGAACATTCCATTGGTAATCCATTTCTTGGTGCCGCGGACGATGTAATGGCTGCCGTCTTCGCTCAACTCTGCGGTCGTTCGAAGGCCAGCAACATCAGAGCCAGCAAAGCTGTTCAGAGTCAGTCGTCCTTGACGTCCAATTGAAAGTTGCCATTGAGCCTGCTTACGCTTCTGTGATGGCCAATGACATCTTCTTCTTCCCAGACAGCACTTCCTCAGCAACCCTATTCTTCAGCTTCTCATCGTTCGCCCAAGCAAGCACAGCAGACAGTGAGATCGTCATCCCTGCCATATTCCCGTCTTGAAACCCTCTAGCATTCATGCGCGTAAGCTCCTGGCTGATGATAAGATCGCAGAAGTAATCGTAGTCTTTCCCATCAATCACTCCGCCCAACAGACTCCGACCTTCGAGGTGCTTCCCAGGCCCCATCCGCATAGCCAACACATTCGCCTCAGCCATCTTGTCAATGAGCTCCTGACTGATGAACTCCCCACTCTTCTCCTTCTCCTGCGCCTCCGGCTTCATGTGCTCTTCGACAAACTTCCTCATCGCGTTCTGCAACCTCTTGTGCTTGTCGCTATAGAACGAACTCTTGAATTCGGGAGACAACCACATTGGCTCCGCGTACGGGACCTTGCTGAGGTCGCCAATCTGTGGATCGATCACCTCCGGCTTCTCGCCTTCGATAGTGCCGATGCATAGTGAGGCGTATTGCTGTAATACTTCGTGTCGATGGAGGTTGTAGAAGGCTTCGGTTGCGTCTTGTCCGGCGACTTGTTCGAGGACGATTGAACCGCCGGGGTGCGCGTCAATGAAGTCTGAGACGTCGTAGACCTTGTGGTCAACGATGAACCAGAGGTCCTCTTCGGAGGTGTGCTTTGCGACCTCTTCTCTGGTTATTTGTTGAGACATTGTCATTTAATTTAAGCAATAGCAGCTTGGTGTTGGCGTATCAGCTGATCGAGATGGTCGTTAGATTCGAACGAGAGTAGAGCAAACCGTCGTTCACGTTCAACAAGTCGTCGACACGCCTCCGTCTGACAGGGTTTGGGATCGACATTCAAGTTCACTTGTGCCGAGGTCCATCAATAAGCTAGCTCTAATTGGCAGGAGCTGGCCTCGTGGTGGAGGCTCTCTCAATGCTTCCAGTTCTGGTATATTTACAGGTGAAATAAGTTCTTATAAGGTGCCTGTAGTATGGCGTGGCGGACACGATGCATCAGTTCGATGGATGGTGGCAAAGAGGGGGTTTTCGTCGCGATTTCATTAAAGTAGACTTTACATGCTGCTGTCCCTCCGTTCGTCCATCTGCCAATCTTCTACTCTGAAACCACCCTTTGACCAGATCATGCCATGAACTCGATCTCCCGCTTTGGAGTCAGACCACATTTTCCCACTCCCACCTTCATCACCTGAGCATTCACACGTCCAAGCTGGACCGCCTGGCCGTTTGTTAACGTGTTCATCGCCTGCTGGCCGATGTTGAGACCAGTGTCGGTATGGTCGATGGCGAGAATGAAGATGCTCTTGCTCTTGTAGGTGACCTTGTAGCACTGTCCGCACTGAGCAGAGTTCCAGCCAGCAATGTCAACGCTCCCACCAATGCGGGGAAATGTACTACAGAACGTCAGCGTGTTATCCTGCGTAGGGCAAAGATGGTGCGGAACTGGCTTCTATGCCCTAGACGGACAGGTAGGCTTGCTAGGCTGAGATGACCTCTAAGGGGCATCTCAGCTCGTAGGCGCTCAAGCCCCTTCAACTGTGAGACATAGGAGTGACATGTTTCACCTAATATTTACTTACGGGATCTGTCCTTGAGTGCTCCAGCCGTAGCGGGTCTCCAGACCGTTGACGCCGTCTGAGCAAGCGACGACGTTGAGGCTCCGTCCTGCTTGGTCATAGCCGGTGTCGTAGCTGACGGATAGAGTGCGTGCTGCTAAGGAGGAGGCACTGAGGCCAAGGAATGCGACGATGCTGGTGAGCTTCATATTTGCTGTGTTTCTTGATAGCCTGGTGGTGCTGAAGGACCGTAGTAGCAACCGTGGAAGGCCAATTGCTTGTAATGACAACAGAGATGCTTTTTGGTGTGGCGGTCAGACGAAGGGAAAGACTTATATACCTACCTTCCAGGCCACGGATGACGACGGCAATGTCGTATGTGAACTTTCGTGTATCTTCCCTTCCTATGGCCGTTACAGCCTCATGCTGTCCTGCTTACCACACTTTGAATATGCAAGAAGGTCATGGGTGATGAGGAGACACGAGGTCGAAGCGAAAGTGAGATGCGCTAGCATCACTAGCGTGAAGATTCTTTGGAAAGAGCAACCGCATTGCTCGAATCTCGACCTTGAGCTGCACCGAAGTGCGTTTGCGGCTGGCTGTACCTCGAGACATCCAATACTTCGGGCATGCAGCGTGAAGAGGTGATCCTAGCAGGATTACCTGAGGCTCATCGAACACGAAGTTCGAGTGGTCTGGCCAGTCGTTGTCTGTCTCTGTGGCACCAGGAGCACGCATGGCTGGCAATTGATTGACACATCAGCATGTCGTGGCACGTCAAACTGCATATGATCTGACATCTGCATGGCGACTATCAACAACACGAACATTTTCTGCAAGTTCTCGTTGCGAACACGACCTGGAATTCAAGAGCTGTGGCGCTACCTGGGAATCTGGCTCTTGTCCTAATTCACCCCTACAGCTTACTGTCAGGCTCGTTCACCAAGGTATACCGGAACCTGGCCTTTCCAGCATCCATGTCGATGATGGCCTGGTTAGCGTCCTTCATCGGCCGGGTCTGTACCCAGGCCTTGACCTTCTTGTCAACAGCCAGCTGCAACATCTCCTCTACCTCTTCAGGAGAGCCAATCTTGCTGAACAGCATCTTCGAGCAGGTAGGAGTTCCGGTAAGCACTCACTCTTGTCCTCAGAAGTGGCAATGTACTCGTCCGCTCCCATCTTGAGCACATCGCTCCGCTTGTCGTTCTTTCGGCTGATTCCCACCACTCGGTCTGCACCCATTGCCTTTGCAAACAGAATGCCATAATGGCCCAGACCGCTTGGAATTGGTTAACAACGGACCCTTTTCAGCAGAACACCGAGCAGTACTTACCCAACCCCAACAATTCCAACCTTCATCCCCGGGCCACAACCGTTATTTCTCAACGGCCCGTACATCGTGATACCTCCACACATAATCGGCGCGGCCTCCTCGCTGGGGAGACCCTCTGGAATCTTGAAAGCACACTGGGCATTGCAACGGTGATACTTCGCATACCCGCCTTGCGACATACCGCCGTTCGGATACTTGGAGCCGTACGTGTTCACGCACTTGGTACAGTACTGCTCGTTGCTAGACGTGCATTCTTCGCAGTCGGGTTGTTGGCAGGACTGTTGCATGGCACCTACACCGACGCGGTCGCCGATCTTGAGGCCTTTGGTGACGGCGGAGCCGACACGTACGACCTTGCCAACGATCTCGTGGCCGACGCAGATGGCTGTTGAAGTGAAATCAGTGTGCTGTGCATGGAGATGAGGCAGGGGACTTACGGTACGGTGTCTACGTCCGACCAAAGCTCGTCAGATCTACCTTGCTCCAACAACCAGATGACTTCCTCACTTACCGCTCCATGTCCCGACCTCAAGGTGTGCAAATCAGTAGCACAGATACCACAATGCGTGATTTGAATATCAACATCTGTCTCCTCCCAAGGTTTGGGCTCGAACTGCTGCCAGACGAGCTTGCCCTTTGCAGACTCCTTGTCGTGGCCCATCCATCCTTCGAAGGCGTAGTCTGAAGCCATTGTGGCTGTGGATGATTCAAACAAACTCTCTCAAAGTTCCAACTTGCTCGTACAGAAGACGAGGAGTATCTAGGGCAAGCGGATAATGATAGCCGGGCTCGAGAAGCAGTGATGTGGTCAAGGTGTATGGTTGGGTGATACGTCGATTATATGCAGGACGACCAACCTGAAAGTGTTCTAAAGTGAAGCTCGCACCTTCAAGATGAGGTATTCATATGCACTACTTGAGTGGAGGGCCGTTGACTTTCCTGCCTCGGTATAGGTGCCGGAGGTTCGGCGTTAAGAAAACCCAATCCGGCAGGAGCGCACGCTTCGACCATGGCTTCATTATTGAGCCGCTGCGGGGTTTCGTAGAGTGCTGGACAGCCTGTACATGACGCGTGACTATGGGGCGTTGGGGGAGCTGATGAAGCAAGAGCCAAAACGTCCGTACAGAACTCGCGCTCAAGCCACCTATCTGCCACAGGGACCTGACCAACAAGGAAAATGGAGTGAAGGAAGACACCGGCCTCGCCTCTGTCATCAATACCTTTGTTCGTAGATATACCACAAAAGCGAGTGGGCGCATACACAGGGCGAACCACAGCCGCAAGCCACTGCTCAAGACCTTGGTTCAAAAGCGGGCGTTGATGCGAGCAGCAACGCGTTTGAGTGAGTGAAGTGCACCTCATATCGAGGCGCCAAACATTCTTTCCAAATCTCCGACATCCTACGCCGTGACTTCAATCACCCTGCTCATGCCGCCATCTCCAAGGCCCATCCCTGCCAGTGCCTTCTCCAACCCAATCAAACCAGGCTCATCGCCCTCCTTCTCCCAACCTCTCAGTGGACCCCACACCAGCCTCTTGCCGTTCTCTTCGATGTTTCTACGCAAAGCCATAACAAGCGGCGCCTCCTTCTTTACGGCCGGATATGCATCAATCTCGACCGTCGCCAAGCTCCGCGCCTGCTCAATAATCCCGCGCAGCAGGTCTACGCAAAACCACTTGTACGTCTCCTCGGTAGCATTCTTGCCTCGGAAGCCTGTAAAGATGCTATCGGATGGATCGCATTCCACAAATATCTTGAGCGTGCGGAGACTCGTGCAGTCTGCGAGGCCAAGAGAAGGCCTGGTGTTCTGACAGCGTGGTGGGTTGCTCCAGCCTGGGCCAAGGCGGAGTTCAAGCGTGGTGACCGCGGCGCGATAATGTGGTGGCAGGCGGGCGAGGAGCGGTTGTTTTGTATGGAAAAAGCGGCCGTGGGTCGGGAAAAGGCGGATCGGCTGGGAGTAGAAGACGGGGTATGCTTCGTCGTGCATGCGGCGGCTGGCAAGGAAGACGGCAAGGCGGGGATGGACTAGGCGGTAGTTGACTGGATCTGAGGAGATAATTGTCAGCTACTAGAGCCTGTGCTCCGTCTGTGCACAGTCTTACCAAGATCCAGTGGCTTTGAGGTCCACAGTAGCATCTCGTATACCTTGATTCTTAACTCAGAGGGCAGATCGAAGAACCTGAATGGCTCTGCCGGCGTTGGAGGTGTCGGCGATGGCGCGCGCGAAGGTACTGTTGAAGGTGCCGCTGAGGGAGCCGCAGAAGGCATACGCGAGGATACCGCCGACGTGGTGGTGGACGATACCACAGATGGATACTTCCGGTTTCGGCGCGCCATGTTCGCAGGTTTTGAAGATGCTGGTGGTGTAGTATTACGAATGCTCTTCGCGCTCTATTCCAATGATATTGCAACGAGTCCTGACAGTCTTCACTGCGGCCGCTGGAGCGGGCTACAGGTCATCGCGTGACCTGTCATGGTTTATGCAGCCATCGCGATGGCGGTGGCAGTTGCGGGGTGTGGTGGTGGTGGGAGGGAGCGGTTCCACGGTTTGCTAACGGCGGCAAGCAGGTGGCAGGTGTCAGGTGTCGTGCGGCACAGGGAAGCAGGATGCTGTAGAACGTGCAGAGGATGAAGAGGAGTAAGAGAGGAGGGGAAGTGTGGCGTGAGGTACAGTTACTTGTAGAACTACTATCGGCCCGGCGAGGGAGGGCATGAGTTTGCTGCTCTGCGGCCAGACCTCAACACCTTGGCCATGCCGACTTCACCTCTCCGCCGCAGTCCCTCCTACAGCCACCATTGAAGACCGAAGTTGTTCTCTCCTATCAACTCGTCATGCTGTCGAAGCATTCTCATAGGTGCAGATTGTTCCGTCTCAACGGGACCAGTGGAAGACGGGGATTGCTACCAGCGGTTCTTTATAGACGTCTGTCTTGGTCTCCCCGATTTATACAACATCGTGATACTGTGTGTCTTCAAGATGCCTGTTATTTCTGCATCGGGTGCATAAAAACTTTCTGAAGAGAGAAGAAAGGACGGCAAACCTCTGCCATCCCGTTTATGTAGCCCGTGACTTCTTCGACTTAGTCGTGGCGACTGAACCTTGGAGGGCCTAAAGTCGTTGCATGAATTGTGCGCCTTCCTTCACGAAAGCATGACATCTTTCCTACCACGACTTGCCACCACACCAGATGCCTTCCTTTTCCATCGAGGTGGCCGGGGAGGCGAGTCCTTTGACAGAACGTCAGCTGGTGAACACTCTCACGTCGGCGGCTTCGAGAGACACCTACCTAAGAGTGACGGGTACCGCGCAGCTGCGAACATGGGAGAAGTCAGCTGGATACTATCAGCACCTTCAGAGCGCATATCTGGACCAGAGGCTGCCGGTAGAGATCCGGTACCTGGCTATCATTCAATTGAAGAACGGCATCGATAAGTATTGGAGGAAGACTGCTTCAAAGTACGCATGTTCGTTCTGTCTTCTACTACACTTCCTGCGCTCGTGCTCCTGCCTTCCTTGTAATCTTCAAATTGCTTCTCATTCTACTCTGCTAACGATCATGTAGTGCTGTGTCAAAGGAGGACAAGAATGCCATCCGATCACGTCTTCTCAGCTCCATCCTAAACGAAGGCGAGAACGGGCTGGCCGTGCAGAATGCTCTTGTCATCGCCAAAATCGCCCGCTTCGAGTACCCGCATGACTGGCCTGACGCTCTCACATCGTTAACCGACGTCCTGCGCTCTCAGATCCCACCACTACAACTAGCTCGAGCATTACTTGCCCTGCTTCACATCGTCAAGGAGTTGTCCACAGGCCGGCTGCAACGAACTCGACAGAACCTCCAAGCTGCTACTCCAGAGATCGTCCATGTTCTTGGAAACGTCTATGCAGCGACGACAGAATCGTGGCGCTATAACACTACCGGCGACACGAGACCGCAGATTCAGCAAGGACTGCTGGCCATGAAAGTCTTGAGGCGGCTGCTGATCGCTGGCTACGAACACCCTAAACGAAACACCGAAGTCGTCGCTCTCTGGCAGCTCACGCAAGAACATCTGGGAGCATTCATCCAAATACAGAAAGCAGGTCATCCGCACGCTGATCTGATCGAGAAACAGATGCTTCAACTTGCGAAGCTTCATCATGAGATGGCTCGAGACCATCCAGCAGCATTTGCTCTACTACCTAACTCTGTGCCACTTGTTCGAGCGTACTGGGACATGGCGAAGGACTTCGGCAGTGTTCTTGGCTCTAAGGAAGCCGTCACATCAGCCATGTCCTCTGCCACCATCGGGATGGATGGCGATGCCGACGAGGATAAGTCAGGCCAAGAAAAGCTTGCGCTGAAGGCCCTCCTGATCATCCGGGCCTGTATCAAGATGGTCCACAGTCCGGCGCAGACATTTAAGTATCGCACTGCGGACGACAAGCAGGAAAAGTCGCAAGCGACGGCTCTCATACGGCAAGACCTCTTGACTATGGAATTCGTACAAGAGGTCATGGAGGTTCTAATAATGATGTTCTTCGTCTTTCGGGCCAGCGATCTGAGAGAGTGGGATGAGGAACCAGAGGAGTGGGAGAAGCGAGAGGAGGGCGAGGGAGATGACTGGGAGTTCTCTCTCCGGTCTTGTTCCGAGAAGCTCTTCCTGGATCTTGCGATCAACTACAAGGATGTTCTGGTGCAACCGCTGCTGCAAGTCTTCTACAGTGTCGCATCACCCGAGAACGAGAACATATTGTTCAAAGACTCCGTCTACACCGCGATCGGGCTGGCGGCCCCAGTCGTGCATGAACATTTGGATTTCGACGCCTTCATCCGAGACGTGCTCATCACGGAAGTACAGAAGTCGAAGCCTGGCCACAACATCATTCGCCGCCGAGCAGCTATCATCCTTGGACAGTGGATATCGATCAAGGTGTCGGACACAAGTCGACCAGCTGTGTATCAAATCTTCCAGCATCTCCTCAACAAAGCCGACGGAATGAATGATCAAGTTGTCCGCGTGACAGCAGGCCGGCAGCTCAAGAACATCTGCGAAAGCTGGGAGTTCCAGTCCGACCAGTTCATGCCTCATGCCAACAACATTCTGACCCATCTCATGCAGCTCATTGACGAGGTCGAGCTTACAGAAACGAGGATGGCATTGCTCAATACCATCTCGGTCATTGTGGAGAACCTTGACCACAAGGTCGTACCTTTCGCCGACGGCATCATCAGCATGCTACCGTCACTCTGGGAAGCATCGGGCGACGAACATTTGATGAAACAAGCGATACTTACCATCCTCACTCGGCTGGTCACTGCGATGAAAGAGGACAGCCTGCCAGTGCATAACATGGTCTTTCCCATCATTCGAGGCGCAGTCGAGCCTGGCTCTGACACAAAGTTGTACCTTCTGGACGACGCAATGGATCTGTGGGCTTCGCTGATTGCACAAACGCCTGAGCCAGCCTCAGAGGAAGCTCTCGCGCTCGCGCCGTATCTGTTCCTAATCTATGAGTCTGGGTCGGACAACTTACGCAAAGCGCTCGAGATGACCGAGTCGTACCTCCTTCTGGCACCAACTCACATGGTCTCCGACAACGGCTTGCGGCGGCCAATGTTGGATGCGTTGAGACCTCTGATTGGAAATGCACACGCATCGGCTAATGGCCTGGTCTGTAATCTGGTGGAGGTCGTCGTTCGCAAGGTACAGAAGCTAGGAGGCGAGGCTGCCGTGACGCAGACGGCCGATGATCTCGTACACGTCGGCTTCTTGCAAAAGCTGCTGTATATGCTAAGAGGAAGCTGGATCGCACACTGCACCACTGGACCCAATAGGAAGGAAGCTCCTGTGGACGGCATTGTCGAGACGGACTACTTCTCCATTCTGGCACGACTAATTCTTGGATCTCTATCTGGGTTCTGCCAGGCCTTCGATATAGCCGCGCCACCCGTTGATCCACCCCATCAAAACCTGGACTCACACATGAGGTGGCTACTCGAAGAATGGTTCTCGCACTTCGAGAATATCGGTGACCCGTCACGGAGGAAACTGATGTGTCTGGCGCTCACGAAGCTGCTGGAGACGAATCAGCCGTTCATCCTGTCGAATCTGCAATCACTCATGACCGTCTGGACGGATGTTATTACTGAGCTGCGTGAGGACGAGGCGGATCGGAACGGGGACTCCTTGGTCCACGATGCCGCGGCCGAGACGGGGTATGACGGGGTCAAGGAGGCGGTGGAAGATGTCAGGAGGCGGGAGTTCTTGTATGAGGATGTGGTGCACACAACTAATATGCCGGCGTTTGTGAAAGGGTGTCTGGAGACAGCGATTGCGGGGGTTGGTGGAGAGGCGAGGTTTCGAGAGGAGTGGTTGGTAAATGTCGATCGGGATGTGCTGGATGGTTTTGCGAAGTTAGGGATCATGTGATAAGGACAACTCTCGGGGATGTTGTTGGTATGCAGGCCCGGGCGCTAGCGTGGTTGCGGCCTGGAGGCTCTGCATTTCGGCTCCCTCTGGAACACCCTCATCTTCTCAACCTCTGACATACAATCAACAGACTTTTCCACTGTGTCACATTGATAACTATCACATCATGGCGTTCGAGGTTCTTCAGCTTGCGCCTGAGATCATCGAAATCATCTTCGATCATGTGTAGGTCAAACCAACAGGCTCATCGAGATGCAGTCGAGCGGTGTCCGGCGCTCTCAGACCTTTCGACATCAACTCCAAAATCAAGATATCAGCTGATGGTTTCGATTGCTAGGCAAGATCGGCCAACTCTTCTCTCCCTGGCGCTCACCTGTTCTGGCCTACGCCCCTTCGCTGAGGAACGACTGTACAATGCTATCCGGCCAAGACGAGGCGCCGAAATCACGAAGCTGCTGGAAGCTCTGGAAGCCAACGATCAAAGAGCAAAGTTGATACGTAGGCTTGATTGTCGTCTAAAAGGCTTTGACCTTGACGGACATTTCCGTCTTCCTCTGGTGATGGAGAAGACGACGAAACTCCAGGAACTCGTACTGGAAAGTCCATACTGCAACCATGTCAGCAGAGACGAGCTCGAGACGTGGTCTGAACACCTCACCAATGTGTTACGGCCAATCTGCGATTTTCGTCTGCAAGGCAGAATGGGCGTCGACCACATACCAGCATTGACCAGTATGACCATACATTGGGGGTTGAGGCACCAGCGCTGCTGGCCTGTCACGCCGGCACTGGGCGTGATGCTGTTTGCGCACCCCAGGTTGCGTGACCTCACAATCTCTTGTGCTGACCTTCACGGGGAGGACCTGAGATGCCTCCGGGGACTGCCAACTACCATTCTGAAGAGTCTTTCCCTGGTGCAGTGTTTCATGGACGTGGAAGCACTCGAGATAATGATGTCGCTGCCCAAAGCCCTGGAGCGAATGCACTTGGGTGGGCTATGCTCTCCTCTGGAAATATGCTGTTACGTACACTAACTCATCCCTGCAGGGCAACGAAGCATAATAGTTCCACAACCTCAGCTTGGCGAAGAAGCGCCCGCGAAGGTCTTCAGTGCATTGGCGCAACAGAAGCACTCTCTCCAACAGCTGCAGTACTCAGACAAGAACTTTGCAATGGACCAAAATGATGACCTGCCAGAAGGTTGTAGAGGCTTCGCTGAGTTCCCACAGCTACGAAGCATTGTACTGGATGGAAAAGTGAGTCGCTGTGTTGAGGGGTGCATGTCTAGATGCTGACGCAGACTTCTGCAGCACAATCATTTCATCACGAGTGCGCTCATGGACCAGCACAGAACGGCTCCTAGCCTGACCTCCTTGACAGTCAAGGGACGGCCTAGCTCCCGGAACAGATGGACATCCATGTCTATCTCCGACAAAGACACAAGATGGCCAGCCGCCGCTGTCGCGGCTTCACGAACGCTATCGGAGCTGACGATGGTGATGGAGAAGGATTACCTTACGGGAAGGTATACGAGGATTCGAGCTGACGATTGCGATGCTCTGATGCGAGCGGGCCAGACGTACAAAAGCAGAGGCATCTTGCTTCGTGTCTACGTGCTTAGGTCGAGAGGGGCTGTCGAACCGATTTTGTATGATGAGAAAGAACCGCTCGAGGAGTTGATTTATTGTTCGGAGGAGGGACCGTCGGCTGCTTTTGCTCAAGTCATGAAGCGGTTTGCTGAAGAGGTTCCTGGGTGACAAAAAAAGCGTGACAGCTCCCGCCCAAATTCCTGCCCAGCTGTCCCGCTGCAGAGGTTCAGTAGAACTTAGTTCTAGGCCAAGGTAGAATGCTTCTCCGCGAACAACTTCAAAACTCAGTCTATCTTCAATGACCGCGGGAGTCTGTAAGTTTATACGGAGCAGTAGCGTAGCCATGTGAAAAGACCCTGGAGCACAAGTGAATGCAGGTCAACAACCCTGTCACACCCCACCCTCAACGGTGATCGCTGCAGGGAGAGCTGGAGAGAACTACGCCGAGCTGCGGAGGATGAGACCTCCTCACCTTCACCGAGGCCGGGACTCATCCTTGACCAGTTACCCGACGCGCTTACCGCTCAGCCTTTGTCACATGGCAGCTTTGGTGTGGACTGAGGTATCATGGCACCGAGTAGAGCTATACTTTGCGTGCGATCCTCTGCTTCTTTGGAGCAGGCTGCGGAACATCAATTCTCAACGATATGCCTACGACGAAAGCACGCCGTGAGCGAAAGCTGCCGGTCCAGCAGCTCTCGATCTTGGGTAATAGAGACTCAACGTTGACAACAAGACCACCAGTGCTGACACTTTACTGTAGCAATATGCCGATTTGCAGAACCCATAGCCAGCACCTCACTCTTCCCCTACCTCCCAGAAATGGTCAAGTCCTTCGGCGTCCCGGAGAACGAAATCGGAAAATGGGCGGGCATATGCTCGTCCATGTTCTCCCTCTGCCAGGCCGTCATGGGCATTCCCTGGGGTCGCTTCTCAGACATCTGGGGCAGGAAACCCGCCATTCTCCTTGGACTCTGCACGACCATGACCACGAGCTTGATGTGGGGGTTCTCGACCAATCTGCCTATGGCTATCGTTGCGCGAGGGCTGGCTGGAGCAGGGAATGGTAATGTCGGTATTATTCGGACGACGGTTGCTGAGATGGTTCCGTTCAAGGAGTTGCAGCCTCGAGCCTTCAGCCTGATGCCGCTGGTATGGAATATAGGCAGCATTTTTGGCCCTACCATTGGAGGCGCGCTGGCCAATCCGTACAATGTAAGGCCTCGAGAGCATATCGAGCATCCCAGTCTGCTTGAGAGGTTTCCGTACGCTCTGCCGAACATTGTTGCTGGCTGCTTCTTTGCGATTGGCATCACCGTGGGGTTCCTGTACCTAGAGGAGACGTTGGACACTCTTCAGGGGCAGCGAGACTACGGACGCGTACTGGGTCAGAAGTTGTCTGGTATAGTGAAGAGCCATATTATGACCGCTGAGGAGATACTGCATCTGCGAAGTAGCAAACCAACGCCCGGCAAGGACAACGAACGGCAGCCGTTGCTGAAGTCGGCGGCCGACGAAGAGACGCTGGCGTTGGAACCAAAAGCTCCGCCGCCGCCTCCACCGTCGTACTCAGAAGTGTTGAACAGACAAGCCGTCTTAAACTTGGTTGTGTACACTCTGCTGGCATTGCATAACATGGGTTTTGACCAGCTTCTTCCGGTCTTCATGCAGCATCCAACGCTCAAGCACAGGTCCTCGGACTCCTCTGGTAACCCACTGAAGTTCGCCGGCGGCTTCGGTCTCGACCACTTCCGTATCGGTTTGATCGTAACCGCCTACGGAATCTGCGGCATGGTGATACAATTCTTCCTCTTTCCACCGATCGCACGACGCTTTGGTGTGCTGAATTGCTTGAAAGCTTGCGCTATCGCATTTCCGATAGCCTACTTCCTCATCCCATTCACTGCACTACTGCCGACGACGGAAAGCAGAGTGGCTTGCTGCTTTGCAGTTATGATGATCAAGTGCTGGTGCTCAATCTTCGCCTTTCCTTGCTCGACGATCTTGCTCACTAACAGTGCGACAAGCTTGAGAGTCCTGGGTACGCTGAATGGCTTTGCGACATCCTTCAGTGCGGTTGGGCGAGCGGCAGGACCGGCCATTGGAGGATATATGTTCACGCTCGGGGTGAAGCGTGGCTATGTTATTGCTGCATGGTGGACGTACTGTTTACTTGCGATCATTGCCGCGATACCGGTCTGGCTCCTGGTTGAGGGCGAAGGGTTCGGTGGTCCGGACGATCATGTCAGCGACGAGGAGGAGGTGGAAGACGATGGAGTGGAGCAAGCTATGACCACAGGGGCTGGTGAAGGCGAATTTGCGTTCACGCGACGAGGCTCTCAACTGGAAACTCCCCCAGAGCAGCGCGAAGAGGCAGAAGAGGAAGATTATGGCGGTTTCGAGCCAATCACACGGACCACGACGATGTCCTCAGCCTTCTCGCTTGGTAGCGACGAGTACATCACGCCCAGTGGGAGCCGCAATGTGTCGGTGGCAGAGGGCAGTTCCAGGGCTGGAGGCAGTGAGCCCGCGTTAAGTCGGAAGAGCTCAAGAAAAGTCATGCGGCGGACGTCGATACCATTTGGCATGGGTTCGGTCTCCAGGCGGTATAGCAGCAATTTGGGCCAGAGCTTGGGCACAGCCGGCAGCTATCATGGACAGTGAGAGAGCATGTGATGCATTATGAAGCCTTCGGCAAGCGCTGTACTTTGGTGATCTCATCGCGAGGCGTTCATCTGGGCTGCTTTGGCATTGCAGTAGCGTATTTGGGTATTGTGAACATGCTGCATCGGAGGAGGGGAGATCTGCTGGGGTATCAGATGCAATGCATTGCGCGCTTGTACGCTCGCTCTCAGTATCCAAATCGTCAAAGTCTTCAAGCCTGATCCAATCAGTCTACTCCTCGTCCATGCCGAAAGCGATAGTCTCCAACGTTATGGCCTCGACGAAGAGCGTATTATGGTTCTAGAGCAGTCTTTTCAGCATGGTTTGATCAGCCTTACCAACGAACTGAAGCTTCGTACCTTGCAAACCAAGAAGCATTTCTCAATTACTCCCTCATTAGACGTGCTCTTCTGAGCACGCTTCACCTCTTCCAATGCATGCAAACGTAGTCGACGTGCTATGCAACTGCTTCGTGACAGGCGTCTTGGTGCATAAGCGCACCCCTCGGAGAGCTCCCTCGCGATCGATCGCTTTGCTGAATGATGTTGCCGTACATGGTGTGAATGGTGTCGCTCTAGGGTATCGCCATGGCCAAATGAGTGCCGATCGCTGTCGCATATCGTTGTGGAAGTCGATCCTCTGGTCGATGTGGCGTAGTGCGTTGCGTTGATGATGCTGAGACGGAATAATAACAGAATCGCAAAGCCTCATCTCAGTAGTGTGAGTATGACAGTTCAGTCGTTGACAACGGTATGCTGTGTTGCCTGGGTCGTTTGGTGCGACTCCAATTGGAGGCGGCGATGTTCTCTTTATTCCTCTCCCTCAAGTCCCGCTGGTACTCATATTGCGAGAAGCCGCTCTCGATCTGTTGACCCTCCCTTGCTCCATTTTCGTCGCCGGTCCAGATCCTATGCCCGATTGCCCATCCGATCAACAAGGCAATACCAGCTCCCAAGATACAGAGCACGATGATGGCTGAGGCGGAGAGCTGTCCCATCGCGTCGTCGGCGGTCGGCGATTGCGGTGGGGGTGGTGGGGTGTCTGATTACCTTAGTGGGGTCGTTCTCTCGCTGTCGGCGGTCGCTGGGGTTGGTTGTCTTCTGATGAGCGCGGGCATCGGTTTTGATGACTTGGAGTGGAATGGAGAAGAGGAGACATGATATTGCAGGAAGTACGAACTTTGTTTGCGACAGGTCGACAGGAAGGAACGTACCTTGCATGGGAGGGGTTCAAGGCTGACGACGACGAACGCGCCAGCACAGAGAAGCCAATCAACGGTGATGGCGCAGCTCGTATTTGTGTATACTTTTCTCGATATTTTGTTGCCTAATACCGATCTCGTATACGACACAAGACTTTCATCGCGTCGATCGCATCGATGTTGGAGCTTCCCACGCCTTCCTCCTCCTTCAGCGGTTACAAAGCCGCTACATTCCATAGCAAACACTTCAGATTGGATGCGACCGAGACGACAGTAGCAGGGCCTTCTCCACTAAGCGACATGCCGTCCTTGACACACCTCTACTACCATTCTGCCTCTTTCATCTCCAATTACACATACTGCTTCCAGCCGCTGCGGACGATCAATCTGTGGTTCCAGAACGAGCTTGGCCGATCCATTCCCCTTTCTCGGCATCAAATACGAAGTTGTAGAAGATGCGCTTCGTCAATGCGTCTGCGCCATATTCCTCTATCAGAACGTCCGTGTATGCGAACGGGACCTTGACCGCAACGCCTTCGAAGACGCTGTCCCGGAGCGGAAAGATGTCGTCGTACATGTAATGGTGCTTATCCTTGACCATCATCGCGCCATCAGTCCCCAAAGCATCCGCTGTCTTGTTCCTGCGCAAGGTGGTGATGTCGATGAAGAGGCCGACGTCCATGTCGTTCCATCGAGCGTCGATCATGTTGATGCTGTCGACGCTGCCGTTGGCGTAGTGAGGGTTGACATCCAGGAGGTACCCTCATGATTTCTCCAGTCCAGGCAGCCTGAACGAATGGACGGTCATGTTGTGGAAGGCAGCAAGACGACGGATTGACCGCTGGGTTACCATCACATCGACATCATCGTCCCAGGGCAAGACTCGACGGCTCCAGTACTAGCCGAGCAAGCTGCCGTGGACCAGGAAAGTCTCGACTCCAATGTCGGCCATGGTGGCGAGGTAGGTTTGGATGAGAGGGACGAGATGTGCCTGCGTCTCCTCGTTGGACAATTGTCGGACAGCAAACCGATCGTCATAGTGACAGTTCCAGTCCGCTTCTTGGAAGTATTTTCGTGGTACATCGGACTGAGACGCGCTGTAGTACGGCACTGGCGGACTTTGACTGTACTCGAACGGGGCATCTCCTCTAATCCCAGGAGGAGATGTTCGTGTGGTGCTCGTGAAACATGAGAACCAAAATGCCAGTAAGTCGAGAAGCAGCCTCATCCTCCAAATGATGGTGTATCATGGACTTCCATCGCAGTTAAAATCTAGAGAGCCTTCCATGCGCCAGTGGTGGATGATGAACGGGACCTAACTGCAGCTGCGCGTCCCATCGTGACTAGTGGGCGCAAATGGGTTCGTCGTCCCAACCGCGCGGTTCAATGCCAATGCCAATGCCTGACAAGCGCGGCAAGCTTCCTCGAAGAATGAAGCCGGAGTCCTGGAAACGTTGGTTTGGCCACGCGGCAAGGTGCGTACGCAGCGGTAGTCAGTGACTTAGGTGCATGAGGAAAGGGGTGGAATGAATGGGTGTTTGGAGCGAAGGGAAGAGTGACATACAAACCGGAGCTCTCAATACCTACTTGGCTGGCATGGGCCATATTGCGCGAATACCGCTGCCGTGATGGGGCATCTTATGGCCTCAACTAGGGGTTAGAGAGCGGGAAGAAGTGCGAGAGGAGAAGTGGGTACAGATCGCCAAGAATGCTTATCTTCACATGTCAATGCTTAGTTACGACCTTATCTACGTCTACGACATCTCAAACTCAATACGACACGGCTTGCATGCTAGCTGGCTTGCTGCTGTTCATTCGGAGGAGTTGCTAAGGGTGCTGGTCATACAGCACCATGCACTGCGACGTTCGTAACTCGTTTTGGAGCTCTCCGCCACCTACTCCTTCTCTAACCTCACGGCAGCATTGCTCTCAATGAACCCCAGATCCACCTTATGCCCCAGCAGCTCCCGAATGTTGCTCACTCCATACTTGATCATCGTCGGCCGCTCCAAGCTCAAACCGAACCCGTAACACCTTAGATCCTCCGGTAGCCCCATAGCCAACAACATCTCCGGCCTGAACATACCCGAGTTGCCGATCTCAACCCACTTCCCAAGACCGTGGTGGTAGCCGAAGACTTCCATCGACGGCTCGGTATAAGGGTTATAGGCGGGCTTGAAGCGCAGATTCGAGATGCCTAGCTTGGTGAAGAATTTGCCCAGGAAGTCCATCAGACCGCCCAGCGTGAGGCCGTAGTCTGCGATCACACCTTCGATCTGGTGGAACTCTGCTAGGTGGGTGGCGTCGACTGTTTCGTTGCGGAAGACACGATCGATACTGAAGTACCGGCATGGTCGTGGGTTGGCGGCAAGGCGATGTAAGCAGTATGCGGAGACGGCGGTGGTGTGGGTGCGGAGGACGAGTCGACGGGTTTCGGCGTCGTTGTATGGATAGCGGTAGCCTATGCTGCCGAAAGCGCCATCTTGGTGCACGGCTTTCACATTGTCGTAGTATTTCTGGTAGTTGAGCTTTGAAGCCGAGGACGAGTCGCCTTGGTACATCTGTGAGTCGGCTTCCATTTCATCGAGAGCTTGGTCTGCTGCGGTATCGGGACCAGGTGGGCCAGCTTCAGGTGGATCTGAGACGTAAAAAGTGTCTTGAAGATCTCTTGCCGGATGTTGTTGAGGCACGAAGAGGGTATCGAAGTTCCAGAAGCCGGAGTCGACGAAGCGAGCGGTAGGCATCTCGATGAAGGACTGGCTGAAGAAGATCTTGCGGAACTCTTCTCGTACTTTGTTGAGAGGATGTAATGCCCCGGCATACTGATGCTCGCCTAGCGCCTTGAAGTTGTATGGCTTGAAGTTGGCGGTCTCCCAGCTGCCGTCTGCCAGCATCTCTGCTGTCAGGTCTGTCACCTCCACCGGGATCTCCAGCGCCCATCGTGGTCCTTTGCGCGCAGTGTATGTGATCACCTTGCGTGTCGTCACCAGCTTCCGCTTTTGATAGTCCTTGAGTTGCTTCGGATCCGGGAAAGTGTTAGTTTCGCTCACATGCCGTAGCAGGTCTCTCGTCGTATCTGTGACTTCGTTCGCGACAGGGGTGAGCGCATCGCCATCCTTCTTGATCCACTTCAGCTTGAACGCATTGCCTTGCCCAACTTTTGCACTCGGTCCCACCACCTTCTCCAGCTCTTTGATCGGTATTCGGCCTTTGCTCTTCACAGCCTCCCACACCTTCCACTCATGGCTCCCTTCGTCGCAGATCTGCTGTCCTTCTTCTGTGAGGACCACTTGCTCCGCATCATTCGTATCGTACTCCACCATGCCCCGGCTCGCTAGTCTGTCTAGGGCGGCTTTGATCTCTGCTTGCGAGGCATGGGGAAAGGTTTCTGCGGTATGGAGTGGTTGGTTGCTCTCGAGGGTTCGCAGGATTTCAGAGGTGAGGTCTGAGGTGCCATTGGCTTGCATCGGCACGGGCACAGGCCCGCGCGTGCCTGGCATTGTCGTTTGCGAGGCGTTAAAGGGCTGTCGTTATGTTGTCGTCAAATATTCATGGGGTTCGTGAAGTATGACTGCGAGGCAATGCGACTCGGAAAGTCGGGCTAGAATTTGTGTGCACGGGCCACTTCACGGTTTCGACGTCAGCTGGAGAAGGAGATGGAGGCGACAAGCTACATGTACACGTTTGATCTGCATCTCAAATGTATGTTCGGCGTCGCTCTGTAGTAGCAAACTAGACCGAGCGTCAGACGATCGAGGGTTGTATACAACTCGCTACACTTCAATGTCTATTGAGGGACCTGGAGCAGCTGATACTTCTCCCCCTTCGCATCAAGAGCATTCTCCAGCTGCTGCATGCAAGCAAGGACCTTCTCTTCTTCCAGCCGCCGCCCGACAACTTGGACCGCGACAGGCAGACCGACCATCTTGACTGCATCGTAATGCTTGTAGGCACCCTTCGCAACATGATTCATCTTACTCAGATCCACGCTCTGCGGAAGCATGTCTACGTTCGGGTCGACGTGCGTGACGGGCAGTATGCCACAGGCATAGTCGAGCAGGTTGAACAAGAACGTGTACCCGCAGGCAGCGGCCGCTGAGGACATTCCACCATGAGGGACGGCAGGCGTAGAGTTCGGAGGCGTCAGGAGGATGTCCAGACCGTCGCCCTTGTCACCGAAGCCGTTCCACCACTCGTGCCATCGAGCCTTGTAAGCCTCACGCTTGTAGACCAGTCGCCAGTTCTCGTAGGCGGACTTCTCGTGCCAGTCTGCTATGAGGCCAGCCCAGATACTGTCCCGCTTGATGTACTTAACGTATGCCCAGTAGAAGAACTTGATGAATCGTGGTAGGCGCATATATCGACCGAAGACAGCAGCGCCTGCATCGTCAGTCTCGCCAGTGCGGAAGAAAGAGCGATATGTTCGAGTGCCATCGGCATTGAGCAGGTTGCTGGCTATTACGAGGGATTCGTATGGATCTGGCGGGGAGACGTCGAAGACTTCGTGGCCTTCGGACTTGAGGGCTGATGCGGCCATTTCGAGTGCACGAGCGCAGGCCGGTGACGGGTCGACTACGTTGTCGGTCCGCATGAGACCTACCTTCAGTGGCTGCTTCTTGTACTGGTCTTCGACCTCGCTTCTCCATGGCATCGGGTGGACAGACTGGTCGTACCTCCAAGGCTGCATCTGGACAATGGACCGGGTGAAGTAAGTAAGATCCAAGAGAGTGCGCGCCATTGGAGAGAAGACTGACGGTATGCCTTCCTGGCCGTGCATAGAAGTGTTGACGCCGAGCTTGGGCCAGCGACCAGTACTACACCGCAAGCTGTAGCATCCAGAGTAGTGTGCCGGTGCCCTCACGGATCCTGCTACGTCCGAGCCAATGCCAATTCTGCTTCCGCCGAAAGCCAGAAGTGCACCCTCGCCGCCAGTGCTACCTCCGGGGGAGTACTTGGTGTTGTGAGGGTTCGTGCACTGGCCCCAGACGTCGTTTGTACTTTCGAAACTGAGCAGGGTGATAGGCAGTGCCGTCTTCAAGAATGGAACGGCGCCAGCGTCCTTCAGCATGCGCACAACCGCGCCGTCGACCAGCTGAGGCTGTCCAGTATTGCTCGAATAGCCAACGCTTGTGTCAAAGCCACCAACATGTATCGAGTCCTTCAGACTGACAGGAATGCCGGCCAATGGTCCCTTCAGATTGATCCCGCCTTCTGTTATCCATCGCTCCGCATCCTTGATCATCACTTCTGTAACACAGTTCGTCTTCTCATGTGCCCTCAGTGCCACCTTGCCGTACGCCTGCAGTACCTCAGTGGCAGACTGCGCCCCACCCTTCTGTACATCTTGGACGAGCTCATCAATGGGCTCATCGAGTACCTTCTTCTCTGCCGACGACAGCGGGTATTGGTATGACCCGGGCAGCGCTGCGATGCGCTCAGCACGTTCGTCTTGCTTCCGTCGACTGCAGAACAAGAACGTCAGCAGACATTCTGAGCGAGATACGTCTCACAGGACCCTTCCCGCCGCAGGCGCGCTGCGTGGGATGGAGACTTGTACATGTGGGGTCTGTTTCAATGCGCGGATCGAGGACGTACCAGGCCGCGCGATGCGTGAAGTAATCGAATGGTGGGATCATGGTGACCGACTCAACTGTGCCTGTGGCACTTGCAGTCCGAACTCGAGAAGAAGTCAGCAACTTTATATACAGCTCCCGACTTTTGCTACTATCTTCCCTGGCCGTGCGATAGCGGGGAGGCCATTACTCTCGCGCGGGATGGACCTGCCGAAGGGGGAAGGAGCACTACTGCGCTAAAGATATCAAGAACATCTTCAGAATGATTTATTTGTATTAAGACAATTTAGGCTTACTACTGGCGGCTCTAACAGCAGATAAGTAACACGCCCTAGACGGGAGACTTCCACGTCAACCAGCAGATCCCAGGCACGAAAGAGAACTGCAATGGCAGCAACAACGCAAACACCACTATCCAACCTTTCTCCTTTGATGTTTCGTTAAAGCTGTCAATGAATGTCGTCCAATGCCGTAGACATGTTCGCGTCTGACGCTTGAGCGCATGCCAGCACAGCAGATGCGTGACCGTAATATTCCCTGCGACCATAGCTGGGACGGGCGCTCATCAAGAGTAGGAGATTGAGGCTGGTGTGGAAGAGTCTGCCAAGGGGATGTCGATGGGAGTGCCAGAAAGATGTCGGGCCGAATTGAGTATGAACACATTTGTAGCCCTGGGTGCTGATGTGTAAGGAATGCTGCGTGTTCAGGACCGACCCAGCTCACGCACGAGTTGTATCCTTTGCCATGTCCAAGCGCAGACGAACGTTGACAGTGGGCCAAGAGATTGACCAGAAGATGCCAACGACTGTGTCAGTGGGTGTGTAGTGGAAGCAAACAAGTGATAGACATTTCAAGTGTTGGTGATGTGCTGCGAATGTGACTATCTCTGTAGGGGGAAGATCTCATATGCCAGCTTGGGAGACACTGTACTGGTGGTGCCTCAAATCACCAATGCGAGAACAAGCTGACAGATTGCAAATACAGAGCCATATGGCTGGAGAAAGTGAAACGAGCATGGTGCCTACCTCTGACCTGGCATACTGGTCGACGCGGTATTGGTGATTGCTATCCGCAAACCATCGCTTTGTGGTGGAGGCGTTGTTGAATTCGTGAGAATCAGCCCAGGGCTCTGAGCATGTACGTGTAGCCGCTTGAAGCTGTGCTTTGGTATTGATGCCGTTCAATAGATTCATAATGACTGGTTGGGGGTCGAAAGAGCGCTGGGTTTGCTTGGAGTTGCGAACTGAGCGCAGGGAAGACGCCCAGAAGCACGATAAGGGACTGTAATGCTGCGTTGACACGAGTCTCGAGGACACTGGAAGCGATGTGAAGTCGCCCGATTTTGATGGAGGAAGCACAGTTCGTTGCCTCCTGTCGTTCTCTGTTGTCGGGCTAGGAGGTAGGTGCCGGGTCCGTGACAAAAGTCGTGGTCGTTCGTACTTCAAACATCCAAGTCGCAAATCTTGAGTACCGCACCTTCCCCTGCGTGGCCAGGAAGGGCACCACTGAGTCAAGTCGCTGGAGGCACAGGCAAGGAAGATGCAACCGGAGATTGATCCAGGAGGATGAGCCATTCCCGTCGGTCGTCCACCATCCCCTTCGCGTCAGGAGACGCCCCAAGCGCGCCGCCTCTGCCGGCTCCACGACCACTCCAACGAGCTCGAGATGCAGCAACACGTCTCTTTGGGTACAGCTCTCGCGCCCCGAGTCCTGAAGAAGATGACAGGATTCCCTATGGCGGCGGACCTAGATTCGCCGCCTTGAGCGCGACACAAAATGCATCAGCTTCCCACAGAACCGGACTAGAGATTAACACCATCGCCATTAACGAATCTGGCACGCACGCCTTACTAGGAGGAAAGGAGATCTTCAAGACCGTGAAGGTCGAGGACGGTACCTGCGCAGAAGAAGTGAACCTTCGAAGCGCTATTAGAAGCACGCCCACCCAGGCATCCGGCAAGGCTCGACAGATCTACTCGATCAACATCGCCGATGTGGCTTGGGCGAAAGGTGACTCTGGTGACTATGTTGCTGCGGCTACGTCGTCGGGCAAAATCATTCTATATGATCTTGGTCATGCTGGACTCCAAGCAGCTCAGCTGCATGAGCACGCCCGCCAGGCAAGCATTAGAATGTGTCACAGTGCTGAGACTTGCTAATTCTTGTGCCAATCACTTTAGGTGCACAAGGTAACGTTCAACCCTCATAGAGGCAGTCTGCTTCTTTCTGGCAGCCAGGACGGGACTGTGCGGTTGTGGGATGGTGCGTTACCAGCACTGACAACAACGCAAACCAGTAGTACTGACTTCACGCAGTGCGCGACGTACGACTTGCCAACACGCTGAAGAGCAAACACAAATACTCAGGGCAAGCGGATGGAATCCGCGATGTCAAGTGGAGCCCGACCGAGGGAGTCGACTTCGCCTTTGGCACTGACAGTGGATGGATTCAGAGGTGGGATTTGCGAAACATGAAAACAGCAAAGGTTAAGATCCCAGCGCACGGCGTGACATGTAATGCTATCGACTGGCATCCAGATGGGAAACACATAGCAAGCGCAAGTGCTGACAAGACTGTGCGTGTCTGGGACTTCTCCACCGCGCGAAGGCAGAAGGCCTCGTGGGAGGTCAGAACGCCCCACCCAGTGCTGAATGCACGATGGCGTCCATCCTGCGAATCTTCTCAAGCCTACGACAATGGTGCAAGACACTGTACGCAGTTGGTCACAGCGTACGATCCCAGCCATCCTGTGCTGCATGTCTGGGACCTCCGAAGGCCAGCCCTGCCCTTCAGAGAACTTACGACCTATCCCTCAGCACCGAGCGATCTTCTGTGGCACTCACAAGATCTTCTTTGGACCGTGGGCAGAGAAGGTGTATTCCTCCAGACTGACATACAATATGCTACGAAAACCATCACGAAGAGGAACCTGCAAGCCATCTCTGTCTCGCCACAAGGTGAAGTCAATATAGCCACCACAAGACGCTGGTGCCGGCGGTCTTTCGAAACGGACCAAACCCAGCCAGCACCCCAGCGCAGGCGCATCGATCTCAACCAGACTCCGGATCACAGTGGTCTTAGCCGCAGTTGGGCTGATGACAGTGTCGATCACTCGTTCTTGAGTATATCGCCGGAAAAGCTCAGTAGAGAGCCGTCAGTCAAGTCGAGGACTCAGTCGCTGAGCATGACAACCATGAACGATGAGGCTCATGCTCAGCTGTCCACAGCATACCTCTCCGACGTGCTGTCCGGCCGGCGCTCTTTTCGACCTTCGCAGGCTGCTTGTCGTGGATTGCTGCAGATACGCAAAGACCCGCAAGCGTTCAAGTACCTTGCGCAGCATCTGAGTCTCGACCTACGGCCTGCTCTGCTCGAAAAGGACTTCCTCGCTGCTTTCCGAACGCTAGTGGAGTCAAATGCCAAGTGTCTCGAAGCATTGGATCTTTTCAGGCTGGCTCAAAGTTGGCAAATCGTGAGTTTCATCATGACAGATCACCTTCAAGAACGCCACAGATCAAAGCAGCAGCAGCTTCTAGGAGGCGAGAAAACAGGGAAGAAGATTACGCATCGCTCCGTCTTTCGCGACATCGCGAGCAAAAGCGTAGCCGGACCAATGCGATCACCAGCTTCATCACCTGCTGATATAAAACCTGTGTCCTCGATCGCGCAGCAATTGGCCATCTCTGAAAGCGCCTCCGAACAACGAACGCCTCAAGCACAACCTCGGCAGGATGGAGTATCTGTTACTGTCCCTGAGGAGAAGAATCAGCTGACGCTGCCAACTTTCGCCTTATTGCAGAGACCATGGCCTCGTTCTCCCTCCACTCAGCAAGTAGAGGAAAACGAAGTTCCACTTACAAGGCGAAATCTCGACGGACTTCAGGAGCAACAACTCTCGAACAGTGTCAACAGAAGAGACATGGTTCATAGATGGAATACTCAGCCCAAGGAACCACTGTCTTTGGAATCGGCGGACAAAAATGGTGTCTGGATTCAGCCGAAGCTGCAGAAACACGACAGCAACGAGTCGTTTGCATTTCTAGCTGAGTCGTCAGACTCGAGGGACCCTTCGTTCCCGTCATCCTTCAACAGCAACGAATCCATCTCTGGGCCATTGCGAATGGTAGCTGAACGTCCAGCTGAACGTCCAAGCCGCACACGACTGAAAAATGACGCAAGCATGGACGGCGTCGAGGCATTCAATTTCTTTGCGAAGCCCGATGCGGCTATCGCGAGGACAGCTACTCTAGGGCGGACCAAGTCGCGCACTGCTAATAATACTATTGCTCTAACCAACGGAGACGCCGGAAACGACGCAAGCCATGGACCGTCGGGCGCACCGCAAACATCTTACTTCCAACACATCGGACCCGGATCGTACCCGGACGAAAACGGCATATCTCCTCTGGCTGAGGTTCAACCACCATCGCCGCAGCTGCAAGTACCAGACATTCAGGCGATCGAAGAGAAATTTTCAGCAAGACACGAGAAGACAGGCGGTGTCCGTGACAACGGTATCGTCCGCTGCTCATCAGAGAAGCCTGAAGCTCACGACATCACCCACGAATTGGAATCTGTGTTCCTGCCAGAGGACGGTGATGCCGATGTGGAGCTGGGTAAACCATTCCTGCTGAGAGATGTTGTTCAAGAAATGGCATCTGGCTACGCACGAAAGGGCAATGCACAGAGCGCAGCAGCTCTGTATCTGCTCCTCGGACCGCTTCTCCCACGCACACATCCTCTACCTGCCAACGAAACCGAGGTCACTGCATCGGCATGCATCGAAAGCTTGAAATTGGTGGGCTTTGACCAGGACGGTGTTGAACAGGTTCTGCTTGGTTACGTCGATGCCATTGTCAGTTCCGGCCTGCAGCCGCTGCAGGTTGAGGCTGTGCTGGAGGCGTACCACGATCAACTGTTGAGCCAACAACTGTTCGACGAAGCGGCAGAACTAAGAAAGCTTTCGTACCCGGTGCACGTAGGAGTCTACGACCAGGCGCTCAAAGACAACTACATTCATCTCAAGTGTGGCAGCTGCGGGAAGCCGCTCGTCAATGGCATGTCGAAGCTGCTTTGCGAGACATGCAATACCAAACAACTCCCGTGCCCGGTCTGTTGGTGCGACCGCAGCCCGCTCGCTCGGGAGGGTCCAGCATTGGCCGGCATCGCGCATGTGTTTACGACCTGTCTGCTCTGCAATCATTCCGGTCATGCGACGTGCCTTCAAGTGTGGTTCCAAGAGTCGGGAGAAGGCGATGGCGGTTGTCCGATACCAGGGTGCCTCTGTGATTGCGTTGCCGGTAGTTGGCGGGCACAGAAGACGGCTTTGGCGGAGAAGAAGCGTCGGTCCAGAGATCACGGCAGGGTCAAGAGTGATGAGTGGCCTGCTCAAGCCAACAGAGCCGTTGAGAAGACGAGGAGTGTGCTCGCTCCCCGAAGTGTCAAGAGCAGTCGGTCTGGTTCTGGGACCTGAACAAGTCGGATTCGTCTGCGGCAATTCTTCGACTCAAACGTATCATGGTGGCACTTGATGAGATCAGCTCCGCCATGGGGACGATGATTGAGGGAGAAAAGGGTGCAAGGAGCGATGTCAGTCCACATCCTTCTTGTGTTCCTCATCCACTTCGTTTTCGTTCAGACGTCCAGGAGAACTGAAGGCCTGGAATCCTAAACCTACAGCAGCTCCCCGCTTCAACCTCGGTAGCTAACATTGTGCAGCTGTCTATTTGCCTGACTACCGAGATGTTCACAAATACATGTACTCATCAGTCCCTCGTTCCGTCCCCGTGTTGAATACTATTTACGTGGACACTCTTTGCAATCCGATTGTTCGCTGACAAAAGCTTTCGACGATGCCTCACGCCGACGAGAAGCCGATGATGGTCGGCGAACATCCGCAATGTGATCCGGTCAAGACTCGGATCATTCATGTTGGGAGTGAGTGTCCTTATTAGGCTTGATGGTCAAGTTAATCGCTGACGAGATCATCCAGTGGGTGCAAGTGGCATGCTCGCCGCCCACAAAGCGCGGAAGTTCCTCACCAACTACGAGCTCGTCTGCTACGAGAAGAATGCGTCGGTCGGGGGCACGTGGTGGGAGAATCGATACCCAGGATGCGCTTGTGATATACCCGCTCACACGTACACCTTCCCGTTCGAACCGAATCCGGAATGGTATGTCTCATATCGTCTGTTGAATGCTTGCGATGCCGGTTGACGCTTTGCTCAGGAGCGAATTCTATGCTTCAGCACCCGAGATCCAAGACAACTTCATGCGCTTCTACAACAAGCACAATTTGGAGCCATTCGTCGTTCTCAACACCGAAGTCGTGGAAGCCGAGTGGCACGATCGTGAAGGACTTTGGCATGTGACCCTAAAGAACCGTACGGACGGATCCAAGTTCGTCGACAAATGCAACGTCATCATCAACGGCTCCGGCGTGTTGACCAAGTGGAAGTGGCCTGACATCGAAGGCCTTCACGACTTCAAAGGCGAACTCGCCCACTCCGCCAATTGGCCACAAGACCTCTCTTGGGAAGGCAAGCGTGTTGGCGTGATTGGCACTGGATCCAGTTCGATTCAGATGGTTCCTAAGCTCGCGGAAACAGCGTCGCAATTAACCGTCTTCATGCGGAACAACACCTATATTGCTCCACCCTTCGGCTCCAACATTTCGAACAAGGAAGCGGACCCAGACGCTGCGGATCCAGCTGCAGCGGGCAAGCACAAGTATACTGAGAAGGAGAAGGAAAGGTTCAGAGATGATCCGGCGTACCATCTCAAGTACCGGACTACGATTGAACGGCAGATCGCTAACGGTGGCTGGGATATGTTCAACCGCGGGACCGAGCTGAACATTTTCGTCAAGGGCGCTATGCAGGATTCGATGAGGCAACGACTGGCGCATCGCGATGATCTGAAGGAGCGTATCATTCCTACTTGGAGCCCTGGATGCCGGAGACTGACGCCTGGTGATGGGTACCTCGAAGCGCTCATACGGGACAATGTAAACTGCGAGTTTGATGATATCAAAAGAATCACACCTACCGGGCTCGAGACGATCACGGGAAAGCATATCGAGGTTGACGTGCTGGCCTGTGCGACTGGGTAAGTACTAGCGGATTGAAGGCTTCTCTGAGACACCATCACTTTACGTTGGTGGCTCTGAGACCTGAGTATCTTCTTTACAGCATCGAGATATTCGCTGATCAACCGCAGCTTCAACGTCCAGTATTTCCCGCACTACAAGATGATCGGCACCGGAGGACAAGTGATGCAAGACTCCCCCGAACCCAACGTCTACGCCTCCGTAGCCGCGCCTGGATTCCCGAATTACTTCGTTATCAACGGGCCACGGTAAGCACCGTCATCACTTTAACATCGTCATGAAGTCGGAGAGGCGCTGACATTGGCGCGCAGAGGCAACTGGGGTCAAGGCTGCGCCCTCCCCAGCCACGAAGTCCAAATGGAGTACATCCTCCAATGCTGCCGCAAAATGCAGGAGGATCGCATCAAGTGCATGGAGCCGAAGCAGAATGTCACAACCCAATTGAATGCGTACATGGATGCTTGGCATAAAAAGGTACGCTTGCCCTCACTCAGTCACATGACCCGGCCAGGAGCGGTAGGCAAGCAGAGACTGACTACCGGACAGCAAAGCATATGGGCCGAAGACTGTAAGAGTTGGTATAAAGACAACAAGCGGTACGTCCTCTCCTCCCTCTCTCCTTCCCAGTCTTCCACACACTCATACTTACCCATCGAGCGCAGCAACGGCAGAGTCTACATCTGGCCCGGCAGCCTCCTCCACCACCTCAAATTCCTCAAGCGCCCGCGCTACGAACACTACGAAATCACCTACATGGATCCGGACAACATTTTCGATTTCCTGGGAAACGGGAAGACGATCAGTCAGGTGAAGCTTGGGGGTGAGGCGCCGGTGCCTTATATTCGGAATGACGAGGATGAGGTGTGGGATATTGAGTAGAGTTGGATCATTAGATGATAGAGGTGGTGTTGGTAGGACGTTCAATTCGTTCACGGTATGAGGTACCTCCCAGTGCCTAAGTTCCTTTCGTCTTTTCATATCGCCATTCGCCTGGACATCCCTTTTCGTACAGTTCGTAGATGCTCCTAAACGCGCTACTCAATATGCCGTACCGGCTGTCACATGCACATGCTGCACTGCCGAGCATGCTTGCCTCGCCTCGCTCGACTGCTTCTCCGATCCTCTCAGTCGGCACTCGCTTAGACGGCGGCATGCTCTCCAGGTTGATGCATAGCACGCCATTGCCTTCCTCGGCTTCTACCCTTTTCCCTGACTCCTATCTCTGGCGCACGATCTCAAAAGTCCGGGCTCAAATAGTCCTCCTCACGATCCAATTTGAAATTACTCAACCCCTCACTCCACGGCTCCGTTTCTACCATTGCATCAGCAAACCATCACATGTTACCACACGAAATAGGTTCCACTCACCATTCCCCTCATCAATACTCGCCCCCTCAACCACCGAATCCGTCCGCGTAAGATCACTTCTCCACGTACTCGTCCGCTGCAAACTCACCCCCGGATCCGTCTGCGGAGCCGTACTCGCTTTTCGTGACCAGAGTGAATCGACAATACTACTCCTCGTCGGGGCGCGAGAGAGGGGAGCGCCGGGGTTAGTCGATTTGACAGAAGAGGTCTCGGAGGTGTCGTGTTTGTAGTCGCGAGGGTAGAGGTTCAGGTCGAATTCGTCTTTGTCTTCGGCGACGTGGTCGGCTATGACGCCGAGTTTTTGTGCGACTGGATGTTTGTAAGAGAGTGAAGTGACGGGGCAAGGGGGGCAAGGGGTACCTTCAAAGCTTATGCTCATGCCGCGGTGGGAGGAGACGTGGTCCATGAAGATGTCGACACCTTTCCAGACGCGGCCTTCGGCGTGGCCGTAGGAGTAGATGCAGATTGGGCATTGGAACTGTTTCACACTCGCATTAGCACCTGGAAACGGCCCCCGTATTGCGACGGTATGGCCTTACCTGATACTGCCGCCCCTGCACCGAAGCCTGCTTGATGTGGCTCTTAGCTGCCCGCGCCATCAGCATACCACTCCCGCAAACCTCCTTTTACACTCCGGCGAACAGCACTCACCCAAAAACCCCCACCGCACTTTCAACCCCAACTTCTCATCCCGCATCACCACCTTCCACACCATATCCACACTCACATGCCCCTGATACGCACACCCCTTCGCCGAGCAATAATAAGTCGTCACGCCCGAAGCCGCGAAGGCAGCGCCGTAATCTGTCCGCTTCTTCAGCGAGCCCTGCGCAAAATCAGCAAACGCCTTCTTGACTTAGATGAGGGAGAGCGTACCCGTCTATCACCATTCTGCAATTTGACCGCGCTCTGGCAGAAACCGAGCCAGTCGTTCTCCTTTGTCGGTACGGGGAGGGGGGCGGAGGACATTTTGCCATCGTCGACCTTACAATCCGCACCAGTCAGTCTCGCCATTGGGGTGGTAGGGTTAGAAGCCACACGCACGGGAGCTTTGATCGTCGCAGCAGAATCCTGACGCCCATGCGCCTGCGCCCCTCCTCGCGCTTCTTCCTCCACCAGTCGTTGTCGCAAGTAGGGGTAGTCGGAGGCTACGCTCATCGCTCTCCCTCACTCACTCATTCACTCACCCTGCGGCTGCGGTGTGGGGTGTGTCGCTTCGGGAGTCCACTTCAGCGGTAGGGTGGCGGGGTCGTATCTTAGTCGGCAGCGGCAGTAGTAGAGAAGAGTGGAGTGGAGCGGTCAGTCAAAGTCGGTCAGTCGCCAGTCGTGGATGCAAGCACGGTAGATCGTAGATAGAAGTCCAAGGCGCAGAGGACTGCAGGTGCTCTTGATCTTGACAGCTTGTGCCGAAAGCTTGAAAGTGCTCTCAGCTCCAGCTCTGTCCCGTCTCTGCTTGAGCCTCTTGTTTCGCGGTGCGAGAAGCTGCAAGTCACGAGCTTCCGCAACAGAGGGGAGGTACAAAGCAACCTGCTGACTGTTACCACACACACAAGCACAGCACAGCACAGCCTGCCGCGGTCTCACGTCCAATCGGCGCTATGCAGCTGATAGCGTGATAGCGTTGTTCCGAGCCGCGAGCGGACGAGATGATGGAGGATGATCCTGGTTCGCGGAGTCGCTGGTGGCACATGGGTTTGTGTGGGGGGTTCTGGAACGTGGCTGGTCCTTGAAGGTTTGGAAGAGTTGTGAAGGGTTAAGGTATTATAGAACTCTGGAGGCCTTAGGGAATCTCAAGGGACTCTCGGACTACAGCGATGCTGGATATAACATATAGGAGGAGCATGACGATCACTCGTTCCTTCACAGTGTGCGAAACATAGCCTTGTCGTGCGTCAAAGGCTATTCTGGACGACCGAGACTACCAACAATATGCGGATGCACATCCTTGCACCACATCATCTTCCTTCCACGCATTGACTCGATACCTACACATACAATATCCGTACATCACCTACCCCCCAAATCCCCTCCCCACCACCACCAAAGGCGCAAACCAACTCCCCACAACCGGCCTCGCTCTAAACCTCAATCCCCCCGGCCACCCCCCATTCCCCTCGGTCCGATACAAATCCGTCAGCGGGCCATCCGTCGCCGTGTGATTAACCCACTTCGCGATCGCCTCGACAATCGCGTGTCGGGTTGAGGGCGAAGCGACGGATGCGGCTTGGAACGCCCAGTCGGATTTGGTGTAGAGGTGGCGGGAGTCGCTTTGACAGTGTTAGAGACCTGAGTGACTGTGCAGGGGTGGGGAGTACTTGCAGTGGGAGGCCGTAATTTTGGATCGCGGTCTGGTACCAGGTCGACTGGGTGGTGTAGATGTGGTCAGGGATAAAGTTGTTCGAAGTCTTATTCCGAAGGTCGGGTCCAGGGCGTGGGCTCTGGTGTAGAGGTTGCTGGTCTTCCGACCCCCGTGGCAAGGGTAATTGCGCCGACGGCTCGTCAACCGCTCCTCCGTCTCCGCCATCGGGATGAAAGCACAACACAGCATCCGCAAAAAGACTATACAAAGTAGTCCAACTCCCCTCCCACCCATAACTCAACTTCGCCCTCCCCCCATCCCTCGCCATGCCCTCCTCTTCCCAGACCTTGACGTACGTCTCACTCACATTCCTTAAATCCCTCCTCTCTTCCTCTTTGCCCAGCATACCAGCCATCTGACTCATCGCCCTAATCCCGACGATACCTTTCAGAGCGAGATTGGTTTGTAAGGGCAGCCAGCCGGCGAAGTCGTCGGTGCAGAGCTGGTTCTCCGGGTAGAGGGAATAGGAGATTAGGTACGATGTCCAGCGGCGGAAGAGGGGGTAGGTGCGGATGAGGTAGTGGTTGGCTTGGTGGGAGGAGAGGGGGCTGGACCAGGCGGTGTCGAGGAAGGGGATTGCGTCTCGGGTTTCGTGTGAAAGGGCGAAGGGAGAGGCGTCTGCTGGTAGGGTGGCGAGGTCGGGAGGCGTTTTAGAGCTGCCGAGAGCGCTCCAGGGCGACACAGGGAGGTGGTCGGAGCCATGCTTCAGGCTGTTTAGTAGAGCTAGCCCCATGATTACGATATCTCCACACTCCTCTACAGGCATGTACTCATCATTCCCCAGAGGATGCCCAGTCAGATTCGGAAAGTGTGCTCCCAGATCATGCATCGCGTAGTCGTTCGGATACTGCCCGCTTCCCATATGCTCCAGCAGCGGCTCGAGTAAGTAGGCTAGCCATCGCGGTTGGGTGTAGAGGAAGAACGGAAAGGCAGGGAAGATGACGTCGATCGTTTGGCTGTTGCCGTTCGAAGAGATCTCTTTCAGGAATAAGAGAGGCGAGTCTGGTGTGCCGGAGAAGACAGTGGCGCCGAGGACTTGACGAGGGGTTAGAGGGACGAGCTCGGGGTAGGATGAATTGGGGACGGAGGTAACGGCGTCAAGCCTGAGTTGGGACGAGTAGTTCGCAGCGAGTGCCAAGGCGTGGTGGTAGTCGGAGTAGTGGAAGTGGATTAGGGAGGTGGCAGTAGAGAAGTAGGATTTCCAAAGCGGCCGCATGAAGGTCAGGCCGCGGGCGGAAGCGAACTGGGTTACTGGGTCTTGGAGGTGGGCGATGGTGAAGAGGACGCTGGATTCGGCGGGTGAGGAGTGGTGGTGTGAAGTGATGTTGTGGTCGGAGCTAAGGTTGAAGGTCTTGCTGAAGCCAAAGACAGGCTCATCGTCCATGATTGAGCGGTACTTGTCGTCGACTGTGTCGCTCAGAAGGCCGTGCGTGGCGAAGTGCTGCCGTAGAGCGGAGGATGTGCCGCATTCGTGGGTAGCATCCTTGGGGCCAGTAAAGTGCAGCTCGCCCCATTCTGCCTGCTGCCTTTTCTCAGAGAAGAGTAATTCGTGCTTCCTCTTGACTCTGAAGGTCTTCAGCTGCACATCGTCCTCCGACTCGGTCTTAGGCTCGTCGATAGACCAGACGATGTCAGCATCCCGGTCTCCGCTAACCCATTGTCCGTTTAGGTCAACGTAGATGCTAACGTCGAAGTCGCCCTTCGCATGTACAGCCAAGTAGCTTGCCGGGATGGCCTGCCGTAGGGTTGAGGTCGGTGTTATAGGCGAGAGAAAGGACAACGTCAACTCCACATGGTCTTGCGAGTCCTTGGTCGAAGGGATGGAGTACGACAGATTTGTGGTCGAGGCATCGTAGTCCGAGCCAAGATAGACCGGATGGGAGATGTTGTAGTGCTTCGACGACCCGTTCAGAGAGTCATGAGCCCGTCCAAGGAGAGGATATACAGTTGATGTCTCCGGCACAGATGCTAGAACAGACAGCCCGACCTGCTGATCGTTCAATAGGAGTTGGCCGACAGGGGTTGTTGCCACCTACCGAGTTGCCGGTCCAAAAGTGAGGCCAATGCTCCCAAGGTTCCTCTCGAGCACTGCCGAGCCATGTTGACAGGTAAGGAGTGCGAACTATGAGCGGCAATACAGGGGGCGTGAGGGAGGATGCGTCTGCCAGCAGAGCCGTTGCAAGAAGGAGAAGAGCTCTCATCTTGTAAGACGAGATGGGATGGTATGGAGAGTATGAAAGACGAAACTACCTCAATTGTGTACCCATCGGAGCATCGAATGGCGCTGCCTGTTCTGCAACAATCGGCTGCTGCTGCTGCCAAAGAGAGGAATACGAGTTGTCATCAGGAACGATCGTCTTCGTCACCCTCGTCTTCAAAAGTCGCGGTCAGGAACGAAACGCCACAATGACGCTCCCAGCTCCAGTTCGCGCCTCAGTCGCATTCCAGCCCACAACAAACACTCCCACCACCCTGTTACCTCCTCCACCACCACCTCCACCGCCAATCATGTCCTCCCACGTCCCCTTCCTCACCGTCCGCCCCGACGACCAATTCAGCTCCGCCGTCAAGCGCACCGCGCGCGATGTAACAAGATCCAACACCTCACCACCACAGGAACCCATGGACTCACCACCGCACCTCACGCCCGCCCCGCCGCGCACCTACGCCGCCTCGCGTCTGCCTTCGGCGGTGCGCTTCCCGTTGCTGGTGATGCTGAGTTTCAGCCTGAGCACGCTGATCCATACTTTTACCGCCGAGTGGTCGGGTCTGCAGCTCGCGACGGCGAGCAGGAAGTTGGACGATCCGCTGCAGATTGCTGGGGTTTTGGGGTGGAAGGTGGTGCAGTTGGGTGTTGGGTGGGTTGCTGGTTACGACTGTACGTCTCCTCTCCATCTAACCACTTAATCATATGTAGTGCTTGCTAACAAGAACGAAATAGACGAAGACATCGCCGCCCTCACCCTCCTCACCAACCAACCCTTCCACCACCTCCTGCACTCCTACTACGCCCTCCCTCTCGCCCCCCTTACCTTCTCCCTCCTCACCGACATCCTCGTCACCGCCCTCCCCTTCGCCCTCCTCGCGCCCCTTACCCGCGCCCACGACCCCCTCACCCCCCGCACGTCCAACCAAGCCCTCGCAACCGACGCCTCCATCCTCCTCCTTACCTCCGCCATGGCCGCGTCCATCTTCGCAACAACCTTCTACCTCTCCCACCACGCCCTCGACCTCGGCGTCTTTCTGATCAGCCACTTCGACAACCTCGCCTCCATGTCCGCGCACGATCTCTCGATCGCCCAACTCCTCCCCTGGTTCGCCGTGCCAGGTTTCGCGGCGTGCGCGTTCCTCTTCCGCCCTACCATCGCTGCCGCAGGCACTTCCGTCACCCCTCCCCGCCTTTCCACACGAAAGCCGAAACGATTCAACCCCGCCACAGCAACCTTAGGCGAGACCTTCGCGTATAATCTCGGCTACGGGGAGAGCGGATGGAGTCGACGGGCGGAGGTGCTGGCGAAGCGGACGGCGGTGTTGAGCGCGGGGGCGTTTGTGAACACGGCTGTGAGGGTTTTCGCGACTGTGGAGGGGACGGATTTGGGAGGCGCGATGGGGTATGCGGGGATGTGGGCGGGGGCGTGTGTGGTGGTTGCCGTGGGGTTTGGGATGATGAGTCATGAGGATTAGTGTGTGCTGTTTGGATGGGAAGGTGGAGGAGAGATGAGGAACAGCAAAGGCGGCGGAGGATGGATGGCGACGGTGGGACCTCTTGTTGAGACACGCATGCGCAGGAGCGGAGATGGCGAGGCCTGTAACCATAGTTCGCTGATATGCTAGAATACCCCAACGTTCTTAGACAGTTTGTGAAGGCGAAGTCCGTTCCGAATTCCTCAATTACATCGTCTGCCCATCTCCAGCGCAGTGACTACAAGACGCTATCACTACATTACTCCTACACACTTTCCCCTCCCACCTCAAGATCCACCAGACAAACTTCCATCCCCTCCCCACCATCCCCGTCATCGTCTCCATCCCCGTCGTCGTCTCCATCCCCGTCGTCGTCTCCATTCCCATCAATCAAGATCGGCGCTTCATTCGTCCCACCCACCCCATTTCCCTCCCCATCCCCGCCAGGGGATCCCTCTCCTTCCTCCTCAACCTCCGGCCACATCCCTCCCCACCCCCACAAAACCTGTCCAGCCACACTCTCCGCATTTCCCAACTCCCTCGCCCCACTCCCGCTCGTCTGCGCATTCGCCACCTCGTCCACAATCGCGCGACACGCATCGACGAACTGCGCGAAGCCCGGGGACGTCCAGTTGGGTATCAGCGCCTCTTTTAGCGTGGCGGAATGAGATGGTATCGCCGCTTGCTGGTGAGAAGGGAACGAGGACGGCGCGTAAGGGGATTGATAGAATGTCGGTAGGCTGTAAGAGGACGTGGGAGGGGGATGGGGGGGTGCCGGCGTGGTTTGCTGGGTGCTGAGTGCGTGGTGCCAGGAGGTGAGGTGGAGGTGTTCGAGGGCCCAGAGGGTTATTAGGCCTTCTAGTAACCCTGCGGAAGGGGCTGAGGCGGACTCGAGGAGGTCTAGCAAAGCTTTCGTCGCGTGTCGTGGGGGTTCGGTGGGGGAGACGGGGATGTTGTATTTGGAGGCTGTGGTGCGGAGGAATTCCAGTTCGCGCTTTGCGTTGTTTAGAGTGGAGGCGAGGAGGTCGAAGGCGCGCCAGTCGGTGTGCAGTTGGGGGTTGTCGACGGGAGGAAGGCGGAGTTTGCCGATTAATTTGCCGATGAAGGAGGGCAGGGCGCGGGAGAGGTGGGATTGTTGGGTGAGGAAGGTGGAGAGGTGGGGGAGGGTGAGGGTGCCGCGGCCGGCGCGGCTGAGGAAGGGGGGTTGGGAGGAGGTGGTGAGCGGGGTGGAGAGTTTGGAGAGGAGGTAGGCTGTTAGGGAGGGTTTGGGGATGGAGGGGGGTCCTGGGGAGGAGCTGGTCAGTATCGTAATGTAAGAGTGGGAGTGGAGACGGACTGGCTGCTGCCTTGTTCGCCGCTTTGCTAGCTTTCGCAGGCTGTGTTGGACGTGTTGGACGTGCGAAGTTGGGGTTCGGTCCAGTGTTGAACTTGTATGGCTTCACCATTGGACCTTGGGCGGTCGGAGTGCTCGTGACATCTGCGGCCGCAGGGTCGACTTGGTCCAACGCCGCATCAGCCAGCGCTTGTTGGCCTTCTGGAGTGGCCAAGAATGCGTTGCATTGTTGAAGGTGTTCCCACTGCCGTGTTGTGTTCTTGGCTCGTTGTGTCCCGCAGTATTTACAGCGCGAGCGCATGCACTGGGTACGAGTTAGTGGACTTGCAAGTCCTCTTGGACGGAGAGTCAAGAGATGATAAGAATTGAGCTCTAAGACAACTCTTCATCTCGAGTCCTAGACCTCTGCTATGCTAGAGAGCAACGACATGGGTACAGAAGAGACCTACCTTCTGAGTCGCGTTATCGTCCCAGAACTCATCGAAGAACGAGTTGATCTCTGAACGCTAGGTCAAGGTTCCATCCACAACGTGAGACTCGATTGATGACACACCTGGTGGGCGGCTTCGAGGAGCATTGGGAGAGAAGCCCGAAGCAGCGTCTCCTTGCAATGGCGAGGAGGCATATGTGCTACAATTGCTTCAGTAATCAGAACTTATCGTAACAGAATAGTGTCATGACGAATTACTCGGGATTATCCAGCGCAGAACCAGTCCTTTTGTTATACGGATTGGGCGGAGCAATGTCTTGCCCATTGCCCGCCGCCCTCCACGTCAAGTACTGAGGACATCTCAATAAGTGATCTTTCTTGCGGTGCAGAGGCCTATTGCTACCGCCCCACGATTGACAGTGTCGGCAGCGGATGGTGCCAGTGGTGTAATCGGAGCCTGAGATTAGCTCGAATTGGTCGTGGGTGTAGTGGTCTGTTGGTCGAGGCATCGCATGAGTGGCAGGATGTCGCAACCCGAATAGGCAAGAGGGTGATGAAGCGAAGTTGGAGTGTGTAATGGGAGAAGGAGTTATTGTAAGGGTGAAATGATGATGCCGTGTAAGACCGCTCTAAAACGCGTGCTAGACTGCTTTGGGTGCGCTTGCGACTGGCTCCATTTGGACGGGATTGAAAGCGCTTGTGGTGTCATCAGAATTTGTTTTATCAGTCATGCAACTAACAGACTTTTTCATCTCTTCTCTTCCAGGACAAGCTCTGTTGCTCATACATCCGACACTTCTAGAGCACCCTACCAACTCAACACCATGTTCTCACAACGAGGAAACCACAGCGCGGGCTCCCAGGTGCTGGGAGAGGAAGCTCCAAGTATGCACAGTACTACACCATGATTGCAAGCGCGACGGTGGAGAGTTCAAGGTAAAGTCGTAAGCCACAGCATGAGCCGGTGCTTGACTCATCTGAGTCTCGCTGAGAACATACGGCCCGAACTTGAACCTCGATAACGCGAGCGGAAGAATCATGCTGTTCCCTTTCCCCTCTCTAAAGGAATCGTGCTGATAGAAGAAGGTCCTGCACGGATGGCCAGTATGGACGTCGAGAAAGCTGGACCGGGTCTGGCGCCAGAAGGTGAAGCACTGTCTCCAAATGACAATCTCGAGGACAGAACTGGACCGCTGTCGACTGCTCAAGAATGGTTCAAGCGGGTGGAGAAGACGCTGCTCCGCTACAATGTCGAGTCTCGCGGCATCCAGCGTGTGTTGCCAGCCCAGCGCCACACGATTGAACATCTGGGCTTCACTCAGATTTGCATGCTATGGGTGTCTATCAACCTCGCGGCCAACAACACCACCCTTGGTATGCTAGGACCAACAGTCTTCTACCTGCCGTTCCTAGACTGCTGTCTATGTGCTGTGTTTGGGATGCTGGTCGGCTGTTTCCCAGTAGCCTATATTGCCACCTTCGGACCGCGGTCTGGACACCGGACAATGATACTGTCAAGGTACATCATGGGCTGGTGGCCGTCGAAGCTGATCGTGGTCCTGACCCTGATCATTCTGCTTGGCTACTCACTTTTGGACGTGATCATTGCTGGCCAGATACTCAGCGCCGTGAGCACGAATGGCAGCTTGTCGATTATTGTGTGTATCTTGAGACCCATCAATAACAGCTCCCTCACTGACTTTGTCTTAGGTCGGCATCGTCATCACCGGCGTGCTGACGTGGGCCATCACGACTTTCGGTTACAGCGTCTTCCACATCTACGAGCGCTACGCATGGCTTCCACAACTCATGGCCAATATGATCCTCGCAGGCGTCGCGGGGCCTAAGTTCGACCTCTACTCGAACCCCGGAGCTGGCCTCGATGCACGGACTATGGCTGGCAACCGCTTGAGCTTCTTCAGCCTGTGTCTCGCAGCAGCCATCACATACTCCTGCGCTGGTGCAGACTACTTCGTATATTACCCCGAAAGCTCGCCGAGACTGAGAGTCTTCCTCGTCACCGTCGTTGGGCTTTCAATTAGCTTCACTGCTATGTTTGTCATTGGCATTGGTCTGGGCTCTGGCATTGCGTCGAACCAGGCATGGAATGACGCCTATGGTGTCTCTCAGGGGGCGTTGATTCGAGAGGGCTTCCGACCGCTTGGGTCATTTGGCTCCTTCTGCAGCGTTCTGATTGCGCTCGGTCTCATCAGCAATTTAGTTGCTCCTACGTATGCTGGAGGGATAGATTGGCAAGCACTTGGTATGTGGTCTTCTCTACATCCCAAGACCAGGTCAACCATTGCGAAGGTCTAATTCACTAACGCCCTCACAGGCAGGAACTTCGAGCGCATTCCCCGCGTAGTCTGGAATACCATCTCCGTCGTCATCTACACCGTCTGCGCCATCGCCGGCCGCGCCGCTCTGGCGGCCATCTTCACCAATTTCCTGGCCTTGATGGGATACTGGGTCTGCATCTGGATCGCTATTGTGCTTGAGGAGCACCTCATCTTCCGCAAGTATCTTGGCCACGGCTGGGATTGGGATATTTGGAACGATCGTCACAAGCTCCCGATGGGTATTGCTGCGCTGGTGGCTTTTCTGGTCGGATGGGCGGGTTCGATTCTGTGTATGGCGCAGGTGTGGTACATTGGGCCGAGTGAGTTTGGAACTTTCAATCCACACGTTACGAGTGTGGTACTGACAGCAAGCAGTCGCGGCGGAACTTGGCGAGTATGGCGGCGATGTGAGTCCCCCATTCCTTCTACGAGCTCTTGCTTCATACTCACCTTTTGGTAGCTTGGGAACTACATTGGCTTTGCGTTCGCCGGGGTTGTCTACTGGCCTCTGCGCTGGTTTGAGCTGAAGAAGTTTGGAAGGTGAAGTGGACGACGACGGACGACGACTTGAGATGGCCCACGTGCCGAACTCGGAGGCAATATGAATCTCCTTGCAGTCTGTGAATGAGAAGCAGCTTCTTTCCTGTCTGGGCAGGCGCAGGCGTACTGATATATGTCCACGTCCATAGTTGTTCACGAGTCAACAATGACTGCCAAAGACATTGGCAGCCCACGGAGGCTTCGCGTTGCTTTCGTTTTCACTTCTTTCGTGCACTTTGGAGAGGCCAAATAGAGACAGGCATCAGCAACAGCAACATCTATGTTGCATGACCGCCTCGGTCCTGGCCTATCTTTGCCGAACCTCACGATAGCAATACCGAATCTTGAGCCATTGCGGGGCAGTGTCAACACATTAATACCTTGATGTCGTTACTTTAATGGAGCCCCCCTCCTTGATCTCAACTCCTCGATAGTGACGCACTGTGTTGATTGATCGTTTCTCAACATCGGCGGCCAGCATTGACATTCAAACAGCACCCATGACTTCACAACTACCGCCGGCGAACGACGATGCTTCGTCCTGGCAAACCAAAACAGCGAACAAACGAGCAGCAGAATACGAGAAGATCCCGAAAGAATGGCGTATCGATCAAAAGTACCTAGGCGACGAGACTTCAGACCGCAACGTTCTGAGCGTACCAAAGGAATGCGGAATCCTGTCTCAACCGGAGCTCGACATTACAGAAAACTATACAGCAACCTCTTTAGCAAAGGCCGTTCAATCTGGCTCCCTGAAATCCGTCGATGTCGCTAGAGCTTTCTGCAAACGCGCCGCCGTCGCCCAACAACTCGTCAACTGCCTAACCGAAACCATGTTCGACGACGCCCTCAAGCGCGGCGAGTATCTGGACCAATACCTCGCTGAGCACGGCAAGCCCCTAGGACCTCTGCACGGCGTCCCTGTCAGTATCAAGGATCCCTTCTCGTACGTTGGCGTGGCTTCAACAATCGGCTTTACTTCGTTCCTCGACAACCCTCTCCCCACTGAACATGCGCCGCTGGTGAAGATCCTCCTCGAGCTCGGGGCGATTCTGTACTGCAAGACCAACATCCCGCAGACGATGATGACAGGCGACTCCCACAACTACGTCTTCGGCCGCGTGCTGAACCCGCACAAACTCATCCTCGGCGCCGGCGGCAGCAGCGGTGGCGAGGGAGCGCTGGTAGCGATGCGAGGTTCCATCTTAGGCATCGGTACGGATATTGGAGGCAGCATCCGCATCCCGGCGATTTGCTGCGGGACGTATGGCTTCAAGCCGAGCACGCATCGTGTGCCGTACGGCGGCCAGACGTCGCCGGCGAAAGCTGGATCGCCTGGGTTCCCGCCTGTCGCGGGGCCGTTGGCGACGTGCTTTGACGATCTGGAGTTTTTGGTGAGACATGTGATTGATACGATGCCGTGGGATAAGGACTCTTCGGCGTTGGCGATTCCATGGAGGGCGGGTGTAGCTGCTGGGAGGCCGACGAAGGTGAGGGTTGGGTTCTTGCAGAGTGATCCTGATTATCCGATCCATCCACCAGTAGCGAGGGCGCTGGAGGAGTCGGCGAAGAAGCTTACGGATGCTGGTTTCGAGGTCGTTGCATTGAACATGTTCCCGTCGCTGAAGGCTGGTATGGAGCTGGCGTCGGACTACTACTCCATGGACAACACGAAGTTGTTCTTGGACTTCGTCCACAGGAGCGGCGAGCCGATTATTCCTTCGTTACAGAAGACGATGGATCTGGTGAACAAGAAGCCGAAGTACAGTCTAGAGGAAGTCTTCGATGTCAATACAGCGAAGATGGGCTATAAAGCCACGTGGAACAACCTCTGGGTCGAGAATAAGTTGGATGTGATACTTTGTCCTGGCGCTGCCAATACGGCGGTGTTGCATGATAACTATGGCGCACCTCCGTACACTGCCGTTTGGAACATGCTCGAGGTACTTCAAGTCCGCCGCAAACCCTCAAATGCTCTTTGCTGATCATCTGCAGTATCCCGGAATCATCATACCCGTCGGCAAGGCTGACGTCAAAGTCGATACCGAAGATCTTGCGACCCACGACCCCAATCGAGCATGGCAATGTGAGGCTCCTAGAGACTGGGCCGCTGTGTTCATCGCTGACCAGACTCCAGACAATGCGGACGATGTCCACGGAGCTCCGACAACCATCCAGCTGATAGCACGGGCTTACCAAGATGAAGAGCTGGTGGCCGCGTCGGCGATGATAGACGCATGCTTGAAGAAGTGAGCTGCCCTGGTTGTTGATGTTCGTCCTCCTGCGGTGCCTTCAGCTAGAGCGCGGTGCGATCGTGTCCTCGAGCTCTGGTCAAAAGCCGCAGGCATGGATCAGAGCTCGTATAGCGTCCGCACGTAAAGCCTCAAGCCGAATAGATGTGCGTTTCCAATTCCTGCCGAAGTAGATCACCCAATCCTGCCACCACCTCCAAGAATATCAGTCAAATTCGCCTGCCCCGTCCCTCTTTCCATCGGCTGCGGCGTATCCGCACTCTCCTTCCAGCCAATCATATAAATCGTCCGATATGTAGCCGGGATAGTCATCGTGCCATCCTCCTGCTGCTCGCCATACAGTTCCCGATATATGCTCTCAGTAGCCAGCAGGACGTCCTTACTAATCGCCCCGGGCTCTCGTCGCAGAGCAGCGTTCGCTTCGCCCATCGCTTGGAGGTCAGACATGAGGGCGAAGACGTTCGGGTAGTCGACGATGATGTCGTCGACGTCTACGGTTAACAGCTTGAAGCCGGCGCGGCTGAGGAGGTTGCCAACGTCTCTCACGTCTGCTAGAGGCGACATGTGCGTGCCTATGCCGCCAAGTCGTTCTTGTTCGGCTAGTTGCAGGGATCCGCGTAGCTCGTACAAGGAATCTCCACCGGTCATGGCGCCTACGAAGGCTGCGTCTGGTTTAAGGCAGTTGTTGATTTGCGCCAGGACAGAGGGTAGGTCGTTCACCCAATGCATGGATAGCGACGACAGAACCAAGTCGAAGACATTAGACTCGTAGGGGAGGTACTCCGGGCTGGTAAGGAGATGGCGGGTGATGTCGATGTCCTTGTTGAACGGCAGGTCTTGGTCTCGGTACAGCAGTGCCTCGCTGGTATCCGCGCAGACAATATTGCCTATCTTCGAGCTGATCGGCTCCGTGACGGGCTTCGCAGAATGGTCATCTGGATCCGGTCTCGTAAGTGTACGGGCAATGTTACAAGCATTGGCACCGAAGTCCAGCACTCGAGGGAAGTCTCGCTTGATGTCCAACAATCGATCGCATAGTCTTATAGCCACCTCGTCTCTTAGATAATCCACTTGTCGACTCTTTTGGATATTGCTAGCTGCTCGTTCTTTGTGTAGCCATTTTGCGTTGGCGTCGAAGACCTCGGCGATGGGTGCTCCTCCAGCTTGGATGGCGTAGGTTCGTGCAAGCGTGGGTTTTGCAAGAATGGTCCTTTGGGCGGACAAGGTATTGCTGAAGAGCCTGGCGGATTGCGAGCGCATGCTTTTCGGTGTGGTCTGTCAGTATGTTGTGAGGAACACCCTCTGGAAGAATATGAAGTCAATGACGGAGATAGAGTTGGAGCTTGGTCTCAGAGACTCCAGACGGAGTGGCTTCCGGGTCTGGGCTGAGTGAGACAAAATGCTGTTGCTTCCTCTCCTTCCATCTCGTCTTCCTACGCATTATACGAATACGACAGTTCGGTCTAATAATGCGAATGACTACAATGGGGCATGGACGTACATACACTTGCGTCGACAGTGGCCACATCATTTGTTGCGCTTCTTACGGCTTCAAAGTTCAGCATGCTTCAATCCACAACGCAAACAGCGTCTACGACATTACTTGGGAGGCGGGCTGCAGCAAATGCACTACTCATGCCTTCAGAAACAGCCAGCACTATCCGACTGTGATCGCAATGGCACCGTCCTCATCAGCAACACCATGAGTTGGAGCCTCACAGGATCAAATCCCCATAACAGGCAAGTGTTCCAGCAGCAAAGTAAATGCTGACAGCTATGCGCTGGTCCATGCTCCTTGCCCCGACCAACCCCAGATGATTCAAAGTCAAACGTAACTGAATGCTCATGGTGTCTCTTGTCCGGATACACTGCGGAGAGGTATCGTGGAGAATCGAGGAGTAAACGTTGTCCAACTAAATCGTCGATTTTTAAGTGGTATCATGGTTTAGGTAAATCCAATCACATTCCAAAATTCTTTTCCACCCCATACTTCACACATGCCTGATGCTCATGCCACCACCCACCTCAGTTGGTAATGCTACCTTGGCGCTTGTCGTTGCCGCCCTTGTTCCTCCTCAGCCCCACCAACTGCAGCATCTCCGTCCAGAAGCCCACGGGCGGATCCAAGAAAGTAGCCTCGTAGGCATCGATAGTGGGCCGTTCCCAGACCAAGTCGACCTCGTAGACGCTCTTCCACTTGGTCTTCTTGATCAACTTCCAGCTGATGAACAAAATCGGGTCGACAATCTGCATGGTGTAGTTCTGGAAGAAGCCCTCAACGGACCAGGCGGGGCGGAAGGCGAGGTAGCCGTAGAACATCGTAATGATGGAGAACCAGACAACGGCGACGTAGGCTCCATAGGGCTGAAACCAGCCGAAGTAGGGCTGTGTGGTGGGTTAGCTGGGGGCAATGAAGTGGGAAGGGACGAGTTGCAACGTACCAGTGTCCTGCGGTCCAAGCCTTGTGCTTTGCACGCTCTATGGAAGCAGATGAAGGTGATGGCCATGCCAATATAGTCGATTAAGGCTGGGAAACTTGTTAGCGTTTGCAAACTCATGTCAAGGTGTAAATCTTACCTCCAGCAGTGATCAAAGTCGACAGCCAGGTAATGGCTTCGGCCGATCCGCCAGACACTTGCAAGAAGGACAGGAAGGGGAAGCACATCACGACGCAGAAGCACCAAATCGGGACCCCGTTCTTAGTGCAGTAGGTCAGGAAAGAGGGAGCTCTGCCTTCCAGAGCAAGACCGTACAAGCTTCGGACGGCAGCGTAGGTGTATGTGTTGCCGGCGGAGAAGATGGATGTCATGAGGAGGCTGAGGGTATGTCAGTTCGACAGCACGGGGCTGTTGGAGGAACATCAAAGACTTACGCATTCACAATGTGGGGAAAAATCTTCACATTGAGGTTCCGCATGGCGATGACATATGGCGATGCAGCAGCCGTGCTGGAGCCGCCGCCATTCGTGATTCTCTCGAGAGCAGGGTCCCGAGAGCTACACACAATGCCGACAGCCAGGGCGCCACCGATGAAGAAGAGTCCGAAACGGAAGTAGACAGTCTTGAACGCAGTCTTGATGTAGGTCCTGGGTCGCTTGGCTTCGGCAGCGACCATTGAAATGTACTCCGGTCCAACGACGGTGAATGCGGCGCTCCACAGCGCAGAGAGGAAGCCTTCAAACTTTCCGAGGCTGCCTCCTTCGTATCGGGCACGGAACGCTTGTCCATCCTCCCAGTAGCGGAATCCGTATGCGTCGCCTTGGGGATTGCCTCCGACCATTGAAATGAATGTAAAGAAGAAAAGGGAGAAGATCAGGATGACCTTTCCGCCAGAAAGCCAGAACTCGGCTTCACCGTAAGCTCGCACAGCAAGAATGTTGATTGCGCTGTCGCACCGGTTAGCTGATTTCTTTTATGACTAGTGCGAGCCTCTTGTAGCTTCGAGAACCATTCCTTGGCATTAAGAAGTGGGCAGGAGGAGGACTCACGCATAGGCAACGATGCAGCCAATACAGATACCAGCTGTTGGGCCGGGTTGTGTGATCGCAGGACTCCAGAAGCCAATGATCAAGTTTAAAGCCGAAATTTCGAAGGGGATCAGTAGAGCCTCGTAGAAACTAAGATCGGTCAGTTATTCAGTTCTTGCGAGACGTGAATAAAGCACACGAACAAGAAGTTCCATCCCAGCATGAAGCCTAACGCATCGTCGCACCATTTTCCAGCAAGACGGATGAAACCGCCGGATACAGGGTAGGCAATGGACATTTCAGCGATCGAGTTGTTGACCAGTGCAAGCATACAGCTCTGGAGCGTGTAGGCGATCAGCAAACTGCCCGCGCCGCCGTGATAGAGACCTTGACCGATCGAGACGAACAGCGCCGTGCCGATGGAACCTCCAATGGCGATAAGCTGTATCTGTCGGTTGGCCAGATGTCGCTGGAGGTCGTCCGAGTTGTCCGAGAGCATGCCCTCCTGGACGTCGGTCGTGGGCTCAAAGCCGTCCGAGACATCCTGGTCGGAGTGCTTCTCGTGGTCTTTGCTAAAGAGTCCCATGGTTGCGGCCAAAATGCGTTATCCAGTAGAATGCGAGGCTGTAACACTCGCAGTAGAGGAAAGGGAAGCGTTGGAAAAGGTCGATCGCGAGGCTAGCAAGAAATGTGAGAGCAGCCCGAGCTTATCTATGTGATCACCAGAGTGGGGGACACTCCCAGCCGTGCGCCAAGCTCGCAGGAAGAGACTCGCGACTGGTACCAGAAATCGAAGGTGTCGATGCCCGCGTCCGCCACCACGTCGTTTTGCTGCTGCGATGTGCCGCCGCTCCAATGATCCGGCCGGGAGTGGCTTAGACTCTGCATTGTACCGCGCCGTCGAAGTGCTGCTACCCCGAGTACCTTGTCCAGGGTCCCGCCGCTCACGTGCCGCTAGCGATTCCTCCAATCTCGCACGGGTGTCCCAGCCTCGGCGCATGTAACCTTGCTGGTGCTTGGAGATCGCTTGCCCTCGGTGTGGTTCATCGTCTTTGCTTGGACCTATCGCAGGGCGTCCAGCTGATGGGGTTTTGCTGAAGACTTCTTCCGAGTACCAGGCCCCACAGCGTTCTGGAATTGTGTGGTCTGCAGTATTACGTTTTGAAAGGCGTCGAAGGCGTCCAGGCGTTCGTTGGGATGGATTTTGCCTGACGACCAGTGGGACGGTACGTCATCCCCTTGAGGAAAAGTCTTCGTGACGCCTTCAAGGCCTTGTATCCGCCTGGCGCCGTTAAGCGTTGAGACTTTCACGCCGCAAAGCAAACGGGACCGAGCGTCCGACTTGGCGTGAAGGAACCGCGGAGTGGTTCTGGTGGTGATGGTGTAAGAATAGCGCCTGGTGGAAAGATGATCGCTTGTCTACAGCTGCAGCAAAGGATCGGATACGCTGCAGACCTTCTGCCATCGTTGCGACAATCATCTTCCGACAGGACGCTACTGCTCCGGCAAGACGGTGTAGAGACGAGCACAGGAACTACCACAGGGCTGCAGCACGACCGGGATGCGCATCTCTTGGTGATCTTGTGAAGCGTCGAAGCCAGCTCTAGGAGAGCGATCTACAATTTCACTGCACCATACGGTCGTTGTTCTCTGACAGCCTTGCGTACTTTCCTAACGAACCCGAGATCTCGCACAGGTGGTTTCGCGCGATGCGTTTGGAATACTGTTGGTGGAATCCTTCGACTCCAGGAACTGTAAATTGCCTTGATGAGCGGGATCACCGGCATTTGCTGATGATATAGCACTTCCAAGATAACGACAACTCTCTGATATCTGGAATTTATTTTAGGAACTGCGACATACTGCTGATGATCTACAGTTGGGCTGATGTCGACAGCCATGACTTGCGCCCTCTACCGCCCTGGCGGCCATGGCCAGCCATGCATGAACATACGCACCTGGCGAGTACTCGTAGGTACTTGTAGAAATCTCTCACTGTCCCTATATCATCCGAACGACCCAGAAAATGCCTCACCGCAGACGGAGGAATCGCATACCCACACAAGGACCGTACGCCTGAACGAGGTGAAGTCGCACGAATGCGAGCGCAGTCATCGAGCGTCACTGCTGCACAACACAAACAAGCCGACCACTCCGACAAACCTTCTAGCGGCCTTCTAGAAGGGAACGAGGGAATTCCGAAAATGAGAGCGATCAAACACTCGTGGCCGTTCCTTCAGACAAGCTGAACGAGCGAAGTCAGCTGCTTGGCTGGACGGATTACCCCAGAGAGGAGAAGGAAGGCGTTTGAAACTGACTAGGCTTGCAGGCTGCTGATGCTTGTAGTGGGGTGGGGTTGGAGGACGAAGAGGCTCAGGTGGCCTTGAGTGCCGCAGAAGTCGCTGCATAGGACTGTTGTTAGATGTGCGAGTGGCGGCCTTACACTGTAACACCAGCGAAGCTCGCTGTGTAAGCCTGATCCGTACTTCGGCTCAGACAGGCTGACGACCCAGAGTCACGGCAATGTTGCAGAGCCGACGCTGGCAAGATATGTTGCTGGCCTTCATGAATTGCATATACAGTTCTTATCTATCCGTATCCTACACCAGCCCAACCTACTGCAACGGCGGGAACTTCCTCAAAAAGTGACTTGGGCACTCATACCCGCCTGGGTTGTTGTCCAGATACAACTGATGATACTTCTCAGCATCCCACCACTCGCCGGCCTGCAGTATCTCGGTGCTGATGCTGTTCTTCCACCACTGCTCGTTCGCTTTCTTCGTCACTTCCTCCGCGACCGCTTTCTGCTCGTCGTTGTGGTAAAAGACGCCGCTTCGGTATTGCGAGCCGACATCTGGGCCTTGACGGTTCGAGGTCGTCGGATCGTGCATTCGGTAGAAGTACTCGATGAGTTCGCGGTAGGTGAGCTTTTGCGGGTCGAAGACTAGTTGGCATGCTTCGGCATCTATAGAAAAGATCAGTCGTGACGATCGCATCTTCACGCAATGCTCAGTTTGCACTCACGTCCTGTTGCACCGGAGCATACGGCGCGGTAGCTGGGATCCTTCGTGTTGCCGCCGATGTATCCCACTCGTGCATCGAGCAGACCTTTGCTGCCAAAGTCCTTTCGGTACATGTGCTCAACACCCCAGAAGCAACCCGCCGCAATCGTCGCTCTCTCTGCACCCTCAGGAAGGGCCATTGTTGTTGAACCACCTGACTCTGGTGTGAAACGCATTGTGCTTGATGTGAAGGGTCGCGTAAACCGCTGCAGGATGGACGCCATGGTTGGTAGTGTGATCACAGAGATCAGAAAGATGAGTAGTATGGTGACAGGTTTCAGTTTGCACGATTTAATGCTGAGAAGTGAGGATGAATTTATGTTGTATGATGGTATTTGAATTGTTGCCATCTCGCAACGTCAGTGTCGTCATTCACATGTGCGGGAAGGCCTGCGCCTCGTCCCGTGTCAGCCTCGTTCCCGTTCGCAGCGATGCGATTCCACAACGCCACTGTATACATGTTCCTTTCTTTCTTGCACGACTCTCGGTCTAATTCTCAACGTACACTCCATAGACCTCTTCCTGGAGGCAGAATGGTCTGCTTCCAAAACTCCTGACTACTCCTCGCCCAGCCTGCCACGATGAAGGTTATCATACCAGGCTGAGATGCTGATGCTACGCGCGGGTTCCGCATGAAGCTGGCGGCAAATGCATGGCCATGGGTGGTACATGCAGGACATGCCACTGTGAGAATGCCGCTCCAGGGATGTCGCCCACGCTCGTCGCGCTGCCCTCAGGCAGGTGGCTGTCTGGCCTATGAAGCCTCCCTGCGGTGAGCACCGTGCATTTCGCTTGTCACAGATGAGCGAACATGCGGCACAGAACTCACATATCAGGCTGGTAGCATTCAATTCACTTTCCTCCATTCCACTACCTTCTTTGCATTATCTTGGTCCGGGTCCGCCCTGAAAGAGGTCTACATGAGTCAACATGGAGCATGACTCTGCCATGAGAGGCCAAATATCGACAGGCCATATGTCTAAGGAGCTGTTCATGCTGTCGTTGGACGGTGGTGGTGTACGCGGGCTGTCATCACTCCTCATACTTCAGAGTCTCATGGAGCGCCTCAATCGGCAAAACCCACCCAAGCCGTGCGACTGTTTCGATCTCATAGGCGGCACGTCCACCGGTGGTCTGATAGCTATCATGCTTGGGCGACTCAGGATGTCGGCGCAGGAAGCGATAACAGCGTACACTGAGCTATCGAAGCCTGTTTTCACCCAGCAGAGGCACCGCTTGGGTCTTCGAGGTGGCTTGCAGGGCCGTTACGACTCCCAGGCTCTGGAGCAAGGCGTCAAGGCCATGCTGTGGTCGCAAGGATACGACGATGAAACGCTTTTGAAAGACTCCTCTGGTTCACCTTGCAATGTGTAGGGCACCTCTCAAATCCTTTCAAGCTTCTATACTCACGAAAACTATCTTAGATTCGTGACTGCAACGAGCAAAGCCCACAAGAAGACCGTGGTCTTCTCCAGCTACTTTTCAGACCGTCGACTTGGCGACAGGCTGGACGAGGTCAAGATCTGGGAGGCCGCGCGAGCAACCTCAGCAGCTACCACGTTCTTCGACCCAATTCGGATATGCGGCGAGGATTTTGTAGATGGAGCTACTGGTGCCAACAACCCTTTGCCGACTTTGCTGACAGAGGCAAGCGACATGTGGCTGGACGATGACGATGTAACCATGAACCTGGATGCACACATAAGCTGTCTGGTATCAATTGGCACTGGCTTGCCGTCCATGACGAAATTCAATGACCGCGCCACGGGTATCATGCAGACCTTGGCTGATATTGCAACGGACTGCGAGAAAGCAGCGGAAGACTTCCAACGACACCACCCGCTCATGTTAAAAAGCGGTCGCTTCTTCCGCTTCAACGTCGACCAAGGGTTGGAAAATGTGGGCCTGGAGGAGTGGAAACGATTAGATGACATTGGGGCGGTTACCCGCAACTACCTTCAACTGGAAAGGGTGCGTATGGGCATCAACAAGTGCTCAAAACTGCTCAAAGAAAGGGACAGTGCGTTCGCATTTGCTTAGTCTTCGTTGTATACGGACCTTCGTTCCTGACTATTCTAGGTTCTGTCCGAGTCCTCCGCTCTCTTCGCAAAATGTATCTTGATTTTCAGCATGATCTGCCAACGGAAGAGACCATAGACGCGGCTGCTGAGTCTCCTCATTGGATCAAATATACGAACCGTTACTCTGCCTGGGCCGCCGGCGCTGAGGTCCCGATGGCGCTCTACTGTGTTATTGGCGAACCCACGGCCTCCCAGCAGCAACTGCCACAATCACTGGGCTGGAAACAAATTTTGCCAATTTTGCAAACGATATGGCAGGACAAGAAAAAGGGCATGCCGGATCCCAATCCAGGCTCAAGACACTCACAACAAGGATCATTTCCACTGTTATATTGCTGGCCGTCAGACACGGCACACTACGATCTTCCATGCATCGAGAACCTCTCCGACGCTGTCTCAGGGATACTTTGGAATTTAGCAGCTCAGCTGCTGTTCTCGCTGCCAAAAGGTCGCGGCGTTGGCGTGGTGCCAATCACTTCGAATGCCAGTGGATCCGCCAAAAGTTCGTGGGCCGTTATACGTGATCACATTCAACAGATCCCCAATGTGTCGTGGGGCACTGTTGTGATCAGGTCGGCCTCTCCATTGCCAACAAGCGATGTTAGGGCACTCAAAACAACGTGCCTGGGCTTCGAGTGCATCGAAATGGTTCTGTTTCTAGGTGGCAGTCTCCCATTCAGCGATGCGAGCTCCCGGATGGGCATTCCCGTAGTAACTGAACGAACAGAGTACGAAGGTAAGTTAAAACGATGTGCTCAAGACTTGCGCCTGCTGATTCCAGTAGAGTGCAAGGAGAGCCTGAAATTCGGCAGTGTGCATACTAGGCGCAAGGAAGTAAAAGCAGCTTTGGGCAACACCATGCGATGGTACAGAGAACACACCAACTTTCGCAGATGGCTAGAAGCGCCTGCGAGCATTCTCTGGATCCAAGGGAAACCAGGCAGTGGCAAGTCTGTACTTGCCAAGCGTATCCTTGCCGAAATATTGGAATCCCAACAAGAGCAAGACGATACCGCGAGAGCTCTTGTTGCAGACTGGTTTTACAGCATTCGTGGTGGCCCCGAAGGAATGTCCCATGTCTTGATGCTCCGGTCTCTACTGTACGAAATGTTGTGCCAAAAACCTGAAACCTACGAGAGCTTCAAGGCCCTCTACCGAAGAAGGAGGCGATACACACCAGCTTGGGAATGGTCAGCCGAAGACCTTGTTGTTCTTTTCGAGAAAGTAGTCTGCTTGCCGGAAGGTCCGCCGATTACCGTGGTTTTAGATGGACTGGACGAGTCCCAGGACGGCGACAAACAAATCGAGCGCGGTCCGAAAATCATCGACCTACTGATTAGAATGGTCCGAATGGAGGACTCCCGCCTCAAAATCATTGTGCTGAGCCTCCCACACCCTTGGATCGAAAAGAAGCTTCGAAGATTTCACAATATCACCATGCAGAAGGAGAATGCGGGCGACATCACCGAAATCATCACAAGTAGATTAGATGTTCTGGAACGACATATGGAGATTGGTGATTCTAGCGATGAAGACGATACCGACGGTGACTTCTCGCCTGAAGCGCCAAACGTCGATCTGTTCAGGCGTACTGTTGTACCTTCCAGTAGTGGCAGTCAGCAAGAGTTGGCGGACCTTATGGCAGAAATTCACCACTCTCTACTGCACCGGGCCGATGGCGTCGTACTGTGGGTCATACTCGTCCTACAGCAATTACTGAACCTCACAAAAGGACCCTTCACCTTCAGGGACTTGAGGGCTAAACTCTATGGACTTCCTTCTGAGCTGGACGAACTGTACGAACGACTAGTGGAGGACATCTTGAAAAGTCACGCCGGGAACCCGACCAGTATCAAGCGTTCCCAATTGATATTGACCTGGGTCATTGGAACGAGCGACTCCAGGCAATTGACTCTGCAGGAGCTGCTAGAGGCCATCGCGATTCCGGAAGACCTCGAATCGGCATTGCTCTCAGAACGAAATCCCATCGCAGAAGAACGACTACGGTGTCCCTCATGGAGCAGCGTTAGGCAACATATTTACTACCTATGTGGGCCATTCGTAGAGGTGCAGTCTCAGACTTCTCGCCAACAGCTTGGGAGTGAAGGAGCCTTTCAGGACGGGGCCATTACCGATGAGACTGATCGAGTGATCTTGCTGCATCAGACGGCCAGAGATTTTCTCTCCAGCAGGGACAGAGCAAAAGACTTGTACGTGAACCTGAGAACAGCGCGAGCATTCGTAAACGAAGCGATACTGCGATATATTGACGTCGTCCTCCCACGACAATCTCGTCCTTGGGCTCAATCATGGCCGCTATCACGACCACGATGTTGGGAACAGGCTCCCGCGGCCGTCGACTATGTGGACCAGTTCGTTCTGCTTCCTTATATCTGGGAGCGCTACGACACCCTGGGGGTAGTTGAAAGGTTGGAGTCAAGTTTGCTGCCTCGTGTGTACAATCGCATGGACATACTGACCCTGCTTCGCATCAAGGACTCAGAGAATGATTTCTGGGCTCACTCGTTGAATGTCAGTGAGCACCTGAGAGCAGCCAGCAGAACTTGGAAGGAGATAGAAGGGTACGTGAGGCACCACGGCCCCCGATTGACTGAAAGTACCTTTGTGTTTCTTCTACACTGCGTCTTGCATTGCTCGCAGAAGGCACGGACGCTATACTGGCTGCACATATCTCAGCGCCTCGTGCAACTAAAATGGTCAGTCTGGTTTACCGAGTTGGGAATCGAGCAGCTTGCTGCTGGTATGGTCAGGTTTCGAGAACCGCCAGGAATGACTTTTGCTCTGACCAGGAGAGCCAAGGGAACCTCCCCGTTGGACCCCTTTGCGCTCCGCGTCCAGATCCATCCACCAGTCATTGTGGAGCATATAGCCAAAGCGACGTCAGTGGTCATGGAACTTGTACGTCAGAGATGACGCTGTCGCCCCCGCACATACACTGACATACTCTTTAGACCACGCTCATCCGCAAACGTTTAGCACCGGAAGCTATGGCGTCCATCACAGGCGCCCTCGACGAAGGCCGTGCTGCTGTGTTGCGACCGGCGTGGACTCGGGACGCGGACCTTCACGTGTCCTATCGGTTCTCCGTTGATTTGTCAAATATAGATGAAGCTGCAGGCTGGATGGTATGTGATCTTGTAGGGTCTGCCCGCTGGCCCAGGATCCTGCAGCGACCTCCACTGCCATCTAAACACACAAAGGACAGAAGACAATCAGCTGCAGTGATAGGCCTGGAGCATGTGAGCAAATTCCGGACTGCAGCAAGATTGCTTTGCAAGGTATGCGGGCGAGGCACGGTCGAAAAGGTCAACCAGACAACTTTGCTATTGCTGAAATCGCATGTTACAATTTCTCGTCGCAATGCAGGACTCGGACAACGAGCAGACGGCCGAACAGCGTCATTCGACCTTCTCTATGCAGCCGTGGTGACCAAACGACTGGAAAGAAAGCTGTACGCTAGGAACGAAACGTTCCCACGGCGATTCCAGCGAATAAAGCATTTGCAAGAGCTTTCAATGTGAAACTGTGTCCTCTGAGCATGGCACCCAGAGCAAAGCCAGGGAAGTGAGCCGCGACCAGATGAACCTCAGATGTCTCATCAAACATTATATATTCATTTTCTCATTGTTTCTCCCAGCAAGAAGATCCTGGATAGTTCAATTGGTTAGAATGTACGTTCAGCTCAACTCCTTGGGTGCTGCAGGCTGCTGACACAGACGATGACAGATCCGCTCGTCTTTCGCAAGAGCGACAGCGTGGATGATGGTGGTTCGAGTCCATCTCTGGGAGATACTGCGTAGCAATTTCGTTCTTTTTGCAATAGTGAATGGTGCTGGATGGTATAGGTCGTTGCTCTGAACTCTGCTTGATGATAGCGGGCTCCATGGCATGGCGCAGAGGCTCTTTTTGGTAGTGTTTGATCAGCTTGCTGCCGTCGACTCCTGGGGGTGACTTGTGACTTGGACGATACAACTGTTCAGGGATCATTGTTGCAACAGCTACCCGTTTCCAAAGTCTTGTGGTGTGGCTATCACGTTTGAGGCGTGGTCCTACCAGCAGCGCTGTAAATCTCGGAGGCCCGCATCCCGTCGTCCAGCCATGAATGGCATTTGGTGCCTTGAAAGGCGGATTGGACACATTTGTAGATCCCGCCTAGACTCCTGTTTTAGTTTTGTAATGTTGTGGGAGGCTGCGATATGTCGGGCATCTGTGAAGTGTGCTCTGAGACAGATCTGCTCGGGAAGAATCGCCGACGACCTGCCAAGACCTTCCAGGGAGCGAGCTCGTCCAGCTTCCGACCTCACAACGACTTTGAAGCACAACAGATTGAGAACAACACCACCGCCCAACATGTTCCTCCGACGAGCCGCGCCAGCTCTCAGCAGACGCGTTGTCCCTCGACCAGCGGTGACACGCTCGTTCGCGATCTCCGCGCGCCGATGTACGCCTCAATGACCGCCAACTATCCCCATGAAGATGGCTAACAGAGCGCAGTCAAATCACCCGAGGGCGACCCAAAGCCCGGCGATGACAATGCACTGATCAAGCCAATGTCTGGTGGGTAGATTCTATGGGGGAGCAGTAGTCGGCGGCAGTTGCTAAGACGCAGCGCAGAAATCCACTCCGAGCATGACCTCCTTCCTCCCGGCGGCGCACGCGGTACCATCCCTACCGATCTGGAGCAGTCCACCGGTCTCGAGCGATTGGAAATTATGGGCAAGATGCAGGGCATAGACGTGTTCGACATGAAGCCGCTTGATGCGAGCAGGCACGGTACGTGGGCAGACATGCAGAAGCAGGAACGGGGCGCTTCTTAGAACGTGCATGGGTCTAACACCCAGCTACAGGTACTCTCAAGGATCCCATCGTGGTTAAGGGCTTCGGTGACGAGCAATACATTGGCTGTACCGGCTCTCCCGCAGACAGCCACGGCACTCTATGGCTGGTCACTTCCCGCGACCGCCCAGTCGAGCGCTGCCCTGAGTGTGGCTCCGTCTACAAGCTCGAGTACGTCGGCCCGCCAGACGATGATCACCACCACGACGAGCACCACGATGTGCCCGACTACGTACACCCGTACGAGGGCGAGTTGAAGACTATTGCGAACTACGTGCGGCCGGAGTATAGATAGGCAAGGAGGAGATTAGGGGCGAATCGAACACGGAGCGGTGCTGGAGAACGAGGGCGAGCAGAAGCAATGTAGACTATGGCGTGGCGTATTGAATGCTGAAATACCAAACCAAGGCCGCTCTAGATCCTATGGGCATTCTCGGTCTTCTCCCTTTTCCCCCGTAATGTCCTATCCGAACGAATTATCTTGATCTTATCTAGCCAGTTTGCGTGATCATTCTCCGTCGGCCATGACCGTCATTTCCTGATCTTTTGAATACTCTTCTCGATCGAGGTGCAAACGGTGCACGGGCCGCCATCAGGATGCGAGCGGCGGGAGGTGGAGTTGGAGTGGATGCGTGTACTCCCCTTCATCGCAACCATGTTTGCAATTTGACAGGTGACTCTATCCTTCACTTTGACCTTCCTAGGACATGTCTACACAAGCCATCAAGAAGCCATCGACATCCTTTACGACCAAGAGAGTCAACCGCTCGACATTCGTCATCCGGGAAGATGATGCCTACGGCGAGCATCCGTTGATATACGTGAAGATACATACCAGAGCGCCGTTGGTGGTGCTCAGTGATACTGGTTGCGATGAGCCGAGTGAGAAGCACCGACATGGTATGTGGCAATTTCTCTTGTTCTCCTCCATCTCGTCTTCGAAAGCATATCCATATATCTGTATACACGTATCTCTCTATCAATGTCTATCACGAAGACCCGATGACGAGCCTATACCAACAGCTTAGAAGATGTAAAGTGAGCGCTGACCTCTCTTGCAGACCGCTATGTCCGCCTTCGAGAATACATCGAGGAATACCCAGTCGAGGTAAACGACGGCAAGCCACTGAACCCAAACTGCAACCAATACTTCGTAATCTGCACGCACTGCCACTACGACCATATCGGAGGCATCGGCCAATTCCTACCAGGCGGCACCACCGAGATCATAGCCTCCTCAGCTGGACGAGACTTCATCGAGTCAGACCTCGAATCTCATGGCCTGTTCAAGTACATCGGAGCACCCGTCCCGTGGTTCAAAGTCACGTACTGGGCCAACTCATTTGAACGATTGAAGTGGCCTATATGGGATGGTGAGGAACCGCGACCATTTCAGACCAATCTTGCCATGTCCATCATCCATACGCCTGGGCACACTCCAGATGAGTTGGCGTGGTATGACCATGATGAGATGCATCTTTCTTGCGGCGACAGCTTCTACGAAGAAGGAGATGACGGCATGCCGATCATCTTCCCAGCCCACGGGAACTTGATTGAATGGGTCTTCAGCATGCAGAAGCTACTTGTCTTCGTACGATCAGAGAACGCCAGGGCTGCAACAGTCGCCGAGGAAGCGACAGAGAACGGCTGGGTGCAAGTGTCGAAGCGTGTCAAAGTCAGCTGTGCGCATCAAACGATGGCGGTGGATGGGGAGGAGATCCTGGCTACGTTGGAGAAGTTCTCCTCGAGAGTGTATAATGGGGATGTGCCCGTGGTGAAGAAGGAAGTGTGGCAGGAGGAGGCCTTCTACACTTGGAGAGAGAATGACAATCAGTCGAGGATGAGCATCAAGGCTCCTGCGAGATTGATGGATGATGCGAGGCGGTTCTTCAACTTGGATGTATAGTAGCTCGCTGTGTGAATACCTGTTTTAACTTTGTCACGCCTGCCCTCAACAGCGGTTGTGATTCCGTGCAGGAGTTGCATACCGGTATATCCGCTGCAGTGCTTATGTTAGAGTTTTAAATATCTCAAGGTATAACTTTTTCTCTGCGCCATAAAAGCAACCCCTCTTTCATGTATTACTATTACTTGCCCAGCAACTACGACGACGTCTATTCGGAGGAGACTGACCACCATGGCTAACGAAGAAGTTTACCAAAATGCCATAAAGTGCAAGGCGTGTGGTGTTGGCAAGTCAAACACATCCGTACCAGGATCAATGAATCTAGACTGACAGGCCATAGACCATGATGGATCAACGGATGGCATCGACACGGCCACACATCCTGCTGCTCAAAAGCTTGCTGCTAGAGCCTTGGAGTTCTTGAAAGAGATTAAAGACTTGTACGTCTCACCGCTGCCCCCATCACGCTCTCACTAACCTACGCCCAGCACCCCAGGCAAAGCCCTCGAACAACGCCTCAACCGCGACTACGGCCCTGGCAACCCCTACTTCGAAGACTTCTGCCGCCTTCTCAAGCAAGGCTTTGAAGAAGGCTGGATTGCCTCGCGCGACCTTGATAGCGGCATGTATCGAATAGGAAATGTAGGTCTACCACCATTCTGCTGCTATGCTATGCTATGTGCGAGTGCTCATTCTATCTGGTGCTGCAGATCCAGCCTCCGCTTCCTGAGAACCTTTATGTGTCTTTGGCGTGTGTCTATTTTAACTCGCAGGAGGAGTACGGGGGGCGATATGTATGCCCGATGAGTCGACCAAGCTCAGGTTGAACACACTGCTAACCATCGTATTCCCTGTTGCTTCTAGCATAAACATCCCTACGGCGAAATCAACTGCATCGTTCCAATCGACCCAAGCTTCCAAATCGAAGGTTTGCCTGTAGGCGAGAACTGGCAGGGCGCTGGCTGGACGAGCCCAGGTCCAGGAACGCACCATTATCCGCGAGCTCGTGGGGGACGAGGCCTGGAGTTCTTCTTGCTGCCGTCGGGGCGGATTACGTTTGATGCGAAGCCTGAAGAACCACAGCCGGTCTCTATTTGAGGGGGAGGCGAGTAACTCAGTACGACCGGGGCAAGTCGAGGACTTTCTCGGCGACGTAGTTGAGAATCATCTCTCTGCTCACAGGTGCGAGTCGAGGGATCATCACTTCGCGGAGGTAGCGCTCAACGTGGTATCTGCTCGCATATCAGCATCGCCCAGAAACATTCAAATCTCGATGACTTACTCCTTAGCATACCCCATCCCCCCCATCGAACACACCGCCGTCTCACACGCGGTAAACGCACTCTCCGCGGCAGCATACTTACAAGCATTCGCATACTCCCCCGTCGCAAAATCCTCATCCCACATCTTCGCCGCCTGCATGGTCATCAACCTCGCCTGCTCGAGCCCGATCCAAGCTTTCGCCAGCGGATGAGCGATGCCCTGATTCTGCCCGATCGGTCTGCCGAACACGACTCGCTCTTTTGCGTACCGGCTCGCGTGGCGTAGAGCAGCGTACCCCAGCCCAAGGCCTTCGGCAGCGACGAGGATTCGCTCGGCGTTCATGCCGTGCATGATCATTTTGAATCCCTGACCTTCTTCGCCAATGCGGTCGGCGACTGGGACCCGCCAGCCGTCGAAGTACAGCTGATTCGTATCGATAGCCGCACGACCCATCTTCTTGATCTCCTGCACCGACACAACCTCACGGTCAATATCAGTATAAAACAACGTCAACCCCTCACTAGCCTTCTTCACCGCCTCCAAAGGCGTCGTTCGCACGAGCATCAGAGCCTTCTCCGCCACCTGCGCCGTCGACGTCCAAATCTTACTCCCCTTCAACACATACTCCTCCCCCTGCCGCGTAGCCAAGCTCTGCAACTTCAGCGTATCAAGCCCGGTATTCGGCTCTGTGACGCCGAAACACGACTTCTCCCTCCCCTCAATCATCGGGACCAGAAACCGCTTCTTCTGCTCCTCGTTCCCGTACTTGACCACCGGCGCCAGACCAAAAATGTTCATGTGCACGCTACTCGCCGCAGCCATCCCGCCGCCGCTTTCCGAAATCGTCTGCATCATTACCGTCGCTTCGGCGAGGCCCAGCTCGCTGCCGCCGTATTCCGAAGGCATCATGATGCCTAGCCAGCCGTCTTTTGCGATGGCTTGTTGGAACTCCGAGGGCCAGCGCGCTTCGTTGTCGCATTTGAGCCAGTAGTCGTCCGGGTAGTTGGAGCAGATTTTGGCGATGGCTTCGCGGACGGTGGACTGGGAGTCGGTGAGGTCCGGGTAGGCGGGGAGGTATTCCGTGGCTTTTGCTACGAAGGTTCGTCTTTGGCTGTTGTTAGGTTGTTTTGCGTTGGCCTGCTGTCCAAGGAGTCCAGACGGAATTGATCGGCTACATCGAAGTACGTTGTGGTTGAAGCCTCCAATGGCCAAAGAGGGTTGGATGGCACCAAGGCCTTTAGGTACTCCTCTAAATGCAATCATTTTCTAATCCGTCCAGGCTCCAGTGTCCTCCGTCCAGTCCGTGGCCCAGTCAGCAAGGATACATGCAATATGAAAGAAGACATGGCAGCGTTGTCGAGATGGAAGTTGTTGATCCATCGTCCAAACCCCGCTCATTTGGCCGAACAACCGGATCGCCTTCGACGAACGACAACACAGCCAAGGCGAAACGCTGTTCAGGCCAAGCAATGTTTGGACATCTACATCGATCCAACTTGAAGCTGCTATTAGATCCGTAACCAGGAGGAGAAAGGCGGTGCTGTCGTCCGCCCGCTGAGCGCTGCGGTGCTCCAAATCTCATGCTCCGACATTCGCCCCGGCTTGAGCACACGGCCTAGACTACACCATGAACAGGAATATCAATACTGCGAAGATCTGCCTGTGGAGGAAAGATGTCGCCCACCGAAGGGCTTCCAAACTGCTCGCATCACAGCATGTACTGAGACGAAAATCCACCACCGCCACCGCCTCTGGCCCCCTATCAGGCATCCGCATCCTAGACTTCACCCGCGTCCTCGCCGGCCCCTTCTGCACCCAACTCCTCTCCGACTACGGCGCCACCGTCATCAAAGTCGAAGCCCCCGATACTGGCGACGGGACCCGTGCGTGGCAGAACCCCGGCGAATCCGCTTGCTGGAAACCCGATACGGGGCCGATGTCGTTTTTCTTCGCAGCGATCAACAGGGGCAAACGCAGCATTGTGCTCGACCTCAAGAAGCCCGAGGGAGTGGAAGCGGTGCACCGGTTAGTGGAAAACGCGGGTATTGACGTCGTTATAGAGAATTTCGTCCCAGGCACGGCGGAGCGGTTGGGGATCGGGTGGGAGATTTTGAGCAAGTTGAACCCTAGGCTGGTGTATGCGTCGCTCTCCGGGTACGGGGATACTGGACCCTACGCGAAGAGGGCGGGCTACGACGCCATCGCCGCCGCGGAGGCGGGGTTCATGCAAGTTACCGGCCACCCTGGCGCGCCGCCCGTGCGGGCTGGGTTGGGGATGACGGATATGGCGACGGGACTGTACTTGCACGGGGCGATTGCGGCGGCGTTGTATAGTCGGGAGCATACGGGACGGGGGCAGTTCATTAGCGGGAGCCTGTTTGAAAGTCAGATCTCGATGTTGGTTAATGTCGGCGTAAATTGGCTGAACCGCGGGATCGAAGGGCAGAAGCACGGTGCGGCGCATCCGTCAGCCGTGCCGTATAATGCGTGGGAGTGTCGGAATGGGATCTGGATGGTCGTGGCGGCGAACAGCGAGCAGCAGTACCGGATTCTGTGTCGGAAGATTGGCCGGGAGGAGTTGATCCAGGACGAGCGGTTTCGGACGAACGCTCTGCGGGTACAGAATCGGGAGGAGATGGATCGGGTACTAGCGGATGTCTTTGTTACGAAGAGTTCGGATGAGTGGGTGGAGGTGTTTGAGGGGTCGGGGTTGGCGCATGGGCCGGTGAATACTATTGAGAGGGCGTTCCAGCATCCGCAGATTGAGGGGAGGGATATGGTACTGCCGATGGAATGGGATGCGCTGGAGAGTGGGAGGTGGAAGGGTATCGGACCTGCTGTGAAGTTTAGCGAGACGAAGGCTGGTGTGCAGCGGATGCCGCCGCGGTTGGGTGAGCATACGGAGGAGGTGTTGAAGGAGGCTGGCTATAGTCCGGAAGAGATTAAGAAAGTCAGATCTTGAGACGTGAGGGTGATGGTACCTGGCTTGCGAGTCCACATCAGAATCAATGTGGAGGTGGGTATCGTTTTCGTGATCTATGCATATCTACATCGTGTTAGCCGTGTCGTCCAAACAGGCATATGCCATCTTGTTTTCCTATCCCGCATTGACTCAGAACGACCTGGCTTCCTTCACCGGGCTCTAATCCCCTTCTCGTCCAACCATGGAGGTGTTCAATCGCTATGACTCCTTCTTCAAGCCCTCTTCTTGTCCCGCGAAGAGCGTATGGACAGGCGCATCCAGCTTATCCCTTCCCTTCAAGAAGTCGAGCTCCATCATGAAAACATAACCCAGCAGCTCGCCGCCCAGCTTTCGCACAAGTCGACCGGCTGCTGCAGCACTACCGCCTATGGTCCCATAGTCAGCATCCCACTCAACCCCTACCCGTCCACACGTGTTTCACTCACCCGTAGCGATAATATCATCCACCACCACCACCCTCTGCCCCTTCGCAATCGCATCCTTCTGCAATTGAAAGAAATCCTCCCCATACTCCTTCTCGAACCCCTCCGTCTCACACTCCCCCGGCAACTTCCCCTTCTTCCGCAAAGGCACAAACCCGGCTCCCAGCCTCAACGCCAACGTCGGCCCGAACAAGAACCCCCGACTCTCCAACCCCACCACGACATCCACCTCGCTCTTTTCTCCCGTCTTCGTGCCAAAGGCTTCGGCGACTTTGAGCTCGAGCACGCGGATGAGGTCGGTGTGCAGGGCGTGGGAGGAGAAGAGGGGCATGATGTCCTCGAAGAGGATGCCGGGGGAGGGGAAGTCGGGGAATTGGCGTAGTGCTTGCTGTAGTTTTACTTTAAGATGGGCGAGTTCGGGGGGACTGGCGGGAGTGGTGGGGGGGAGTCCTCCTTCGGCGGCGGCATTTTGGGCGTGGGGAGCGGTCTTTTGCTGGGGAGGGTGGAAGTGGGAAGGCGCCGGTGCGGTTGTGGGATCGGGTTTCGAGGCCGGGGGATGCGAAGCGGTGGAGTCTTTGACCTGGCTCTTTTCAACGGATTGAGAGTCGTCGGTTGGATAGCCGTGCGAAGGTCGCGGGGCACAGTCGAGGGAGTGGGTAGGCGGTTGATCGGACATGGCGAAGAAGAGAGCAAGAGGCAAGGGCAGATATAGATGATAATAATCAAAAAATTGCTACTGCTTAGAGGTGCATGGGCCGCTGCATGGCCTGGTGGGAGCGTTGTATTCGTGTCGCTTCTGTTCGGCGCCAGGTACGGGAGGGACTGATTGCGTTATTCTGCGAGAGGAAAAGCAAGTCAGATTTCGAGGGCTTGTCGGGCCGGAGGCGACGACGCTTCTGGGAGGCTGATCCGGTGTGGTGGGCGTGGTGCGCTGTTGTCTGCTTCTCACCGGTTGTGCGTGGGTGTTGCAGTGCAGTGCAGCGCAGATGCGAGTAGGGGACCGTTATCGAATACACGTGTCGATCCCGCAGTGCGCCGCGGCAAGCATGTGAAAGTCTTGTCGTCAGGGCGCGCTTCCCTATCTTTGACAGCGAAAGTAGTTGCATGTGATTGTCGACAGAGCCCAAGGATCCATTTACACCACACCACCAGCAATATATCCTTAGTCTGCCTCCCTCATGCACTGTCAATGGATCGCTCAGACCTTGCTGGCTTCGGCCCTGTGCCCCTTCCAGAAAACTTCCACGAACGCCAGCTCACGCCTATCGACGCCTATCAACGCCACACGCATTGTGGGGTTGTATTTGGCTGCAACGTGCTGCAGAGTCACAGTGGAGTGACTTTACGCATGAAGTAGATTCGATGTGGTTCAAACGATGAAGTGTAACACAGACGAAAACCCGCAGCGAACGTTTTCTCATTGCTCGAAGGGGGTATATACAGCTTCTCTCGCTGAAAGCAATGATTTCCAGCCGGAAAATCGCACGCACGCACGCTCAACCACGTCCCATTTCCATTTCCATTTCCATTGCCATGCATCATGTCGTAGTCGTGAGACATCCAGCAACCCAATCCAAATAGCAGCCTCTCATTCATCGCGCAGGAGCCAGCAGCAGCAACCCTCCATCCCCATCCACCCCACCCCGTCAGATCTTCCTCACGCCTTCCCCCTCCCCTTCCCCATAACAACCCCCTCAGGACCCTCTCCCTCATCCTGGTCCTCCCCCTCAATCACCATCCCACACCACTCATGCTCCAAGACCCCCTGAATCCCAATCCTGCCCTCAACATCACGATCCAACATCCTCCTGATCAAATCAATGCACTCCTCGCTCAGAACATAAGGGACTCTCAAATCGTGGTCCATGATCTCGTCGATGCTGTAGAAAGGGTTTTCTTTGTACACGATCGTGTACAGCAAAATGCCCAGGGCCCAGACGTCCTGTTCTTTGCCGCGGTAGGGCGAGCCGCGGAGGACTTCGGGGGCGGCGTAATCTGTGCACATTATACCGCATTAGTGAGTGCGTCCATGACAAGGGATGGGTGGAAGGACGAACCAATAGTCCCCACAAAAACGTCAAAAGGCCCACTCTTGATATACGCCGCGCTCCCGAAATCCACCACCTTCACCCTACCCTCCCCATCCAAAATCACATTCTCATCTTTGATATCCCGATGCACTACCTTCGCCGTCCCATGCAAATGCCCCAGCGCCTGCGCCACCTGCACGAAAATCTTCCGACACTCCGCCTCGTCCATCGTGACCCGCAGCTCAATGTAGTCGAACAGGTCCATCCCGGGCAGGCCGTGCGGCACCATCTCGATGTAGTAGTTCACGTCGTCCTCGAAGAAATCCGCCATCTCGACGATATTCGGGTGTTGCAGCCCGTCGCGGCGGAGGTAGTCCAGCACGTGAATCTCGAGGGGTACGGTGCCGAGGCGGCGGTCGCGGTGCCAGGTGTCGACTAAGATGCGGCGTTTGGTGACGTACTTGATGACCATCTTCTTCGCGGCGCGGGTCTTGTAGCGGGCGAGCTTGACCTGGCCGTAGGCGCCTTGGCCCATTTCTTCGAGGATGGTGAAGTCGTCGATGCGTTTCTTTTTGATGGTGCGGCAGGACATGTCCGGGGAGGGGTGTTCGTAGGGTTCTTGGTCGTCGGAGGAGGGGGAGGTGGATTCTTGTTGGTCTTGTAGGGATTTGGCTTCTTCGAGTTGTTGGGTGAGGAGTTGGTTGCGGAGCTCGTTCTCTTCGTGGACGGTGGAGGGAGCCATCGGGCTGGGGACGGCGGAGTCGATGTGGCCAGTGCCTGGGGCTGGCTGATGCGGTGGCGTGGCTGGTCTGCTAACCGTACTGACTGGGCCCACACCATGGTTCACAGCGTGCAGTTGCCTGGAGTAGGTAATCCAAAGGGCGTAGACGACACTGCTCGGCACAGCATCCTCGACAATGGAATCCAACGGCAACGGCGTGGAGTCCTTCTCGCTCTTCACCACCCGCATCTGTACATCAATCATAATCTCCGCGCCATCACGATGCTTCGCCGGCAGCCCACTCGGCTTCAAAAACACCGCCGCAGCATCCGAGCTGCCCTCCCTAAGCGCCAGCAACGCCCTCGCGCGGCGGAAAGAGTGTTCAGGAATGACAATGCCATCCACGAGCTCAATATCATCCTCATCGGTCATCATCCGCAAAATGCCATCGAACCCAGGGATCAGCTCCGTCACCGCCATACCATCCGGATTCGCGTACCCGAACAGCGCCGACGAGAACACCGAGTTGCTACTACTGACCTTCATGCTCGCCGGGTCCAGCACCAGAATTCCCGCAATATGCGGGAACGAACTCACACGGAACGTGCTGCTCTCCCCCTCCACCGGCTCAACTGTCGTCGGAATGCTGATATCATTGCTCGTCCGCGCAGTGAAACTCTTCAGCCTCGCGACAGCATCGTAGTCCAGCGCGCCGGTATTCGTACCCTTCATGCGCGGAAAGGCCGGGATCAGCCGCGTGACATCCATACCGTTCCGCACGCGCTCGAGGCCCCAGATCTGGGAGATGTCGCCGTTACCGCGGATGACGGAGCCGATCTCGTCGACGGTGAGGAAGGCGACGTCTTCGGCGATTTCTTCGAGGACCCAGATGAGGCCGCCGCTCTTTTCCTTGACCCAGAGGGAGGCGCTGCCGGTGGAGCCGTTCATCTTGCGGATGGGCACGACGTCGCCGCAGAGTAGCACGCCGCGGCTCTTGTGGGCAATGTGGTTGGATGCACCGTTCGACTCTTCCTTCTTTTCGGATGGCGCTGGGATCGGCTTGCTGGAATTGCGGTGACCCTCAGTCTTACTCCGACGCCAAGCGGACGAGTACTTAGACGGTGGCTTCGCGAGTAGCCTGGCAGTGATACCGCCTCCCATTGCACCTGCCAGGGTCGAAGACTGCGCTGGCTTCGCTTCGTTGGCCCGCTCAGAAGCTTTCGCTTGCTGCTGACCTTGCCTCGGCGCATTCCCTGAGTCCGGATTCTGCAGCCTCTCCTCCAGCCATGCTCGACGCGACTCAGCAATGACCTCCATGATCCCAAGCTTTCGGACCTCAGCCCTAGTGACGCCGAAGACGAGACATGCGAGATCGTTTGCCGCTGTGATGGTCCACGGGCTCTTAGCGCCGGTGGTGAAGATGGCTTGCGCTTGATTGTTCCTGTGGCCGTGAGGTGCGCGCTCGCTCACGGTAGTGCCGCTCCTAACGGGTGGTGGAGCGCGGAAGACGGGGGCATTGGTTGTTGACATGGTAGATGGAGACTGACTTGAGTGGTATGGTTGAGCGAGTGCTTCGGTGAGTTTGTGCTGGAGTGAGTAGCCGGCCACATCGGTATATGTCCGCTTAAGGGAGGCTCGCTGTGGCCGCTCGGGTGGACCGGCGTTAGACATATCTGCCGTCGTTATGCGTGACAGACTCAGCTGCTCGGTGGACAATGGCGGCTGAGAAGGCGATGCCTCTCTCAGCGGAGGAGACAGCGTGCTTGAGCTGTTGGAAGACTCGGCTTCCTCAGGCTCCTCGTTGATCACATCTGGGCTTCCAGTCGGGCTCTGTGACAGGAAGTTCTTCTCAAACACATTCTCGTTCGCCAGATGTGCCGGCCCTGTGAGTGGCCCTCGATCAATGCCCAACCCAGTCTTCTCCGGCCCCAGACCCTCAGGACTCAGCACGCTGGCCTTGTGCATCAACTCCATCATGGTGAGCAGCTCTTCGTCGCCTGCTAATCGAGCTTGCGCGCTAGCAATCCGAGGTGAAGTCGCAGCCCAGCCGAGCTTATCTCGCATGAACTCGATTGACCTCTTCAGAGCATTTTGTCGATTGACGAGTGTCTCGCTGCTTTGGTGGGCAAAAGAGAATGAATGCAGTGACTCGGATGGGAAGCGAGTGAGGTCTTCAGTGAAGGCGAAGCCCGGTGACGCTAGACCGGAGAGTTGGTGATACGAAGATTTCCGTGAAGGTATAGGCGAGATCTGGGGCGAAGGCTCGGTATGTGATGTTGTTGGGTAGAGGAGGGGTGAAGAGGCTTTGCGGGGTGGTTGAGGTGGTGGTTGTTGGCGGATCCGACGGAGACCGCTGTCTGCTGGTGAAAGAATGGGTGATCTGGGTTTTTTGTCTGGTCAGCAACCATGTATCACGCGTCCCACAACTTCACACATGCTCTTCATGACAATAGCCCATTCACGACTGTGATTCACTCGCTCTATTCACCCCATGACGTTGGAGGTTGTCATGTGATTGACGATTCCACATACCGAGTCAAGGTGTGATATGCCTCTTGCTCCCCATTGTCTGTGTCCGCCGACGATCTTCTGTGCGGTGCATCGACTCCCAAAGTCCCGCTACTGCCCGATGCCGACGCTGAGGAGAGGTTGCTGAGTCTCTGCACGCTTCGATTCTTCGGGATCTGGAGGGTCGGCGGCCGCGAGCTGGTCTTCCTATTGACGTCTATCCTCATTCACCCGAGTCAGCACTGATCCGTCAAAGCAATGTGAAATGGCAGAGCAGGCTGTATGATGTGTGACTCAGGTGGGTGTAGTCGCCTTCACTCGGCCTCGATGAACAAGGAAGAGATCTCGTTGCCTGACTTCGCGAAACGCAAGGCAACGGCAGCAAATCGATCTCGAGCGGAGAGCGATATACGTACCATCTTGCGGCGCGCCTGGCGACGAAGTCATGCTCAGGCTTGACGGTCACACCACCGGCCAGCGCGTCTTCCAGCAGCAAGCAGCCTGCGCCTGCTGAGGCGATGTCTTTCACGTGCGAGCGGCAGCGGAACACAAGCAGCCAGCACCAGACCAGAGCTGCAGTAAGCCGATGTCTTGCAAAGCGTTCCTTTGCTGCAGTATGTGCAGCGAGCGGGCGTTCGACGGGTAGTGACAGATTGATCAGGGAAAGAGACGGCTCTAAGGCACGCAGTTCATTCTATGCTCTATGCAGTGTACGATGCTGAGGAATGGCTTTACGAGGAAGAAATGCATGCGGTACTGGTCAGGTCAGGCTGCATCGGCACGGGCTCTGAGGTTTGAAGTCTGGACATCGGACGCTCCACATCGCCGCTGCTGCAGACTTTCCAGCGGACGTTGGGACGACTGGAGAAGGGTCTGCTCAAGCTTCGACCCGTTCAGGGTTATTGCGAGCCAAAGCGGCATTTACTCTGTCCAACGCTGGTGATCAGAAGAAATGTCGTTCTCCGGCAGTGCGTGTTGCACAGCATACGCCACCATCGCTCGCTTCCCATCTCGAGGTACAACTGCATTCACTTGCGGGGCAGGCCCCGTGACGGCCATATCACGCTCCACCTCGTCTCCGATTGGGCGACGACAAGCTCCAACTGCCGACGGATCTTGTTTGATGACAACCTTGGAGAGCTCCATCTGTACGGTGTATACCAACCTTGGCCAGCGACGAAACAACCTCTCTTATTTCGTTTCCTTCCTTTTCCTTTGCATGTAGGTCTCAGCGGTACCGTCAAATTCTTTCACTTCCTTTCATTTCGTTCCTCTTCACCACAAGCATGTCGTCCCAAAGCTCCAAATGGCCCTCCTCCGCCTCAGCAACCATCACCCTAACCTTCGACAACATGGGCGAAGCCGCCGACCTCAACCGCTCCCTCTGGCCCCCCTCCCAACCCATCGGCTCCCACTACTCCGTAACCCGCATGCTCCCCCAATTCCTCGCCCTCGCACAAAAGTACTCCATCCCCGTAACCTACTTCGCCGAGTCCTGGAACCTAGACGTCTACCCGGACGCTATCAAAAGTATCGCAGCGGCGGGGCACGAGGTGGGATGGCACGCGTGGCAGCATGAGGCGTGGGGGAAGGAGTGTAAGGATGAGAAAGATGAGAGGAGGAATTTTGAGCGGAGTTTTGAGGCTATGAGGGGGTTTGTTGAGAGGGAAGGGAAGAGGAAGGTGGAGATGTATCGGGGGTTCAGACCGCCTGGGGGGAGTGTACATGGCGAGAGGACTTTGAAGATGTGTAGGGAGTTTGGGCTGGGGTATATTAGCCCTGCTGCTGAGGAGGGGGCGGTGGTGCAGATTGAGGGCGGGAAAGATTCGATTGTCGTGCTGCCTTTCAGGTGGAGTACCGTGGATGCGTATTACTACATGGAATCTTTTGGGAAACTAAGGAAGATGAAGGGTGTTTTGCCGGAAGAGCCGCAAGGGACGGATGTACTCGTGGAGGCTTTTGTGAGGCAGGTGGATGAGACGATTGAGAAGGGAGGTTTCCTGTCTTTGTTGTTTCATCCGTTTTTGAATGATGATGAAGAGAAGCTTCAAGCGATGGAGACGGTGTTGCAACACCTGGCCAAGAGGAGAGATGAGGGGAGCATTTGGCTGGCTAGGGCGAGGGATGTGGAGGAGTGGGCGAGGTCGCATCCGGGCGTGTTGGGTGACGATCCGGTGTGGGACAACAGCTCGTGGAGATGAGGGGACGAACCAGACGACACGACTAAATGACGAAGGGAGCGACGATGCGCATACGCATAGGTCAAGATTTTTCGATTCTGATACAGCAAACACTACCCGAACAGGATATATACCATCCGCTAACGCTAACGCCAACATCCCATGCCCTGCCTCGATCCTGGACAGCGCCTTGCCTCGACCCTAAACACCGCGGAATGCTCGAACCACCCCAGCCCTCTACGGCCCCGTCCCATTAATCGCCCAATCCCCCATCGGCCCACACTCCCCCTCCTCACAGGCCGGCTCCTCCACCACCCCACCTCTCTTCTCCATCCCCGTCCCCATCGCCAACAGCGCATCCAAATCATTCTGCGCCCGTGGCCTCGGCATCAATATGGCCCCTTGCGGGAAAACCTCCGGCCATTGCCCAGGCCAGTCCGCGAGCCAATGGACCGTCGCCTCGCACACGCCGACGCAGATGTCGGTGTAGGCGCCCCCACGAGAGGGGCAGGCGTAGCCGGCGTTGAGGGCGTAGAGGAGGGTGCGGAAGGTGGCTGCGGGGCAGAGGGTGGGGTCGCGGAAGTCTTCGTTGAATTTTTTGTGCCGGGCGAGGAGGGTTGGGGTGGGGGTTGGTTGCTTGGTGGCGTGGGCGGGGGGAGTTGGTGCTGAGTCCTTGGGGGCGATGGAGGTGTTGGGGACTGGACGGCCGACGATATCTTTGTGCAGGTCGAGCATGAGTTGGCACTCGGCGACGCAGGCCTCGGAGTAGAGATCGTCGGCTTCGGGGCAGGCGTCGGGGCCGAAGTGGTGGCGCATCATCTCCAGCATGTAGCCAGGGCAATGGCCTTCAGCAACCGGTCCTGGGATCGACCTGTTCGCGACAGGATCCGCAGCGTCGTCATCCTCTTTGGAGGGACGATCACCAGCTTCGTCCTTCTTGGCCTCCAGCACGGCCTCGCATTCAGCGATACAGGCTGCCGAGTAGAGCGCGCTGGGCTCAGGACACCCTTTTGGTCCGAAATCGTAACGCATCAGCTCCAGCATGAACCCGGGGCAGTGGTTTTCGCTGGCCGGGACGGGGGGAAGTGTTGGTGGGTTCGGAGTGAAGGATGTCAGTGGGAGCTTGACGATGGGGCTGCCGCTGACGGTCGTGCCGGCGAGGAGGGTGACTGCGAGGGCGATGGTTGATGGAGACATGTTGTCTTGGTGGTGGTTGGTGGGTGGTCGGTTGGAAGGAAGGAAGTGATCGATGGTTGGAAGTGATTGATTGATTGGTGGATCGATGATGAGATGGGATGAGTGTTTGAGATATCATTTTTCAGCAAGGGAGAGGCAGGTCTTTTATGGACAGTCTGAATACTGACAGAGCCTGTGTTTTCAGTTACGTTCGTGATCAGGGTCTGGTATAGCAATAAGGTTGGAGGAAATATGGTCAGCAATGAACTCTATCCCCACAAACACCATATAAGGCTCAGCAGGATAACCTATTCCATGGTAGCGAAGAACTTAGATCGGTCGTGGAGAACCAATCCTACATCTTCGCGGCGTGCGAGATACTAAAACAGAGGTAGACGCTTCCAGAAGATCTTCTCTGCAATAGCAACAAGGTCTTGAGGCATTGAAACCAACATCACATCTTTACGTTGCTAATGCTGTCAGAGAACATTCCTCATGGTTCCACATACATGCATGTACAGTCATTGATTGCTCGTTCCCCCCTCCATGCCCTCATCCCTATCCATCGTCCCATAATCAACACCTTCCCCACCACCCATTCTCCACTCACGACCCCCCATCTTTAGCATCATAAACAAACCCGACAACCTTCCGTCCCATCTTCCTCGGCGGCGGCACAACCACATGCTCACACCCTTTCCCGCTCGCCACTACACTCCTACTCACCTCCCTCAGCACCTCCACCATCTCCCGCTGCCCACTCATCAGCTCCCGCATCTGCGCATTCTGCGCCTCGATCCTGCTTTCATTCTCCTTGTTCCTTTGCATGAGCGAGCGCACTTGTTCGGAGGTCTCGCTGACGGCGATGTGCATTTTGTCCCCACTCGAGGATTGTTTTTCTCGCAAAGCTTTGACGGACGTGGCGTTGGATTCGGTGACGGCTTGGATTTTGGAGAGGTGGGATGTGAGGGCGTTGAGCAGGAAGCGAGCGTCGCCTGTCCCTTGGGGCTCGGGCGATTTCTGTTTCTGGAGCGTGCTGTGGATGCTGTTCAAGCGGTCGGTGAGGGGGCTGAGGTCGATGTTGGACGGTGGGGTGGAGACGAGGGTGCGGACTTGTTCGGCGTTCTTATCGCTGGCGATGCGGATGGCTTCGAGGTGCTCTTTGAGGGGCCCGAAGTCGATGGCGCTTTCGTGGCGAGTGGCTTCTTGGGACTCGAGGAGTTTTTGGACGACGACGGCGTTGCTGTCTGTTGACTCGCGGATGGCGTCGAGGAGGTCGGCGAGGGGCGTGAAATCGATCTCGCCGCCGTTGGCTTCGACGGCTTCTCGAATACCGTCTTGCGATTCGATGAGTTGTTGCATGTGTTCGTTGCTTTGCTGTGAGTTGTCTCGGAGTGCTTTCAAGTGCTCGCTCAGCGAGTCGAGGTTGGTTTCTTGCGGTTGTTTCTGCAACTGCTTCTGCCATTCCCTGGTGTGGCTATTGCCCTCCTCGATAGCATTGTAGATCTGCTCCAGATGCTCGCCGAGCGGCATCAGACCGGTGGCAGCTTGAGTCGTGCTCTCTTCCCCATGTCCACCGTTCTCCCCACTGGCATACCCGACCAGCGCCTTCACATGCTCGCTCTGCTGCTCAATAGCACTATTGATCCTCTCAAGATGCTGCGTCAACGGATTCAAATCCGGCCCCGCTGGCGCATCCCTCCCCCAGAAAGGCGTCGAAACCTTCTCATCCCCTTCATTCAACAACGCCTTGATCAACTCCGAGTTCTGCTCCACCGCCTCCTGCACCTTGCCCAACCGCTCCGTCAACGGCGAAAAGTCCACCTGCAGCGGCTGACTCTGCTGCTGCACCTCCAGCGCACTATCCTTCCGCTCCTTTGCCGAGTTCTCCATCAACGCCTGCACCCGCACCAAATGCGTCTCCAGCCGCTGCATATCCAGTCCATCGTCCTTCTGCCTCTTATCCAACGCCTCAATCGCCTCCTTCAATCTGTTCTCGCTTTCAAAGTGCTTCCGTGTCAGCTCCTCCACATGCTGCATGTTCCTCGACAAAAGATCATTCATCCGCACAAAATGCCCCGACAGCACCCCCATATCCACCGTCCCCTCCTTCCCATTCCCCGCCTCCCCATCAACCGTAAAAGACACAACATCGCTCCCACTCCTCTCATGCCGCGCGCCAGCCAACTCAACGACTTTCTCAGTATTCCGCTCCACCGCCTTCATCATCCGCTCAAAATGCTCCTCCAACCTCACCACCTCCCCCTTCACCCTCTTCATCTCCCTCCCCTCCGACGTCGGACTCGCCGGCGCCCCGCCCCCCAGCATATTCCCCTCCACATCCTGCACCGGGATAATGCCCTGCGCAGCACCACCAATCCCATCCGAAGCTTCAGAGAAGGATATGTACATCCACTTGCTCTTCAAGTGCGCGAAGCTCGGGTGTCGCCAGGCTTTCGACAGCAGGTCGTCGGTCGTGAAGCTGAACAGCTGGGCGCCGGGGCGCGTGGTGGAGGGGAAGTTGGCGCGGACGTGGTGCCACCATTCGTTGGCGACCGAGGCGGAGGCGAAGGTGAGGAGGTAGCGGGATTGGAGGTCGTTGTCTTTGCGCGCGTAGGCGTAGAAGAGGTTGCCGTCTCCTCCTCCTCCTCCTTCTCCCACGCCTAGGCCGGTGCTGCTGTTTACGCGGCCATTGCTCGCACTGGGCACGACAGGGTGTGAAGCATACCGCTGCACCGGCGGCGGTCGCTCCTCTATCGGCGAACCAAGCGCAGGTGGTGTCGCCGGCGCATCACTGCTACCATTCCCATTCCCGTTCACCTGCTGCCCGTTGGCCTTGAGGTTTCCGGTAGTCTTGCGTCGCTTCGGGCTGAGGAAGCTCATGCTCCTCATGCCTTTGACTGCTGGCGCTGACATTGTCGCTCTTCGTGAAAAGGAAAATGGCGCGCGAGATGAGTCGAGACGGGTCGAGACGAGACCGAACGAAAGAAACGCTTCGCGACGAGGAAGAGATACAAGGATACATGCGACTTACAATCCCGTGATCTAGACGGTCAGGAAACCGGGCATCCTGGTCGATAGGTCAGTTAGCTGCAAAGGCCGCTTGTGTGGCGCTCGTTGATGGGTGGAGGCTCGCTTGTGAGATGCCAGGATGCCATGCGGCGTGACGTGAAGCCTCAGGGCGATCACATGGCGCAGAACGATAGCGCAGGATAGGCGATACGGCGACCCTCAAATACACTCTTCTCCTACATGAAGAAATCCAGCGCGAAAGGTGGCTTGAAGTTAGGAGCGTGGAATGTCTTTGAGAAGGGAAGCGGCAACTGCAACATGCAAACGAATGCCTCCCATCATATCACATCACTACAAACAAACCCCATCTACTCCCGCAAACCCTTATTCCCCCCTAAAAAGACCCAGACAGTCAATGTACCACCCCAACTCCACGCTAAACCCACAAATTACACCCATCCCCCATCCCCCCTCAATCACCTAAACCTCCCCGTCACATCCCTCCCCCACCCTTGTTCCTCGTCCCCCCCATAAATCTCCGCACTACTCGCCTGCATCCCCGCCCGCGCCCCGAAAGAATTCCGATGAATACTATCCGCCGCGCGATGATGGTGCGAGTTGAAGAAGCTGTTCGGGCGGCCCTCGTCCGCGTAGTCGTCGTCGTCGTTGCCGCCGCCGAGGACGAGGAAGCCTGAGGGGTCTTCGTAGGATTGGAGGTTAGATTCGCGTCTGCCGTGGGGGTTGTGGTGGTTGGAGGAGCTGCGCTCGCGCTCGGCGCTCCGTTCAGGTACGGTGGGGGTGCGGGAGCTGGTACTGTAGTTCAGCCCCTGCGGTTCGGCGTGCGCGTGCGGCCAGGAGATGTTATCGACGTCTGACAGCCACCCCCGATCAGAGTCCAGGTTGGCGCTACGGCGCGAGTTGAAGCGAGAAGGAATGTCCATGCCGCCTACACTCTCAATCGGTCCCAAAGTTGGGACTTCAGAGATGCGGGTGAAGCGTTCGGGTTCTTCGCCGTCGAACTCAGAAGACGGCCGGTAGTCGGTGTGCGTGCCTGCGTTGCTGGCGGAGCGCTGGTCGACGCTTGGGCGTCCGCGGGAGGTGGCAGAGACCGAAGGGTCGCGAGCAGGATACTCTGCTCGCATGCCGGGGTGCATGTTCTGCCGCATAGCTGAGACTGCACTCTCCCTCGAAGGCCGGACAGGAGCAGCGTTGTCCTCAAGAGGACTCACGGACCGCTCAGCGCCGGCCGCGGCCTGAAGACCCCCTTGCTGCATCTCCGGCGAGTCGCGGTACGGCTCAGCGTTCATCGGCGGACTCGTCTGCATCTCCACGCCCTCGCCCTCCGCCTCTCCCTTGGGTGCATCCCACATCATGGGTTTGGAGCGCACGACTTCGAAGCCCTTGCCCGAATCCTTCTGCTTAGCCTTCTCCTTGACGCCGAAGACGAATCGCTGGAACCAGGTCGATGCGCTGGCAGCCGGGCTCTCTGGGTTCGCTGGACCGGTCTTCAGCTTTCTCGTTGGCCTAGCTGGATTGTTGGAGAGCGCAGTGCCGTGGTAGTACTGGTCGACTTCTCGGACAGCGTAGTCGGGTCGGTTGGCCTGGCCTTGCGGATCGGAGTCTGCGCGGTCGCGGATGTAAGCTGGGACGGGCGAGCCATTGCCCTCCGCCTTGAGCGCGCTGTCCCTCGTGCTCGCTGATCGTGCAACAGCGTCTGAGTACGCAAACTCCGGCTCAACAACGCTTCTGCTCTGCGCACCAGGCGTAAGCGCATCAATCGTCTTCCGTCTCGGCGGTCGGTAGAAAGCTTCGCCATCAGTTTTCACAGCAATACTAGGCTTATGCGGCGAAGCTCCCTGCGCAACAGCCATGTATCCCAGATCCGGATCCGGACTGCCAACTCCATCGCCCCCATTCGAGAAATTATCGAAACCACTAATCCGAGGGTTGGTAGGAGTCATCCTCCCTTGACCAAGCAGCTGCTGACTGCTAGCCGACATGCTCCTCGCTCGCCCATCATCGCCACGGGAGTCTCGCAAGATCGCCGCATCGCTGGACATGCTAGCTCTCTCCGCCGCAGCTGACCGATCTTGCCGCTTCTTCAGCATCCGCCAGCCCAGGATATTACCACGGACTGCGCCTGATTGGGCGTCACTACCGGCCAGACCGAGCGAGCGCACGGCGACTTCGATGAGAGTTTGCGCGGAGTTGAGGAAGAAGCCGAAGACCAGCACGCAGGCGTGGAGTAAGAGGATGGTGTATCCGATCCAGCCCTTGGAAGCTTCGCTGACGCCCAAGGAGCCCACGAATGCGACGCTCAGCATGATGGTGACCAACCGCACCACCGAGAAGAAGGTGTGGTAGGCGTTCATGCTGGTCTGGTTCTGGAAAGGCCGGAAGCCGTTTAGTGTAAGTATTAGTATGACCTCGCAGATCGCAAGTATGATAATCTGTGCGGTGCCGTTAGGCTGAACCGCACCAAAAGCGACGCCGCGCATAAAGGTGATGAGTACAGGAATCAGAGCGAACGGTGCGGCGCTATCGCTGTAAGTGTTGTAAAGTGGACCGTAGGCCAGGACCGTCGGCATGTCGTCGAAGAGATGTGTTCGTGGTCTCGTCTTGAAGATAATGTAGAGGATCCAGGCTGCCGTGAGCACGACGACGACCAGAAGGATAGCTGCAACAGCGATGACGGAGGTCGGCGACAAGTTCGAAATGACCAGCTGAAACAGACTGAATGCCACAATCGGCAGAATGAAGAAGTTGAACAACAGTCGGACCATGTTTCCAAAGGTGAATGGGATGTTCTTCCGTCGCAGGTCTTCTTCGCTCGTTCCGGAAAGCTTGCGGTAGACCCAGCGGAGGAAGAATCCGAGCTGGCACAGGACGATGATACCGCCTGCTATGGCAGCAAGAAAGACGGCCATACATGCCCAGACGTCGTAGGATGCGTCGATGCCGACCAGCTGTCTCATGGTGGCGATACCATACTGTCCGCTCGTGACATAGATGCCGTCCTGCAGGCTTTGAGTGCCATTGCCTCCGCTGACGAAGCTCTGGTTGAAGAGCAAAAGTGACCACGCAGTCTGACTGACGGCGGGTTGGAAGAATCCTGGGTATTGCAACGTCAAACTCCCCATAAGCGTAACGAACTGTATGTACTGCAGGCAGTCACCAAACCCAGGCGTGACCAGCCTCAGCAAGTCCTCGTCTCTTCCGTAGTTGCTGCTCCAGCGAAAGATGTCCGAGCTGCCCCACGGCGACCAAATGGCGGCCGTAAGCGTAGCGATAGCCTTGATGATCAAAATCACAGCCGGCAGCCAGGTGAGCAAACCAGTAATGCTCGGTCCAAGATCAGGCGTGATATTCGTGCTCACACACGCAACGGTGGGCGCATTCACATCCCCTGATATCACACGTATCGTCGCTGCCAGCGTGCTGAACTGGTACGGACTCCCAAAGTCGTGCGCCAGACTGAACGTATGTAATTCGTACGGATTGCTGGCGTTCGCCGAGAACAGCGGACCCAGCGGACAAGACCCATTAATGATGTGGTCGCAGAACCGCGACCCCTTCGCCTCATACGCATCGTACGTCAACACCTCAAAGCCCGCAAGCAGCGTGCTGAGCTTCCTCGCCGATCCCTCATCTGATATCTTGCCAAACGTATTATTCGGCATATCCCATTGCGGATCACTCGGGGGCGGGTATTGCCCTTCTACTTGCTGCCCGGTCACGTTGCCGTAGAGGGTGACGTTCAGGTTGTTGGGGCTCTCGGTGTCGAAGCGGACGTCGACGTACTGGGGCACCCATTGGAGGAGCAAGGGGTCGGAGTTGAGCGTGGAGTCGGGGAGGCAGTTTTCGAAGGGGATGAATGCGCCGCTGACGAGCGAGTGGGAGGCGGCGAAGAGAAGCGCCTGGAAGGCGAGGCGTAGGAAGGCGCCCATTGCGCTGGGAGCGGTGGAATTAATAGCTATGTGGGCATCTGGAAGGCAGGCGGAGTGTCAGCGGTTGCTCGGTTGTGGGTTGGTATGACGAAGAGAAGAAGTGCGCTCGAGCAAGCGACGGCGCCACGAAAAGGAAGTCGTCGAAGGGTGGTACCGGCTGCGGTGCTCGTTGGGACTGCCACTCACCATCACGAGACGACGTCCAGAAGCGGAATGAATGGTGAGAATCGAAGGGCGGAAGAAGGCTGTACGGCGGATGGCGGTGGTGGAGGGTAGTGGAGGTGGAGGTGGTGGGATCGATGAGAGCAACAAGAAAGATCCGCGACCAGGTTTCTTTCCCTTGAAGGCCGACGACGACGAACAACCAAATCAGAATAGCCTCTTACACTTCCGCGAGGCGTAGCGGCTCGGCAAGGTCTCGGACCTCTGACGCCTAGAAGGCCTTCGAGAAGTCTAAATTTCTTCGATCAACCAAAACCTAAACTCCTGGATTCTTGTTCTCGTGCGAGAAAGCATATAACAACACGGCTCCATGTTCAGGATGCTCGTTGGAAACGTATGTCTCGATTCGTTATTATTATGGTACCTAGTAAGCGGCTACAGCGCCAACGTCTCCGCGGCAAGCGACCTCGTATTAACGCGCCTTGCCGAACCCTATATGTTGGCCGGGCCTGACAATATTTGAGATCTTGTTGATCAGCAATGGATGACATGGCCTATAGTCTGCACTGCGTATGGTCATAAGGCTCGCTGCTAAGGTGGTCATGCCAGATTGACAGCGGCATGCACTGGAGCACCCGCACTTTAAAAAGAAAACCCAAGTTCTTTCAGATACCCCTGTCGACCTACAGCACTTCATCCGCAATCCGAGACACAAGGTAAGCTCGTAAAGACTGCACCCACGAGGCCAACGCAGAACAAGAATGTCACTGCATTCCGCGCGAACATGCAAGCAATTGGAAGTTGAGTACTGTTGGGACATGACCTGAGCATGCCACTTTCAAAAGGGTCATTGTTTTTGATAGATGATCGACACTCGGCCCTCAAGGCCACTCTTTTCCTCGTCCAGACGAAGACCTAACGATCACTGTCCATCTTTCCGTGCCAGCCGAATACTCTTCCAGCCCACGGCATCTCCAAAGATCAGTTGTACGTCGGCAGGCAACTCATACCAAACCACATCGCAGGAGACCCTTCGTGAGACGACTAATCCCGAGACTTCACAATCTTGCTCCTGGGCAACTTCACACACACCGGACACAGCCACTCCCCGGGCGGCTGCTCTTTGATCCCCACGCATCCATAGTGGAACCATTGGTAGACGCAATCATCGTTGTCGCATCCGATCATCTGGCCGTAGCTCGGTTGCTGGCAGGTGCAGTAGATGGTGTTGTCTTCGTCGGCATCGCTGTCCTCGGCCTCCTCGTCGACAGTAGGGCGGCGTTTGCCGTCTCGGCCACTCCTACGGTCGCCCGCGCCGTCCACTTGACTGCGGTGGAGTGATGAGGGTGTGGCGTCGGAGCCGGCGTCTTCGGAGTCGGAGATGGAGGCTTGGGTGCTTGGGGTGGCGCGGTCGGACTTCAGATGGCGACGGCGGTCACCTTTCTTAGAGGTGCGCACGCGGTCGCGCTTCCGTGTGGTCGAGGTGGCCTGGGCAGGTGCTGGTTTGCGATTCGGTGCGACGTTTTCCTTCTTCTGACCTGCAGCTGAGCGAGCTGGCTGGGCAGAGCCCGCCCGTGAGGTACCGTTTGCTGCTGGACCCGGGGTGCCAGCCTTCGGAGTTCCTGGCCCAAGTGAGGATTGTCGTAAGCCGCTCCCTGCTGCGGGAAGCGTGCCGAGACTTGTGTTGAGACGACGCCGCTTGCTAGCCTCAGTACTTCCCTCACGCTGGTGTCGAGACACGTTCGTTGGCGTCTGTGTGCTACCAGCGTTGTTCCGTGCTGCTGCTTGCTGAGCCATACGAATTTGCGCCGCGTTAGCAATATTAGGCATGCCGCCTACGCTACCGATGTTGCCGCTGACACTTTGCAAAGGTCCGCCATGTACAGCACCTCCTCCGCCGGTAGCCGGTGTATTGACGCCTGTGGCGTTACCGCTGGCAGAGAGAAGCGAGGGTCCGTTCCAGTCGCTGGGAAACTCTTCCCTCACAGCCAAGCCTCGCAAGCCCATGTCCAGTCGCTTGATCTGCCGCTCGAGGACTATGGAAGCCTTCTCGCTCAAGCCGCACTTCTCAGCTTGCAGGATCTCGCACTTGTCGTAGCAGTCGTTAATAGTTCGTGAGAATGCGTCCTCCTTTGGGTTTTGCACATGGCCGCCGTTTACGCGGACCCATTTCTGTAGCTGGTTCTCTCGCTTGGTGATCTCGTCCCTGAAAGCGGCGATTTGCAAGTCTTTGGCCTGTATTTCCTCTAAGAGATGCGTGATCTCTGCTGGGGTGTTCGCCACTGTGGGAAGTCAGCTGCAGTTAGGCCCGAGAGCGAAGAGCGCAATACTTACCATCATGCACGAACTGCTCCAGCACTGATGCTGCATCCTCTGGGACTGCCAGGCTCATTCTAAAGAAACAGCAGATGAGATGCCCGCCCTGCGCTCACGACGACCTTGTAGCGCCCCGAAGTGAGCTAGATCCAAGGTAGTCGCGCAGTCTGAGTCGCGTTACTTGTCTGTGTCAGTTGGACTAGTTGTTCTGATGGAGGGAGATAATATCAAAGCACCGTTGATAAAATGTGTCTGGACTTTCACATGCGTCGATGTGTGTTCTGGAAGGAGAGATGAGTGAATAGAGTTGCGGCAGCAGCGATCTCCCGCGGGGCTTCTCCACTTTGCGCCCCAGCGCGACTGCTCTGTGCATACAGCACTTGCAGATGCCTTTCCCCCACCGGACAGTCAGGGAGCACTCAATCCATACACGAACATGCTACCTCGATGACGAACTCGAATACACCTCGCGCCGATGTCCGCGACAGCATAGTCCAGCAATGGTCGCCCGGCCACGCCAACGTCTCCCCACGATCAGGATCAGGATCAGCGACAGCAGAGAACATACCCAACAGCCGACATCATAATGGCGCATCGCATCACGCACCTCCGACACCAGACTTCACAGACGAAGATGAGGCGCTATGGCGAGATCAAGAGCTCAACCGCAAGATCATGCAGAATGTGGAGGAAATCGGCATTACGAAGCCAAAGGGCCACAAGGTGTCCTTCCACTACAACAGCCGCGTGGAAGATATGCATTTCGGCAAGACACATCCCATGAAGCCATGGAGGTTGACTTTGACCAAACATTTGGTGCTGGGCTATGGTCTTCACTATGCCATGGATACGCACGAAGCAGTTTCCGCTGGCAAGGACCAGGTTCGCGCCTTCCATGACCCGGATTATGTCGACTTCCTCGCTCAGGTTTCGCCGCAAACTTTTGCTTCTCTCTGTGAGGTTCCGCGCTTTGCTCAACATATTCCACCGAAACACGAAAACGACACTGTCGATCTTGGTCCGTTCAACCTGTCTACCAGCCCGGGCGCCGACTGTCCAGTTTTCGACGGCATGTCCACATATCTCTTCCTGTACACTGGCGCTACCCTTGGCGCCACTCAGCAGCTCACAAGTAACCAGACAGATATCGCCATCAATTGGTCCGGAGGTCTGCATCACGCGCACCGAGCTGAAGCCTCCGGTTTCTGCTACATTAACGACATTGTCCTCTCCATCCTCGACCTGCTCCGGGTATATCCCCGAGTTCTGTACATCGATATTGACGTCCACCATGGTGATGGGGTAGAAGAAGCTTTTCAGCGCCAACCGCGAGTCATGACACTGTCATATCACCGCTATGGCCCGTATGACGAGACACAGCACAAATTCTTCCCCGGAACCGGCGACCTGGCCGATGTAGGACTGAAAGGCACCGTGGGCGAGCATTTTGCTCTCAACGTCCCTATAGCCTCTGGCATTAACGATGGACAGTACAAATATCTGTTCGAAAACGTCACAGGCCGCGCCATCGAAGCCTTCAAACCTTCTGCCATTGTACTTCAGTGCGGAGCAGATAGTCTGGGTGGTGACAGGCTGGGACAATTCAACATCAGCACCACACAACACGGCGAATGCGTCTCGTTCGTCAAGCGCAGCGGTCTGCCCCTCCTCATTCTCGGAGGCGGAGGCTACACCGCCCGCAACGTCGCCCGCGCCTGGTGTCACGAGACTGCCTTGGCAACAGACAATACATTACCAGACAGCATACCGCTCGACCTCGTACCCCGACCCGAGGCTTTCCAGGGCAGGGCTCACGGCGACGGCAAGCTGCATCCTCCGTTTAACAAGAATACGCCTGTGCATAACAACCAGAATAAGGACGTGGATTTGGAATACATGGTGAAGAAGCTGGACGGCGATCTGAAGTACGTTCGCAATGCGCCGTGGGTGAAGTGCGATCAGTTGCCGACGCAGAGGGCTATGCAGGAGATCATGGACAGCGTTGACAAGGAGATGAAGCCGGGTAAGGCAGAGCGCGACAGGAGGTGGAGGGAGCGGAATCCGGCTGGGAGGGGGGAGCTGAGGTGATGGGAAGGACCTGGTGGCCATCGTTATTCTTAGCGGGACTGGTCGTTTGGGCGCTGTCGGGAATGGTGGGTTGTTAGTATTGGACAGATATGCCTGGCTTGCAGTCAGAACAACGCACTTTGATACCTCTTCTATAAAGGGCTGCTCATGAGCCCACTGCCGCATCGTCCTACCACCTTTCAGTTATACGAAGCCAAGATTATGGTCTACTTCATCTGTAGATTGGTGACATCAATGACCACTCCGACTTCGTTTCTCACCATCTGCCAAGCCATAGAGGACCCCACCACAGGCTCTTCGGCGTTCCTGCAGATCCGCAGCTGTCAGCTTCAGCTTCCTCCTTCCCTACATCTTCTCTTCCTGCGAACGCGCGCCATACAACGGACCAATGCACAAAACGAGCCAACGATCGCAGTCAGCTAAGCGCCAATGTCGCATCACGAACATCAAGCGCGGCATGGCTGGCTGGTTCTAATCACCCGAATAGGCAGGTGACATGAGCAAAGGCGAGCTCCAGACCAAGGTAGGAAGGACCTCAATCGCTAGACTGAGGCTCGTTATTACTTTCGCATACTCCTCTCTGTCCTCTTCTTCCTGTCCTCCAGTCCCGTACCATGCCTAACGCACCCACAACCCCCCAAACCACCGCCAGCATGTCCTCCGATTCCGAGTACAAGATCATCCAACCACCAGGGCAAACTCGCCCATATCCTCAACCAACCAAGACTGGCCGCATCCCCTTCGAATACTCCCCAACTGGCCTGAAGGGCGAGACGTGGTATCAGCAATGGGGCGACCTCTCCACCTCCAAGCAAACCCCCCTCATCTGCCTCCACGGCGGCCCAGGAGTGCCTTCTAATTACCTCCTCCCGATCTCCCTAATTCACACCGACTACTCCATCCCAGTGATAATGTACCATCAAATCGGTTGCGGCGAATCGACCCACTTCAAAGACAAAAAAGGCGATACCGCCTTCTGGACCCCCGCGCTCTTCATGGCCGAACTCGACAACCTGAAATCCTACCTAGACATCAAGGAATTCGACCTCCTAGGCCAAAGCTGGGGCGGCATGCTCGCAGCCCAATACGCCATCGAACGCCAACCCCCCAACCTGCGCAAACTCGTCATCAGCAACAGCCCCTCCAACATGACGCACTGGGTGCGCGTGGCCAACAAGCTGCGCAGCGCCCTCCCCAAAGCCGTACAGGAAACCCTCGACCGCTGCGAGCGCGAAGGCAAAACGGACACAGAAGAATACGAGTCCGCCGTCGCAGTCTTCTACAGCCGGCACGCGTGCCGCTTGGACCCGTGGCCGCAAGAGCTCAACGACGCTTTCGCGTATATGAAGCAGGATAACACGGTGTACGAGACGATGAACGGGCCGAGCGAGTTTCACGTCATTGGGAGTCTGAAGACTTGGTCTATCACCGAAGAGTTGGGGAAGATTACGGCCGAGACGGCGCCGGGGGGGTTGTTGGTCATGAATGGGTATTTTGACGAGGCGCAGGATGAGACGGTGGAGCCGTATTTCTTAAGGCCGACGTGTAGGACGAGGTGGGTGAGGTATGCGTTGAGTAGTCATATGCCTGAGTTGGAGGAGACGGATGCGTATGTGCGGGATTTGGGGATGTTTTTGATGTCTGGATAGACATATTTTGGGATTGGAGAGAAGTGAACTCCTCACAACATGATTCACCCTCTGGTATTCTTTTGTGTGATGTCTGGGTATAATATATATACATTCCCAGCCCCGCTCCCATCCCAGCACCATAGGACACAAATGCTAGTACGCTACACTCAAAAACACCATCCCCTCAAACCGATTCACCCCTCACCTGCCCCTCCCAGCCTTCTCAACAACACTGGTCATCGCCAAACCCACCGGCGCCGCCCTAGCCCCCTGCGCCGGACTCCCACTCCTAGTCGGCGCGGCTGAAGGCGCTGCAGAGCGATTATGGCTCATGTGCGCCTGCACCAGATGCCCCGCCGCCAGCGCCGAGCACAGCGACAACTCCCCCGCCAATACGCCGGCAGCGACTATACGGGCGAGTTGCCGTGCGTTGTCGCCCGGGTTGGTGGCGTGGGCGCCGCGGACGCCGAGGAGGTCGAGCATGGCGGCTTGCGGTTCCAGGACGGTGCCGCCGCCGATGGTGCCGACTTCGATGCTGGGCATGGAGACGGAGATTTGGAGGTTGCCGTTTAGACTGTGGATATGTTAGTATGGATGTAGGTTGAGGGTGGAGGAAGGGGTGGCTTACTTCTTCATTACTGTGATGCAGTTGCTGCTCTCAACGTTTTGTGCTGGGTCTTGACCAGTAGCCAGGAAGATGGCGGTGACGATATTGGCGGCGTGGGCATTGAAGCCTCCAATGCTGCCGGCCATGGCGCTGCCGATGAGGTTTTTGGAGATGTTCAGCTCGACGAGGGCATTAACGTCGCTCTTTAGCACCGTTCTGACGACATCCGCGGGAATGATGGCTTCTGCGACCACGCTCTTGCCTCTGCCATCAATCCAGTTGATTGCCGCGGGTTTCTTGTCCGTGCAGTAATTGCCAGACACAGTGATGATGGCCATGTCCTCGAAGCCAGCCTCCTCACGCATGATTTTTAGCGAGTGCTCCACACCCTTCGAGATCATGTTCATGCCCATGGCATCGCCGGTCGTCGTCTTGAAGCGCACATAGACGTACGTGCCCGCAATCGCAGCCTTGAGTTGTTGCAGACGAGCGAATCGAGATGTCGAATTAAAAGCATCCTTCATCGTCTTCTGGCCTTCTGGACTGTCGAGCCATACCTTGGCTGCTGCAGCTCGCGCAAGCGTTTCGAAACCAATGCAAGGTCCTCGGGTCATGCCATCGCCAGTGAGAACGGTAACAGCTCCCCCACCGGCGTTGATAGCCTTTGCACCACGGCTCGTGCTTGCAACGAGCACACCCTCAGTCGTGGCCATGGGCAGGAAATAGCTTTGTCCGTCAATAGTCATAGGTCCAGCAACACCAAGAGGCAGGGGCAGGTACCCAATGACGTTCTCACAGCAAGCCCCATGCACGCGGTCGTAGTCGAAGTTCTCGTATGGCAGCTTCGACTTTTCCAGTTTCGACGTGAGCTCAGTCGTTGCAGGCGTACGCGAGATAACAGCTCTTCGGACTTTGACAGCTCTTGTCTTATCCTCAAGCGTCTTCTCCAGGGCATAGCCAGGAATCTTGCCGCGTAGAGACAGGTCGATGAGCTCATCATCCTCCAAGACTGGCGCCTGCTTGTTCTTAACCATCTCCTCGCACTCCTCTCTTGAGCGCTTACGACCATCAGAAGGCGAAGTGGCTGTCATCGGCACATCAGGTGTCGCGGGTCGGTCGCCATTAATCTGGAGCTTTGGTGCGATAGCGTGGCCATTGAGCGGAGCCTCAACCTGCTTGCTCTCCTGTTCCTTATTAATCGTGCCGTTTTGAGTCTGCTCTGGCTCCGGCTCCTTAATCGTCCATCTCGCAGCATTAAAGAGGTACCCGTTCAGAACCAAGCTCATCGCCAGAGCAATGATAACCCACTTGCTGAGCACAGGATCTTCAAAGCTCTTTAGCAGGCTTTCGACGACCCTGCCACCCACAGCAGAGAATATCAAGCGGTCAGTGTAATCGCTATTGAGCAACGACCATTCCGACTCCTGCACTGCACTATAGTGCACAGATGGGTACTGCAGCTCGTATTTGATCGGGTTGAACACCGTAACGCTGATCGGCTGATCGCTCTTCTTCGCCTGGCTCAGCAAAAAGTCCAGTCCACTGCTAGCAACCTTGAAAGGGTCCATTGGCGGTGGCGTAACAACGCTCGAAAGCCCTGCCGTAGCCACTGGCGCGCTGTTCTTAGTACCGCGGAATGGCATTGAGCAGAGGTTCAGCACGTTGATGAGAATGAAGCCAGACACCATCAGCACCTTGAAGCGCGGGATGCTGCTGTCCTTGACCTTCTTGCCGAAGATGCTCCAGTCGCCTTTTTCGGAGATGATGTCGCCCTTGGGCCAGTCGTTGCTGGATGCGACGGTTTCTGCGACTCGGCGGCTCACGCCATCCTCCTCGAGTGCCTTCCGGAGAGCGACATGGCGCTTGATGCGGTTGATCTCGAGCTTGATAGTAAGAATCGAGGTGTAGAACGTGAACAACAAGATGCAGTCGAAGAAAAGGGTCCATGCTGCCAAGAAGCAGAACTGTCGAAGTCCTCCCTGGATGCCAGACGCAGCTCCAGCGACCAGGATCAGGATCTCAATAGCGTAGTCTCGCACAATCTCAAATCCACGCTCCCGAACTGCCTGCTGTACGGCGTTCTGGATAGTAAGTGGCGCATCGCCATTCTTCGCCCGAAGCGATGCTGAAAGCACAGCCTGCGTCAAGACGATCGGCTTCTCGAATCCAACCGTGACCACCAAGAACGGCACACCCTCAGATAGCAACACCACATTCTCCGGCACTCCAAGCTGCAGCGTGACCACAATGCCAAACAGAAAAGCGAACGCCGAGGAGAACATGACAGTCGTGCCAAGCCAGAAGTTCGAGCCCAGCCTGCGCATACTGACGAACAGCGAGATGAACGTCAAGTACATTGAAAAGTAGCCGAGCGACATGATGATGATGTCGAGAGTCTCAGCATTCTTGATCAGATCCATGAACGAGGCCCAGGAGTTCTCGAACCATGAGAACATGCCGGTGGATCCAGAGGTCTTCTTGGCGTTCTTCATCATCCAGCGTTTCTGCTCTGTCTCGTCGTCTGAGCCGTCGTCGCTCTCTGCTGCGTTGGATGAGGTGGCCGGGATATCCTTGACGCTATCGAAGAAGCGAGCAGACTCGCTGTAGGGCATCGAGTATGCCAATGTGGACTCCGAGGACAGCGGCGCGAGGATGTTGTGGGCGCTCGAGGGAACGAGCTCCGCAGAACTGCCCTCTGGCAATGGCACATCCTTCGATTTCGGCGCCGCATCTGGCGCAGCATTCGCACTGGAGTCCACGAACGCCAGTGTAACCAGCGAGAGGTCATCTTCCCCTTTATTCAACCTCCTCGCCTGCCCGTTCTCTGCCAATTGCCATTTCCACGCCGTCTCCGGCCCAACATGTAACTGCCTGCTCCCTGCTGCGAGCGCATTAAAGTCCACCTTATTCCCTGCTCCTGGCGAAGGCTGGAAGAAGCCCGTCTCCAGCAAATGCGCGTAGAAGCCACTCCCCAGTATGACCACACACGCGAGGGTGTATACCGGATGCGTGCATGCCTTCTCTGATACCGCTTGTAGATATGGGGTGACTTGTCGGTTGTAGAAGCCTGGTCTGTTCGGATCGGTGGTGTCGTAGTTCCGCCGCCAGCGCGTGGGTATGAACGAAGAGAAGATCATGTTCGGCGGTTGATGGGCGGCGAACCTCAGAGTCGTAGTTGGTGGAAGAGATGAGGGTCGAAGTAGTAGGTTCGGGGACGCTTGCTATTGTTCGTTCAGGAAACCGCCATCGACTTTTGAACGATTCGCGCCTGCCTCCTTCCTTTGATTGCTCTTGCCAATGCGATTGTGATGTGATGCGATTCCAGTCCAGTCAATGATCGCGCGTGCTCGAAGTCGCCTCCGTCGGGCTATACTACCCTCGCGATCAAGATATCAGAGTCCAAGCAGAAGTCAAGTCAACAAAAATGCGGCGGTGAAACAAAAGAATATGGCAATCTCTAATCGACCAAAAACGCCCGTCCGTGCGCCACTACTCTCAACGTCGGATCATCAACAAGATTCAAGAGCAACATCCAGGTTCCTGGCCGAGGCGGAAGGGTCGCCAGATTCTCCCGTCTCCTGTGGCGGTGAACGACGCAACTTTTTGTCGCGGCGATGATGCCGGCCAGGAACGCGACCAGTTGATTGGGTTCAAGTCGAAGATGCACCCCAGACTGTCGATCCACTTCTGCCACTTGCCTGCAGAGAGTGATTGCGATCACCTTGATCCACCGCGATGGATGCGTTTTTTGAATGTTGGAGATATGGGACAGAGAACACCGGGCCTCCGCTGCACATCTGTAGACCACCTATCTACTACTCGACAACTTCCATCTCGACCGCTATACACATTCCTCGAACGAGCTCTTCAACAGCACGGCAAATCGGCACTTCCAGGTTGAACTTACTGCGAGCTAGCTAATTGGCCGGCCCTCAACGCAAGACTGCCGCGATTTGTGCCTTCGTGGAACAGGTGGCACAGGTGGCGTTCTGTCTGCCGTGCATGTCGTACGACTGTTGCGTCGTCAGGGCCGTTTTGTGGTACTTGAAGGCTCGTACCCTCCACGACAGCTGATGGCCATTGACGTACGACTGGGCCTCGTCGTGGTGCGCAGACTGCTGGCTGTGTCTCCCCGTCGAAAGAGCTCATGAAGTGATGCAACGAGGGCGAATATTTGACGAGTCGTTCTCGTTCCAGGAGAGCTCAACTTCTTCTTCGACCAAGCGAACACGCCTGCCGGTCGCACAGCATCCTTCTCAGGTCACTTGATCTCACCCGCCTTACCAACCTTTTCAGCCAACGGCACATCCCCATGCGTGATCCTCTCCACAAACTCCCGGTCCGGATCAAACAGCATGACATGGAAATGCTCAATCGCATGAATACTCTTCAACGAGCTCCAATTCTTAAACCAGATCACATTTTCCTTCCCACAAACACTGGCAAACGTCTCATCAACGAAGTCATTGATTTGCTTGCGGGCTTCGGGAGTCAAGTCGCCATTCGGGTTGGTGGAAGTGATAGGTTCAGACGGGTGGTCGACCTTATTCCAGATGACTAGGTGAACGATGCGGCTGTCAATTCCGTAGGGCCAGTCGTTGTAGAGGATCGTGTAGTCGTCTTCCCCTCATCAGCACCACACCAGCTCAGGCAGAATACCATACCTACCAGGGCATTCAAACGCCTTCCCCTTCGCCACAACATCCCCCCACCGCAACCGCTCCTTCATCACAAAGCTCATCACCGTCCCATACTGCTCGACCAATTTCTCGCAGTACTCGCGATACCGCCTCAGATCGCTCGGCACCCGCAAAAACAAGTCTAGCCGGTTATCGTGGATGATCTGCTGGACTTCCTGCCAGGACTGGCGGCGGTATTCCGAGTCGGGTGTGGAAAGGATCTGGCGGTCTTTGTCGTTTTTGAAGGCGTAACGGAGGTAGCTGGGGCAGTCTGTTGTGTGTTGCGAGGGAGGGACGTTGATGTTCCAGAAGGGGGTGTTCGTCGAGGGACCGTGGGTATCGACCATTGCGGGCCCTTGGAGGATAAATGCTGTTGGTTTTGTTCAAGCCAGTGCCAAAGCTGAGTGGCTTCTGGTTTCAACAATGCTGATAAGGTATGCTTCTAAGATTGAGTCTCTTACGGCCGGGTTTATGCTCTTTTGAGATCGAATGTAATAGTGAGAAAGAAGTAAAAGAATGAATCTATGGAGCGGTGAGTTGCTACAGTCTGGAAGCTGGAACATATCTCACTGGCATCGCTCATGTTTGGGTGCAACCAAGTCTCGCAGTTGTTCGTGCTATGGCGAATATTCCGCCTGCAACTACACCTGACGAGGACCTTGATCCTGCTATCTCTGTGGAAATAAAAGATGACCGTTCTCGATGGCGCTCTGGAGCTCGGTCAGCCCCCAGGCAAAAGGAAGGTTATTTAATCCCAGTAGCGCCAGGAACGAATCCAAGGCGTGATCTGCAGCATGTGATTGGACATCCCCTGAATCACCGTTGAGCTTTCCAAGCAGGAGGCACCACCACCACCACACCTTCTCGCCGTCGTCGTCTTCTTCTCGCGAGGGGCACGCTCTTGTATTCTTACCGGCAACAGTCATTACCTGGGATCATTTCAAACAGCAACAACAATACATACTGGGCGGCTGCGATCCATTCACACGAAGCATTGAGTTGCTTTGGCGCCGATAATCACAAGAACGAATCGTCCGGATCTGCAACTCCTTGCTTCCTCTAATACTCGATCTTAGATACGACACGAGAACGCGGTTCGCTCATGATACTCGGCGGCAATTGCATGCTTATCAACACACCACAAACAACCGGTTATGAATCGACTGCCGTCAGGACCTACCTCACCGCTGTCCATGAGCAGCAATGACTCGTCCTTCCCAAACAGATACGGCTCGCTAGGCACGCCGCCGGTCGAGGAGGGAGGATACGCGCCGAGTCGTCCCTCCCCTCCTACATCACAACACCCGAGCAATTCAACAGACATGTCGCGGCCTTCGCAAGGCGGGAGTAGTGTGGGTGGTGGCAGGCCGCCTTCGAGCGCGAGCTCCATTGCGCGATCGAGCGATGGCAGGATGTTTGGCGGGCAAAGAGACAGCGCGAAGATGAACGTAAACCCGCATAATGAGGACGCGCTGCAGAAGCACTATGTCACGTTGAAAGCGTGGTTGAACTCGAGTCTGCATGACGCGCAGGGGAATATGAAGCCGAATCGCGCACGCGATAAGTTGCTGCGGTTGTCGGTGACGCAGTTCATGGAGCTCAGTACGGACGTGTACGACGAGTTGAACCGACGGGAGGATCATCGGATGCAGAAGTTTGCGAACGTACCTCCTGCCCTCCCGCCGAAGCAGAACTTCCACCCGAAACGAAACCAGGCCAGGCAAAAACTTTCGACACTTCCATTGGACCGGTTTAGGCAGCTGGCTACAGATGTGTACTACGAGCTTGAGCGTCGCATACCCAGGTTTGCTGCCGGCGATATCGATCGACCGATGAGCGGAACCAGCATGCGTGCGCCGAGTCGAGGAGGCATGCGGCCACCACCTCCTGGGTTCCGGCCTCCTCCACCTAGCGCTGGCGGAAGACCACCCATGAGTCCGGGCGGGCCTAACAGCATGGGAGGGCCGAATAGTATGAGCGGACCCAATGGTATGGGCCCGCCCAGACCGCTTCCGAAGACGTTCCAGAGTAATACTATGGTACCTAACAAGAGCACGATGGTCGAGGACGATGATGACGATGAGGAGGAAGAAGCGTTCCGGTTGGACAACCGCTTCAGCGAGGCTACTCGTAGCGTCAGTGCTGGGAATGCGATCAGTAATGCCGAGGACAAGGAGAGGTTGCAAGCGCAGGAGGCGGAGATTGCAGATCTGAAGAGCAAGATGGAGGAGTTAGAGAGCCAGTTGAGTGAGAAGGATGACTCGTTCAGCAGTCTGCGCGAAGAGCTCGAGCAGAAGCACATGGACGCTCAGAAACTCAACGAGAACCTGCGAAACGAGCTTGACCAGCTTCATCGGGAGAAGAGTCAGGATGAGCGGGACATCCGAGCACAACACGACCGTACTGTTGAGGACTTTCGGATACAACTTGACAATGCGCATAGCCAGAGCGACGATTTACGGGCGCAGCTGGATAATGCTCATGGCCAGAGCGATGATCTGCGAGAGCAGCTGGACAATATCCACAGTCAGACTGAAGATCTTCATCAGCAGTTGGAGACCCACCAAACTGAGGCGGAGGAACTTCGATCGCAGCTTGAAAAGGGCCCGGAGCGAACAGTTGACAGCACCGATTACACACGCCGAATCGACCTCCTGCAGCAGGAGCTTGCGAACCAGGAGAAGATCACCAAGGAGGTCCGAGACGAGGCTACCATGTACTTGCGAGAGATGCGCGACCTCAGCAGAGAGAACGACAAAGCCATCGAGCAGGAAGAGAAGCTTGCCGCTCAAGTCACCAAGCTCGAGAAGGAGATTGACGACTGGCGGCAGCGATACGCCGAAGTCAAGGCGCAGAACAAGAGTCTGCGTGCTTCTGCTCTGGGTCTTGGACTGCAAACGACTTTCGACGCTGGAAGTCTGCTCAGGAAGGAAGCTCTGCTCTCTGAAGGCGGCCTTGTCAAGGACCTCGACGTCTCCCGCTTCCAACTCTCCATTGACGAGCTCCTGAAGACGGCACGACAGACCAGCACAGAACCCATGCTCACCTCCGTCAAGAACGTCGTCCTCAGCGTCCAATCCATCACGTCCGCCATCGGCACCGACGGCTACCCCACCCCCTCACCCTCACCACACTCCCCGGACAGCGCCGCCCCGCAACAGCAAACCCTCCCAGTAGCGAAGCTCAAAGCCCGCGTGACCGGCACAGCCAACAGCCTCATCACAGCGACCAAACAACACGCCTCCGCCTCCGGCCTCTCGCCCGTCGCTCTCCTAGACGCCGCAGCTTCCAACCTCACATCCTCCGTCATCGAGCTCGTCAAAGCCGTCGGCATCCGTCCCTCGCCCAAATCAGAACTCGAAGACGCCGAAGTCGAAGCAGTCCGCGACCCTCACGAGTCCGTCGGGTCATTCTACGATGACAGGCTCTCGGATATGGCGTCCCCGACTGGCGACGGGACGTTTTCGCCTTCTGAAAACGGGAACGAGGGCTCAGCGCCAGCGGTGCAGATTAGTGCTCCGGACAACAAACCAGCGGCTTTTGGTGGGATAGGGAGGAGCGGGACGTTGAAGAAGGTGAATGGGTGGTTTGGGTGGGGCGCGAAGCAGGAGGAGATGCCTACGACGCCTACGACGCCGACGGTGGCGGTGGGGCAGGTTAATGGGAATGGGAATGGGAATGGGGCGGGGCAGGGGGAGGAGTATGATCCTTACCGGTAGATGGGAATGAGAGGGATTGGGTTAGGGAAGTCTGGTTGGAGTTACGACTTCACTGGATAGCCGGGATGGCTTGGACAGAGGGATCTCGAGAGATGGGATCACTATATCATTCCATGTAAATGTAATGTTACTGTCTTGCATGCCTTACTTGATATGGTATATCACAGCATTTCGCTAATGTGTGCTAATATCCTCGCGATCTTTTGAACTGAGTGAAGACTCACCACCATCAGCAGACCCAGTACTCTTCGCTACCATTAGCTTCATCGAGATTTGTACGTCCGCCCACGCTGAAACAGCCAATTCGCCGGTACGTTGGCACGACAGCGTCTTCCAAATACTCCAGAATGATTCCGTCGGTGCCGATGTCTTCGACGTAGAGGATAGGCAAGAAATACGCCTCATAGGGCTCAAGGTGCTCCATATCACCGTCACTAGTGTCGGGGAGAACTCGAATCGTAGCGTCCGGAACGATGGGCGATGTGGCATATAAGTAGTCTGTCAGCATCGTGCCAGCAAGCTGGCCTTGCACTGTGCCTTTGAAAGCCATCCCACACAATCGCACCACAGCTTGAAAGGCAGACTTGCCGTCGTCAACGTTCTCCAACCCAACGAGTTCAGCAAGCACCTCATGCTCCCGCTCAAGCCACCCACTAAACATCACCAACCCGGACACCGAAGCCCAGGACCACGAGGGCGCGAGATTAGGCAGACGCTTCTTCACCGGTTCTTGCTCGGATGCTACGACGCCCCAAAGAAGACTCACTGGTATTGTTTTGCGCCAGAGGCCGTAGAGATATTCGTCACCCGTAAGTGCGGCGCAGTATGCGGCTACGCCGGATAGAGCTTTCAAACGGTCTGCTGGGAAGGTCAGGCTGCGGTCTGTATAGTTGCTTACGATTGAGTCCCAGGGTGGTAGGCTGAGTGCTGTTGAGCTTGGGCTGCTCTTGTCTTGGGCATCGAAATGGAAGGGACGATGCCTGTTGGCGCTTATAGCTGGCGGCTTGCCTTTGGGATATACCTCTGAAGCTTCCAGCTCGCGACATTCCCAGTGCACAAGCCGGTCGCAGAAGTGAAGTATGCGCGGAGACAGGAAGCGTTCTTGGAAGATCCAAGCTCGTTTGCCGAGGATGCAGCTCTGGAGTTCGCCGTTGATTTGTCCCCAGTGGACTTTGAGTCGATATCTCAGCGTCTCTCCGGCGAGGGTGAGTGTGATGATGTTGTTTCTCGTTAGCTGGGTGTCTCGGGTGCTGAAGCAGCCGCCGTTAGTGACGGCTGCTGCGATGGTACATCTGGCATTGCCATATATCCGATGCATTTCTGCGAGTTCACGGTCTAGATCGCCGGGGTCGTCTTGAAGTATGCACAAGGTGTCGATCCAGATGTATGCAGTGTCAAGCCGCAGGCACAGGTCCGTGGCTTCTTGAATGGCCGGTTTCAAGCTATCGAGCGGGATCTCGTTGCGGAGATCGTTGTGGTTCTTCTTGAGCAGCCGCAAGGGCTCATTGCTGAGCCAGCGATGGCTGAGAACTAAGTAGTCGACCTCAGAAGGGTAATCTTCAAGCGCGGCTTCGTGTAGTGAAGCAAATATGCCCTTCTCTCCATCTCTGCGAACGTGTATCAGTCTTGTGGGCGCCCATTGCCAGCGGCCACTTCCGTGACATGATGAGTGCTGCTTTAGACAAACGTCGGTCCAGTATTTGATCAGCTCAAAAGTGTTCTCGTCACCAGTACCAGGCGTGGGCTCGTACGAGTCGGGCCATGAATTCCCTGTGGACAACGACAAGAGGGAGACTCTGAAAAATGCTTCACGATCTTCATACTCGTCCGCAAAGTAGATGTTCACATCCATATTTGCGTCACTCAACCGTCCCTTGAATGGCTCTGAGTCCGACTTCTGGTCAATCAGCTCTCTCGCCATCTCGAATCCTCTGCGGATCTCAAAGTCGTAATCATTGTCCCAGTCCTCATCTGCAATGTCGACATAGCTTTTGTTCAAGGAGTTTCTTATCCAGACACATATTTGGCAGCCTGAGTCGGCTATATTGTTCAAAGCACTCCAGGTGAGTGTTGCGTACGTTCTGGTCTTTCCACGATACGATTCCTCGAGCGCGATGCGACACCCAGAGCAGAGTTCAGCTGCCTGATCCATTGATGAAGTCGATGCCGCTTCTTTTGTCCTCGGTCAAGAAACCTGTCCGATGCACTGGTGTAGGCGACGGAGCAGGGAGCTGGCCGGCAACACAAGGCCGAAGCGACCACACTTTCTTTCGCGTGATCTCGTCCTCTCATTGGCCTCATCCTTATCTCCCCCCAATCCCTCCCATCGCCTACACACGCCTCCCGTAAACCCGGCCACGCCGACCAGATGGCAAAGGAAAAAACAACTTTCCAGATCCAGTCCGTCTCACTGCATCCGCCGACCCAATCAAGACCGGATCCAGCAGTTGCATTTGCAGAGGCTGGACAAGCTCCTCCAAGAGTCCAAGCACTTCTTGTCCGCGATAAGCAAGCAGGGATCTCGACCGCCATCGCAGCACGCCGTCATCGGGTGTCGGGTGGGTACGAGAGAGATACCTCGCCCTGGAGGCTGGGGCTTCTGGAAAATCTTCGCGAGCTTCTCTCTTATCTGAGCTCACGCGGCGATATGCGGGCCTGGACTGGGTAGGTGGAGAGATAGCGGCATTGGTGTCGCGTGGTGGGAGGAGCTTATTATTCTTATTGTTTCTCTGGATGCGCATTCTTCTTCGATATAGGTGATTTCTGTATTGTCCTTCTATACTTCGCGACTTGAGACGAGGACTGCCGGAAGAAACTTCTTCGTGAAGCCGGGTATACCACACATCAACCCTGGTATCAGACGGAAACTGTATAGTAGAAGGCGATCAAGATGGGTCTCAACGACACCTACGACGTCGAGAAGCGCGCGCAGAGCACGACTGCAGAGGGCTTGACGAAGCACCATGGCAAGCTCATGGCTGAAGACGGCGCCGTGCCGGGCGACACTTTCGAGATCGGCGACAGCTGGTATGCGAAGACGCAGAGGTTGGCAGGCCGATTAAAGATCGAGCAGCGAGGTATTGAGAGAGTGCCTGAAGACGAGAGGGAGGACAATGGGTTCAAAGCGCTGCTCAACACGATGACTATGGTATGTCAATCCTCCCCACTGCCATCCAATTGCAGACTCTGATATGTAAACAGTGGCTCTCAGCAAACATGGTCGTCTCCTCCTTCGCCATTGGCGTCCTCGCGCGCAGCATCTGGTACATGGGCGTCGCGGACGCCATGCTCGTCGTCCTCTTCTTCAACCTCCTCGGCGTGACACCCGTCTGCTACTTCTCCACCTTCGGCCCACGCTTCGGCCTGCGCCAAATGGTCCTCTCCCGCTTCTGGTTCGGCTGGTACGGCGTCAAGCTCATCGCCGTCTTCAACGTCCTCGCCTGCATCGGCTGGAGCGCCGTCAACTCCATCGTCGGCGCCCAGCTCATCCACACCGTCAACCCGGACGTCCCTGGTTACGCCGGCATCCTCATCATCGCCTTCTGCACCTTCCTCGTCACGCTGTTCGGATACAAAGTCGTGCACGCCTACGAGTTCTGGTCATGGCTCCCAGCGGTAATCATCTTCCTCATCACCCTCGGCGTCTTCGCACACAGCGGCGACTTCGTCGCCATCCCATGGGGCGTAGGCAAAGCCGAGCTCGGCTCCGTCTTATCCTTCGGCGCGACGGTCTACGGCTTCGCGACGGGCTGGACCAGCTACGCAGCAGATTACACCGTCTACCAACCCTCCACCCAGTCCCGGCGCAAAGTCTTCCTCTTCACCTGGCTCGGCCTCATCATCCCCCTCCTCTTCACCGAAATGCTCGGCGTCGCCGTCATGTCCGCCACCTTCCCCAACGACGGCGATAACCGCTACCAGCGCGGCTACACCGCCTCCGGCACGGGCGGACTGCTCGGCGCGGTCCTAATCTACCACTTGGGAACCTTCGGCAAGTTCTGCCTGGTAGTGCTAGCCCTCACGATCATCGCCAACAACTGCCCCAACATCTACTCCATCGCCCTAACCGTCCAAGTCCTCGCGCGCTGGACCGCGCGCGTGCCGCGCTTCATCTGGACCGGCATAGGCACGGGCGTGTACATCGCCATCGCCATCCCGGGGTACTCCCACTTCGAAGAAGTCCTCGAGAACTTCATGAATTTCATCGGATACTGGCTCGCGATCTACGAGGGCATCTCGTTGACCGACCACTTCGTGTTCAAACGCGGTATGTCAGGTTACAAGCCGGAGATCTACGAGCGGCCGGAGTTGTTGCCGCCGGGGATCGCGGCGGTGGGGGCTTTCTGTGTTGGAGTGTGCGGGATGGTGTTGGGGATGAGCCAAGTGTGGTTTGTAGGACCCGTGGGGTTGGCGGCGGGTGAGCATCCGTTTGGAGGGGATGTGGGGTTTGAGTTGGGGTTTGCGTTTGCGGCGACGAGTTATTTGTGTTTTAGGACGGTGGAGTTGAAGTTCTTTGGCCGGTAGTTTAAAGGTAGGAACAGAGGTGGTGAGGCGGTGGAGTGGATAGCTGTATGAGTTTGAAGAAATGGCGAAGTCGCCTTGACCTTGATATCTCGCTACGGCGCTCCTCCAACACCTTCCGCCTTCTTATCGGACGCTTCATCCGCTTCCAAAGTCTTTGCATCCGCAGGACCTCGCTCTTCAGCTCTCTCATCTTCCGCAACCTCACCAGTCTCATCCTCCGTCTCTCCCTCCCCCTCTCCCTCCTCCACATCCACAAACCCCCCAATCTCAGGATCATAATTCGGCATATCAGCAATCAACCTCACATACGCCTCAGGAACCAACCCCTGCTCCCCCGTCCGCGGATCGCTCGCCACCAACCACCCCTGTCCGTGCCGATAACTCACCATGATCTCCTGCCCCTCCACCAATCGCAACTCATTCGAGTTCTCCGGTTCAAACGCATAGAGGGCCAACGACGGGCCGGCGAACAGTTCTTCGTCTTCCGGCCCCATGGACGAGCGCAAAGGGGAGTGCGTGCTGGTGTTGGGTTCGGTGTCGAGGGGTATGGGGTCTAGATCCTCTGACTCGTCGGAGGAGGTGGCGGGGGGTTGGGAGTGGTGGAAACTGCGGTTCGGGAGGGTGGAGGTCGCGTTTGCGTTGGAAGCGAAGCGGGAGTCCCGTCGTGGGCCTTCTGCTGTGCCGCTATTGCTGTATCCTCTGCTCTGCCGCAGGCGTTCGCGGCCAGCGGGGTCGCTTGCTTGGTTCGGGTAGTAGAGGAGGTGCGGGTCGGCGAAGTCTTTGCTCCGTCGTGCGGCTGCGGCGCCGCCGCTTTCGCGCCGCCGTCCGCGCTCGAAGTCGGTGATGTCGGCGTAGGATTTGGATTTGCGGTGTTTGTTTCTGCCGAGCGTTAAATCATTGTCGAAGTCTGCGGTTTCGTCGCTGCTGCCAAAACTCGTACTGGGGAGGGCTGCGATGCCGTCTTCGTGCTCTGGGTCGCCGTACATGACGCCGTCGCCGCCCCAGGGTCCTGCTGACCAGCCGCTGCTTGACGAGCTGTTGCTGAACTGTTGTAGGTTCTCTGGGTCGGAGGAGCGGCGACCTGGGTGGAATTCTGAGGTTGGTGTCGATGCGCCGGAGGACTCGGGTTGGGCGCCGTAGTGGAGGGGATGGAAGGGCGGGTATGCGAAGTCGCGCACTTGAGCGTAGGGAAGGCTCGAGGTGAATGCAGGATAGTCTGACGTCGCGGTCGACTGCGGTCTTGACCGTTGCGACGACTTGCTGTATTGAGACATCCTGCTCTGAGCGTAGCTGGGTACGCGCTCTCGTGCTTGTGGTCGCGGTTGTGCTTGTGGAGGTTGTGCTATTGAAGGAATGGAATCGGACGAGTCGTTGGGTGAAGGCGATGGAGGAGGCATGTGCGGCGACAGGACCTCTGCCATTCTCGAGTGTGCGCTGCTTTTATGGCTCGAGTCGTTCAATATTCGGTCGTGGTGGGCCTCTCTACCGTCTTCCGTCGTAGTATAGGTAAGCCGGTCCGTATCCGTATCCTTCAACCAGCGTCTTCCCAATTACCCCTCAACGTCCATCCATTGTCCCAAAGGTCATCAAGTGTTGATTATTGTCCTTCTTCTTCGCTGAAGTCGAGTCCTCTCTTCCCTCTGCGCTGAGCCGCGCGCATACACCACGTCGTCTATTAATAGCCCCTCTCAAAAGACTGCGGGGCAAAGTCTCGTGTCGTGTCGTGTCTCGTGGTCAGCGTCAGCCCTACCTCCTCACCTCATCCCATCATCGTCAATAAGAAAAGGTCGTTGATAGTGGGATGAAGACAAGAAGAAAGATTGATCAACAACCTCGGGCGCCAACTCTCCATACTTCAACCAACCTCCCGCCCTCGCGGCGACCCAAACAAAAGCTCTCAGCTATTCTGGCGTGCATGTGGGCGTTCGAGCCGCTGTTTCATCTTCGCCGCTAGTCGCGCGCCAGAAGCGAAAGCTTGGTGTGGACGTCTTTCACCGACTTCACGTTGCATCGCATTGCTTCTTGCATTGCATGATAGCCCCGGTCTGTTGTCACGGCTCGGGAGATAGTTTGGTAGCGAGCGAGAATTGCCGCAGCTCAATGGCGTTGCGGAAGCATTTCGAGGACCTCCTTGCGAAGAGGGAGCCGCCGAAGACATTTTGTCCGAGTGAGGTGGCACGGGCTTTGAGTGAGGATGAGTTGAGTGAGCTTGGGTACGAGGGGTGGAGAGATGCTATGGAAGATGTGAGGGGGATGGCGGAGGAGTGGAGGAAGGAGGGAAGGTGCGAGGTGTTGCAGAAGGGTGAGATGGTTGAGGGGCCCATTGGGGAGATGAAGGGGCCCATCCGGCTGAGGAGGATAGATCATGGAGGGTAGGTACTTATAGCTTCTCCAAGATCGTTGTGGTTAGTTGAGATACTCGTCAAGGCCATAAGGCGGGTTGCGGCCTCGGAGAAGTGGTGTGGCAAGAGTTTGTCAGAGCACTCCTTGTCTGAAGGCGAGTCGATACCGGTTCTGCTTAAGCATATAAGCCCCTCAAAGAGTCCTCAATGGACTGAAAAGTTCGTTCCGAAATGCGAGAGCGTTGATGCGTCGGAAGAAGGAAGCCACCCAGCTGTTGGTACAGGGTATATAAACTCAACAATCATCCGCCCGCGACGGCCCACCCACCCAAACACCCAACACCGTCGTCCAAACAGCAACAAGAGCAGCAGCAACAACAATCACCCCAACGCCACGCCAAAGAAAAAAACAGCAGCAACATCCGCCCCAACACCGCCGAAAAAAGCACCTACTCACTGAAAGACGTTAGCAAATCACATGCATTCGATCGTCGAGAAGGGCGAAACACTCACAATCCTCATCCGCGCAAACTCCGCACAAAACTCCTTCCAATCCATCGTGCTCAGCACCTCCTCCTCCATCGCCTCCATATCCGCCGCAAACCGGACATTCAGCCCCAACGACCACTTCCCCTTCACCCCGCTGCCGACCGCCGCGTCGTCGCGTCGGACGATCGCGCGCTCCGCCGCACCCAGGCCCAGGCCGTCGCTCGTGGCGTCGATCAGGATGGGTTCCCAGGCGGCTGGGTGCGTGGAGGCGCGGACGCAGAGGTCGGAGCGGTGGCGCCGGTTGGAGGGGGGGAGGGGCAGGGGAGTCGCGGTAGGTGCCGTGGTCGGTGGGAGTCCAGGAGGGGGGCGGTGGCGGTGTTGGGGGAGGGGGAGACCCACGAGGGGGAGGCGGAGGAGGTCCGGGAGGCGGGAGCGGAGGGCCCGGAGGCGGAAGCAGGACGGGGACCAGGGGCGAGGCGAAGGAGAAGACCCAGGAGAAGTACGCCCAGGCGAAAGGAAACATGATGCTATTGATTGAGTTGGTCAGTGGACGGGTCATATGGAAGGCGGAGAGGGATGACTTACACGGTGCGGTCCGGGGGAAGAGGTGGTGGTGGTGGTGTTGTTTTTGATATAAAATCCACAAACGGAGAGAGAGCCTGTTGTTGTTTTTGAAAAAAAAAAAAAAAACTATTGCCATAACGGTCAGCCTTGCTTTCGAGTAACAGTGGAGTCTCGAGTCGAGTGTAGAGTAGAGCCTGATAGGCCTGGTGGAGTGATCGAAGGGGAGTTGGAGAGGTGACTCTGCTCGGGCGCATGAAGTCGGAGGTGGGTGCAACTTACAGCGGTGGTAGCTTGGTTGTTCTGTATCATCCATTAGCATTGATTCAATGACAGTCCGACCATCACGGAGCAGCTCCCATAGCCATACGAGTGAGCAATGGATGATAGACGTCGCCGCCTCCGCCATTGCTCGCTCGAACAGCTGCAGAAGCTGCACTATGAGGCCTGAAGGACGGCGAGGATCAGAGGGAAGGGGAGTGACTCACGATAGCTGTGCTCTCTGATAGCAGCAAGATGAACTGGTTAGCCTCGTGCTCCTGATGGTGGAGCTGATCAATCGGGGTTCCTTACCTCGTGTGTGGTGTCGCCGAGTCGAAAAGGAAGGAGGGGCGGAAGAGCAGCAAAGCAATAGGCAAGCGATTGTGTGCCAAGCCTGCTAGGGGTTTCTCGAGGAGCAACGCCGGGAGCCGGCGACGACATCACCTCCTAAGCTGAAGAGACATAACGCCTGAATGGGCCTCCAAAAACACACCCAAGACTCCCCAGACATATCCGAGAGCAGCACCAGCAAGCATACGGTCACGGCAAGATGTTGTGGAAAGCGAGGTTCCGGCTCGGGACCAAGCAGCTGCAACGCCGGGTCCGTTCTAAGAACAGCATCAAGGTCCTGATGATTGGAAGAGAGATATGGTTCAGAGTATGACACCCCGAGTCCTGACACGGAGCCATGCTGACATCTTCTCGAGGAGACGATGGAGGAAAGGCCACCACAGCGAAAGCCATAACCTGGAGGGACTGCTGCTCGCGGCGAGATCAACGGAAGAATGTTCCTCGTACATGCGGCGTACCTGGCTCTGCTGTATAGTCCTGGCAGGTTGAAGCATCTTGCCACAACAAGGACTCCGGTTCGGATGCTCCAAAGTAGCATTCAAGCGGTCGTCCGATGTATGGTACTCTCTGTCCAAACTCGGAGAAGGTCAAGCATGGCCGCCTGGGTTCGGGTCTGCTGGGAGTTCTGGTCGAGAAGTACTGCTTGCTTCGCTGAAGTCAGACCAGCCCTAAGCTTTCTTGCGGTACGTCGAGGTCGGAAGGAATTGGGAGCTGCGCTGCTTCTGGACATCTTCGCTCCGCATTGGTGGCCCAATTGAAATAGCATATAAAGCAAGGAAAATCATCTCCTAACCTTGCTTCTTTCCTTCCTTGGGACTTCCTTGGGACTTCCTCCTCTTCGTCTGACCATCCGAAGCCGATGGCTTACTCCATGGCCGAATCCGGGTGTCCCAAAAGGTGGAGCTCGCCTGGTGAGCATCTGAATCCAAAGAGGCTCCGGGCATCGAGTATGATCCGTAGCGATGTCTTTGTAGTTCTTTCCCGATGCTATCAGGCCAGCAAATGTAATTGAATGCTAGTTGTGCTTCATCTCGACGTCGGCCACCGCACAACTTCAGCGCAAGTCCAGATGATACATGTACACTTATAGACCGGCCATCAACCTAGACACATGAGTTCGCAGCATCCATGAGCAATGAGCACGAAGCTACTGAGGAAGTGTAGGCGTGGCAAACAAAGGAGCTTGCGAAGGCGTCGAGGCTTCGGTGCTCTAGAGTCTACCGCATCAACATGGTCGTCTCCGGCGCGCTTGGACAACTATTTGCGCATACATGGTAGGCGCGTAGGACTTCTGCGGCGGCTCTGCCGAGTCGTCATCGTCTACGTCCCTCAGTTCTTTGGTGCTTGCCGCTCCGTGGAAGCCAGCGCATCTTGAGCAAAAGATCGCGCAAGTGCCTTGCCAGGCCATCAATGACTCGGTAGATCTTTGTAAGGAGCGTTTAGGTGAATCTTTCGTGTAGATACAATCGTGCTATGTAGGAGGTGTGGAAGAGGTGCGGTCACGATAAGCTCGGCTGCGCTTGCTCCATCACATGCCAAGATGTGTTCACCCAACTCTCCAGCCCATCAAGCGACAGCGAGGCCTCTTCACCAACCCGTCCATTGGACACTGGAGGAAGTCCAGCATAGTCTGATCGCACTGTGGTCTTGGTTAGCACCGCTGGAAGTGCCTCTGCCATCGACGACAGCACCGCCGGCGGACTTCATCCCACCGCTCCTACCCCGCCTCACCCTCCCAAGCACTCACCACGGGCGCGATGGCCATAGTAGAAGACTCGTAGAGTATTTTAAGCAGCTGGAGGTCCATCAGAACGCTGAATACTGCCTCCACCGACTGCAGCAGGAGCGTGGTAGGCCCTCATCTGTTCACCGCAGCACCCCCGAGGACGCCGCATACGAGCCGGCGGGCTTTCACTTGCCCTCCCTCACCTGTCGAGCACCACCTCACCACTTGGGAGGCTGCGCAAGCTTCACTCGACGCGTCAGGAAGCTTCACTTTGCTCCACACCACTAAGGAGCAGCAGCCACAAGCTGTCACAAGCTCAGCGCCATCAGTGAGCGGCCTGCGTAGGAGCAGCACCAGCGGGAGGGCTCGGTTGGGGAGGCCGTGGCCATTACAATTTTCGAAGAGCAGACATACTACACCATGTCAGCAGGCAAGAAAGCGGCGCTGATATGCGTCGACATCCAAAACGACTTCTGCGACGACCCCGACGGCGCGCTGGCCGTCAAAGGAGCAAGAGCCCTGGCACCTGTCTGGAACGAGCTGCTCTCGATGCCATTCGCAGTGAAAATTGCCACAAAGGACTGCCACCCAACAGACCACGTCTCATTCGCAAGCCAGCACCAAGGCAAGCAGCCATTCAAAGACACGATTACGGTGAAGAACCCTGAGAACGAAAAAGATGAGCCCTTCACAAGCACACTCTGGCCAGACCATTGCATCCAGGGCAGTCATGGCTACGAGCTGATGTCTGAGCTGGACAAGTCAAAGATCCAGACCATCATTGAAAAAGGCCAGGATAAACGAGTCGAGTCCTACAGTGCCTTCGGCCCGCCATACCGCAACCCAAGGCTGGGCAACAATGAGCTGATCGAGATGTTGAAAAGTGAAGGCATCACGGAAGTCTTCGTGGTCGGTCTGGCCTACGAAGCTTGCGTGATGTATACTGCAAAGGATGCTGCGAAGTACGGCTTCCAGACCTATCTCATCGAGGATGCTGCAGCTTTCGCCAACAAAAGTGAAGACAATACCAAGGTCGTCCGGAAACAGCTCCAGGATTGCGGAGTATCCTTGATCAGCCTTGCTTCTCCGGAGGTCGAGCGGATCAGGAAGTCTGCATGATGATTGCTGTCGGTCCAGAGTCAAGGCTGGGGTGCGCCCAGACAGACTCCGGGTGCACCATGCTCTGGCTGTCGGCAATCTCGACCTTCACTCTCTGAGCTCACAGTTCTGGCTGCCCACTGGTGGAAGGATGCCCTCGTGCTGTTTTGGGAGAACTCCGTGCAGCTACTCCTGATTCTTACATTCTTACTCTTGAATGAAAGCTGAAGTGAGAGTGGAAGTAGAGTGGAATGAATGAAAGTGAACAGCTCACAAATGATTTCCTGGGAAGAAAGAAAGGAAAGCCGCGATTTTAGCGGTGGATGTGCTCAGATGAGAGCAAGATAGCGAGGTCATGCATCATCTGCTCTATGGTGCTGACGCCCTGCCATCTCGCAGCCGTTGTTGTTGCGGTGCCACTACAGCCATGGTGATTAGCTTCGTCTCAACGGCACGATTTGGAGATGGCTACCGCTGGTCCGCCCGCCCGCCCCAACTACCCATCCTGCTGATGCCGCCTGCGGCCATCACCGCCGCCTCTCCGCGTTCCGCCCACCCCCTAGGCACCCTGTCCGCCACTGTGCTCGCCCATCATCTTCTCCTCTGCTCGGGACGCCGTCTTCTTCAGCTTGTCCTTCGCCTTGCGCCAGAGCTTGCTGAGCAAGCCCTTGGGCTTCTCTGGTGCCATCTCGTCCGGCCCTTCCTCCTCTCTGGCCGCCTCCTTCGGCACTGTTGGCTCGAAGGCGCGGTCGAGGTCGTCCATCTTCTTGTTGGCCTCGCGCATGTCGGCCCGCTGCTGCTTGCGCTCCTCCTTGTTTGGGATCATGGCCCATTCGGGCTCGTCCTTGCAGCTCATGTCGTAGCTGATTTGCTCCATAATGGTGGGAGCGAGGGGAGATATTGGTGGAGGAGGGGAGGGGGTTCTCGGATGGCGGTGGGGATTGAGGGTGACTACAGTGATTGGTCTTGCGGTCAGCACTGCTTCGTCTGCTCGAGCGGTTGCGCCGGTATGCGCGAAGATGGTGTTGTGGAGGTGGACGAGCTGGATGGTGCTCCCACCTGCGGCAATGGTTTGCTGGCACTGCAGCGACCGCGATGGGTATTTGCTTACCTTGATGCTGTCGAGAAGGACAATGCTGCTGCTGTGGAGGACGATGGTGCTGCTCACGAGCTGTTCGACGGTGGTTGCTTGCTGCGGAAGGTCTGAACAAAGGTGCGTCGCTGTAAATGGTGGTGGAAGTGTAGCAGAGCTAACACAACGCCGCCAAGACCTCGCGACGGACGAACAAGTCTACACCCAACAGATGATATCTCAACAACGCACCATCAGAATCGCTCCAAAAGTTGACGAGGTTGCTCAGTGGACCTCCACGACGGATATCCTACCCATATCGTCCGTGTTCGTGGCCACGGGGGAAAGTGCAAAGCTCGTTGGTCAAACACCGGTCTACTGGCGATCACTTTCAGGAGTGTAATATATTGCGCTTTTCCAAAGACTCTCTCGCCCTCCGGTCACTGCGGCGATGGGTTGGTGTGGCTTTGCCACCCACACTGCAACCCAAGCGGTCAGGGAGTTGGCACTAACATTTAGGTCAGGTGTGCTTTGTACTGAGCACGGGTCACTGCTGCCGACAACCGTTTTTTGCTCTTTTGTTGGCGGTTCGATCCCTTGTGTGGGACCGCTGATTGATTCCTTTGGGATGAAACGGACTCTCAGCAACACCGCAGAACAACCTGAGGCTACCAGAACGATGCTGCTATCTAATCAAGGCAATACAGGTATGTGTGCAGTCACGAGCAATGGCAAGGCATGTCCCTCTGCAATGGCAGGCAGTGTTCGAGCAGGAGCAAAGAAAGAGCATCTTCTTTTGCAAAGTCGGTTACGGCTGAATTTGTGATATTACATTGTCTTTCTAAATCCTTGCTTTCGTTCTCACAGTGTCCGGGCTGTGAGAGAGACGCCGGACTGTCTTGCCAACAGTCCTCCACACGAGTCAATGTGCCGGCTTGCCACCGGGTCACTGCTTTTTGCCCTTTTGTCGGTCGTTCGATTCCCTGACGGTCACGTTGGTTCCTTTTTGCGATTGATTGACTGAGAAGACCCTCAGCGACGCATACAAGCCACCTGAGGCTCATCTTTCTGCATTCATCTTACAGTCTTTCAGGAACGCCTCAGAACACCTGAGGCTCTTGCAGTGCTGCTGCTGATATTACATGAGAGAAGCAGGTAGGTGTTCAAGAGCAATGGCGGGTGGGTCTCCCCTTTCCCCCATCGGTCACGGCGGAGTTTTTAGTGATTATATTGTCTTTCCAAATTCTTGCTTTCGTTCCCAACGGCACCGCCCCCCACTTCCGTTGCCGCCGCGGAAGGGTGTTCGGGAGAGACGGATGGATGGCCGCCAACCATCATCCCACACGAGACACTGTGCCGGGTTTGCCAGCCCGGGTCGTCTGTTTTTGCTCCCTTGAAGCTCTGGAGTTCGAGCTGGCATTCTTTTTACCGTTTGCTTTGAGAGTGACACGAGGAGATCCAGCGTGAGTGGAAATCTATTCTACGCTATGTCTGCCCTTTTCTTGACGTGCGTGGCGGTTGTGATGAGGGTGGAGGGTGGGGGGGGGAAATGGTGGATTGATATCGGGCGGAGGTTTAGGGCTTCCGATTGCGACGGCCGGACTGCTTTTGACTCTCAAAGCACGCATGTGCGTCCCAACAACACCCTCGCGGCCGTCTGCAAGACCAGAAACACCCTCAGACAGCCCCGCAACGAACATGGAGCACTTCAAGTAAGCTGGCAATGAGGTGCTACCGATCAGACTGTCCAGCGACGACCACGCGCTCGAAGAGGCTTGACTTCCCCCTGATACTGCTCAACAGGTCGCACAGGCACGACTCGTCACGATCGCAGGCGAAACCCTAACTCCTACCCATGTGCGGTGGCATCGAACGATCATGCCACTGGACCTGCGTTACGGCGGGATCGAGCGCAAGACAGGCGACGCGAAGACACAGACTCCCTGCTTCACGTCCGAACCCCCTCCCGACCGCCCTCTGAACGCCATGACGATATGCTCGGAAGCCCACGCTCCAGGACGGAAGCCGCCAGCCTGTCTACAGGACGGATTGAGGGGGTCTTAAGACTCGGGGCACAGGCATCACGACGAGTGGATGGCACAGAGGAACACAGCAGCAGTAAGCGCGAGCTACAGACTAGTATGGATCTTCGAGCGTTCACATCACAGCATACTGGCCGCGCAGAACGGGCCCCCGGCAGCAACTCCCCATGCATGATGCGCGGCTCAAGACGCTGGAGCTACGAGTTGTCAGTCATGTCAGGGACGTCACAGGAGCTCCAGCCGCTCAACGAGCGCCCGCGGGTCTTCAAGCTTGCGCTTGTGCTTGTCTCAGCGGCGGAGCGCTGGTGGCGAGAGCGGCAGCGAGATCGGACGGTGGGACAAGAGCGGAGGTCATGTTATGATCATGGGACCAGGCGGGAGGGTGCATAGAGTTGAGGCAAGGTTGTGCGGGAAGAAGAGAGGGTGTGCGGACTTTTGGTCTTGCTGGTCACGCACACAGTGTCAGTTGGCTGCGCAGAGATAAAGGCCGCGGGCAGGCAAAGCCGATTAGAAAGATCACTGGTGCGGGATGAGAGGAGAAGTACATTGTCAAGGACACTGGGGACATGCTGGCCGATGTAGAGAAGTAGAGCTTGTGAATGGAAGCTCGATTGATCATCGACATCGTTTCGGTTGACTAGAGGCAACTCTGCTATGCTATGCTTTCCTTTCTGTGCTTACGGATGGCCTGCCTCCGAGACATTGACCAGCAGTAGTCATCATGTATCTGAGAGCTCTGGCAGCCACCCGGTGGAGACGTATTGTTTCTTCCACCTTGGCAACGGGATGATAAAAACGTTGGCTAAATTCGTGCCTGGATTAAGTTCGAGCGACAGAGCAGCATCTCTATCATGACCCTTTCAGAGCCATCGAGCCCAACGCGAATGCTTCTGCTTCTGTCCTCGCCATTGTCTCACTCCCCTTCGCCGAGCCTTGAATACGGTAGATCTTCCGTATCTTGTTCAGATCACACAGCTCTGCCAGGACTTCGTCTGAGAAAGCGGCTGGCTGGCCTTGAACATTTTGTGTCAGATGAGCCTCTATCTGAGCAGCATCGCCGCCCACTTTGATGGCCAGCACATGTGTGCTCTCGTTGCTGATGCCGAAGCGTCGGAAGGACTCTGCTATCTGGGATGTCTCAGTTTGACGTGCAGTGATGTTGGACTAGTAAACTTACGTTGTTATTGGGCGACAAGGAGAAGACGATCTCGGAGTGGACGTTGCGGCTCTTCAAACGGTCATTGAGCATGTCGTTGATGGCCCTGAAGCATGCTGCCAGTACATGATTCCGCGATATGAGTACGCTGGCGTCCAAGAAGGCATATTCGAAGTCGGTGTTGCCGTCGAGCAGTTGTTGCCGGAGGAAGGTAGCGTTCTGCACATGCTTGAAAAGGCACACCCGCAATGGATGGTCCAGTAGATGAGGCAACGTGATGCTCTCCATACTGCTGAATTGAATGATGGTCGGGCAACAGAGCTCAATCTTGCCGCTGCTCGTCGCTTGCGCATAGAGTTCGACGACCGTTAACGGCTTTATCGTTGTCAAGATGATCCAATCGCAGGCCGGCGGACCGCATCTCCCTGGCTTCCGGCGCAAACCCCAGCATCGAGAGGCCAAAGCTGGGGCCGGGTTAGGAACGGCTAGACCAGAGCAGCGGAATGCGCAGGCTGGCAGGCCGCCCTTGATAGCAACATGTGCCGTCCACTCCCTCGCGCCCGCTGCTCGCACACCAGAGGCCCTTGGGAGCGCGCGGAGCACACGGGCATGCAGAGGCATGTGTAAGGGTGCGCTCGAGCATACATCGCGCGAACGGTCGCGGCGGGAAGTAACGAGCGACTGGCGTGCGGCAAGTGCCATGTTATGATGCCCTCGAAGCGGTCAGGCGAGGGCGATGAAGGTGGGTGGTGCAGATCCATCATGCGGTCTTGCTGACTACGTACCTGTGGTTGCATGTGTACTGACAACTGGACAGCAAGTAGCAGTCATGGCAGTACGAGGAAGAGGTTCGCTGGCGGTGGTGGAGGGTCGAGGACTGGGCAGGCATGTGATCGTTGCAAGGTGAAAACAACCTCTTGGACAACGCGATACGGACATTGTTGACGCGTATGCGAACAGGTCCGCAAGATACGCTGCGATGCTCGACCGGGAGGCTGCACGCCATGCCTCCAGACCGACACCGAATGCAAGACGACGGATCGGATTACTGGACGCGCCATATCGCGTGGGCACATCGACTCGGTCGAGGAGGAGAACAACTACTTGAAGGCGCATCTGGCGGAGCTGCAAGAGCAGTTGAGGGAGCACAGTATAGAGCCGAAACAGCCATCCACATATGTGCCGGCTGGTGCCTTATGGTCGGATCCACCACGGCAAGGTGTGTACACTCCGAACGAGGAGACAAGACCATAGAACTAATGCGGTTTTCTCTATCCAGGGTCATGGTCAGACGCTCGCCCTGGCGTTCGGCCGACATCCTCCCACCAGCTGGAGAGGAAGGTATCGGTGCTTCCAGACTTCCGCGCAGGATGCATTGGCGACAACTACCTAGGCGTATCACCTGGCGACGACATGCTGAGCCCCATTGTCGGGACCCGGCTGACGCTCTTTGGTTTTACTCTTGACCTCGCCGAATTCTTACCGCCTGAGACCGACCCAGCGTCTGATCCAACTTCCTACCAGACCTTCCTGAATCTCTCACTCGGCAGAGGTGGCCCCGTACACAAGCCTCCGCTCCCCGGCCTGGACGAGTTCAAGATGTACGCAGAATTCTACTTCAAATCTGTCCAGGTCTTCACGCCAATCCTACATCGACCGGACTTCATGAAACTCATCACCCGCGTATGTCACGGCCAACATGAGCCTACAACTCCGGAGGTCGTCCAGATTCACATGGTACTTGCGATCATGAAGCTGCAAGATGGGCTACGAAACCTCAGAGAGGAAAGCAAAGCACAGTCCATCGTTCACTACCGTTATGCAGTCAGCCTTGCCCCGGACCTAATTGTTGGCCACCAGTTCGAACATGTCCAGGCACTTGCTCTGATCTGCCTCCAGCTCCGTCAACAGCCTCGCATGGGTGCCGCATGGATGTTCACCAACACTGTGCTTGGTCTAGCCATGGAACTGGGTCTGCATCGATCTGCGAGCGCATGGCATTCTGGCGGCAGCGAAAAAGACCTCCACAGGATTGAGATGCGCAAGCGGGTGTTCTGGAGTATCCTGGTTCTCCATGTTAGTATCAGTGGAAAATTGGGAAGGCCAATGCCATTGCGCGTCCAAGACTTTGATATTGAAATACCGGAGGCTTTAAGCGACACCATCCCTGGGGACCCTTCGAAGCTGAGCAGATGGCGGAAGTGCACATTTCGAGCTGCCATACCTGGCATGAAGCTGCTAAGGATTCTGATGCAAGTGTACGCCACCGTCTACTCCATCCGAGCAGACGCCGTGCCCTATGAGATGAACGTCAACCGTCTGCGGAAGGAGCTGGACACGTTCCGGGAGCAGCTGCCACCCGAGATATCTGGTGGCCCGCAAACAGTGGACGAGGACCTTTGCCCTGCACTCTACCTGCAGACGGGAGAAGAGGAGGTTCGACTTCTTCTGCACCATCCGTCACTACAAACAGCGACTCCCGACATCTATGCCAAGAACCTTGACACCTGCCTCGAGGCGAGTCGCAAACTGCTTTCGGCTGCTCTCGGGCTGCAGTCTATCATCGGCCTCGACACAACCTGGTACTACTCCACTGACTACCTCGCTGCGATCTTCACGACGCTTTTCGTGTGGAGGCAAAGAGAAGACCAGATAACGTCTGCCGAGTTGCAGCAGTTGGAGGTGGACATGGAGAAATGGCTCTCTGTTATGGGGGATGTTGGCACTCTGCTTGGTTTGTTCCGCCGTATGCGTAACATGTCCACAAGCTAATTTGACATAGGTACCGGGCACCGCTTGCGCAATCGTCTCAGAGCTATCATTCAGAACGTCATGTCACACATTCGCGAACGTTTCGAAATTCGAGATGAAACAAAGCTGGCAGCGGACCACCTGGCTTCTTCTGTATCACCCGAAACATTGGCGAAAGCACAGCAGTTGCACCAACCACCTCCCCAGCAGCACATCTATCCGCAGCCAAACGACTACGCCCCAGCATACGCCGAGCGTACGCCGAGCATTGACACGTCTCACCATGCACCACCCGCCTATCCAATCGCACCGCAAGCGAGCCAACCACCACCACATTACCCACCTCCAAACCACTACTATCCGGAGCCCCAGCCACCTCCGATGCCTTCATACCCGGGCATGGGTCAATTTGACGCCAACAGCTACCACACTCAAGAAGCCAAACCGTCCCTCGACGGTTCACTCACCGCTCAACTCCCTATGAACCAGCCACCTCAACACCAACCACCACCGCACCAGATCCACCACGCCCCTCAACAAATGCCACCCCAACACCTCCAGCAACAACCCTACATGCCATCCTACCCACCACCAAACCCGAACGGCTACGCTCCCATGCCCCAGAACGTCCAACTAGCCTATCCCAGCCAAGCCGCCTGGCGCGACTTCACAGACGGCATGATGAATATTCCCACACAAGATTACATGCATTCGACCAATCCGATGATGGGACTGGGGCCGGATAAGCACCACATGGGGATGGGAGCGCTGCAGCTGGCACCACACGATGACCAGCAGCATTGGCCGATGGTGCAGTACGGGCATGGGCCTCTTCATCAATGAGTGCGACTAAAAGCGACGATCGAGCGTTTCGTTTACGGCGGCTGCTTGCTTTTCAACAGTTGTTTCCGGCGTTTTGATGGGAGAAGGGATGATACCACTTATGCTTGCTTGTGACGGAAGGCTGGAGTTTTCGTGTGTGGGTGGGTCAGTTGCTACGAAGATGTATGTACAGCGGTTACATCATCTCTTCATTTGCCATGCAATTTTACGGCTTTGCTCTTACTTCCATTATCATTCTTCAACCTCCTCAATCGGCTCGCAGGCCCTTCAATCCCTCACCCGCCAAACTTCAAGCACACCAGCCACCGTCCACTGCGTAGTTGGCGCCTGTTACGAAGCTACTGTCGTCGCTCAAAAGGAACACGACGACTTTGGCGACCTCATCCGGCTGTAGAAGGGTCAGCGGGCGTCTCTTTCTCGCGCTCGTAGGCCAACAATGCTGGAAAGTCACACAGCGCTTGACGCCGCGCACTTCTCAGAGAATCTTCCAACACATCACCACTCACCTGCGCCATACGATGCAAACACTGCTTCGCCAACCCCGTCTCCTTCGCCTTCACACTGAACACATCAGTCATCGGCGTCTCAATAAACCCCGGCGCCACACAATTCACCCGCAGCCCTTTCTCGCCCGCCTCTCGCGCAGCAGACTGGGTCATCCCGACAACAGCCCACTTGCTCGCACAATAAGGCCCACTGCCCGTTCCAATGCGCCCGGCCACCGACGCAGCAGAGACGATACTCCCGCCCTCGCCCATGTGCTTGAGCTGGACGCGGAGGCAGTTGAAGACGCCTCTGGCGTTGACGGAGATGGTGGTTTCCCAGTCGTCGTCCGTGACGTTGGTCCAGCCCGTGCCTTTGTCACGGTAGACGCCGGCCATGTTTACCGCGCCGTCGAGACGGCCGTAGTGTGATTTGGTCTGCTCGATCCAGTTGGAGACGGCGGCGGAGTCCTCCACGCGGACGGTGGTGGCGGCGTGCTTGTTTGCTGTGTCTGGGGTCGAGGGCAGGGAGTCCTTGGCCGTGTTGAGGGCGGCTTCGTTGATGTCGGCCAGTGCGAGCAGGGCGCCACGGGAGGCTAGAATCTGTGCGATGGCGAGGCCGATGCCTGATGCTGCGCCGGTGATTGCGATCTCATTCTCTAGTCAGCGAGAGCATGCGAAGGATGATTCTCTTGTATCCTTACCACCTTGCCTTCGAATGAAGCCATGCTTGAGGCACAGGTTGACGATTGATACGTTCTAGTCCGTTGTGCTGATGTTCACCTGCTACGCAAAAGACAAACGGACGATCAATTCATTTGGCCCATCTTCGTTGCCGTTCCCCAGACATGACCCCTCGGTCGTGCAATGTTGCTTGCCGCCTTGTTGTGCACCCCGCCTTGTAGGCAGCCCGAGGTTTGTTGGACAGCTCTCTCGTGGCCAACTACAACGCCTGGTCCGCCAGCTCGAGGTCCTGTCCCTCAATTAACGCAGGGTGACAGCAACTGCGATGAGAAGCGCTACTTCGACGCTCGCAGCCCTTTGCTCTAGAACGCAAGCTTCCCGGTGTACTTCACCACCAACACCGGAATGGTGTACAGTGTACAGCCGACGTGTCAGCAGGCCTGGGGCGATTAGTGCAACGTCCAAGGGACGGGCTGTGATGCCCTGCGGCCGGCGCCGAAGGATGGGTCCTGATTTGAGGCGTATCTTGAGCAGTTGCTGGGAAATGCGACTCGTCGTTTGAAGGAGCGAAGGCCGGGATACGATGATGGGAAGTGATTTTCGAAATACTGGGTTGATCGTGAGCTATCTGCTTTACATACCATGCTCAAGCGTGCACCTGCTCGCTGAGTTCCAATGATAGTGACGCCATCATCATCCAACATAAAAGCCGTAAAACCCGTGTCATCGTTCGCCTGCAGTATGGTGATTTCCCATATAAGCCCAATCGCAGTAGCCGCTCAACCGCTCTCAGTGTCCTTGCGAACGCCCGGAACTCCATACACCTTCGCATGCCTGAGCAAGTCCTGAACAAGCATTCCCACATCCAACAGGAACTGAAAGCAAGCCAACGCCATATGTCCAACAAGACCGCACAAAGTAATCATCAATCAGGGAGGTACAGTGCACAGCAGTCCACGCATGAGTGAGCAGGCTAGTACGGCGGCATCTGTTCGATCGTAAGTCGTTGACCATATCAATAAGCGAGCTGCGCAATGCTTACGGAGTGAGGAGGTTCATCGCCGGGGAACCAGGCATCGTCGTCCTGGAAGCTTGTGTCGGGAGTAAGGCCTGGGGTGTTGTCGGTAAACGAGTAGTCGGAGTCCTGGTCGCCGAAGAGTGGGCCTGGCCATTTGTGGTCGAGATAGCTGTTGTTGTGCTGCTCTTCCGGAGCTGGGATAGGCGCTGGTTCGTCGTACTTGTAGTAGGTTTGCGGCTGCATCTGCAGTTGCGGGTAGTCGTATGGGTGCTGTGACGGTGGCAGGTCAGTCCACTGAGGCTGATGGTAGTCGAGGAATTGCTGGTCCGCCGGCGACTGCATCATCAGTTGTGGCGAGGACGTCGCCGAGTTGGCAAATGACGAGTCCGGGCTGTTGGTGAACTCCGCGTGATGAGAAGCATGGTGCTGCATGTGGCGGGCAACGCTGCGCGCAGCCGACGTAGGTCCATGACTGCGCTCGGTGAGCTTCCGGCGACGCTGCGCATCTCTGGTGGCCTTGCCGCCTTTCGCGCCGGACTGCTGTCGCTTCAGACATGTGGTCGTGGTGCGAGACCTCTTGCGCTTGTTAGGCTTGTGCCGGTAGCGGGTCGTAGACCACACGCAGCCATTCTTGAAAGCCAGAGCAGACAAGCGCCAGAGGCTGGTCTTCTTGCCCGGCCCGTGAGTGCGTACCTTCTCGAATGCCTGGTAGTGGAGTCAGTATTGACTATGACATGAAAGGACTGAAGATGCTTACATGATTCATTGAGAGGTTGTGCCTGACACTGTTCTGCCAGCCCTTGCGCGCAGGACCTTCTCGAGCCTTGCCAGTGTTGTCCATGATCCACTGGTAGATGTCCTTGAGCGAGCGGCTGTAGTTGTCTGCCTCGCTCAGACAGTCCCAGATGAGCTTGGCGTAGCACTTGTCAGCTGGGTCAGTCTCGTCGTCGGCCTCCGCGCCAAGATGTGGCTCGTCCTCATCCGGCGAGGTAGCATGCTGCTCGGCGTAGGCGTAAGCTGGAATTTCGCCGAACAAGCTGCTATTTAGGTCGTGCATCATGTTCTGGTGGTTCCATGCTTGTGTCGGGTAGACATGGCTGTTTGTGATCGACGGCAAAGCTTGCTGCGCGTTTGGGTCATGGTAGTCAAGGGCATGGTCGAAAAGCCCTGGCATTGGCAGATATGGATCTTCTTGAGTGTTCATGTTCCCTACCCAGTTGGTAGCGACGCACTGGGAAGATCCTGCAGGGCGCATCGTTGGGTGCTCTAAGTCTGGAAGTCCGTCCTGCGATCTGAAGGGAAGATAATGGGTCGGTAGGCCGTGTGCGTGGTGAATGACGACCGAGTGGTTTCGGTGGATCGAGGCGGGGGGTGTGATGTGATCTCTGGGTGGGTCCAAGGTGAGATCGGTCACCATATCGTCGCTCGTAGTAGCGTGGAAGTCGGTATTGTTGGGGAACAATGACCATTCGTCGTTGTAGTCGCCCATTGTGAATGATGGGGATTACAAAGATTTACTTGAAGCCGGTGGTATATCAGAAGTCGTCTGGGTCGATAAGAGCCACGCTCCAGGTGAATGCGTTGTTCGTCACAACGGTGGTGAGAGTCAGGGCGGAGTCAGTGTAAGGTAGTCGAGCAGCTGTTGGTCGAAAGGAGATCAACCACCAGCACCAATGTGTACAGGACCTGCCAGTACCGACAGATAGTAAAGTGATTATGGGTTCAGAGAAGGAAGAGAGATGCCGAACAGGTCGAAGCTGGGGTTCTTCAAGCAACCTATTTGGAAGGCGAGCACAAGAAGCCAAGGTCAGTCTGTGTATCAACGGCTGATGCTGGGGACAGCGAACGTAATGTACGCTCGACACACGGTGCTGACAGATGGGTCATAGGTGCACGCGCACACCTCATAGGCCGTGGGATCCCGTTAGGGTTGCAAGAGGGTCGCAGAAGCTGCGGCAGAAGACTCATGTCGCCCATTGTGAAAGCACCTGCCCGCACGAACTGAGCACAAACACACACTCGCATCAGTGGCCGGGGAATTATGCGCGGGTCACGCACCTTTGTCAGATAAGTAAGACACCTGGGATACCCTGTACCGATCCATTGACTCAATGCCGACGCTACAGCAAAATCAGCAAGCCTCATGCTCGGCACCTACCTTGCTGCTTGGGCGCGCCTCTGGCATCCTCACGGCTGGGTGAACACGATTACGCGATTGGTATATCTTGCTCGAGCGTGCATGTATCCGCGGAAGCTGCGTTGTGTCACACGCTAATGTCAAGAAGGTTGGCGGCATCCGAAACGCATCTCGCAAGCCGGCTCCAGGCTTCTAGAAGCACGATCGTTCCAAGATGACAGGCAGGTCGAACCAGGAAATGTTCTGAAAGGGCTTTGTCATTATCATGAGCGCAGCAGAAGAAAGGCAGTACGGCCACCGCCCGTTCGACGAGGTTCGCACCACGACCGGTCCAGCTCTTCGGGACTCCAGGCTACGCGCGCTCTTCAGCATCTCAACATAAATATTCATCGGCAGCCAAAGTCTGTGCAAAGCCCGTCACGCTTCACCATGAACTTCCATTTCCATGTTCCACGCGTGCGCCTCTTTGTGCCGGCTCCTGCATCCACATGCAGGCATCCGTCGGGCGGAACCTTGAACCTCAGACATCTGAACGCAATCTTGGCTTTTGAAATAATACTAGGACTCATATGCCGTGTCGAAATATGGGGCAGTGCATCGCAACTGACAGCGGGAGCACAGCATATTCTGACAAGCGGGTGTTGCATGCCTGTCAATTGTGACGGGCATCGTGGTGTTTCCAGGCGCATGTGCACGATGAGTGATCTCAAATCTTCCAATGGCTGCAATTGATTCGTGCCGTGCCATTAACTCTCACAGTTGAATGGATGTCTTGAAGGTCCGCAACGTACGTACTGTGTGGGGTGGATCCCCGCATTCTTCAGAGCACAGCAGAAGCACAAGCGTCGCTGGCCAGTAGTAACGCGAAGTCGAAGTCGGTGCTAGTGTCACCCAAAATAGTTCGGATTGCCTTGTCCGTAGACCTTGTCGATATGCCTTGGGCTCGCTCGCTGCGTCCCCGACACCTGTAGAAATGATGGCCAGGCCGTTGACCTGGACTTACTTCCGGTAGAAAATCTGTTGGCAGTCAATACTTTGCTCAGCGACTCGGGTCCACGCCAGCCAATAGCATACCTTCTTGAATTGAAAATGCAGCTGTAAGATGCCCTGCGAAACACATCAGCACACTGTTGCACTTCGGCATCGGAACACAACTGCAGTGACACACCTTGTCGAAACTACTCCGAAAGCCGCGTTCTCGCTTTGCCGAATAGTCCCACTCCCGGTCGACGATGCGGAAAGAAATGTCCTCATAAGGTGGTCCAGCGGTGAACCGGATCAAGCACGTATCATCCTCTCCAGCTGGCGCGAAGGTCTGCCCTCGCCGTCTCCCATGCTCTCGTTCGATGCGATAGGTCGGTGCCTTCGTCTTATCCACAAGGTCCGGATAGAAGATGTTGAACTTGTAGCCTTGCACAACCCGAGGTGGTGGGTTCTCGTGATCGTAGTGGGTTTGATTGTACTTGTTCCACTCGTAGCCTTTCAGCATGCGGTTGAAGTATCGAGGTTTGCGCGGCCGGTAGAGGTGCGACCAGGAAGACAGGTTCTTGGTCGACACTGCTTCCTCGGTGGTAAAGATCTCTTCGTTCTCGCCCAGTCCACGAGCGACTTCGCGATCATACTGCGACACACTACTCTGACCGGTGAGTTCATCGCCATCCATTCGAGCTCGCTTGGCTGGAGGCTGAAGCTCGTGATCTCCTCTCACCCGCTTTCCAATGTAGCCGCGGGCTAGAACTTTCCGCCTATCGTCGGTGAGGCGGTGCTGGAATTGCACAGCATCAACTGAGTTGAGCGTCTTATCGTCAGTGCGCAGGCGCAAGAGAGGCTCTGGATCCAGCACGTGCCTTTCATCACCGTCAGTGGCCTTTGGTGCACTGCCGTTGCCAGCACTTGCATGCTCGGTAGATCCTACTGCTTCAAGCTTCAGCTGTAGCGCTTGAGCCTCCCCAACCTGCTGCTTGCGCAAGCCCTCCATGCGAGCAGTGACGATCGACTGGGTGACTCTCCTTAGCTTCGCTCTCGCTTTGTAAGTCAGCAGACTTGAAAGAAGATGCTCCCAGTAGTCCGTATCGATGGGCTCGTTCGATGATAGTTTCGTCTTGATCTGCTTCTCCAGTTTCTCGAGCTCTTCGAGAGTTTTGGGACCGAGTAATTTGTCCAGATCGGTGGCAACGGAGGAGACCCCACGCGCAGTCGATTTGCCGCTCTGAGACTGTTTCTGCCGTCCTTGGGAGATCGTCTTCATCATCTAATAGCCTGTCAGTATCAGTACAATATCTCCAGTGCATCAACAGGCACTTACCATCCAGTAGTCGCGGTTGCTTCGGCTTGATTCGAGAGCCAGGTATGTGTCGATGCCCTTCTCCAACTCCGCGAGCTCACCATCGTCTAGGCCCTCAAACACACCTTCAGGATCTATCACCTCCAGATCTGCGTCCTCCAACTCATCGTCTAACGGATTGTTCTCCGGGTCAATGACCGCGAGCGTGACAGCCAGCCAATCGATTGGTGTTGCACGTCCTCCTTTCGCGCGCAGTGCTGCCTTCTTCTTTGCCTGCTGTAGTACGAAGCGGTCCTCGTCCGCGACCCATGCTGCTTCCTGGGCGTCTGCTGGACGCTTGCTTGGGACTGTCGGGCGCGACATCGCTGATCGCTAAGTTGACGTGTTGGTCGTTCAGGCGATTTCAAGATTGCTGGGCTGTCGTCCTCGGGGTCGCACTGCAGGTTGTTCTGCGTGAATTGAATGTTTGTTCTTTACTTCGAATATCTGAAGTGTCACTCGAGTCAGTACTCCGAAGTACGGGGATGTCCGCCGCAGCTAGCGGCGCCGCCGGTCAAGCCAAATTGACTGAAGTCGCGAAGGTGAGTCTCACGCACGTCTGCCTGGCTGTCTGGTGGCGATCAACGTATTTGAGCCTTTTGAAAGACTGCATTTCCAAGATGTCCTCATCGCGCACAACATGGCATCTTGGCAGGTCCTACAGCTGGAGGTGGAGAATTTCCCCAAATTACTGGTGAAATGCAGATTCGAAAGCTCAGGATATAGCATTCATATCTCCGACCTCAGCAGGATCTGGAGAGAGAGTCTGAGCAAGAGAGAATGCGTAGAGCGCGCTGTTGATATTGGCTGTAGCATCGATCCTAGCCAGGACGATGAGCAGTTCCGCATCCTACTCGGCAAGATCGAGAGCGCCTTCAACCGCGAGCGGAATACTACTCTACAGCTGCTTTCGGCCGAACCAGATAATGGTGACCTATCGATCAAGGTCTCAGCAGCACTACCCAAGCCCCTTCCTCCGTTTGAATGGGCTATCAATCTTCAGTGGCTGGACGCTGAGCATCTTCAGGCGCAGCTCGTGTTGCCGCTGGTAGCCCAAGCAAGCCAGCTTCAGCATCAAATGAGCCAGCTGCTCCACGAGCTACAAGACAAGGACCGAGTAATCTCAAAAATCTGCGATCGCCTGGAGACATCAGGCAATGACTTGACCACGGTATTTTCGGGAGCGTCCAACATCAAGACTTCGCGGAAGAAGGGTCAGAGGGAGCAGTTGGCCAAACATGTCAAAGGACTCGGGGACTTTGACGAGGGTGGCTGGAGAGCGCGGAGTGTGGAGAAGCCCAATCCTGATGGGCTGACTGATGAGGAGCTCAACGGTGTTCTGCAAGGTTTGCCTATGAGCGAGGCCGCCGGCTCGAACGACTGGTGGAGGCGTCTCAACAACGACGCGGGCTTGAATACCCGCAGCAAGGTCAAAGCAGGAACGCCACCTCCACGCGGCGACATCCAGGAAGAAGACGAAAGCATGCACGACAGTATGTTCCAACGTCAAGCTACGCCTCCGCACATGCAACAGCATCGTGCCTTCGAATCCGAAGACGAGAACGCCAATGAACAGACTAGAGATCATGCCCTGGCCGTTGAGTCCGACAACGACCGCCCAATGGAGGATAAGCGCGACGCCCTTGACGATGGTGAGAGCACGACAGAGGATGAAGATGATCTTGATGCCCCGCCCAAACGACCTGTACCTACGCGGCCAAAGCAATCACCTACGCCGCCGAAGCAAACCAGCGAAGCTTCGCCATTACCACCAAGTCGGAAGCTGGGAAGCATTGGAGGGCGGAAACAGCCCGAGCCGCCGCATGCATCTCCGCGAAAGCTTGGAGCAATGGGCGGACGATCGTCACCGCATCCAACACTACCAGAGCCAAAAGAGCCCACGCCAGATGTTGCATCACCCCAACCAAAAGCTCGAGCCAAGCTGGGCACGATTGGAGGCAAAGCAAAGGATCCCACAGCGGCAACTACAGTGTCGACACCTTCTGAGCAGGGCTCGCCGCCTCCAGCGAAGGGGCGCGCAATCGGCAAGATTGGTGGTAGGATTGGCGGCAAGTCAGTCAAGGGGAGCACACAGCAGGAGGTGGTGGTGGCTGAGCCTCCCGCAAAGGAGGACCAGGGCCAGGATGAATCGCCACTGCGCTCTCGTGCACCAACGAAAGAGCCTACTCCGCAGCCTCGAGAGACGTCGCAAGAACGAGCGAACAGAAAGCGGGATCAGCTGAAGCGGGATTTGGAGGACAAGGCGAAGGCGCCGGTCAAAAAGAAACGGAAGTTCTGATGGTTGATATCTGGACAAGGTAGGTAGCCATGTGAAAGTCTTCTTGAGTTTTGAACGTCCCGGACCTTGAAATGCACTGAAGGACTGTTTGTGACCCGTGATAAAATATGAGGCGAGGTCGGTTTTGCCTCAAAGCGAATCAGGGCCGCTCCTGCCATTTCTGTTTCTGTTCATGACGTTTCATATCTCGCAGCTTCCCGTGATCGCAAACATCAAACGCCACAGTCTATTTCGACGTCACCTCATCTGCACCTGCATCTTCACCACAGCCTCTCCTGGACTACGAACCACGATACGCGCAACGGCTACGTGCATTTGGCAAGCACGACAAGATTGCATACAAACCTACGGCACGGCGAATGAAGGCGCAACGGTGACCGCGATGTGCCGATACCGATATTACTACTTCTTGAGCTGCCGGCATCAGCAGACTGTACTGCTGGACTTTTGCGAAAAGGCGCAAGAAACGAAAGGTACGGCGGATCGTGCGCTCGTGTGCAGCAATGTCAAGGAAGCTGGTGGCAAGACGGCGCATGGCATATCAGGGGAAGGCGCATGCATGGCGGCAGGTGGCGCAGACAGTGTGGTCGCAACTGACAATAGCGACGACCTCTCTTCGATCTGCTCGACAACACTCGTGGGATCTCACTCACCTGAATCATCATCATTCGACATTGGCTCATCGTCCATTTCTCCTGAGCCTTGCCTCGACTGTATATCTTTAGGTTCAGGAGAGCATTCTTCCGACCTGCAGCCTTCGGCATCGACAGCAGAAGGATCATCGCACAGCATGGAGAGTCTGCCATTGTTCGGATTTGCGCGGTGGATGGCTGGTGGCTCTGCCGACGCACCAGGCGAGAGTGGTGATGTGGTGAGTGACTATTCCTAGCGTCCACATTGTCACATACTAACCGTTGCTGTAGCGTTCAAGCGGCAACCACACTCAGATCAGTCCACAAACTCGGCTGAGGCAGGCCGGTATTAGAGAGCGCACCGATGAGAGCTTTGACCTGCCGAAGAGGTACGACCGGCCTCTTTTGGATGTAGACCTGCTTTGCTGACAGCTTGCGACAGTGGCGACATCATGCAACATCTCGCGGAGTCCTACAGCAGCCGTACACAACGAGCCCCCCACTCCAACCAGCCGCGCTCTCCATCATGCGGAGCCACGAGCGCTGTCCACACCACTCAGCATGAATTCGAGATGGCCCGGGACGCTTACGACACCATCGAAGCGGAGATCGACACTTTGAAAGATGATATCCTCAGAATGCGACAGGAGGCCGATCTGAGAAGCACTGGCCCCAATACGGAGCAAGAACTGGCCGCGGACAGGTTTCTGTCGACCCGAAGCAAGCGCTGGTTGGCTCAGGGAAGCAAAGTCCAGGAAGAATCAGCCGCAGTTCGATTGCAGCGACTGCACCAAGGCAATAAGACCAACACATCTGGCCCAATCCAAGCACAGCAGAGGTCGTCGGTTCCACCGAGCTCAATGGACTTCCCGGCATTGTCTCAGCATGTCCCTTCCAGGATGATGTCGCCAACCGAAGAGCCAGCGCAGGGTCGCAAGCTTTCATATGCTCACGCAGCCACGGGTGTAAGATTGCATCCAAATGAAACTGCGCTCCCTCCTATTCGTGCCAGTGATGCTAATGACAGGCAGCCCGATTCTTCAGCTACCGTACCACTCTCAGTGAGCAATCTGATCGAGCATTCGAAGGACGATCTTCGCCATACCAAGGACGAACAAGACTCTGTCATCATTCTCGCCTCAGATATGCGGAACATCAGATCCTCCATCGAGCCTTCCCCTGATACCCGCAGCCCCGGTGACAACACAGGCACGAAGCTGCCACGCTTCGCTCAACCAACAAAGTCCTTCGCCAGGCGCGCGGGAGAGACGCTCCGCAAAGACTCGGCCTCTATTGTTCCCAGGTCGCCTGGTGAAAGCTCGCCCGGCAAGACCATGAAAGGAAGGGAGCCACTGTTGTCCACGGCGAAGCGAGCTGCGCAGCATCAAAAGAAGAGAAGCTCCCTACCCGGTGATTGGGTGAACAACGCAGGTGGCGGGGGAAACAAGACACCGGACAAGGCACCAAAATCAAATGGCAAGCCAGGCGAGAATGCTTCCCCCAAAGTCACCGGCGTTTCGCCGTCAGCTGAAGGTCGGCAGCTGGAGAAGGGATCACAGGCCAAGGAAAACGTTGCGAAGATGAAGCTGAAGGCTAAAGACGTGCAAGCTGCGACGCCCAAGCAGAAGCGGTCTTACATGGCACCTACTACCGCAGCTGCGCAGCGTGGCATTGTCAAGCCTGGCAACCCCAAGCCTCAGCCTGCCGTTGCGAAGCAGATCACCGAAGTACGTCTGGATGCCGCAATCTCGGCTCGACCGACGCAGACTATTTCTGCTTCGGACACCTCCTCTGTCTGCTTCGTGCTTGACCGTTCCAATGGCAGTGGCAGCAATTCGCCGCGGAACACTAGCAATCGCAGTTCCCATATTCCAGTTCCGAAGATTCAGCAGAGCCCAGTACGTGCGTGTGGGCTATCCAAACCCCTGCCTGCCGGAAGCTGGTCCTCAGCGCCAGGTTTGACAGTCAATACCGGTAACGTGCTGTCTCAGGCGACCACATCGCTACCAGACGTCAGGAACACCACAGCAAAGCGCAGGACGTCTCACGGAAGCCTGTTGACACCAATTGTCGCTTGTCTGGACGCCAAAGGCCTGCTGAAGAAAGACACCAACAACGCTGTCATTGAAGCGTACTTGCAGAATGTAGAAGGCAGCGCCATCAGCAGTCCTTCACCATTGTCGGCGCTTCAATCTCTGCCTGGTTCTCCAACTCGGCGGTCTGATGCTCGCTCAGAGATCTCTACTGCTCAGTATGCCAGGACTTCCGGGACGTTTGTGCCGCCTCATATCCGTCTGAGGGAGCCTAGCGCTGCCAGCACGGTGACTGGGTCTGTGGCATATCAGCCAATGGGTCCACCAGCTCTAGACAATCGTTCGACGGCCCCATTCGAAGTTGTCAGGCGCGACTCTGTCATGCAGACTGATAGTCCCGTCCTCGGCAAGAGCAAATCGATGCGAACCGCTCTGCTCAGACCCACGGCGGCAATCTTCGAGCCTCGTACGATGACGACGGCCGTCAATGTCCCGAAAGGACTGGCGCCCTCACTGGAGTATATGCCACAGGAGCAATGGTCGAGCCTCAGCCCGGAGCAGAAGTCTGAGGTTAACCACGCACCAGCGATGGCCGGCTTTGACGCCAGAAACACTTTCTCGAGGCAGTCCTTCCACCAAGCGGCGACTTGGCACACCAACGCGTTCTCCCCTGCGAACCAAGCCGGCGCTCCCTACAACGGATATGCTCGATCGAATGGCGTTCAGGCTGGCCAGAGGATCACACCGTCCTTCAGTCCCGGTAAGAAGAATGTGAATTGGATGCTGAGGGATCTCGACGGCACAGAAACGCCCATCAAGTTCGGCAGGGCGCCACCTCCATCAAGTGGCCGGCTCTTCACTCCAACCACGCCAGCGGCAGCCACGTTGTCGGACGACACGACGCCGATCAAGACGCCGTTCAGCCCCAACGGCTGGCGAATCGGCTCCGCCTTTTCCAAGAGCCCTTACGGCTGGAAGGGTGGTGATGGCAAGGAGATTCGCTTTGTGGGCTATGGTCCACATGCCGAGCGCGACCCGAACACGGTGGTCGACTTCGACTTCCAGGGCAAGACGGCCAGCTTCTCTACTGCCCTTTCCAATGGCTTTGAGGAGGGCAACTCTTTGCCGTCGACCGGAGTTGCGCCCAAGTCACAGCGCCAGTGGGCTGAGAAGCTTGGCTACCAGAGTGTGCCATGCGGCAATGTTGAGATCACGCATGCGGTCGAGCAGATGCCGTTTGTATCGCAGCTTGCGGGTTACTGTTACGATTGCTCGGCGAACAACTGAGGAGTCCGGACACATTTGGGTGTGCGACGATGCGCTTTGCAGAGGCTGTCTATCGCTGTACAGGAATGGATGGGGTTTGGATGAGATTTCTTATGTTCGCATGGGCATGTTGGTGATTCGGAAAGGCTGAAGGCAGGATCGGATAGTGTTTGTACCTGGCTGGATGATCTGGCCGTCCATCGTCATGAGGCTTGCTGTTGGCAGACAACAGACATGCCACTATTACTGTTGATTCGATAGTGTAGGACATGAAATCGTCACATCGAAGTAGAGCTGTCTTCTTCCACCTCACCTCTTGGCTGCGGCCGCATCTTCGCGAAAGCGGCCGCGGCTCATACCAACACGCTCTTCAACAGGATACTTTCCCGCCCCTTCCATGCATCTTTCGGAATTTAGCAAGACTCGCATGTTGCTCTGCTAACAGTAACTGCTCGTAGAACGGTACCAAGGTAAAGTATATCAGCTTCATCCGATTCCTTCCTCCCGCCATCCACCCCCAGTGTTCTCAAGCCAGCTGCAACAACATCCACCCTCCCAAGCCCAGCATGGCCCACATCATCCTCACCGGAGCCACAGGAACCGCAGGCGCCGCGATCCTCGACTGCGCCTTCAGATCCCCCGCCATCGCCCACATCTCCGTCCTCTCCCGCCGCCCCGTCAAGCTCGCCGAGTCCCAGCCCGACAAAGCTACGGTCATCATCCACAAAGACTACACCACCTACCCACCCGACCTGCTCTCCCAGCTCAGAGGCGCTACAGGATGTATCTGGGCCCAAGGCATCAGCAGCCGCGGTATGAACGAGCAGGAGTACGAGAAGATCACCGTCGACTACCCGGTGGCTGCCGCAAAAGCATTCGCTGGGCTGCCGAAGAAGGGGAGTTTCAAGTTCGTGTACATGTCTGGTGAAGGGGCGGATATGGACGGCAAGTCTTCGTTCATGTTTGGACGAGTGAAAGGAAAGGCGGAGAAAGCGCTGCTGGGTCTTGGAGAGGAGATGCAGGGGTTGAAGGTGTTTAATGTGAGGCCTGCGACTATAAATCCGGAGAGAAGGTATTTGCAGGAGAGGAAGCCTACGATGCAAGATCGGACGTCGACGCTTTTGGGCGGGGTGTTTGAGAGGTTTTGGAAGAGTTTTGTGATTCCGACGCCGAAGTTGGCGAAGGTGTGTTTGGATTTGGCTACAGGGGATGGTGAGTCGGTGGATGCTGGGTTGGGTGTGGAGGCGGAGGGGAGGCTGTTGAGGAATACTGCTATTCGGAGGTTGGCTGGGATGTAATGGGAGCAATTTGTTGCGATTTGTTTTTCTGACTACTTATTGATGCTTAATACCCAAGCGAGTTGCTGAAGCTTACTTCGCCGCCCTTCACTATTGCCCCGTCACTTTGAGATGGAGCGCGGGCCCATATACATGACGGGCGTGCTGCTTTACCTTTCAGCTAAAACCATGAGGCCTTCTTCGAAACTTCTTCGAACGTCGGCGAACATGCTATGCGGCACCATAAGAACCGGATGGGACGTCCGACGCACCGAGATCCCCAAGGGCTGCGTTGCAAAGAGAGACGTCCACGGCGAAGGACAATAGTGAAAGGTAGGCCGATGGAAAGATAGGTCGGTCGAGGTGGCATCGTAGATTCGTGGGATTGAAAGGAGAGAAATTGGACTTTGAGAACCATGTCGATTTCAATAAACAGCTCATGGTTGGAAGCCAGCTACTTAGCATGCCTTCGCCGTTCGCCAGTCCCTCGCATCAAGCAGCAACACGCTCCTTTGTCATGTTCGTAGTCGTGGATCCCGCTCACATCACCACACCCGAGTTGCTCGCAATACGCTGCACACATACAGATTAGCCCACATCCTCACCCCTTCCTCTCAGATGTCAAAACTCACCGGCCACAACTCCGCCGCCTCCTTCCCCACGGGCCCCGTAATCGCACTCCCCTTCATCTCGCCCTTCGGATTCACAATCACGCCCGCATTATCCTCGAAGTACAGGAACACGCCATCCGCGCGCCTCCACGGCTTGCTCTGCCGCACGATCACAGCCGGCATGACTTTCTTGCGCAGCTCGGGCTTGCCCTTCTTGACGGTCGCCATGACCATGTCGCCGACGCCGCCGGCGGGCAGGCGGTTGAGGCGCGCGCCGATGCCCTTGACGGAGATGATGTAGAGGTTGCGGGCGCCGGAGTTGTCGCAGCAGTTCATTACTGCGCCGCTGTTTGCACATTCTTGTTAGATCTTCGGTTCTTTCGTGCTGCCAGTGACGGTGTCTTGTGGATAAGAATGGAGGACGTACACAGGCAGACCGAGCGTCATCTTCAGCTTGTTACCGGAAGAACCTCTTCTGTCGCATTTGTTAGCCTATTGCTCTTCCTCCTCAAGGCCTTGAATTGCAGTATGCATACCCTCTCTTGCTCGACATCGTGGGCGACTGTTCAGTGGTATCGGAGGTGGTGTTTGTGGCTTCGTTGCCGTGTTATCGTCGTCGAGTGAGGTGGTCGTTGCTCGGTATAGAAGAATTGAGGTCTGTGGCTCGTGCCAAGATTTTGAAGTTCCTGGTGACAGAAGTCGTGGCATTCTCACGTGATATGGAGCAACCATTCGCTCTCCTCGAGAAGTGAGAACATGTAGAGTAGTTGTTATGACATTCTTAATCCGCTACGTTATATCCTTACACGCTTCCGTTTCTATCCTATCACGTGCTCCGACCCTTGTTCAAGCCCACACAGTCTCGATATCAACCCAGCAGGTCATCGAGCCCGCTACTCCCAGTGCTCGGCTTTGTCCCATTGCCCTGCTGTGGAAAGGCTGCGGGCGCCGCAGGGGCTCCATACAGCCCAGCCTGGCTTTTCTGCTTAGCCATGTCGGCCATCGTCAATCCCTTCTGAGTGGGTGTGGCGGACTTCTTCGCGCCTCCACCGAGCAGAGAAGCGAAGGCGTCGCCGCTAGCAGGCTTCTTGCCAGCTGCAGCTCCGCCTGCGGTAGGCGATGTGACGCTACCGGGTGTACCAATCGACTGTGGCTGGCCTGGCTGCACTTGCACGGACGTAAAGTAGTTCGGTCCGGAGGGCTGGTAGCCGGTCGGCTTAGATTGTGCGGGTGGCGAAAAGGCGGACATATTGGAGGGTGTGGTCGTATTGCTCATGGGCGGAGATTTGGTGGAGAAGAGGTTGCTGAAGTCTGCTTTCTGCGTGCCAGCTTGTGGTGTTGGCTGGGCGAACTGGGTCGCCGATGAAGGCGTCGCTGTTGAGATGTTGTAGTTTGGTGCTGGGATGGAGGGCTTGGCCATGGGAGGCGGCGCTGTGGTGGATGGAGTGGCTGATTGGAAGTCGTCAAAGTCATCCTCGTCGCCAATGGCTGCACTTGAGGCAGGCGGCGAGAGGATGGCCGAAGATGCTCCGTTTGAGGGGGCTGGAATAGGGGCAGCTGCGGCAGGCGGGTCGTCGTCTCCGAATTCGAACAAGTCTACCTCGGGCTCTTTGGGCTTTGGAGGTTCGGCTTTCTTCGGAGTCGCGCGCGAGCTTCGAGTTGTCTCTGTCTTTCGCCTGCTGGTGGGTGCTGTAGCTCCACCATCATCGTACTCGTCGTACTCGTCGAATCTGTCCGCGCCTCCCCTTCGACCACCTTCATCGTATTCGTCGTGCGTCTCACCGCCGAACCCACCGCCGTCGCCGTATACACCTCTTGTCGAGCCTCCGTACCCTGCACTAACACCAGCAGTCTCACTCCCGAAACCACCATACCGCGACGAAGACCCGGACCCACCAAGGCCGAACGTAGCGCCTCCCTCCACGCCGGTGTATTTGTTCCTCGTCGCCCTCGCCTTCTTCCGCTCCGTCCGGATCTTCTCGACATCCGACAGAAGATCCGTGAGCTCCTTGCTCCTGTTTCGCACATTGATGCCCTGGTCCTTGCCGTTCTGGTCGATGAAATGGAATTGACGGAGCATCTTGAGCAGGCTGAGATGTGATCGACAGTCGTCGATCACGCGCTCGGAGCCGTTCTTGACCAGGAACTCCATGAGCTGGAGGGCTTTGTAGATTTGGCGCCATTCTTCGGCGGACTTTTCGGTGAAGCGTTTGTAGATCCTGCAAAACGAGACGATCAGCACATGACCCTTATCTGTGGGTTTGCAAGCTCTGAGACACTCACATCGGCATGATCTCGTTCAACAGCTGGCTGTAGCATTCGTGTTAGCCCACCACATCTTTCCCCACTGGTTGTACCACCTACTAGTTGAACGTTCCATTGGCGATCTCCTGCATGAGCGTGGAAGAAGCACCCCAGGGCTCATTGTTCGTCGCCTCCCTGACCTTGCTCTCCATCTCGGTGTAATTCATGACCTGGTTCTGGATCTTTCGCACACCGGCTTTTAGATCGTACAGGGTAAGGTTGGAGACCTGGTTTTGGATCGAGTTCCAGTCCATGGCGGGCGAGCTTTCAAGTGATCTACTGGGCAAGTGTAGGGAAGCAACGTGCTATGGTAACTTGAAGCAGTGGTATGGATGGACGTTGTGGTTGTGGATTCAATATGCCTTCTCCGTGCTGCAAGCGGAGTAGCGTGGCCGGGCGATCCCGCGCGCCAAGGAAAGTCTGTTCGGGCATCGGTTTCAATGATGAGATGAAAGTTGTAGAAGGACAACTTATTTCATCGCTCACTGCATTGCGACGTTTATCTTCCATCAAGAAGTGTATTATATTGCGATCTGTACCTTTACTGCGGGCCTCTAGAGCATTTGAACGACGTGAGTTGATGGAGGCATCTATGGCCACACCCCCTTTTCAATGGTACATACTGATGGCCCTTTCGATATAGCAACACTCCTTCCGTCTCCATCAGTTTGTCAGTCCCGATCCCCTACAGGCACTGCTTCCTCAACAGCTTCCGCGCCGAGGAAGGCGCAGCAGCTTCACAGCAAATGGAACCTTGCTTCAAATGACTTCATACGGCTGTGATATCAAGTGCTTCGGCTGACGCAGGGCAGGGAAGAGCTGCTCTCAACTTGCCCCGCACCCCACTATGGCTTTTTCTTCGAACCTCCTCAAGTCCAACCACTTCTCAACCAAACCCCTCATCAACAACTCCTTTCGATTCAATCCAACTACTACTCATCGACGAGCCTTCCACAACTCTACGCCCAAGATGACTATCAAGTGCTACTTGTAAGTGAACCATCCGCATCACATCAATGATGATAACCATTGGCTGACTTGAAAACACAGCGACGTCGCCTGGACCGGTTCGTGACCCAGCCATCACCGGCATTGACATCATTGAGACATCTGCTAATCCAATTGCACACCCATAGACCCCAAGAGCAACCAGGGTTCGTACTACCACAACCATTGATCCGTGTTGATGAAAGTGAAGCTAACACCAAGCAACAGCTCAGAACGGCCGCATCAACTTCAACGTCTACGACGATGTCGTCCCCAAGACTGCTGAGAACTTCCGTGCCCTCTGCACCGGCGAGAAGGGCTTCGGCTACTCGGGCAGCAAGTTCCACCGTGTGATTCCGGACTTCATGCTTCAGGGAGGCGACTTCACTCGTGGTAACGTATGTCAGATCTCCTCTCCAGCTTCAGTTGGTCTATTTAGCACGTGCTAACGACGGTATGATGCGCAGGGCACGGGCGGCAAGTCCATCTACGGCGAGAAGTTCGCGGACGAGAACTTCCAGCTCAAGCACTCCAAGCCCTTCCTCCTCAGCATGGCCAACGCCGGGCCCAACACCAACGGCTCCCAGTTCTTCATCACCACCGTCGTCACCTCCTGGCTCGACGGGCGCCACGTCGTCTTCGGCGAGGTCGCGGACGATGAATCGAAGAAGATTGTCAAGGCGATCGAGGGGCTGGGCTCTAGCAGCGGCAGCACCAAGGGCAGCCCGATGATCTCGGCTTCCGGCCAGTCCTAGAGGTGGAAGAGAAGTAAGAGGAGAGATGAAGGAGATGTGAGAACATGTGGTAGGAGGCATGCATACTGCTAGCTGGTTTTAGATGGCGGTGGGCTAGCTTAAAAGCGAGACTGCACATGGTATGAAGATTTGTCCCGTGGTGGACTGCTGAGATACGACTTCTCTCATTCCTTTTGACTACTCGTGTGCCGTTGGTTGCCCGTTTCAAAGAGCTAAGTGTACCATTCGCAAGGCTTGGTTAAGCTTCGTGATGACTGACGTCCAATCTCAGTAGCCTAACACCCAGCAAGAGTATTCACCTTGCTCTTCTTCTTGTCAGACTGATCGCTACCATCTTGCAGAACTCGAATCTGCGCGGAAGAATGCATACCAAGAAGGCTTTATTGCCGCTCGTCTTCTCACTAGTTCATACGATGCATGACTTGGCGCATCCTGATGAGCCGCGACCCCCTTCGCCTCACCCGCAATCAATGGTATCTGCACCGACTAGCCGCGACACGGCTTGCAATGGTCTGGCCTCGGCATGGTCGCAAAGCGTTGCCCAGGCGCGTGTGCATGAGAGCAGGTTAAAAGTGATAAAGGTAGGGTGTCGCCCATGGTACTGGCTTGGGAAAGCTGCCAAAGGATCCTTGGGCAAGATGACTTCAGTTATAGTGCTTGAATCTATAGCCACGACGGCGGCGGCGCTCACTCCTTCCGAAACCACGATTGTCCGGCAGGCACCGTCTGCGGCCCAGCTATCCTCGTCATTCATTGCCAGCTCTAGCGTCGACCCGGACACCGACCCAGACAACCCCAATTACTATCCTTTGACCACAATATTCAAAGCCGCCAGCACCTGCTTCTCGCCCAAGCCCACAGATCTCGAAGGATGTACTACCTTGGAGGGGGTGTCTGTTCGATGTCGCATGCAAGTCGCAGAGCATTGCTTTCCTTCTGGCGGTTACACAATCACTGCCACCAACAACGACGTCGAGCAGATCACCTTCTTCCCAGGCGTACTACCATATGGATTTAAAAGTTTCTACGAGTATACCGGGGGATCGATCGGTCAGCCCCTTGCCGAAAGCATCTCTCATGCCGCTGGATGTCCTGAGTAGGCCAATCGTGAATACCTCCCACCGTGTTGTGCTCTACGCTGACCTAGGCCAGTGGCTGGACCTGGAAATATAGCCCGTTCATGTGCAACACATATCTCGCGGCGACCGGGGGTCAGGATCTTGGGACTGCGGTTTCGATACCCGCTTTGGTAGCACATTGGAGAGGTAGAGATCTCGCCACCTTCACGCCGGCCTCAGCTCCAGCACTGCCTTCAAGTGCCATCAATGCATTTGCGGCGACGATTCCAGCGGCTACACCGGCTTCCAGATCCTCGCGTGCGTCCTCGACCTCGAGGAGTTCAGATTCGTCGACGGCTTCCTCCACGCCAGACAGGAGCCGGCAGAAACAGCAGCAAGAAATTAGCAGTGGCCTTTCCACCGGCGCCAAAGCCGGAATCGGCGTCGGCACCGCCGTCGTCGCCCTCCTCATCGCCGCCGCTTTCTGGATGGTCCGTCGCAGGCGAGCCGGCAAGAGCTCAGTCCGGCGGGCAAGAAGTCAGCGGCCTTACGTCGATGGCAAAGGCGAACTCGAAGGTGTTCCGGTGCACCGGCGGGTCGAAGAGCAGACTGAAATGCCTGGCAAGGAGCTCTACGAAGCGGATTCGCATACTCGTGCACCGCCGGCGAGCGAGCCGCACGAAGCAGATTCGCCTCCGCCCATACCGTTCGCTAGTAAGCCAAGGTGGGAATTGGATGGCGGGTATCGAGGGGAAGAGGTAGGGCCGCAATCACCGTGTACTGCGAAGGGCCCGGGGGCTGTATAGAGCTTCATAATACCCCATATGATGAGTGTTTCACTGTTGAAGGCCATGTCGAGACGTTGTAGTTCCCGTCCCCGCCGTTGTTTGGTTCTACCAGTGTCGGGAGACCAACTTCTCCTCATGGCATCTTCGCATCTGCTCTCCTATCTCGTATCTGACGTGCTCAGAGGTTGCCGCTGGTGGCAATGTTGATTAGCTCGCGTCGAACCATTCAGCTGCCCTTTCCAGTCTCCTAGGCAGAGCTACGTCTATGGATAGTAAGTCGCATGCAATACTCGTGGTACCTCTCATGTAATACGAGCTTTAGGTACGCGCTAGATTCGTGCCGCCTGTTCAAAGAGTCCGTATACTGGTGACAAGAGAAGACAAGAAAGATCCAAGCTCTTCCCAGACGGTCTCGAGACCCCACTGTCCGCTGGCGCCAGCCCCACGCGACACAGTTGATCTTCTGAAACAAGGGTTCAACAAGTTGACCTCTCTCGAGCCTCTGTACCTGTCGTACAAGGAACATTGAAGAACTATTCCTGGTGTTTGCTGGACGAACACCAAGACACTTCGTATTCACCAAAGCAGAGGAGGAGTAGGACAGGCACCAAGCAACGGCATGTCCGCTCCCAGAAAGACTCCAGCGCACGGCTTGCGGTGAATGAAGATATACCGCCTACCAACAAACTTCCACCCTCGACTTGTTCTAGTAGAGGCTCACGCATGCGACAATGGACGACCCCGACCCCAAGTCCAACAGCAAAGCCCGCTTCAAAAGCAAATGGTCGCGAGTTTTGAAATCCAAAGACCCCTCCGAGCTCGAGACCGCTCCCCACCACACCAACTCCTTCAAACTCGACGACGACGTGAACGACTTCCTCAAGCCCTCCACTGATCGCGCGGCGTCAGCGGCGTCAGCCAAGCCAGCCTTTCCTCCAGCACCGAAGCTCGATATTGCGATCGCGCAGCGCTGGCCGGACGCGAATGAGGTTCGGCGCGCAAGTGCAGCGACGCCTCAGGGCGCGGGACTGGATACGCCGAATGGGTTTAGGAAGCCGAAGAGGCGGAAGGGGTTGCGGGTGGGGTTTGTGAGGCAGGAGGCGGAGGTTATTGGGGAGGGAGGGGATGAGTGCGAGGAAGCTACTATGGAAGTCGGAAAGAGGAGGAAGAAGAAGGGGATGGGAAGGAGCGTGAGTGATGCGAGAGCGCTGGAGGGGGCGAGGCAGGCGGCGGGGAGTCGTGGGAGGGAGGAGCAGGAGTTTAGGCCGCCGCCGTTGAGGAGGGCGCAGACGACGGAGACGAGTGAGGTTTCAACGCCGGAGGGAAGGGCGCAGGTTGGCGTTGAGGGTGGCAGGTTTGGGCTGAGTAGGACACCGACGGGTTTCGGGAGCCAGGATTCACAGGAGGGGGAGACCTCGCCGGAAGTGGAGAGGTTTGAGGAGTTCAAGATACCAAAGATTGATACACGCTTCGCATGGGAAGAGGGAGGATCTGGATCACTCACATCAGCTAGTCCGAAGGATCCTCAAGCTCTGGCTGTGCGGAAACGTGAGCTGAGGTCGAACGAAGGCATGACGTTACGCCGAGCGAGCGCAATGATCACCGAGGGCGATGATGGTAGAGGCGAGGAGGCGAAAAGGGAGAGTCTTCAATTTGGCGTGCAGCCCACTCAGCAGCACTACGATACGCTTTCGAGGCCGGACGCTCCTGATCTCATGCCTGAGCCTCGTTCGGCGCTTTCGCCACAATCTGCTAGGTCGCCTATGGGGCCTTCGCCTTTCGATGATCCGAAGTATGTTCAGCGGCGTTCGAGAGAGGTTACGCCAGAGCGGGCGCCGCAGGTTGCCAAACCGCAGGGTTTGAGGAAGCCGAGAGAGGCGTACCAGCCGAGTTATATGAGGGCTGGACAACAGCAAGCTCCGCCCTCACCACCGACTCAGCAACAACAGTATCAGGCTCCGCCTCCACCGTCTACTCAGCAGCGTCCGTCAATACCTGCTCCTCCTCGGGTCCAGCCTCCGCCAGATGCAGAGTATACCCATCCTCCGAGCTACAAGCGTACCTCGCAACAATTGAATGAGACCTCATTACCTACACGTCTTCCACCGGCGCCGTCAGGAAGCATGCAGCCTCCGCAAGCGCAATACCAATCTCGAAGCCGCGATCCTTCACCCAGGCAAGATCGCTCCTACGGCAATACCGCATCTTCTCAAGCTCAACGAGCCATCTACTCCCGCCCTAATGGCTCAAATGGCAGCTTAAACTACCAACCTCCTTCTCCAAAACACCAACCGCATTCCCGAAGCAGCTCCCATGATTCCCAATCTTCATACCAGCATCCATCTTCCGCCCTTTCACACCCTCCAGGCGGCTTCTCGGAGCCCTCACCCACGCGCTATCAGACTCACAGCCAGAGTCCACAGAGCGGGAGTCCGAGGTCCAGTATGATCGGCCGGTCTCCTCTATCACCTTACGGCTCTGTGCCCAGTCCTGGGCATGCGCAGCAGTCGTACTTTGGTGGGACGAAAGCTCAGCATGGACAGACTATGCAGCCAGCGGCTTTGCAGCCTCCTTCGCCTGGCCATCTGCAGGTGGAGAGCCCCGCGAGTCGGCCGGTAAGTGCGAGCTCGAATCGGTCGTTCTCTAGGCCACGGCCGCCTCAGGTACAACAGGCGCAGCACGCTCCACCTGCGCATACCCCGTACGACGAGACGAGACAGCCTTCATACTCGTCTCAAGCTCAGGCTCAGCACCGAATGGTAGATCCAGCATCACCGGCACAGCAGCCACCGCCGTCAACAGCGCCCACACGACCCTCGGCACAGTATATGAGACAAGACTCTCCTTCCTCCCGTCCAAGCTCCTCAGGCAGCCATGCCTCGCACCACCGGCCCCTCGCTTCTCCTCAACCTCAGCCGGATACCAACCCGGCCGCGGATGCTGCGTACGCCGACTTCGCTGCGCGAGTCGCTCATATGAAGGGCGTCTTTAAACTCACTTCGGAGAAAGAACGGCCTTCGTCCCGGTGCTCGCCGCAGGCTTGGTTACGAGCGGCTCTATGGTGGTACAGCAGAGGCAAAGCAGGCTTAGAAGCTATGATGGCACAACAACGGCCACGAAGCAGTGACGGACAGCTGCGTGAGATCCTGGTGCAGGCGCATGTCGATCTGGCCAAAGGATGGTGGATTCTTACCGACCCACTGAACTGTGATGAAGATAGCGAGATGCTCAACGCTGATCCTGGAGCGAGGCAGGGAGTCGTGTCACTGCGAAGCCACTTGAAAGCGCTGGCGCTGTCGATGGGCAAGAATCAGTTGATGCCGCCGCCGCAGAGCTTGATTCAAGGGCAGGATACGACGATATGGGTTGAATATCCACGATTTGCTAGTGGATCGGCAGCTGTGCTCACGGGTTCTACCAACATGCAACCGCAAGATGCACTTCCGGTGGGCGAGTCGAAGGATACGCACTTCTATGGCCGCTTTTTCGTCGACGTCTCTATGAGCACGGATGATGCAGGAACGGATCGTGTCAACTTACCTTGCTTACTTACAGTAATGCGTGGGAAGCGGGAGTTTTTGACTACCGCCGTGATCGCGAGTCAGAGTGAGCTGGTCAATATCAAGATCGCTCCAAGAAAGAGCGGCGAAAAGGGATTGACCTGGCACGACGTCAGCTGGAAGGCTTCTGCGTGCGGCATGCTCGTGCGTCTACCACATCAGTATGATCTGATGGTCCGCATGTCGGAGCGGGACTTTAGATCGGTATGGAACATCGTCGAGTATGCGCGGAAAGTCGAGCACTGCTTCCGGCCTGAAGATGGAGAACAGTTGGTGCTCGAAAAGCGACTGGCGGAGATGCAGCTGGCAGACTCTGCGAACACCGGCGCTTTTCCGGCTGAAAAGGTGAAAGGTGCTATAGCTGCTCTGTTTGAGAGGACAGAGACGAATGTGCAGGGCGGAGTAGAGAGGAAGCTACACCGTGGATACCGGTTGCTGCTTGTCACAGATCCAAAGCACAAGGCGTTGGCGAGTACGAGCCATGAGATCGGCGGACGATACCCGCTGCTGTTTGAGTTCATTACCGACTCGGCGGCTGGCGGTATGGCGGCCATCGTGCTGAGGACAAGAGAGAAGCACCGGCAAAGCAGGATTCTGCTCGTGTTCGGGAGTGTGGAGGGAAGACAAGAGTTCTATGATGTGCTTAATGGGCTTACTGTTGGGCCGGATGAACTTATTGTCGGCAAGATGGAGCTCGCTTCGATGAACATCGAGCCTGCTGGCAGCCAAGCACCCGAAGGAGGAGCGCAGCAACTGCCTTCAGCGCTGCAGTCGCTCCAGTGGCAGAAGTTGGGCGTCACCAACGCCCTACCAGACGAAGACGATCATTCCGCCCACCAGTCTTCCACAGTCGCCTCCTCAAGCCTCCGCATCATCGCTCGCCACGCCACCGGCAGCATCACCGATCGCCTCAACCTCAGCAAAGGCGAGCTTCTCCTGCGTCTTCCATGCACTTCCAGCCCGACAATCCAGATGCTCCGCGCTCCGCAAGAGGACATCACCATGTCCCTTGACACCCGCCATACTCCTGGCCCAGCCCTCGAAGCCCTCTCCGACATCCACCACACCGTTCGAACGAAACCGACCATCCGCTCACTCACCTTCCCGTCTTTCGAAGAACTCCACGCTTTTCAGTCTGCAATCACGGGCTGCACGATCCGCTTCGACGCCCTAGCCGCCAGCCTCTCCATCGCGCGGAGGAGGATGGTCGTGCCCATCTACAAGAAATGGGAGGCCTCCATCATCCGCCTCCAAGTCGTCACGCGCCAGAACGTCGTCCAAGTTATCGCGTGCATGGAAGGGTTCAGCCATGCAGAAGCTCTGTGTTTCCGGGTCATGAGCACGGATGTCTTTGAAGCGTGCAAGATGGGCAAGAGGTTTGGGTTGAGGTTGGTAGATGCAAAGTTTGCTCTACCTCCCGAAGAGGAGAAACCGAAGGAGAAGAAGGGCGAGAAGGGCGATGTGGTAGTCGTCGAGGAGAGTGAGGAGAAAAGAGAGGAGAGGGTCCGAAGGCGTTTTGTGAATCTGGAGGGGTTGGAGTATATGAGTGAGCATGATGATATTACGGTTGGGTTTGAGACGGTGGAAGGTGAGTCTTCACCCCATATCCCTGTGCTCGTGTGTTATGCTGACGTTTGTACAGAGCGCGATGGGTTTGCAGAGGCTTTGCCCACGCCTGCGACGGTGAGTAGGGGTTTTACGCTTAAGCGACGCATTTGAAGATATCCATATGTTTTACAGCGCACAGCACAGCGTTCGGCGTTCCTTGATTTTGAGAAGCTCTTCGGCTCGCTTGCCCGATTTCGGTCGACGCGAAACCGCACATTGGTGGGGCATTTTACGCCCTACGGAGCTCAATGCGTAACATTTTCTACAGTCGACCTCTTCAAGAGGGATCGCTGTCTTTCAACCTCCAACTGCCATCTACAGGTAAAGCAGCATCCTATATCTTTTCCTCCTTCCATTCATTCTACTCCCCTCCATTCTGAACCCCTCAAACAACCACAATGGCATCCCCGCAATCCAACGGCCACCCCTCCATCCCCTCCCACCACGCCCCCAAACCCTCCTCATCTCCCTCAGCCCGCTCCCTCGCAACCGCAGCCATCCACGGCGACGACCCCCTCAACTCCACCACCGACGTCGCCCCGGCCCTCCACGTCTCCACCACCTTCCGCTACCCCCACGACCCTACCCTCCTCTCACCCACCGACGACCTCGACATCCCCGCTCGCGGCCCCAGGGACCCTACACCCGCCGACTCGCACATTTACTCCCGCCTTACCGCACCAAATACTTCTCGGCTAGAGCTCATGCTTGGTGAGATCCTCGGCGCGCCGTGCTTAACATACACCTCCGGCCTCGCGGCCTTCCACGCTCTCCTCGTGCACATCAACCCCAAAGTCGTCGCCATAGGCGCCGGATACCACGGCTGCCACGGCGTGCTCGACATCTACCGCAAGTTGACGAACTGCCGGGTGGTCGACCTCTTCGACGAATCCACCTGGCAGAACGACGGCGAAGCCTGGAGTCTCGGAAAGGGCGACGTAGTCCACCTCGAAACCCCCGTCAACCCCTCCGGCCTCGCCTACAACATTTCCCATTACGCCTCCCTCGCCCACGCCCGCGGAGCTTTCCTCACCGTCGACGCGACCTTCGGCCCCCCGCCGCTGCAGGATCCGTTCAAGCATGGGGCGGATTACGTGATGCACTCCGGGACGAAGTATTTTGGCGGGCATTCGGATATGCTCTGCGGTGTTTTGGCTGTGGGGATGCGGGAGGAGGGTTGGGAAGGGAGGTATTGGGGTTTGTATGGGGAGAGGGTTTTTCTAGGGAGTGTGATGGGGAGTTTGGAGGGGTGGTTGGGGGTGCGGAGTTTGAGGACGTTGGAGTTGAGGGTGGGGAGGCAGAGTGGGAATGCTGGGAGGGTTGTTGGGTGGTTGGATGGGTGCTTAAATCCAAAGGACGGCAGTGAAGATAGCAAGATTGTGAAGGAGGTCGTGCAGAAGGTCGAGCACGCGAGTTTGCAGAAAGACGACATGAGCTGGTTGAAAGAGCAGATGCCGAATGGTTTTGGCCCGGTGTTTAGTGTGTGGATGCAGACGCCGGAGTTTGCGAAGAGGCTACCTAGTAAGCTGGAACTATTCCATCATGCGACTTCGCTGGGTGGGGTGGAGAGTCTGATCGAGTGGAGGCGGATGAGCGATCAAGGGGTTGATGAGAGGTTGTGCAGGGTGTCGGTGGGTGTGGAGAATTGGGAGGATTTGAGGGATGATTTGATGCGGGCTTTTCGGGGGTTGATGGAAGATGGGGGTGGGAAGTAGTAGTGGAGTAGGAGGCGATAGCAGCAAGAGTCATTAATGCTGCATAATGTTGAAGTATGTCGTTCTTGTTCCACTGCTTACGCCGTAATTTTGGGGGGATATCATAAGCATTCCACACGTTAACGCCCGTATTCCATGCTGCGGGGCACCTCTATCGACACCGTCAAAATCACATCCTTCGCCAGTTCTTTCATCATCATGCTCATGACTCTGCATCCATGAAGGTCTCCTCGTTGCCTAGGCTGTCCATTCTTCGGAGAGGGTCACCATGAGAGCTCTTGGTAGGTACCATTGGCGACTGCATCTGCTGTGCTGGCTGCTTTGAAGAGGATTGTGCGGTTGCGGCAGGAGGAGCGCTGTCGTTTTGGCCAAAGTCGATTAGATCACCGCCGCCACTGTTCTGCTGGGGAGGTGGTTGTTGTGCTGATGATGGCTTCCCTTGCTGTGACGGCAGAGCTTTCTCGTCCATGAACCTCTGTCCTGGGTTCTGACCCGGCAAGACCGGAGCAATCGACAAGATCTGCTCAATCTGCTTGTCCACCGGCGCAGTGTCATCTACAGTCGCATCCAACACCCAGTCCAACTTCTCCTCATCTCCCGGCGGAGCCTTCTTGAACAGTCTAGGCTTCCACTGCTCATCCCCCCTCTCCGCCGCCTCCTTCCTCTGCTCATCCTCAATCCTGCTCTTCTCACTCGTCGCCGTATTCTGATCCGCCTTCTTCAGCGCCTGCACCGTCGTCGCCCACAACTTCTGGCTCTCCCTCGGCGCCTGCTCCTCCAACGGCCTGCTCTTCGGATAACTCGGCTTCGCATGGCTGGCATCAAACAGCACCGTCTTTTTCCCTGTGGAGAGGTCTTTGATGCTCATCTCCCCGTGCCAGAAGCCGGAGAGCTCGAAGAGGGATTTGCCGCTGCGCGTGTCTTTGATGAAGCCGCCGATGGAGTTGTAGGTACCGCCGACCCAGCCCTTCACTTTGAATTCTATGTCCACTTCCAGGCCGGACTCGGGGCATTTGACGGACGCGTGGTCGCCGAGCTCATACTTCATTTTGCCGAAGAGGATGCCGCGGGCGTACATGTTGGGCTGGGTGATGAAGCTGTAGCATTCACAAGTCAGCTTTGCTTCACATCTGCGTGAACGAATGGTGTCCACGTACTACCGCTCATTCCGGTCCAAGAACCTCATCACCGCAATCCCTTCCATGAAACTGCCCACGCTGTTGCCCAAGAACTTGCTCCTCGGCTTCAGCGTCCCATCAATGCGTATCCTATGCTCCGGCGCCATGAAGAAGTACGAGCTCTTCGGCGGATGATGCGAAGTCTGCTCCGAAATATAATACCCCCTCGTCCCATCCGGATAATCCCAGTACCCCGTGAACGTCTCCCCCAAAATCGGGTTCAGCGGCTTCTTCACCCCCGGCGGCTTGATGTGCCAGCCGCTCAGGTAGAATTTTGTCACGGCCACGAAGCGCTCGACCGGGTCGTCGATGGTGGGTAGGGGCAGCATGATCTCCGGGTGTGCCATGAAGTTTGTGATGCGCTCGAGCATGCTGCGAGGCTCGAGGATGAAGGTGGGCAGGGTGATGCGGGAGAGGTCGGCGCCCGGGCGGAGCTGGGAGACGATGTGTTGGAGGACGTTGCCTTGTTCGCTGCTGACGACCGTTTCGTCCTCGTCGGCGCTGTCATATTCGCTGTTTTTGCCGCTGCCTATGGAGGACGTGCGATGTCTGTGGCCGAGCACCATGCTGGGCAGGTCTGGAGTGGTATTCGAGGGGAGAAAGTGTTGTTTCCAGGCCGGTGTGGGGAGGAGGGGTGTCAGCGGTGTGTATACCAGTACGCGGGTCAGCCCGGATGGTGGTCACGCTCGTCAAGGTTACAATTCGGTCACTTGTCGAGGTCGTTGTTGTTGTGGTCGAGTCGTAGGAGGTAGGAGAGTAGGTCGGGTAGAAAGACAACAACACGTTGGGTCGTTCCTCTCCTCCAGGCAAACTCAATTCTCGGGTCATGCCTCCCACGTCACAGGAGCGAGTGAGGTTTCACGCCTGCTGAAGTGGGGTTTCACTTTCTTCCCTGCTTCCCTTTCTCCTGACCCCATTCACCATGAGAGCATTCCGACGAGGATGTGGAACAGCAGGATACACATATCCCGGGAACGATGCGAGGCACGGCAGTGGTACCTCTCGGTGAACGCTGCTTGCTGCCAACACCACGTGGGCCTTGTCGCTACAGATTCGGTCTTGTCTTGGGGGGATTCCGCAGACTGTTGTATAGTATGAAAAGACTACGACCCGGGCGACGACAACATCTTACTCGAAGGGGTTTTTGAGCTGATCCTATCCAGACCGTCCATCGTCAATACAACGCTCACAGTCTTCTAGCCTCCAAGAGCGCTGTACGCTGATGAGTCGCTCGACAACTGGCCTCGTGGATCGAGATCGTAGCCTGATCCGCGACCTGCCTTTGAGTTGACTCACTGAGACCTCCAGGTACCTGACCCGATGATTTTTGCACAAAGTTGACCAAAATATTGTCCCTTCGTCGATTGATAGACACATCGACGTTCGCATATCTTGTTTACGGCGTCTCTCCCTGGGACTCCGCCTGACTGCGACTTTCGACCATTCAATGAGTCGACAGTCTTGCGCTCTGGCTCGTTCGATCTGTCAAGTTGTTGCAACGAAATACTCTAGGTTGACGTTTGGTTGAAGCGTACAAACACGGTTGGTGTCGGTGTACTATCTGAATATCTACCGCCTTGATCGATCGTTCTGTTGAACGCACAGTTCCAAGACAGTCCTACTACTTTGATTACCTTGTCTCGACCGTGGCGGTGCATCCTGCAGGCGACAGTAGCTCCAAGCAAAGCTTCAGCCTCATATTGACTGTTCGCTCTGACTGCGCTGTCCTGCATCTTAGCCCTCCGCACCGGTGAGCAGCCTGCATCTCTAGTGAATAAACCATCTATGAGCCATCTCATCCGTGCCGCTCCTCAGTCTCAAGACATCGCCCCAGGCACCCAGTACCTTAGATATGACTGGTGAAGTGTTGCCTTGAACTAAACGACGGAACTGTCCTAAGCGCATCCACCAACACCCCGTGCACTGCTTGCTACCTCGCCACTTTTCAACTTCCAACCTCCAACCTTCGGATTCATGAACAGCTTAGACAACATCTCTCTCCCCCCGATCTTTGACGGCGAAGACTTTGACTCAGAAGACGAAGAACGACTACGCGCTCGGCAAGAATTCTTCTGCCAGCTTGGTCTCCTCAACGCAAAGAACCGTCTCGAGTTGAAGAAGCGCAGGATGGCCGCCGCACGAGATGCCTCCTCCGACTCGGAGGTCGAGGAGGTGACTAACGGGGTCAAGAAGGGGAAGATGGACGTGACTCCTGCCGACAGTACGCCGCAGGAGCTGGTGAAGCTTGATCCGTGAGTATCCCCTTCGTTTTAGTTGGGGAGACGAGGGCGAAAGCTGACTTCACATGCAGAGCGGAGGTGGGTATGACTGTCGGCCTCAAGTATCTCTACTCCGGTAAGTACACCGCCTAAGGCTATCAAGCTGTTCTCCTGCACGCCACTGCCAGTGACCGCAGTACAGTCGCTGTGCCACCCCTGTGCAGCAGTTTGCCCCGCCGGGAACAGTCGCTGACAGTACCCACAGGCAAAGAAGACAAGCGCGGCCGCTTCCAGTGGGAGTCGAAGATCCCAGAAGACCTAGGCCAGCCCGCAGAGGACGCCGAGACCCAGAAGCTCTCCATCATCGTGCGCAAGGTCAAGGTGTGGAATGACCCAACGAAAGTCCTCACCCTCCACTCCGTCGTCATCCAGAGCCCGCTGCTCAAAGACCTGCTCAAGGAAGTGCTGGCTGGCTACCCAGGAGTCACCGTCAACCTCAAGCGCCTGGAGTTCTCCGGGAGGTTTGAACCGCTCATCCACCGCTATCAAGAACTCAACCAGGCTTTGGTCAAGTTGCGCCTCGGAGATGAAGCTGAAGCAAAGACCAAAGCCGAGCATGCCGAGCTCCTGCAGAAGCTGCTGGAAGAGGAGTTCAAAGACACCATTGATGCGTCGATGGACCTGAAAAGCCAAGGCGTCATGACCTACGAGCACCTCTGGACCCTCTTCCAACCCGGTTCACTTGTGTACAGCAAGCAGCAAGGCCAAGACCGCATCTTCAAGCTCATGTCGTCGCGATATGGCCAGGATCGCAACATGAATCCGTGTTTCTGGCTGACGTGCCAGTACGTTGATTACGATGGGACGCGCTTTGGGACGCAGAAGTTGAATGTCAAGATCGCGGCGTATGATGGGACCAAGTCGATCAACAGCTTTCAGAGCTATCCGCTTGAGTACCACAACAGCAAGGAGGACCTCAAGGCGAAGCTCATCGAGCGTGGTGGCAAGGTTGAGAGCTTTGCTGGATGCCATTACCGGGCGTACCACGGAGTTGGGTGGAGGACTGACAGCATGGGAAATAGAGACTCGCAGTTTGTCAAAGGCCGTGTGGTGATCGATGTGAGTGATCTTGCAAGTCCTGCAGGTTTGGTGCGTGCTAACAAGCAAAACAGACTTACGGCTGGAACCGCTTCAACCCAAACTACAGCATCTTCGTCCAGCCGCTGCATGTCAAGGAGACAAGAGCGGTCAGTGGGCTCGGTGGTCTTGCGTCAGGCGAGGACGAATATGAGAGCGACTACGATGACTACGACGACGACAACGACGGCATGCCCTTGGACGGCCTGTTCGCGGACGAAGAGGACGAGGAGACGAAGCAGAAGAACAAGTTGAACGACGAGCACAAGATGATGTGCACGCCACTCGTCCGCGGGTATGCGTTCAAGGAGAAGATGTGGCTGAACTTCTTCGTGAACGCCGTCCAGGACATCAGCTTCAACGAGTCCGCCTTCGACAGCCTCGTCCTCCCCAGCAACAAGAAAGAGCTCATCCACGGCTTCATCGAAACCCACCAGAACCACATGACGCAGTTCGACGACGTGATCCAAGGCAAAGGCCGCGGCATCATCCTGCTCCTCTGTGGCCCTCCAGGCGTCGGCAAGACTCTCACCGCCGAATCCGTCGCCGAAGAGATGAAAGTGCCGCTGTATCAGATGTCCGCCGGCGATCTCGGGCTCGATCCTAGACATGTCGAGAGCAAGCTCCAAGGGGTGCTCGATATGTGCACGCGCTGGAACGCTCTGCTTCTGCTCGACGAGGCGGATGTGTTTCTGGAAGAGCGCTCGTTGCATGAGTTGGAGCGGAATAAGCTCGTGAGCATCTTCTTGCGGGTGCTGGAGTATTATGAAGGGATTATGTTCTTGACGACGAATCGGGTGCAGACTTTCGACCAAGCCTTCCAGTCGAGGATTCACATCAGCCTGGAGTACAAGGAGCTCGACCTCCCCAGCAGGAAGTCGGTATGGCTTGCCTTCCTCAAGCAGCACAACATCGCGCAAGCAGCCGCGCGCGAGAGACCGCCGAAGGTGACAGCGTCCGCCGCGAAGTCCCAGGATAAGTCGAAGGCTAAAGGAGAAGCCAGTCCACAGGACGAGGAGACCGTCAAGCAGCAGCATTTGGCTCGTACGCTCCCGCATACCATGGAAGAGAGCGATGTCAACAAGCTCGCGCGTCTGCAGATGAACGGCCGGCAGATCAAAAATATTCTGAAGGCGGCGCAGATGCTGGCGACGAGGAAGGGGGAAGGGTTGGGGTTTGCGCACGTGGAGATGGTGATGGATGTTACGCAGCATTTGCACCAGACTACGCTGGAGAGTGAGAGGGCGAGGGCGAGTTTCTTTACTTGAGGGGGAGGAGATGATGAGGAGAACGATGTGAAGATTTGAAGATTGCATGGATGGGAACGAATTGAAGACTGCAATGATGGCGTTGAAGGGATCAGAATGAAAGTGTTGCATAGCGGGAGCGGTGTAGCGTGTTGATGGGTTTTTTGATGAGCATGGAACGTACTTGCTTTCGGTAGTAAATCGTCTGCGCCTTTCATAGCATACGGTAGCGTAACAAAATGAAGTTGTTGTCGACAGATGGAAGGCAGAACGTGACGCGTTGACTGACTGTCAGCTTCAACTTCACCTCGGCTCGGCCAGACTCCGCTCGCCTTGCCGACGACACTTCGGCTGGATACATTCGTTGGAGGCCATCTATACCGCGAGTGCCATTGATTACCTAGATGCTATGCTAAGACTGAGATGCTCTAACAGTATCCTGAACACCACCAGAACATACCTTAGCGCCACTCTGGCCTTGCAACCCTCCATGAAGCCCCAGTACACGACAGCCACCTACTCAGCCGACGAGGAAACCAAGAAACAAACAGAATCCAACGGCTTCCCTGCCATGGCTCCCAAAAAGACCCCCGCCGTCCCTCGTCCCAGCGCCAGCGTCCTCGTCATCTCCCCCAACAACCAGGTCCTCCTGCTCCAACGCGTGAAAAAGGCTTCCTCCTTCCCCTCAGCCCACGTCTTCCCCGGTGGCAACGTCAGCGAACCCCACGACGGTCGGGTCCCAGCTCCAGACGCCCCGGACCGCCACGTCGACAGCAAGGTTTACCGCAACGCTGCGATCCGGGAGACGTTCGAGGAATCCGGCATCCTACTCGCACGCAACAACGGTTTTGGCCGACTGATCGAGGTCCCCGAAGCGGAACGCCAGGAGGGAAGGGTAGCTGTCCACTCGAACCAGACGACTTTTCCCAAATGGCTGGCGCAGAAGGGCGGACGGGCTGATGTCGATGGGCTCATTCCGTTTACACGATGGGTCACGCCGACGAATGTGCCGAAGAGATTTACCACGCAGATGTACCTTTACTTCTTGCCTACGCTGTCGTCGACACCGCTAGCGGACTCCGCTAAAGCGGATAGTGAGGAGGAGTTCAAAGTGCCGGTGCCCACGACTGATGGCGGGTTGGAGCATACTACTGCTCGCTTCCTTCCTGCGTCTGCCTGGTTGAGATTGGCGCAGGAGGGGCGGATTATTCTGTTCCCACCGCAGTTCTTCCTGCTGCATCATGTGGCGCAGCACTTCGACAATCTACAAAACCCGACAGCCTACGGTTCTATATCCCGCGACTCACTCTCCCGCGACGAGCTCGAAGCACGGCGAAAGGCGCTCGTGGAGTTCGTCAAGACCGATTCGCCGCCGTGGACGGACAAGGTGATCTCGCCGATCGTTGTGCCTGCGCGAGATGGGCAGAAGCGGGATGACAAGCGCTCGCTGTTGGGTCTGGATAAACCTGGACCAGAGCTGGCGGGGAGTGGGAGGTCGGGGGTTAAGGATCAGTGTGTGCTGGTCAATTTCCGCAAGGAGGGGCCGAGACAGTTGGCTGTGGTTTCGAGGGAGGATGCTTTGAATGCTAAGTTATAGCTGTGTAGATGTTGGAGATGGGGATGTGGATTTATGGTGTCAGCTAAACTGCATAGATATTGGATCTAAAGCGTCACCAACCGCTCCATCCTGCTCACTGATATGACCATTGCTCAGCTCATTGACGCCATCATCCGTGCGAGAAGTGTAGCTTGGTGGACGCCAGATCATCGCTTCTGCCGGATGACCTGGAAGCGGCTCGGTCTGCCCTGGGATCTCATACACATTTTCTCTGTATGTTCCACCAGGCACACAGTAGTCTTCCCAGAAGATGCCTCGTCTCCTCAGCTCCGGTACCAGTAGCTCAATAACGTCTGTAAAAGTCTGCGGCATGATTGCATAGGCCTGTGGAGGTCAGCTGAATGCTCCTTGATAGGTGTGAGACAAGGGATGCCACTCACGATGTTGAACCCGTCCACATCTCCCTCCTCAACCCATCGCTCCATCTCATCTGCCACCATCTCTGGCGTTCCTACACAAGTCGCTCCGAGACCTCCAACCATGATGTGCTCGGCGAGTGTACGCTTCGTCCACTTCCCACCATTGACATCCGGAGCATGGTTGATCAAGCCCTCAACATACGATCGCACGGCGTTGCTCTCAACATACCGCAACTCTTCGTCGTCCTTGTATGGCGCCATATCAACCCCCGTCCAGCCTCCAAACAGCGCCAAAGCGCCTTCAAAATCGCCATACTGCACATAGTCTCGATACTTCGCCTCTGCTTCCTCCTTCGTCTGGCCCAGTATTGGAGCGAACTTAGCCAGGACTTTGATCTTACTCGGATCCCTTCCAGCCTCCGCAGCAGCCTTCCGAATATCCGCAATATTCTTCTTCACAGCCACTGGACTATGCTGACTCACAAAGATCAACTCCGCATGCTTCGCAGCAAACGCCTTCCCAGCCTTACTTGTCCCCGCTTGTAGAATCACTGGTGTTCTCTGCGGCGACGGTTGGCAGAAATGCGGCCCTGGCACGTCAAAGTATTTTCCTTGATGGTTGATTTCTCGTACCAGGCCGGGGTCAGTGTAGATGCCGCTTTTGCGGTTGAGACGCACGGCGTCGGAGCGCCAGGAGCTGTTCCAGAGTTTGTAGACGACGGACATGTATTCTTCGCACATGGCGTAGCGTTCGTCGTGGCTGCCTTGGGAGGCGCCGTTGGAGAGGTTGCGGGCGGCGGAGTCGAGGTAGCCGGTTACTACGTTCCAGCCGACGCTGTCTGTTCGTTAGTGGAGGGCGGCGATGCATCTCGAGAAAGCAGTACAGGACTTACCGACCTCCCGTCAGATGGTCAAGGGTGCTCATCCGTCTCGCCAAATGGTATGGTTGCTCGTAACTCGTTGAAATCGTGACGCCGAAGCCTATGCTCTTCGTGGCGGCCGCCATGGCTGGTATTACGGCGGCAGGCTCATTGACCGGCCATTGAGCGCCTGACTTGATGGCATGTTTCAGATTCCGTGGTCCGTCGTAGACATCGTAGCCTCCTAAGACGTCGGCAATGAACATTCCATGAAAGTGGCCTTCCTCCAGTAATTGGGCCAGCTTGATCCAGTGCTGGACTGTATTGAATTCTGAGGACCGGTCATCCGGATGTCGCCAGAGGCCTGGACTTTGGTGGCCGGAGCCTGTTGGAGTCAATCATGAAGTCCTACAGGAAGGGGTGATTCTTCAAGGCATACGAACACATTTCCACGAAGGCATTGAGGATTAGCCGTTTCTTCGGCTTCTCGTCGTTGACCGCAGCGGTACCATTCATTGCGACCATGATGGGCCGACAGCATGCTAATCTGTCTCTTCCGTCCAAGTTTGATACTAGTTGGGGGAGACAAATACATCTATTTGGAAGAGGAGCATAACCTGTCGCTGAACAGCGACGTCGGGAACGTTGATCCCGAGGGTGAAGCGAGCACGTCATGATCCTTGCAAGTATGTCTTCGATACGTCTTGGAATAACAGCAATACCATGGGAGAGAAGGGAAGAAGAGGACATTGTAAATGATGCACTGTTTGTGTCGAGAGATACATAACGCCTGTGGGCATTCCAACGCTTTTATGGTATCACAATACGCCCAAAACACCTCCCAGCTGCTTGCCCTGTCGGATCCTCCCAGAGCAGCCATCCTCCCATCCCCCAGGTCCCCCATGCTCATCATCCCTCTTTCTCCCTCATAGAGCCAGCCCGTATCGAAAGCACCGCCCTAGCACAATAGCTCCAGGACTCTTTACGTCACTTCTTCTCCTCCTGGTTCTTCGCGGCATAGATGTAGCCCGTCCGCGCAGTCTCGTACGCCTCATCCTTGCCACGCCCCTGCTTCTCCATCTCTCTAACAAGCGGCAGCACGTTGCGGCCAAACTCTTCGATCTCCTCTTCATAGTGGAGGAAGGCTACGAGGATAATGTCGACGCCGAGGGATTTGAGCATGCCTGGGTCGTGTCAGTATGCGCTCTTGCTTGTCAGTGAGAGTGGAGGTGAAGAATTACAGATACGCTCCGCAATCTGATACTTCGTCCCAATAAGCTTCGTCTTGAAGCCATCATTATATTGCACCAAATCTTCCATCTTTGAGTTCGCCCACATGCCCGACTTATTCGCCGTCGAGCTACCAGCATTCTGCACCTGCTGTCTGAAGCCCTCTACTGCCTCCAGATCAGCCTTGCCCTGGATCTCCTGCAACACGCGAATGGCTTCGTCTTCCGTCTCTCGACAGATCACAAACGCGTTCAAAGCGAAGCCGACCTTCCCAGCGCGGCCATTGTTGACCGCCTTCTCCTTGACACCAGCGATCTGCTTCTGGAACCCTTCAAGCGTGTTACCGTTCATGAAGTAGTAATCGCTAACAGCACCAGCGTTCTCCTGGGCGTCATTGCTGTTGCCCCCTTGGAAGATCTCCGGGTGGCCGCATGGCCTGCTGTCGAGGTTGAGTGGCTTAGGCTTGAGCGGGTAGTCGTGGAATTGGTAGAAGTCGCCTTTGTATGTGAATTTGTCCTCGGTCCAGATGCCTTTTAGACATTCGATAAATTCCCGACTGCGGCGGTAGCGTTCGGCGTGGTCGAGCCACCATTGGCCGATGGACGTGAACTGCGTTCGTCAGTATGTCGATATCTGAGTGTATGGAATACCACTCACCTCAAGCTTAAACCACCCAGACACCACGTTGACGCTGACACGCCCGTTGCCTTTAAAAATTAGGTGAAAGACGTCAGCATGTTATCCCGCGTAGGGCAAAGATAGCGCAGAACTGGCTTCTATGGCCTAGACCGGCAGGTAGGCTTGCTAGGCTGAGATAACCTTTAAGGGGCATCTCAGCTAGTAGGCGCTCAAGCTCCTTCGAGTCTAAGACATAGGAGTGACATGTTCCACCTAATATTTACTTACAGTAGTTGTCGATGGATGCAATCATCTTGGCTGCGACTGCAGGATTCCAAGGTCCTGGAAGCAGGGCAGCAATGACCTTCAGCCTTTTCGTGCTCATGAGAAGTGCCTGAGACAGCGAGACAGGCTCATGTTGATTCTCAGCACCGTAGCCAGCCATAAAGCGGATCTGCGACAATGCGTATTCGAATCCCCATCGCTCTGCCGTCTGGGCGTACCGCTCGTTGGCATGTAAGTCCCACCCAGTACGCTGGGGGATTTTGCTGATGACAAGGCCGCCGGAGACATTGGGCACCCAGTAGGCGAATTTGACTCTGTCGGGATCGGAGTTGATCATGTCGTGGTAGCTCATGTCGTCTGTCTCAGCGACACTGCCGAAGCCATTGACCGGCATCTCTGTCTTCGGCGAGCTGACTGCTTCGGCGCCTACTGGCACGACGATGCGCTTACCACCGATCTTGCCAGACCGCAGTCGATCGAGGGCGGTGTTAACACCCGCAAGACCGCCATCTGCGACCTCCACCTCGGGCAGCTTGAGGCTCTTGGCGACAAGAAGTTCCTCGAGCCATTGGGATAGCTGCTCGCCCACATTTGGGTCTTCATGGAAAATCTTGATCGGTACAGCATGCTGAATGACACCATTTGGTGCATCCTTAGGTAAACCACTCAGTCCAAGGATGTGGGACTTGCCGCCAGTGTTCGTGCTCGCCAACGCTTCTTGCAGATATTCAGCGGTCTCCTTGCCAGCTGTGTCGATGCCGAATCGCAGCTTGTTGCCAGTCACAGCCCGCAAAATTTCAATCGCACGCTTCGTATCATAGCGGTCAACCATGAAATCCGCGCCAAGATCGCTGAGTCTCTGTCCGTTCCTAGCCAAATCTGCCACGCAAGCCACCTTCAGGCCCGCGAACTTCGCAAGTTGCAGGGTGAGTTGACCAGTCATGCTACTCGCACCCCAGATGGCGATCCATTCACCTGGCTTTGGCCGCTCGGATTTGGAGATGCCGCCGAATATCTCGTCTCGGATGTCCTCCGGTACGTGCCTCGGATCGAGGCTGCGTGCAAGACGAAGAAGATCTGGACCTGCAGCAGCCTCACGCAGCAGCGTGAAGTCCACACCAAAGCTGATACCGAGAGAAATGGCAGCCGCGATGAACGCCACACCCAGTGCGGCACCCTCCTTGACATCGACGCCATGAGGAATGCGAGCAACGTTGTAGTCTGACGTTACCAGATATTCCTGGTAGGCTGCTTTCCTGACGTCTCGATAATCCGTACTAGGTCCAAATACGACATCGCCTTGCTGGATTCTGCTCGGCTTGCGTGGTGACTTGACAACGATGCCGGCAAAGTCTCTGCCATTCACCCATGGGTAGCTTGGTTGACCAAAGCCGTAGTCAGCTCCCTTCCAGTCAACTGGGTTGAGGCCAATGGCGAGGACTTGAACCAGGACTTCATCGTCTCCACGAAGCTCCGGGATGTCCTTGGCTTTCTCCAGCGAGTACTTCTGGCGTGGGCCGTGTAGAAGCAAGACGTCTTGTTGCGGGCTTGAGAGGCGTAGGAACTCGTCGTCAGAAGAGCGGTGGCTGACCCCGTTGGTAGATCCGTTCGTATCGCCATCAGTATAGCCATTCGAGTATCCGTTGATCTTGGACGAAGCTCCATAAGCTGCCTTCTCGTCGTTGCCGCCGTTTCTGCCAGCTCCGTTGGCGCCATTGAGTGTGCGGTATGGCGGCGGACTCTGCTCCTTCGACCGTCTCCCACAGTCCTGGTCAGGACGCAGGCTCACGAAGGGAGAGTGCTTGAAGACTGACGGCATGATGAAGATCCTTGTGACTTCAACAAACGAAAGCAGAACCGACAGAGTGGCACCGAAGGTGAAAAGGGCAGGTAGACTGGGATCGAGAATACACCACAAACCGAAGCTCAGAAGGTCATGCATGAGCGAGAGACGAAGTCTTCTTCCCGAATGCTCTCATCATAATGGACGCAAATTGCGTAGCCGCTAGGGCGAAAGGCTTGAGAAAGGCTATACTGCAGCCTCGTTTGTCGTTTGCAAGAGTCCTGATCGATGACGTTCCATTGGTCTGCGGGCACTTTGCAGTGTGCTTTTTTGCTGGAGCTTGGAGTTCATCCTTGCGGAAAAGAGTCTTTCTTGGGGGATGGCGTGCTTGCCCCGCCTTCTGGTTTTACCGATGCCCCAGATGACGGGATGATCATGTGGAGAGCATCAGAGTCTGCATCGTCTGCGTCCACAGCGTCGAGAAGACTGGGAAGACTGGGTCTTGCAGTGCATTCGACCAATGTGCTGTTAGCGAGACGGAAGGCCATCCGAGTCCAATTGCTTGTTGATAGAAAGGCGGTATAGACAGAGCTCTGGCAAGCATACCATCGCTAGTATCTTGAGCCAACATCAACACATCGCTCCAGCACAAGGCAACGAGGAGGAAGACGAAGAATGGGTCCGAAGGCAACGTGCTTGACCCTAAAATGGCGAGCGAAGTGTGAAGTCGCCGACCAATATGCTCAGGTCTCCGAGAGCCTCGAGCCCTAGCGTTCACCCGGAGTGGTTCCAGCATGGCGCTGACAAGGTAAGACATTTTGTCGTGGAGCTGCCATAGCAGTCATCCAAGGAGAATTCGGGTTGTGCTGTCGACGCTGATACCTATAAGTTCGTGCTGGGGTGCCGTACTCAGGTCGATCGGGATGGAAACAGCCTGATTGCAATCCTTCGAATGCAATTACAGAATGAAGACTAATCTTCCTGTTTCCATAATGTCGAATGGACACGAGTCTTCTCCACCAAGGCAAACACCTTGGATGCCTTCGATGTCAATGCTAGAGACACCAAAATGACAGGATATAGCACTCCAGGTCGAGCGTGGCCTGACACCACTTCTCGTCTCCTTGGGTGCGATCATTGTGCTGATCGACGGCCTGAATACGAAGAGTGCTGAAGTCGTTGCGTTGTCCGATGAAAATAATGGGAGATGCTTGAGTCTTCTTCCTGGTGCATCAGGTAATGTCGGCCCGGCAGATCATCACAAGCCGTGAGACGGAAGTTCTCGCAAACAGAAAGAGCCCAACGACGAGAGTAGTGTGGAATCATTAGAGCAATGAGATCTGCGCTAATAGGCACTGCTTCGTTCGTACTGACAGAATAATCAACGAACATCCTTTTCCATACCAGCCCCAGACCCTTCTCCAACCCGCGCAAGGATCGACAAACTCTAACTCCACGCGCGTCTAAATTTAGGCCTTCCATCTCGTGGTGGCTCGTGTCGAAGAAGGGGACCGCGGTTGAAACCGAATGATTATTGCGACTGCACCAAGCGTCTCCGGGCCCGTGTCTCAGACCTGGGCACAAGAGATTGTGAGGTGGATGACGTCGTGGTACACGCTCTTCGTCGAGGTTGCACATGCACAGTACGAGCACGCCGGGCTGCATGCATGGCTGAAGGTGGCGCCCCTTCCTGAATCGACTTCGTGACACCACCACCACGATTCGGCTGGAGTAGGGTTTGCTTGCGAGCAGTTAGATGCAGGAAGAGTGGGGAATGATTTGAGCGGCCTTATGTGGAAGGAATACGTTGCGGAGTGGAGTATACATATCGACAACGGACGGCCAGACTGCAGCATTGCCTCTGATGCGAAGACTTGATCGTTTCCGGCGACCCTGGGGGATACGGCCATGTCTCGGTCAACATCCTCGTCGGAAGCCTCAGTAGCGCGGCGCAGTAGCGGGCATGACGGCATACGGAACAACACATATGAACGCGTCCAAGAGAACGAAAACCGAAGCATGAACCAGAGATTTGAGATGGATGGGACAAGCTCACGCAGCAAGGAGAATAGGCTCCTGAGTAAGAGAGGAAGACGCAGTGTCAGTCCAGACACAGTACCATCAGTCGGGAGCGGCACGGAGCAACGGTCACCCAAGCTTGGGCAGGAGGAGGATTTTAGTGAAGACGAGATGCACAGGAGGAATGACAGTACAGACCCACAACCTCCGAGATATTATGGCGAGAAGGATGTCAGCGATGTCGAAGAAGACAGCGACGATTCTTTGTATGGCGATGGAAGATCTGGCCCTCGTCGGAGCAAATCTATTCATTCAGAGGATGCGGCTTCAATGAACGGCTCGCTAGGGCCTGAAGACGAATCATTACAGTCGCAAATTGGCGGGAGACGTCCGGACAGCCCACGGCAGCTCAAGACCGACAGTGCAGGCGGCGCGAATGGCTTCTCATCCCGTATACAGGCGGACGACCTTTTCTCCTCGAGCGCAGCCATTCCACAGCAACCTTCCAGCCCGGAAGGGCGGACAACTCCGAGAACATCCCCACGAGTCGGCTCAGAGCGAAACATCAATGGCTACAGCGCACCTTGCGACGAAGCACGAGACGTTGTAACACCGATGCAGTATGCCATGGACGCCGGAGGCGAGTCGTCCCCGCCACCTTCCTCTTCGCCACCGGCATACGGTAGGACCACACCAACAATGAACGGCCATTACCGTCAGGGGTCGATGATGAAAGGCACTCCGCCTTCACGAGCTGCTTCTCGCAGATCTCAACATGTGACACCGTTGAGGGACAGAGTTCGGTATAGCTGGCAGTCTGTCCCCGACGAAGAGCCAAACCGACCTCGTATCCACATCATCAAGCTCATCTCCAATACCGCGACGGCTAGTGCCGGCTTCCCGCAAGGCGAGGCACTAGGGTTTTCAATGTCTCCAGGCGGCCGTCGTCTGGCGGCGTACAACAGTGCTCGACTATACATCCTACAAACGGCTGCATTACCTATAGGCGTCAGCCAGGACTTTGCACTCAAACGTCGACCCTTGGCGGTGGAAATTGTCGATGAAGGCAATGTCCTGGCGATACTTGCAGACGAGCACACAGTCAATATATACGATCTTGGCCATCAGCAATTACGGAGGATGAGAACCATCAAGACCGACTTTCCGACGAGCTGCATTGCCATCTCGCCAACCGGCGGTTTGCTGGCAGCAGCTTACGAAGGCGGCGTGGAGATCTTCAGTCTGGCTCAAGGGTCGCTACCTACAGACCGTAGAGCTGTACGTTGTCCAAAGATGGATAAACTGAGCTTCTCCGAGGATAGCTCAACCCTGCTCGGCACTACTGTTCGCATCAACGTGTCATCCACAATGGCTGTGTCGGTACCAGTGTTCCCGAGCTCGTCTGTTCCGACCCATGAAGAGCTGAAAGAAGCCTGGTGCTCGGAGCTGTTACACCCAGAGAATATTCGCAACTCGAGCCATGCCGTCTTCATGCGGGAGAATCGAGAGGTCTGCAACGACAGGCTGTTTTCATGGAATGGATTGGAGGATACATTTGGCATTCTCAACGTCAACGATATGCAGTACGGAGCGACCGAGTTTCCGGTTGTCATCTCGCCTCCGCTGTCTACCTGTGGCGGTTTGGGAGCGGCAATACACAGTGCGCCTGCTTTAGATGAGCGCGGAGATACAGTTGCTATGATTGTGAACGACCGGACGATCAGGCTCTACATCGTCCCACACAGGTCGCACAACGACGATTCCACTGTCGAGGCCCATAGTATCGACCACGAACTGGATGAAGGTTATGGATGCCCTTTCTCCGAGGTGAAGTGGGTGTACAGCTCGACCTCGTTACCTGCACCAACGAACAGTCAGAATCCTGTCCAGGGTCGCCTCGTGGTTACGAGTCCCGGCGGCATCAATGATCAGGGCCTCAACGAAGAGCCTGTTGATGACATCGAAGGCGGACGAATCATCTTGTTTGACTTTGACCCCCAATTCGCCGGTCAAGCAGGTCAGACGTTCAGCTTGACGATGGGTAAGAGTCAGCCTCAGCTTCTCGAAGAGCCGCCGCTTGATGTTGCGGAAGAAGTGGCGCTCGTGCGACGGAGGACGGTCAACCAGAACAGAGGAGGCGGCCTGAGCACACGGCCAGTCACCCTGGGCCGAACTGCTTCGACCTTCAGCAGGCGCAATGACCGATCCTCGAGGTCCGGCACACCAAATACAAGACCCATCAGGGCCAGCATGCTTTCAATGCAGAGCGAAGCGTCGCGGTCTCTACCTGATCTGATGGAGTCGGGCGAGGCGCTTGATACATTCGAGGAGCCCTATGCCCAGGGAGCGCCGAGGTCTCATGCTTCGTTACAACGAGCTGCGAGCAATGCACAGCGACATCGTTTCCAGACATTGGAGGAAAGGAACCAGGAACTCATCAGCGTCGACGCTTCAGGAGGCTTCTTAGCTCTACCGGAATACACCGAAGAGCCCAACGCACCTCTCCCGAGCCGGTTCCGAGCATTGGCAGGTCTCGATACTCCAGCCACAGCACCGGCGACTAAAGCAGCAGTGGTAACGAATACTGATGGCGACAGGCAGAGTCCGGTACCGAGCACGCCCTCTACGGCGCCAGCTGCTACTGCGGACACCTTCAGTGCAGACCAGGCGTTCCACGCTGCTACTGTGCAGACGGAGAATGATAGCGCAAGCGTTGCGCGGGACGATCCAGCTACACCACCAGCTCCTGATGAGCGCTTCAGCCCAGTCTCGAGAGCCGCAACGTTCGACTCGCTGATCCGATCAGCGACTGCGGACTCACTAAACTCTATGCCACGATCCTTGCGGCGAGCGTACGGCAATGCGCCGCCAGGCGGTGGTCCTCTGCCAAACGTAACCGGTGAGTGGGAGATACCTAACACCGGCACTGGCACGAATGCAGGCCGATCGTTCCCACCGCCACCAAGAGCCTCTACCTCAAGATCCTGCATGACATCTCCACCAGTGGATGCAGTACCGGAAGAAGATATGTGGGATCCTCCATCTCCCACCCGTCTCCCTCATTCATCCTCATCAGGCAGGCCCGCCCAATCATCAACACCCTACCGCTACTCCACCTCCCTCCTCGACCCACCCGGCCACGCTAGTCTACCTAACCTCGCTTCCCCTACTGTCTCTGACTTCGATGCTTCTAGCCCTAGCCCCACTAGCACCACCTCATCCCGCACCCGCCGCCTCCCACCACACATGCTCGCCTTCCGCACCGCCGCCCAAACGAACGCCTCTGCTTCCCTCTTCCCGCCCAACCAACGCTCCGACCACGTGCCGGTCCGCGAGCGCTCGATCAACACCGGCAGTGTCCCGCACCCCGTCACAGCCTGGCATCCTCCTGCCGCGTCTCTCGCTTCTCCACCCGCGACAGGCAGCTTCCCGGCACATTCGCGGAAGAGCTCGGTCTCGAATCGAAGTGCGTTCGCCAGTACAGCCAAGGCAAAGAAATTGGGTTTCTTCCGCACGGGAACAAAGAAGAGGAAAAATGATCGAATGCTGGGGCCCGAATTTTTGCCGCAGCGTGGAGGAAGAAATGGGAATGATAGTATGGCGGAGACGAAGAGTATGTTTACTACGTTTACGAAGAATGATGGGAGGTGTGTGGTTATGTAGAGGCGGAGGTGCACAGGGAGGAGGAGAGGAGAGCCAATGTGCGTGAGATGCCGCTTGCGAGTGGCTGAAAGGGAATTGGTCTGTTGATGGCAGCGTTGCAACGAGCGAGCGAGCGAGCGTACGCGCGGTGGGGTTTGCTTTGTTGATATTGTGTGAGATACCCTTGCGTGTGGAAATGTAGATGTGTAGCTAGGATGTGTGTTTGGAGTATATTTATGGTGTCAATCGGTTAGACGGACGTCTTCGTCCCAACTCTATCGTGTCTATACCCAAGCTATACATGATAGAGTCTATGCTTTCTTCAGTTTCTCCCGCTCCTCCACCACAAAGACCTCCCACACCGCCAGCCCAGATCCAACTAACCCCATCCCAATCACCACCAAGTCGAAGATATGCACACCCCACCAAATATGCTGTATCCCAAACGGACAGCTGCTATATTCGAATTTCCACCTCGCCTCTTCTTTATCCCACCATCCACTCAAGAACCCTGTGTTCCCGTAAAACGAACCCATCATACTTCTCACCGTAATCTCTCTGATCCCCGTCAACACCTCGTTCTGGCGCTCTTCTTCCGCAGCATTGAAGTGCTTCGCCTCCCACGGCCCTTCCCCGGGCTGGCCGGGGTGAAAGTGGTAAGTATCGCATCCCTCGTGATCATGTCCATTCAGCACAATAGCACTCTGGTGGCTCCCGTGCGCTGTGAGGCCATTGAGGAGGTAGTCCGAAGAGCCTTTGAGCAGAAAGTTCTGCTCCTTAATCCCGCCACCTTGATCGTCGGGAAACCAGTCAAAGAATTCCGAGTCGACGCAGACGCCGTCTGGCTTGTGAAGAGGGATGTGTGTGAGGAGGATGGTAGCGGTGTTGGGATTGGAGCTGGGGTGGAACAGTGTGCTTTCGGCGAAGTCGCGGGATTGCTGCTGAAGGGCCTCGTTGTAGGCTGGCGAGTCAAGGTTCATTGTGTTGAGGATGACGAGGTGAAGCTCGGGATCCTGAGGTGTAAGAGTCTGGGAGCCGAATGGCATTGACTTCTCCGTCCCTGGAGATGTAGATACGTTGTCCAATCTGAAGCGGATGTCCCAGTTGACGTTGCCGTACGTCTCCTCAAACCGCTCGATGCGGTGGTCGTCGAGGTCTCCAGCATACCCAATGTCGTGGTTACCGGCTACAGCGATGATTCGTCTTTTCCAACTCTCATCCTGTCCCAGCACCTCCGCCCTCCCACTCGAATCTGTGATAGCCCTGGGTACCCTCTCAGCTCCCTTGAACACCTTCTTCCAGAAGCGGTCACTCCTCCGCTTGAACTCTTCATTCCCAATCCATTGGCTTCCCAGCAGATCTCCAAGTACTACTACGTGCGTCGGCTGCGACCACCAGAATACTGTCCGGTAGATATGCGCTAGATACAGGTCGTTGCCCCACAGATCCAACCTCTTCCTCGCTGCGTAGATGTGTCTGGGAATATCCCACAGCACCACCTCCTTCACTGCATCTTTCCACTCGAACTCGCCCACCTCCCAGTCCTTCAGCCGCCGTCCTAACTCATTGAGCCGCGGGAAGTACGGCGCATCGGGTGGGGGAAGACTGGTGTCGCCTTCTAGCTGTGGATCTCCGAATGCTAGTAGACGGAACGGCGCAGTCTCCTCTGGGATGCGTGCGCGCTCCTGGCCTGGTATGGAGCAGCCAGGTACCGCTCGCCGTACTACGGGGAATGAGCAGTCGAGAAGGGGCGCATAGAAGTAGAGGCCAAGGGTGAGGATTATGGCGGGCGGAGTGAAGAAGCGGAAGAGGGCGAGGAGGATGGTGGAGAGGCGCATCGATACATCATTTGCCTGGACAAGTTGTATGTAGAGGAATTGGGTGTGATATGGCTCGAGTATGGGAAGCAGGGATGAGGTCGGTGGTAGCGGTGGAGTTAAGAAGTAGCGCTGTCGTGCCCTTGAGGACCGCCCATCTTTCGTCTCATACCGTCTTCCTTTTTAATACAATAGTATGATCTATCTAGCTCGCGGACACGACAGAGCTGTTGAACAGGCGCCCCAGCGAGCGACCGTCTGGAAGATGGCCAACGAGGTCCCCAAGCCGTCCTGGTAATAATGCCGCAAGGACAGCCCATTGACCGAGCCCGCCGTCAACTCCGGAAAGGCACCTTCAGTTGTCTGGAGTGTAAGCGGCGGAAGAAACGATGTCGCTTTGATCACTCTTCCGCGACCATCTGCGTGTCATGTCAACGCTTTGGTACTACCTGCCGCGGTCAAGAATTCGAAGAAACGGGTAGCGAGGGCATAAATGAGCGCATCCGCCGTGTCGAGGGCCTAGTGGAGCAGCTCGAAGGCCTGGTCGAGCAGAGAGGCTGCAATGCGTTGACCTTGCCAAAGAGGCGAGGAGGCAGTAGGCCGCGTCTCACGCCTTCTACTTCGCCAGCGCCAACATCAGTCCCTCCACATCCGGGCGAAGGACTGTTGTCCAGATGCATCTCCCTGAGCAGCTACCTGCACGCCGTCCTCCCCGTACCGGCAGTAGCAGCGCAGATCATCATTCAAGGCAAATCACCCTTCACCTGGATGTGGCGCTCCGTTGGTTTCAATCCTAGTTCGGTCGCGGAACAAGCTACACAGAGTGCATGGCTGTCCCCAAATACGAACCCGGTGGTGCTGGCACGCAAGCTGGTCCAGCTGGCTTTGTGTTTGATACAGCCCAGCTTCAGCTCCTCGGAAGACGCTCCTCTTAGCATGTCCAGTAAGACGATCGAAGAGACCGCCTTGGGCTACATTCGTACTGCTCAGCAAGTCACGAACCAGGACTATTTGGTCCGCTCTGTGGATGGATTGGAGGCTCTACTACTGGAGGCTCTATATCAAATGCATATCGGCAACATGGCGGTTGGAGGTCACATCTTCCGTCGAGCTCTTGACGTTGCGCAGATCATGGGCTTCAACAGGCTTCCTGCAGACGCGGATCTCAGGGTCAGGTACCTATGGTTTCGCCTGGCCTTTGCGAATCAATGGCACGCCTTAGCCCTCGGACAGCCATCCGCTATCCGCAATGGTGGGATAGACGCGTTTGCATCTTCTTTAAGCGACAAGCCGACGCAGAGATTGGACGAGGAACATATTGGTTTGGCTGGCCGCATTATATCTCGGAACGTGAGGATGACGAAGTCTAATAACCACTGGCAGGCTCAGGAGAGCATCTCGGCGGACCACATAGAGACTGGACAGATCGATGAGCGACTTAAGCAAGCCGCTCGCTCTGTCTCACTGACTTGGTGGGCCTTGCCGGACGCACATGGCACAACGGATCTTGAAGGCATCGAAGCATCCGCGAGACTGATGACACAAATTCATCAAAATTACCTTGTGGTATTGGCTCATCAGCCATACGTCATACAAGCATTACACAACTCCTCGAATGCAGGCAGACTCATGGACAATTGTAAAACCAACGCCCTGTACAGTATCCAAGCCAGCCTCGAAGCGAGTCGAGCTATCCTCACCAGACTGACCCGCTTCCTGGAATTCCCGCACATACCAGCCTCGCTCAAAGGCCTCGAGCACAAGATTTGCTTGGCAGCTTCGACTGTACTGTTAGTCTACTTACACATACATGTGGTGGGCAACCCCGACGCATTGGAGCACCAGCGACTTTCTGATGTAAACCTTGTCCTGGAGACGGTATCGCAACTGGAGAAAGTTCAAGCAGGATACGAGGCCGATGCGGAGGGCAACGATCTCAAAACCCTGCGAGATCTCATTGGCTTGGATCAAGCGGCTGCGGATGGCGCTATCCCCACGTTCTGGAGTGAATGGTGCGGTGGTGGTCACCGCATGGGTCAGGATGGCGATGAAAGCGGCGAGGTCAGCTTGCCGTACCCCTACTTTGGAAGGATCACTATCTTCGTACGCTGGATTGCACCAGGACTAAGCTGAGAGTGGCAGCTCAATGCAATGGCGGACCAGCTGGGAGTTGTAGAAGACCAAGTTCCCATGCCCGTGCCGGGGCGATGGCCCAGCGGGGAACTACGATATCGAGCGTCATGACCTGCGCCGATTAGCATTGTGCCATTGCCACATCTTGCAATTTACAAAGCTGGAGAGGAATTTGCCAAAGTCCAACTCTGCACCATCCCGTAATGCTTCGGACAGAAGTTGGCAAAACCATTAGCACCTTGGATCAAGCACAGCTCTCGATGTCGTTGCGAGTTGCTACACTCCCCACACTGTATCCGTGGGGATGTCAAGTCGCTTGATCCGAAGGAGTGGTGTAGAAGTCGCAGCAGGGCGACGGGGCGAAGCGGAGATCGAGAGGGTAGGGCGAGCGAAAGCCATGCGCTGTGGTAAAATAGCTCGTCCAATCCAGGGCTCTCTCGTGTTTCACTGTACCGGCAGGGGCTAAGTATTTGACACTATATCTTATTAGAGGCCTACATCATACTGCCCAACCTTCTACAAACTCTCGAGCTACTCAAGCCGACCCATTCTCCAGCGGCGGCGTGCTAGCAAAAGCATACCCCGTCAAGTCCTGGATCCGTCCACCCTTGATCTCCTTCGCGAGTTGTCTGACAGCCTTCTCGTCGTCCTCACTCAACTCAACATCAAGACTCGCCAAATTCTCGTCCAGCCGATGAATCTTCGTCGTCCCCGGGATAGCAAAAACATCATCCCCCTGCTTTAGCACCCACGCCAGCGCCAACTGCGACGGAGAAACTCCCTTCTTCTTCGCCAGCTCACCGATCCGGTCGACCACGCCGAGGTTGTGCTCGAACACATCCGCCTGTAACCACGGAAGCGCTCCCCGCAAGTCGCCCGGCTTTGTCCAGTCGGCCTGTGCGCGCAGCGTGCCTGTCAACAAGCCATTGCCTAGCGGGCTGTACGCTACCGTAGCGATCCCGAGCTCGCGGCAGGTTTTCAGGACTTCGATCTTCGGGTCCTCAATGGCGAGACAAAAAGGAGAGTACTCGATCTGCATCGCCGTGACCGGATGGACCACATGCGCGCGGCGGATGGTGTCGGCGCTGCACTCGCTGAGGCCGATGTACTTGATCTTGCCTTCGTTCTTCAGCTCGACCATCACCTTCATGGTGTTTTCGATCGGTGTCTTCTTGTCCACGCGGTGGACGTAGTAGAGGTCCACGTACGGGAGTTGGAGACGGGAGAGGGATTTTTTGATGGCTTGCTTGCAGTACTCTGGGGACGAGTCGACGCTGAGGCCTTGGTGACCGCCGTCTGGATCTTGGCGGATAGCGAATTTGGTGGCGAGGAAGATGTCCTTGCGCTTGGAGGGGTTGGCGGCGAACCATTTGCCGATGAGGTCTTCGCTGTCTTTGTATTCGTCGGCTGGGGCTAGGTTAGTTGGGCAGAGACGGAATTGGGGAGGGGGCAGAGGTACCAGTGTCCCAGAACCTAAGATAAACGCAAAGAGTTAGAAGCTGCTGTGCGGAGGAGAAGACGTATCTGGGACAAGGGGACCAACCATTCACCACGGGCATACACGTCGTCGAGGAACTTGAGGCGCTCGGCGTCGGAGCCTGGAGTGCTGTACATGCCGCTCAGGACCATGAGGCCCAGGCCGAGACGGGGCACGAGAGGGCCATTCTTGCCCAAGGGCTTGGTGGCGACGGTGGAAGGCATTCTTGATGTGATTGAAAATGATGTTGAGTGCGGAGATGTTGTATCAACTTTGGACGGGCGCTTGTTGCTTCTAGGGTGACTCTGAGAAAGGACTGATATTGCTCCTACTTATACCTTGCGTGTACCGGTCTTTGGCGGTCGAGGGGAGGCTGTGCATCATCGTTCCGCCATGCGGTGTTTGGCGGCGGACGAAGATTCGGTATTCGCCTCTCCGTTCGAAAAGTTGACCATCGTCTGCAATTCACCGACCCGTCGCTGGAAGAGAACATGGCAGTACGCTGTGAAGGATCCCTTGCCAAGGTCGTTCTTAGCACCACCGCTATGTCCGCATCCAAGATCGGCCCTCTCATCTGAGCAGACGGAAGTGGGACTGGCCGGTGGAATCTGTATAACGTTGTCGCCTCGTCCGGAGAGCGGGGCTCTCACCATCCGGAAGTTATGATGCCCTTATAACTTCAGCTCTAAAGGATCGTCTGTCTGGGGTGGACCATCATGAGCAGTACCAAGAAAACTCCGTGCAGTGTTGTTTCGTTTCAAACTGGCGAACGTGCGAACCCGACATTGCCCGAAAGCTCAACTATCGCCAAAGGAATTGGTTTTGTCTTATTGCACAGCACGTGAGCACGATCCAGGTTGATGAAGACATGTCGTTGGGGTCGAGGAAGAACGAAGATGAGGCTCTGCGGGTGGGGCTTCGGGTTGCCTCGTCGACAGACGGACGGACCCGCTAGACGAAACCTTGCTAACCTTAAACAAACGAAAGCGCGATACGGCCAACGTCGAGCTCGAAAGTGCGCGTGTCCATTCGGTCGCTCTTTTCAAGCAGTCCTTCGTTGGCGCTGTAACACAGCATCTTGGTCACTTCGAAATAACGCTCATGGTTTTACAACAGTTCAGCAAGCACAGAGATCACAACATCAGCTTTCACCACAAACATCAACCATAAACAAGCAACAGCATGGCCGCTGGCATAACCGACGGCGCGTCCAGCATCAATGTCACAGTTCGAGTACGACCATTTACGATACGAGAGGCGGCACAACTTACCAAGAGCGAAGATGGGCCGTTGTTCTTGGGAGATGGGTCGCTGGCGGCCCTCCCATCAGCGCCGAAGCTGGGACAGAAAGGGCTGCGGAGTGTGATCAAGGTGATGGATGAGAAGTGCTTGTAAGAGTTTGACAACTTCTGAGAGAGCTTGGGGCAGTAGCTAATGAGCTTGATACAGAGTCTTCGACCCGCCCGAAGACAATCCCGTGCAGCGATTCAGCCGAACATTCAACCCCGGCGGCAAGCGAACGAAGGACCAGACATTCGCCTTCGACAAGGTCTTTGACGAGAACACCACACAAGGCGATGTATACGAGGCGACCACGAAGAACCTGCTCGACTCGGTATTGGACGGCTACAATGCTACAGTCTTCGCATACGGTGCAACAGGATGCGGCAAGACACACACAATCACCGGCACTGCGCAACAACCTGGCATAATCTTCATGACCATGCAGGAGCTGTTCGAAAAGGTCGACGACCTGCAATCAGAGAAGGAGAGCGAAATAACACTTTCCTACCTTGAGATTTACAACGAGACGATCCGCGATCTGCTCAACCCCAACACAAACCCGAAGCAGGGCCTGATGCTGCGCGAGGACGCAAACCAAGCAGTATCAGTCGCTGGACTGTCATCACACAAGCCGCAGAGCGTGCAAGAAGTCATGGATATGGTTATTCGAGGGAATGCTATGCGCACACAATCGCCAACCGAAGCCAATGCTACTTCTTCTCGCTCGCATGCTGTGCTGCAGATCAATGTCAGCTTAAAAGACCGCAATGCTTCAACGATGGAGCCAGTGACGATGGCTACACTTTCCATCATCGATCTGGCAGGCTCCGAGCGCGCATCAGCCACGAAGAACCGTGGTGAGCGTCTGCTTGAAGGCGCCAATATCAACAAATCTCTTCTGGCTCTTGGATCCTGCATCAACGCTCTCTGCGACCCGCGCAAGAAGAATCATGTCCCATACCGAAACTCCAAACTCACACGATTGCTGAAGTTCAGTTTGGGTGGCAACTGTCGCACAGTTATGATTGTGTGCGTCAGTCCGAGCAGCCAGCACTTCGATGAGACACAGAACACGCTTCGCTACGCCAACCGCGCCAAGAACATCCAAACGAAGAGCGTGCGCAATGTCTACAACGTCGACCGCCATGTCAAAGACTACCTCAAGAAGATCGATGAGCAGATGAACCGTATCAACGAGCTCACAGCGCAGCAAAAGCAGTACGAGGAGATGGCGTGGGTGAAGTTCCGCAAGGCAGAAACGAAGCGGAGAGAGCTTGCGCATGATGGTGTTGCGAGGATACGAGCGGCTTATGATCATTCGGCTGAAGAGCGGAGGGAGCGCATTGCGAACCTCAAGCGGCTGCGGCAGGTGGAGAGAAGGATCGGTGCTATCAGCGGCTGGGTTGGAGCTTTCGACCAGGTCTGCGAGACGAGAGATGACGAGGAGCCACCTGCTTCGCTTGTATCGATGCGGAAGACAGCGCAGGGCATCCTGGTGGAGTTGGAGGGTAGTCGGCAGCATTTCCACCAGCGACTGTCGAAGAACAACTGGACACGAGCACTGGACACTGCGTTACAAGATGGCTTGCGGCAGCTGCAGAGTCTTGACGGGGCAACGGCTGATGGTGCTGAGGAAACAAATCTCAAGAAAGAAGTGGAGTTGTTGAAAGGCCGAGCAGATCTCGAAGCGCATCTGTCTGTTCTGGAGCAGGAGAAGGCTGGCGAGGCTGGGCTGATGCAAGTCATGCTTACTGCGCAGTTCGAAACCATTGCCATCCTCAACCAGATCTTACAGATGAGTGAGGAAGAGGCGATCCAAGCTGCTCGAAATGTCTTGGGCAAGCTCCTCACTTCCTGCACAGAAGCGACGAGCCAAGTCATCAAGCCAGATGGAGGACTTCAAATCACCGAAGCAGTTCCTCCTACTCGTGGCGGTACTCCAAGGAAGCGAAAGCAAGTGCCTCTGATGGGACCAAGCCCACTCAAGAACAAGATCCGGCCTTCCCCATCGTTCCCAGCGGCTTCAGCAATACCACCACACATGTCATCCGAGCTTCAGCCTTCACCGCGCATGCTTTCCAGCCCCGTACGAGCGAACTCATCTCCTAGGCGGAGAGTCAAGCTCGGTGGCGCCCGAAAGGGTGTTGCATTTACCGGCACTCCAAAGAAGAAGTCTCCCACCAAGAAGCGGGCTGTACGTTGGCGAGACGATACGGATGATGGCGCGCTGGTAGAGTTTCAGGCTACGCCGAAGGCATTCGACAGCACGCCTGATGGGGAGAGCAACAACAGCTTCAACAGCACCGATCTCCCGTCTGCTCCTCCAACGTTCTCAGCGAGCCTCGAAGGCGAGCAGGGCTCCTCACCGATTCCTGCGCCACCCGTAGTGAGCAGTGATGTTCGTAAGATGAATACTACTGGCTCGGGACGCTTCGCAGCAGGCTTTCTGTCAAAGAAAGGAGATGGCTCACCACAATCTCTCGGCCCGCCGCCAGCATCACGCTACAACAACTTCTCCAGCGAAGACGAGAGCAGCCCTTTGCGAGAGATGTCTGCCAATAGCGCTCCACGCCCCGGCAACACCGCTCCTCCACCCACCACTACCCTCCGAAACAACACATCAGCAGACCAGGACACCGCCTCCGTCACCTCCAACTCCGACGCCGAAGGCAGTGGCAGCGGCAAAACTTTCCCCCACTCCAAAGAAGACGCCGCCTCCCTCCGCTCCGCCATGAGACTCTCCCGCACCTCCTCCCAGTCTTCCAAATCGCGCACCTCCAACACTTCCCGCGAGAGCGTCCACCGTCGTCGCTCTCCCACCGCAACGTCGCCTCCTCCTGAGTCGAATTTCTCAGCTTCTCATGCGCGAAGGATGGTGAAGTCCGAACGCGAGGATGCGCTAAGGTCAGTTCTGAGTCCAAGGACGGCGCCGGTTAGTAAAGGCCAGGGACCGGTTGGGGTCAGGCGGAGTATGGTGGAGGGGAGTATGGGACGGGAGAAGGAGGGGCCGCCGGCAGGGAAGGGACATGTGAGGCAGAGTTCTGTTGTGCCTGGGAGTGCATCGAGGGTGGGTGGGGGTGGGAGTAAGGCTGCTTGGAGATAGAGTGGATGTGATGGACGTGGGAGTTGGACGAAGAGTACTTGGGAAACAGTGGGTTTCTGGGTTGGGTAGGTGGTTGATTGGCGTTTGGGCTACGGTGGGCTGGGAAGCATGAAAGCGTATAGCGGGTATGCATATGGCGTGGTCACGTTCTTTCGCAGTGTATGATGAAAGTTCTTCTACAACACAACTACCTTTCTCTGCTGCAATCAACCTCACCGTCGCAATCCGCATCCTTCCCCAACTGCACGATCTGCTGACGATGATGGATGAAGGCCTGTTGAACGTACTAAATTGAGGGACGGCTGAGATCATGAACCGTGTGAAAAGCGTGAAACAAATGTTGGGTGAACCAATTTGTATTGTGTTATTTCTCTACAACTGCAACTATGCAGATGGAGACCCTAAACGCCTGAGCTCCGAAAGCGCCTTGATGCGCGAAAATCCCAGCGAACTAGTCTTCATCCCCTCAACGTCACCTCTCCCTCAAAACTTCACCCCCATCGCGACGAACGCCTCGTCGAAGCTCCCGAGGTACTTCTCCGGCCCCTTCGCTCCGACGATGGTAGGCTCGACGACCTCGCCACCGGCCTTGGTCTTGTTGTCGCCGCCGTCTTTGGCGTGGCAGCAACATGGATCGTTGAAACAGACCATGCAGTGGTGATGCGTGACTGGCTTGCCAGAGGAGTTGTCGCGGTAGTGACAACAACATGGCGAATTGTGACAAGTCTGGCAGGTCCAAGTTGAGCCGCCGTCGGTTGAGGAGAACATCGTGATGATGTTCCGGTGGGTGTTATGGTTGGTGTGTTGTTGTTTTGCTTGTGTTGGAAGCGAAGTGGTTCGAGTGGTGTGCTTGTCTGGAAGTGGTCTTCGCAGTGGTGGGTGTTGTCTGATCTGAGAAGGAAAGGCATGATCCAGGACTGTGGTTACATAAATACCATCTGGCCGGCGAAGTGTCGCGGAGTGAACAGAGGGCCACAATGCATTTGTTGACCGTGACGCACTCGGGTGGAAGATGAATGTGATTGTTGTGCTTCTGAGCGTCGTGGTCTTTGTCCAAGGCGTCATGTCGTGTGGCCGAGTGAATGCTCTGGCGCCTCCGAACGAGTGTCTTGTCTTTGCGATTTGCTGAGTGCTGCCTTGCAAGACTGTGCATTGTTGAGACGGTTTCACAGATCTCGCGCTTGCTCAGAGGAGAGCCAGCGTAACGCAAGCCATGTTGCCTCGCTGTCCAGAACACACAGTGGGTTAGATAGATGCAGCAGGCAGCTGATTCCACCGTTGATCCAGCATGAGCTAGCGCTCCAAGATTAAGCGACGGTAGAAGGACGGCTCAGTCGTTGCCACTTCCAGTGTTCGGCTCGTTGCAAGTGATCGGACGCAGTATCCGACGAATGGCCTGAGGTGCGCGACGGTGATGCGCTTGGAACCGGGCGAAATGTGCTGAATCGCCGAGCTGGAGTCCGCGGCAGCACTGGGTGAGCGGTACAGCTGACTGCGCGGCAAGTCGGTGCAGCCATCGTGTAGGAGTCCGCTCGATGCGATCCAGTGGGTACATCCAACAGAGGTGTTGGAGAAGCTCGATCAAGGCGGACAGGCCTGAGCGAAGCATCAACAGCGACTCAAGCCTGTCTTCAGAGATTTTGCGGGCTGGATGGACTTCGTCGTCATCTCACACCAATGGCAGAAGAAATCCACGGCGATCCACATGTTCAACGTACCAATCGTCTCCGAGACCCAGGCCCACGTTGCACGTATCAGAATTCCTCGCCTTTGGATTCACATCAAAGTCCATCCAGCTTGTAGGACCTAAGCGTGCAGCGTGGGCTTGAGTCTCCGAGACGGTTGGTACGCAGAAGATGTGGATCGCCTTGGGTATCTTGTGCCATTGGTATGAGACGACGATAACTTCGTTCTTGAGAAGCATGTCCATCGCTTCCTCGCGAGTCGTCTGGCTGATTCCTTCATGAGGGAAGAGAGGATAGTCTGTGCCAGGGAAGTGGACTGGGCGGAGGCTGAAGGGATGCTGTCCGGAGCCATGTTTTCACAGATGTTTGGGTGAAATCTGTACGTTGGAGCATCACTGTATTGGCGGCTATGAGCCGTGAAGAACCAAGCCTTTTCGCCAGTATGGATTCGTTCATGCGACGTAAGACGGCTTTGCTAAGGGAAAGCGTCCGAATAGCCCGGCCGTCCGCGGTGAAAGGCCTCTCGCCGGTGTCGGTACGCTCTGCGTGGAAGGATGACGTTGCTGAACAGAAGCGTGCCAGCGGCGTTGCCGAGATGGAGTCGGGGTGTTGATGACCATCGGGACGATGGCGTTATACGTGGTTGGGGCTTGTTGTATACGAAGAAAAGAAAACCGGAATGTGATGGGAGTTGGTCATGAGTGGGAGAAATGGCAGCAAGCCCGTTGCCGTCCGGTCCCATCTACGAGCGACCGACAACACTGGCACACAAAGACTGAGTTGGCGAAGCTTTCCGGGGTGGCAGAGATGAAGCCAAGCTGAGTCGATGCCAGACCTCTCGGCGCTGAAAAGTCGGCCTTTGTCCGAGCCATAGACTTCCCGGAACCGCTCCAAGAGGGCAAGGCACTAGCCGTGGTCGCCATGCCCTTTGTCCTGCGGCTCGTCGACGCGGACACCGCCGTAGAAAAACGTGGTCTTGGACTCGCGGTTGGTGCTTGTCAAACCCAGAGAATGGAGCAACTTTCGCGCCTGCTCCCTCGTGAACGCCATTCTCCCGTTCGTCGTGCCATAAATCGTCTCAACTAGCGTAAGGTGGTAGCCTGCGAGATGCGAGAAAGAAGCTGTGACGTACAGGATTGGGCCTTGAAGCCATCTGTAAGGATGGCGTTATACGTTGGTGTTGGATGTTGTATACGGAAAAGAAGAGGGAAGAGAAAGGTGTGGTCGGAGCTTTCCTCGAGCTTTCCTCGAGTCCTTCTGCGGCGTCTGTGCCTGAGCGAGTCGTGAGAAGGTCGTCCTCGATAGTCCGGCTTGCGTTCGAACGAACGAAAAGAGCAAGGGTCCAGCAGCCGCGGAAGTGAGCAGACCGCGCGGAGGCAGAAGATAAGTCCTGTCGCGGTGAGATACCATCGTCTGTGTTTGTTCAAACCACTTGCCGAGCACGAGGCAGTTGTCCAGATCCAGTCCAAGGTGCTTGTTCAAACTGCGTCAACGGCAGCACGGCTTCCGGGCCACGAGGCACATGCTGCGCGTTCATGTTGTGAGCCAGCCTGCCAGAAAAGTCTCCACAAGGCTGAGCTGCTTGGAGAATCCGAAGGAATCGCACGGGAGGCAGTGGGCGCTGATGAAATGCATGGCGCAGAAGCTGTACATCTGGCGCTCGAGCTCCGGTAGCCAGGTGATCCGCTTGCCGCCCGTGGTAGGCATACATCAACCCCGGCACACGCCCTCTCGTCTGAATCTGGCTGCTCTACAGTCGACCATCGAGCAGGAAGTCAGAGTCAAGGACCGGCCGTACTGGGTGTGTGTCGTGATCAATGAATTCGGCGACGAACGTGTTGAACACTGCAATCTGCAGCAATGCAGGGGTGGCGGACAGCCTTGGTGACCGAAAGGAAGTGGTGCCTGCTAATCACGTATCGTCGGGTAGCCCCAGGGGTGGAGTCTTGAAGCTCGCAGAGTGCTTTCGGGGTGACGATTCTTCTTCTGCGCAGCAACCCTGGCCTCCAGTTGATGTTTGGAACGGCCGCCAAGGACGTCCTCGGCGCCTGCGTTGCCGCAGACCGCGGTCTTCAACACCCTTCTTCTCCATATGCAACCCGGGCGTCCAGTTGATGTACGGGATGGCAAAGCCAACGGATGGTGTTGAACACTGCGGTCTGCAGCAATGCAGGGGTCGAGGCCGTCCTTGGCGGCCGAAAAGAAAAGGCAGAGGAAATCCATGGTGGCGTAAGACAGCGAAGGTTTCCGAGTTAGGTACATCGACCGGCATCTAGCCTGCTCGAAAATTCGTGTAACACCATCCTAGTGTTCAAGGTTGTGGCCGCCGGAGATGAGACAATCCAGTGAGTGCTGTATTGGCGCGGTCCAGCCGGTTCAGGTACTGTCCATGATTGAGTCCGGCAGCGGTCCGGGAGCGTTCAACGTGGTGGCGTTGGCGTTCGACGGCGATATCGATCGTTTCGAGCAGGAGCTGGGCCTCGCCGTTGGCGACTTTGTTGTGGGAGGTCTCGGCTCGAGTGGAGCGAGGCCATCGATGAGGGCAAGGGCAGTCTAGCGCAAGGATCTCCTTGTAGTGGGCCTTCTTCGCCGGGGGAAGGCATGAGATGTGCAGGATTGGAGGGAGAGTGGTGAGATTGCCCCAAAGATCGGACATGGTTGGGCGTGGATGTGTATTTACGGGAATCAATGTCGTTGTATAGAGGTAATGGAAAGACTTTGAACGAAAAGACAGCAGAAGGAAAAGACATTGACGGGCTGATACAAAAGGCCACAAAAGCCATGGAGCAAAAACACAGCAGAAGACGAAGATGAGGCTGTTATGTGTCGACTGAAGCCGAACAGGACAGAACAGGACACGTACACCGCCCGCTCACCCTTCCACACCGCTTTCAAGCCTCTCATTTCCATCCACTGCACTGCATGATTTCAGGGTGATGACGAAACGCATCGGGAAGCTGCAGTGCAGCGTTGGCAACCTCCAGAACAAAGAGCCAGGCCCAGGCATCGATGTCTACGGCACAGCTGGTAGCCTGGTACCATGCACAGTACAGCAGCCGGTATTAAGTCCCAACTATCCGGCCACTCAACTATCGGATGTTGCGCTGGAGCTGCTGTTGCATGAGACCAGCGCACATTGGCTTCGGATACCTGCAGTCCACAATCGACGAAATCTCCAGAACAAAGAAAGAGAGCTCCGAGATTGACGACCCAGCACAACTTGGGACCCGGACCAGCCCAGCAGCCGATATTGAGTCTCGGATACCCGACCAGCCACCTGCCCGATTCGTTGTGCTGTTGCTGTTGCCTGAGACCGCCAGGCACTGACTTCGGATTCCTGCAGCTCAGGGGCAAAATCGAAGTAGATCCTTCACCTGATCTCGCGACGTACGTCGGGACCGATAGTGTGGGTGCATGTGATACCGACGAACTGAGCTCTGGGACGGCGCAAGTCCGGTCTTGACATTTGACAAGTTCTTTGTCCGCAAGCAGGATAGGTGGGACAGGAAAGGAGGATGCATGCTGGGAGATTGGGCGGCCGCACCGGAGTGAGATGAGTGGTCGGAAGGTGCACTCTCACATCAGGTCGTCTCCGCAGAGCACCGGCCTCGCGATACTGTACGGCTGGCAGCCAATGTATCCAGTTCATGTCCGCCAGGTCCAGCGGTCTGCTGCCTGGGACATCGGCAAAATGCATGCTGGGAAATTAGCTGGCAGAGACATGAGTGGGATTGAGTGGTTGTGATTTCTGTCCCTCCTGGCAATTAGCTTCCAGCACGGAGGTGGGCCTCATGGTCCAGAGGCATGTTACTGACGAGCGGCCAATCTCTCCGGTGTCTGTCTGCCTCTTGCAGTGCTCAGCTGTCTGAAACCAATGAGTCGTGCCGGCGGAAGGCAGCATCTGCTAAGATCAGCTCATCAAGTTCAAACCAATCCTCAGGAACCCTTGTCAGCTGCTTTCGAAGCAGTGAATTGTGCGTACGTAAAAAGCATTCCCGGGTATCGACCCAATTCTACCGAAACGCCCTTCCCACTGCTGCCCTGCTCACTCCATCAAGGTCTCAAGCACCGCATGCATCACCCTCGAGTCATCACAGCATAACCAAATTCCCAATCCTTACCCCCTGACTCTCAAACCAATACCTCCTCTTCACACCCATGCTCCTCCCCTCCACCTTTCCTTCCTTATCCCCCAGTTTTCCCCTTCCTCCCTCCTTCCGCTCCATCTCCACCATCTCCCCACCCCCATCATCCCACCCCCCACCCCCGGCCACAGCCCTCAGCGCCTCTTCCGCCGCAGCACCAACCAAAACCATACCCAACCCCTCCCGCCTCACCAGCCCCTTGGGCGAGCGCTGGATTTCGTCTAGAAGTGGGCGGATAAGCCCTAAGCCCTCTGAGCTGCCATCGTCCAGCACAACCACCAGCCTTAACCCATCTTTACCACCCGAGGGTATAACGGGGATATTCGCCAACTTCTCCCCAAAACTGCACCCGCCCCTCCGTATCACCAGCACGCTGTACTTCCTTGCAATAGTGCCGGGGAGGATGTGCGTGCAGAGCGTTGAGTCGAGGAAGAAGATCTTCTCGCTGGACAGGGGGAGTGCGGAGAGCGGGGTAGCGAGGAGGTCGGTGAGTTCGAGGGAGGGGGGGAGCGGGGCGGCGCCGGGCCCGGTGGGGAGGATGGCGGGGATGAGGGTGCGTTTTAGGGTGGCGGGCGGTGTGGGGGTTGAGGGGACCTTTGAGGAGGTATCGGGGTGGGAAGGAGGATTGGTGGGGGGGGAGATGTCGATGTCGAGGCCGAGGTCGGAGAGGAGGTTGGAGGCGAGGCGTTCGACTTCGGACCAGAGGGTTTCTAGGGTTGCGTTGGCGGTATTGTCGTTTTCGTCGTCGCTCAATTCAACCTCCATGTCCAGCTCTTCGTCTGCCTTCTCCTTTGCACCTCTCCCCACCTCTCCCGTAGGCGGCAACACAGGCACATCCAAAACCAAATCCACCCACTCCAAATCCCGCACCCGTCTAAAATGCTCCCCACCCCCCGCCGCCAGCCCCAACCCCTCCATCGCCCCCTCTCTCACCAAAACCCTCTCATCCCTTCCGAGCGCCCAGTTCGCAATCCCACTGACCCTCCAATCCCTCACTTCCATTACTCCAGCCCCGTCAGGGAAGGAGAGGAACGCAGGCTCTTGCACCATATCGAACCGCACGTTACTCAGACTATTCACCAGAATCCCTTCTGCGACCTTCTGCAGCGCACCGAGCGGGACGATGCCTTTTGGTGGTTGTGTTGCGCCTTCTCCTTGGACAGCGGCGGCGAGGTCCGGGAAAGTGAGGGTGCTGCTGACGGCTTTCCAGATCGGTCGGCTGAAGCCCATGGGTGGGATGAGGTCCGAGGTGAGGGTCCAGGGGTAGAAGGTGTAGTTTGTCGGGCTCCGGATGTCGGAGGCGGAGATGCTGGGGTTGTTAGGCGAGGGCGGGAGGAGTGGGGAGGAGCGGGCGGGATTGATGGGGACGTTGTGGAGGTTCGTGAGGGCGGAGGGGTGGAAGAGGTTGGGGCGGGCGGCGATGTTGGAGATTGTGAGGGGGAGGGGTGAAGGAGGGACGTCGCAGGTCGGTGCTGGTGTGGCAGGGTCACTCGAAGATTGCGTGGAGGCAGAAGGGCTGTCTGGCTTTCCGCGGTACCGGCGGGGTATCAGTAGCGGGTGGCCCTCAGTGCTGAACACCATGCCATCGACACCGTTCCCGTTCAGCGGGTGGTCGTCGTCGAAAAGCAGGTACATATACTTCGCCGTCTCACCAAGGAAGAAACTCTCCATGCGGTCACTCCGAGCATCATTCTTCCCGCCTTCGCCAAAGTCGTCGTTAGCGAGTACGTCCCGCAAGCTCGCCCATCCGCATTTGGCCCAGCATCTTCTTCTCACATCCCGCAAGACCATCTCGCCGACGCTGAGCAGCCATGGATCCTTCGTGGCGCGGTACAAGTACCACGTACTTTCAATGAATTCTGGTCGGCCAGCCCAGTGGCGGAAGTTGTTGTCCACGAAGCCGCCGTTCGGTGTGATGTGCCAGCGCTCGGGGAGAGCGGAGTAGCGAGTCCAGAGGGCAGTAAAAAGGAGGTGAGACTCGATGGCTTCGTCGAGGTGGCCGGACAGTGTGAGCAGACCGGGAAAGTAGGCGGACAGGTTGTCGATCCAATTGTAGCGGGGAGCGCCGGTGAGGAAGTCAGATTGGCCGTGGTACGGGTGCGTCGCGATCCAAGAAGAGCGCAGGATGTGGTGATTGATGGCGTCGTGGGAAGTGGTCCAGACGTCGAGGTAGGCGTTCGGGTCGTCGAAGTGAGCTGGAAATACCTCCTCTTCTTGGTCGTCGTCGTACTGCAGTGGCGAGGCGCCGGAGAGTAGGATGTAGGATTTCAGCGCGTATTCGAAAAAGCTGTCAATGCCCGCTCCAATGCCAGACAAGGGTGGCATAATCCACTGTGCGCTCTCCGCGTCAATGCCACCTGCGACCAGATTGATGGAGCTGCGGCGGTCCCACACCAACCAGAAAGCTTGCTTTGCCAGCTTCTCGAACATATCGTCGCCAGTCAAACGACTCAATGTAGTGAACTCAAGTACCAGACTTCCAGCTCCAGCCGCGCAGGTCTCGGTGATCTCCCTCGGATTCGTGGAGGAGCCGTCCAGTCGACACACCCCGTCCTCTGCGTTCTTGTAGAAAGGTATGCCGTGCCGCAGATTCACTCTCGGGTACGGCAGACCGGTCTCGGTCCTGAAAGCCGGAAGCAGGCGTGTTGCCAGATCGTACGCCAGGCGCAAAAGTTGTCCATCGTAGACGAAGCGGTTGTGGTTCCAGAAGATGGCTTCTGTCCCGTCTTTTCGCTCCGCCCATGTTGACTGATATCCACGGATTGGCAGATCCCCAACTGCGAACAGATGTGCTGAAAGTAGCCCTCCTACGCCTCGGATGTTGGTCTCAAAGACCTGGACCTTGCTGTCAAGGTCAAAGGCGCATGCTCTCTTCCCGCAGCTCCCATGATGTCCGTCTCCGTAATGGTGGACCAAAGACTTCACTCCGTCTTGGAAGTCGTGGAGAGCATTATGACCGTCCTTTCCATCTTCCTTGCCAGATGCGAGGATTGCGAGTGTCGAAAGCGAATCGATCAGTGTCAAGCTGTAGTTGCCCAGTACATCGTTGCGCCCAATGTCGGCAGGGTTGTCGCGATTGCGGGTTAGGGGCTTGCAGGACAATGGCTTGACTTCGTCCTCGGGAAAGGCATGCTTCATGTAGTTGGTGAAGCCATGGTAGAAGAGGTCGCGTGTGTCTTGTCTATGGTCTATATGAGCATGCGATTTGAGTAAGATTGTTGTGATGAGTACCTCAGAGTCGCTATGGTATCATCTGTCATGCCATATCCTCCTGTCGCCCAACACAATACCGTGAAAAGGATATATGCGAGGACTGGCCATGGTGTCGTCGAGGCCGGTCGGCGCAAGCATGCGAGCAGGGTCATCGGCGGTCATTGGGGCCTCCTCGTATTGCGGTTGTCTTCAATGTATGCCCGACTATCCAATGACTGTACATGCGCTCTCGAAACATATACGGGAAGACGTTGGTATGGTGGTAAGCAGGAACCGTAGCCTCTTGGTTGGTCGGAGGATTAATTAAAATATTGATTGAGCCTTAATGAAATGATTCGTTAACGGCGACGCTTCCGAAAGGAGACGCCTTCTCCGCAAAGCATCCAGGAAGAGGACCTGAGATTAACAAAGAATAGCCCTCGACCTGAAGACTGTTATCATTGATATTGTGTCGCTAGCATGATGAGCTGGATGCGATAAGAAGAAGTAATACCACATCAACCAATCCACACAATGCTGCCTCGAGCAGCGCTGCGAGCCATCCGGCCCTCGACCACCTCCGCCAGCTCATATCTCCGCCATGCATCGCCCATAATAGCCAGCACATCTTTACGGATACAGTCGTTTGCCTCGAAACCTCCTCGGTCACCTCCGCCTCCACCACCAGCAGGCGCAAAGCCGAAGCGAGCTCCCCCTCCTCCACCACCGCGAGCGACAGGACCAGCGAGGCAGACATCACCGGGCACCAGCTTTCCCAAGGACAAGACCTGGAAGCCGCAAGATGGTATCAAGTTCGACGAAAGGCCGGGGGCTACCACCGTCTCAGGAGCTGGAGCTGCGGCAGCGGGAGGTGCGAGTGCAGGGAGGGCAGTGAATGCTGGGCCATCGACTACCACGCAGAAGAGCGCGGCGACACCTGTGGATGGCTCGAGGCCGGTAGAGCAGCCGCCGCCACCACGTCAGGACGGCCCACTAGAAGCAGATGCTTCTCCGATGGAGCCCATGGCGCAAAAGACGGACACAGATGAGCCGCAGCCTGGCGGCGTGCGAGAAGCTGCACATGAAGCGCAAGGCGAGGCTGAGAACCAAGCACAACCTCCCGAGTCGGAAGAACCTTCAGGACCGCTGCCAGATCTACGGCAAGGCATACCCAGCACCTTTGACTTCGAGTATGGCCAAGGCAAGAAGCAGGCACGAGACACTACCTCCGATCCCGCGCCGGAGACGGACCTCACATTCGAATCCGAGAACCAGCAGCAAAAAGACAGAGGCGAGCGCGACTACGACCGCAGCGCCTACGAAACCTCTCTCGACCGCCGACGAGCCCGCATGGCCAACTACCTCTATGGCGGCATCCTCCTCGGCGTGGTTGGCGCCGGCGCATACCTATCCCGCCCCTACACCGCCGACGAGGAGCTCCCCACTCACCTCGCCACCGACGACGCCTATGACTGGACTCCTTCCAAAATGTACGCTCGCATCCGCGCCCGGTTTGGCGACAGATTGGGCTACTACACCGAACCGTCCTTCCCCAAACTCCTCCCCGAAGTCCCCGCCGCGCAACGCCAACCCTTCACCCTCGTCCTCTCCCTCGAAGACCTGATGATTCATTCCACCTGGTCGCGCGAGCACGGCTACCGCACCGCCAAACGCCCGGGCATCGACTACTTCATCCGCTACCTGTCCCAATACTACGAACTGGTGCTCTTCACCTCCGTGCCCATTGCGATGGCCGACCCCGTGGTCAAGAAACTCGACCCCTTCCACTTCATCATGTGGCCGCTCGGGCGCGAAGCAACCAAATACGAAAGCGGCGAGTACGTCAAGGACCTTGCCTACCTCAACCGCGATTTGAGTAAGACCCTGATCATCGACACCCACGCCCCGCACGTCAAGAACCAGCCGGAAAACGCCATCGTGCTCCCCAAATGGTCCGGCGACCCCAAGGACCCGCACACCGCCGACCTCGTCGCCCTCATTCCCTTCCTCGAGTATGTCGCTACCATGGGCACCGAAGACGTGCGTCCGGTGCTCAAATCCTTCGCCGGCCAGTCGATCCCCGAGGAATTCGCGCGAAGAGAGCAGATTGCGCGAGAGAAATTCCACGCGCAGCTGGAGCAGGAGAGGGGGAATCGGCCGAAGAGGAGTTTGGGCAGTTTGGCGGGGGCTTTTGGGTTGAAGGGGACGCCGCAGGGGGGGATGGTGTTGGGGGATGGGCAGAGTGTGGCCGAGGGGTTGGCGCAGGGGAAGATGTTGAGTGATCAGATTCGGGAGCAGGGGCAGAAGCAGTGAGTGTATCGTTAATTGGAGATGAAAGGGGAGAAGGAGAACTAATGGATTGTGACAGGTACGAGTTCCTCGAAAAGCAGATCCGCGAGCACGGCGAGCAGTGGCTGAAGGAAGAAGAGGAGGAGCAGAAGAAGATGATGGAGGCGCAGATGCGGGATATGAAGCAGTCGGCTACGAGTTGGTTTGGGGGGAGTAAGTGAGTGATCGGAGCCGATAGGTGAAGAAGATGAAGGTGGATAGGGTATTTGTTTCTCCTCTCTGGACTTTTCGGTTGCATCTAGCGGGGTGGGCAAGAGGGAATCGTGTGCCTAAGGGATGGTACAAGTGTAGAAAAGATATGTATATGTATTTTGTGCAAATTGGACTTCATCCGTTCTCGGGCCCGTGCGGACGTCAGCTGTTGGAGGCGCGACCTCATCTTTTTGACTTCCCGTCGTCCTTCACCTCGTCTGTTGTGTCTTCGAACCAACTTACACCAAACCTCCGACATTACGAAACCATACGAATGGCAACTGGCATGCAAGCGGTGAAAGGATCAATGCGTGATAGCGACCTCGGCAGCAACATGACGTCCTCAGCTCCTCATCACGAGCTTCGGCAGTCCCTCTGCTCTCCAAACAGCTAAACATCCCCGAACCAACGTCTCTCCATCTACCGTAGGCCAAGTGTAAACCTCTCTTTGCATCATCTCCTCATACTCTCCATGACATCCCTCCTCAACCAAGCAACCCGCCGCCTCACAACCCTAACCACCCACCTCACCCCCACCCGCTCCGCCTCCACCATGAAAGAAGCCCTCGTCTCCGCCGGCCCCATCGTTACCATAACCGACTCCCCCATCCCCCGCCCCGGCCCCAACCAAATCGTCACCAAAGTCGTCTTCTCCGGCAGCAACCCGAAAGACTGGAAGCGGCCCGAATGGATGAGCGACAAACCGCCCGTCAACCAGGGCGATGACGTTTCCGGGGTGGTGCATGAAGTCGGCGAGGGGGTGAGGGAGTTTCGGAAGGGGGATCGCGTGGGGGCGTTTCATGAGATGATGGCGCCGGGGGGGAGTTATGCGGAGTATGCGGTTAGTTGGGAGAGTACTACGTTTTTGCTGCCGGAGAATGTTAGCTTCGAGGGTACGTCCTTCCCTCCCTTCCCCCATCCCCATCTTAAGATCTTGCTGATTTTGGTCTTGTGTGACGAATAGAAGGCGCAGCCATCCCCCTAGCAGCCATGACAGCCGCCTGCGGCCTCTATGCCAAACTCCGCCTGCCCGCTCCTTTCCTCCCGAACCCCAATCCCACTCCTCTATTGATCTACGGCGCAAGCTCGGCAGTGGGATATTATACCCTCCAATTCGCGCTGAAATCGAACCTCCACCCTCTCATCTGCGTCGCCGGGCGCGCGGCGAAGCACATCGAACCCCTGCTCGACCGGAGCAAAGGCGACACCATCGTCGACTACCGACAAGAAGACGCAAAGGTGGTTGAGGACCTGAAAAAGGCGTTGGGAGGCAAGAAACTCGAACACGCCTACGACGCCGTCTCAGAAAAAGGCTCCTACCAGAACATCGCCCAAGTCCTCTCCCACACCACAGGAAAAATCACTTTCGTGCTTCCGGGGAAGAAATACGACGATCTCCCCGCCGGGATCGAGAAGAGCGTTACAAGGGTGGGGGATGTGCATGGGACTCCTGACGACCTTAAAGAGTTCGGGTATGTTTACTTCAGGTATATTAGTAAGGGTTTGGCGGAGGGGTGGTTCAGGGCGCAGCCGTATGAGGTTGTGGAGGGGGGCCTTGAGGGGGTGCAGAAGGGACTGGAGGGGTTGAAGGAGGGGAGGGCGAGCGCTGTCAAGTACATTTTCAAGATATCAGATACGCCGGGTGTGGGTTCGTAGAAGGGCAATCCAGAGGTTTGGAGATTAGCCTCCTGGCACGAGTCCTCTGCTTGCGGTAAGGTAGTCTGTTTGTGAGTCCCGATTGCGGTGTTGTTGGGCCGGGATCGTCGAGGTGAAGTACGTCTGGGTTTCTTTGCTAATTGTGAGTACAAGGATGGAGTGTCAGTTCAGCTTCTTCGCTACTTCAGCAGTGCTTTCTGGACTGCGAATGACTCCGGCCGTTACCTGAGAGTCCTGAAACAGCTGGAATGCGGCTCTGTTCTCTAGATGTGGGCACATTCCTTCTTCATCTATTGTAACATCGATTTTAGATCACAACGTCCGACACCCTTCACGAGCATCACCAAGAGCGCACGACAGTATGGACTGGAATAGGACGATCAAGAAGCCCGAAATCGAAGCCAAAACAAGGAGACACCACTACTTGCGCTCTTTAGCGACTCTTGGGCAGCCAGCAATGTCTACTTCAATGCCGTCCGTTGCCACATGGCCGATTCCGGGCTGTTGCTGGGACAAAGAAGGCATTGTATGTTGCCGCTGTGGCGGGTGACGACACTCCTTTAACCCTCGGCCTGTCTTGGTGTACAAACAAACGGGACGTATGTGCCAGGCTCATCGCTCGGCTGATCCGTTCGCACTTCCTGCTCCCAGCACGAGACGGCACAGCTTACTCGCTCTACCTCGCTTCGAGAGGGCTGACTACCGCCCGCCAGCGTGCGTTCGCTACTCCTCCTCCGCTTGGCCGAGGTAGGCCTCGCAGCCACTCCCAAAGCGAAAAAGCCAAATGTGATCGTCATCCTGGCCGACGACCAGGACATGCTCCTCGACTCCCTCTCCGTCCAGCCCAACGTCGTCAACCAGATCGGCAAGCAGGGCGTCACCTACAACAAGCACTACTGCACCGTAGCATGGTGTTGCCCATCTCGTGTCAACTTCTTGACTGGCAGAGCGGCCCATAACACTAACGTCACTACCCTCACTCCACCCTACGGCGGCTGGTCGAAGTTCATGTCGGAGGGTCACAACGACAACTGGCTCCCTGTCTGGATCAATACTTCGGGCATCAAGACTTTCTATGCTGGGAAGCTGATGAATGGATACAGCAACAATAACTTCGATAGGCCTGCTCATCCGAAGGGATGGCATGATAGTAGCTTTCTGATTGATCCTTGGACTTACAACTACTTCAACTCCCACTGGACGAACGGGTATACCGACAAGGTCAAGGCGTACCCCGGCGTGCACACCACCCATGTCAACGCAGAGAAGGCGCTCGGATGGTTGGACAACCTAGGCAAAAACAAAGACCAATTCTTCATGATGATCGCCACAGTAGCACCGCACATGGGCGTCGCAGCAGGCTCAGGAGCACCACCACCCCCAGCCAGCCAAAAGGGCAAATTTCTCAACCAAGTCTCTCCCCGCCGCCCCAACTTCAACCCGGACACCCCCAGCGGCAACTCCTGGATCCGCGGCCTGCCCAAACTCAGCAAAGCCGACGTCAAATCCGGCGACGAAGTCCACGTCGGCCGCCTCCAGAACCTCGCGGGCATCGACGAAGTCGTCGGCGACATCATCGACAAGCTGAAGAAATACGACATTTTCGACAATACCTACATCATCTACACCTCCGACAACGGCTTCCACATCGGCAACCACCGGCTCAAACCCGGCAAACGCTGCCCTTACGAAGAAGACATCAACGTGCCCCTCCTCATCCGCGGTCCTAACGTCGCCAAAGGCGTCGTCTCCACCGTCGCGAACCACCACACAGATATGGCCCCCACGATCTTGGAAATGCTCGGCGTCCCGCTGCGTCCGGACTTCGACGGCGGTCCCATCGCCTACACAGCGAATGACTTCAAGAGCCAGCGGAAAAACGAGCACGTGCAGGTTGAGTTCTGGGACGGCGGGTTCGCGCCCAACGGGTATAGAGGCGAGGAGAGCGGCCAACTGTATTTCAACAACACGTACAAGGCGCTGCGGATCTGGAACCCGGATGATAACTTCTCCGCGCTTTACAGCGTGTGGTGCGACAATAGCAAGGAGTTCTACGATATGAGCTCCGACTACGCTCAGATGCACAATTTGCTCCTGCCCAAAGCCATCGCTGGGGCGCCGAAGTATTGGAAGCGACCTTTGCCACAGCTGGTCGCGAGACTGGATACGTTGCTGTTGGTGTTGAAAGGGTGTAAGAAGGAGGCGTGCAGGAAGCCGTGGGATCAGATTTTTCCAAAGGATACGGTGAATAATGTTGAGCAGGCGATGGACGCGAAGTATGATGATTTCTTCAGGAAGCAGCCGAAGGTGCATTATAAGAGTTGTAAGGGCGGAAATGTGATTAGTAATGAAGGGCCGCAGAAGGCGAATGTTTGGAAGGGGAAGTGAGGTGGGCATGGAGAGGTAGACAGCCTTGCTGCAGTATTGTTTCATTTGTTCTAATCTTTCGGCCATGCCGTTTCTGATCAGCGGTTGAATTGTTGCTCAAGTGAAGACATCCGCATGCAGCATGATATTCGCAATAGTCTCCATCCCACCATGATGCATCAGTCCAATTCCCGCGGGCATGCTGAGACTTCTCAGTCCAACCGTCTCCTCTCTGGCGGCAGTAGCAGCGACCTTACGTCTTCGATACAATGCCGAAAGCTCCCGATGACCTGTGTGTACAGGCAGCCAAGATCGCAACACCTCCCGAAAGCGCGGCTTGACCTGTCGGAAGACCTGTTTTGCCAGTCGCAGAATCTCTTGGTCACGTTCAGCCTTCGCTTTGTCGAACTCGTCGGCGCCGATGGTGCTTGCATCGGGCAATGCTGGTAATTTGACGACAAGTGCTTCAAGTCTGAATTCAAAGCTGGTCCACTCTTGCAAAGCATATTTTGCCACTGTGATCTCTAATTCCTGCTTGTCATCCGTCCAACCCTCGCTGACCACTTGCTGCGCAATGTCTTTTGCGGCGATTGCAGGTAGTCGCGGAAACTGCTTTCGCAGCTGCCAATGTGCTCGTCTCAGCTTCCTCTGTTGGTCAAAGTTGTAGTTGTCCCAGCTTCGGAGGTTTACGCCATCCTTGTGGTTGGCCGCGAGTTGCGAGACTGCATTCGGTACGATGTAGCCTACGACTATCGGAGAGCCGGTGTCGTGAACTTCGTAGAGTATGCGTCCTTGCGCGAGTGTCTGCTCTCGGCAGATCTGGAGGATTTGGGCTGGGGAGTCTGCGGAGATGAATACTTGGCCGGGTCTGGTCTTGACCGGTCGGTTGATGTGGATGATGTCGTTGTACTCGTCTGCGGACAGTATTGAAGCCATGCTGCGTGAAAAGAGTATAGGATGATGGATGTTGCATGATACAGTCGAGGTGAGATGCATGCCAAGGCCGCTTTGTTCTCGGTATCAGGAGATGAACCATTCCGGATGTGGAAGTTTGAAAACAATGATATTTGCGATGCGTCTTCTCATGGATGCGGTCTCCAGTGGATGCCGCTGCATAATGTGAAGATGATGGTAGATTATACCAAGTCGCTGGATGCAAAGGATGATGTGCGATGATTCTTGTAGTCCCGAGAGTGGGTTGTTCTCAGCCTGGTTCGGCCTGCGTGAGCTGAATGTCGTAGTCTGCCAGACATTCCAGATCTTCTTGGGAGAAGTCATGGCTCATCGGAGCTGGCACACTCGATTTTGTGGCCTTGGTCGGAATGAAGGAGGGCGGCGGCATGAGCTTTCGGTCTTGCTCGGCTTTGGTGTGCTTTTCTGCTGACTCCATTTCTTCGATGTCGTCCATCGTCAGGCCAAAATCATCAGAGCTGAAGGACAAGGATTTGGTCGTAGTCTTCTCGCCGGGCTCATCTGCTGTGAGCTCTCGTGCGATTTGGGTGCTGCTGCCGAGCTCGTCGAAGAAGTATGCCAGATCGTCTGGAGCGGCTTGAACTTGGGTAGTCTGTGGAACCTTTACAGCCAGCGTAGTCAGCCTGATATGGTCTAGATCCTCTGGTGCTGGCGACGCGCGGGAAGGCTGTTCGCTTGTTTGTGCTGCCTTTGCGCTTTCGAGAGCGTCAAGTAGAGTCTCGTCGTCCAGTCCACTGTCGCCAAAGCTGTCGTCAGCTGTCACTTCTGTCGTGAGATTCATGTGGCTCTTGGTCGTGGTGCTTGCGGTACGGTTGCCGTGAAGGAAGGCGCCTAAATGCATCTGGCTGCTCTTGTACCCAAATCGGTCGAACCTTCGCTGGCTGCCCAACTGTGCCTTCAGACTGGCTTCCTTGTCCTTCTTGTCCTTCTCCGCCTTCTTCTTGACAGCCTCTGACCTCCGCTTCTCCGACTCCCGAACACGCCATGCCCTCCTGTCGAGCTCGATGGACCGCTCAAGCTGCTTCTTCTCGCGTTCGGAGAGGGAGGGTCTGCCGCGCTTTTTGAATGCCGCTTTGGCCTGCTTTATGGTTTGCGCGCGAGCTGCTGGCGCCTTCTCCGCCATCGTAAGCGCATCTTGTAGAAGTGAGAGGTTGGTGGGAGGCAGACCTGGCGGCCGAGAAGAGGTGAAGTCGGCAGAGGGACGGGTCTTGGCGCCGCTAGAGCTGAGGTAGGCAGGTCCGCCCTCAACTGTTTCTCCACCATCGTTAGTACTCGTGCTCGGTCTTGCACTCGCTGCCGTGGCGGCATTCGTGAGAAGATCCCGGAGATGATGACTTACCAAGGCTGCGACAGGGTGACGAACAAGCTGTTCTGCTTTGCCGCGGTCGCTTGGAAGGTAACCGCTGCATCACCGTAGTTTTTCGTCACCCCGTAAACCCTGTCCGACTCCTCTTGACACATCTTGTAGCATGTGTTGGAGGCTTGCGCTACTTGCGCCTCACCATACCGTAGCCTCATCTTGTCGAGCTGCCCTGATGGTCTATGATCGAACAGCACGTTCGGCGTGCCAGTTGCCGTCGGATGGACGCTGATACTGTCTCCGAAACCAGCCCGCATTGCGCCTGATGGCATGCCGGTCGATCGTGCTGCTCTGAACCCGGGTTTCAAACCGACATCACGCCCCAGCTCTCCGATCATGCTCAACTGAGACTGAGCACGATCTTCGATGGCTTTCACGATCAGATGCCATCCTGCAAAATGCCGTGTCCGAGAGATGAGCCAACCCCCAATGTGAATTACTAAATTGGTGAGTGATGCAAATGTGAAATGGACCTCATTCATGCCGTATATTTTCCACCTGTCATGCTCAGGTATACCGAACGCAGCATCCCGAATGTCGTTTCGAAGAGTCTAAAGTCGGCCCAAATGGTTAGCAGTTGTCTCAAATATAGAACTAAATGAGAACAACTTATCGGACCGCATAGCATCTATCTTTGCTCTGGAGAACCCATGTAATCGAGGGAGGAGCCATAGAGAGGACTGGCAAGCTTCTCTGGTACGGGAAGAAGACGAGAGCACCCCTAAGCTTTTCAAGGTGCTTCATTCTGCGTTGGAGAGTCGACTGAAGCACAAGAGGCTTTCGAGATCTCTCGAGCTGTCCCGAAGCTCGATAGCCTCTCGAAGCACCACGTAGCACTTGATCCTGTCTTGGAGAAGGTTAATTTTCACTTCTTCTAGGCTGTGGTGAGAGTGTTGTGGTGAGATTGGTTCTGTGGCTCCTGTGGTTGTCGACAGAATATAACGGTGACGTGAAGCAGTCTCGGTGACGTTGGAGATCAAGAACATTGCAATGAGGCTTCATTGTTGTTGATACGTGCTAGCGCGCCTCTCACTCTTCTGAGTCTTCTCCCTCTGCTGCCTCCCACAAGATCGCAACAGTGACACGACCTCATTGACATTCCCGACGAGACTACTATCAATCATTTGAACACCTTTGCAGTATCGTTTACGCATCTCACCACCCAGCAGAGTTGTCTCACAATGCCTGCGCAACGATGCATCCCCTTCCAACCTCTCAAGTTGAAGAGTGACCGAGCTACGACACCCTGCTACCACCACGCCTCCTCACCAACGCTGAGTCTGACTGCTCAATCGAACCATTCAAGCAGGTTTGCCACCCGTACCCCATCGTCACTGACTTGCAGTACGTAACAGCAGAAGCCGTAACGTCAGAGGCTCGCTGTTCCCAGCACTCATCCACGTGCAGTCATTGCCAGACTTCACGTTCAGCACTTGCCTTATCCGACGTTCCGCGATCGCAATTTATCGGTAATTCCCTACTTTAATTGACTGCGACACCTCAGACGCACCGAGCGCCGTCGACAGCATCGACAATGCCACAATAGAACAGCCCGAGCTGCTTGTCCGCCACTCGCCTAGCCAGCGAGAAACGCCGCCTCACCTCAATTCGCTACATCCTTGACGAGCACGAAGAACTTTTACGCCGTCTCCTTCCCATTAAGCAACACGACTGCAATTTCGCACATGCAGCATCTTTCTACAGCCAATTGCATCAACGTGCAACACCTGCGGCATCGACCAGGCGTCTTTCAGCAGATAAGTCAACCCCCTCTCGCACCACCCCTTAGCACTTCCATGATGAGACAATCTATTGCCCGACGAAGCGCCATGCTTCAAACATGAGAGGCAACCATTTAGGTCTTCGTTCGTCTGATAGCGACCGACCCGTTTCACTGCCTTGTCGCCATTTTGCATCCGCTCAGCTGCTGATACAATAGCACAGACTGAATACGCCGGTGCTTCGCTGGCTCGCTCTCCTCACGACCACTCAATACATCTCGGCCCTTCCTCGCCTGGAGATGAGCACACAGTCGACTAGCAGCAAATGCTTGATCTGTGCAGTAGAGCACGGATGACTAGCTCACGGCCAAAATAGAAGAGTAGCTACCGATGCAGCAACTACATTCAGGATACCATCGATCGTGATCAATCCGTTGCATCGCTTATGCGCAGCGGTACGGCTTCCCAGGCGTCTCTGCTTCAATCAGTGGTGATACATACTGCTAGAGCCTGCATGATCAAGCTCCGAAAATACAGACTTTGGGAGACACAAGGCCGCCTCTGACCAAAGCACAACGACAAGACTCGTATTGATCAGGCTCCATCTCTGTTCAGCCGCTGACGGTGGCTCTACAACAGTCGCTCGTCGATATGACTTTCCTCCGCTAGCTTTATTTACGGTATGTGATCACCATTTGCCTTCCGTTCTCTCGACAAGATGATGACCCACTACATTACACTTTCACACCACCTGCTGCTGACGAGAGCTTTCTGATCCCACATCATACCACCGCTGTTCTTTCAATCAACACCATGCACGAGCTGACTTCGTTGTAGCTTCCGACCTGTCTCTTCCGCCACCAGTACCCATGCGACAAGGTGCTTCCCTTGCTCCCCGCCCTTCGCCATAACGCTGCACTCTTAGTAATCAGTCATACGGCGGCTTGATGAAGATGTTGTCTCGCCACAACCTTCTTGAAAACGCAGACGAAGCGAAGTAGACATCTGTATTTGATGCAAATCTCACTGTTCCTCACTGGGAAACATCAAAGCATAGGCGTCTCAAGAGGGAAGGTCCTCAACTAAGCTCTGGTAAGCCCGTGCCCGAGTCTTCTTCTCCTTTCCCTGATGAACACCCCGTGTCTACTTTACTAGCCGCTGGTGCCTTTTTGGAGCTGCTGGTCAGTGGGTAGAGACGGTTTAGAAGTCCTACAAGCTGTGCTTGAATACCACAGCTTGGCCATGAGGACAACAGAACAGATCTGAACATCTTTTCAGTTCATCGTCCGTTCGCCACGTCAGCGTTCCAGACCTCCGCTGACTTATCTAGTTTTCCAGCTGAAGCTTTGAAGGAGGTACCGACCGACACAGGCGAGACATATTCATAGATGCGACGCTCAACATGGTCCTTCGTTTGAAAGCCACCTGCTATTGTGTCATCGTTTGGATCCGATCGATCGCCACCACGTCGCCGCGATCGACGCTGTTCTCGACACACGCATTGATGTGCATCCGATAGTTTTCGACTTCGACCGCATCACCAGGCAAGTCGCTTTGAGACAGCGCAAGGTTTTCAAAATACCTTCGAAACGTTCTATCCCAGAAGTGAACTGTTCAAGCTGGCGCCCTTTCGAGCTGGGTTGCAGTCACGGTAATCCCGGCCTCGGCGGCATCGTCGAGCAGTACTCTGAGTCTCTGACGAAGACAGCGTTTGTCGGTGGCGACTAGCGTCCACCACAGATCGCTGTTCGTTCTCCTTTCGGACAGCAAGCACAGCTCGGCCGTCATCTTTTCTCCGTGCAAGGACATCAAACGGGTTTTGTGATGGCCCTGCACCATGTGACCGAGACCTGGTTTGATCCAGATTTATCACTCTCATGTTAACTCTGGTTACCATATTTGAGAGGCCTATATGCCCTCCCGTACATAGTCAATCGATATCCTCGAAGCATTCACTTTCCTACAAGCGCTGAGTCTCGCCAACCCTTTCAATTGCCAAGGACTACTTCCAAATATCTACAGTGCTCTTTAGAATGCTTGCTTTATATTATTGCTTCATGGCACGGAGTAATCGCCTAGTCATTCTGCCCCGAATTGCTCTCCGCTTTGCTGCCAAAATCGATGCTTCAGCTCTCTGTCTATTCCGGGATCAGCTTTTCTTCAAATTGAGTTCTTCAAAGCTCTTGCTCCGGCCCACTGCTGCCGCGGTCGCCAGGCTCATTGCTCCCTGCCACATGTCATGTCACTTTTCGTAGTCATTTACGGTCCCTGCCGCCCATTCAACGTTCATCAGTCCGGAATCCCCGTCTGAAAGCAAGATCTTGCGAGCGGTGGACTGCGTCGACACAACTCAAGCTTGCGAAGTGGCAAGAACAAGGTGGGTCTTTGCTTATCAGTCTACGATTGATGGCCAGGACGTTGAATCCTGGGCTGCGTGCCTTGTCTGAATCGAATGACTTCCTGAGGTACCAAATGACGAACAGTCACAGGTGATGGAATGAGGCGTAGAAGTAATGGAAGCAGGCAATTCTCCAGCTCGTCCGAAGGCGGGAACATAATACGTTGAGTATGTTTGATATCTCCATTGATACTATAGATTGTGGCTCGAGCTCGTTCGGTTGCGTGATAATTGTTGAGCGAACATGGGTAGATCTGTTGCGTGACTCCAGCAAGGAACAGCACGTGAGGATCGGTGACCCTGTTCCGACGTCTACTGTCACATGCAACGCTGATCTTACAAGGATCACCGAAGTGCGAAGTCACAACGATTGCTATTGTTGCACGGCCTTCTGCAACCCTTGCAGTCTTGTATAAAGCGCGAGTACTCACTTCGATTTCTTTCTTCTTTCAATATGGTTGGATGCCAACATTGCCGGTCCACCGTTCTGGTGACTGGCTGAGGCACTAGAGGATGTACAGGATATCGACTACATCGTCCTTAGGTTTAGCCGTAAAGCAAAGTGGCATTGATCCCGGTACGCCGTTGCCCATATTCAGTGGTCCAGCAGCGTTATGGCTCGCTTACAGCAAACGAAGTCCATTCCATGTTAAAGGACCCCTTCGAGTGATAACATCCAGTATTGATCCACCAAAGAGCGCAGTGCACTCCACTGGCAGGTGCTCTCGCAGGTTGCTCTTCTTCGTGCGTTTGGCCATCATTCTCCAGCGATCGTGGAAGGCTTATCTCAGGCTTGAGCAACGAGAACTGTGACATTGCCTGGCGTTGGCCGACTGCTTCCATGGTAACGGATCGCTGATTCTATCGTAACACCTACCGTCAATGTTCCTCTCTCAACGCTGCCGGCCCATTATTGGTGATTCGTTGCTCTTGCTCTTGATGCTGTACTCAATGCTGTTGATCTCGATGCTCTGTTCCCAACGAACCTGCTACAACACCCGCGGCAAAACCTCTCATCTGTGCCATTGTACATTCTTGAGTTCAAGTCTCAAGGAGCGTGCCGGAAGACACGAAGACACTGCTGTCGTGGAGAGTTTGCGGTGTCATCGGCGGACGGTGTCGACAAGACGCTTACTAACGATCGCTCCAACGGCGACATGATATCCCCCCCTTCTCGATGAGATGCTTTACTTCTCTGGGGAACGATCGTGTTCCTGCTTTTGCAATCCTCGACGACGAGAAATTTGTCCTCTGCTCATGGGTTCCTCAATGCTCCTACCTCAATGCTTCTGCGGCAGTGCTCATGCTCCAAGGCTCCTGCTGCAAGACGCTTTCTGCACCGCACTTGCGTCTTCGAAGCCGCCTCTCTCCTCCTGTGCTCCAAGCTGCCACACAACATCGCTGATCTTTGGGAGGGATCATCGATGCTGCTCTAAGCAGACTGCCAACTTTGATGACGCGTTGTTGAAGCTCTCCATCTAAAGAGTCGTGCTTCGTTAGCGAGGGTAGCCATCACGTTTGCTGCTGATGAATCTTCTCGCCAATGATACCTTTAGTGCCTGCTTGTGGGAATCAACATTTTATAAATTAACTTCTTCCCCACTATCTCAGCTAATGCCTGTGCTGTTACCGCATGTATTCCAGAGGGGGAGAAGCAACTAGGATCCGCAAGACGACCGAGACTGCTCTTCAAGAAGGTAAGGTAGCCTCCAACATTGAACCACTGCTGGTCCTCTGCATTCCGTCTCCAATCTGTCTGCACACAGCGCTTCCTGCATGCTCCGGTCGCCCGACGTGAATGACCTCGTAGGCTTGTGCCGGTGCGTGATCTTCCAATCTCTCTCTTGACTGCTGCTCGTCCTTAAAGCCTTTCTCTGCGGACAGCAGTCCATGCTGGGGAGTGGTTGGGCGCGTCGCTGGTCGCAACCTCCGAGGTATAGACGGTCTGCTGAGAAGCGTAGTACAGCAAAGAAGACGGCAGAGGCTGCAGATGAGTGCGATCGATGATCGGTGTTCTCAGGTCTCTTTTCGTACGGCAGGTAAGAAGGTGGGAGAGGTCTGAAGGCGCCGCTAGATTGGCAAGTGGTATTGGTGGGCATCGTAATCATACGAAAGGCAGGTAGGTGGGACAGGGATGTCTGGGGGTTGGTTTGGACTGGTGAATGGTGTTCGTTGGTGCCTTTCGCACAAATATTCGAAGGTGGAGGGTGTTCGGGAAGGCTTAAGGGTGTCGTTCGAAGGCTGGACGGTGCTGCTAGGCGTATCTTCTCTACAAAGAGCAGTGACGTGGGCCGGCAGGCTTAAGAAAGTCGCGAGAGTGGTGAACGGTGTTGGTAGGTGACCCCCCTCAGAAAGCGCAAGGCCGTCGATTGGAGTGGCTTTAGGATGCCCTTCGATTGGTGAGTAGTGTTCCCTCGTGCCTCCTGCGCAAGACGTCCAAAGCGAGGGATGGAGCACGTTTGATTGATGATATACTTGGCTCACGACATCAATAGTACACCTGCATCGCCGTCGCTTGAGCACATCTATAAAACTGCTGCGTCTGTTCCCGCTTATATGCTACATGCCCTCTACTTCCATACGCCTCTGAACCAACCCAAAGACGCGCCGACCGACATGCGCTAACAATGGACGACGGCGTACCCTTCCTATGTCTGCACCTTCCGCATCCGGGTATAGCTACCTTAGAGCCTTCGATGGTGACCGTGCGCCAGACCAACGTGCCCATGAAATGGTGGCGTTCATGCTGTCCTTGATGATGATATTTCCAGCGACCTTGTGCCACCTACTTGTTGGTATTGCCTCTCAATATCTGTTCCAAATGCCGTAAAAACTATCAGCTTCCATGACAGACACGCGGTCCCCGTCCCTGGGCCTTCCGATGTACTTTCCAAACTCTCTCCTGAGCCTCCTCTCGTACTGCTTGCTTCCCGCTGCTCTTCTACCGAAGCCCGATGAGTCCTGACTCCATGGGCATGTCCTGTTGTGCTGTCGTCTCTAATCGAGGAAGATACGATCGTGACTTTTGCTGGGGAGCCAAACGAGGAGAGCTGTGCTATTGTCAGTGACGGCGCCAAAAAAAATCATGTCGTTGACGTGAGACGGGCTGCAGTGGATGTACCAGGGGTTAGAAGCTCTTCTACATCTTCTGTGCCGGGTCGGAGTCTGACTGTGCCTGCTATGGTACAAAAGATGACCGCGTGGTGATTCTTTCGTGTTAGGGAAACAGTTGGTAAAGCACGACGCGTACTTGAGGGTACTGGACCGAATAGAAACGATGGCAAATGGATACGGCATGAGCATTGTGGACACGATGTAGGTAAGAACGTGGTCTCTTCATGCTGCTTTCGTAAAAAACGTGACGATGTAATGGTTGATTGGCTCAAGGCGAGTGAATGGCAATCCATAGCGTAGATGGGGTGATACAAGAGCAAACAAAAAGATTGCAGGCGTACGTTAGACTGTGTTGCAGTGCAAGCAAGAAGGGGAAGAGGCAAAAACTGAATGAGCAGGCATCATTACCGCTTTGAGCGGCTCGAACTAGGAGCGTGTGATGTTAGCAAAGCCCCAGAATTAGTGAATGAACAAGCAGGCAGCGGCAATGGCAATGGCAATGGTTCTGGCTAAGAAGTGAACTAGACACACCGAATTGTCAGCAAGTTCATTCATTAGTTAGTAATCGATCTTTAGTGGCTGCTGGCTGGCAATGGCAATGACAATGACTGTTGGTATCCGCTTGGGATGGGTTATGAATTTTGGAATTGATCCATGTAGGTTAAGTCCAGTCAGGTGACAGATAGGGACCTTCGCGCACACCACAGGCTTGTAACACACATGTCCCTACAGATCACGATGTGGCTCAATCAATGCTGCTATGGGTCATGTCACACGGGCTGCACGACGCCGGCACCATCTGTCATACAAGCATCCTTGCGTAGCCACGCCTTCGTAGCACCAATGCAGTCTGCGACTATTTCTTTACGACCGGCAAGTATCCTCAATACGCCATCACGATTTCGCGGCTCCATACAACACCACTGCATACCTTCCAGCCTACAATTCGCTTTACGATCCGTGCTACAACCTACCATCTTTCCGCACCATCGAAACCGGGATCAGAAGCTCCGCGACTACCCAAAACCTCTACAGCACTGATTCACGCGTTCGGCACAGTCTCACGCAGTCGCCTGAGTCGGCTGCCACTACAGCGACTGCAAGATCGAAATACCCTTGATCGTAAATTCGGGAACAACCGCACCATCATCCTACCATGGATCGTCCTCAAGATTCAAAACAGCTGTCGAAGGGATCGTTCTCGCCACCCAAACCAAACAATCCGCAGGCACAACCAGCGAAAACCACACCTGCGACGGCAGCGACGATCGAGAAGCAGCAACTGGGCCCGGCGGAGGCTACACTAGCAACTACAACCATCTCCTCCACCACAGCATCAGCGCCGCCACTACAGCCAAAGACGTCGGCAGGTCATGATCTTGAAGGCGCAGAGAAGAGCAAGTCTGGAGGGCAGAAGGAGGATCAGGAAGGCGGCGAGTTTGTTGATGTAGGCGTACACAGCGACGATGAGAAGAAGTTCGACATGATGGAGGATTGTGAGATTCAGGAGGAGCCGGAGATTGTTAAACCCGTTAGGAAGGGTGGGAAGGGCAACTGAGCGGCTTTGATGGTCATACAATGCTACAGATAAGACGCAGGAATGCACGAATGCTTCAGCAGAGACTGTCCTCGCAATACCGTTTTCAGGGGGCCCGTGAAGTTGGCCACGGAAAGGCATTTTACCTTCAGTTGTAGACGTACATGCAACACCATTGTCGATGTACCTACCGTTTCCACACCGCATAGTCCGCTCCGTATCATAAGGCATTGAACGAGTGGTTTGGAGAGTCATCTAAATCGATGGATGTATTGCTACAGATCGTTGACATCGAGCCGAACCTACTACTCATCGTCCAATGCTCCTTATGACCACCATTCATCGGCATCCGGCTCCAGTCCAGCCGTTGTTTAGCCGCAATCAACAACTGCTCGCAGCATCCATACGTCACCGAGTGTGCCACAAGAATCTTTGTTGATTAGAGCAACCGAGTAGAGCACTACTTAAGCCGGCTTCCCCTCCTTTCTGCTTCTTCTTCTTCTTTTCTACATGATCTCCTGACGCCGTGACTGTCCATCACATCTTCTCCTACATGGTGTTGGTGGGCACGACCATATCCAGCTTTACCTGGAGCGTCGTATAATCCAATGATCATTATCTGCCGTCAGGACTCTCTATCAAGTCTGCGCCCCCATGGCGTCGATGGACACGATTCTTTCCGGCTGTTTACAGCCGGGGCGTAACAAGATCAATTTGACGTTGTGACTGCCTATCACACCTCCTTCTCCACGGTTTTGGTGGGCACGATCGTCTCCAGCAGTTTGTCTGGGGCGTCATACATCCTTCTTTTTCATTGTTTCCGTGTCTTCTCGACATGGTCGCAGAGAAGAAGCCCTCCAGTCCCCTTCGATCTCGCCTGCTCCGAACTATGTGCTGTTTGGGGTGCACTATCCCACAGGAACCTTTGTTGATTAGGAAACGGGAGCAGCCCATCGAAGCACCACTGAAGCTCGCTTTTCTTCCTTCCTGGTTCCTCTTTTCCTCATCTTCGCCTTACCACTGCTTTTGGGTGCCTACCCTTTCTCCATCTCCTGAGTCGCCCCTGATCGCCTCTCTTCACAATTGTGACTAGAGGTGTAGGAGAAGCAGCACACATTGATATCGATGTCGTGAGTGTTCATCGCACCCTCTCTCTATGGTGTTGGTGGGCACGATCGCAACCTTTCGTGAGTCCTGCAATCAGGCTCTCGTCTGGGGCATCATACATCCTCCCTTTTTCATTGTTTATATGTCTCTTCGATATGGCTGCAGAGAAGAAGTCCCCAGTCCCGTCGATGTTATTTGCTATTCTTGCTTGCTTTTTTGCGGCCGCTGTAAGACCGGTACACGCCCGCTTGATGCCACGGTTGTTAGGTCAACGATGATGAGGCGCGCACGACGAGGGCGAGGCGAACGGTGGGACACAGTGAGGGCAGCGCTCCAGCTACGGCGCTCGAATATCGCGATTCATCAGACGTTCTCATCGTGATCGGGCTGTGAAGACGCTTGCGCTGCTGAACACTCGCCAGGGCGGGCGAAGAAGAAGATTTCGCGAATGCGTGGTCACACTCAACTACGACAGTGACAACGATAGCGATGGATATGGGAGCCAGTGGCCATGCTGACAACCAACCGCGATGGTACTATGGCCGACGGCTCACTGAGCCGGCGGGCGCGCGACAAAACGATGAGGCCACAGCTCTGCGAGAACCGTTTAGCCTCCCTGGCTTCGCTCCTGTCCCCGGACTTCAGATCTCAAGAAGTACAGATCCTCTTGAGCCGACCCAAAACCCCCAGTCACGACCATGCGCACGGCAAAAGCGCAGCAGCGGCACTTCCGTTATCTCGACCGCAGATGCGAAAGCTGTTCCTTGCACTGCCGTCAGCTTCCTCAAGGACGTCGCCATTACTCAGCTCCACACGAACGAGAACAGCAGGTCGAAGAGTAGGGAAAGACGGTGGGCTCATACTGCACGGTACATGGATTGTGAATAGCGACGCCTTCAGAGAGCCGTGGACGGCGGCGGGACGCCTCACTTGGCCTACGCTGGAGCATCTGTCGGGAGGCTGAAGCTCCTGCTGCTCCGATGCTATCTACATCAACCTGACCGAAACGAACGGCTGAGGGACATCCACACCAAGATCTGAGCAGAGGGCTTCATGTCGGTACTGAACATCCGCTTTCCCACTCGCTTCTCCATTGCCGCAAAGCTCACACATCGTATCTTGAACGAGCGCACGGGGGCTCCCGGAGCAGAAGCTGAAGGACAATACTGTTGAGGAGTTGGAAGCATCTACGAGCAGTTGACTGCCTCAACACATCTCGCGTCAGACTTGCTGTCTTGAAGCCCGCGCGGATGACGCTGCTGCTCTTCCGCCCGCCTAAGATCTCGCGGTCCAACTTTCCCGATGGTCAGCGCCTTCGCAGGGGTACTCTGGACAGTCTGATGATATGTGTAGAATTGTTTTTTGATACTGCGATTGAGGCAGGGTCAACGTCGAGCACGAAAGCATACCGGTGTTTGCCCGGCAGGCCTCGCTCTGCGAAATAGGCCTCAGGACCGCACATCTGCAGCGAAATGGTTGAAGGAGCCTTCGCATTGCAGTACACCATTTCAACGAGCTAATAAGAGCCTTCCAGAAGCGCGGCGGGCCAGTTCTGCATCTTGGTGGGCATGCAAAGGCAGTGGGTGGTGATGGATGAGATGAAGTGCAGTCGGCATACGCTTTTCATTCACCGGCCTTGGCGATCGAAATTTGGCTGCGCTATGCCACAAGCGGCAGAAATAGCCTTCTGACTGTGGCCAGGACCAGCAGCGAATGCGGAGCCCTCCTGCTCCATCGACTCCATCAACATGAAGGCCGAAGGTAGCCGGAACTGAGTTCCTCGCACGTTGACTGATAAGCAATTGCGCAAGCTATTGATACCGTATATATGTAGGCAGTCAATCATCCCTCCAGCAGTAAGTATCCTTCTTTCCTTCTCTGCCGGCGGAGACTCTTCTTTCATCACAATGAAGCCAGGCCTTCAAATGCCTGCGCCGGATGCGGTGCTCGTCAGCATTCTACGGAAGCAGAGATCGCCAGCATACTGTACACACCTCCTCCAGGATGGCGGCAGACGGCACTCGAGCCGGCGTAGCATCCAGACGTCAGCGCCGAAGGCACGGGCTGTAGTGCTGTCCACGGCGTCGATATCGAGCAGCACACAAGCGAGCGCTGCTCCCCCGCCCGGGGGATATACTGAGCCCGGCATGCTCGCCCTGGCGACGTTACCGCTCTCACAAGTCCTCCGAACCTACTGCATTACCAGCGTCTCCAGCTCGCCCACGCTGCTTGCAGCCTCGACCAGCATTCTCCGAGGAATGCTTAACAGCCGCAACCCTCTGTTCCGCATCGATACGAACCCGCTTATGCGGTCATTGTTGTGGCATACATTCTACAAGCAGTTTTGTTCAGGGGAGACAGAGGCTCAAGTGGGAAAGAGTTGTCAAGACCTACGAAAGCAGGGCTACGCCGGTGTGATCCTCGAGTATGCACTAGAAGTACTGGCGGACTCAGAAGGCAGTGAGGAGCAGGATGTGGCAGTCTGGCGAAAGGGAATGCTTGACAGCGTCCACATGGCCGAGCCCGGAGACTTCATCGGTCTCAAGTGGTCAGGTATGGGTCCGGAGGCCATGCGGCGGATGAAGCGGGAGCAAGAGCCGACTGAGAGAATGAGCGAAGCTATGCATGCTCTGTGCAAGGCTGCGGCAGAGAAGAATATTGCTCTGCTTCCAGCTGCTGAGGAGACCTGGAGCTTGACTGGCTTCCATGACTGGTGTCTTCGGATGCAGAGAGTCTACAACATCGGCGGTAAGAGCGTGGTGTACAGCACCTACCAGGTGTACTTGAAGCAGACCCCGGACATCATTGCGAAGCATTTGGAGAATGCTCGCAAGGAGGGCTACACACTGGGAGTCAAGCTGGTGCGGGGAGCGTATCTTGGTACAGACGATCGGAAGCTCATGCATTCCACCATCGAAGGAACGCACAACGCATACGACCAAGTCGCATCGGCCCTGATCCACCGAAAGTACAACGATGTCCTCCGCCCCGCCGAAGGAGCCCCAGACCAGGCTCTACCGCACGTCAACGTCGTCCTCGCCACTCATAACCACGAATCCGTTCAAAAGGCACAGTCCCTCCGGCGAGACCAAGCAGCTCGCGGAGAGCTTCTCACCCCTCTCACCTTCGCCCAGTTGCAAGGCATGGCGGACGAAGTCTCCTGTAGCTTGCTAGCCGCAGCGAAAGCCAACGTGGGCAACGACAAGGCGGTCCAGGAGCGAGTGTTCAAGTGCACGACGTGGGGCCCAATGTTTGACTGTTTGAACTATTTGCTTCGACGCGCTGCGGAGAACAAGGATGCTGCGAGCCGGACTCATGAGACCAGGACTGCCATGAAGGCTGAGCTCTGGCGGAGGTTGAAGGGGACGTTTTATATGGCATGAAGCTATGGTTGATGATATTGGAGGTTTGGTATTACTTGGGACATGGACTTTTGGATTTAGCGATGGCATTTGTTGGAGTTCGTGGAGGCGGACGAAGTTTGGATATCACGAGTTATATAGCGGATGAGGTGGATATGATACCGTATGAGAAAGGAGATAGAGATGCACAGATCTTTCAGGCCTTCCAGATCATCTACACTCGGCGGGTTTTCGCGGATATTGAAGACCATGGTGGGGATGTTGTTGAAGTGGTCCTCCGAAGTCGCAGGCAGACGGCTTGCGGCGGCAATGCTCGCCGCTTTCGTCCCGTCTTTCCCTTCCTTGTCCACCATCCACCATCCACCATTCACTATCATACCAGAAAGCCTACAGTCGGACTCGCGAGCCTGTACAAAGCCAGCAGACGGTCGGCAAGGCATGCCTTTTATCTCCCACAGCAGTTCCCTTCAATGTCTATGCCAACCATGAGCTCGGCCGCTCCCAAGTGGCATGGGGGCCAGATGTAGGTACCACGTACATTGTCTCGCAGGTGCACGCGCTGCAGAGACGACTTCAGGTTGCAAAGCGATGGCTGGTTCCAGCATTGTTGGGCGGGAAGTGCAGCAATGGTATTCCAAATCAGCACGAAGCATCCTCACTTGACCATCTCTCCCTCCTGGATCCTGGAGGTCGGAGCTTTACACCTCTTGCGAAGTAGGCAGGGCTGGTCAGGGTCACAGCGGTGAATGATGGAAAACGCAGGGTATTTGAACTTGAAACCGCACACCGAGGACTCCATCGAAACAGGAACGCAGACTCCCACTCTCTCGACTGAAGGCAGCTACAGTCATGAGCTCAGCATGTCCGACTGCTCCGACGCTCGAACGAATGACGGCTCGGACGTACCGCTGATGGACTCGGCGATAGCCTATACCTCCGGCTTTTCCAGAGATGAAGGAACACAAGGTCAAATGCGTGATCGAAAGGCTACTTGGTCGCCACAGCCTCCATCCTCTGCAGCCACCCGGAGCGACAGAGCCCTCAGGCATGCCTACGATACTCCGTTTTCTCGAGCGCTGAGGAGAAGCATCATCCATGTCGTCCCGATCAGCATCACCGGAGGTTTACGGTCGTTGAGTGCTGCCAGAGTATACTTTCGATGAGACCTGGACGACTTTGATGGTCAAGACGTCGTGCTTCAGGCTTTGCAATAGGCTGTCAAATTGCACGAGATCCTCATGAACATCTCGATCACTGACATGGTTCTCCACCATATCCGGTATCAGCTCATCAATGGAGCCGGTGTACCATTCGGCATCCTGAGCTCTGCGTATCAGCTGAGCGATATTACATACCTCGTCTAGACTGAATTCCGGTCTGGTTTAGGACCTCGCTGGAGACTCTTCCCCATCAAGCCTTTGGCATTGGCACTTCTCATTGTGAGCGGCTGTGTTCTGAGCCTGGTCGTAGGTCCCTCTTCTGGTGTGATGATGGTGAGTCCTCCAGAGACCTGTAGTCGGCTGAGAAGATGGTTCTTCGGGGCTGAGGAAGTCTGTGGACAGGTTCCGAGGCTTCCGTGGTGGATGCTGCCACGGCCCTTTGGTACAACCGACCTACGCCTCTTCGTATCCAATACAATCCAGACAGTACAATGGCCATCCAAGCTCGATGAATATCCCTGCGGCGGATGACGACCGTAAAAACCGCCATGTCAGGGCTCACTCAAGGCCTTGCGCTGGAACATGTCTCGATTCCTTCAATGGTGGCACTCACGGTCTCTCGTACCGCGTGAGCACGAAACTTGGTATGCCTCTAACAGACGCAATGTCCCGCTGCATGGTAATCATCCAGGCAGTTGCCAACGAACAGCCGAATAATGGCAGTGAAGTCTTCGCACAAGACCTCCACATCTTCGAGGCCGCTCACATGGAGGTCACAGCGGGCTACTTCACATGGCTGGATTATGCACTGGACAACAACACGGACATCTGGCGTGAGCTTGTTGTCCAGGTGAAGAGGTACGGCTATGGATGGTCTTTCGATGGTTTTCTTGTGTACTTCGCTACCGCTGCCTTACTCACGCAGGCTCTCCTTACTACCGTCCACATTGTAGCCATTTTGTCGGGACGTTGGACATCAAATGCTTGGAGTAGCATGGCCTCAATGCTTGCAATGGCACTTCGATCGCAGCGGTCTGCTGTGCCCGCTGACCTTGGCAATGGGCATGAGCAAAGCCGGGTATGGGCTGAGACTGTGTCGGTGAGGAGGGTTGGCACTGACTTGGAGCTGCAGTTGGGACTTTCGAGGGCCGAAACCTTCCTCTTGCTCGAGAGGTGATGCGAGGTGAAGGAGGGAGCTTTAGCTGTAACGATCGTTCTTTGTGTGGCTGTTTCTCGTATTCCTTGCCCGTGCTTGCAGCTCACCGTCTCACTCATCCATGGTGCCTCCTTCTGTTCCATTAAGAGTCGCACCTGCGCCTCTACCGTGCCTCAAAATATACCAAGTGAAGAGCTGTTAGCCCGCAGAAGTGGTTCCGTACGTACGACTATGCCGATAGTAGCATGAGACGGTCCACCCGTGATGCTCTTGTCTGACAGTACTGGCACTCATCCCTTCTTCCTTTGCCGCATCTGCGCCCTGATCTAACGAGTTGCCGTTTCATACCTCCATGCTCTTTTGACAATCTTCTTTGGCTGCTTCTCTGAAGTTCGATAGATCGTACCTGGACTCGGTGGCTGCGTGCGAGATGCTACTGGCGTGGTGATATTCGCATGCGATGAAGCCAGTGGATCGATCGACCTATGCTGGTGGCGGTAGGCATTGCGCCCTTCAGATCATTCGTTCAATGCATTGGCATCCTGCGTTGTGTATAAGTGGGGGAAGCAGGAAGGACCAAGTGGCCCTGACAGTCGCCTTGAAGTTCTCTGCTTGTGGAGGAATGTGCCACTACGGCCCTTGCATAGCTGTACTTTTCCTTGGAGCCGACACCTCGCTTGAAGCCAAGCGGTTGTAGGTGGCCATCAAAGTCCCTGTTCGTCTCTTTGCGGCGCCTTCATCTTCGTTGACCACACCTGCCTGTGGCATTCACTGCTACTGGGCCTACTCTTGCAGCGAAGAGGATAGATAGACTGCTACGTGCTAAGACTGTAGACGGAGCTCTTTGACATGTCGCTGAAGGCGACCATGTGTGAGATGTAATGCTCGTCTGGCCTGATCCAGCGCGGCAGCGGGCTTGCTACCATTGTCCGTCCAAGGGACGGGCGGCTGCATAGACGAGTCTTTCGGGCCTCGCTGAATGGCCTCGAGCGCATCGGTACCATACAAGCAATCTGTTCAGCTGGCAGTGTAGGGCTCTTGCTTTGCGCATGGGGTGATCAAGTCTCACTGTGCTGCTGGATAAGGACGACAGGAACCACGATGCTCCTAAGTCCACACCTGTCGCTCTGTAAGCTGGTGAAACGGCTCAGAAAGCCTTACCGCCTGCTCTTGACCACGATCTGGGCTTCTCGAGGCGACGAAGGGTATGTTGTTGGAGCGCTGGGTGCTTTGTTGGAATTGTTCCTACTGTAGAAGGGGCAAATTGCCAGCGTCTATCTGCTCGAGACGGGATCTATTGTGCTTCAAGACGGCCCGCCTGGTGCTGTACCGTCGCAGACCTCATGCCTATGGGCTGTTGTTTAATCTGCACCAGGGGGTTCAGGTGTGACCATGTGGTGGTAGGTGGCGAGAACTCTTCTTGTGCCTCGAGGTCCAATCTGCTGAGGCGGGTGATGTGGCTCTGCAGCACCGTGGCTGTCCGCTGAGGTGTTGGACTGAGGCTTTTCTATGCGCCGTGCACTCAGGATGTGGCAGTTGTTTCACGCGCCAGAAACCATTCTGCTGTGCTCGAGGTCTGCCCTGTTGCTCATGAGGAGGGCTTGAATGATCATGGAGAGTTCCGAGGGTGCTCCAAGGGCGTAGGCTGAAGTGCTGCCGGCCTACGCAATGACTGCGCCATACAATGAAGACATGGCTGCATCCGTTGTAGCTGGCTGAGAGCGACTGAGGCTTCGAGGCTTGATCTGTTGCTCTCCGGGATGAGACAAAGAGGGTCTACAACGTGTTGAAAGGGGCCACTCGATTGACTCGGGGGTGTCGGCCGCCGCTGGTGTCAGTGTGCTCTGCGCTTAAGACCTTGTTGCATCTGTAGTGTGTGGCGAAAGCTGCGGTGGTGCTCGTGTAGTAGCCCCTTCTGCCCTCCAAGTCTCTGTATTGCTTAATCTTGATCTAACGAGTTACTGGAGCGTAGTAGATGGGTCTCCTGTGATTGTTGAGCCTCCTTAAGGTCTTGACGAGCAGAACAAGGCCTTGTTATTGTCACAATGTCGCTGGAGGCGGAGGGCACGGACCAGGCGGCGTTCACTTGCTCATCCGCTTCCCCTCCTCCCCTCCATCGCCCTTCTATCCACACCACTGCTACTACCATTGCTTTCTTGCAACGCGCTCATCGAATAGCATACGGAGAGCAACCTCTACGTTCTGTTGAGCATGGCCCCCTTGTCATCGGCGAACAGCGCGCCTCGAGCCCGCCACGAGCGCAAAGCGACAGATTCATATGCTCTCCTCCGCGCCACCACACCCCCAATCACTAGCTACACCTGCAGCAGCTCATCACTGAGGCTCTGAACGCCCAGAGGATGCTTATGGCGCCCTCACTGCAGTGGTCTGCACGTGCAAATGCTGTCGTGGACGAAGTGAAGCAAATTTCGACCGCCGGCGTTGCTCCTCGGGCCCAACGCCAACGCCACCCTCGACCAAACACCATGAAACTTCATGGCAGTGCTGACCGCACCCAGGAGATGCTCCGGTGAGCTTTTCCTGTGTGATACCACCCTCGTCGTCGCGTACTGACAAAGAGAGGCTACAGCGTCTCCACGGCCAAGCTTCGCTCCCCCAAGGGCGGCGACAGTCACCTCCGCCTCCAACAACCTTCCACCTCGTAAGGAGACATTACCACTCTTACAAGGACTCGACAGAGAGCCAATAACATCGTCGCAGCATCCTGCTGCAACCTCAACCGAGCCAAAACTTCGACTAGCACTTGTCGCCACCCGTACAGCAGACATAACGCGACCTGCACACCACCTCCCTCGGCCTTGCAGCAACGACGAGAGCTTTCGACTGCGCATCTTACCAAGTGACGCGACGCTTCGACCGGCTCGCGCGCCAGCGCCTGATTCATTTGGTCAAACGTGAAGTTTCTGGCTCACGTGACCCTTGCGCTCTTCCGCGGCGACCAACATTTCAGCCCTCCATCTCGACTTCCTCATCCAGCCAACGCAGGTCTAGCGCCACCATCGAAGCATTACCCTCGGCTGCATACCGTGTGCTGTACCACGAGACGCTGATTCGAAGAACGCCCAACACCCTGGAGCAAGACGCAGACATACAACAACGCCACAGCCCTGGCCGCCACTGCAGACATCAAGAGCCTACGCCGGACAACAATAGCGAGGGTCTGCAGGAGCCGCAAACCTCGCTGCTCTCAGACAAGAATATACGTCAGCTACAAGCCATTCATCAACCAGGACTCAAGAATCAGCCCAGCCTACCCGGCATTACTCGGGACACTTCTGGACGGCCGAACCGCCGTCGACAGGCCACGCCTACTTGTTTTGCACAGTGGCTCGCTGATGACTGCTCTGGCAGTCACTCGAGCTGCTGTGCTTACTGGCTGTGCGAGAACACGAGCAGGATTGCGGGATCAGCTTTCGACATCGCCATTCATCTTCCCATCCTTCCTGCCTAAGGGTAGAAGCATGGCAGCTAGCTTGCCATGGCGGTGAGCCTTCAGGCCCGCATTGATGGATGTAGCTTGCCATGGCGGTGAGCCTCAAGGCCCGCACTGATGGATGACGGTGCCTTGTTGACTCGCTCTGGCAGTCACCCGGCATCGGCTTGATCTACTGTTGTGTATCTTGTTGCGCTGCTCTGGCAGACACTTAGTACAGAAAACGACGGGATGTTGCGCCAAGCTGCCATGCTGCGCTGCTCTGGCAGTCACTTGGTACAGGATGCGTTCTGTTTCCTTGATGTGTTCCTCTGGGAATCACCTGGTACAGACATGGGCCTATCTTTGGAGCTTGAAGGGTTTCTGTCGGCTATTGAAGGGAGGAGAATTGACAGCTGAACGCTCCTCGATTTGCTCGTGGGCACATGCTGTCGGTCTCCGCCTCCAGACCGTTGCCGCTCGCCGGAACCCTGCCCGAGACACAATTCGGTTGTGCTCAGCGGGCAGTACACTTGCGCTCGGTCGTCTGCAATGTGCACATCAATGCCTCAGACACATCTGTCCCACACTTGGCATATGGCACGCCGGCTGGTCCGCCACCGTAACACTACTGCCGAATGCGCTGGTGCGAGGCGGTTAAGATGACGTGCTGGGTCTCGCTTGCTCGGTCGAGTTTAGGCTCTCTTGTGCGTGAGGCCCTGGTCTCTTTGGACTTTCTGGGGGCTGTAGGATGTGTGGCCGGGTTGGATGTGCTTGCGAAGCTTGCTGCCGCTCGAGTCGACATCTGATATGGACAGCGAGGCTGGCTGCTCTACCATGAGGCTGACGGATCAATGGGTTACTGGGGCCACAGATGAGGTTCGGGTGTTGAAGAGGATGTCGCTGACAGCTTTGGCCCTCACTTCATCATTCTCTCGCATCCCGGGCCGCTTCATTCGGGTGAAGACGAGAATGCCTGTTGACTGCTCTGGCCGTCACTCCATCGGTCTCTCGTTCGCAGAGATGCCTCAGTCTGGGATGTAGATGGCGATGTTGCTGATTGCTCTGGCCGTCACTTCATCGGTCTCTCGCATCCACCTGATATTGATGGTTTGGTGGATCGATCTTCTGGGTTGCTGACGAGGGCGTTGATGATTGCTCTGGCCATCACTTCACCATTCTCCCGCATCGCCAGCTGCTTCGTTCAAGTACTGCGGTGACGCCTACAAGGCCCGCATTCGCAGAATCACCGACGCATTACCACCACACCATTGCCAGGAGTCCTTCAACCCGACCGCTTCTTTCTTTTCTTTCAGGCCATCAACCGCCTGCACCTTACGCCTGATACCCGGATTCCAGGACTTCCACTCCGATGGACTCGAGGAGACAACAGACATGCTCCGCATTTGCTCTCAGGCCATCAATCGCCTGCATCTGATATCAGTAGCCGCTGAGAGGCCTCCCGGCTGTAGTCATCATTGGCGTCACAAGCGACTCCAACCATGCGCTTGGCTGTCATCGGCAAGTATACTTCATACTCTTTCCTTCGCCCAGCTGGACTCCGACAGATCTTGCGGCAACAATTCTGGACTCTGGATTTACCCGCTCTTGATGACTGCTCTGGCAGACACTTGAGTTGGAAGAGCTTGATGGTGTGGTATCCTTTGTGGTATCCGGGAAAGCGGTGGGGTTACCAAGCTGGCCTATCTTTTTGCTCGCTGCTTCTGCGGCTCTCCATTTCCACGGATCAGGCCTCACAGGATTGGACGACACAGCTGGTATGCCATACGGAGGCCCAGCTCGGAAAGCTCGAATATCGCGAACGTAATATCGACGTGGATGACCGTCGGAGGGACTGGGAGCTGTGGTAGTGCTCTGTGGGGCTCCAGACGGTACAGTACCTTCTTTGATCGTCTTCTCCAGCTCGCTGACACTTCCCAGGATCATGCAAGAATGGATGCGGTTGTTTCGGCAGGGCTTTCGGAACGTGAGACGGGCGGCGGGTGGCGATGCTGTTGTACGGAGGGGGAGAGGAGGCAAGCTTTTCTGAGGTCGGCTTTCGGCTGGTCTATGGTGTGTGCTGAGGAGGGTGATACTGAAGACTCTGGAGGCGTAGCTTGCGAGGCGCTGGTGGATGGCGGAAGGTGGATGTACCATGATCAGGTGGGTTAAGCATATTTGTTTTCTTCGTGGGAGTGGCTTCAACAATACCGCTCTTGCTTGCAGCGTCTTCATATCGTGCTGTCGTACTGTCGCCATCGCTGTCGTTGTCGCTGTCCTCTCCTTGAAGTGGGTCGGTGCGCCGCCACCACAGTCGCTGCTCTTGCTGCCATGCTGCACCGGAGAATGCTTCCTTTCCCTCTCCCTCTCTCGGTCAGTATTATGGCCAGTCCCACTCAGCGCTAACGCCTCAATACCATCGCCGCCACCTTCAGCAGGAGCCTCCCGAGCGTTGCAGCTGGGTACGCCCTCAGCATCACCATAGTAGCCGTCCATCCCTCTTCGCCTGGCTGTCCGCCTGCTTGTCGCTCTGACCGACCCTCATGGGGAGGCGCCATGGGCTCATCAGGAAGACCGTCCATCCATCGTTCAATGCGCATACCCGGTAGGCCTTCTAGCCATTGCTCGATCTTCGGCGTGACCTGCTGGCGGAATGCTTGCGTCTGCTCTTCGTCGTAGTCGGACATGTTTGCTGATGGCTTGCTTGAGCTTCTCTCTTTGATTGTGTGCTCTGTGGTTGTTTTGCTCTTACTTGCTCGCTGATGGTGCTGTCCTGTCCAGATTCCACGGCGGATTGAGGTTGAAGTGAAGGTGGCGTTGGCTGGCTTCGCATGTACGATGATTGAGCACTTCAACGGATCGATCACACTTTCTACAAGACCTGCAATAAATGTTTCTTCATACCAAATCGCGCAAGACCATGCCGCATTTCACAGACCTTTTCGCGGCTCAAAACGCTCAGCTGCTGTTCGCTGGGCGAGCACATGATCGAGCAGACCAGCTTTAACGAACGATGGGGAACAGATACAGAAGGATCAAGGTCTCGCGGCAAGCTATTCAAGAGGAGGGTACTGCTACATCCATAACCAAGAAGCCCTGTCGGGACTCAAGTTCCGCCTGGCGCGCCATGCAACACAAGACTCTTCGATCACCTCTCTACCCTCACCCCTTCTACCACGGCATCATCGCCACAACAGCAAGTCGTCCTTTGCCTCTGCCTCGGAGCACCCAGAACAAATCATAATGTTCTCCCAATCCTCGTCGATCAGGAGCCTCTTCTCGAAAGCCTTGCGGTGTCGAATGCGAGCTTCGAGGCGGCGATTGAGGGAATCGCTGTGCAAACATCAGCAGATGCGCAACCATTGAGTGCTGAATGGGTGCTTTAGGACTTACACCTTCTTCTTATCCACGAACACGCCCGTGACATGCTTCTTGCGATCAAGTCTGACCGCCTTCAACGGCCGCGTCGTAACAACTTCGCCCCAGACCAGGACGAAAACATCGTACAGGACGATGTACTTCCTGCTGTCGAGCGAGTCGAACCTCAGTTCCCCGACAACGTCGAGACCCGTCACGCTGCGGATCGTTACGCGTGTGCGCTGTGCCGACGTCAGTAAGAAGAGCTGGGGCTGCTAGGCTTGGGGATGATGAAATACAGTCTTCTGTGCGAACCTGAAGGTGCCGCTCCTGACGTTCAGCTTGATCGCTGCAGGGCGGGTTTGAGCGCGTGAGCGCGAGTTGATCTTGCCGTTGATGGAGTACGGCATGGTGGTGGAGTCTGGTGGTGGTTGCTTGGTTATGTTTTTGGCAAGGTGGAACTTTGGAAAGAACCATCTTATATATCGAGCCAGTGATCATTGACCTATTGTATCGATTGGACTATACTATGCTCTTTCAGACTCCCTATTGTACACTGTGGAAGAATAAGAGCTCGATCGACAATGGTATGCTGCTGGTGCCCCGTGATCCGAGCTTCTGCTTGCCGGGCGATTGTACGCAACACAGGAGCCTCATCGCTGCTCCGAGCGATTGTTCATCAATCCAGGTAAACTAAGAGGACCACTAGATGATACATATCGTTCCTATCGTAAGCCACGACTCCTACTACGGTCCTGCGGTGCCCGCGGCGGCTGTGGACGATGGTCTTGACCCCCCAAGCTCCCAAATCTCCACCACCAGGCCAATCACGTCAACACCCACCCTGCGTCACCGTCGCTGGGCCTTAGGCCTCGCCACTGCTGCGTTCGCGACAGAACACTGGTGCATATGTCCTCACGCTACTGTAGACAGGCGCCCTGCCTGCCTTATAAGCAGTCGTTTTCCACGTTCTCTCCTCTTCTTCTTCTTTCTTCTTCAGCTGACCTTTTAGGTTACCCGACTTCATTCGCCCTGCCAGCCCCTTCTCTTTCCCATAAGACTGGGGCCTGCCAATGAGTCGTAGATCAAAAAATGATGCCCCAGCCGTGCAGGGTGGACACTGGGCTTGGTGTCAAGAGGCTGGGACATCATACAAACCATCAAGTCATTTCTTTTTCATTGCCTTCGTGTCTTCAGACATGGCTGCAGAGAAGAAGTCTCATGCTCCCTTTGCCTTTCCCCTCCCAACTCGTGAACCATCCAATGTGCCCCACACGAGATCATCATGCCATTGGCGCTCTCCGTATTGCTGAGTGAATGTTTCCCCCACTGTGTGAAAGTATTGGCCATAATTAAGCTAGCTTCGATGTAAGATATTTGCTCAATCACCTACTTCTTTACCTACCTTCTCATGTCCTACCTCTCGTCACTCGTTTGCTACGGATAGAACAACGATGGCTACGCCGCTGCAGGCGCCGCCAGGGCCTGCGGCATCATCGACAAGCACGACAAACAATGCGATCCTCAACATCACACGGCCGCAGCCGCAATCACAACCACCAGCACCGAAAGTCCCAGCCTCCGCACTCCAAGAAAAGCTGCTCAGGTTCTTCGACAAGCCAATTGAGCTATGGGGATTCGATCAGATCGAAGCTTTCAATGCCTTCAGTATCGAACTGAAGAGCGCGAAGACCGATCTCGATCCTCTCGAACTCCAATCAATCAAGCTGATTGCGAACTACCTCCTCCAGTGGCTCGGGCGCATGCTGTTCATGGATCTCCTCAAAGACGTCCATTTCGAATGGTTCGACGCCAACCTGTTCCCGCCGAACGCCTTCCTTGGAATGGAGCCACGCGATATTGGCGGAGCCTGTGGTGTCAGCACAACCGGCGAGTGATCGTCACCGTCAACCCGGCATTCCATGGTTGGAAGCGCTGTCCGAAGGAAAGGAGATGGGACATGTGGCTCGGTATACTGCTGCATGAGGCGACACATGCGATTTTCACTCAGGCTTCCATCAAGCCGCCATCGTCGCCGACAGACCACTTCGCAGCCTGGCACATGGTCGCGAAGGCGGTCGAGACCCGTTTCCTGACCGAGCTCGGTCTCGCGGTCGATTTGGCCCGTGGAGCTGCACTGATACATGAGTACAGCACGGGCTACCGAACCGATCTTACCGACGGCGAGCTGTTTCATTGTTTCGAGGGACAGTTCACGTACCGTCCTCACCCCTTCGACGGTAGCTCCGGTGCTCTGTTCGACCACGCACCCAAAGGCTATATGCACACCATCATTCCTTAGGCATGGCAGCTCCAAGCGCAGGACGACGCCAGCTACGACCACGACCGGATCACCCACTTGGCGTTGCAAGTCTTCCAGGAGACAGGGAACGATCTTGCCGCCAGTGTCCTAGCTTGTGAATTGAAGGTTCAAGTCTGGATGGCCCGCCATCCAAGGATGGGTTGACAGCTTCATGGGGCCAGGAGGAGCAGGCTTCGACGCGGCCAGTGTTCTAAGAGGGCTCAAAGCTTGACATGCTGGAGGGAAGTCTGCTGTATGATGTATCGTCTATCTGCTGCCCTCCGACTCCAGCGTGTAGGTGTTCTCAGCGTGCGTTCCGGAAGGATGGAAGACTGCCGTTTGCGCGAGGCATCAGCCGAGGGTTGATAGATTCTGCACGATGAGACTGCGGACACGGCTCGTGACAAGCTTGACTTGTACGCGGATCAGGCTTCTATACATCTCAGCCACAGGCCGGTAAATACAGGACTGTACACATCACATCAACTGTCGTTTACATACAGCTCTCGTCTTGGCTCATTCCGTATGCTTCATTCATTTGTGTTCAGAACACCGTCGGCGTCCATGAGTTGCCAGATGAAACCGCGAACACAATTTTCAAGAGCTGGTTTCAAGCCTCTGCGGTAGATGATAGCTCACACGGATGGGGAATATAATATCGTTCTCAAGAGATGGGACGAGATGAAGTGAAGTCAAGAATACAAGCATCGGCAAAAACTTCTCCCAAGCTTTCAACGCCTCACGTGACTATTCGAAGCATTTCGTTCAGGTCTTCACGCAATGCACCGGCGAGCTCGGATATCTTGAAAGCACAGAGACGGGCAGGGTGGTTTCGTGCCCTTCGGTGCGTTCGCTAAGACAGGAATACTGCTGCAAGTGCAAAACAATTATTACCTTCGGCCATCTACAGCACAAAACATCTTTTTGCCAACTCCGCAAGCCTCCACCCTTATGCTCACGGCCGTCGGTAAGGACACTGCTTTGGCTATCAGACGGTCCTGTTCCCCTTCAGCGCCTGGAAAGAGTACTGACGAGGTCTCTCATTCCCGAGCCCGAGCGTAGTCTACCACTGGCACGGCGAGCACGGCTCAAGTCCGTAGTCCCACTTCCATCCTTCTAGAGATCTTCGAGAAGGTGTGAGGGCTGCAGAGCGCACGCAGCCAGCCGCTGCAGGAGCGCTGATCAAACTTCGTGCAATTGGTCATTAGAAGAAGTCCGACGGGCGGTCCGGAAGTGATTGTCGCCACCTGCATCGGAGGTCGTACTATCTGTGGGGTTACACTACCAGGCTCGCTCGGAAGCGTGGAAGACATGTGCTGGTGGAGAGACGATGGGCGGCCGAAGTTTGCTTGCTTCTGGTGTTCCTGAGAAGGTGTTAGCAAGCTAGAGGCTCGCTTATGGTCGGCTCAGATGATTGACACATCGTCCCGTGATGGGCTATCGGTAGATGTTAAGCTGCTTCCTTCCAATGACACAACAGTAGAAGTTCGTCCCGAATCCTGCAGTCAGCGCCTCGGCTAGCTATCCGGAGATGGCAGCAAATTTGCAAATCGCCTGTCATAATCATCACAGCCTGAAAGCAGTTCTGGAGAGCAGCCCTCTTGGTAGGAGATCCGGAAAGGTACTGTCAACGGCGATGAGATGAACACGAGATGGAACATGGTTGAGATTGCCACTATCTCGCCGGCCCCATCTGAAGATGGTAGTCGGTCTTCGAGATTACATTTTGAAGATAAGCTCGCGACACGCTCTTGGACGGAAGCTTGTGGAGCAGGGGCCAAGAGCGACCAGGCCGGATTCGAGACCTCCAAGCCGAGCAAGCACGGCCAAGGTTACATCAAGTGTCGGCTAAGTGTCGCCGCTCTCCACCTTGCGCATGGGTCGGGAGTGGTTGGAGGTTGTCGGCCAGTGTCGCGTGCAGGCAAAGGATTGGAGCATGCGTGAGATGGTGGGAACACCGAGGAGGCGGGATGGCCGAAGCAGCATTGGGCGTGTCGCATATGAAGACTCCTCGCGCCTTCCTCTTGCGCTCGCTGTCGCCCTCACGTCCTATCTCATTACCACATATCGACGACACCCCTTCGTCGGAGGAGATCTGCAATCATGGCGATGAACCACGAGGATATGGCTGCCGAGTATGTCTTTTCTTACCTCCTGCGCAGTGTGCGCGCATTGGAGCTCGCGCTAACAGCAACTCCTTCCCAGAGTGCACGAGCAGTTCAGCGAGCGCCAGCCTGAGAAGGACCAAAGAGATGGAGTAGGCGCATTTGTCACTCGCGGCAGTGTCGACGCCAGCGCCGAGAAGGAGCGAAAAGAGTCCGAGGGCGGTGCTGTGGATCCCGGTGTCGAAACACCCGACGGTGAAGAACCCAATGAGTATGAGAAGGAACACTTGCGTCGCGTGGGCGAGAACCTTCCTGCGTCCGCCTTTCTCATCGCTGTGGTTGAACTCTGCGAGCGCTTCACCTTTTACGGCGCTCAAGGTCTCTTCCAGAACTACATCAACAACAAGCCTAATGGTAATGATGGGTCGCGCGGCCTCGGCCTCGGTCACCAGGGTGCCACTGGTCTCAATCTATTCTTCCAATGGTTTTGCTATGGTATGTCTGAACTTCATAATCACCGCACATGGGCAGCCACTGACTTGACTTCTCTAGTTACGCCCATTCTTGGAGCTATCATTGCAGACCAGTATCTCGGCAGGTACAAGACCATTTTGATCTTCGCTGGCGTCTATTGGGTCGGGCTGCTGATTCTGTGGACCACTTCGCTCCCTACGGCCATTGAGAATGGTGCTTCGCTCGGCGGTTTCGCAACGGCCATTGTGGTCATCGGCTTTGGAACTGGCGGTATCAAATCAAACATCGCTCCACTCATCGCGGACCAATACCAGCGCCACAAGATGGCAATCAAGGTCCAATCGAGCGGCGAGCGGACAATCATCGACCCGGCCATCACTTACCAGCGGATTTACATGATCTTTTACTGGTGCATCAACCTCGGAGCACTGTCACTCCTCGCGACTCCGTTCATGGAAAAGTACAAGGGTTTCTGGACTGCTTTCCTGATGTGCTTCTGCATGTTCAACGTCGGCATTCTCATTCTCATTCTCCGCCGGAAGTCCTACGTGGTCCGTCCCCCGCAAGGGTCCATCATCACCGATGCCTTCAAAGCTCTCGGTCTGATGATCACCTCACGCAACACGGAAGCCCCCAAGCCCAGCTGGCGCGCGGAGCATGGCAAGACCAAACCAGTCCCATGGAACGACCACTTCATCGACGAGGTCAACCGTGCCCTGCGCGCATGCAAGGTATTCGTGTTCTATCCCGTCTTCTGGGTGTGCTACGGCCAATTCTCCTCGAACTTCGTCACCCAAGCTTCCCAAATGAGAGGCCACGGCATGCCCAATGATGAGATGCAGAACTTCGACCCAATCTCCATCCTCGTCTTCATCCCCATTCTCGACCGCATCGTCTACCCGCTCCTGCGCCGTGGGGGCTACGAGCTGCGCCCAATGGCTCGCATCACCATCGGCTTCATCATGGCGTCATGTTCTCTAGCATATGCGGCCGGCGTGCAAAGCCTCATCTACCAGTCCGGACCCTGCTACAGAGACCCCCTCAACACCCGTGGTACTTGTCCAGCCGGCCAGCTCGCCGACGGCACCGTCGTGCCCAACAACGTCCACATCGCCATCCAGACCCCTGCGTACCTCTTCATTGGCGTGGCCGAGATCTTCATCTCTGTCACCGGTCTCGAATACGCTTACACCAAGGCACCTACGAGCATGAAGTCTTTCGTGCAGAGCATGTATCTCTTCACCAACGCCTTCGGCTCCGCGCTCAACGAGGCTCTGGTGCCTGTACTGGTTGACCCGAAAATCTTGTGGATGTACACTGGTGTCGCTGCCTTCTCTTTCGCTACCGCGATTGCTTTCTACGCCATCTTCCGCCATTATGACAAGGATGAGGAGAAGATGTATGCGCTGGACAGGGATTTGCCGGCGCTGACGCATACTGGGTATAAGGAGAAGGATATTGAGGAGAACCGTTCTGCAAACTCAAACTAGGCGGACGTCGTGCGAGACGGCGGCAGTGATCTGGATGCTATCAGTATACCCCACTCGTTCGATGTACGAGATATGGCTTATGCGTCTGTCGTATGTAACGCTGTACTATCACACTTTAAAGACCAGCCCCCTTCCACTTGTCACCAAGACCACCGTCCTCAACCCCTCACCATGCCCCTACTGCCCGCCTCACCCCTCGCCACCCTACTACCTTCCTCTTTCCTCACCTTTCTCAGCTGCCGATACTCCGGCTTCCACATCTGCTCCCTGATCCACTCCTCCAGCTCCCCATCCTCTGTCGGGATATCCTTCTCCTGCGCAAGGCCCTCCTGGACGGCTTTCTTAATCACCGCGGCAGCGATTTCGACGCTGATCTCGCGCACATCCGTCACATCTGGTAACAACGCTGCGTCCGGATCTTGCAACGCTGGTGCTGGGGCGGCGAGTGCTTTTGTGGCCGCGACGAGGAGGGAGGGCGTGAGGAACCTCGTTCTACTCAGCACTGCTCCCAATCCGACGCCTGGGAAGAGAGTAGCGTTGTTGCACTCTGCGATCTCACGCTTGCGACCATCCTTCATCTCGACCGGTGGGAACGGGCTCCCGGTGGCGGTGAGGACTTTACCGTCTGTCCAGTCGAAGAGGTCTTTGGGATCGGCTTCGTGCAACTTGGTCGGGTTGGAAAGAGGGAAGATGATGGGGCGATCGACGTGCTTCGCCATTTCTTGGACGACTTCTTTAGTGAAGGCTTTAGGTTTAGTGCTTGTGCCGATTAGGATGTGCGGTTTCACCTTCTTAACGATGTCGAGGAGGGATTTGTGATCCGCATCTTTCCACTCGTCATCGGGCTTTGCGTATGGGTGCTGGGCGAGCGTGAGGTCGTCCTTCATGCTCTCCAACAGCAGGCCTGGTCTGTCGACACACCAGATCTGCTTCATAGCGTCTCCAGGGGACTTTTCGGACTCCACGGCAATTGCGTCTCGGATTTGGTCAGCAATACCTGTCCCTGCTGTCCCGGCTCCGAACATCATGATTCTCATATCCTTCAGCTTAAGGCCTGCCACATGCGCAGCTGCGTAGATTGCAGCCAGCGTCACGGCGCCGGTTCCTTGGACATCGTCGTTAAAGCAAGCGATCTCGGAAGTGTACCTGTCCAGAATCTTACGAGCGTTCTGCAGCCCAAAGTCCTCAAAGTGGATATAAGCCTTCGGATACCGCTTCCTGCAAGCTTGCACAAACCTGTCAACGAATTCGTCGTACTTTTCCCCTCTTGTTCTCGGCCGCCGCAGACCAAGATACAGATCATCGTTCAGCAACTCATGGTTATCTGTACCGACATCCAGAACCACTGGGATGACTCTATTAGGATGGATACCCGCACACAAGGTATAAATGACAAGTTTCGCCACACTAATTAGAATCCCTCCAACTCCTTGATCACCAATTCCGAGAATCTGCTCGCCATCGCTGCAAGCGATGATGTCGACGTCTTCCGACGGGCCCCAGCGGTCGAGAACCCGCTCTATATTAACTGGTTCATCAATGGAGAGGAAGCAGCCTTCTGGGTGACGGAAGAGGCGGGAGTAGTCTGCTATTGCTTCCCCTTCCTACCTTGCATCATCAGTCATATCTCAGAAGAAACAGAAGTCGGACATCTCACAGTAGGCGTATAAATCACGGGAAACATCTCCCTCAAATGCTCCTGAATCAACCGATAATACAACACCTCATTCTGCTCCTTCATACTCGTCATAAACGTATTCTTCCCCAGCGGCGTCTTGTGCGTTTGGTACTGGTCGTAGGCTCGAGCGACCTGCTCGTCCAGTGTGTTGATCCGGGATGGGAGGAGGCCATCGAGCTCGAAGTCTTTGCGTTCTTGTTTGGTGAAAGCGGATCCTTTGTTGAGGTAGGGTGTGTTCAGGAGAGCGGAGCCGGTTATAGCGCAGTCTTGAGGGCCGGAGGTCGAGAGTGGAAGGTGGGAGAATTTGTTTGGGGCCATGGTGGTGTTGTTGGAGTGGGTGGAGTTGTCTTCCAGTAGAAGCTGTATCTTTTACAGCCCCTGTATCTACCTGTATTCTCCGGTGACCGGCATGAACGGCAACTGGGAAAAATCGAGCTGCTGGTTGATTTCCAAGTTATCTAAACTCGTATGAAGAGACTTGTCCTTGCGATCATGCTGTCTGTTTTCGAAGGTCAACACGGGCAGGAAGTCATGCAACATGACGTGCGGCGGACCTCCGCAAACTCAGATTGCTCACAGCTGCGAACCATGAGCGTAGAAGTCTCGTGGGTACATGTGTGACAAGGGCGTGCGATAGTGTTTCGTGCGTAGCTTCAATGTAGCAGTCGTCTACCGAAGCGTACTCTATGAGTGAGTCAAGTTGGCTATGTACATCTAGATCATCAGCCATCCCTATGCCTCTTCGCAGAACTCAAGAGCACCACGTATATCGTCTCATCATCAGCTGCCCTCTTCCTCCTCCGCTCCGTGCGCACGAGCATCAAGCGCCCCCAGCCTGTGAGCCTCAAGCATACTCTCCGCATCCCCCTCCTGCAACAACCGTCCATTCCCTATCGCAACCCCGTAATCCGCATGCCTCATCGCCTCCGGCCGATGCGCAATCGTAATCACGGTGCTCTCCTGCAGCTCATCTCTCAAGATCTGCTGGATCTGCACCGCAGTCTCGTAGTCGATCGAGGCCGTGGCCTCGTCCAGAATGACAATGGCGCTTCTGCGCAGCACAGCCCGAGCGAGACCAACGAGCTGCCTCTGGCCTTGGCTGAGGTTGTGGCCGCCGGCTTCTATGTGGGTGTTGAGGGTAAAGCCTTGGTTCTTGCAGACTTTTTGTAGGACAGAGTCGACTTCCGAAGTGGGATACTCGTCGAGCGGATCCAAATTCTTCAGCATTGTACCTGGAAAGAGAACTGCTTCTTGAGCCAGGAAGGTGATTTTGGTGCGTAGTACATGCTTGTTGACCTCTGCCAGGTTCATGCCATCGACGATTATGCGTCCACTTTCGGGGTTGATGGAGGCGAGCAGTGAAAGAGCGAGGGTACTCTTGCCGGATCCTGTGCGTCCGAGAATGACTGTCCTTCGCCCGCCTGGCAGCTTCAGTGACAAACGGTCCAGAGCTGGTGGTAAGTGCGGAGCATATCTGATTGTGACGCTCTCGAAGACGACGTCACCGCTTGGTCGTGGCCACCATGCTGGCGGATCGATTGGTCCCTTCGGCTCCTGCTGGAGATGAAGAAGCTCGACGACTCGCTCAACAGATACGAACTCCATCTGCAGTGATCCATACTGCCGGCACAAGTAGTGCGTGGATGTGACGAGTTTGTTCGCTGCTATCAGGACGAAAGCGGTCAGGCCAGCAGACACATTTGTGTACAGCGCCAACATCGTGAGTAAGAGGGTCGAGAAGGCTGACAAGACATCGTATCGGTACATCAGCCACGCTTGTAGGCTCCAGTAGAAGTGGTCCATCTTCTGGAATGTATCGACCACCCGAATGACTCTGTCCTGGAACTGCCGCTGGACGCGGAATGCTCGTACTGTCGTTAGGCCATTGAGCAGTGTGCCGAAGTTCGACATCAGAGGCGTCAAGGATACCATCTCCAGTCGGCGTAGACTCTGTGAAGTCGGGATGAAGCGAAGGAAGATTAGCACGAAAGCAACCGTAAGCATGATTGCGAAGACGAGGAAAGTTGGTGTGACCGACCCAATGACGATAATAGACGAGATCCAGGATATGCCGAGCCAGGCCACGGACTGGAACTGCTGTGAGATGTTCCCATCAATAACGCCGATATCCGAGGTCATGCGATTCATCAAGCGGCCCACCGGCGTAACGTCGAAGAAGCGGAAGGTAGCTCCAGCGACTTTCTGCATGATGGCTGCGAACATATTCTTGCCTGCGGTGTAGACGATCACGATCATGATGCCCTGTGATGAGATATAGATCAAGGATTCGGCCAGCGCTAGGACGAAGAAGCCTAGCAGCCATGGCTTTATGTTGACATCCGGAGAAGGTAAGTCGTCCACGTACGGCACTTTTATGCCCTCGACGTCGAGTGACTGGGTCAGGAACATGGATTGCGGCTTTTGGTCGTAAGCCTCACCCCAGCTCTTTAAGAACCAGGACTCCGCGATGGTGACGAGGCGATAGAATGCCAAAACCGGTATCAAGACTCCCCACCACAGAAGTCTGCCAGCTTTGACGTACTCCCAGTAGACGGAAGCTCTGACACCTCCATGCGCTCTGTGCTCGTCCTCGATGAACTTGTCCGGGACTGCGTCAGTGTCTCGCTTCTCAAGCTGTTCCTGAGGGGCAGACTGTTCACTCTTAAATCTGGTCAACGAGGCATGGGCATCTTTGCTCAGTTCTTCTTCATCCAGGATCGTGGAGTTGCCGTTGTCCATTCGGATTACCTGCGTAGCCAGCCGAGAAACTATGTCGGTGCGATGGGTGACAAGAACGACAGTGCGGTCCTTCAGGATTGAGTTGTACACGAAGCAGTGCTGCACGATATGCTCGGCAGTCTGCTGGTCAAGCGAAGCAAAGGGGTCATCCAGCAGGACGATCATCGCACGGCTGTAGATAGCTCGAGCAAGTGCCACACGGGCTTTCTGGCCACCGGAGAGGCCGACGCCGTTCTCGCCGATAAGTGAGAGGTCACCGGCCTTGAACTCCCTCAAGTCTGGCACAAGCGCACAGCAATTGATGGTCTGCAGGTAGCGTACTTCGTCGTATGGCTCGCCGAAAAGAATGTTCTCTCGGATGCTCATGCTCTGTAGCCATGGCGTTTGGGCACAGTAAGCAATGGGTTCTGGCGGTCGTAGTAGGGAACCATGCAAAAGATCGAGCTCGCCCAGTATCGCTTGCAGCAGCGCAGACTTTCCAGAAGCGACTTCTCCGCAGACAACTGTCAGGCCTTTCGAAAAAGACAAGCTGAGGTTGAGGACCGGCCTGCCGGAGCCTGGCCAGGCAAAGACAGCCCTGTCAATGGTCACTCCCTCATCTACCGCAGGCTCTGTTTCTCGCTCCTCTCTGTCTGGTTCAGCCATGTACTCTTCAATACGACCAACGGCAACCCAGGCGTTGATTAGCACGATGATCAGCTGTGGAAGATCTTTCAGACTGCTCGTCATCATCTGGAATAGCTGCATGGCCGGGAAGGCGATGTCGACTCGCAGAGGCTTGCCGGCGATGACGGTATATGCGAAGAAGGCGATAACGGGCGTAAGATCAAGAGCCAGTGTGTTGAAGAACGCAATAGCCAGATTCCATATCGAGGTGATGATCCGAAGGTCGAGCTCTCGTTGACGTGCATCCATGATCTGGGCCAGCCAAGCATCCTGCCAGCCATACCACCGTAGATGGCGGATAGCTTCGATCCACTGAGATGTGACCTGAAGCTTGCTGTCTGTTGCCAGTCTTCGCTTCTTCTCATAATAGATCATGACCTTTGCCAGTAATACGTTGAGGCATTGTGCGAGGATCACAGCCAGCACTGCAATCAGAGAAGGCCAGCCGAGGAGGTGGACAACAAGGCCGATCGAAAATATGGCGCTGAGTGGTTTCTGAACCAGGCCCTGGAACTCCCAGAAGCGCTGTGCAACCTCGTACACATCGTTGCGCATCAGGTTGAGAATCTTGCCCATGCTTGCTGGCTCTTTCCGAGGCGAATCCTCCTGCCGTCGCTTGAAAACTGATGTTATTCTCGACCAGGTCTGTTGCCAAATGCTCGCTTTCTGCTTATATGGAGCATCGCCGTTCATAGAGTGTCCATTGCCGTGCCCGTTGGTCTTGTCCTCTGAAGTGTTTGGCTGTTGGGCAAATCCCATCTTCCTGTTTAGAGTCTTCTCGAAGAGCATTGTGATCATCTCCCCTCGTGACCTCTCGTAGCACCTACGACCGTACCACAAGCTGAAGACACCTGATTGGGCTGCGATGAAGCGGACCGCAAACATAAGGCCAGCGTAAGTCAAGGCAGCTTGTTTTGGCGCTCCAAGGCTCTCCATTGACTTGAGCAGTTGCTGCAGGAGTAAAGGCCCAGAGAATTGCATGACTAGCTCCACCAGACCCAGCGCTGTGAGGATAAGCAGATCGATGACGTTCGCCTTGACCAGCCGTTGGACTACCGTGCCTTTGAGAAGGCGGAAGTTCTCGTGGAGCCTTTGATGGTGAAACTCGTAGGCCAGTTGCCACACATCTTCGTCTTCGAGTTGCCGTTTATACCCCAGCTGAATCAGCCGTGTCATCCAGGATACCGTCATGAATTGCCAAAGGGTGAGCTTGTCTTCCGGGCTTCTTAGAGCTGATGTCGGCTGGGTCATGAGCTGGCTGATGTCGAAAGTGCACAGGTGCGGATCCCGGAGAGGCATCGAGAGGATGATGGAGATTCCGAGCACGGTTAATGCAATAGTCGGGATGATGAGGTTCCCTGCCATTGTTCTCTCAAATTCCACATCAATGTCTCGTAGGCGGATAACGTCCACGATTCCTTGCAGGATGAGTATGGCGAGAATCGAGAATGGCGTTGTCCGTGGCCGATGCACCAGGGCCATCGCCGACGCAACTGTCCAAGGCACGACCGGGATGATGCTCATGAGAGCACCGCGGTTCCTCACGACTTCAGGCAGCTGAAGGACGACTCCAACGATTGAAACCAAGGCGAGAGCGGCCGTGAACATGCTTCGGCGGCGAGAGACGACATCTCCTTCGGCCGCATTTTCGTACGGCTCCTGAACAAACGGAATCGTCCATCTCGGCCGCCAGCGGATCAGCAAGAGAATCGATTGTACCAGGAGCAAGAATACCGCGAAGATGGCCGGTATACAAGCGACGACTGGCACGAAGCAATGCTCAAACCGGGCTTCCCGCTCGTTCCAGACGCCGGAGAAGCAGACATTTTGGCTGTTTGTCGCATTGGCAGGACCGTAGAAGTCCTCTCCAGCCAGTACTTGCTGCATGCTTGTTGTTCAAGTCATCGTCGAGATGGAAATGATGTTTTCAATCGAAGGCTTGGTTGCCTGGAGTCAGAAGCATCCAGCAAGGGTTCGGTGAAAGCTGGATTCAGCCACTGTCAAACGATTTCGATTGGTTGACCAGCTCGACGCGCTAGCGCATGTCAAGATTGAAGAGTGAAGTGGAAAAGTCGACTTCTTCTTTTCTTGAACATAAGGACGCTATTGGAACGAACCGTACAACTACTGCAATGTGTTGGCTGTCGCTCCTGGCCTCTTCCAACTTTCGCGCGCCCTCCATCGACTGAGTCAATCGGAGCAAAAGATCGGTTTCAAAAATCGTTCGAGATATCTGTGGGTTCCAGGTTCAATGTTGTTGCTCCTGCACCGTTTCTTCCAGCACCACTCCTTCCAAGTTCTTGCTAGATTTCCATTGGTCCGTCGACAGTCGACGCTAACGTATGTCAAAAGTTCACTCTCTTTCACTCTTTTCCCTTCTTGAGCACATCCGCCAGCTCGGAATCGTCTGGGACGAATCGCGAACTAAGACAACCTGGTTCGCTCTTATTCTTGAGTCTCGATCATTACAGTCTTCTCTCTCGCAACGAGGTACGATTCGATATATCGAGGAGTTTGCAAATTACAACACACTGCACAATTCCGAGCGAAGGCGACCTGTTCTGATACAATACCATCGCGCTCGTTGATACACCACCACGAAAACAAGCTCTTGACTGCCATTGGCCCTGCATGCTCTCACGCTAGCTTATGTCAAACCTTCACTTTACTCTTGACTCCAGAGTTGACTCTTGAACGGCAGCTTGCTTACAGGTATTTACAGCACCAAAGGGCTTTTGCAAGGACGAAAGCGTTGCTCCCGGCGGTGCATATCGGCTCTTGGGATTTACTTCCTTTCGACGACTGGCACTGGAGGAGCTCGACATATTTAGTTGCCAGTGTGGCGCTTTTCCCATCGTCTACATTACACGCCGTTCAGCCTTGAATACCATGCCCGCGAGCTGTTCCCTACCACCCTCTCGAACCAATCATTCTGCAAGACCATCGCTCCGTAGGGTGTTTCCTTTCCCTTGAACTCTGCTCTGCACTCGCCTGCGTCCCCGCACACAATCTCTGGTTGAATATTCCATAGCATACGCAATCCCTCTTGAACCTGCGTTGCAAGCCTCGTAGTTTCGCGAAGCTGCATCCCTCCGTTATATTGTGCAGCTACGATGTTGCCCTTCAGCTGCGCTGGCTTCTCAAAATGCTAGTGCTTGATGTGTGTTCTTGTAAGCCTCCAGGTGGTCTCCGTCCTCTGTTTGGCATAATGTCGCTGAATGGGGCGATCAATCTTTCAGAAAGAAGCTCCTGGTCCCGCTCGGGATGCAACAGCGCGATCTTGGGGTCCATTCCGAAGGAGTACCACTGCTCTCGCCTTGCTGCAAGCGAAGGGTCGGGTGGTAGGACTTGTGTCCATGGGTATAACGGTGGTTGGGTCTACCGTGCTGTAGATTCTGGATGACTTCCGGCGTTGGTGACTGATTCGTAACAGAACCACTTGTGCATTATCTCTTGCTGCATTTGCCCGCGGAGGATGTATCATGCCCCATGGCAGACTCAGATGCGTTAGGTTTGATCGTACCCCTGTCTCTGTTCGCCCTTAGGGGCATGGGTTGCTGCAGAGCCCAAAAGGCTTTCGAGCATGGACACGATTGAGGACTCTTGTTTGTCATAGGCGAGTGGAAGAAGTCGCAGAAGGCTGTTCGTTATGAGCGATAGCTGTGGTGGTCCAAGCAGAGGATGCTGTTCATGGTGCTGGCCTTCTGCTCGTTTGCTGTGCTGTTGTCGATGGCGCCGGTGCTGCGGCTGACGGAGAGGGAGCTGGTTCGGCGCAACTACTCTGCTGGTTGACTGTGGTGTCGGTTGAATCACGACTATAGCTGGTACCCCGACTGTCAGACATAGGATATATCAGATCGTTCTCAATGCTTGAGCCTATGAATGTTTTATCTTGATCACCCGCTGTACAGCTCGTAGTCGTCGAACCGCCGGCATGCTCATGTCAAAATCCTCTTGTGCGTCCTCAGGATGGCCTGCCGTAGCTCACGTCTGCATCAGTGGAAGTGCAGGCGTCTTCCTCGTGTCAAAGTCCTCTTGTGCATCCTCAGGCTTGCCTGCCGCATTGAGTGATGTTTCCAGGGCATGTGATAACAGAAATCCACCGTCAGGTCATTGTCGCCTACCGGTATATCAACTTCACCCAGCTTCGTGACCGTCACCTTCGACACTTCAGCAACCACACCATGTCGAGGTAAGTACAACAATTACTCCTACCAACTATCAGCGCTCGTCTGTGGAGCATATAGGACAGTCGTGACTTACACTTCTTGACAGACCAGAGCACTTCACACCACCGCCAACACCGGTGATCGCGCCGAGGCCGGACAGCGAGCTGTGAGTGACTTCGACGCGCTTGGAGATCAGTAGGAGAGGAGCGATAGCTGACCGATATGGACAGACAGCAGCCAGCGCCTCTGGACTTGGGCGAACCCGTAAGTGCACCTTCTCGTTTGTTCGTTGCTTGAATAGTCATCTCGGCATCTGCATCTCTCCCCCATACCATGGATCCTGGAGCATCCGTATTACCTGGAGAGGCTGTATCGGCACCCTTGCGACGACTAAGAAGCCGTTTTCATCGATACTCGACATACTAGATATACAGAGTGAACTTAGAGTCTTCCTGGCGCGTTCGTGCTAGAGTGTGCGACTTGCGGCCTTTCCATCCACACAGCTGTGTACTGTGCAGGCACCACACATCCTCGACAAGTCATACCGAGAGGACCATCATTGCAACGAGCAGCCATCGGTTGCTTTTAATGCCTGTTGGAGAACAGGGAAGAGTCAACGAGAGGAAGGCGGCCTGAAGTATCACTCGACTCTTGGCTCTCCCGAACCTCGGCTTTGGACTCTGCCCGGTCCCAATACACCACCAACGGACTTTCTTCCTACACTTTTGTTTTCTGAATTGTCAAGATGCCGAGATGACTGATTTTGCAGCAGCGCAAGAGCGCATCCTCGCTCGTCGCGCTGCACGAGACGCCGCGAACAATGCCGCAGCAACAGCACTAACCGCATCTCGAACAGAGCATCTCCTCCACCTCCCTCCAACCCTTCGAGTCCTTGCCCAACGGACACTCAACGCCTGGGACGTCGTAAAGAGCCCACACGGCACCAGACCAGCTTTCCGAGTCGGACAAGTCGACGCCGAGCTTCTGGACGAAGAACTGCTGCATCTCCTCAAGAACCAGGCGGGAGAAGGGCTCAAGCTGCTCGGTACGCACCTCAAGGACGATTGGGGAGCGGAGCTCAATGCTGGGCTGAGAGCGGTACTCTGGAAGCTGTCGATCTGGGATCACGGGGCGAGCTACGGCGCCTCTCTCCAAGGCCTCAAGTACATTGACGCGCGAAGATCAACCGCTGCGGTTGCGGCGCCAGCGACACGATTTCAGAGAGCCGCCTACGGGCTCCTCAACGTCGGCGGAAGATACGCCTGGACACGCTGGGAAGACCATCTCTCATCATCCGAAAACGGCTACGACGAGCCATCACCACTCATACAACGATTGAGCCGCTTAACCACCCTCTTCTCCACTACACAGAACATAGCCGCGTTCATCTCCTTCCTCATCTTCCTCTACAACGGCAAATACCGAACCCTCTCCGACCGAATACTTCGAATGCGCCTCGTCCCCTCCTCCAACCAAACGAGCAGAGAAGTCTCGTTCGAATTCCTCAACCGCCAACTCGTGTGGCACGCTTTTACCGAGTTCCTCCTCTTCCTCCTCCCCTTGGTCGGCATAAGCAGATGGAAGCGCTGGATCGCGCGAGCGTGGAAGAAGACCAAAGCCGTAGTCAAGAACATGAGCTCCGGCAGGCGAAGCGAAGATGAAGACGCAGAAGACGAGATACCAGGTGGCGAACTGGGCTTTTTGCCCGAAAGGACATGCGCAATATGCTACAGAGACCAGAACCCAACAGGCGGACAGAGCGAGCAGGATGTCATCTCAGCAGGCGCGAATACAGGAATCGTCGGCAACGCATCAACGGATATCACGAACCCCTACGAAACCGCCGAATGCGGGTGCATCTACTGCTACATGTGCATTGCACGGAGCATCGAAGCTGAAGAGGGCGAAGGATGGGTTTGTTTGAGATGTGGGGAGTTGGTGAAGGAGTGTAGGCCTTGGAATGGCGATGTGGAGATTCCGGTTGAAGAGCTGCCGAGACGGAGTAGCAGGAGTAGTCGGAAGAGCATTGCTTGGGCTGATGAGGTGGTTGACGAGAAGGATGGGGAGGATGAGATGGGCATGAGCGAGATGGAACCGATGCCTGTGGAGGACGACGATACCTGAGCATTGATGGAGCAAGGCGAGTTTTCAAGCTGGCCCAAAGATATATCGATGCCAAAGTACGTTCAAGCAGCTGGTTGAGGCCCGCATTTCGACTCAAGACGACGTGAGCCGGTCCCATCACTACAACAGTACCATGTCGAGTGTATTCATGCTAATATACTTAGGGGCAGCTAAGCGAATATCGTCCTCTCACGTGCTCAGGCGTCTGCTCCGCGGGCCTGGATCGACTGATCAGCAAAGCTCCAAGTCCATGGAGTTTCGGCGCTTGATCAACGTCACAGTGATCCCCCGCTTTCGATGAAGAAATACCAACGTTTTAATAACAAATACAGCCACCCAACTCCAACTAAAGGAGCACTTCTCAACATACAACGGTGATCAAGAGGCTGAGGTACTTTCTGGATCCAGGACACAACGTCGGCGCCCCTGCAGCGGCGAGAGTTAGAGTCCACTTTGGCCCAACGATCGCGCTAAACCACAACCTCCTGTGACCTGCGAACGAAACAGCACGATGGCGCCCTCAGATATCAAGGCGCTCGCCATGATCGGCTGCGGCTCGATGGGCGGCGGCATGGCGCTCCTCTTCGCCGAGCAGGGCGTCCACGTCTCGCTTCAAGACCCCAGCGCTGATCGCATGAACGCCCTACTCGACAGCGCGAAGAAAGACGGGCTGCAAGATAAGCTCAGCAAACACGACGACTACAAGTCGCTGTGCAAGAGCCTGGAAAGCTACAGTGGCAGCGGTGCTCCGAGGGTGTTTGTGTGGAGTCTACCGCACGGCAGCATTGGGGATACAGTATTGACGGGGTTGATGCCTTTGCTGAGAAAAGGCGATTGCATTGTGGACTGCGGGAATGAGCACTGGGAGAATTCGGAGAGAAGAATGGGAATGTGTTATGTCAAGGGCATTAGATACGTTGGATGTGGTGTCAGTGGAGGCTATCAAGCAGCGTGAGTCTGTACCACCGATGACGACCAAGCTCACAAGACTGACATGTGTGTAGACGACGCGGCCCCTCCATGTGCCCCGGCGGTGATGACGACTCCCTCTTCTTTGTCCTCCCTCTCCTCGAGCAAGTCGCCGCGACAGCCCCAGATAACTCTCCCTGCGTCGCCCGCATCGGCACCGGCGGCGCTGGACACTACTGCAAAATGATTCATAACGGCATCGAGCACGGCATGATGTCCGCAATCAGCGAAGCATGGGCGCTCATGGCAAGAGGCATGGACATGAGTTTAGATGATGTCGGTGACGAGTTCCAACGCTGGAACGACAATGGCGAGCTCCACAACACCTTCCTCGTCTCCATCGGCGCCGACATCTGCCGCAAGAAGAACGACAAAGGCAATAAAGTCCTACCAGAAGTCGAAGACAAAGTCGTACAAGACTACACCGGCGAGGAAGGTACAGGAGTCTGGTCGAACGACGAAGCCATCGAGCAACACGTCCCGGCCCCAACCCTCACAGCCGCACATTACCTGCGCATAGCCTCGGGCGACCTCGCGCAACGCCGCGCCATCTACGACACTCTCGGCAAAGCCCACCCACCGCAGAAACTCTCGATCCAAGACCAGAAAGCCTTCCTTGAAGACCTCCGGCAAGCCGTCTACGCCGCCTCCCTCGCAGCTTACGCCCAAGGGCTCATCATCATCGATAGAGCGAACAAGAGCAAGAACTTCAACATCAACTACCCGAACCTACTGCAGATCTGGCGTGCTGGGTGTATCATCCGATCCGACTACATCAACCGCGAGCTGCTGCTTCCGATCTACAAGCAAGGACCATTCGTCAACCCGCTCACGGACCCGACGTTCGCGAGCGAGTTGAAGAAGATGTATCCAGCGCTCAAGCGGGTTGTGATGAAAGCGATGGAGGCGGATCAGGTGGTGCCGAGTTTGAGCGCGAGCTTAGAGTATCTGAAGTACATGACGAGTACGGAATTGCCGACAAGTTTTTACGAGGCGGAGCTGGATTATTTTGGGGCGCACAACTATGATCGGAAGGGTGAGGATCCGGAGGGGAAGCCCGAGACGGGGAGGCAGCATTTTGAGTGGAAGCCTGCGTGAGAATGCGCTCGGCTGCTTATTAGAGACAGGTGGACTGAATGTGTATCGAAAACTATTCTACCGCAGTCGACCCTGGGTCGGTCTCCATCAGAAGTCTCACATCCGAAAGACCCGATCTTGCGTGCTCGATCAATGTCCGCCGGCTACTCGAAACTGTCTGACAGTCGCCGCCTCATTCGGGGCGCATTGCGACCTTGCGCTGTGTTCCCGTTAGTCCAACCATCATGGCGCTCATCAACCATCTCGGCCATCCCTGGTAACCGTTCAAAGTCATCCGCCATTTCGCTCCTCAAGGTAATTTGCCACGTGTGATCGATGATCTCCGCTTGCTGGACAAACTCTCCAGGGCAGTCGGGATCAGGCATCCAGTACGCCTCCCTAGTGACGACGAGATGCCTTCCGATCTTCCACTGGTACGCCAGGAGTCCCCAATACCACAGCATACCCCACAGAGGTGCCGTAATGCCCACCACCGGAACAATGTACCAAGCCTGGCCAGTGGCCAATCTGTGGAACGGTGAGCCAGGCTCTGGCGGAACGAACGCGGTAACGAGCACGAACGCTGTGGCTGCACCGAAGACAATGACGTGCAGCGGCGATAGCCATGGTCGATATCGGCGGCGCTCCTGCCAATGCCATCTCGACTTGCGCAGCTTGATTCTGAGAAGACCGATTGACACCCAGCAACCAATGAGCGAGATGACGGTGTAGCTGTACAGAGCGACGAGCGCGGAGTACGACCTGCGAGGGTCCCGGATCGGCGACACCAGCACGACGAGCAGTACCGACGTAAACCAGTGCAGAGCGAACGCTGCAGTGGGTGCTTGCTCCACATCCTCCTCGCGCAGGCGACCTCGGGATAGCCATAGTTTGAACAGACCGTATGGCGTCTTGTACGAAGTGGCGATGTGCAGTGAGAAGGGGAGGATGCCTTCTTTGGCAATCTCCTGCTTCACACGGGCGGCGGTGAATGTCATGACCCACAGGTTGCCGAAGATGGAGACGGCGATGATGGCGGCCATGGCATGCGAGGCCTTCTTTTGATCGTCTCCGAACAGCTTGTTGAAGAAGAGGGTCGCGATGTCCGCGCTGGAGGGTTTTCCGCCTAGTGGAGGGATGATGTCGGCCTTGTCAACCACCAGCAGGTATGAAATGTTGGCCATCATGTAGAGGACGACTGTGATGAGCAAGCCCAATACGGTATACTTTGGAAAGTATCTCCGTGGGCTTTTCACTTCTGCAAGTACGTAGAACGGCTGTTCGTAGCCCGAGAAGGAGTACATGCAGAGTGTCAAGGACCGGGACCTGAAGACGTTAGCGAAGCTGTGGCAGGGAAGGTGGGACCAGCGTGAGCGCATTATCTACGTACCAGGATGATACGCCTGCTCGGTTGCTCTTCCAGACATCTTCAATGAAGTTGTTCCGAACGACATCTCCAGGACCCCCGAATCGGCCAGCCGCATATGCGATGGCCAGACAGACCATGACAACAAGCGCGCCAACCTTCAACACCGCGAAGGCATTGTTGATCAGGATCCCACCCCGTCTGGAGAACGTATGCAAAAGCACGATCAAGGTCAAAACCGCAATGGCGATCCCAAGAACAGGACCGCGGCTGGGAATACCATCTGGCGAGAGACCATCGTAATGCCCTGATGCCGTCATAACCTGGAGCCCGAAAGCTATGGCGTTCGTGCTCAGGTTGTACATGAGGACAAACATCACAGCGAAGCAGCACGTCGTTCTGATGTGTGGAAGCCGGAGATCAGAATCCGGAAACATGAACTCCAGGAAGTTCTTCTCGCCGCCCGACCGTGGGACGCCGCGAGGCTCTGTCTCACCTCTGACTCTGCGCTGCGGTATCGAAAGACCGCATTCGAGCCAGACGTACAGTCCGCATATCGAGATCAGCGCTCCGGCCGTCCATAGGAATAAGGCTCCGCCGACACAACCTGCGCCTTGGAGGACACGGTGTGGTGTGAGGAAGATTCCGGAGCCGATTGAGCGGTTGAGGATGAGGGCGACGATGGTCCATTTGCCGATTTTGTTGCGTTCTTCGGGGGAGTAATCGAGTCTTTGGTGTTCGTAATCGAGCTCCTCGGTTGATGGGTGGCCCAGAAGCGCTTCTTCGTTGGCGTTCAGAGGCATTGTGTTGAGTGTGTCTGATAGTCGCAAGCACTCAGGAAGGCTACAAGGGAGACTTCTGGTTGATATCGTCCTAAAGATAGCCCAGCCTTGCGACGAGACACATGCGAAGAGCTCCGGGCAGTGAACATGGCATGCGCAGGAACAGCTCTAGACTGATGGCTGAGTCTCCCCGTATGCACTCGAAGGGAGCTTCCTGCAACGCTGGACGAATGGTATGTGATGCAGCGAGCAATAAGCCACGTGCCCAGCAGTCTCCGGATAGCCGGACTAATCAGGTGCAGTCAGGCTTGCCAGCCTTGTCTGAAGGCAACCAACATCACACCACGCCAAGGCAAGGCTGTCGCTAACTCGAACTCAAACGACACTCGATATGCATCCGCCCCCTCATTTGGCTATATCAGGCATTGGCCAACCGCATGAGGCTGTGATGACTTGGCGAGGCGAGAGCTCAGTAGAGTTGCCGTCGCAGATGCTAACGTGCGATCCTTCGGACGCAGCGTCCTTTGGAGACAGGTCAATATCATCGGCGCTGGGCCGCGTCGCCGGCATTCTTAGAGCTTCCGCTCCTCGCGACAGCATCAGAGACACCGGAGCAGGCTAAACTAAACGACCACACAATGGACTCGGGCTGCGACGACCTTCGCAACGGCATCCGGCTCGCGAACGAGTTTGAGCAGAAGTGCGCATTGGAAGAGAATTCGACAGGTAAGAACCATGCGGAGTTGTCGCAAGAACACCCACTAACGAACCATGTCACCAGACGTGCGCTTTCACAATCTCCGAAACGATATATCGAACCTCGGAGGCCTTCTCGAGAGGCTGCAATACGCATTACAAGATGCGCAGCGACGATACCTCAACCGTGGAAGAAGCGTCGGCGTACGTGTGTACGAGCCCTTGTCCGTTGACGTCGAAAGTGAGCGCACGTCTATGGTGGGCAACTTCGTAGACACCTTGAATGAATGCAACGGACTTCTGGAAGACAGCAGAAGAGCTCGGCATGGTCGTCATCCGGCTCGACAAGAGCAGCGTCTGGAAGCACTACGCACTCGTAACCAGCTTCATTCGGAGAAGATAGACCATGCTCTTGATCGTTTGACGGTCGACTTGTTCACGGACAAAGATGGCGAACTGGATAGTGCGGTTGCCGTGGAGGGCATGGCTGGTGGCCATCATTTGGACGACGCACTGAGGTATATGAATGCCAACATCATCACGGCGGGGTTCAGAAAGTGTTTCAGAGCAGGTGTCCTGGTAGATGCGCCTGAGGGTACCGAGATGGATCTGCGAATGCCGGAGACGTTCGATGCCATCCTCTTGCATCTACGCGAGAGTACAGGAGGGCCTGACCAGACGCCAGAGAAGTACCTTGCGTTCTTGAAAGCATGTTGGCTGCTCGAACGGCTGAAAGCAAGCGCTGACTACCGCGGCGCTCGGGCGGGATACTACTACAAACCCGCTGTCCGACAGGTTGAACAAAAAGTCCTGGCGAGATACCGGCGTCCTGGAGGGCTTGTGGCTTATCGTGAGGCGAGCCTTCTCAAGCTGCCGGAGAGTGCGTTTCGCATGTGGCCGTTGTCGACAGCGCTCACGATGCCGGCTGAGGATGATGCCACAGGTCACTTCGACCTGCTCGCACCTCGCGCCGATGAACACTTCGTCGCTTGCATTCCACTTGCTTCAGCTGCTCGCGGACAATTGTCAAACTCTGTGACTATCTTCAGAAGCTCCGCAGAGCGCTTTCGACTGGTACTGAAGAGCACAGTTCCCTCTAGACCTGGTGAGACGACCCTGATTCCTCTGTCGGTACACAGCTCTGAGGATGCGCTCATACCTCGCTACGCAATGCCGACCATAACCAATCCAACGCTAGAAATGGCAATATTCTCCCGGCACGAGGAGACGCTGTTCAAGTTCTCTACCTTCGAGGCGCTCCACACGTTCCAAGCTGCCCTCACAGGCTACGACGTCTCTCACGATCAGACGGACATACGGTCCCAATTCAGCGACCATGTGGACTTTCTTGACTGTGTTGGACGTATGCAATTATGGCAGGAGCCTATTATCCTGCGAGCCGAAGCAGACAGCGACGGTTCCTCTCACCATCGAACAACTCAGTCGCAGAACTCGCTCGCAGTCCGATCGTCTTCGCGACGAGTGTCGCTACCATCATCCATCTCTCCAACCACAACAGTCCGCTGGACCGCCGGCGGCTGGGAGGCAGATCACATCAAACTTCCAGCCATCGTGATATTTACCCAGCTTTTCGATACCCGGAGGCGAACTCGCTTTGCCACCATCTTCATCGAGCTGAAACGAGGCATCTACATCGATGCCACGGAATGCGGATGCTGCAAAGACTACGAAAAGTGCTCTAAACTCGTTCTAGTCAAGGAGAGGAAACTACCTTTTACTGTGCGAGTGTCATATTCTGACGGCGATGCCCATGGCCGGCCGAACCCGAATACATTCAACATCTTCCCTTTCCGTCTCCCGCATCCACGGACCTTCCGCTCCATTGAGACGGTGAACACGGAGTATCTGGTGCTAAAATTCCGGTCTCTGCTGGAGAAGCAGCAGTTCCATCAGGAACTGGACTTGCGGTTTTGTGTGAGGGATAGGCAGTATCTGGATCAGCGGGACTTCGAAGAAGAGATACGGCGTCGACAAGAGCACCCGCAAGGCCGGCCGCGGGTGTCTTCACGGAACTCGGATCCTTTTCCGACGCTTTCCCGACATCGGGTCGTACCGACGGTTGCGCCGATTATAGATGTTCCGGATACTGGGCCTGCGTTGGATGATGCGTTTGCTAGAGGATCTATCTCGCCTTCTGCCGGACAGATATCACATACCAACCTCGTACACCGTGAACTTCCTCGAGATCAGGTCGGTCGCTCGAATTCTTATGAAGTGAACGGAAATGCCGCAATGCGGCCCTTACCTTATACTCCTCCAGCGCCGGAGGGACCATCCTCCACCAGCGCCCGGAACGACAGCGTAGTCCTCCCAAACGAGGTCGGAGAGCAGATCGACCCCTGCCTCGGCCACGAGCTACCCGCTGATCCGATGAACCACAACGAGCTAGCACACAATCAGCATAATGCTTCACGCCTTGCAAACGAATATTACAGCGCACCCGAACTAGTCCGCTCGCTGTCGTCTCTGGCACCGGAAGCATACACTCCCGCGAGAATGCTGTACCAGGGCCCTACTGTTAATGATTCGAACGGTGGACAGCGGAGGTACCAACAGTCAGTAGAGGGGGATTTTGGATACGTGGAGGATGACAGAAGGGAGTCGAGGAATAGGAGTGGGAAGCAGAAGGTTTTCAAGTTTTTGCGGCGGAGATAGTCATAATGGCTTATTGTACAAATAAAGGCAAAAACAATTCGATGTTCAGTCGTATCAACTCCATCCTTGTCCAGTCCGACGAAGTGATCAAATTGCTCTTGACTGCAGGCCTCGCCTGCAAAATCCGACAATGTCTGACGTGGTAAGGCAACTTGCCATCAGTTTTTATCCGCTGTCTGGACAGAGAAATGCCAGCGCTTGACTCGCTCGAATCTGATTGACGCTAGTGGATGTTTGGTTGAACGCAACTATCGACATGCCGAAAAAGATGGAATTGTTGGAACAGAAGTTGATTTCGCATACAAGTTTACAATGCTTCATTGCTAGGCAGGTCCATTGGCCTTCAAATTTCGACAGGAATTTGGTGACAGTCTGACCGTTCTACGCCAGCGATTTGAGCCATGCTCGCCTCCTGAACGCTGAGGCTCAGCGCAACATGGACATCCGGCGCAATGAGCAATCTATACCATCCCGGGCCTTGGACTTGGAGAAGGGCTCTGAGGTGTGTCGTACGAAATACCCAGTCCTGCTGGCGAAAAAGTAGCCTACAAGTCCTCCACTGCCTAGATAGGATGATGCCAGGCTCTTCGCTGGCCCCAATGGCTACATCCTGATGCGGTCTTGCCAGTCAGGCCCACGACTATCTCATTTTCGCGAGGCGCAGTGCGATATACAAGTCAGCCAGTGATGGTGACCGGACTACCAACACGACCTGCGTTAGTCAAAGCGCTTGCTTGACCACGATGAGGATACCCTGGACTATGTTGGTTGCAGACACTGTCGGCCGGCTCCAACATGAGTGCTGATCTTAGCACGGGCGTAAGCGTTAATCGCTCACTTGGTAGCGTGCTTGTTACCTTGATCCGGACCAACGAAAGCGCCGCTCGACCGCACAAGACCTCTCCAGGAGCTTGTTGCAGCGAGCAAGCATCCACGAATAGCTTGTATGATGTTCACGACCGCGGTCAACAGCACGCTCGATTTTGGGAGGATCGCAACGATTTAGAACAGCACTCTGACGACGATGATGACGAATCCTGTTGTTGGGAGCCATGAAAGCGCAATGGGGCCCAGCCGGTGCGATCCAGGCAAGGTATAAGAAGGGTGCAGTATCACATGAAAATTGACATCAAGCAGACCGTACAGCCGTTTACGAGAACTCACGCCATCCACCTCGGACAGCTTCAAGCCTCAAACGTCCAGCACTCTTCAGCGCAATTGCCTACCGCCTCAAGCCTTCACGATACCAGACGTCACTACCAGCCATGAAGACCACCATCTTCACCACATCCCTCCTCGCCACCCTCTCCGCCGCCACCCCCCTCAAGCGCCAAAGCGGCTGCATCGTCCAAACCGTCATGAACCCCAACTCCAACCAAGCCAAAGCCTCCATCCAACAATGGAACAACGACGTCAAGAACGTCAACGCCTTCCTCAACGCCGTCCCAAACCTCATCAACGACGAAGATGCTCTCCTCTCGGAAGCCCGGATGGCTCTCACCAATGCAATGGACGAGCCGTGCCAGCTCATGACGCTGGCTTCGCAGTCGGCTTTCATTCAGGCTCCCGTGCCGGCATTCGATTGCGCGGTGGAGGATTTGATGGATGTGTTTGAGGTGCATGTGCTGCAGAATTTGATGGCTGTGATTGCGGACCCGGGGAATGCCGAGGTTGCGCAGGCGTCGGTGGATGATATCAATGCTTTTCGATGCTGCAATGTTCTGCCTGATGTGAGTCTGTCTTTCTCGAGAGTGTTTGGTCAGCTGCTGACGTTCTTTCTTCAAGGTTGACATCTTGTTCATCAACTCCGCAGAGAGTGAAGGCATCGCCAACCAAGTGCCGCTGTCGGTAGGACGGGAGGATGCTTGCGCCGACATTCAGTGCACGAAGAAGTGCAAGGCGAAGCAAGGTGCGAACGGGACTTGATCTGCTCAGGGCTGAAGAGCATGATGAGAATGCTGCTTGGGCTGGGTTTGGTCGCACGGAGTCTGCTCGTCATTCGGTTCCATAGACGGGGTATGTTCTGCTTCATCATGTTTCAGCAATTCATCTTCATCATTCATTCCAGGACACCTGACTACTTGGCTTACCGGTCAGAAGCTTTCTTACTTAGATGATTTCTGCCACTGCCCTGGTCGCTCTCTTCAACGACCATCATCCATCCACCTCCACCAGCAGATAAAAGCACTGTACATTACAAAATCGGTCAGCAGAACCAGCTACCTCGTTACCATCATTCGTCCCCACCCACCCACCGCCAACGTAAGTTCATTCCCCACCCTCAAAACGTGGTCCAGACCGTTACAGCACCGCCGGCCTTCGACAAGACACCGGAAAATTCAAACGTCCTTACCACTACCGCTCTTCAACGCCCTAAAATCGCACAACCGCTAGTGCGCCAGTGATCATGACCAATCATCAACTGGTAGAGGATTAGAGGAGATGCCTTCCCACCTGCGCATTTCCGTAACCATGGTTCAGCTTCACAAGGTCGAAAGCCTGAGGTCCACGAGATGGAGTTGGCGTGTGAAGTCTCCGTATCTTGGGAAGTCAAATTTTGCTGGCCCGGGCTGGAATGCTCAGAGTCGGTTGGTGAAAGGTATGGAACACGTGAGAACTGAGTGAAGTTGAAGACCTCGGTATCGCTATGAATTAACCATGTCATGCCATGCCATGCTATGCAATGATGCCCAGATGCTTCGCCGGAAAGTCAAGAAAGACAATCAATCGTGCCTCCCTCAAGCACCTAGCTAGCCAGCCAAAGCCGCAGGGGGAGCCGTCCAAAAAGCAAACGCACAAAAACACAACATCCACACCATTTCTCACACCACCCTCTCCCCTCTTCACTCTCAGCCACCTCACGTTCCCCCCTCCCCCTCCCCGTCAACCCCACTCCCCGCACTCCCCTTCCCCTTCCGCGGCCCCTTCTTAATCCCCGCATCCCTCCGCCGAAACAAATTCTTACTCCCCGGCGGCCTCCCCTTCCTCGCGCCTACACTCCCCTCCCTCCCCTCCCTTCCCCCCTCACTAACCCCACGCCCAACCTCACCAACCCCTCGCAACTCCTGGATCCTCTTCGGAACATTCCCCATAACCAACCCCCTACCCCTCGCACCAACGCCGAGAGCCGTGCGCAGCGGGCCACCCAACGGGGTAACGCCGCGATCAGGCGTCATCGACGGCGCTTTGCTCGTCGCAGCCGTAGCGGACATCCTCTGCCTCTTCCTCGGCGCCTCTACAATCCCATCAAAGCGGTTCACAGGCTTAACCGCTCTCCGGCCAGCAGTAATCTCCTCCTCTCCAAAATTCCATCCAGGAATCGTGCCGTTGAGAGCGCCCGCGCGCTGACGACGGTTCCGCAGTTCGCGACCTTCGGCGTCGCGCTGGATCTTCTGGGCCGCGGGGTCCTGGAAACCGAGGCGGCGCGGGTCGTAGGCGTAGTCGTAGAGGTCGGCTTCTTTGCGGTCTTCGAAGATTTGGGGGTCGATGGGGGCGCGGCCGCCTTTGGCGAGTTTGCGGGGGATGCGGGCGTGGGGTGCGGTGATCTTGTCGAGGTCGAGATACTCTTGTTGGATCTGGTCGAGCGCTTGCTGGGTGTTGGCTGCGAGGGTCTTGAGGTTGTCGAGCGAGCGGGAGGCTGGGTCGAACTTTGTAAGCGACTTGACGAACTTGTCTGGGTTCGTGAGCGGCCTCATACTTCGACCCAGACGTTCAGTGGGATCAGCAATGTACTCGGACGGTGGTGACCAGTCGTCGCGGTAGAGCTGTGGCAGATCCTCTTCAGTAAGAATGTCCTCCTCCGGCTCCAGCATGCGCGGCTTAGGCGTCGGTGCCTTGCTCTGTCCATTCGATGAAGCTTTCGTGCCATTCCCATCCTCCTGAGTAATGTACGACCCACGCTTGGTAACTCTCTTCCTCTTGCCCTTCGCCTTCCCACCCGCCTCCTCATCCTCCTCCGCAAGATACTCCATCGCACGGGCAGCAGCGGCCTCACGCTCCAGCTGCGCCTCAGGACCACTCTTACGACTGACCCGCGGATTGTGAGCGGTCTTCTTGCTAGCGTTCATGTTGGCCATCTGCAGGTCCTCAAACTCCGCCTTCGTGATCCTGCTCCACTTGCCACCACCACGATAGTGGAACTTGGCGTCGGGAAACTTGTCTGGTCCGTCAGCCTTAGGTACAAGCGCAGCGAGGTCCGGAAGTCCTTCGGGCTCCTGTTCAACCTCTTCCTCTTCCTGCTCCTGCTCTTCGTCTTGCTCTCCACCATAAGACTTTTCACGCCCGGGTCCGCGGATGGCAGTCTTGCGTGACGATCCAGGAGGCGGCAGACCCCTTGCCCACCGTCCCTGCCCGCGGTGGTGGAAGGTCTCATGGGGGTGAGCAGTGACGTAGTCAGTATCGACCAAGCCATCCGGCGCTTCTTCCTCTTCCTCCTCCTCCTCCTCCTCATCTTCAACCTCTTCCTCCTCCCCTTCATCCTCACGCACAGCAGTAGAAGCCCTCCTAGGCCCTCTAGCATAGCGACCCTGCCCACGATGATGGAACTCCAACTCCGGATGAGCATCAACGAAAGCTTTGCTGAAAAGCTGTCCATCATTCTCCTCAACCTCCGCCGCAGCCACTGCCTCCGAAATCTTCTTCTTCCGGTTGACCGCCCACTTCTCCGGCGGCGGGCCGCGCATGTACTTCGCATTGCCGCGGTGGTGGAACTCCTCCCTCGGATGCGACAGCACATACGTCTTGCTGTAGATCGTCTGGTCGCGCTCGGGCTCGATGGAAGCAGAACCAGGAGTGGCGGACTTCAGGCTCTCTGCAAGAGTCTTGCGCATGTAGCGCCCTTTGCCACGATGCACCCATTCGACCTCAGGGTGATTCTTAGCGTAGGCTTTGCTCACGGTCACCATCTCCTTCTCATCTTCCGAATCGCTTAGATCTCTATCCTCATCCGGGACCTCATCACCATCATCGTCATCATCATCAGGTTCCTCCTTCAACCCCTCATCAGGCGGCCCACCAAAACGACTCGCGCGCAGCCCAGTAGCGTCCGCGCCAGCTCGGTACCACCCATTCCCACGATGGTGAAATTCCACCCCCGGATACAATTCAAGTTGGCTGACGTGAATCGTAGTGTTCCTGTTGAAAGCATACGAACCATCCGGCAGGCGCTTCGTAGCATGACCTTCAGTCTCGCGCTTCTTCGGGTTCTTCATCGGCGGGCGGCGACCACGCTTATACCATCCGTTGCCAGTATGGTAAAAGCGCTCGCCGGGGTGGCTGTCGACATACGCCCTGTCGAAAGTCGGGTTCTCGTCGTCGTTCGCCATCTCGTTGTCGCTGTCCGGTTCTTCGTTACTGTTGTTTTCGTCGTAGTCGACGAGGTTGAGATTAGAATTGCGTGAAGAACGTCGGTCGAGGTCAGTCGCAAGTGCGCTCCCGCTCAGCTTGGCACGGCGTGATTGGCGGGCGGAGGACATATTGGGCTCGGTGTTGGTCTGTGCGTCGATCACGCGGCGGCGAAGTGAAGAGGTTCGATCCTGAGGCTGCTGCTCTTCGGCAGTGAATGACGAACGGCGCTTGCGCAGCGATCGGGACTGTTGGGGGGTGACCATGTTTGCTTTTGCTGCTGAGAAATCTTTCGATCGGGATTCTCGCTGTTGTCTGGATCAACGGGGGATGTCAGTCACAAAGGTCACGTGGGTGAGGGTGGCAAGCACGACGGGATGATCACTTACGGCTGTGATGATGGAGTCTGAGTCAACGCTTTGGCTGCGGGTAAAGGCAAGTATCGTCCTTGACCCCGATGCACCCATTTGATCTCCGGATGCTGAAGTGTGTACGCCTTGGAGTAGGTACCACGCGCATTCGGTCCTTCACCGTCAACGTCGTCGGCTTCAAACTTGTGACCGGCATCGAGTGAGCTTCCCGTCTTCACTCTGCCGTCTTCACTCCGATCCAGCCTGAGCAGAGCCTGTCTCATAGCGGCAACACCAGCATCGTCCTTGGCTCTGATGCTGAGCATCCTCTTCGCCCGGACCTCGCCGACGATGTGCTTCTTGCCCTTCATCATCTTTGGCGGCATCATCGAATCCGCAGGCTGTGTTGTTGGAATCCCTGCTGGTCCAGAAGCAACAAGGATATCTGATGAAGTCGAGGAAGACGACAGATCTGAGGTGGCCCGGCGCAGAACGTCGCTCTTCCGGTGCCGTTTCGTCGACTTGGCAGAAGACTCCATCTATCAGTGAAGAAAAAGCTATCGACGGGCGAATGAAGTCGACATTGATTTTGCTGACCTTGAAGATGCTGCTGTGAGGTGCAGTTGTTCGACTAGAAAAAGGCGACCGAAGGAGTGGATGCGTCTCGCTTGCCAAATTGCGACGCTTGTCCGCTTTAGCAGCGCGCCAACGCTTCGGCTCGTCGATGGTCGTTGCGTAAATTGCTTGATCGGTGATGGCGTCTTTTTCTTGGTGGTTGAAGACGTCGCAGAGGTTGGAAGACGAACGATGGGTATAAGAGAGATGCTGTTGCATGTACGAGGATCAATGGAAGACGGTGAGTTTCATTCGTTTAAGCTTAAGAGGAAAGTGAGTGACGTGTTGGTCGATGAAACAGACTAAGTGACGACAACAGCTTCACTATCAAGACTGCAGAATCGTTCAACAACTACAGAGGTATAGTAAACACTCACGCACTAAATATATCTCAAACTCCAGCGCCTCGCCCTCATTCTATCCTCCGCCCACCATCAAACTCAAACACCCGGTCAAACCCCCCTCCCAGCAGCCTCCTCAATAACCCCCTCGCCCCTCTCCTTCGCCTTCACCAACCCCCTCCCCTTCTCCCCACTCCCACCCTCCCCCACCCCCATCCTCCTCGCAACATACCTCTGCGCCACGACCCCAACCCCCAAACCCAGAACCTCCTCCATCCACTCCGCAACCCATTCGCGGGGGTCGACGCCGCCGTTCTCCAAGATCGCGAGGATATCCGCGGGTAAACCGCCGTGAGCTTCATCGGTGTCGGATTTGGCGTCGAGCCAGGAGGCCCAGCGGCGGGGGAAGGGTTGGGAGATGATGGAGAAGGAGAGGGAGTGGAGGGGGTCGTGGAGGTAGATGGCGAACACCACCAGCTCCTCTTCGCCCTCCTCTTCACCCTCCCCTTCTCCCTTCCCCTCCTCCCGCGCATCACCAGCAAACATCTCCTTCTCCCCTTCATACGCGATCGGCTGAACAGCCAAAAAAATATCACTCCTCCGCACCGGATTCTCCCCGCCCAAAGACTCCGTCGCCTCCCGCGCCGCCTTCTCCACACCCCCCCTCGCCTCGAAAAACTCCTTCGCGTAACTCTCCGCCCCCACCCTCGCGAGGCGCGTACCCTCCTTCAACCCCATCACCGCGCCCAAATCGCGAGGGCGGGAATCGTCGCGCCACCAAGGGCCGTCTGACCAGCCGCCGCGGGAGCCGCCGAGGACGGAGCCGGTGTAGGCTCCTTGGGAGGCGCTGCGGGAGCGGGACTCGGAGCCGCGTTGGATTACGAGGAGGTCGCCGCCTTCGACTTGGGACATTACTCTTGAAAACGTCGAATAGATCAACGGATCCAAGCTCGGGTAGTTCAGTATATCATGCGTAATATGGATCTGCAACCTCTCGTGCGCGGAGATCGGGGGGGCGATGTGGCTGATCAAGGAAGTGAATGTCGGGATAGCTCGCGAGCGAAGGTCTTCGGAGAGGTGGGAGAGGTTGGCGCCGTAGCCTTTCACCGACGAGGCCCAGCGGAGCGCTTCTTCGTTGTTCTGCAGGTCTTTGGCGAGCGTGGAGGCGGAGGTGAGGGCGGAGGTCGCGGTCGCGGTCGCGGTGTTGAGGAGGGAGCCCCAGGACCAGCCGCCGCCTGTGCTTTTCTGTTCTGTGGGTTGCGGTGGTGGGGCTTGTTGCTGCTGCTGCTGTTGTTGATCGGCAGCAGGGGTATAGCTTTGGTGATAACTCCTCCCCTCCCCGCTCGTTCTAGGCTGTGCTTGCGTAGGCATACTCCTCAGCCTGTCCTCACTATTCCTCCCACTCGCCGTCCCCGAACTCGCCGGCGTCTCGACGCCCGCTCTTCGCGGACTCTTGCCCGTCCCGCTTGTCGTGCTCGAGCTCAGTCTCGGCGTCGTAGGTCTGGAGCCTGAAGCAGGCTTCGCTGCGAGCGTCTTCTCCAGCTCGCCGAAAGGGTCGTCGTTCTCTTCTTTAGCTGGAGCATTGGAAGGTTTGGGCGCTGGCTTGGGAGGGCGGTCGGAGGTGGATGTGCGGGTGGTGGAGGGTTGGTCTTCGCTGAGGCCGAGTTGGTCGAGGTCGGCCAGGAGGTCGTCTGCTTTGCGGGCCATGGTTCAGCGCGCAGGGCGAGCTTAGGAGGGCGGAGCAGGTTGTCTGAAGCGGAGGGTAAGTAGTAGATAGCAGGAGGAAGAGCAGCGCCGTGGAGTAGAGTAGAGTGCAGTAGAGCGGAGTAGAAGATACCCAGGTCCTACGACAGAGCTGGTGGCCGGACCGAACAGCTGGTGTCGATTTATTCCAACAGCTTCCCTGCGTTGTGTTGATTTCTTCGTCCTTTGGACAGTAGTCGTCTCTGAAGCCAATGCTGGTCAACGTTTGGTGTCTCTCGTGCTCCCCAAGAAGCTCAGGACAACAGCTCAGAGCAGCAGCAACAGGGGTCCTCCACCACTCAGTCCGGGGAAAGTGCAACCTGACTCGCTACCCCAACCCTGGTCCTCAGCCCTTCCCCCTTCTAACCCCCTTGGTATGCTGGCGACAGCGACGATATGCACCTCTTCAGGCAATAGAACAAGTGGCCGGGTGTCAGCGATGATATCTGTGCAGTCCACAGCCTCATTCTTCGTAGTCTAAAGCCCATACCATCGACCCGTCTTGACTAATATCTTAGCTACACATGTCCCCCAGCAAGCAAAACATGATACCCCAGCGAGAACCCATCGTCCATCATCGCCTCGCCTCTCAGCCCGTGACCAAAACAACAACAACGCAAGACACGGCATTGTTTCGATGATTCACGAGAGAAGAAGACGTCGACGTGAAAGCACCATTGACTCCAATGAGCTCTCTACCAAGCTATCAAACATCTACAATCATGCCATGCCATGCCATCAATCATCCCACCCTCCCTTCCACGCCGCAAAAACGCCCGCCACCCATCCAGCCAGTTGAGAGCGAAAATGCAGCAGAAGAGACAGTTTGAGGACATCGACATGGTCCATTTCTGTCCATCCCTATCCCATCGAAAGCACCACACCTCCCCCTCCTTCCTCTCAGCCGCGGTAGAAGTCAAGCCTACGACATGACCTGCTGACTCAACCCACTAGCCCCCGGCTGCTTCTTCCTCCGCCCAAGCATCGTCGCATTATCCAAACTCAACTCAAACGCCCCGGCCTTATTCTTCACCTGCCGCTTCGCCGCCGCCGCCACCTCGGGACTGTGCTGTCCATAGCCCCTGGCCGCAGGAGCCTGCTTAGGCGGAGGCGCCGCCTGCTGCCGTGCCTGCGCAGCCGCGCTCAACGTCGTATTCCGCATCTGCCGCTCCATGCCGCCGACATCCGGGGCTCCGCCACTCTTGGGAAGCTTCGCGGGCGGGTTCTGCTGCTGCGGGTCGTAGGGTTGGGAGACGCCTTCGTCCTCGTCGTCGTCGTACTCCTCGTCGAGCGCGTTGAGCGAGTTCATCGGCGCACCCCCGCGGTAGCCTTGCTTGAAGTTCTTGCGGCGCTTGCCTTCTTCCTCTTGTCGGTGGACCGAGTAGCCGACGTCGAAGACTTCGCGCAGGTTGACGGCGCCGGGGGAGCGGAAGTCCGAGCGGCGGGCGCCGAGGGGGGTTTCGTCGAGGTAGGCGAAGTCGGGCTTCATGGGGGACGGGCCCTTTTCGCCGACGGATTGCGCGCCGCGCATGTAGAGGGGGGTGGCGAGGGGTGGAGCGTCGGCGGCGGCGTACGTGGGCTCGTTGCTCTGGCGGATCCAGGGGTGGTTGAGGAACTGGCGGATGTCGTAGCGCTTTTCGGGGTCGACGGTGAGGAGGTGCGATACAAGATCCTGTGCCGACTTGGAGATGTCGTCCCACCACGGCGACAGGAAGGTGTATTGACCCCTAGCCACCTTCTCGGTCAACACCTGAATGCTTTCGTCGTAGAAGGGTGGGAAGCCGCAGAGAAGGGTGTAGAGGACACAGCCGAGCGCCCACATGTCGACACTCTTCGAGTAGCGCTCATCCTTGACAATCTCGGGTGCAGTGTAGCCGACGGTCCCGCAAGGGGTCATGGTCTGGCTGTCCCAGATGACTTTCGAAAGACCAAAGTCGGCAATCTTGATCTGACCAATACCGCCCGCGCCTTGGCCTAGGATGAATTCACCTTCGTCTGCCTTGTCTTCATCATCGGGTTGTCGGGGCTTTGGGTTCTTGGTCGGAACAAATGGAATGGGGTAGAAGAGTAAGTTCTCTGGCTTGATGTCACTGGTATACTGTTAGCTTGCATCCTCAAATCGAGACATGTTCAAACTCACCGATGAACGACACCAGCCTCCTCATGCAAGTATTCTAATGCCTCTGCCACCTGCGTGATGACGTGACGGGACAGTTCTTCGCTAAAGTACGTGAGACGCACGATCTGATGGAACAGCTCGCCACCAGGGCAGAGCTCGAGGACGATGTAGTAGTATTGGCGGGACTCGGAGAAATCGACAAGCTGGGTGACGTTGGGGTGGTCCAGCTGTCGCATGATCTGGACCTCTTTGAGGATGTTGGCTCTCTGTCGGACGTGACGTCAGCGGCCATAAAATGCAGGAAGTGGTATGAATGTGAAAAGGACAGGGGAGATGAGGGGACAACGAAAACGAGACACTGCGCACCTCAACCGTCTTTGGGGCTTTCGCTTCGAAGTCCTTGTGCAGCACGCCGCCCTAATAGGCCACAGAGGTTGGCAAGATATCTCAAAAAGTTTTTTGACAGAGAAGATGCTGTACTCGGACAGAAGAATCGCATCCCAAACATACCTGTGTGGAGTTCATCTCGTACTTGCGCACCACCTTGATAGCCACCTCGTTGTACTGCCCGTTGTTGTCCTTGGCGCGGTAGACGTTGCTGAAGGCGCCGTCGCCCATCTTCTCGAGGAGTGTCCATCGCTCCAGGCCGGGGTATCGGGGGAGCTTGCCCTTGCTCGCTCGCTCTTCGGCTACTATGCGTTCGAGGACCGAGGGGTCGTAGTCTTTCTGCTTCTGATCCCGCTTCTCCTTCTGGTCGACGGCTCGGGCGGCGGCGTGTCCGGCTTTGGCGGCCTGATGTCTGTTGTCGACGGCGGCTGCGGAGTAGTCTTGCTGCATCTGAGGAGCGTTGGCTTGCAGGGGCTTGTGCTCGTAGACGTTGGGATCGCTCATGGCATAGTTGTCGGGTGCGGGCTGCGGGGCGGGGTGGTACTGCTGAGCGCCGCCGCGGTGTTGCTGGGCGTGGACGTTGGTGACATGGGTGGTGGGCTGGTCGGGCGGCGAGCGGGCATCACGGGCCTGCTTGCCATGGCGGATGAAGTTCTTGAGGTTCTGTATCGTCGACATGATTAGGTGAGTGTGTGCTGGGTGAAGAAGATGTGCTAGTAGAAACAAGCAAGAAGTGGAAGAAGAGGCAGGTGTGTGTTGCTTCTGCCCGACGATGCACCCGGTCCCGTGATTGTGCGAAGGATGAAGAGGTTGATGCAGCAAGGTGCAGCTGGTGGAAGTGTATCTCGCTTGCTCCCAGTCGTGCTGCTGTGACGTTTGATGCCAAGCCATACGTCATCCCGCTGAAGTTCAAGTGGGAAGGCGCGGCCGCGTGCGTTCGAGGCAGGCGGGACGACGAACGACGATCCAGAGGCTTTCCATCGTCATCCTGCTTGAAGATGTGCAAGATAGGTACGTGTACGGTACCGTGCGGAGATGATGTAGATGCACAAGCAGAAGCAGAAGCAGAAGCAATATGAGAGAGACGCTCAACTCACCTCCACCGGGCTCCACGCCGACATGGACCCGGACGACTTGCGGCTGCTGCGAGATATGTTCGACATGCTCCGCCGGTGCCTGTTGACCTGAGATATCGTTTCTCCAAACATTCCTCTTTCTTCTTCTCCACTTCCACCTCTTCAATTCGGTCGTATGGCGCAGAACCAGCGTAAGTAGCCCCCGCAAGCACTCCTATCACCAGGATCTCGGGTCTTCCACGATGCCGAGCGAGCGAGTCCAACACAATAACACCTTCTCCCACTTCTTCCAGTTTACAAGATTCAAGGTCACGAGCTACACGAAGCTACACACTCTCCTTACAGATCTATATAATGTCTCTCGTCCATCGGCTCAACCAGGCTCCTGTCCCGCCTGCCGCGAGCATCCGAACGCCCATCAGCAAACACCTCACCAAGCCGTGTCGCGAACAAACACCGCCATCTCGCGTGGCCAGCAATAGCTCCACTGCTGGGCTGCTTTCTCACGCGATGCAGCAGGCTACGTTGTTGTGGGGTAGATGATGGATAAGCAGAGCTGTTGGACTGCAAGACGACTAATGCACTACATCAGGTCCCTGAGCTTGGCTCTTGACGTTTAGCTGCAGCAGCTGACCAACAGAGTGGACTTCTTACTCATGAGAGTGAGAGGCCCGGTATCCGGAAGCTTGCATACATGGTATTTGCCTATGTCAAGTCGACCGCTACCAGAACTGCTGAGCATCCCAAGCAACTTCCACTTGTAGGACAGCTCTCTCACGGAACGACCACGACAAACTTCTGCGCCGAAGCACCAGCCGCCACCCGGTCACACGCCTCCTGGCAGTACTCCAGTCCTGTGCCCACAACCACCGGATCCGGCTTGCACTTCAGCGACTCATTGGCGAGCGCAGCCGGCAACCACTTCTTGAAGATCGCTGGTCCAACCTCCGAGTCTCTGATCTCGTAGGAGACGTCTGGGAAGTGTTCAGCAGATATTTCGAAGGCGTCTGGCAATATGCGCTTACTGTTGCCAAACCTCACCCCATGCGGCAAGTCCCTTTTCCACGGCATCATCCCCGGCACAATCGAAGCAACCATCTGCTTTCCCCCAAGCTGATGCGCTATCTCAGCACACTTCCCGTACGTATCCTCAAACATCACCGAATTAAACTGTCGCACCCATCGTCAGCATCTCTCTCCTCTTCTCTCTCTCACTTTCAGAACAGCACTCACCGCCCCCGCAAACCCACACCCCCTCAACATCCCCACAACCTCCTCCACCACCCCCTCACTCCTATAATCAACCACCCACTCCGCCCCTAAACCCCTCACATACTCCAGATTCCCCTTCCCCGCCGTCGCAGCGACTCGAAACCCCGCGGCGCGGGCGGCTTGGATGGCGCAGCTGCCTACGCTTGAGGAGCCGCCCCACACTAACAGCACTTTCCCTTCCTCAACTCCTTTGCCTTCTCCCTCGATCTCCATCTCAGCTTCAGGGAACGGTAGAGCGAGCCCCTCCGACCGTTCGAAGATGCCGTATGCAGCCGTGCTCATGGCGGCGGGGAGGACGGAGGCGTCTTCGAACGAGATGGTGTCCGGGATTTTGGCCGTGAGAGCGGGGCGGAGGTTGCTGAAGCGCTGGAACGTTCCCCGTCCGCACAGCAGATCCGTGTGGTCGCAGAACCCCGCCACCTTATCCCCGACCTCGAACCCTGTCACCTGACTTCCTACGGCGGTTACTATGCCTGCGGCATCTGCGCACGTGGAGGTGTTAGCTCGCTCTTTCTTCTTCTGCCAGCGTGGCCCTGCGCTGAACAGGCGCTGAGTTGACTGACAGTGGGGGGGAGAGAGGGAGAGAGGGATGAGGGACGGGAGAGAGGGATGAGGGACGGGAGAGAGGGATGAGGGACGGGAGAGAGGGATGAGGGACGGGAGGAGGAGCTTACCGCACCCCAGTATCGCGGGATATTTCTCCACAATAATGCCAGCGCGCTGGATGGCGCTGTCGGCGGGATTGATTGCGGTGGCGTGGACGCGGATGGTCTGTTCAGGGCTTTCAGTATGGCTGTTGGGCAGACTGGGTGGGATTGGGACTGGTAGTGGGAGTGGTGTTGGCTTACGATCAGATCTTCGCCTGGGTCGGGCATGGGGGCTTCGTCGACGACGAAGGGGTGCGCTTGGGCTTGTTTGATCCATGCTGCGCGGTTCTTCTGGTCTGCAGACATCTCGACGATTATGGGGAGGTGTTTCAATAGGCTGGTATGGCTGTTGGGCTTGCTCGGAGAGGTCGTGGGAGAGAGATGGAGTGGAGATGACAGAGGTACTCTTGAAATTAATCTTGTTCACGGTACATGTATTTAAGCAGCAAGCGTCCAGTTTTCGTTGTGCTTAATTCCAGGTTCTGAGCGGTGTTTACTCCCTTTGCTCCGTCTGCACATACATTGATCTGGACTTTGGTTCGCTCGCAACCAATGGCTGACCATAAAATGCAGCGTCAGTGTAACAACATCGGTCGTCGGAGGCTCATGATACGAAAATGTGGTTAGCGCTTGCAATTTTTGCGAAGATGGGTTAGTGCGTTGCCTGTTTGGGCAATGTCTACCATTGCCTTGCCTGGCCGCATGTAAAGTAGGGAAGGTCGCGACGGCGAAGTTCGAAATGGTTCGAGCGAGTGGACAAACTCAAGCATGTCCCGCCCGCAGGCCTCCAAATCGCTCCACGCTACCCTACCACACGACTACACACCCGCAGATCCATCCCTCCGCCCCAAAACCGTCCAATACCTCCCAACCCCCTTCCCTTCAGCCCCCACGCCCCCCCTCATCCTTGACCGGATGCACCAGCAAGCCCGGCAAACACAACCTTCCCCCCTCCTCCCCCCTCTCACCCACCCATCCATCCCACGCCTCACTCCGCAGCCCCAACCACCTTCTCCACAACCGCGGACCAAACCGCGCGTTATAGTAGAAAGTCCCACCAAGCAGATTATGCTCGCCCCACCCAAACGCACTCTTCTCCTTCCCCTCCGGCCGGTTGAGCACTTGCTCCGCGTATGCGGAGTTCCAATCCCGATCGAACCACACGCCTACGGGCGCGAAGACGGCTTTCATCCCCTCCTGTAGTGCGACGGAGGCGGGGAACATTTCGGTAAACATGGTGCGCTTTTCTAGGACGACTTCGTCGTGCATGGCGGCGAGGAGGCGGCGGGAGAGGCGAGAGACGGTGATGATGGATGCGCGACGAGGAGGCGGGGAGGGGTAGTTTGTGATGTCGTTGCGGAGCACCCAGGTGGTGTGGGCGGGGTCGAAGAGGGGGGTGAAGGTGATGAGGTCGGCGGGGGAGTCTACGCCCCAGGTGTAGTTGTCGGCGGGGTAGGGGGTTGGTGGGTGCGAGTCGGGCGGTGTGTCGTCGTCTTGCTGGAGAGGGCCCCATACCGGTATCGGCCCGCTTTGCTCACCGTTGTTCTTCTCCTTCTCCACCGTCTCGATCTCCCGCTCCACGAAAGTCGTGAAGTTGTCGTAACTCCCATGAACCTCCGGCAACCAAAACCGCCCATTCCGCTCCCACAACCCCTTCCTCGCCTGCTTCCTCGCCCACTCCCCCACCCGCTCGGCGAACTCCCAGTAGTGCCCCGTAAACCGCACATCCATCTCCCAGTTCCAGAAGAACTCGTACTCCGGATGCATCCTGCTAAACCACTGCAGCGCGAAATGCGCCGATCGATACACCCCATGCACCGTGCTCTCATCCACTCCAGCGTCGAAATTCTGGTCGAAAGGGCCGGGGTAGAGCATCTTCATCTGCGCTTCGGACCAGAGCGTGCTGATGCCCCAGAACTCGCGGGGGACGGCGGATTGGAGGGTGGCGTTGTAGATGGCTTCGTCGGCGAAGATGGGGATGCTGGAGTCGCGGACGTGGATCAGGAGGTGGACGGTGTATTGGCCGCGGGATTTGAGGGCGAGTTCGGAGATGAGGGCGCGCAGGGCGAGGATGGAGTGTTGGTTGTAGGTGCGGCCGGTCCAGGTGCGGAGGACGAAGGCGTGACGTGGCGTTCTCTTCATCCGGGAAGGCTGCTCGTGGGCGAACCTCGCCTTGTTCTTGTCAATGCAGCGGTCTTGAGCAGCACCCCAGTCCATGCCTGTCCAGCTGGTGTAGCCTGCGAGCTCGAAGATCTTCTCAGCGCCAGCGTTTTCCGAGGTACTGCCCACAATCGTCTGGAAAGCTTCATCTTCTGGAGTCGTACGCAGACCGTGCTCTCTCAGACCGTCGTCATAGCTGTAGCCATACGGTCCATACCTGCCAAAGCGGTCGAAGCATACGTCTTCGCGGATCTCGAGCTCGCTGTTCGATCCATACAGAGGCCGTGGGAAGTGTTGCGGAAGCCCGGGGTATGCGTAGACGTCAGGTACTCGTACAGTGTCATCCTCATCAAGAAAGCACTCGGCCACTGGCTGGTGTTCGCTTAGATACTCCGGCGAAGCGAAGTCAGGATACGGATCATACACCACCGGATCCATCGTCGGCGTCTTCTTCCCAACTCCTGTCGAGTCCAGCTGCAAAGGCGAAGTCACGTTCCATCCATTCTGCGGCCTCCAGTCCTCGTACGGCACCAGCGTGTTGAGGCCGTTGTAGTACCCATCCAGCTTCCGGAACTGTTGCCAGGGAAAGGGCAAGTCGTCCTCATGGCTTCGCCACCAGCCATGCTTGACAGCACGCATGCCAGCGCCCGTGGTGAGGCAGGATATCACGATGGCCCATACAGCCCGTCGGAGGAATTTCGTGACCAGTGGAGGTTTGGGTCGTCTTCCTGATGATGGCGATTGCCATTTGGTATCTTGGAAGTCCATTTGAGGTCGCTGTTTGAGAAATCAGCCCGCAGTGAGAGAGGTTTGAGAATCAGGAAAGGAAGATTCCTTCGCGTGTTTCGATTGAGAAGGCTCAAGAGTGGTTGGAGGTAGGCACGTTTGAAGTCGTTGCGTACGTACTTCCTGCTTCTGCTTCAAGTCCGTCGAGGAAGGCGCTGTCAACTCCATCTCGAACCTCGACCTCAACATGTACATAAGGCATCTCATCGTTGCGCCTCCCCTCTACTTGAGTGCCTCTGCGCTGAAGTCGGTCTTGAGTCCGTATGGCTGCCAAGACCCAGATAGCACATTGCATCCAAGCCCTCGTTCATATCCCAAGCTGTCCCCTTCAGCTCAAGCACTTTCACTGTTGCCGTATCCTCAGACATCCCAGACCAAGTACTCTTCCTTCTCTTGCTCAGTCCATATCCCGTTGATCACTCATTAAGCAGCTCTCACTCCTCCTGCAGAACATGAGTAGGACAACTCCCCCCACCCCTCATCTCCCACCACCGCCTAATACACCCCCGATGGAACTTACACAAACACTCCATCCGCCCCATCTCGTCCCCCGGCTGGAACTCCTCGAAGCAAATCACACACTCCTGCGCCGTCCCGTCCTCGCTCAGACAATCCTTCTCCGTCGCCCTGTAGACAGCCATACCGCGTGGTCGGTAAGACGAAGCTCTCGGCCGACTCGGTTGCTGCGCTGTAGGGGCGGCGAACGCCGTGTTGGTGGGGAGGGAAGAGGAAGAGACGGAAGTGGAGAAGCGCTCCGCGATGCAGGATTGGATGTGCTGTTCGCGTGCGGTGGCGCCGGGGGCGAGCTCGGTGCCGCAGACGGGGCATTCGTCTTCCTCGCGGATCTCGCGGCGTTGGCGGGGTTGTGGGGGAGCAGAGGGGGCGGTGGTCATGGAGGGTCTGGCGGAGGATGGCGGGGCGAAGACGAGGGTTTCAGGGTGGCTGGAGGAGCCGCTTTGGGAGTGGCGATGGCGGTAGAGTCGAAGACGTGGGTCCTCGGGGGCGATTGGTGCACGCTGTTGGGGGACGCTGCGACTGAAGGGAGTTGGGGCGGGTTGGTGTGTGTTTGCTCGCGTGCGGCCGTTGTTCTCAGGCAGTGGTGGTAGGGGAGGGAGGATGCTGCGGTAGCGTTCCGGTTGCTCGCTGCCTCGTCTCCTGCTGTTGTTCTGCTCTGCTGGGTGCCGTGCTTCGAGGTTTGGTGCAGTATCCGGCGTCCACGGGTCCGGCACGCAGGGGTTGCAGACTCGCACCACGTCACCACCACCCAAGTTGTTCCTGCCGAATAGACCACCAGGAGACGTAGACCCAGCCTCCTCTCCATCCGACCCAGAAGGCGGCTGCACGATATACTGCTTTGGTATAGTGATCCTATGCGGCGAGCACGCATTACACACCACCCGCCCACACTTCCTGCAATGATGTTTGCGATAGAAGAAGTGAAATTCCGTCTGACACACCGGACACTTGCTCACATCCGCATCTGGCTGCCACTTCGGAAGCACATGATCGCTCTCTCGTCTCGCCTCTTCTCTCGGTGTCCTCGTGCCGCTTCTCAGCCCACCTGCTCTTCCAGCCTGCTGCGCAGCCCTCATAACCTCGCTACCCCCGCTCCCGCTTGTACGCTGTGGCATCTGCGGCCGAGCACGCGGTGGTGAAGAAGAAGTGAGGTCGAACGGGTTCCTCGCGCTGCCCTCCGCAGCGCTCATGCCCGCGGGTCTACGCCCCGTCACACCGCCGTAAGTAGGAGGACGTGGATAGCCTCTCCGTTCCGGCGACGAGCCGGCGTGCCGCCGTTTGCGGTCTGCCGTAGCCACGCGATCTGCCCTAGCCGCCGCTGCGTCAATATCAAAAGCCCACCGGGGAAGAGTATGCGTCGATGCTGCTTCGTCCGCTGCTTGGCGTCTTTGGTGCGCGGTGCCTTGCCCTTGCTCAGAGGCTAAGAACTGCTCCCATCGCAGTTGCTGAGGTTCTATGTTCAGGTTGGCGTTTGGGTCGAACAGTGGATTCCTAATCGCAGTAAATGGATCGTTGTTCGCCGCCTCGCTCGAATTGGCTTGTGAGAATGGGTTCGGTGCCGGACGCTGAGCGAACGGGTTGTTCAAGCTTGAAGCTGGTCGCGCCGATAACTCCCTCCACGGCGGCGGTGGTGGACGGTTTATGTTGCTCATCGTCGAGGTCGCGTGCCGACGATAGTAGTGTGCTGTAGTACTGCCGAGAATGAGATCACGATTACTGGTCCACGGCGCTGATCATGCCTCCGTCGAAGCTGTACGTGGGGGTCGTCTATTTCCGACGCGGAGTCAGCTGCGAGTATGTCGTGTGCATATGTTGTTGTTGTTTGTAGGTAGGAAGTGCTGAGAAATGAATGAAAAGCTTTGGGTGATAAGGTGGCCTCTAGCGAGGCTGACGAGGCGAAGTATACCTCAGTTAACGAACAGTACCGTGTAAGGCTGTGAAGGAGTGTAAGGTGCTGGGTCCGACGACGGCGGAGGTGGCGTGAAGGTGCACGGCGAAACAGCTCCAGGGTTCGGCCAGAGCGTGCCGTAACGTTATGATCTGTGAGGGACGAGAATAGCACGTGAAACAACAAGATATTGAAACGAACTTCAGAACTCAAGATTGGGAAGGCTGCGGAGAGGGATCCTCCGTCAACGAACCTCAGCGAACGTCATCAGTAGTGATATACCGTACTTTAAACATACTATGCAAACAGCCCAACCCAAGCCAACTGAATGGCACCGAAAGTCTTTCAAATATTGCCGCCCAAGATCCATCCAACACTCCCTTCTCTCACACCATCAACGCCACGCTGTCTGAAACACCCCTTGGTTCAAGCAACAATCTCACATCAAACACCATCACCCTCCACTTTCAACACCACTCATCACCAAAACGCATGCCCCAACCACCACCCCGTCGCAATGCCCTCCCCTACCGACTCCTCCTCATCGTCCCCGTCTTCCTGCCCTGTGCCGGCCTCTCCACCCGCCCCTGATTCGTCCGCGGCCGTCCGCCTGTGCCTGCGCTCCTGCTCTGCTCCCGGCTCATTTCCTGCTGCTGCTGCGAAGCGTGAAGGGCCTGGGAATGGTTGGCGGGGGTCGGGGCGTGGCTGTGACGGAGACCGCGAGGGAGGGAAAAAGACTGTTGTCCTTGTCTCTGTCCTTGTCCTTGCGTCTTTTGATGATGATGGGGTTGGCGAGAAGACGTGCGAGGAGGGATTTGAGGTTGTTGGAGTTGGAGGTAGTGTTGGGGTTGGTATTGCATCTGTTGCTGTGGTTGCGGAGGAGGATGGGTGAGTTGCTGCATCCATTGCTGTTCTTGTGGTTGCGGCATGGGCATGGGCTGCGGATCGAATGCCGCCTGGAACATCGCGTCCTCAGCAGTCGGCCATCCATAGGCAGGAGCAGGCGCTGTGCTGCGCCGTCCTGGCGCCATGCGTGGCTGCAGGCCGATTGCGAACGGCGTGATAGGCGCACTAGAAATGACCGGGAATGGAGCAGCGCTAATCTGACTCACTGGTATGGTGGGTGACGGCACGACTGGCGAAGGCGGTCCGGAAGGGTTGGAAGGGTGAGCACTGCTATCCCCAGTCATAGAATTCCAAGCAAAGGGTCGGAAGGTAGGGTATTGTGGTCCACCGCTGAACTGCAGTCCCGGGTCCTCAAGCAGGAACATGCCTGTGCAACCCATAACAGTGTCGCCGCCAAAGTCCAGTATCGGTGCCGTATCTGGAGACATGGCAGGCGCTGGTTGCGCGAAGTCGCTCACTCGTCTACTGCTATTCGCGCGCTCCATTCGACGATTGTTGATCGGTTGCATAGCAGCCCAGATTCGCCTCACCGCCAGCTCGGTGAGCTTGTGCACATTATTCTCGTTGAGCTCCTGAAAGACGCCGTACGCTTGGTCGACGATCCACATGTACTCTTCGTTGCCGGACTCCCAGGCGTCGAGGAGGATGATCATGGCGGCGTTGAACGCTTGTTGGACCATCGTCCAGCAGATCAGAACGGCTTTGTTGCGGTGGTAGAAGAACATTAGGGTTTGAAGGATGGAGAAAGATGAGTTGACAACCAGTGGGCGGCCGCGATATGGTAGACGGCGAGTGCTGGGTTCGTGCATGCCTTGGGTCTCTGACGAGCCTTCAGGCTGGGGTCGGTCGATGCGTTGGCGGTTGAGGAGGATCAAAAGCGATTGCACCTTGGCATAGAGTGCTAGAACGGTGTCAGCAGTGTTCGCGTTTGCTTGACGGCTCGCTAAACTCACAAGCAGACAAAGTCTCCAACGGCCACTCCGGCAGCTGCGTCGAAGTCTGCAACCAGCTCTCATTAAACTGCAGCGCCTCCGGCATCGTCTCCCACAGTCCAATCAGCTTATCAGTGAACTCATCGATGCGCCGCACATTCGTCATGTCATTCTGGCTCAGCACTTGTCGAGCGAGCACGGTATACTCATCCATAAACCGACTGAGCCTCAGCATCGTCGTGTTGGTGGTTGAAATCTCCGGCTGAGGACAGTCTCCCATCCCAGATATGCCGAGCGGTCGGCCGAGAGTGATGGAGTATTGTTGGTCCATGTGCAGCATCCACCACCAGAGTGTTTGTCTAACTTGGCTCTCTCGTAGCGATGGTGTCGGGTCCAGTAGGCTGGGATGGCGGTGTAGACCGATCGAATGTGCGAGTCTTATAGTAGTGCCAAATAACGTCCAAGCATCCAGGAAGCGGCCACTGTTCGTAAGATAAGGTCCCATCATGATGAGAGTCTGCAACCCGAGAAGTGTTGGTCTGCTCATGAACGATGCGTTCCGAAGAGCCTGCATGCTTGCCGTGACTGTCGCAAGATCAGCAAGAATTGAAGTGAACAGCAAAATGGAACATACTGTAGATCTCCCGATGATCCCTAGTCTCACCAGTCCACTGCCCACCATTCCGATCATACTGCCCCATCTGCAACCCCGTCGCCAGCGTAGCGAATATCAGCGCCAGCATGTCCGGGAACAAGTTGGCGTTCCGCTCGCGGTCGGCCAGAAACCTTTCGACCTCTCGCTTCGTCACCTCATCCGGCATGTGTGGGAACGAGCAAGCTTGAGCTCGACGCTGGAAGAGGTCGAGGCAGTCGAAGAGTTCTTCTTGCTCGGGCAGGAGGTCCAAGAGTTGTGCTGTGCTGGCGTACCGAGTGACGACTGGGAAAGGGTACGTCGTTTCTTCGGGGGCGTACATGTCTTTACCCTTCGGCATCGGATGGGTGAGTGATTGGGCACCGCCCATGTGGAAGCTGGCAAGCTGTTGGCATGTTAGTAATAGTCCCTCGTCTACTTCAGACAAGAAGGCAAGGTCGTACCTCATGAACAATGGTTGCCAACCCCGGTGTGCCAAAATAGAGATTGTCAAATCGATCGTGAGCTTTGAAGCGGCGTTGACGAGGAGCTGTCGCCCTCGAGGCACCTCTAGACTCCCGTCCGTCATCGTCGTCCTCGTCACCAGAAAGCTGCGAGCGTCTGCTGTTCAACTGCTCCTTCAACTTTGCATTCTCCAGTCGAAGCTTCTTAATCTCGTACGACTGCGTGATCGGTCCATACTCGTTGCCTTCTCCCACAACGAACTCGCATTCCTTTGGATGTCCACGGGCGCAGCAGGCTGAACATGGCTTTGTGCGGTCACACTACATCGATCGTCAACGTCGAACATCAATGTGGACGTCAATGTCTCACCATACCTTGACCTTCCTGTCCCTACACTTCGTACAAGACAGCAGCTGCCGTGAAACAGGCTTCTTGTTCTTCCCCTCGGAGCTCGCAACGACAGGTGAAGGGGCCGAAGGTCCATTGCCCGCCCAGCTCGACGACATGCTGCACGAGCGACCCAGCAGAAAGGAAAGTTTGACATCGGCGATTCCATCAAGATGGAGGAGGAGCAGATCCCTAGATAAGCGAGGAGCACGACATGCCACGTTAACCATGGCCCTGGATACCGTTCAACGGCCCTAGAAGCCATATCGTGCCCCGGGCGAGAGCGTCGTCGATATACACCCTGCAATCGCACGCCTGCATGGATCGGACAGCGGGTATCTCGAAGATCCCCACAGTGAGGCGCTCGTCCAGCGTATCGAAACGGGCGGACATCAGGAAGCCATTCTTTCCCTGCTAGAGAGTGTGGCTAGCGCCTTTGCACGGATCTGGTAATCGCATCGTGATGTTCTGATCGCTTCGGATAGGCTGCAGGACGGGTCGACTAATCGACCCGCCTACTGTGCAGATGAGCTTGATCGAAAGGCGCAAGGCGCATCCTGACGGGGAGGAGATGCCGGGGACTTGTGGACCTCGCCATGGCGCCCTCCATCCGCAGCCCGCGGTGGCACAGCCAATGTCGTGGATGGTGCCAAGTGCATTGCGTGCCGTGCTCGCAGTATAGAGGTGATGTCAAGGGACGTATGGCGCGGGTCTCAGCGCCACGGTGCAGGATGGGTGCGTGGGCGCAGATCAAGTTGCGCAGGCTCCGCCTTAGATCCCAGCAACCGGTGTTGGGCCTACGCCTTTGGCCAGATCTTGGATTGACAGCACCGAGGAAGTGGTAATGGCAATGCTTGTCATCATCTAGGATGTCACCCGCGTCTTCGCCTAATTCTGCCGGACCGTAGCGCTGGGTCTGCGCCGTCATTGTTAGTGCTTCACAATGGCACCTATGATGGCCGATATCAGTCCTTTGGCGAAGCACAGGACGAAACTGTAGGTACGTGATATGATCCTGCCTGCGCTTTGCAAGGATCCATTCCAGATGGCGAGCCAGAGGACACACAGTAACCCCCACGTCAGGACACCAGAAGCGCTCTTCGTCGTCTAATGGGGCTCCATTCGTCCATCTAGACAGGCCTGCAGCATTGGAGCCGATGATGAACAACGCACGCCTAGAATGTGGACATGAATGTGTCTCATCCTACGAACAGTTGTCAGCCCATCGACACGAATTCTACCGAATGGTCGAGCGGAAGAGAAGCGATCAACTGTCGTGGCTTTCACGGCGGTTGGGGCATGTTCACGAAGTGTCGTCGATGGTTAAACCCAATCACGCCTAGTTGCATAACATGTGCAGTAGAGCGAGATCGATCCCAGATTCAATGCCAGATATTTGTCATTGTCAAATCAGTAAACTGTCCGTACGGTCGGTCCGGCAGCCGGCAGCGACCCTGCTAAGTGCTGCTCGTGGGATGCCGTGTCTCAAGCGTGGAGTAGGGCCGTCCAGGAATAGAGCATATCGCAGTCGCCGAGTGCAGAAGTGCTTGCATGTCCTACGCAATGGTGAATCGGTACTCCGTACGTCTCCCGTAGAGCTAGTGACGCTGCTATCGCCCATGCCTGAAGATTTGGAACGAGATCTAGCCAGCGGTGGTTTACCAAGATTCAGCATCTCGCAGACAGGCCTGCAGCGATTGGGGGTGGCAGCGCTTGTAATCCTCCATTGGGACGACGTGGAACAGGCGTGGCGGGGTCCGCCAGTGCCACGGTAAGCGAACATGCATAACGGCCTCCCCGGTCTTGCGGGCGCCTCCTGGAGTCTTCAGATCTGTTCCTGGCTCATCACGGCGTGAATGGTCGAATCGAATATCATGTGTGACTTGCATGTCGCGATCTCGGTAGGTATCTGCAGTCTACCATCATCACGGGAACCTCGTGCGAACGGAGATTTTCTTGACCAGGTTTTCACGCGCTGTGCAACGGGGGATGTCGTGTGGATCGGCGATGGCATTTCCACTTTCGCTTCGTTTTGAAATCGGACGACAAGGGTCGTCTGGCCTCACCTTTGCAGCATCACTCCGACAAAGACACAATGAATGTCAGCAGATCCGAATGCCAGATCACGTGTAGCCTCACGTGGAGGTGAATGTTCGGGAGAGTACAACGATAATCAAGGTTGGTGCCATGCAGTGGTGGCTTCTTGCATATTGAAGGCACGACCAGAAGCAGACCCATTGTCATATCAAAAGACATAAAACTTTCAATACGATAAAAAGCTACCGGCGGGTAACACATATACGTCAAACAGCAAGATGTCGGATATCGACCAGCTGTCTACTGAAGACGAAGCTTTCCTACGGCCATACCTCCCGGACGATGACGCGATCTCTAAGAAAGAACGACCATTCGTAACCTTAACATACGCCTGCTCCTTGGACGGCATGATCTCACTCTCCCCAGGCGTACGGACTACCCTCTCAGGCCCGGAGACCAAAAGCATGACGCATTACCTACGAGCGCACCACGAGGCTATCTTGGTCGGAGTAGGCACAGCCATCGCGGACGATCCAAGTCTGAATTGCAGATACTCTCGCTCTTCTAGCTGTCCACCTCAAGGTCTGCGGCCGGTGGTACTTGACCCGACTATGCGCTGGGATGTAGCGGGATCGAAGGCAACCGCACTGGCATCGGAGGGCAAGGGAAAGGCGCCATGGGTCGTTCACGCCACGAGCGTGCTGGATCAGAATCCAGAAGTAGCTGAGCAGGCCAAGCGCTTGTTCGTAGGCACAGATGGCCTCTGCGACGAGCACAGTGGCGACCGAACAGCTTCAATCTCTCGTCTAGAATGGCGCTCCATCCTCAAAGCGCTGTACCAGAAAGGCATTCGCAGTATCATGATTGAAGGCGGGGCTACGGTTATCAACGATCTACTGCTGCAGCCAGAGTTGGTCGATTCCGTCGTTGTGACGATTGCGCCTACCTGGCTGGGAGAAGGTGGAGTGACTGTCACTCCTGCGCAGCAAACTCGTGATGGGGTGAGAGTCAATGCTGCTCGGCTGAAGGAGACCAGCTGGAGGCAATTTGGCCAGGACGCTGTCTTGTGCGGTCGGCTTGAGTGATGGGCTGGCGGTGCTGGGGGTGTGGAATTCGTGCTTGCGGACTAAACTCGAGTCCGCTAGCCGGGAGTGTGTCCTCTACACATCGAGCAGATCTGTGAGAAGGCATTGTCCTACTCCATGTACGTGACCGTCTTCAGCTTCAAGAACTCCTCCATGCCCCACTGCGCATTGAATCGTCCCTGAACACCAGTCAGCAAATCATTCAGTCACGAAAGAAGTCCAACTTACCCATCCAGACTTCTTAACACCCCCATGCGGAAGCGTAGCCTCATCACTACCACACCAGTCAGCCGATCCCCACCACCCACAAGATAAGACCCAACTTACTGTACAGTCATACTGTTAATATGCACCGCCCCAGATTCTACTTCCCTCGCAATCCTCAACCCTCTCCCCAAATTCTCCGTAAACACCGCCCCGGAAAGCCCATACTCGGTATCATTCGCCACCTCCACGGCCTCCTCATCACTCCCCACCGCAATCAACGACACCGAAGGCCCGAAAGACTCGGTGTAGAAGATATCCATCTCCTTCTTCACATCCGAGATGACGACCGGGCGAATACGGTGCGCGCTCTCCTCCGAAACGTCGATGTCGCCGTGCAGGACTCTGGCGCCTTTGGCTTCGGCGTCTTTGAGCAGTTTGCGGTTCTTCTCGACGCCGGAGGAGGCGATGAGGAGTGGTGCTTCGCCGGAGGAAGCGTAGACTTTTTCCGCGGCGTTTGAGAGGGCGTTGGCGAACTGGTCGAGGATGCTGCGGTGGACGAGCACGCGCTCGGTGGCCATGCAGATCTGGCCAGCATGCAGGAAAGAGCCGAGCGCGACTTGCATGGCGGCGTGCTCGATGTTGGCGTCCTCGCAGACGATGGCGGAGGCTTTGCCGCCGAGCTCCATGAGGACTGGTTTGAGCTCTTTGCCGGCTTTGGCGGCGATGATGCTGCCGGTGACCGTGCTGCCTGTAAAGTTGACCTTTCGCACGGCGGGGTGTTCGATGATCCTCTCCGTCACCGCCGCCGCGTCTTCTGTCCGGTGGTAGATCACACTCAATACGCCATCAGGCAAACCAGCTTCCTTCATCACCGAGCCCAACGCCCAGAACGTCCGCGGACACAGCTCAGACCCCTTCAGCACCACCGTATTCCCCGTAGCAATCGCATACAAGAACGCCCTCGTGCCCAAGATCAACGGAGCATTCCACGGCGCAATCCCAAACACAACCCCATACGGCTCCTACCCCCTCATGCGTTAGCACCATCACCACCAGCCCCCTTCGTACACGAGAACGCACCTTAAAAACAAACGCCCCCTGCCCCTCCCCCTGCACTCTCGGCACTACCCCCTCCACCCCCGCCGCCCGCCCCGCCACATCGCGAAAAAACTCCGCCGTCCCGACAACATTGAACTTCGTGAAAGCCTCCAGCGCCCCGGTTTCCTGCATCATGTATCCAGCAATCTCGTCGCTCCTCCGCTCAAAGACATCCGCGGCTTTGAGGAGGATGGAGCGGATGGTGGCGGGTTTGGTTTTGCGCCATGATTTGAAAGCTTCTTGGGCGGCGGAGACGGCTTCGGTGGCGAGGGAGGGGGAGATGGAGGAGGAGGACCAGAGGGTTTTGCCTGAGGATGGGGAGGTGATGGGGAAGGTCGTGTCTGTTGTTGTCTCTTTGCCGCCGATCCAGAGGGGAATGGGGGTGGAGGTGCCGTTGGTTTGGCCGTTCATAATGGTGGTTATGGAGCGGGAGTTTCTTGACTTGGAGGGACACAAAGGCAGCGACTTGTAGAAGTTGTACTTACTACCTGAGGGAGGCGAGACGGTATACAAGTACTCACATATCCTTGTCCCTGCACACCAATAGAAAGACTGAAGTATCCTGGGTCCGCAAGGACCGGCAGTGGAGAGCGGAATCCGAAGTGCGTTGAGTGCAGGTGGACATCGGCTTGAAAAACTGCCGGGCTGTCTTCGGCAGAAGCGTAATCCACCACTTCACCAACCATCTACACATGAGGCTTGGGTGCTTGGTGAAGTATCGACCGTTGGATTCATGACTACATATAGATACACATCCCATCACCACCCTTCCCATCCCGCCACCAGCTATCCAACATCCCCTCCCCCTCCAAGCAGAGTAGAGATGCACTCATTCACACCAACCCCCCACCATCCACCCCCGTAGACCTCCTCCTCTCAAGCCTCCTCTCCACCTGACACGTACAACCCCCCCTCTCCAACAAACTCCCCGGCCCATCTTTGAACGCCGCTCCAACGGCCACAGCAAGCGTAACAGAAAACTTGATCCAGAGCAGCGGACTGTGTTTCGCGCGGCGGCGATGCGGACAGCGCAGCTTATGCGTTGCGCGCTTCTTGCGGAGAGCGGAGGAGGGGTTGGGAGATTTGCGTGCGGGGGAGGGCTGGAGGGTCCCGTAGGCTAGGTTACTGTCTTCGGTGGGTGTGTCCGGGCTACTTTCGAGAAGGGAGGATGATTCTTCGGTGTAGTTAGGGTGGGTGATGTCTTCGAGAGCGCGGCGTCGAGCTAGTGGGCCGAGAAGGGCGCCGACGAGCCAGTATTGGAAGTTGAGAAGGGTGCGAGGGATGCGGATGCAGGCTTGCGCTGTTCGGACGAAGTGGCGCGCAAGGTCGACTGGGGATCTCCAGAGGTCGGAGAACAGGAAATGGAGACGTTCGAAGATGGAGGCGGAGTATATTGCGGGCGCGCTCAAGTTAGGAGAGCTGGCTCTCCGCCGCCGTGGCCGTACAAGAGCTGTGGATGCGGACGCTGCTCGGTGTTCCAGCACTGGGATGTCATGTGCATGCGTGAGGGTGCCGTGGATGAGTGTAGTGTCTTCGCCGAGCGCACTTGGGACGTCCGGCGCAGCACTTGAGCTTGGGCGGGAGCTCGATATGTCTTGTCCTTCCACAAGTAGTTGACTGCTCGCGTCAGAGTCCTTAATCCATGCCGTCGAAAGCTCTTCCATGAGGTTTCTTCCTCTCATGGACCCTAGGGAGGACAAATCTCGTGTTACTGGCCGTGAGCTGGGCGAAGAAGACGTATGGAAGCTCATAAGTGTGTCTTCTCCACAGTCCTGCAGAGGCTCATCAGGGGAAAACGGCGACGGGTCAAGAGCAGCCAAGGTCTCGCCATTCGCCATCGTAGAAGCTCTCCTCCTCCCCAGCAACGGACTATGACTCCCATGAGAACTCAGCGCCGGGTTCGGGAAGAAAGCCGGCGTGGTCTCACTCCGCTCAAGCCCAGGAGCAGACGCCGTCGGGAACTGATCGCAACGCGACGTCGAAGGCAAGATCAACGGCTTAGGTCCCATGCTGCCCGCGCCGAATCTCCGCATCCGCCTCGCAGGCTTCGAGCGGTGATGAGGCAGCGGTGGAGGCAGCATCCATGGATTGTGGTTCGATGGGCCTTCGAAGTTCTCGGCTGAGGTCATACTATCGCCGGCGACTGAGGCTTCGCTGAAGACCGATTCTGCTTCGGACATGTAGTCTGATTGCTGCGAGGAGATGTCTAGGCGGCAGACCGATTGCACGGGGGATGCTGTCACCTCCGGGCTGTAGTTCGTGAAGCTCAGAAGCGGTGAAGGAGGCTGGGTTTGCGGATGCCGCTCGGGAGAGCCCAGCAGTGAGCTCGCTGTTGGAAAGCGCGGTAGCATGGACTTGGGTCGTGCGTGCTTCCTTGACCGTCCCGGGGTCTCAGCATGCAAGTCGATCTTCGAAGGCGAGGCGGCCAGCAGCTCGGACATGATCTCGATGCGCCGCTCCAGATTCACGTTCGCTGCTTCGGCAGCCTCCATACTCTGCGTGGCGGCTGCGACTTGTGTCTCCAGCTCTCGCATCCGAAATTGAGTCTCCTCGTAGTCTTGCTCGAGAGTTCGAAGTCGACCTCGCAAGTTCGTTTCCACCTCAGCATGCCTGTCCACCTCCTCCTGTACTCGCTTCTCGTATTGAGTCTCCCAATCCTCAACCTCCTTCTGCAATACCCGCGTCTCGGCGTCCATCGTCCGCATCTTCGTGCTCTGCTGTCTCGTAACAGTAGGCGAGTTGATCCTCGAGAGTTGCGATTGTGATGCGGCTAGCTCGGCCTCCAGATGCTCAATGTACTTGCTCGTCTCCGAGCTCACAGACCGTCGTTTGTGAGCCACCTTTGGCCTTGTCTTTACACTCCGCTGTCGTACGGTCCCATTACTCTGCACCCTCGAGAACGGCGTAGTGGCATACGGCTTCTCGGCGGGCGAGCCATCAGAGTCACTCCACTTAGCGGAGCTTATCCTCGGATTCGTCCTCTTCCGCCTCGTGATGGTACCATTGCCGATGTCCTGCAGGATCCCACTCGAAACTCGCCTGTTGCTACCGGGCGTACGTACATCTTGCATTAAGGGTGGTACATTCTCCGTGCCAGACGAAGCCTCGTACTCGCCCCCTGCTGACCACGTGCTCGAAGGTATCGATTTGGGCGTGAGTTTCCTGGTGGCTATGGTGCCCCCTCTGAAGCCAGCATTACGCAGCTGCAGCTTCCTGGCCTGTCGTGATCCTCCGCTTCGGCGTAGTCGTTCTGCGGCGTCGGCATCGTCGTGGTCGTTGTTGTGGTCGTAGTTGGCCGAGCCGAATGCCGGCGACAGTGTGCTCATCCTTCCAGTGTGTTATTGGCCGTCATGTCTTCCAATCACGACGGTAGAGTGCATGCAAGATAGCCGCCCAAGGAAGCGCCTACAGGATCATGATCATAAGGGTCCTGCAGGTGAATGGCTAGAAGTGTTCGAGAAGTTCACTTGCGCTTGTTTGCCAGGAGACAGCCGAGGTTCTGCCGGCTGAGGGGCAACGGCCAACGGCCAACGACGCATCGTGAAGACCCCATCTCATTCACACAGAGAGACAAACTCTTGAAAGCACGCCAGTGTATCATCAACCGGGGCACTGTGGTACTGATGTCGCAGGCTCGTCTTTCACCAAGCACCACAAGGTAGTGGTATCAACATCTCCGTCAATGTCAAGACTTAGGTGAGGCGAGGTATGCTTCGATGTTGTTGGCAACAGAGATGCTGCTCTCGAGACAAGATGCATGCGTCTAGTCTCCATTGAGTACTGCATTGGTCTCCAGTTAAATATACTCCGCGGTATAGTAAAGGGCCAAGTCATCTTCTCGTAGCCAACTCCTTTAACATTACATGTACCTTACCTTACTCCAACCCCACCCCACATGATGCCAGATGAAATCATGACGGAGGGTCTTCCACATGTCTTGTGCTCCCAAACCTATACTCTTCCTACATCTCTCACATCAAGCCAAACAGTATCAACATCTCATCCACCACACCAACACTTCCAAACTTAGCGATTCACGGAGAACCAGTACCAACATGTCTTCGTAAGCACACCTTCTCCAACCGCACGAACACCACCATCCTAACACCCCTCCAGCACAGGCTCCGACGCCAAAATCTCCGGCACCAAGATCGAACCCCTCGACTCCACCGACACCAAGCAAAACCAGCAGCGCGACATGGGCGGCCAAGGCGTCGCCGGGTCGGACAAGAACATCGACCAAGCGCGCATTGGACCCGTGGGCGGGAAAGGTAAGCCTGTTCACCCGTCCCTCCCCACCCATCCTCACCTTCCTACTCCTCCACGTCCTTCCCTTCCCTACACAGCCCTTCGGTCTGTGGCAGTGCTGATATGGTTTTCTATGCAGGCGTAGGACAAAACCCAGCACCCCACGACGACGTCCAAGGCGTCGTCGGCCGCGACGCGAACGTGGAAAAGGTGAAGATTGACCCGTTGGTGAGTCAGGCGGAGCAGAGCACAGAGCAGCCGGCGCCGGGGCTGAATGATGAGAATGTGAGCGCGGCGAGAGTGGCGCCGTTGGGAGAGGTGAGGGAGGATATGCCGCAGAATCAGTAAGGAGGAGATATAGGAGAGTAGATGGAAGAGGAAGGGGAGAGGTGGTTGTAACAACAATGGATTGATTGTGCTGTAAGATCGTGAGATCGGGGTATCTTCAAAAAGAAACGCAAGCTATGCATGAGGGTGCAACGGGATGTTGTCTCCTTCGTATTCTCGCCTTCGCTTCAACATTCGTGATATAAAAGGCGGCGGTGCCATCGACCTCTTCGAGATGGCCCCATCTCCGCTGCTCAGGCCGCATGCAGTTGAGCAGAGAGCCATCTGGGGATCTGCGGCCTCCTCTTCTCACTGTCACCGTGCCATATTCGCTCTTAATGCGACTTCCACCGAGTCAAGACGCAGTAACCCATCCCATCAGACACACCTTCAAAACCACGCCAAACTCCACAGCGCCGGCAACTGCGGCCACCTCTCCTGCCACTCCGCCAGCACCTCGGGCACCCTCTCATCAAACCCCATCCTTGCCCCCGCATCCCCGCGATCAAACCCCCCACCCCCACCATCCCCCCTCGCCTCCCTCGCCGCCTCATTCAATGCATCCGCCAACTCCAGTATCGCCCGTCCCCCAATCAACGCCTCCTCATGATTATCCTTAATATCCACATTAATCACATGCACCGGGCGGTTCAACGGCGCCCCTCTATTCAGCAGATCATCTAACACAGCGTCCCAGCACCTCTCCTCGCACGTGATGACTACATCCACCACACCCGCTTCTGTCCCGGTGTAGCCTTTGTCCGCGCTGTATTCCACCTCCTCCCCGCTCCGTTTCCCCGTCCGAGGGACCCCGACGCGCCATTCTTGCCACCGTTCCGGGCCCCATTTGACGCCTTTGTTGCGCTCGAGCATGGGTAAGATCCCGTTGGCGCGGTAGAGACGTTCGTCCTTCCCGCGCAGCTCGTCGTACATGTTTGCATATGAAGAAGTGCCGAAGCTGTAGACGTTTGGTTGGTTTATCGACGGTCCGGGCAAGCGGACGAGCGAGCCGGTGCCGAAGGAGATGGTGGGGTAGCCGCCGGGGACGGAGGGGGTGGTGGTCAGGCGCAGGTGGGCTTCCATGCTGCGGTTGTTGTTGGAGGCACAGACGGTGCAGAAGCGGAGTTTGAAGGGGGAGGGGGTGTGGCCGGGTGCGGGTTGTGGGGTGGAGGTGGGTTTGGGCGGGGAGGAGGAGGTTTGGCCGTCGATGGGTTGCGAGGTGCTGTCCGCCGTTGCTGTTGGTGGGGTGGGAGGGGCGGGAGGAGGTGGTGCGGAGGAAGGAGGTCGGCGGCGTGGGTCGGTGGCCATGGTGGGAGAGGTGATGTTGTCCAAGGGAGAGGTGGTAATGTTCCTAGAGCTGTTGTTCGAGGGACAGAGTGAAAGTTGGTGTGGCTTCTTCACAAGGCAATCCAAGCGAGGCGCTAGTGCTGCAGGAACGGTCTGGGGAGACGATCACATGACATCACTATTTGAGAGACCATCTCTCTTCTTCTTCTCAACACTGTAGCATTTGCCACGAATAATCATTCAATCCAGTGCATGTTGCGCGCGCTCTTCCGTCCAGCGATAAGCAATACTCGCATCAGGATTGTAACACCGCGCTCACCAACAATGGCAGGCATCAAACGGAAAGCCACCTCTCCTGTCCGACCATTGCCATCCAAGAAACAGAACATCAGCCCAGATAGTGACGGTCAGGCGAACGACTTCGACCACAGCCGGATCGCAGAGGAGTACGGCATCATCAACCGCGAGTTCTACCCAGCCGAGATCAGCAATGAGCGTTGTGAACAGTACAACAAAAACGAGATCCCTAGACCGATCAAAGTGCTTGAATCCACCATCAAAGAAACCCAAGACGAGCGCGCGAAGATTGCCACTGGAGACTGTGTTGTCCACTGGTTCAAGCGCGACCTCCGGACCAGCGACAACGTCAGTTTGAGCAAAGCCAGCAAGAAGGCCAAGGAGGGAGGCGTGCCGCTGGTGTGTATGTTCATCGTCAGCCCGCAGGACTATGAGGCGCATCTTACCAGCGCCCCGAGGGTGGACTTTGAGCTCCGGACGCTGGAAGTGATGAAGGCTGATCTTCAGGAGCTGAGCATCCCGTTGTATGTGGCAACTGTCGAGAAGAGGAAGGAAGTGCCTAAGCATGTCCTCGAGAAGTGTCAGGAATGGGGTGCGAAGCATGTCTTCTGTAACACCGAGTACGAGGTAGATGAGTTGAGACGGGAAGCAAAGCTCACCAAGCTGTGTCTCGAGAACGGCATCGACTTTAATGCAGCACACGACGATGTGGTCGTCCCTCCAGGAGCACTTATGAGTGGCAGCGGCAACCAGTACTCTGTCTACTCCCCCTGGTACCGGGCATGGGTCAAGCATCTGCACGACCACCCTGCCCTGCTTGCCGAGGCCGAATCAATCTCTCCCAACCCAGCCTCCGCCAAAGAGACCTTCCAATCGATGTTCTCCACCCCCATCCCCCGCGCACCCCCCAACAAATCCCTATCAGACGAAGAACGCACACGCTACGCCCACTACTGGCCCGCCGGCGAGCACGAAGCCGAGAGTCGACTGCACCGTTTCATCAACGAAAAAATCAACAAATACAAAGAAACCCGCAACTTTCCTGCCGCCAACAGCACATCTCTCCTCTCCGTCCACTTCTCCTCTGGCACCCTCGCAGCCCGCACAGCTATCCGCATCGCTCGCTCCGCCAACAACGCCCAGAAACTCGACGCCGGGAAAGCCGGAATCGTGGGCTACATCTCCGAACTCGCCTGGCGCGACTTCTATAAGCACGTGCTCTGCCACTGGCCCTTCGTCTGCATGGGTAAGCCCTTCAAGTACGAGTACGCGGACATTGAATGGGAATACGACAATGAGGCTTTCGCGCGCTGGTGCGAGGGCAAGACGGGTTTCCCGATCGTAGACGCAGCGATGAGACAATTGAATGAGATGGGCTATATGCACAACCGCTGCCGCATGATCGTCGGCTCCTTCCTCGCCAAAGACTTGCTCATCGACTGGCGTTTGGGGGAAAAGTACTTCATGACGCACCTCGTAGACGGCGATTTCGCCAGCAACAACGGCGGATGGGGCTTCTCTGCTTCGACAGGCGTGGACCCGCAGCCGTACTTTCGGATCTTCAACCCGTTTCTGCAGAGCGAGAAGTTCGATGAAGGAGGGGAATATATTCGAAAGTGGGTGCCGGAGTTGAAGGGGGTGGAGGGGAAGGCGGTGCATGATCCTTATTCACGAGGAGCTGGGAAGCAGGCGGAAAAGGCAGGCTATCCGAGGCCGATGGTCGAGCATAAGGAGGTCAGGCAGAGGGCGTTGGAGAGGTATAAGAAGGGGCTGGGGAGGGGGACGGCGAATGTGGGTGGTGGTGTGCATAACTGAGATGGTCAATCAAGCCCGATGATACTGTGAGGCTATGGCTTTGCGGTTGACAAGATCGACCGGCAACCAAGGCGTTGCGGTATGAGCCCAATCGAGCAGAACCCTTGTCGTTGGCCGAACGTCCGCAGAGTCTCACGAGCTGTGTTCAGTCAGCTTGTTGTCATCGGCTGCTTGAGCTCGGTCATCCGCTTTGCTTGCACTCGAGGTGAAATCGATTGGAACGACGTTTCAGGCGCTCCCAGTTGTAACGTTGACGGCATACAATGATGAGCGCCAACTCATTCGGCCCTTTTGTTGACACGTTGACGTCGATAATATTCAAAGCCATTGAACAACCGCGGACGATAAGCTTCACAATCTGAAGGCGGGGCAGACGAGATGAGGTCAGTGAGGGGCTTTACTTTTTGACAGCAACAAGATGGAACATAAGACAAAACTCCAATCAACGAGCACAACAGTTCGTGAAACGCATCGCATGATGAAGGCATTCGACAATGCTTGACACGGCAGATGGGGCGAGGTCAGCACAATGCTGAGCCTACAGACGCGGTTACATAAGATTCTGTCACCACTCTCCGTGCATGCCACCTGCCCCACCATGAGCTCATAAAAACCTTCGCTGGTGTGTTGTTCAAAAGGCCTTCATCGTTTCATACCACTCCCTTTCAGTCCATCTCCAACACTAACAACACCACTTCACCTTTATACCCCAACAAAACAGCCCCACAAACACCGCCACCATGCCCATCCCCGTCCCCAAGCCCGAGCACCTGCTCGACCTCCTCTCCATGAAAGGCAAAGTCGTCCTCGTCACCGGCGCCTCCGGCCCCCGCGGCATGGGCATCGAAGCCGCCCGCGGCCTCGCCGAAATGGGCGCCTCCGTCGCCATCACCTACGCCTCTCGCCCCCAGGGCGGCGAGAAGAACGCCCAGGAGCTGGCCGAGCAGTACGGCGTCAAGGCCAAGGCGTACAAGTGCCAGGTCGACAAGTACGAGTCCGTCGAGCAGCTGGTCAAGGACGTCGTCAAGGACTTTGGCAAGATCGACGCCATGGTTGCGAATGCGGGCGCGACGGCGGATAGTGGGATTCTGGACGGGACCGTCGAGGCGTGGAATCATGTGATCGATGTTGATCTCAACGGGACGTTCAACTGCGCCAAAGCTGTCGGCCATCTGTTCAAGGAGCAAGGACACGGTTCCCTCGTCATCACGTCCAGCATGAGCGGGCATATCGCCAACTACCCGCAGGAGCAGACGAGCTACAACGTCGCCAAAGCCGGCTGCATCCACATGGCCAAGTCGCTGGCGAACGAGTGGAGGGACTTTGCGCGCGTCAACAGCATCTCGCCCGGTTACATTGACACTGGGTTGAGCGACTTCGTGGACAAGGAGACGCAGAATTTGTGGATGAGCATGATTCCGATGGGCAGGAATGGTGATGCGAAGGAGTTGAAGGGGGCGTATGTGTACTTCTGCTCGGACGCCAGCACGTACTGCACGGGCGCGGATCTGTTGATTGATGGCGGATACACCTGCAGGTAGAGTGGTAGAGGTTGAAGGATGCATGCTTTTGCGTGCGGCTTGAAGCGGACTGTGAGAGCAACGACTTTGTGTCGCCTCCAAACCAGAAGACATGGTCTTCCTGTCTTCGATAGCATGACTGTCTGTGAATCCAACATCACCAGTTCAACTGCTCCCTTTCTTCTGCTCCATGACCTCATAAACTCGTCAGCCATAGCTGTGAGAGCAACATCGTTCTCGTCCTTGCCCATGGTCTCACTGATCCACAAGCAAGTCCACCGCCCCCTTGACCTTCCCTTCAACGATTCCCACCCACCTGTCAACACCAGTTTGATTTCCAGACTCAATCGCCTCCACAATGCCCGGAAATGTCGCCCCCGCATACCCCGTCCACAGCCCCGGTGCGAACACTACGGATTTAAACCAGCTTCGCCCGTCCAACCCGGGAGCGTGCAGGAACTGCCGCTCGAGGAATTTGTACTTCGTGTTGATAGTCTTAACTGATGCGTACAGCTCCGCGAACGCCGAAGTGGAGGTTGAAGACTGCAGCTGAGTGGAGAGGGAAGAGGCTTTGGCATCGAAGGAGACGGAGATGTCGTGGAGTTGAGCGATGGCTTTGTCGAGGGGGTGGAAGGTTGCCGGCGTCAGGGGGGAGAGGTTGGAGGTTGCGGCTTTTTGTTTGACGGTTTGGAGGTAGTTCTTCAGGCCAACTGCGTAGTCGGTTGCGTTGAACTGCACCACTGGCTCTTCGGACAGCTTCGCGGTTAGCAGGGCTAGGATCCGGGCCATTGTGGCGTGGTATTTGAAGCCCGGATCCGCGTACTTATCCATCCAGTGAAAGCTGTCGTAATTGCTGTGATAGTGGTAGACTGGACTGCCTGGCCCTGCCTCGAAGCCGATGTCGATACTTGGGATACCAGCGAAATCTTGGAAAGCGGTGAAATCGCTACCAGATCCCATAGTCGAGATATGGCCGTTCCAAGTATCCCGGATCGTCTGGCCTTCCACTGTCTGGTTCGGGGAACGCACCTCGCCCGTGACTTTATATATCGCTTTGTTGAGCAGCGGTGCGGCGGCTGCGCGAAAGACTGGGCCAATAGCTCCAACGTCGACGTTGATGTAGGCGACGCTGGCATCGCTGAGCCAAGGGAGGTATTCTTCGACCCATTCCGTCGAGCCGAGCAGACCGTACTCTTCGCCGTCCCAGCTGGCGAACACAATCGTGCGCTGTGGTGTCCAGCCCTGCTTGACCGCGGCTCCAAAAGAGCGCACGACTTCGTTCAGTGCTGCAGAGCCTGAGTTGGGGTCGCCGGCACCTCCGGCTATCCATGCGTCTCGGTGGTTCCCAAGCACAACGACCTCGTCGGGGATGGAGCCGTTGATGATACCGATCACGTTCCAGGCTGGAGTCGTCACGTAGTCTTGCTCGTTCATCAGGTGGATTGATGTTTCGGCTGGCGTGGGACCGATGCTGTATTGGACGCCTTTGTAGCCTAGTCCGCCGGATTGCCAGCGGTCGTTGAAGGATGAGGCGTTCGGTCCGTAACCGTTGAGGGCTTTGAGAAGTGGTAGGGCTTCGGCGTATGAGATGGGTAGAGACGGGATGTCTGGGATGATTCCCTCAGGCGACTGGCGATCAACACCTGGCTTGGATGGGTACCCGATTGTAGTAGGATCTCCTGGTGCTATGCCTACTTCCCGTCAGCACAAGAGCCTCCAAATGGAGGTGATGAACACTTACTGAGGTACTCCACGCTCCCTCTCTGCACACTACTCGGGTTCCTCGCTGGTCCATCAGGATATGGCTTGTAGCCATTCTTCTCTGTCATCTCACCATCGTCACCAGGATCGCTGTACATCACCACCCCAACCATTCCCATCTCCGACGCGCGCTTGACCTTGAGCCCTCGAAACACTCCTCCGTATTTCACCAAGGCAATCTTGCCCTTCAACTCAACCCCAGCCTCTTTCAAATCCTCAAAATCATCATACGTCCCGTAATTGCAAAACACATAACCCGCCGTAACATTCCCACTCGCCGAATAGCCGTGAAACACCGGCACCCGATCCGCCAAACCAGTCGTAGGATCTTCCGCCAGGACATCCTCTTCCAGAGTCGCTTCATACACCACCTCATCCGCCCTCAGCAACGCCAGTCGGTGGTCGACCGGGTAGTTGAGGTACATCTCATAGCTCACAATATCCGCCTGCTTCACCCCAAACTCCACCCACTTATCCCTCGTCCACTCCGCTTGACTCAAGTTCTTCCCGCAGAGGTGCGGACCGGCAGTGTAGTATTTGCTCCATTCTCGCGCCTTGTCTGGGTCTGGTGTGTCGAGTAACAGCTTCTTGAGAGCTTTGTAGCTCAGCCCTTCGCTTTCCGGCCATGCTGCGTGCGGTAAACTGAGATCGGGGAATTGGTTTGCTGTGGAGGAGAGGAGTGCCTTCTCGTGCTCGCCGAAGAGGTCGCTGTCGCCGCCGACTGCAATGCAGAAGAGGATGATTACGAGGGTGAGGATCGGGACGGCTATGAGGCCTATAGTACAAAATCGCCGTAGCTCGTGACTGTCAGCATGTCACTTCTCCCCGGACAGCTAAGGAGTCATACCGATCGATGCGGATACCGCTCACGAGGCTCCGCGACAGGAACCTGCTGTATCAGCGGCGTGCTCTCGGTCGTCGGCATCTTGTCTCGCTGTTGCTTGCTGTCAGTCGCCCGTCCCGTCTCGTCTGCTACTTGCAACGATGAACAGCCACCTACCTGGTGCACCAGGCACGATTATCGTACATCTACAAGGTGAATGCACAGAGCCATTGTTCACTGCAGTCCTGCCGCCGCCAGCAGATCTCCAGCAATGACGATCCGTTGCTCACCTGCCGCTTCGAGCTGCCCGTCGCCCGCCTTGGCCGGCGGTTGGAGTTGTGGAGTTGAGAGCACGGACGGGACTTTCGACTTCATCTCTTGTCTGAAGTGAATGTAAAGTCTGAACACCAAACAGATCGGCTGATAAGATGCCATTCTGTGCCATTTGCTCTGTTGTACTGCTTCTATTTGAAATGCCGTCCGCTTGAACGTTGCTCAGTGGTCTCACGTCCCAAATGCCCTGCATTCTTCGTGGTAAGTAAGAACTCACGCGTGCTCTGTCCAGCATGTCAGCTGCCATGATAGTATACAGTCTGCTGACGCTTATTCAGTGCGTCCTTTCCGTCATACTCTTGAGGACTCCCGCTCGTCCTCTGCCATTCTCCCTCCCGGCGGCAGTTAATCCATTCTCCAGCTCCCACACCTGCTCGATGTTCTTCCGGGCTCAAACACAGCGCCCTTCTCGAGGGACGAAGCCAGCCGACGAGCCCACAGCTCCGAACACAATAGCAGCGCTTTCATCCAGTTCTCGAGAAGCCCACCTCGCCTGGCCGCTCCGAACGCTACAAGACGTACCGTCCTGCCCAGCTTGCGAGGCAGCTCAAGGTGCCTGTTGTCCAACGCAAGCTCATGCATAATGGTTTTGAGGAGCTCCGTGTCGTCTTCTGGCTTCATGTCAAGGTTATGTTCGACGATGCCCCCCTCTTGCTGTGTCCAATGGTTCAACGGCTTGCCTCTTCCGCTGTCTTCGTGGTTCGTTCTCCGCCGTCCAAAGCCGCTCAACAAGGGTCTGTCGCGGTACAGGCTGAAGATCCCTATCTGCTTTTCGGAGAAGATGCTGCATCTGGTTGGTGAAGCTGGAAGAAGGCTCGTAGTCTGCGTCTTGGGTTGCCTCGTTTGCTTGTCAATTGTTTTAACGATGTTTGTTGGATCATGTGTTGAAGAGCTCGCGAGTGAGGTATCGGCGGCTACTGTCGAGCTGGACGCGTTCAAGGTGGTGCCCAGGTTGTTGATGTCGTCTGCTCCGGGCTTCCATGGCCCCTGCATCGCTCTGTGACGCCGTGAGGTAGGTCAATGTCCGCGGGAGGTTGGTTTCCTGTCAATCTGGTCTTCGCACGCGTCTTTGAACCTGGTGATGCTGCCTGCGCGCTCGCCACAGGTTGGCGTAACGGCAGTGCAATGAGGTAGGTTGGAGGAAGAGGATGCCTTGCTCATATGTTCATGTCAGTCATTGATGGAAGACTATCAAGCACCGCTGTGCGATGTCTTACAGCCTTTCTCAGTCACTTTGAGCGGCGTTGACGGTGCAGGCAGCTGGTGATCCATCACACCACCACACCAGAACACGACGAACAACACAGGCATCCTCAAAAATCGATGAATGGACCCTACAGATGGCGAATATGAAGTACACGGTCTATCAAGCCTCCTTACCATCGACCCCCGCCGGCCCATGGCCCTCCCCACCGACCTCCCATCTGCTCCCAACGCCCTCCCAGCGTCCGGGACCCTCCGAGAGCCCTCCGGTCACACCTTATGGCCCCTTTGCCCCTACTTCTCACATTCACAGTACCCCCAATGCAGCGTTCGTTCCAGCATGCTTCGCAGACCTCCGCACGCTAGCAACTGTCAGCTCCAAGGCCTATAAAACCAGCATCTTGCTCCTGAAATTCCTCTTCTTTTTTTCTTCATACTTAGTTCACCTCCGTCGCGGGGTGGCAATTTTTGATGGCAACCTTTGTTTTTTCCTGGGTTCATGCTTGTTCGCGGCTAATCAAGCCGTGTTCAACAGGACCGATACCCCTTGCCAGTTGATTATGAAGATATGGATCTGAGTCCTGGCCCCTCGTCTCGCGCGTCGCAGCATCTTGCTCCGCCTTGACACACCGTGCAGGGTTACTCTCGGGAATTCGACACGCTGCCAATTATTTTAACCAAATCATGATACTTGGTATTGAACTGCCTCCTTGTACCATCGAGTGATCGACTCTTCATTTTTCATCAGTCCTTGAGCTTCTTGCTTGAGCCTGGAGAAGAAGCTCTCCTTCAATCGTTTTCTCTGCTCTGCCGTTAGCTGTGTTGATGTTCTCGTCGTTGCGTGATGCTGTTGCTGCTGGGTAGGCGGCACGCGTTGCCGCGCGATCGTGTTGTTTGCCCCTGTCGCCCATTGAACGGGCAAACCTCTTGTTGAGCAGTGCAGCGGATCAATTGAGAAGTCTTTTATAAGCGGTAATACGTCTATACGGCTTATTCGTCCACCTCCAGCCCACCAAGAGTGATGCAGCCATCTCGTTAGCGGTCACGACTCCCCCATGAGCGTTGCTCGACGTCAAGACCGTTCACCTTCCAGCAATCGAGCATACTCATCATGAATGAACGAGACCCTTCATCAAGCGGCGGCAAGCAATGGTATGGCATCGATAGTCAAGAGCTAGGAAATCAAGAGCAAGGGAACAAACATCGCAGCATCGAGGGAGGACAGCACTGTCACAGGAGACTGAGCAGAGCAGGGCAATTTTGCCACTTCGACGTTCTAGATCAACAGCCTTCCATGCCCTCCGAGAGCCCACTGCATGATGAGCGACCTCCTTTTCGATTCCCATCACTCAATACCGCAGAGCGAGTTGCTTCAAACACGACGCATCCACCACTGGACTACCGGCCATGATCCTGTAACGACGCCTAGCAGACCGCGACCCCTGTGATCAACGTGCTGAGAAAGTGAGCGCAGATACGTACTCAGCACTGTTACCGGCAATGGTGAGCGAGGGAGATCAAGTAGGCTGACCGCAACGATGGCACGACGAAGAAGCGTTCTCATCGTAGAAACCGCCAACGGTGCAAAGCCACTGACGATTTGGACAGCGCCGGAGTGTGATCGTTCATGACAAGAAGCATCTGGCACATCATCAAGATTTCGGTGTCAGGAGTGACGCCCAGTCCTCAATATTGCTCGGGGCTCAGCATGGCCTTTCACCATTTCGGCCTCCGTCCAGACACAGGTTTGGTTCCTCAAGCTCTTGCCACTTACTCAACGACACAGCGCCTGCCTTCCGTGGCTGGACGTCTTAGACATGAATTTTCAAGCTGCTGGTAGAGGATGTTCACATACTGAAGAGCTGGTGGCAAGAAGAGCGGACGGAAGAGATCAAGATGCTTGTTGGATTGAAAGGTTGAGTTGGTAATAACGGGTACCTTGCAAGAGACGATGTCCAGTAGTGGGATATACCAAGCACCATACAACAACACCCGCAAACGAACGGTGAGGTCTCACATCAATGTCAGCATGGTTCATGTCAAGCGTATCTCACGGGCATTCCTCACTGCTCGTTGAACATGTAGGAGCCACTTACTAAGAGCCATGCTCTTCCTAACGTCCATCCCAGACCCTTCCATCAACCTGGCGGAACCGTCACCGCCTTGCTTGGAACCTCAACCTCACAAACACCATCACCACTCAAGAAGCGCCGAAGATTCGGTTGCGCAGTCCTCCGTCTTGCTCCAGTCATACACTCCTCCGCGCCGAACGAACGCTTCCTGATCCCAATACACCTCTTTCAGCGCCTCGCGAACTCCGACCTCCAGGATGCACTACGACTGCTTTTCCTTCCCACTACCCTTGTCAAGAAAGCACAGATACTCATCCAGAATCAGATAGCTTGACGCCATCAGCTGATTGCTTTCTGGAACCAAACACGACAGCTGCTCGTGCTTCTTGCAGAACTCCTCAAACTCCTCGTCAGAGATCACGAAGCGCTTTGCGTTGCACTTACGCTTGTCAAGCTCGGTGTCGGTCGTGGAAGCATCGTTCTCATCTTGCACCTCCAGCACCTGGAAGCACTTCCAGCGGAAGGGATCAAGCAGCGCGACTGTTCCCACCATGTCCTCCTTCCAGTTGAACTTGCAGACGACGGTGTTGAGTTTGAACTTGATACCCGGCTCACGGCACCATTCGCGGATGCGGAAAAGCTGCGCGACGTTGTTGCCGTCGCCACGACCGATCTCGATGTTGGTGGCTTCGTCGAAAGAATCGCAGCTAACAACAAGGACATCGACGTACTGGCCGTTATTCTCAAGCCAGGACTTCGTAAGCTTAGACCCGTTCGAGATGATGGAGACCGAATCAAGCTTCAAGTCGACCTTGCAGTATTGGCAGAGCATCGCGAGCTGCTTCGGGTACAGAAAGGGCTCGCCGCCCGCAAAGTTGATCTTCTTCATCCCAGCAATCTTCAGAAGCTTGAGGCCGCGCTTCATGTCCTCTTCGCTTGCCACATGGCTGGTCTTCTCGGTGTGGAAGCAGAAGCCGCAGACTTTGTTGCACTTGCGGGTGAAGTGGTAGTTGACAGAGATCGGGGTGGTGATGCCGTTGTTCGAGCTGTTGGGTGGGATGGTGGCGCCGCTCCATCCATGGTGTAATATTGAGCGTACTGTGAAGTACAGCACTGGAAAGATCCCGGACACGGTGAGTAGAACGATCGCAAAAGAGATGGTCAGTGAGATTTTGATGAACCCCATTGCTGTGCTCGTCGTAGCCTTTGCTCGCGGAAGTGCTGTGGTGGTGTGCGTAGAAAGGACCAGTGTAAGGAGAACCAACTAAATACCGACAGTGTTTGTCTTTCGTTCACTTCTTCCTGATGCTTCTGTTGGCTGAGACTCTTCGACGTTGTTCTGGTAAGTGTGAGAGAATCTGCGGCCAGAAGCGGCCGGCAGAGACACAAGCCACCTAGCAAAGTCTACTCATTGATGCAAGGAGAAGTGTCGTAAGACAAGGTCAGGCACCAGTGCTGCAGTCAGGCATATAACAGACAGCCTTGCGGTAGCACCGCCTGCTCTCTCAACGAAGTGCCAGCGAACCCGCAAGATCGCCATCCAAAGCCGCAGCAATGGCCGACCACGACCAGAAAGACATCCACGTCATCCTTCTCATCGGCGCCCCTGGAGCTGGGAAGAGCACACTGTGCCAGCGCTTCGCCAAAGAGCAAGGCTACTTCCATCTCTCAGTCGGCGACTACCTCCGTACCCTATGCAACACGAACGAGCAACAGGACCCGAAAGTCTTAGGCGGATTGACGCTGGAGCATCTCACGAAAATGCTGGAAGCCCGGACGCTGATCGAAGCTGAAGTGCTGGTATCCATAATTGCGTACAAGCTCGAGCAAGAACAGAACCAAGGCCACTTGAAGTTCGTTATCGACGGGTTCCCGAGGACGGAAGAAGCGGCGGAGAAGTTCGATCGCAAGGTACGTTGCTCGCCAAATTGCGTTGCAGGTCATGCTAATCTGAGAGTGCACCGGACAGGTGTGCAGACCAGCCTTTGTCTGCCTGCTACACTGCGAGGCACGAGTGGCAAAAGATCGCTTCATTCGCCGGCAGCGCGATCCAGGCGACGATGCTGCAATGTTTGAGAAGCGCCAGTCAGAGCACATGGAAAACCTGTCTCCAATCCTCCGTCACTACAAGAACAACAAGCTGGTACGTCGTTTGGTTGGCCAACTGTAAGGGGAGGCTGTACTGACGTTGCGCAGATTGACGCAGGCGGCTCGGCGGACGACATGTACGCATCCTTCCTTCGAGTGGTGAGCCCGAGTGGTGTGTCGTAGCCAGCCTAGCAGGAGGATGTGGGAGTGTGGGAGATTGTTGATGTGGTGGCGGCTGCGTTGTAGTGCTGGGAATGCAGCTCCTGGATTCTGATGTCTCCATACCTGAGGGGTCGGTCGCCAGTGAATAGGGTACAGAGTGAATGTTTGAAAGATAAGCTTTTCCGTTTGCACCAACCGCCATGCATGTGAAGTCTTTGGACCTCCTCTAGAATTCCTTTTCGCCATCCACCGTACGTTTGGATCTCTTCCTGCAGTCCGCTCCGCAGCCTGAGTTGACGACAAAGGACCATCTCATCCTCAAGATGCGCTGCCGACAAGCAGCAAGGCTTCCACTTCGGCTCACCCGCATGTTCACCTCCACCAAGAAGCCAGTGAGCTCGCCGTTCATTTCGCACCTTGAGATTGAGCGCAAGTTCCTCCCAGCAGCACGTCTAAGAGCGTTACTCTTTGCAGACCCCAGCGACTCCTGTCATGACGTCTCGAGCACTTCCAACTTAGGCATCACATCCCTTCCGAGCTTCAGGCGCCGTCCAGACAAGATCATCTGAGATGTTTATCTTGATCAAGACGATCAGCTTTCCAACCGCGGCATCTGGATCAGGCGTAGAAAGGCTCGAGAGGCTCGCTGCAAAGAGTGTCCTGTGATTCTTTCCGCTCGGGATACCTGGCAAGCTAAGATCAAGCTGTCAGGCGATTGTGTCGATTCCCAGGTCGTGGAAGTTGAAGGCCTGGCCGCTGTGCAGAAGGTATTGATGGAACATATGCCAGGCGCCAGCCTGTTCCACCTCCCGGTACTGGCGGATCTCAGGACACACCGTTTGAGCTGGGTTGTCGATGACAGTGCAGATGGCTCTTCTCAAACAGCGCCAAGGCATGATGCGGTGATGCGCCTCGATCTCGACAGCACGACTGCCTCAGACAGCACTGTTGCTGACCCCCAAGCATTCCAGCATGAGGTCGGCGAGATGGAGTTGATTTGTGACGTCGTTGGCGGAACCAGCGAAGCAGAACATGCAGCACTGAGGCTGAAGGCTGCCGACTTCATGCATGGACGTCTTGATCGGTTCTCGAAGGAGCATGCAGAATTGTTCTCCTCGGCGCCGGGGCAAGGGAAGCTCAGCGCTTTCTTTGCATGGAAGCGCGAGCGGATGGAACGTAGTGGGAAGGGGTATGGTGGATAGTGGAGATACGAGCTCTCGGCGATGTTGGCGAGGAAGCAAAGTCACTCGTAAGCGTCGGTGGTCGGTGAGAGGGCTTTGGCAGAACTCCGGCGACGCTCAGTGTGGTAGTCGCAGTACAGCAAGCAGCAGCTGCGGTGCACCGGCAGGCTGAAAGTTGTCAAGGCAATGTTGTGTCAGCGACCTGAGTTTACAAGCATTCGTTGGCTCCCCAGGACACCCAGAACGAGGCAGGCCTAGGAAATGGAAAGTTGTCAGTTCAATCCTTTTCATATTGCCTCATTGCAGAAAGCCGCGAGCTGTACTTATTATCGTGCACTTATCCTCCCAAGTACCACTGCAAACCACCTTATCAGACCCAAGTTATATTGTCCTCCCGATCATCCGGCTTTCTTGCCGCCGACATGTCAAAGTGCTCGAAACCTGACTTGTGCCTGAGGCCGTTTTTCCGCTCTTTCCTCGAAGGCAAGTTGTTGTCGCTGCCAGGCATGAGCCTCCCCGGATGAACCACGTTGAGCGCCACGAGCGCAACCAGCATCGGAAGTGAATCCAGGCAGTACTGGTAAGCCTCATGGTTAGGAATGGTGCTTTGCAGACCTTTGGAGTACTCGATGAGGCGAAAGACGATTCGGATCTGAAGATCTGCTTTTAGTATCACAGATCGAGGACTGACAATGTGGAACGCACGGTGATTAAAAGCAGGCAGATGTACAGTGTGTACAGCATGACCAGCGCCCTGGATCTTGCATGACCGTCCAGAGCTGTCTGTCTCTTGATTGTCCGATGGAAGCCAATGGCATAACCCAGAAAGACAAGGATGAAGAGCTGCTGGATACCAACACCACCCATATAGATGTGAAGATCTGTTCGAAGATATTAGCATGTTCTGCAATCGAGGATCTGATACAAACGTACCTTTCAACACTTCCTCGTTGGAGATTGTAGGGCTGGACTGCGTCGATGCGGCTCCGTACACTTGGACAACGAAGGCCCTGCCGAAGGTCAGCAACTGGGCTTCACGACAACTGCTGCGGCTTACACGACGTCCAAGACCACAAAAATGCTCGTAAAGCGCCAGGCGGAGATGCCAAAGACTTTAGCACGACTCGTAAAGTTCCAGACCATGCGGCCCATCACCATCTGCACGAGCTGCCTGTCAGTGCGTCTTCTGGAGTCTGCTGAGAGGACATCCACTCACATATACGAATGCGTTCGTCCACAACGGCGCCACCAGGATGAGGACGAACCACGCAGCATAGTTACCAAGGCTGGCCGGCTCGTTGATGCTGAGGATACGGAAGATGTACTGATCCTCATTGTCAGCATGGGCCGTCGCGATGCAGTGGGCAGGGAGGACGCCTTCTTACTGCAACTGTCTGCCACAGAGCACTCATGGCAACCACCCAGGTATACGCTTTCTTGTAAAGCACCCCTTGGGCCACATGGCCGATGAAGGACAGCCCGAAGAAGACCGTAAAAGCGTAGGCCGCGCCTGTGTTAGGACAGAAGGCCCAGAGTGTGTCCGGAGCTGCAACGGCACTGCATTGGTTCGGAGCCATACTGGACTCCCGTACAAAAGCTCCTTGCGAGTAGATGAAGGCGATAGCGACGAGATGAACATGGTACGTTTGTGCGAAGTTGTTCCTACTTATCCTCCCAAAAGCATCTGCTGCCTGGCAGCATTATTTTGGCTCTACATGGGTCATGTCCATACGACAGACATCAAACGTTTGCCTTGCTATGTGTCCTTACGAGGTACAAGGAGGTCGAAGCTTCACAGCAAGAGAATACCTTGGGGAACAGACCGAACGAGGTGGAAGGACAAGGAAGAGCTGCACTCCACTCCACTTTTCCAACCCTGGTTCCCTACGGAGCGGACCCAATTTGCCATGGCATGTCCATGCTCCTACTATCTGTACTCCTGCTCACGTTGCGGTTCTCATCACACGAGGCCTGCTTCGCCTGTGTCCTGCGTCTACAACATCAGAGCCCTCCTGCAGTGTTCCAAAGCTCGTCGGTGTCAATCATTCATCAACTACCGCCTACTACGCTGACAAAACTGGCCGCCTTGAGCGGAAGCAGTCGAATGCCCACGGAGGCGACGCAGCAACAATGCCCCCTAGCTGGTCGCTGGTTCTTATTCGCCGGATCGTAGGGTACATTGCGTCTGAAACGTAGATCCTAGCAACCTCGAGCTGCATCGGGTCTGCAGGAGTATGAATGGCTGCTTGACCATGGCACGACGACTCAGCCGCTGGCGAACGACCTCAACTTGAGCGCTCGTCTCGTACGTACAAACAGACCATGGCGAGCCTTCTGCTTCCTCACTCCACCCACGATGCCCAGAGTCAAGCCGGAGAACCGCAAGCGAGCCAAACGACCAAAGACTAGAAGTGGTTGCCGCACATGCAAGAGTACGCACGCCTTGATTGATCCAAAGTATGCCATGGGCCTGTCAGAGGCTGATTGTCAACAGTCAGACGTGTCAAGTGTGACGAGACGAAACCCAGCTGTCACCGCTGCACGTCTACCGGAAGGACATGTGACGGTTACGAAGCTGTTCCGGGAGAGTTCCCTATGATCTTATGGCCGTCTAGCATCTTTTCGTCTCTCAAAGAGCACAGATCGTTCTTCTTTTACTTGGAGAAGACTGCACGACAGGTTTCGGGCTTCGATGAGAACGACTTCTGGAACCGGGTTATCCTGCAAGCAGCCCACGAAGATGCCGCCACTCGCGCTGCAGTAGTCGCACTCGGATCTTTCCACGAGGACTATGTCAGGACGGGCGAAGCGGAAAGGACGCAGGATGACTTTGCATTGCAGCAGTACAACCTCGCGATCCGCCAGCACCTTGCACATCTCAAAGCTTACTCTGAAGACCCCGATCAAGTCGATCGGTATCTGGCGTCTTGCATGATCTTCATCTGCATCGAGCTCATACAATGCCACTACGTGTCTGCTCTCTCCTTGATCCGAGGAGCCGTGAAGCTGTTCTACGAGCAGTGCAGACGCACCAAATCCGCTTGGCCCATCGAGACGTTCGAGCTTCTGCTCAGTCGCTTACAAGCCCAAGCCGTAGGGTTGCTCTCGCCATCTGCGGTCCCTAACACCATCCCGCCTCAATACAAGAGAATCGGCGAATTTGAGATGCCAAAGAGGTTCACCACTGTCTCTGAGGCGAAACAGCACCTGGAGTTCTACAGTCACTCTCAAATTCTGTCCTCTGACGCCCTCGAAGAGCCCTATTACGGTCGTGCACTCACTCCGAGCCAGTGCCTGGAGCTACTGGACCGATGGACGTTAGCATTCGACGCCATGGTTGCTTATCACGGGGAGAACATGACAGATCACGACAGGCGTGCAGCAAACGTCTTGCTGATCTGGAAGTTGATGTTGGCAGTCGGCGTGGACGTTAGGGCGCATCATCTCGGCAAGCTAGAAGATCCAATGGTCTACGACTTGTACGAGATTACCTTTCGGGAGGTGCTTGAGCTTGTGGAGAAGGTGTTGGTGGAGGCTGGAGACGACGGAGGCGGTCACGCCGTAGCCTCGCACCGCTTTACGCTGGATTTCGGCATCGTTGGACCACTGTAAGTTCTGCTTTGTATTTGGGTGGTTCTCCGATGAGGAGCAAGACATCAGGACCGTGGTGGCCTGTTTACCACCTCATCATCGACTAGTCTGGTGGAGAGTCTCCAAGATTCCTACAGGAATGCCTTGACGGTCCAGAGTCTCTCGAATGGCGATTGAGATGGCCAACTGCTGTCATCAACACTGAAATACGTAACAGTGAACCCATAGTCGAGAATCATACTAACCATCTATCAACCCTCCCAGCTACGACATCACCCGCATCTGCCGCGACCCCTTCGTTCGTCGCCGAGCCATCCACCTCCTCCGTGCCTACCCCCGACGTGAAGGTCTCTGGGACGGTCTTCTGGCGGCCGCGAGCGGAGAGCGTCAGATGGAGCTGGAGGAGACTGCGGTATCCGAGGTCCGCAACTCTGCTGACGTTCCTGCATGGGCGAGGATCATGTCCGCTCTACCTAGCTTTCAGTTTGGAGAAAGGTGGGCGATCGTGGAGTACATCCGTCAGCAGCCCGAAGATGGGTCTGAGGCCGAGCGGTTTCTTGAGAGGTTGGAATGGTGAGTGAGACTGTGCGAGAGGAGGATGGTTGGGGTTCGCAGTGGCGTGGTGAGGATTTAATGAGCACAAGCTTGGTCGGCATACGAGTGCTGCTAGACGACATCGAAAGCGCGGATCTATGTCTCATCTTCACTCCCGCATCATACCCACCCAGCTACCGTACAGCGGAAGAACTACCTCCATGGCAAGAAGTCGGCGAGAGAAGATGCGAGCTCTGATCTTTATGAGGTGAAGTATAGTCAGATCGCTGTGTGATCGATTGCTGCCCGTATCCGATGCTGTTATAAACAAGTGGTATCGCCCAGTACAAAGTAAACCGCCCGACGCCCTAAACGCCTCATTACCACCACCATCACCACTCTCCACCTCTTACGCCCTCACGAATTCCCTCAACTGGCTGTTCGCTTCTCTGATCTTCGGGCTTGGGCTCCTTCCACCCAGCAGGATCCTCTCCTCCTCAATCAAGCCCCTCTCATCCATGATCTCCAGCACGCTCCTTCCGTTTTCATCCCTAGCATCAAGATCTGGGTTACCGCGCTGTGCAAGCAGCTTCAAGATCTGTGTGTCCCCGTTGTCGACGGCCTGGAGCACCGCGTTCCAGCCTCGGTACATCAGGTTGATGTCCGCGCCCTTGGTGATCAAGTGCTCGATGTAGCTGAGGTCGTTCTCGCGATGTCGTCGAATAGACTTGATGATCGGCAAATGCTCGCCCGGGCTGTTCGGATCCGCGCCAGCTTCGTCGATGAGGTATCGGAAGATTGCCTTCCGGTCTTCACGGATGGAGGTGGTGAGAGGGCTGAAGACACCGCCGTTCTTCTCTTCAACGGACACACCCTTTGCAATCAGCAGTTTGACACTCTCGAGTTGGTCGGCGACGACAGCCATTTCGAGTGCGCCCTTGATGATCTTGGATTGGGCGATGCGTGGGAGGAGTTTGGCGAGGATCTTTGGATTCTTGACTGCCAGTGCGATAGGCCATTCTTGACCGCGCACGCCTGGGTCGGCGCCGTAGGAGAGAAGGCTGGAGATGAGGTTAGTATAGGCTTACGGTAAGGGTAGATATTAGTGAGAGACATACATGTCCAGCAAGTGGATACGATCATTCTTGATCGCAGTGGTGAGCCCCGTGTTTCCAGACGCACCGCGGGCGTTTACATCAACACCCTGCTCAAGCAGGAACAGCAGACACTCCTTCTCGTTGTGCGCTACAGCGGTCTCGATGATGCCTTTCGGGCTGTCGAGCTTGGCGCCGGCAGCGACCAGGCGTGGGAGGAGATGTGGTCGGTGGTGAGTGATGCACTTGAAGGCCGGGTACTCGGAAGCCTTGAGATTCGGGTCTGCGCCAGCGGCCAGCAGGATCTCGACGAGGTTTTCGTGGTTGTCTCGGATGGCGGTGCAGAGGGGCGTGAAGATTCCGTCCTTTTTGGCGCCGAGGTCTACGTTGTGATCGAGCAGACTTGACGGTATTAGCACATGCAACAAGCAAGGTTGGAATGGTATACATACATTCGCACAGCAGGAAGGGAGTTGATGGACGTGGCAAGTTCGAGAACACCTGGTGCCTTCGAAAGATCGGCACCCTTCTCGAGCAAGAGTCCAAGAATTGATGTCTGATGGACGGCTGGCCAGAGCATGTGCTTGGGTCCAGGAAGGTTGACATTGGCGCCGTGGTTGATCAGCAGCTCCACCAAATCCAGACGCTCAGCATTGATCGCCTTGAAAAGCGCAGTCTCTCCCCGCCCGTTCTTGCAATTGGCATCGGCGTTGTACACAAGCATGAGCTCGAGGAGGTTGATAGGAACAGTCTTCGTGATCGCCTGGATGAATGCAGTGTTGCCGTTGCCCATGATTGTATCAGGCTCGGCGCCATAGCGGAGGTAAAGGTCCACGAAAGCAGTTTGCCCGCTGTTGAGCGCGCGAGCGAACGGACTCTCATCATAAGGACCAGCAGACATGTTACAGTCGGCGCTGTACTTGAGCAGAAGCTGGGCGGCGTCAAGGAAGGAAGCCTGTGTTGCCGAGAAGAGTGGTGAGTAACAATCCTTGTCTTTGGCGTTCGGATCCGCGCCGAAGAGGAGCAACAGTCGAATGGTGGTGAAGTCGTTGTTCACAATAGCCACGGTGAGAAGGCTCCGTTCATAACCACTATCCACTGGGACTCCGCAGTCGAGCAGCTGTTCGATCATCTTGTGGTTCTGTTGCTGCACTGCTGCGAGAAGAGCCGTCTTTGAACCTGCTGAGATTGTGCCGGTGGGGCGCGAAGGTGTCCATCTGGGTACTTTGGAGGAGTCCACCATGACGCGCATTGGCTGCCTGTTCCTCTTCTCGTTGAGCTCATGTATCGACATCATCTCATCCATTTCTGCGATCGATGTTGGCGTTGTGATGTCAGACAAGTTGTCGCTCGTCAATGGAAGCGACGATGTGCGGCTACCAAATGGTGGCGATGTGGTCGACGTTCGGCTCGAATCGCGCTGAAGAGCGGGAGGTGCTGCGAGGCCACGCTCATAGAGTGCACTCTCTGGCAAGCTGGAGGATGGCATGTCGAGCCGAGAAGACAGAGATGGGCTGTACATCGGTGTTGGCGGCAGTGGGGGCAGCTCTGGCGGACTTCTGCTGACGAGATTTGACCGTGGCATTTCCGGCGACGGCTTTCCTCTCGTTGGATCCGGCTTATCCAGGACAGCGCTGAGGGCAGTGTAACCAATTCCCGCCGCCGGCTCGATCTGGGCCTCACCGAGACTCCATGTCTGCATGCGGTGGTTCTTTGCCAGCGCCTCCCGGCATGAGACCAGCGAAAGTCGGAGCTTCTCGATTTCGTTGTCCGCAAACATCATACGGAAACCTAGACACCTTGTTCAGCGTTGTTCACAGATGTACTGGCCGGCAAGCCAACTTACCCTTCCCTAGTTTTCCGAAACCTGATTTCTTCTCGCTGTCGATGTATCTGCTGACTACTTGGTCCAGTACTGTGAACGCATTTTTGACTTGGCGGAACCGCTCGAGTAGCTCATTTGTAACGTCTGCTGGAAGCGTGGTATTGGAGCGCTCTGCTTCAGCGAGGCCGGCCCTCGCAGGGATGATGACCCGGCTTGTTTCCAAGAACTCGACCGCGAGCTTGTTGAAGCCATGTGGAGCTTCCTTGACAATGCTGAGGTAGTCGAGGCAGTGTACCGCGACGCTGTTACCGAGTGTGATGGAGGAAGTGCAAAGCTCGAGCAACGAGTTCTTGCTCTTAGAAGGAGCCATACCTAAAGTTCAGGAAAGGAAAGACAAAGAGTGAAAGTGTAGGAAGGAGTGGTGAAAAGAGTGAAAGGCGGAAGAGCTGTAGGAAAGCAACCACACCTGCGGGGCCACTATATGAAAGGCAACGAGGTTGAAGGAGGTGGCCATCTCCTTGACCCACAATGAATTCAGGTACGGTTCCGGGCATCTGGACTCCAACAGGCCAGTAGCCTCCGTGCCTCATTCGCGCCGCAATGGGCGACATTGCGGGAAAACTCAAGCAGGCAGTTGAAGGATCCACGACCTGCCATCTCCCTGGACTTTTCAAAGGCCCTGACTCGACGTCAGGAACGGCATCGCCGTCGAGACGGTTGAAGCACATTCGCTGCTGAATTACCCCCCAAGGACGGGCCAACAACGGGTGGTAGCTGATTGGGACAGGCGTGGTTGAATCGTTAAGGTTTTGGCCCTTGACTCGCGTCCTTCGACCTCCACAAGGAACCGTGTTCTGGCTCCTTGGGTGGCACGAGCGCAATTGCGTGCAGGAGATGCCCGGGTCGCTCCAGAAGTCTCGTTAGACTGGAATTTTGCGCACTGTGGCTTGCTCCCACAAATATCCGGAGGGTTGCGCATGGATCAGATCGAAGGCGCGCGGAGTCGATATTGCTGGCGGCCGGGGAAGCGCCACAATTACGCAGGGCGAACATCCTGTTGGCTCATTGAACTGACGCACATTTCGTCTCATCGTCGTTGCAGTAGGATTGGTCCCTGACCTTCAGGAGCTGTCGCAGCTTTCAGCGAGCAGCAACGATACCTCGGAGGTTTGCACACTGTATCACGGACAGTGGAGGTGTAACTTTCAACGGCGTGCATCGTGTCAGTCCACTTCCACGTGCAGCGCGGCAGTCTTCGTGTGTCTGGGCCGAACAATGGTCCAATTCTGCAAGCCAGCCGTCCTCCCGATGGAGTGTTGACGTGTGGACGCACAGATCTGTTGTTATTCGCAGGAGTCTGGTCCGAGGGCCTTGGATTTGATAAATCAGATAGAATTTTTCCTTTACCGCCGGGAGATCAATGCTTCAATGGATAATTCCGGATTGGCCAAGATCTGGAGGAGGCGCAACGGGACTGGGGGCATCCAGAAGCAATTGATTGCACTGACAACTTGAGCGTTCACTTTCAGAAAACCAGGATGTCTGGGTGATAGATTGCATAGATGAATCATGAATGTCGTTTAGATGGACGACCTGGAAAGAGCAAACGCACCCGATGAGCGGCGAGGTGGGGACTGCTTGCTCCCCTTGCTCGAGCACTTCGGACGACCTGTCACGGCGAATTCCACCCGAGCGTCTTGTCAATCATGTCACCTGAATCGTTCATCGCAACTTCAACCCGTCAAAGACGGCAGCTTTATGATAGCAAGACCGCTAGAGGTCAACATTAAGCGATTCGATACAGGAGAGATCCGAGAAAAGAAGTTGATGCGCTGCTATTGCCGGCGACCCATTAGCACCCGTCAATACCTGGATACCTGGCTGGATTCTCGAATGCTCGCAGCACTCGTAGGTGTTGTTCGCAACTCGTCCTAAGCCTCAGGACGGCAACAATGGAAACCGGTCCTCAGGTGGTCCACTCGCGCGGCAGCTGCCATGGCCTCCCAGTAATCGCCGATGAACATCAAGGTCTAAGTGCTATCGTCGTCGGCGCCAGTGGCATGTCAGGACAGTCCATGATCGACGTCCTGCTTCTGAGCCCCAAGAGATGGAGTACCATTTACGCACTCTCGAGACGTCCACCACAAGCGGACGGCGACTCAACCGCGCTTGAGCATGTTCCTACAGATTTGCTCAAGGAGCCCAGTGAAATTGCGAAGACTTTGACTGAGCATGGAGTGCAGGCGTGAGTGCCATCGAAGTCCTCAATCCTTGTGCCCCAAGCTGAGCGCAGACTCAGAGACGTCGTCTTCTTCTTCGGGTATGTGCAGTTGAGCGCCGAGGAGAGAAAGTACAGCGCAGCGAACAAGGACAGCGCACAGAAACTATGCGATATCAACGGTAGGTGACCGCACAAATCTACAGTGGCAACAATTCCTGATGCCGCCGCGTGAAGGCCGCCTGCTGCAGAACTTCCTCCAGGCGCTCAACATGGCCTCGATCTCACCAAAACGGCTTCTGCTGCAAACAGGTCTCAAAAACTACCAGTGCCACCAAGGACCAGCAAAAGCACCCTTCAACGAAACAGACCCGAGACTCGACAGCGATGAATTGGGCCCAAACTTCTACTTTACCCAAGAAGATATACTGTTCGACTACTGCAAGAACAACACAGCAACATCATACAATGTCACCATGCCCTCCTGGATTCTGGGCGACGTCGCCGCCTCAGACATGACGACCATCTATCCATTGGCTGTCTTCGCGGCTGTGCAACGTAAGCTCGGACAGCCTTTGGCATTTCCTGGAGACACGCCGGCGTGGGAAAAGGTTATGCCTATGTCTTCTGCTGTGCTCAACTCACACTTTCACCAGTGGCTCGTCTTGGAAGCCGGTACTGCTGGAGAGCGTTTCAATATAGTAGATGACTCGGAGTTTACTTGGATGAATGCTTGGCCAGTCATTGCGAGTTGGTTTGGCATCGGCTGGAGTCCGCCAGCAGAGGAAGACGAGGACGAATATGCTACCGTCGAGATGCCTGTGAGGCCGAGAGGGTAGGTTGCTCGCATGTTCACGGATACATGGCCCACTGACTGATCGACCAACAGCTACGGGCCTAAAGGTCGCTGCCGATCTTCCTTTAGCCTGGCAGATTGGACGAAGCGAGCAGAGACGCAGTCAGCATGGCAGGAGCTGCGACAAGAATATGGCCTTGCTGCCGACCCATTCGAAGGCGGCGATGGCATGTTCGCCGCTTTGCAGTTCTCGCTGACGATGTCTTGGTCCTGGGCGACGAAGTGAGTCTCGAAGTCCCGTAGGTTACTGCTAAGAGCAATCAATGCTAACGATGGTACAGAATGGACAAGGCGCGGAAGTTTGGCTGGCACGGCCACGTTGATAGTCTGGAGTCGATACACCAAGTGATGAATAGCCTGGCGAGGCGGAAGATGATACCTCCGCTGGAACGGACCTAGCAGAATGGCAAGATTGAGTACAGCCTTTACGAAGGTACTCAGATTGAGTACCGGTAGATGAAGGCAGCATTGCGGACACATGTACAGCTATCGACATCTAACACGAGACATGACCGACAGGAGGTTTACCGAACATACAAGAACTCACAGCAACCAACGCAATTCCTCACTGTCCGACCATCATTATCGCTGTGAGCATTCCAACCGTGCTCAGCTGCCGTCAGCACATTACCACAATAACATCTCGGCACCGCCTGCAACGGATCACCGGTCTGCTGCACTATCGTTTGCTGTCGTCGCTCGGCCGGAGTGCGCGTAGCCTTCTTCTTCCTTTTCGCCCACGGGTCGCCTGTCTTGCGCTTCGTCTTAATCTTCCGTAACATGGTCCGCCGCGCATTGATCTCATCCAAAGCGTCTCGGCTGTTGATAGTGTAGTGGGCAAGATCGTGCCCACGACATATCGTATCAGCCCTCATAAGCATCACGAGGTGATGCGGATCTTGAGCACCGATAGCCTGGCATCCGCAACGCTGCCGTGCGACAAGGGGAGGAAATTGCTCTCGGAAATGTCTGTTGCATGCATCACAGACGCCGAATCTGAGAGCGTCGAGGCGAGAGAGCCTGTCGTTATTCCGATTGTTCCGACATGGACCGCACACTAGGACAGGACGAGCGGCGTTGGGGTGGATGCCTACGTACGTGCTATTAGCGAAGGCATCGGGTTCAATAAGCTAGTCGCTGACCAGGAGTGGGAAGGTTGACTTCAGCTCTGCAGATGTGCCATTTCGTTTGTCCCTGATGTATGTACTCCACACTACGCGCACAGGCGGGATGTATATGGCCAGGAGGCTCAAACGCGAGCGGTGTCGTGGTCCAAGGCGTTGCGTGGCGGGCTGGTCGTGAAGGTGGGTTTGTAAAAGGCGATTCGCAGATCAATTGAGTATTGTTGAAGTCTCCTGCAGTAAAGTCGAGAGGTGGACCTGACAGAGACGCTGGGGTCAGTAGATACGCAGAGACAGCGATTGACCATAGCATTGCTACTCCGGCCAACCGGGATGTGTTCTACGTACCAACACCGTTGTTGTGTTGCATACCAGTTGCTAAAACGAGCGCGCAAACTGTGCGAAAGTCAAGCTCCGGAAAGATAGTATCACGGATGGGAGATATGCTGAGGGTGTGTTGTACATGCCGTGCTGATGGGCCGCGTGCTGCCGCCTGCTGAGCATTGGGTTGCGCAGCTGGCTGACCGTCGTCTTGCTCCTCTGGCTGATCTGATTCCTCGCCGTCTTGCCGATCATCTCCATCACTGTCCTGCTGAGCTTCCTGCTGGGCGCTGCGCTGATCTTCCTCATTGGGAGCGTCCGCAGGACGACGCTGCGTTGATTGACGATTGCCCATTCTACATTAAAACGAAATCAAGTAGATGGCGACACTGTACGCATACGCCAAGGTTGAATTGCAGATACAAATTGGTCGTATACAAGTCCATGTCTTGATAGAACAAAGAAACCACCCTCAAGTACTTCAAGAATGCCGCAAAAGGAAGTCCGCCATCGAGACGTAACGACCCATTGTTGACAAAGGAACAATAACAGATACTATCCAATGGAGATGTTCAGACGCTCACGTCGTCGTGAAACTTACGGTGAACGTTCACACCACCAGGAATGCGATATCTGGTTGACCTCCAATGGCTGGCCAAACTTGCGGCCGGTCGCTGGACTGCGAGATCAAGTAGCAGCATACTCGGAGAGTCTCTCGCGTCGCAGAAGGTAGCATAATCATCATCATCGTAACGAAGGTCTGTCGGTGCGCACGGAGCCACGAATCCCAACAAAGGCCGGTAGGCGGGAAGCGTGGACTATGAAGGCCCTGTTTCTTCTTGCAAGCAGTGAAGATGTGAGCTACAGCTCGCAACCCAGCACACAGATACAGCACGCCGCATGACGCGGACATGAAGCACTGCTCTCGCGAGGAGACCTTGTGGTAGTCCCGTGAAGGCAAGGAGCTGGATTGGTGTACTTGCTTTGTCTGACTGGAGCAGAATTGGAAGTGAGGTGAGAGGATAGGAAAGGTCTTCGGATACTTACCTAGGTATAAATGACGATCCTAAGAAGCTGTGCTATCTTGGTTGCTTGTGCGTGTAGGTGAGAAGACGAAGTGAGGTTGGAGCGAAAGACTTCACATCAGAAATCTGCCAAGACCTTTCTAGCGCTCGGACCTCACTTCACGAGAAGAGCGAACAGCATGTGAAGACAAGTCGCGCAGCACGTTGAGCATCTTGTTATATCGACGCAGCAAAAACTTCACCCAACATGGCCGACACCGAGATGGACGTCGACGAGCCCACTACAGCCGGCGACATGGGCAAGAACGACTACAGCGACACCCAAACATCCGAGAAGGCAGTCGCAGTCCGCAGCATCGAAGGATGGATCATTATCGCGACCAATATCCACGAGGAGGCGTCGGAGGAGGATATCCAGGACATGTTCGGCGAGTATGGAGAGATCAAGAATCTTCACATGAATCTGGACCGTAGGAGTGGATACGTGAAGGTATGGCGGACAACGAGGTCTTCTGGAGATGAGGGTGGTACTGATGGTGATAGGGCTACGTTTTGATCGAGTATCCAACAATGTCCGAAGCGAAGGCTGCGATCGAGGGTGCGAACGGGGAGCAATTGCTTGAGCAGACGATTGGTGTCGACTTCGCATTCGTCCGACCACCGCCCTCTAAGGGACAGGCGGGTGGTAAGGGCGGAAGAAAGGCTGGCAGACGGCGCAGCAGGAGCCCTGGTGCAAAGCGAGGGGTTGAAGATGAGGATGATGAGGCTGAGTGAGAAGTGAGGGGAAACACCAGCCGTCGCGGATGACGACCGTCCTTTTCCCAGCAATGAAGAAGCAAAGGCGCCAGACCGCCGGGAGAAGCTTCACGACATTCGATGTGCCGTAGCGCACTGTGAAGTAGCCGACCAGAGTCGGCCATGAAATGAAATGCACTCAAGGTAAGCTCGACTTCTACGTGCCTTCTCAAGCACGTCGGCTGACAGTTTCCAGATGGACCACAGCTCCTCCTTCCAACTGTCGCCTGCCAGCTTCTCAGATAGTCGCAGCATAGGCTTGATGTCTGATCTCCAATCTTCAGACCGTCGCTCGTCGCTCGTTGTTTGTCTTCACAACATTCACCAAACACTTCCCATCACTACGCGCATCCTTTCTCCGACCAGTCTCCACTCGCACAAATACCCAACTTCATACACTTGTATCTCAAAATATTCCAACCCCAGACAGCCGTGAAGTTGCGGGCCACAATGGCCAACGGGAAAGAGCCCGACTACTCAACCTCATCGAGATCCCGCTCACCATCGCCATCGAGAGGGCTGGCGTGGGTCGACCACCGGCTCCGCATTGTCCAGCAGCAGCGAATCCAGGAAGAGGCAGACGAGGCGCTCCGCGCTGAAGAGCAGCGAGTCCACGAACGTGCTCAAGAGCGTGACCGAGTATACCGACAGGTCATTCAGCCAGTGATTTTGCGACACTTGTCGGAAACAAGGGTGCTTGAGGAGCTTGATAACGCACCTCCAGCAGAACGCTTGGAGCCTGGGTCTCCTCACGCGGAGAGCAGCCATGCAGCCATGCAGCGACAGCCAATGGAGACGTCGGGCTTTCAAGAGCAATACGATGACGCACCTCCCGCAGAACTCATGCAATTTGGATCACCTCAGGCGGAGAGCAGCTTCGCAACCGCGCAGCGACAGCCTGTGGAAACAACCACAGCAGTATCACATTGGCTATTCGAGTCATCGTCCCCTGACGTTCCATCAAGACCTGTACAAGATTCATCTTCAGACTCCGACGAAGATGAGGAATGTGCCGTGCGGTCGAGCCGCAGCATCTCACCAGGCCGCGACGGGCCTCCACCGCCCAGTTCGAACCAAGACCGCCACATGTCGAGTCCTCTCAATACTCGCCATGCCCTTAACACTAGGATCGACGGCAGCACGCCCTCTTCCGAATACTCATTATCGTCTGACTCGCCTCCTTACATAGAGCTGCCGCAAGACGCAAGGCAAGATGCATTGCACGCCGCAAGACAGCAATTGCACCGTTGTCCCACTGCGCCGCCAGAGGAGATGGCGAACTATCGGAGAACCTGGGCATAGCATGCCAGCATGAGGCGGCAGAGAATCCTCCACGAAATGCATCACTACCGTCTTGCTCACGGTGGTCTCAACAGGGCCGAATACATCGAACGGTACTTTTCAGAGCAGAACGGGCATGTGACCACAGTGGAACGGCCGCCAGCACCCTCACGAGCCGACAGCGATACCATATCTGACATGCATCGAAACAGTCAGATGCCAAGGTCAGCTCCGCCCTCAGGCCACGTTCATCCTAGCCGCGGCCACAGATTATCTCCTGGTGGTACGAGGCACTACGCTGGCCCTCCTGATCCAGAGGAGTTGCGAGGGAGGCTGGTTCGAGTACTCACTGGCGATCGCTCGCCACAGCCTTCTGCCGCTCCAAGTTCTCCTGCTGCTTCGCGACCGGTGCTCCGTGTGGACACGATACCGGCTCAGACTGTACCACAACAGCAAGTCAATGGCTACTTCTCTCTGCCAACCGAGGATGAGCGAAGAACCAATCTGCGAGCACTCCGAGTTCAACGAGAGCAACGTTGGCAGCACAACGAATACCTGAACAGCTTGGTTGCACCGGGGCCGTCTGGACGGCCCATCCAAGCTCGTGCTGGAAGATCACCTGCCGCCGTGGAAAGAGAACGGCTGGCACGATATGCTCATGCTGAGCCCGATGTGAATGTCCATGAGCTATCAGCAGACCACCATTCTCCAGAGGTCTCCGCAGAGACCTACAATGAACGCATGGCCAACGTCGAGCTCAACCTCGAAGATCCAAATCCTTCTCCGCAGCGTGTCTACGTCGATCTTGATGGTATGCCATGGACCCAGGTCAACAGTCGCAGAACCAACATGGATGCTTCGGAGACTATGCCGGGGCCACTGGACCGCATCGACTGCGTAAACATCCAAGATCTCCGGAACGATCCTGTCGTCAACGCAGCCGCACAAGGGGCATCCACTCCAAAATTGGCGGAGCTTGAGAGGAGGTTCCCTCTCACGCGGGCGCAGATGGAAGAACCGCCGCAGCATATGGTAGATGGTGTTGCGGACCTTCGAGAGCTTCCGGTTACATCTCCGGTCCGCGAGAGCGAGCTCCCGACGCCTTTACGCGATCCGGTAGATGAGTACGATGAGCTGTACAACACGTCTCGCAGCCCATCGCCTCGTCGTCCGCCGCTTGGCGGGTATGTCGTTCAAGCGATCCCTCCTGGCGCATTGCCATCCGACGTGGAAGCACCACTGGCGAAAGGTCCGTCCGATGGGATAAGAGCAGATGCCATTGGCACAGAGTATGCATCAGCTTTTGCGAGGGCAGGACGGGATTTGCTGTCATCACCGAACCCGCTGCGAAACAACCCTGCCCCCGAGATCTGGCGCGACCTTCAAGCGGTAGCCGAGCGTGTTGGTGGAGAGGGACCGATTGGTGATGAGCTGCTTCCACGGATACCAGCACCATCGCAGCAGGCCCGCACTGAACCGGCAAGACCTGGCTCGAACTCAACTTCGGACCCAAGCTCGGAGTCATCGGAAGGTGTCATGATGGCACCATCGGCACAAGCCTCGCGCAGGAATAGCGTAGAAGAGGAATCAGCACGAGACAAAAGGCCAGCCGACCGCGCACCCAGAGCTGAGCGGGCACAGCATCCAGTCGATACATTCATACCCTCTGCGGCTTGTGGACGTCATCATCCCGAGAACTACCAGCGTCCGCAAAAGGCTCCGGACAGGAACAGCGCACAGAGAAGTTCGTCACGAAACAAAAAGCCGGCGAAGCGTGCGCTTGGAACGGAGCGGACACAGCCCTCTGCCTCTCTTGGACCACTTCGTTCCCCGAGTTACCAGGATCGACCAAAGGACTCAGCAGCATGTCTGCCCGTCCAGACACAACTTCCTCAGACCACGCAAGACCCTGGTGTTGAGCTCACCGAGCGCCATGCCCAGTCGATACTGCAACATTACTTCTTCAACAGGAACGACGAGCATGCGGGCGATTGGCTCCGAGTGATTATCAACGGGCCCAACGCTGTGTACGAAGGCCGGCTGAATCCCAACTTGGTGACGTCGGCTCTTCGAAGCCCAGACAGTGTTTATCGCACGGCTTTGCGGCATGTTGAGGACCGCCGGCGGGCCGATCATGCCGCGCGGCCTCCTATTTCGAGGCGGCAGCAAGAGCAAACAGAGCAAGTTAGAGAGCAGGCGGCTGTCGCCGTGGCAGCGAACGACAAGCCAGCGCCGTATGATCCCGAGATCGATCTTTTCAGAGCTCAACCACCACCAACGGCGGACTCTGGGGAGGGCATTGACAGCCTGCTGCGTGGCAGCGAGGATTCTGAGGCGATGACGTTGCATATGGCGGGCGATACGACTGAGGTCCGGGACTTTGCGCTTGAGCAGCCGCAGCCGCCGCCCATCGCGGAGTTATTTACCTTTGATGACTGGACGCAGCCCCGGACTGCGCAGAACGAGCCTCGTGAAGAGACTGTTGCTGAAGACAATGGTTTTCTGACACCACAGCGGGCTGCTCCCGCGGCGCCCTTTAACTTCCGGGACTTCGCTCTCCCAAGGTCGATGCAGGAAGAACGTGAGGCTGCTCTGGCGGAGATGACGTCTCCCACAGACACTCGCGGTGCTCCACAGGCCGCGCCGATGTTAGGGCAGAATGATGGCCAGGATGAGCGACCCCATACTCCTTCCGACCTGCTGTTCGGACGGTCGAGACGTACACCAGGCCCGCCTCCGTTCTCTGCTTCATCGCTTGCGTCACCAAGGCAAGAAGTGCCGTCGATTGATCAAGTCACAGCGCCATCATCGAGTCGACTGCCCGGTGCGCCACCGTCACCAAACGTCGCTCCAACACTCCAGCCGCCCGAAGCCCTACGCCAAGCCAGAGAAGAGTCCTGCCATCCTGTTCAGCATCCTCAAGCATCTAGGCCAGCCGGCGAAGAGTCCCGCCAGCCTCCGCAGCGGCCCCAAGCACGCCAGCCAGTCCACGAAGCCGGGATCGACAACCTCAACGAGATCTACCAGCGCGTCACGACCGAGTTTGAGAATATGTGGCAGGACACCAGTCGCCGCAACAGCATCGTCGACACCACGGACGAGAATGCCTGGAACATCGCCAACCAACTCATTGATCTCCAGCGGCAGAACAGATTCAGAAGAGTGCCGGGCCAGTCCGTTTCGACGTAGAACTCTCGATTCGAACCAGCGGAGCGATCGCTTGATGGGCTGATCAGGGAGAATCAGGGGTTGTTCTTCCGAGATAAAAGCAGCGCAGCACAACCTGCCGCGCCCGCACCAGCTGCACCGGCCCAGACCGGCCAGCCTCAACTGCGCAGACGGAGCTCAATGCCCGATGCTGCGCTCGTCCAGCCAAGGAGTCGAGCAGCGCAAGGTCCGCTGACTCGCAGGCCTTCTAGCGTTCCGCCGAGCCCGCAGGTGGTTGTGGCTCAGCAACAGCTGGGTTCGTTGGATGCGGCGAAGAGAAGGTGTTCGATGTGGTCGGAGCAGCTTGGGAGGGGGCAGAGGGATAGTTTGAGGGGGTCAAGATGAGCAGCGAGGGTTTTTGCTGAGTCTGGGTGGCACCTTTCCGTCACTTGGTTCGGACAGGGCATGCTGATGAGAAAACGCACACGTTCATTGGTATTGCATTTGCTGCTGCATTGCTTTGGGCTTTAGCTAGGGTGTCTGATACAACATCACCATTTCCGTCGCTGACCATATAACGACTCCCGTCACCTCTTCCCACACAGTTCCCCTTCGCTTCTAGACATCTCGTCCTATCTCAATAATGCTGAAGACAGAGGAGGAAACTTGGACAAGACAAGCACAACAAGAATCTCCAAGATAACGCTTAACCTCGGATCAAGCACTTCCGTTCGCTTGATGTTGGAGGCTATCGCTGGCCAAGCTTTGACCTTGCCTCCACTCCTGCAATTTGTCCTAACTTCCAATGGCAGGTGGTATCGTGAGGTCAAGCCTCGTACGTACATCGCGAACGCCGATGCCGTCTCTGCTTCGCTCTCGCGGCACCTCGTTTGCACCAGTGGCAAGAGTGGAGGATCTGGGACGATGGTGACCGGCAACAACGACCTCCTTGCTTGACCACTCTCCACATCAGGACAGAGAAGTTCAGACGTTGCGGCAGGCAGGATGGTCAAGCCGTGACTCTTTTGCTGATCTATACCCGTCATCACTCTCGTGAGCCAGGCGTGCCAGACCCTTCGCGTGTTGCCACAATCTGCGGAGGCCACCTTCTGCATCAAGGCATTAAGGGTCGTTCGGCCGCAGGTAGATACTAGCCGCCATGCACGGTACCTGCAGGAACGAGCCAATGGGTCGACAGATCGTTACGATCTCGAGATAAGTTCATGTTGTTCTTCTAACCAATTCACTAGTCTTGCTGCACTAATCCAACACGCCGCCGGCGTATTGTTATAAGTATCGACTTTCTTCCGCCACGCCAGTTGGATGATCCTTCGTTTGACATTCACCCCCATTGCACGTTGTGAAGATGCTGTCGACTGCTGCTTTCCTTGCTCTGGTACTGCCGGCCTATGGTGCTGTGCATGAGTCGCTGGCCGCTCTGCCAGCTGGATGGACGGAGTCGTCTACGAGCCTCGCAGGTAGCTCTGAGCTGCAGATGCAGGTTGCCTTGTGAGTACGGAACAAAGTGCATAAGAGGCTTAGGCTGACCCAACGCAGGCAATACCAAAACCTAGATCAACTGGAGTCAAAGCTCAAGTCAGTCTCAACACCTGGAAGCTCAAGCTACGGCCAGTATCTCGACCTCGACGATTTGAACTCCGTCTTTGCGGCAACGAGCGAGTCAGAGAGCAAAGTGAAGTCATGGCTGAGTCAGTCCGGCGCCTCCAACATCGCCAGCGACGGCAGCATGGTGTCCTTCACCACTAGCGTTGACAACGCGAACAAGATGCTGGACACCAAGTTCAAGCTCTACTCGAATGGCCAGACGCACAAGGTCGGCACCATGGCCTACTCCGTTCCAGACGAGCTCAGCGACCACATCGACCTCGTGTCTCCTACGACCTACTTCGGCAGCATGAAAGCCCATAGAGCTGTTCCCGACATTACTCCCTCAAGGACCGAGCAGAGCCCTGCGGACCGCAAACGGCAGGTGTCTCCTTCATGTGAGACAACCATCACCATCGGCTCCGGCAACGTCACCAGGGACTTCACCGTCCTAGGACCAGACTGCTTCAAGCAACTCTACAATGTCGGCAACTACCAGGCCCATCCCAACTCTGGCAGCACAGTCGCATTCGGCAGCTTCCTAAACCAATCCGCCAGCTTCTCGGACCTTGCCAAGTTCGAGAAGATCTACAACATCGAGTCTCAAAGCTTCACCGTAACCCTCATCAACGGCGGCGTAAACGACCAAGACCCGCTCACCGAATCCGACGGCGAAGCCAACCTCGACGTCCAAAACATCATCGGCCTCGCTCACGGCCTGCCAGTCACCGAATACATCACCGGCGGCAGCCCGCCATTCAGAGGCGACCTCCTGAGCAAGATCTCTGAACCGCACAACCAAAACGAGCCGTACCTGGACTACTACAACTACCTCCTCTCCCAACCCAACAGCGCCCTTCCCTACGTCATCTCCAACTCCTACGGCGACCACGAAGACACCGTGCCCGAACGCTACGCCACCCGCGTCTGCAACCAGATCGGCATGATGGGTTTGCGCGGGCGTACCATCCTCGAGAGCAGCGGTGACGAGGGCGTGGGAGCAGTTTGCCGCTCCAACTCTGGCTCCAAAGCGCCGCAGTTCACGCCGCAGTTCCCTGGAACGTGCCCGTACGTCACGGCAGTGGGAGGAACGCAGTTCCTCGACCCAGAAGAAGCATGGAACGCCAGTTCGGGGGGTTTCAGTTTCTACTTCGACCGCCCCTGGTACCAGAACGCTGCAGTCCAAACGTATCTTAACCAAGAAATCAGCGCCGAGACGAAGAAGTACTACCGCTCAAATGGCTACGTCGACTTCAACGGCCGCGGCTTCCCGGACATCTCGGCGCACAGCTTATACCCTGAGTACTCTTCCCCCTTCCTTTCACCTACCTGACCAGCCACTGAACCCGTCACAGCTATCTCACCGTCATCAACGGCACAGCCCAACCGAACGGCGGAACCTCCGCCGCGGCGCCCATCGTCGCAGCCATCTTCGCCCTGCTCAACGATGCACGTTTCCGCGCTGGAAAGCCAGCGATGGGATTCATCAACCCCTGGCTCTACAACTCCGCCGCTGGCAAGGCTTTGACGGATATCACGACCGGTGCGGCGCTGGGTTGTGCAGGGACGGATTTGCAGAATGGGCTCAAGATTCCTGGGGCGGGTATTATTCCTTTCGCGACGTGGAATGCTACTGTGGGATGGGTGAGTTGTGTATTGGTGGTGGTGTTGGTGATGATGCTGACGCATTTTAGGATCCTGTGACTGGGCTAGGAACGCCTGACTTCCAGGCGTTGAAGGCGCTTGCGCTGGGGATGTAGGAATAGGAAAGGAAGGGACGAAGCCCACAAAGAACTCAAGTAGTGAATATATTTCAGTCTTACCTATTCAAGGTCCGCGTGATTTCGTTCAGGCATCACAAGTCGCACGTACCATTCACAGCCCATTGCGTAGCAACTTACCGCACGCATGCCACGCAGACGCTACCAGAGCTCTTCTTGTTCTTGGTGCCGTCGCATCAAGAAACACATGCGTTTGTGTTGCAGCAACAGTAGCTGAACCAGTGTGCTTCTGTGAGTGCGCAGAGCCCGTAGGTATGCTGCACTGAGCACGCCTTGACCGCCAGAGACCCACGGGCGTGTAAATCGGTACTGCCGACGCACATCACTGCTCCGAGATCACGTCCCATGGACTTGACCAGCCGAAGGTCCGGACAGGCGTTGGCCGAGGTGCTTGCTTTGCTTTCTTATTATCATGGCCAGAAGAAGAGTGCCAGCAAAGTGAAGGAAGGCGTGGGGTAAGAAGGGATTTGGACAAGGAGAGTAGTACATGCGTCGCGCTGATCAGCAGTCATGTGAGCGGCAGTGGCTGCGTACCTCTGTATCGCAGCTTCAACATTCACCAGCACCGCAGGCATACCGCTCGAATTCGAAGACGGCAAGCCAGATACTCAGCTGTGTGTTGTCAGAGTATGCTTTGTTACGATGAGTGGAAGGCAGCGTCGATACATAAGGTCACGACTCACAAGACATAAGCCTTTCATCACACTTCAATCGGAAGTCGTTGCGGAGGCAGGCAGGCAGGCTGTAACAAGTCTCGTGCTGTCGTGAGAGCGACAACACCTCACGCATCATCGCACTTCGAACGTCACACGAACTTAGATGGAACATAACGAGGCTTCAAGAGCATCGGGTTTAAAACTCACATTGATTTGCAGACTTACTCGTATACCCACCATAACATAACAAGCAGGAGCACCGCATCAAGGCTGTCAACATGACCCCAAGCTCCACCGCATGCTCCCGTCCTTTCGAACAGGCGCACCGCATCAGGGCTGTCGAAATGACCCCAAGCACCACTGCATGCTCCCACCTTTCATCGACACCCACAGTGGCGCCGACGAATGTTAGTACCATGGACAAGCAAGTCGCCAATGAAATCTTTCCACTCACTTCCTCTGCGCCTTGCCATGTTCCTTGAGCACTGCGCGTTCTTGAGCCTTCTCGTCCGAACCTTTTTCTTGTCTTTTTCTTGTTTTCTTTTATCTTCGTCCTTGTGGGAGCCCTCACCATGACATCGTTCCGCAAGCGCAACGTAGCTTTGGTAAGTTGACTCGTAGGGTGGTTGCAGCGACTTACGGGAACGCCCTGACATGAAGCTCCTCTGGTGGCGCGAAGTAGCCGGTGTAGATCAAGCGGACGGGGCGGCTGTCCTTGCCCGGCTTGCTGGACTCGGCGGCGGGAGCCTGGGTGGTCTCAGTCGTCGGAGCCTGGGTGGGTGGGGCGGCAGCTTCGAGGGTGGTCGTATTGGCGAGAGCTGCGGGCATCTTGTCCTTGTTGGCGTTCGGCGGATAGCCTCCCGGCAGAGGTGGGTCGAAGAAGAACGCTTCTTCGAACCTCCTGGCCTTCTCGCGAGCTTCGGGCGACGCGACGTGTCCTGGAGCGTACTGATACTGAGTGAACTGATGCTGCGACTGCGACTGGGTCGGTGGGCCCGCGGCAGCAGCTTGCGAGGGAGAAGGACGCTTGCCAGCGATGGCGTCGGCAATGGCTTGATCGACTTCGTCCAACGGAGCACCGACTTGGTTGTTGTTGGAGTCCTGCGGCGCCGTCACGTGATGACCATCTTGACCTCCAGACCATCTGTAGATGTATCGATTAGCAGCTGCTTCAGACATTAGGTGGAGGCTACAAGACTTACGGCTGCAACGGCTGGTGCCCGGGGTGAAGTGACTTCATGGCTGCGGTGCTGACGCCGATGCCGCCGAAGGATGGCCGCTCAGGCAGACCCGGGACCTTGGGAAGGCTGTTGGAGCGCGCATCGTCGGGTGCAGAGAACTGGCCGTGAACCGGTGGTGTGCCCTGAGAGGGGCGGCGCGACCAGTGGGCCTGCGAGTCCTCCGCCACGTGACGTGGATGATGCGGCAGGCGATCGGGGAAGAATCCGGGCTGGCTTGGCTGAGGTGGCGCACCGCCTGGGGGGAAGCCTGGGGGAAAGCCTTGCGGGTGCTGCGGGAATGGTGGGGTCGGGTACAGGTTTGGCATGTTCGGGTGTACCATTGGCGTGTGAGCAGCCAAAGGATTCCTGTGAGGAGCCAAAGGATTTGGGCTGACGCTGGCTGGTAGCTGTTGGTGCATGTTGTGGTACTCGAATGGCGTAGAGGCTTGCGGTCCCTGTGTCATTGACGTGTTAGCGAGAAGAACTGGACATATTGTCGACGCGACTGAACTTACTCCGTACTGTGGTGGCGAGTGCTGTGGACCACCCTGCTTCGGCTGCGTATCGGCTTGCTGCTAGACGGGTGAGTAAGTGAAGCTTCAGAGAGAAAGTCGCAGGTGAAGCGTCAACTTACCACACCTCCATCGCTGTTGTTGGCAGCAGAGTCACCCGCGGCTTTGGCTTGCGCCTTGGCCTCCTTCTCGGCACGCATCTTCTCCCGGTGCGCCGCGACGCGCGCTTGGATGGCCTCCTTGGACTCGGTAGGCTTCGGCTTCTTGGCTGCACGCTCACGCGCTTCCGCCTCTGCAGTGCCTGCGAGCGGGTTGCCGGTCAATGCTATATGGTCGGCTTCCTTCTTCTTGTACATGGCAATCACGGAGTCAGTCTTCTCCTTCTTGTAGTCCTCCGGGACGCCGAGCATGCCCCAGATCTCGAGGTTGGTGCCTTCACGACCAGGCAACGCGTTGGCGATGGTGTCGATGCTCTCTTTGTGAACATTCTGCACGTGGACCATCAAGCCGCCCGCGGTGTGCAGGCGCTTGGGGCAGATGTGGCACTTGAAGTGCTTCGCGCGCTGGTGGTCCAGCAGAACAGCCAGGTCGTCGAAGTCGCGGTCGCAGTAGTAGCACCACGGACGCTCGAGGAGTGAGTCCAGGCTGGGTTGCTTGCGCTTCTTCCCCATCGTGGCGGTGGGGTACCGGGCACGATGTGATGGTGGAGGGTTTGTTATTGTTGGGTGTCGTGGAGTGAGAGAGAGGTGGAAGGTTGGAAGCAAAAGCTCAAAGGCTGTGAGCTGCAGTCTTGGCACAACGCTCGAGCTTCTTGTGATCTCGACGTCGGCCGTCTGCAGCAGAACCAAGATGCAATCCTCGATTCAGACTGCAAAAGGGTGACAAGGTTGACTCAGTATATGTAGGGACGTTCACTTGTGGTATAGGAACCCATTGGGACGCGCTATGTGCACCGCTGCAACCAGTGGGCTGTTGAAAACGCGGATGTAAATATATGCTGGCTCATTCATCACCTTTCTAGAGCGACTCTAGGTTGGTGAGGCGGGTGTGCAGAAGGCACTTCACTGCGAGCTTTTCACTTCCGTCCCATCTGTCCCACCCTCTTCACATCGCACCCCATCACAGCAGAGCAGCTCCTCCCCTCCTCTCCTACTTCCTCCGCACAGCACAGGTCTTGAGTACAACGGAGGAGAAAGGAAGCAGGAACACAGCCATGACGAAGGACATTTAGGGCTGATTAACAACGACTTTCCCCAGATTTCCACCTCCAAATGTGACGATCAGCTGCGGATGGTTCACGGGCTTTACGCTCCTGATATCCCCGGCGCTGCTGACACAAATGTTTCCCTTCCTGACCTTTGTCTGAGAACGAAGGCGCATAGTCCTGTATACGAGACTTGGTGGGAACATCGATCAGCAACCATGAACGCCCATGTGTAGTAGCCATCTCATGAGCCACCCACCTACACCCAACCTCCAGGCGTCCCAGCAGAGCGGTCCAGTCGGGAAGTAAGATGATGACGGCGCAGCTGCTCGACCAGAGCGCTCACCAGCCCGTCGGCATGACAGGTGTATACACACCGTCCAGCGACGAACACAAGTCCACCCCGCAAGGCGATGAGATCTCAACTTCTCGTCCATCCGCGCCGTCCGACTTCTTCAAAACCCTCCCTTCGTCGGCCAACAACGTCTTTTCAGCAGAGCAACCTAATGGGACACCCATAGAGTCAACAAGAGTACACGTCGATGCACATGGTCGAACGCTGAACCCAAGAAGCTGCGTGACCTGTCGGAAGAGGAAGGTCAAATGCAACAAAATCCATCCTTGCAACAACTGCAACCGAGCACACATCGAATGCGTCTTTCCCTCGCCCGGTCGAGCACCCCGAAAGATCAATAAGCCCAGTGAGGGGAGGGACAAAGAGCTTCTCGAGCGGTTGAGGAGGCTCGAGGGTGTAGTCAAGGGCTTGGGGGTGGAGGTGGATGATAAGGAGAACGGAGAGCAAGATGAGCAGGCGGTACAGCAGGACGGTCAAGATGGAACGCCGGATGAGCTGCATAAGGAGAACAATCTGAGTAAGAGTGGTGCGAACGACCGTTGGGCGTATCAATACTTCGACGGCAACCGCTCAGACCGCACGAGGTGGGTAGATGAGAAGCAAAGAGGGAATTTCGAAACTAGATTCGGACGCCTGGTCGTCAACGAGGGCAAATCGAGATACATCAACAACTCCTTCTGGGCAAACCTGAGCAACGAGGTAGAAGATCTGAAGGGCATCTTGAACCAATCTAGTGATGAAGAGGATGTCGATGAGTCGCCAGATAGCCACACGAACTTGGCAGGCGTGCAACAAGGCTGGGTCTTCGGTTTTAGCTCGCTAAACGTCGACCTACTATCACTGCATCCTCTGCCCGGCCAGATATCGGCGTACTGGAGCATCTACAAGGACCGTGTGGATCCGCTGGTCAAGGTGCTGCATATACCGACTATTGAGCCAACGATATTGAGTGCTGCATCACATCTCTCGAACCTGTCGAAAGGCTTCGAAGCGCTGCTTTTCACGATTTACTACGGTGCAACCACCAGTCTGAACGCAGAAGACTGCAAAGCAAGCTTCGGAGAAGAAAAGACAGTACTGCTCGCCCGCTACCGCTTCGCAATCGAACAAGCGCTGTCAAGAGCAAATTTCCTAACAACAGAAGAGACGATCGTGCTCCAAGCCTTCGTCATCTTCCTCATCTGCCTCCGCCGCAACAATGACGCCCGCGTCATCTGGACCCTTACCGGCCTCGTCGTCCGCATAGCCCAAACACTCGGTGTCCATCGCGACGGCACCCACTTCGGCCTACCGCCTTTCGAGATCGAGATGCGTCGGCGCCTGTGGTGGCAGGTCTGCATCCTTGATACCCGCGCGAGCGAAGACCACGGCTGCGATCCTACCATAATGGAGCAGTCTTTCGACACGAAGATGCCGCTCAACGTCAATGATGTCGACATCGGGCCTGATATGAAGGAGTTCCCGCTTGAGCGGACGGGTTGTACGGATATGTCGTTCTGCTTGATCCGCTTTGAGGTCGCAAATACGTTTAGACGCATCAACTACGTTCCTCCTGGGCCGCCCCGGCAGTGTAAGGAGTATTACAAGAGCATCACGTTGCAGGATAAAGAGACGTGGATCACCGAATGCCATAACCGCCTTGAAGAGCGGTACCTCAAGCACTGCGATATGAGTGTGCCGCTGTTCTGGGTCACAGCGACGGTGGCAAGGTTGATGATGAGTAAGATGTGGTTGATGGTGTATCACCCCTTCCAACGGCAAGACGGCGGCGCCAGTCTACCCGACGAAACGAAAGAGAAGCTGTTCATCACGAGCCTGGAAAACATCGAGTATAGCATTCTCCTCGAAACGGAAGCAAGAACGATGAAATGGGGCTGGCTGTTCAAGACCTACATGCAATGGCACGCCCTCGCCTTCATCCTGTCCGAGCTCTGCCAGCGCACAACAGGCGACCTCGTCGACCGCGCCTGGCGAGCCGTCGAGAAATCCAAAGACGGCCGCTGGGGCGTCCGATTCACGGACGACTCCCGCGCAGACCACCTCTGGCGCCCGTTGCGAAAGCTCTACCGCAAGGCCAAAGACGCCCGGGCCCGAGGAATCCAAGAAGAAGCACTCACGAAGCCGCAACTCACGCCGCAGCGGACTTACAGCCCCAACGCGAATCCGATGTTCGAGCACCCCGAACGCCCGAGGATGACGAGAGCGCCGCTGTCGCAGGCACAGGCGCAGCGGTTCGCGAGCGGGCCGACGTTTGGGGAGGTACCGGTGGATAAACATGAGTTGTTTCGGTCGCCGAAGCTTTTGGAGACAGTTGGGGGGGAGGATGTTGATCCGATGGACGCCATCAGCCTTCAGAACACTGGGAGGAAGCAGCAACCGGACTATGGTGCCATGCCAAATGGAGCCAATATGCCACTCAACTCTGGCTACGCCATGCACGACGCCCTCTCCTCCTCGCAAGCTATGCAGCAGCCGAACCCCCAATACACTGCTCCAACCTCCTTCCCAAACCTGCCCACCAACACCATGCCCCTCGACTTCTCCACCACCAACAACGGCACATTCTACCCTCCCCGCGCGAACTCCCTCGATTCCAACGGCGAGCTCGACATGTCCATCATGGACACCAGCGGCGACATCAACTGGGAGAACTGGGACCAGCTGGTCAAGCAGTTCGGCATGGACGTCGATTCTGTGCCGGGGGCGGGCGTGGCGACGGATTGGGCTGGTGGGGGGTGGGATGTTCTTGCTAATGGGGTGAATGGGGTTAACGGGACTAGCGGGGTTGGTGGTAGTGGGGAGGAGTGGTTTAGATGAGTTAATGGGATGGATGTATGTGTATGTGTGTATGAATAACTCCACTACACCATTGTGTTCAGCCATGTCCTGAAGACGTGCGGCAGTGCAGACATCAGCTGCATTGGGACGCTGCATGGTAATACGCATGGTCATATGCAACACGGAGTAGCTACAGCATCCAGATAACCAATGAGACGAAGACCTGGGAGAGTCCCGTCAATGCGAGCCCAGGACCGGACTGCTGCAGCGTCACATGCAGCGTCATATGCAGCGTCACATGCAACATGGACTAGCTCTTTGACTTTTCCTCCAACCAAGAACTGCACACGAGAAGCGTACGACGACGAATTGTGTACACTGCGTGGTAATATGCAAAGTCACATGCAACAGGAGCTAGCTCGTCGCTGTCGTCCGCAAATCGAAAAAGAGTGCAGAGGCTTTAAGGCTGCAGTAATCGTTACTCTGCATATGCGTCGTGAGCTAGCTGCACGACATCGCGGACGAGTCCTTCGCCCTTCAAGAATACACACTCCACATTGGCGCCGGCTTCGTGCCCATCGACCGGAACGACCAGAAGACTCCCCGCCGTCTGTACGAGCTTGTCGAATGTTACAGCAGTCCGAGCAGTCGTAGGAACGGTTCGGGGCATCTGGATTTGCTGTTAAATAGGGTTTGTGGTACCTCCGCTGTCGTTCTCGCTCGCACGAAGCTGAAAGCCGAATCATCCACCTGTTTTGCCATGCTCCCCACTATGACTCATATAACGAACAGTGCGCTCAAGTGCATGTGTATGCTTGGGAAGGGTGGATATCGGGTGTAGGGCTGGGAACGGTGTGACAAGATCCGTTGAACGGCTGTTGACTGACCTCTAGGGCAGTGGTTGTTTCTTCGACCGCGAGTTTATCAAGCAACGCTATCGTTAACCGACTAGTTGAACCTACCGTGTGCTCTTCGGACGCTGTTAAAAGAAGCTCAACACGGCTTGCCACAGGCTTGCAGTCGTCCGACCACTTGCGATATCGCACTGTCTTGATCGTTTCCGTCGGGGTTTACAAAAACACCATTCGGATGCAACATCCTCATCTTGATCATAATCTCGCTTGTTCCTGCGTGAATCTGTAGATTTATCTGCTCGCGCTGTATGTTGCCGAACCGAAGAGGGGTAGGAAATGTCGAAGCATGAGGGACGACGGATGCAGGAGCAAGGATGCTAGAGGTCCTGCTTCGTTGGGGTTCGACGACGATGTCTCTTTGAGAAGCTAGTTGATGAGCCTGCTGGCACGTCGCGAGGCGACTCAAGCGGCACGGACTCATAACGTGAAAGGCTGAAAAGGGCCGCTTCTTGGCTGGGTAGCTGTCCAGCTGTCTTGGAAGCCAACGATGGTGTTGAAGGTGCGGCGAACACACAGTGCATAGGAGTGGGTCTTTTGCTGTGACTGGGACACTCTCCTTCCGGTTCGCTGTCGAGCTGCTCTTCTTGCTCTTTCGTTTTGAACTGCCGCATGCTTGGATCGCTTTTGGCGGACTCATGGTAATGCCCCGCCGCTTGCTGGAGATGCACGGTAAGAGTGTTGATACTACACAGTGATGGGCCTCTTTACGAAATGGACAAGTTTGTGTGACGCAAACTGCTCTGCGCGAGAACATCTCCTTTTTGATGAGAGACGGACAACAGAAATGTCGTTACCTACCTACCACTGGTAGACCTTGAAGGCTTAGTACCTACGCTCTTCTCGTGACGCAAGGCAGACTCAATGGTATCGTGAACATCGACATTATGGCAAAGTGGTGTTTTCGATCTCTTCCGAAGCACGAGCGCCAACTTTGGTCTGTCATCCCGTCGTCTTTGTCCAGGACTATCCAAAAAGCTGCAGCCTCCGACGCCTCTTTCTGGGTAGGACCACCGTAGAGCAGGTGAAGAGCAGTTCGGGTGAGGAGATCGAGATGATCGAGGGGTGGGCTTGTTGGTTCGTTCGTCGTTCTTCCGTCTCATCCGTCTCTCAAAGGAGGCCGCTCATTTTCCGTCAAACCTGCAGCGATGAGGATCGTTCGGTGAAGGTAGAAGGACAGGCTGTCGTACTACAACCGCGGGTTTTGATTGTTACAGGAGGCCATCTTTGCTTGACAGCCATCGCCAGCGTGTGAACGGGTAGCTGGCGCTCGTCGATTGAGGAGCGGTTGAATGGATGAGACATCGTCTCAACGCCGTCGCCGCCACCATGGATGTCTACAAAGGCGGAGGTTGTGAGAGCTGGAGTAGAAAAGGGTTGCGGTGCTGTTGTTGTCGGCTACACGGCGCAGATGGGGCGTTAATCAAATAGCCGAGCGCGTCTTGGATCTGTGCCGTCGTCCTCGGTCCTTTCTCGCCTCTTCCCGTCGCCTCATTGTTGTTCTCGCGTCTGTCCATGGCTGTACGCTGTCTTGTTGCTCTTTGTGAACGCCCTGAAGGCAAGCCGGTGCTCGTTTGGTCGTTGATGTCGATACTCGATAGATCTGTCCGGTCATGGAGACTTTGCGACGATGCGTTGGGCAAGGAAAACGAGCAAAGTCACGCGTTTCCGTGCTCGTGTATACTGGTGGCCGTGGTTGCTGTTGCATCTCGTGAAGGCGGTATACAGAGGTAGGCGTCGTCGTGACTGAGGGAAGTACTACGCGCTCTAGTTCTACTGCTACGGTCTGTCATCCTTCAAATGCTTCAATGGCCTGTTATTCCTGCTCTCGCAAGAGTGAATCGTTTCTGTGAGCGATAGCAGTGACTCATTTTGAATCATTCTATTATCACGTTGTTTCTCGCTCGCCCCAAGCTATATTCACATCAACAGGGTTCTCTTCAACGCGCAGCGCAGTGGCGGTGTTATTGTTGTGAGTCAGCACCGCAGTTTCATCACCTCATAGCAACCGCAACAGCCACTCTCTTCCACTCTCCTCCTTCCGCAAGACCAACCCATCGCAACACCAAGACACTCGCCCGCCATGGCTGACAACCCGGACGATTACTACCCGGGCTGCGTCACCCTGGACACCCCAGACACCTCTTGCGCCGCACCTTACAACCCAGGCCCCGTCAGCCTGGAACGCCTTCCCCCCGATGCGTTCATACCCGTACGCAACTTCATGTCCGGTGAGATGAACGCACTCGAATACCCGCGCGCCGAACCCGTCATGGCCTCGGACTCCTTTGACCAAGACAGCATGCGCGCGCAGCTCAAACTCGCCGTCAAAGGTCTCGCAGCGGCGCTGAACGCGATCTACTACAACCCTTTCATCCGCGAGATCGAGACGATGGAGCAACTCTTCGCGGGGCACATTCAGCATAGGATTGTGCTTTTTGACACGGGGTCGCATGCGATGGAGCAGTGGCGGCATGGGGATGAGATTCACGTTGTTTGCTTGAGTCAGATGTTTGAATCGACCTTTTGGGACGTTGTGAAGGAGGAACTCAAGCTCAAAGACGATTTTAAGCAACCGAAGGAAGGGTGCCTGGAGTTGTCGGCCCATGGTCTGGCGAGGATCCAGGGTGCGCATGCTGCGCATACCGAGATTATCAAATTGTGTCATATGAGTAACGTAAGTGTTGCCCACCATGCAGCGCATAACCTCGAGTATCTTGCTAACGCTCTCACGCCAGGCCCGCTGCAAGCTCTTCCTCCACTGGACAAAGATGCCAGCAGACTTCTGCAACATCCTCAAGGACCACAGAGACTTCCCAACTTCACCAGGCCGGCAGTCCGAAGCAGCAGATGACAGCTTCGTCATGGTCAGAGACACTCAGTCGCTCGCCCATAGGATGAGGCCCAAGGGAGGTCCCAAATGGAAGGACCGCGCAGGAGTCGAGTGGGGGGGCAAATCAGCGGGAGCGCCGTGGGGATATATGCCATCCTTCACCTTAGCATACTGCATCCTCCGCCGCTGGGCACTCACGAACGGCCTCTACGGCCTCGAGCTCGGCTACCTCGACGACGAAACCCTGCTCTGGACCATCTACGCTGCCGTGGACGAGAAAGAAGGGGTCGACCTCAACCTCAGCTTTGGAAACCTCGAGAAAGCGTTCTCCGCCATCGGCGATACCTACGAAGCCCCCATCGACATCCGCTCCCCGACCGGCGAACTGAGCACCACCCAGCTCACCCCCAGCGCCAAGCGCAGCATCCACACAGCCATCCTTCGCGGGACGCATGTCCCCGGCCCCGACGATGAGTACATCGCGCCCCCCAACCCCACCGGCCTACAGGACTTCCTCGCCGAGTACAGCAGCACCCTCTTCCTCGTCGACTGCGAGAAGACCACCCAAGCGCCCGCGCAGCTCGATCGTCTCCGCCGGCAACTCATCCAGCGGGTCGTCGCCCTGGAGCCTCTTCTCCGCGAGTGGAAGGACTCCCGTGGGGTCGGCGGGCTGTACGTGCGCATCTGGCCGGACCTGCTCGTGGAGAAGGGGCGGCAAGACCGGTGGGTGTACGCCTTCGGCGTCGGGCGTTCTCCGCCGTTGGGAGAGGAGGAAGGGAAGTATCTCTCTGGCTGCGTTGCCGGCATCGCCGACTTCTTGCGGGAAAAGGCGCCGGAGCACGACTGGCGCGCGGGGTTGATCGAGGTGCGCGTCGCCTCCAAAGAGGACTTCGCAGCGCTTCTCCCCGAGCGCGTCGTCCAGACCGGCGCCTTCTCGACCGCTGCGCCGGGGGATGCTTTGCCGGAGGCCCCGGGAACCTCTGGTAAGTTCTCCAGCGCGCGGCAGGCGATCGGGCGGCTGCGGCATGATCCGCGGCATGCGGGGAGGGAGTACGATGTTGGGTACGAGGACAGGTTTGAGGGCTTGCAATGGGTGGCGCTGGAGGAGTGGGGTGGGAAGGAGACGGAGGAGGAGGAGTGGATTCCGGAGCATCGGGTGAGGCAGTTGAGGAGGAGGGGGGATGGGGTGGTGATGTGGGATAGGGAGAAGAGGCTGGATTTGTTGGGGTGAGGGGAGGTGGGTGTTCTCTTGAGGCGGTGTGACGGTGACGCTGCTGTAGGATAGGAGAGAGTGTTGTGCCCTTGCTTGGGCGAATGAGATGACTACTGCTGCTTGACTATCTTGTTCCTCCTCTCTATCTCACGGAGTGGGCAACATGGCCATATCAGGTATGCGGTTTGAAGGTACCGTCGGGGAGAAGATGCCACTGTTCCATCGATATATTTAACTTCTCCACAGCAGTGTCAAAAGTGCAGCCAATGCAGCGATCGACAACCCCGGCAACTCGTTGTTTCGAACGTCGAGAAGGATGAAGGATGTGTACCAAATCGAGCGTGGCAACGAATGTGCCTGTTTCCCAACCGCAACAAGCACTTTGGAAGCGCGGGAGAAGGACGGGAGAAGGGCTGGAAGGATGGAGGAAGGAAGCTGGGGTGGGGCTTTCACGAGCAGGGAGCAGAAAGCCGTTGACGTCTTGCTCGCGGTCCGCCCCTCCTTGCTTCGCCGCCAATGCTGAATGCGACAGGAGCGTCGTCGGACCATGTTGCTTGTATCGGTATTGATAGCACAGACTGCAGCACGCTGAAACATAGGGCTGCGACACTGACGTCGAACACGTGCGATCTGATACACCAACGCTGAAGGAAGCGCATGCCGCACTCATTGGTCTTACGAAACATCGGACGGTACAACATATGCATATGAGGCGCGAACCCTACGACGGCCGTCCGCGCTGTACGAGACATTGTTTGATCTGGGACCGGCTGACTGCATAGAACGACCGTCCGGCGCGTTTGGACGAGCAAGCAAGCACACACCGCTCTCCCACACCACTCCGTTGTAGGACGAACGAGCCATTGATCGAACCGAATGACCACCAACAACGCTCTCGAGCTCCAGAACAACCGCACAAGATGCGCCGCCAACAATTCCGCACCCCACAAAGCTCCTTCCGCCGCCCCAAGAGCCCGTCCGACCCTCTAACCACTCTCCAAGACTACGACGCCGAACTCAACCCCTCCCGCCCCGCCAAATCGTCCCCCCTCGGCTCCTCCACCATCGCCGGCCTCCCCCTCGAAATCCTCGACCGCCTTAAAGCCTTCCCGCTCTTCCGCTCCGCCCCGGAGACCTTCCTCCTCAGCATCGGCCGCAGCCTGCGCCCCAACGTCTACCAGCCCAACCAAGAGATCATCCACGAGGGTGAAGATGCCAAAGCAATGTACTGGCTCGTCCGGGGCTCCGTGCGCGTCACCAGCCGGGACGGCGAGAGCACGTACGCGGAGCTCAAGCCGGGTGCGTTCTTCGGTGAGATCGGGATTTTGATGGATGTGCCGCGGACGGCGAGCGTGGTGGCGGCGATCAGGAGTATGGTTGTCAGGTTGAACAAGGAGGATTTGAGGAAGGAGCTGCCGAATTATCCGGACATCGAGCGGTCGATTCGGGAAGAGGCGTTGGAGCGGCTGGCGATTACGGAGAGGAAGAAGAAGGAGCGGACGACGGGTGGGAGTGCGCCGGCAGAGAGGCCGAGCGCTGCGCCGCGGAAGAGGTCGAGGGATTGGATTGCTGGGGATGTGGAGATGGGGGATGCTGGGTCGTTGGCGGATGGGGAGGTCATGTCTAATAAGAAGCGAAAGTCGCCTTCGCCTGGGATTATTGAGATAAGCGCGGCGAGTGCGCTGGACAATACGCCGTTAACTATCCGACAATTGCTGAAGGAGCTGCCGCTGTTCTCTGGCCTGCCGAGTGAGATTCTGCATTATCTCGGAGTGAATGCGCAGCCTGTCACGTTTGCACCATTCACCGAGATATTGCAGCAGGGCAGCAGTGGCAGGGATGTGTACTTCATCGTGAAGGGAGACGTGGAGGTGCTTCAAGATGACCCGGTTACGAGAATGCTCCCAGCGCACACAGGCGGTGCGGATACGAACGGCGACTCATCCACGCAAGGCAGCGTCAAAGCTCGGCTCACGTCTGGCCAGTACTTTGGTGAAGTAACGAGCTTGTCGCTTGCACCTCGGCGGACAGCTACGGTCAGGAGCGTGAATGAGGTGGAGTGCTTGCTGATTACGGGCAATGTTTTAGACCAGCTTTGGCAGATGTGCAACACAGATTTGCGGCAGCAAGTCGAGAGCGAAGCCAAAAGACGGTTAAAGTCAGCAAAGCGCGATCACGACGTCGAGATGAAGGATGCTGAGTTCGACGCAAGGATGACGGACGGAGCAGTTGGCGTGTCCACTGAACCTGTGCCAGACGACAGCGAAGCTGAGGAAGAAGTGGGCGACGACTGGCGGAAGAGCTTGCCGTCCGTCAAGTTCGAGATGCCTGCTCTGGAAGAGGCAGCACAGCCGTCAAGTCCGCTCACGCAGATGGAGCCCATCGACCCAGACCCCTTCTTCAACGCCGACCTCGACAATATTCGTGCGAAGTCGAGGCGGTCATCGCTCGCTCCGCCCGCTGCACCGACCGCAGAGACTACTGCAAACCCGCTACTTGAGCAGCGTGGACCAAGTCCGCCTGCCCTTCGACTTCTCCCGCCCTCACCGCTGAAACCGAGAACCTCCTCCAACGATTCGCCTACCCCGTCGACACCAGCACCGCTATCTCCCACCCTTTCCCGCCGTCCAAGTCTCGCCCGACCTCCCTCAAACCTCAGCAAAGGCCGGCTGCCCGACACAGTCCTCGTCTCCATCTTTCAGCACCTCGACCTCCTCGATATCATGCGCTTCCGCCTCGTCTCCACGCACTGGTGGGACCTACTCAACAGCTCGCCCGACATCCTCCACCACCTCAACCTCTCCATGTACAACAAATACATCACTGACGACACTTTACGCAACACCATCGTCCCCTTCACCGCTAGCCGCCCGAAAGAAATCGACCTCAGCAACTGCTTCCACGTCACGGACGAGGGCTTCAAATCGCTGGCAGAAGCCTGCGGCGAAGGCGCTCGCGTCTGGAAAATGAAAAGCGTCTGGGACGTCCAAGGCCCTGCCGTGCTGCAACTCGTCGAGCGCGCCAAAGGGCTCGAAGAAATCGACCTCAGCAACTGCCGCAAAGTCGGCGACAACCTCCTTGCCCGCGTCGTCGGCTGGATCGTCCCCGACAAACCCAACTCCGCACCCCCTCCCCCACCACCAGTCAACAACTCGAAACGCCCCCAACGCGGCCGACACGTGAGCCAGAACCCTCAGCAGTCTACTCAACCGCAACCACCCCCCGGCACAGCCGTCGGCGCCTCCAAGCTCAAGCGTCTGACGCTGAGTTACTGCAAACACATCCAAGACCGCAGCATGGCGCACATCGCCGCACACGCCTCGGATCGGCTCGAGGTTTTGGATCTGACACGTTGTACCAGCATCTCCGACGCCGGGTTCCACTCGTGGAGCGTGTATGATTTCAAACGCCTGCACAAATTAATCTTGGCAGATTGCACATACCTCTCCGACCAAGCGATTGTAGGAATCGTCGGCGGGTGTCGCGGACTACGCGAGCTGGACTTATCCTTCTGCTGCGCGCTCTCCGACACCGCGACCGAAGTCCTCGCCCTCGGCCTCCCAGCCCTACGAAGCCTAAACATGGCCTTCTGCGGCTCCGCCGTATCCGACAACAGCCTCCGCTGCATCGGCCTGCACCTCAACGAGCTCCGCTACCTCTCCGTTCGCGGGTGTGTTCGGGTGACAGGGCAGGGCGTGGAGAGTGTGGTAGAGGGGTGCGGGTTTCTGGAGGAGTTGGACGTGAGTCAGTGTAAGAACCTAAGGCCTTGGTTGGAGAGGGGCGGAGTGGAGAGGGTCCATCAGGGTTTGGGGAGGGGCGTGCGGTTTGATACGGTGGCGGATGGGACTTGGAGGGTTGGGCCGCGGTGAATCCTGCGACGAAGAGGTGGGTTGGAGGTGGGTGGGTGGGGATGGATCGTGGGTGGGGAGGGATCTATGAGCGAGACGATTTATGATCTAGCGATGGCGTTTTGGATGTGAGCGCTCTTGGACATATTGCGTTTCAACGAGCGTTTGGCAGGCCAGTGGGGACTGGGGTTTATGATTGAAGATATCCAGATGATTGCGTCGTTTTCAATCCACGGCTTGGAAGATCAGAGTATGTACGTACTTGAAGAAGTGACGGTCTCTGCAATTTAGAAGTGCTACATACCATATACAGAAGTCACAAGGTAGGACACGGTTTTGCAGAGGTAGCACCAGACGAGGAGGGCGCATGATTCTCCGAGCCAACCTGAAGAGCGATACGTAACAACAGGCTCGATGGAAAGCGGTCATGTGGCGGACAAGGGGTGAAAGTATGACCACTATCTCCTCTGGTATTAACGAACGCTCTCATACATATCCTCCCCGCTAACTACCCCTACGCATAGATATAACAGAACGGCCCATCGAGCGTGCTCATGGCATCTCCAATCTTGATCCCCTTCGGCGCATTCACACCCAACTCAATAATATCGTCGAGGGTGGTGTTGCGGCTTGGCGGGTTGTTGTTCAAGGTGAGAGTGCCGGCGATGGCGTTCTGGCGGTTCTCGAGGTCCTGGTTCTGCCAGATCCACCAGGTGCGGTCGATTTGCGCGTGGTGGAGGAAGAAGTATGGGTCACTGTATCACACCGTCAGTACATGTGAAAATAGGTTGGAAGGGGTAGATGGGACGACTCACCCAGGGCTAGCGAACAGATCTCCACCAGGGTCACCAGCGACCCAGAAGTGGCCAGCGGTGTGCACGCCGAGCAGCTCCAGGCCTTGGTTGAAGCCGCCTTCCATTACGTTCTGGAAGTCCTCGATATTGTCGTTCTGCGTGATGAGGTCGGTGGTATTCTTGTCCGTGCTCGCGCGCTCCGCCGCCCAAGCCGAGACATCGCGCCTCAAACACCTCGGGTTGTACCCCAAACCATTCGTCGAAGGGTTCGCAACGACAAAGTCCAGCGCAGGCGCGACAGGCCCGAGGTTGACCTTCATATCCTTGAATGGACCCTTGGTCACGCACCCGCCGCCTTGGCCGGGAGGGACGTAGATGACTGGGGCTTGCGCGGAGGGCACGTAGGTGCCGTTGTGCTTGATGTAGGCGCCGTTGTTGCTGATGGAGGTGGCGCTGCCGTCGAAGAAGGGGGCGTTGTAGAGGTCTTCGGCGTAGCGGCCCCAGTTGACGTAGGGTTGGTAGCCCTTGTAGCCGCATTCGTTGCGGAGGGCTTGCTCGTAGGTCCAGGTGAAGTACCTGTGCCATGAGAGGAAGTTGCCCTGCAAACAATATCAGCTGGACTCATGCTGGAGAGCTAATGGGTGAGCCTACAGTGCCATGAATGGTCAACGTCTGGTTGATGTGCGTGGCGACAAAGTCATCGTATCTGCTCCTGGCACCTGGCGCTGGGTAGGCAGCATTGCTCTTCGCCGGCTTGGACTGCAGACAAAGTACAGCATCGATGTACTCTTTCTTCTCAGAGTCCTTCAACGAGCTCCATTCTTTGCGAATGTAGCCAGTCTTGGTGTTACAGGTCTTCGGCGGATGATTCTTGAGTTCGTATTTGGCCAGGTTGACCAGACCCTGCTTCGCAAGCTTGTCGGTGCCAGCCGTTGAGGCGGGCTTGAAGCCTGAAGCCGCGGCCCCTAAGGCGAGGTTGGCGGCGACGAGGCCAGACAGGAGATGCATGTCGGCGTGCAGCTCCGGGGGAAGGCTTTGTGGCAGAGAGAAGTGTGGTCGAGACTAAAGCAGGGGCAGAAAGCTGAGACACATGCGACCAAGCCACGGACGGGATGGCAAGAAGAAGGGTGGAAGTAGAGATGTACCTTCAGCCTCCAGGCTCTGGAACGAAGAACAGCTAGATATTATATGCGAACTGCTACTTTTATGTTCGGTGAAGTTAGAACGTGTTATCCCGGCAGTTGAGGACCTCGCGTGGAGTCCTGGCAGTTGTGCTATCTGTTCCTTGCAGACGAAGAGTGCCGATTGAGGTCCAGTCCACGGAGGGTGCGCGAGCCGCATTGTGCTGTAGGCCTAAGCATATAGTTGCAGGTTGTTATGCAGGTGCCGTCAGGGTTACACCAAGCCTTAGTGCCGAGGCCCGCTCTAGCAGAGTAGCTCGCCGGCTCCAAGAGGTAAATGATCCGCTGGTGCCATGGTGGCCGGCGGGACGGGGTGGTTGTTGTTCTTTGTCTTGTAGCAGTCAGATCCGCTCTCTTTGTCGGCACTGCCGCAGGTGACCCGAGAGGCGTCAATGCAGTGCTCCTCGGCCCTTCATCAGTTCATCCCTCCCTCCTCCAAACGATGTCGAGCGCAAGGCCAGGTTGACAGTGACGGCTGAAGTCGCTTGCTGTGCCTCACATGGAGGCGTTCACTAGATCCTTGCTCCCGACCGTCCCGTCGTTCGGGGCGGCGGATTCAAGGAACAATCACAAGCTAACCTCCACGATCTCAGCCTCTTCCACTGCTCCCCGACAGAATCCACCCCATCCTTGCGAGAGCGGCTCGCTACAGAAGCGACCAACCTCGCTAACAACACTGCGCGGAACCGCGTCGTGCACTCGGGCTTCCGAGACAAGGTCACGGGACCGTGAGGCCGTGGTCGTGCTTGCCAGCATTCCCAGAAAGATGTTGCAATACCCAAAATGGACATATGCTTTGAGGAGAAATTCATGGATGCTTAGGCGAGACCAACCCTAATCTTGTAAGGCAAAGCGGAACAGAGACTTGAGACGACGCTTCGAAATTTGGCACCAGATCTGTGCCTGAACATTTACCCGTGCCCTCGATGAACGCCCACCTCGTGGCATCCGTTTTTGGACCTTGGTGCTCGCGTGCGGAGTGGCTGCATTGAGACACGGCACACGGGAGATTCAATAATTCGGCAGTTACAACTCTGCTCGTGCCTGTAAACCTCAAGACATTCTACTATGAGGATACCGGTCTACCTTACAGCAATACTTGGCCACAAAATGATAGCTCAGAACGATGTTGAGCAATACGAATATTCACTTTTCGGTTCCACGATCCTAGGAGTTCGCCGGCTAAAACAACAAGATCCATATTGCATCTTCCTGGAACCTCCGAAAAGATCCCCTGTCAATGGACCACGAGCCAAGCATTCATCCGTACAGCACCAACTTCATCTCGCTTTTTAATGACCGTGTGGCTGCCCTTTGCCCATGTGGTAACGTTCGGGTAGACGGTACCTTGCAGTAGGCCGCGCCCCTTTGTATGTTCGCTTGCGCGGAAGCTCAACAAGACTGCATCGACCAACACGAGGCTCACCAAGAGATTTAGATTGAGGTCGCGCAGGGAGGATGGCGCAAATGGTTCATCTCAGATCTTAAAGGACGACTTCCATCTGGCGGGGAAGAGATCGTGCCTTGGTTGATTTTTGTCGCTGGCTTGGTCTCGTAGATGCTTGATTGCTTTCTGCAGAAGAAGAACTCCTCTCGTTGTTCGTCTCGTCCAAGTCAAGCAAGTCGAAGTTGAACCAAAGGTATGGAACACTATGGGTGTCGCGCGACACACCCATGATCATCGCACTTTATCTCGTTCGCACGACTGACTGGGATCTAGTATCCGCTTGGACATGAGTACACCTTCAGCCATGCCAGCCATCACACCGCGCTTCACTCCCGCAAAGGACACACCTCACTGCCAACAGAGCAATGTCGGCGAAGTGCTCGGCGTTACAGGCGCTTTCATGGCGGCAGCGACCATCACCATGGTCCTACGATCCTACGTCCGCATACACATGCTGAAGTTCTTCGGGCCAGATGACTGGATGATGCTTGCAGCGGTCCTCATGGCCATCGCAACGTTCATCTGTTTCGTCGGCGAGACCACGCATGGTGTCGGCCGGCACGCTGACTGTATCCCACTGCCGGAGGTGGAAGGGATCATGAAGTGGCAGTTTTACCACAATCTATGGAACATGTTTGGAGTTGTCTTCGTGAAGATCTCCATTGCACTGTTTTTGATTCGACTGGCGCCGAAGAAGGCATGGAAGTGGTTCCTCTGGGGTTGTATCGGTACGCCAATGTCGCAACGCACCAGATCTTCCTGCTCGCTAACATGTAAGCAGTCTTCCTCACAGCCTTCTGCCTCGCCTGCGCCGGCACCCTCATCTTCTCCTGCGTCCCCGTCTCAGCAGCATGGAACTTCGCCGAGCAAGCGACCGCCAAATGCTTCAGCAACGACACCTTCTCGTCCATCGGCCTCTTCAACTCCATCATAAATATAGCCACCGACTTCCTCTTCGCCCTCATCCCGATCCCCATCATCTACAAGCTCCAAGTCAACACGCGCACGAAAGTCACCCTTGCCGTCATCCTGTCCCTCGGACTCGTCGCGTGCGCCTCAGCGATCGTCAAAGCACATCTCCAGACCACCTTCCTCACGGACCAAGACCGCTTCTGGCACGACGGCTTCATGGTCTGGAACATGATCGAGCTGTGTCTTGGTGTCCTCGCCGCCTCACTCCCAGCGCTCAAGCCGCTCTTCAACGCCTTCTTCCAGAGCACCAAGACCGCGCTCGGCTTGTCTGGCTCACGATCGAAAGCTTCCGGTCACGGCCCTGCAGGCATCGTTGGCAGCAACGGCTACAAGCGCTACGGCAGCTCAAGAGATGTTGATGACATGATGGGGCATAATGTCGCGTTTCATGAGATGAAGAGTCCCCGTTCGACGCTGACGAGTAAGAATGATATTGAGGTGACGAGGGAGATTGAGGTGGATGTTGATACGTATCCGATTCGGGGCAAGGAGTCGCAGGGATGGGAGCAGCCGTGGCGACAGGGGAGGTACTCGTGATGTGGTGATGTGTGTGAAAAGGTGGTGTGATAAGGGTAGACAGGACCTTGTACACATATGTTTAATGAATCGATGTGTCAACCAGCTTCGTCGTGTTCATGTTCATGATTGATCTTTCTGTCTTCTGACCCTGACACTCAATTGCGTTTGCGTACCAAGGGTTTTTGCGTATCAGCGATCGTGGCTCTCCTTCAAACGGTCTTCGTCCATCTTCCACGCTTCGACACCTTGACCTCTCCGTGGACCATAGCAGGTCTTCCACTCCGACAACCAAGCCTTGAACTCCGGAAGGCTTCTTTAGCACATTCGTCACTCATCCCATGCAACAGCAGCACGGATCCGGCAATAATATCCATCCCGCCACCAGCAAACCTCACTTCCCCTTCTTCGTCGCCCCATGCTTCGGGCCTCCAGTTTTACTATCCTTCTTCCCTCCCCTCAGCATCTCCAGATGTCCCGCTTTGCTCGCAAGAGACTTCTCCGTCATCTCTGTGAGGCCTGAAGTGTGTTTCTACCCGAACGTCAGTTCGTCGCACCAAGAAATCCGGCATGGATGGGCGGCCTACCTTGGTCATTTGCTGCTGCTTCACCAGCGCCGACTTCTTCGGCTTGATAACACGGTTGCCGGTCTGTTTCCGCTGGGATCTTGGAGGTATTCGTCAATATCGGGGCACATTTTGGAGAGTGAAGCTTCGCCACTTACACCTTCGGCGCACCGGCTTTGCTTTTCTTGATTGTTCCTTGCGCCATAGTGTTTTTCAGACTGTCATCAAAGGGCTCACGATGGTAGATAGATTGGAGGTTGTTTCGCTGGTTTTGTGAAGAAATCTTGCGGTGCGGTCCAAGTTGAGCACGCTAGCTTTTGCCTCGCGATTTTGCCTTTGTGGGGCCGTAAGTCAATCTTGAGCACAGCAGGGTGTTGCTTGCGGCGATACGAGTCAGCACTTTACTTTAACGACACTGAACTCATGGCAAGGATGCTAGGAGCGGGTGGCAGTTGTTATCTATGGATCTTGTTGAGGCACAACCTAAGCGTGGCACGATGATTTTGCATAAGAAGCTATTGACAGCCCTTAGACCTAGTGTTGCTTCCCATGCTTCACCTCCAGCAGCACCTTCAATGCGCTGAAACCCTGACTTGTCCGCTGTTGTCCACAGATTTGATGCGCTGGGCGGGTGGCGGCCGGAGTAAGCACACTGGCTACGCAAGCAAAAATGGGCTCGTGTAGCGGGACAGCTCCCATCTTGAATAGAAGCACCAGCCTGTGAGCCTCCTTGGCGGTTGTTCTGAGGCTGATTCAGTAATCACCGGTCAAGTCCAGCGCATCCATGAAGTTATGTTACAGTACGGCCGGACGCTGGTGGGCGGATATTGATTCCCAAGCAGCTTCCTGCTTTTGTTGGGTCGGTGGCTCTGCACATACTTGGAGAGGGTGCAGCTGGAGACCTGCCATAAGCATGCTCTCACCCACGCGTTCGTAGCTCGTTTCGCAGGCTCATAGCAAAGCCAACATAGCCCAGCCAACGGTCCCAGTCCGATATTCAAGGGCGTCACAATGTGCAAGCACTTCTCTATCCCGCATTCGAACCATTCGGCGCATCGGCCTCAATGCCCTCGTCCTCGTCCTCCATCATTTCCGCCACCTGATCGCCATACGTCTCCTCTAGCGTCGGGACGACGACATCCCACTGCTCTCCCTCCTTGTTGATCTGATCTTCTTTGGCGACTACAATCTCGTCCTCATCCTCGCCTTGCGTCCGGTCTGCTCTCTCACTCTCATCCTGCCCGCGGAATTTAAATGCCACAATGCCTCCGTCACGCAAACCTGCGCCCTGCGGACAATCCTGCACCTGATTCTTCCCTGATGCCTTCGCAGGGGTTGCTGAACCAGCCTTGCCCTTACCTTTCCCGCTGCTCTCACTGTCGCCGCTGCCGGAGGTCTGGATCGTCTCCCATCCGCGAGTGAGGTCGTTGATGTCCACAGGTTTACCGAGCACAATTGCCTCAGAGTTTTGTGGGATTTGGTGGCCGTTGAAGGTTCCGCTGGGGTTGGTCTGCGTAAGCGCTTCGAGGAGATCGCGCTTCACGGACGGGAAGGTCTGGATGGGATCGATGTGTAGCAGGATGGTGGTGCGGTGGGATTTGAAGCGGAGAGTCCACGTGCGCGGGTTGGACTGAGTCGGCATGGTGGGCGTGATTTGGGGGATTGTTGAAGTTACAGAGGATCGCCGTCGCTATCGCATTGTCGTGATGTAGGGAGATATGGAAAGCAAATTACCTGGCAGGCGACATGAGTAAATTTGAGGCGCGAGTCATGTACCTTTTGCGGAATAGAGCTTCACCTCCGAGACCATCAAGCTGCCATCTTGTCTTGAACATCTACCGCAATGCCCGCCAGGTGAAGTGGTCTAACAATGGCCTCCGAAACAACACTCCCACCACCTACAAAGCCTGCCTCTCCACCTCCGCACCGCCTCTCCATCCCCTTCCCCGAACGCACCGTACTCCTCACCACCCTCTCCGCCGGCACCGGTCTAGCCTTGGGTCTCGCTCACGGCAGCACAGAATCTGGTCTCCGCTTCCGCGCTGAGAATGCCCACCGTCTACCCACTTCGCAAACAGGCTGGTATTTGTACCACAAAAGCAAAAACTACCATGTCATCCTCGGCGGCGTCAAGGAAGGCTTCAAGATGGCTGGCAAGCTGGGACTGTGGAGTGCCGTGTTCGTGGTGATGGAGGAAGGCATTGATCGAGGGAGGGCGGCGACGGTGAGGGGGTGGAGGGAGAGGGTGGGAAGAGATCTTGGGAGGTATGGTGGCGATGAGGGGGAAGAGAAGGTGGTGCCGCGGGATTTTGTGAGCACGGTGTTGGCTGGGCTGGGCACAGCGGGAGCATTCTCAGCTTGGAATGGGTTCCCGCTGCCTACTGCTGTGAGACTGGCGAAGATGGGCGCAAAGGTGGGGTTGGTGTTTGGGCTGTTACAAGATGGAGTGAGCTTTGCAAGAGGGAGGAGGTTGGGCTACGTGGAGTTTGTTAGGAAGCATGCTTTTGGCACGAGCGATGATGAAGGTCTACGAACTGGCAAGGGTATGGCGGCGGGGTGAAGAACGCAAGGGACAGCATCATGTCAGCCTTCAGGAGCTGCATCCTCCACAGATCCTCGCACGCTGCCGAGCCTGCCACCGGCAGTCCTGCGACGACAGTACCCGCTGCATGGGGGCACCGGTAACTTTATATGGATGTCTTGTACCGAGCACGATGGAAGTCGTGCCAGGGGCCACACTGAAAGAACGGGGGCCGCAGTTGGGCCGTCAGGGGGACTGTCACATGCTGGCGACGTCACCTCGTTTGGTGGAGCTTTGGGCTTGGAAATGGGGACCGCATGTTCCGGTATCATAACACCAGAAAGACTATCACTCATATCATTCGTACAGGAGCCGGCGTCTGGCGCACGCAAAGCCAGCACAGCATAGACTCGGGAGAGCTGGTGGCCGTCCAGCGCGGTGGCTGCTGATACGCGCACAGACTATAGCTCCGCAACTTCGGCAGGCGTGTCTGAATCCTAAACCGAAGGCCCGATCGATCTTGTACACACATGCTGTGAAAGCTAAGTCATGTACAGATAAACCACTCCTACAACCTAGCGTACAGCTTCTCCTCGGTGTCGCCCAGCGCATACTCAACCCGATTCTCCTTGCTGCGCACCTTATCGGCATCCGCCTTGGTGATATATCGCGCCTCGGTCGCCGGGTTATAGTTCCAGTACGACTGCTTGGTGATCTCCTGGTCTTTGAGCTTGCGGCTTGGCTTGCCGTCGGCACGCTTGTAGACGTTGACGACGACGGCGCCGCCGAGACCGAGGTTGTGCTGGAGGGCGTACTCGGTGGGGACGTGGCGATTGTTCGCCCAGCCTGGAGAAGGACAGTGGTCAGCGGAGGAGGAGAAAGGGGAGAAGAAGGTGGAAGTTACCTCTCAGCTGCCATGTCAGCTCAGCACACTGGGCCAGGCCAGTGGCGCCGAGTGGGTGGCCCTTCGAGATCAGTCCACCAGATGGATTGATGATCGGGCCCTTCCCGCCATAGGTGATATCTCCGTTTCGGACGAGCTCATGCGCCTTACCCTTCTCTGCGAACCCAAGGCCTTCCAGCAACACCAGCTCGTTGGCGGAGAAGCAATCATGGAGCTCGCAAACCTTGATGTCCTTCGGCGTAACGCCGGCCTCCTTCATCGCGATCTGCGCTGCCGTCTTGGTCATCCCGAAGCCAATCAGATCCATAGCGCTCTTCGAATAGAGCGAAGGCTCATCGGTTCTCAAAGACTGGCCAGCCATGAGGATAGCCTGGCTCCTGAGCTGAGGTTTCCGGGCGAGGAAGGACTCGGAGCAGATGACAGCTGCTCCAGCACCGTCACTGGTCGGGCTGCACTGGAGTTTGGTGAGTGGGAAGTGCTATAAAAGTTAGGTGAAAGACGTCAGCATGTTATCCTGCGTTGGGAGGGACGGTGCAGAGCTACAATCATCGGCGAATCCTGGACCTCCTTCAGAGAGTACTCCTGACGGAATTGGGCGTAGGGGTTACGTTGGGAGTGCTCGTGGCTGATGCGCGCGATTTCTGCAAAGTCTTCTGCTTTAGCGCCGTACCTAGACTTTGTAAGCAAGAGCACGGGGAATTGGAAGTGGTAAGAATGCCTACTTCTCCATATACTCCTTCCCGGCATTAGCAAAATACTGTGCATTCCTCGGACTGTCATGCTTCCCGTACGTCTCCTCCATCACCTTGACACCCAACTGCATCGGGCTGGGTCGATCGTTGAACGGACTGCTGATGCTGCCCGGCGCCATCTGCTCGAACCCAATGACCAACACGCAATCGGCAGCTCCACTCTTCACCAGCGTCCTCGCCATATGAAGGCCCGTGGACCCCGTGGCGCAGGCATTGCTGGTGTTGTAGATTGGGATGCTGTTCATGCCGAACTGGTAGAAGATGCGTTGGCCAGAGCATGTATCGCCGTAGCAGTAGCAAGCGACGCCGTGCTCGACATCGTCGTAGGTGATGTCAGCATCGAGCATAGCCTTGACGCCGGCTTCATATCCAAGTTCGATGTAGTCGCGGGTCTTGCGTGGTTTGATGAAGGGTGTCAGGCCCACGCCGAGGACGTAGGCTGGGTTTCCTGGTTTGGAGGGCATGGTTATTGTGTCCTTGAACTTTTTGGGGATGAGGAAGTGTTGTAGGTTGAGATAGCAGTAGAGAAGTAAGAGTGAGGTCCCTCGGGCCAGGCCATCGCTCATTCCTCTGTTCCCTCCCCGCGACCCCACAACGACCTCGGTCGGTTCGGTTGGCGAGTCAGGACGACAGGGGTGTTGTAGAGGGCGGAGAAGTGGTACTACTAATCATTCCTTCTTCTCTTTCTTCTCACAGATGCTGGCTGCAGGTCATGGCTAGCGTACGAGCATGAACATGTTGGCATTGGATGGGGACTCTGTGACAATCGTGTATGCTGACAAAGATTTCAGATAGTCCAATATCTCCTAACCCACCCACCTCCGAGAAGGCTATGTTACTCCCTTCGATGAGCTGTCATTGTCTGTGAGAACACCACTTATCTGCCCGGCTCCACTGTCGGGGGGACTCTCATGCTTTTGCCTTGCTTTTGACAGACCGAATCCGTCCTAACAACGACCTGAATTGCTTGGTCCTAAAGCGAGGCTGCTGCTCAGCGACGTCGCAAGCTCCAGGCATCTCTGAGCCGTCGTCAAGGTCCACCGGTCCCCCTTGCAGATACTCATTCTCAATCCGTCTGTACAAAGTCCGGTAGGCCATTGCTACGAGAGTTTCGGGCCCACAGCCTTCCCTCAACCCAGGACACATGACCACGAAGACGCCTCCGATCTTCGCACAGAACTCCTCTCCTTCAGTTCTTGGGACCTTCCAGAAAGACTCATCATGTCTGTGTGTTGACTGCTCGATCCACGCAACAACAAAGACGAGGGTCGACCATACCGGCGTTCCAGCGCAGCCGTCTTCATGCCGACGATATCGACAGTAAAGACGAGAGGGTGGGGCCTCGCTTCTTTGAAGGCAGAACGTGTCGTAATACCGCTGTATGGCCTCGAAGCTGTCCCTGTCGTTGACATGGTAGACCAAGATGCACACTTCGACATGGCGCGGACAGCTGCCTAGACGTGGCGCCCAATCTCTGTCGACCTCGCCGTTGACCACGACGTCGTTGATCTTGGTCTGCATAGTGTACTGGTTATTATCGAATGGATCGTATGGGAAGTTGAAGTCGCCGTGAAGCTGAATGTTCGCGTCAGCTACAGAAAAGCGCATTGGGACAACACCATACAGCCATAACCAGACGCTGGACATCAACTGAATCTCGATCCCACGCCATCAACGTCCGAATTTGAGGATGGTTTCTGACCCCATGGCCCTTTTCGAACCGTTCCATGTAGCTCCAGACGGCGGCCTCCTGAGCTGGCGATAGATATAGTGCATTCTTCGATTGTAGGTATGTGGACTGAGCATTCCCCGCGTTTTCGAGATACTGTTCGCGAGATCGTTGTGAGGAGGACTTCTCGTCCTTCGTCTCCAGCTGCGAGGCGGTGTCCTCCGCCATTCTTGTCGCTGTAGCAAACCAACGGAGACTGCTTGGTCGTGCTCGAAGAAGCTGTATGTCGAGGTGGATCGCAAGCGGGAGGATTCATGCGCTAACGGCTCGTAGGACTAAGCTCGCAAGGAAGCATATGCATGAAGACAGCGACTCGTTGTTAGGAAGCATTTGCAGAGTACACAATTCATTCTGCTGTCTGCTTAAGGCTCTTCACCCCAACACTGCCACATAGCCCTCTGTGTCGAATCTGAAGCTCTTAGGCTAGCGAATGATCCTGATGATCTGCAAACGATCCATCTACCTCACAACTTCTCCGGGAAATGCTTGTAACCCTGGCCGCCGACGAAGGTCTGCCACCACGGCTGGTTCTCCGTGCTCTTGGCGAGACTGAGATAGTGCTCCGCATGATTGGGCCCGCTGATGTCACGGAAGGCGGCGCTACCATCCGCCTTCCTCTCGTCTGCGAAATAGAAGCTATGCTATCATTAGCAAGCTATTAAAGGTCTGACTGCGGAAGACCTACCGGAATCCCTGAGGGGCGTACGCCTGCGAAGCGACTTGTAGCAGATGGGCGGTTGCTGCCTTCCCTATGCCCCCGCTGACCAAGAAAGGCATGGTCTTGACGTTCAAGAAATTGCCAGTGAAGATGAACGTTCCTGCAGTGCCCTTGGGTAGCTTCTTGAAGCCTTCGACTGCATTCTGGGCGGCGACCAGGACGCTGGCGGTGTTGACCGCGATATCTCGGTTGAACGCTTCCAGCGGCAGGTCAAGAGGACTTTCCGCCGGGACTGGCTGGGCGCTGGCAGCTTCAGACATGTCAGTACCATGTCATCCAGAGCATCACCCTGGAGAACGTACCATTGTACACGACAACACTCGGCGGTCCGAACTTGGCCGTGACCTTGTCGAACGAGGATTTTACAGTTTCCGGCTTCGACAGGTCTGCCTGGATCTGCAGGTTTCCATCGTCGTCGACCGCATCAGAAAGTCGTCGAGCTGCGATAGCGACTTTGTAGCCGTTCTTTGCAAACGAGCTGGCAACGCTTGCTCCGACGTTGCCGCCGGCTCCGAGGACGAGGAGTACTTTGGATGTAGACATTGTGGGTCTTTGAAGCGTTGGTGAGGTGTTGATGAGGCGCTGTTAACGGATATCGAAGAGCTGGTATATATGCATTGGGAGAGGGCTGCGATATGCTCCTATACCTCCATGTTGCTTATGAGCAATCCTCCTCGTTAGGAGGACCTTGCTTACTTCATCCATCATTTCAGCTGGTCCGGGGATGTGATGTTGAGCAGGGTGTGTTCAAGCCCCGGCATATACTCAACTCGAAGTTGGTCTTGGTGTTTTAGTCACCCTGTCCTGCTGAGTGAATCGAGTGGCAGCTTACAAGCCATACTCGCCCGTTTGGGCCTAGTGCATTTCGTTCTCCGTTCGCAGCCCTTTGTCATCTGTTCGTTCTCCGGCCGGGCGTTATCAATCTTGCTCGCAATACCAGTCGCACGCTTGGCCTGGTACGCAGCGAGGGCCGAGCACCAACATGCCGCCAGCTCGAAAGGTATGCCGCGCTCGGAAGCTCCGCCGCTCCATCACTGAACTCAGCCCCAGGCATGTGACAGGTGCCGGGAGCATAAGGCCAAGTGCGTATGGGCCGACGACTCTCCAGCATGCCTACGTTGTCAACGCACCAAGCATGTCTGCTCGACGCCTCATCTCGACCCCCAACGCTTGGGTCAACCCTCCACTGGTGACGCCGACTCCCTGACCCGTCCTGCGCAGGTCCGAGAACCTGAACGCCGCTACGATTCATCGGAAGCCTTGCCTGGGGAAGCTGATGGCTCAAGGCAGCAACCAACGGACCTCCTCGAAGGACAAAACGAGCATGATGCTTCTCTTGACCTGCTAAGCATTCCTTCACTGGATGCGAGGCCCCCTTTTGTGGAGGGTAGTTGCGCCAGCACCAAATGCTACCTCCCTTTGCCTGAAGAAGGCGAACGCCTCCTCCAAGAATTTCTCCACGACTTCAACAGTAGGATGCCGTTGTTCAACCCTGAAAGCCTGACTACTATCTTCCGCGACTGCTACAGTGGCGTCAACGACAGTATCCCCCTCCCTTGGGTCCTGGTGTATGCCACCATGGCGATCACTCACCGCCTACGGGCTATGAGTCTTTTCGCCACGCCAATCGACACTCCGCAAAGCCAATGGTACCTGGAGAAGTGTTTGGCAAAGCTGCCAGAGCTATTGATGGGTCCGCCGTCCCTGCAGCTTGTACAAGCTTCACTGATCATCTGCTTCTTGCTTCAAACCAGCAGGCAGCGGCAACGGGCAGCGCTGTTCGCATCAACCGCCCTCCACATGGCACAAGAACTAGGTTACAACGAACTACCTGCGAGCCATCTTGCTGACACTACTCTTGGTCGAGAGCAGGCGTATGTGTTCTGGATCAGTTTCTTCATGGACACGAACATGAGCTTAGGCCATCGACGGTCAACGAGCCAGCGACTGGCGGACATCAGCACTCCAATACCCCCGGCGAATGTTGTAAACTGGTGGGACTTGAACAATCATGAGCAAAGACCTTCCGAATGGAACCTCAACGTCTTCGCACAACACTGCAGTCTCGCTGTCATTGAAGCCGAGGCAGCTGAGGATCTGTTCTCTGTTGGTGCCCGGAAGCGCTCACCAGTGCAGCATCCCTGTGAATACAAGGACATAATGTCGAAGCTGGAGCGATGGCGGGCAAATAATGCTCTTGCAAAACTTGAGGCGACTGACGTGCTCAAGGCAATGTATCGATCAGACATTGTTCACAGTGTCATGCTTGAGGGTGCTTACTTCCGGACCGTCTGCCAGCTAAAGGTAGCGAAAGAACTCGTTGGGTTCAGGAGTAGAATTGATGTGTTCGCGCCAGAGGCTCTGCAGGCGATGATTGACCGGAGAATTGTACCGTCCTACGGCGATTCCAGGAGGTTTTTGAAGCTCGCTATGCTGGTACCGCAAGGCGATGTTTCGACGACGTGGTGGGTCGATCTTCTTCTTAACAAGGTGCAAGACTGACAACGACTGCAGGGCATCTCTGCAAGCAATTGTTGCAGCATTTTGCACCATCGTCTCGGCACAGTTCAGCGGTATGTCAGAAGCAGCAATGCATAGATCGGACGATCTGCAGCTGTGCCAGGAAGTATTGCTTGCCTTCTATCGCGCCATCGAGGGCGAGTATGAGCTCGATCACCAGGCGGTAGTTACGCTGTGCTCAACACTGCTGGACCAATTCAAAAGAATGGTGCTCTCCGGACAATGAACGTTCTAAGCTCGTCTGGCGGTACCGAAAACAGTCGTGTCGACAGTCAAGCAAAGCAAGAAACTTTTCCAGGTTGTCTTCGGGAGACGGCGTGACCGGCCCGTGCGTCCAGATGGCTCACGACGCACTGGGCTCGACACACTGTGGTCCAGCGTCCTTGCGCCGATGAATTTGTGCGGGCCCAGCAGTATGGTGTGACTTGCATTGTAGGAAGACCGAGGTCCTTGCCGGCATTGTCCGCGGGTAAATCGGTTTTTATCATACAAGGCTTTGACAGAAACAAATTGTGGCCTTTAGGTATCGACGGGGCCGTTAAGACCGTCTCGTTGGTGATCTGTTGGACCAGTATGTGTATGTAGATGTTACGATGCGTCTCGACGCTCAGATTCATTGGTTAAGCCATTTTCTCTTATCATCGCAGCGTTGAATGCACATTTTGCACGCCGACAGCGGGCGCAGGAGGCTCGGATAACTCTAAGCGTTGATAGTCTAGAGGCGGCGGTGGCACTGGCTGGCCTTACCGTTGTCGAGCTCGACAGGGACTGTCGGCAGCAGCGAGGGATGTCCTTTCGAGCCTTTGGAAGACGCGGCTCTTTCGTCGTTTTTGCAGCCAACACAGAATCTGCAAGTAAAGTGCTGAGAAGGTGTCGATGAAGCAGTCCAGGACACTGCAGCGGATGAGCGACGAGGTCCGTTGCTCTCTTCGGGATGCAGTGATTGCATTCTGTCACGTGCACGCATTATCTCGGCTTTTGTATCCCGTCTTCCCAAGCTCACCTCAGCTCTTCCGTCCTCCTCTTCTCATGTTCTCTTCTTTCGGCGCGCAAGATTAAAGCCATTGCAAAAGCACGACAGAGCAGGTCTGAATGGCTTTTGGTCCTTCTGGGTGACAGGGAAACGGTGTGCCCGGTAGAAGCGTCGACGAGGACTGCGAGCAGACAATGAGCCGGCAGCTCTTCCAGGTCCGTGGTGTCCTCGCATGTTCCCTTGAGGCGGCGCGAACCTGAAGGAAGCTCAAAAGCAGTGTGCTATGAGGAGATCAGTGGTGGCGTGACCGCTGGTGCTACGCGCGCGCCATCGAGCATGTCGAGGAAGGCCATGTCACGATCGAAGTGAGGGGTGGAGGGTGGTGATCTGGCTTGGCGGCGGTGGGGCATCGCAGTGGCGGTGCGAGCGGATGTGGTGGATGCTGTGGATGCTGTGATGAGATGCCGGCGGAGGATGAGAAAGGAGTCCAAGGTAATGTAAGGGTGAGCAGGACATGGAGGTTGAGCGGCTGCTTTGCCAGCGGATGATGCACTGCATTTGTTGGTGTAAGCTCAAGATAAGTGGCTTTCATCTCCCTGCGTTTGTATAGTTCATGCTCTCTTCATTCTCTTCACTTTCGGTCCGGCCGCCGGCTTCTCGTTGAGCCGACGTGAAACCGAGACGCGCTTTGAGGTTAAAGATCTTGTTCACGCGTCACCTCACAAGTCAAACACCACACATTGCAACATGTCCGACCAACATCATCATACCTTTGGAAACGTGAGCAGGGAGAGCGGTATAGATGGAAGAACACCGCCAGTAGCGCCAAGGGCTGGGGTCCGCGGCGGCTACAGTAGTGGTGAAGGCCGTGTCGAATACGGAGCTCGAGGTGAGCACGAAGGTCACGACACAGGTAGGCTAAGTCCGCGACGACGGCTTCTCGCGACAGGTTCAGCAGGCTACGCGCCGCTACAACCGCGCAGAGGCATCGTCAGCGCCCCTTTTCGCGGAGGTCCACCTCCTCAGGGCCCAGCTGGTTACACACCGCCAGGGCAGGTGATGAGCAGCGGCAATGCCTTGCGAGGAGGGGTTGCCTCCTCTCAATGTCCAGTTGCGATGCGACAACCAGCAAGTAGTCAGCGGCAGAGCTCAAGGTATGAGCAAGCTCACGACCGGAGGGAAACCCTGTTGCAGCGGCGGGATGCCGTGAGTACGGCCACGAAGCGCTGCTAGACCTGCTTCCGTGAAGGACACATATATACGGAGGACAAGGTGTGAGGATCGATGTGCTCACTGCGGTGAGTCAGGTTCAAGCCACCGTGGTCAGAAGTGCCCGGTAGGCGATGCAAGATGGGCTTATCCTTATGTGCCTCAGCGAGAGGTGGCAAGGGAGCATGAGCCTGTGCAGCCTGCATATGGTAACGCTGGCCCGGAGCGAGCTTCGCACCCTCCACCAGTCCAGGTTGATGCCGGACTCGGAGACGTGGTGGCAAGACGTTCGACGGAGCGACCGCAAGCTGACCATGCTTCACAGCACCCGTCTTCAGGCATCGATCATCGAGCCTCGACGAGGGACCCCAACGCTCCAGCTAAACCATTACCGCCTCCACATCTTCATAGCAAGGCGGGGAAGAACTGGATTCGTAATCAGCGCCGGCAGCTGGCTGGATGGTACGAGCTGAAGCGTCAGCAGGAGGAGGTGGATCAGTACAATCGAGAAATGCGGGAGGGAATGGCACAGCAGGGTAGCATGACCGCCTTGGACGCAGCAGCTGGTTCGCAGGCGTCTGCCGCGGCCGTCGGAGCTGTCGAAGGCCCTGACACCATCACATCTTCAGGACAGGCCGTTGGTATGCTAGGTTACGGCCCGCGTAGTTCTCCTACTGACCCCCGACTTCGCTGATGTAGCAGTTGATGCAGTATCACAGGGTTCGCCCGTGGCAGCGGCGTGAGGTCATTGAACAGCAATGGGAGGCAAGGCATTCAGAGATGGAACAAGCGGCGGAGCGGCAAGTGTTTCTGAGGCTCAGCATGTATCAATTATGGTAGATTTTGTTGTGCCACCTGCCATGACTCTCTTCTCTCTTTGCAACCCCGAACAGGCCGACGTATGCCAGCACTTGCGACCTCTGAGACCGATGTCGAACTGCGAGACCAAACAGGCTTGACAGTTTAGCTTTTGCACCGTCCTCTTAATGCGCCTTAACGCCCGAGGACAGAGTTGGCCGCTGTCGACGCAGCCAACCCTTTCACCTTCATGAAAACCGACTTCGTCTCCAGCCAGTCATCCATGCTATCGTGGAAGCTCTCCCGTCCAACACCACTCTGCTTATACCCTCCGAACGGCATATCCCAGGCCCCAGTTGGCGAGGTACAGTTGATACCTACCATTCCGCTCTCGAAGCTCTTCGCTACCCGCATCGCTCGGTCGATGTCCTTGGTGTAGACGGAAGCGTACAGTCCATACTCGGTGGCATTAGCTTTTTCGAGAGCCTCTTCCTCAGTCTTAAACGTATTGATAGCTACCACAGGCCCAAAAATCTCCTCTTTCAGCACTTTCGAATCTTCCGGCTGGTTCATCAGGATGGTCGGCCTGACGAAGAGGTGTTGCTCGCCGTTAGGCATCTTCGCATCTGTTTCGATAACCTGGCCCGACTTCTTGCCTTCTTCCAGATATTTCTGGACCGTGTCGTATTGCGCCTTATCCGCCTGGGGCCCACTCGCTGTCTCCTTGTCGAGCGGATCTCCCAGCTTTCGTGCTGAGGCCATCTGTTTGAACGAGGCCATGAACTTCTCCGCAACACTCTCCTCCACGTACAGCCGTGAGTTGGCAAAGCACGTCTGGCCACTGTGAAACATGATCGAAGACTGCGTTTCTTGCGCCGCTTGCTCTAGATCCGCGTCTGCGAAGACAAGTGCCGGGCTTTTGCCACCCATCTCGAAGACCAGGTGCTTGAAGTTGCTCTCAGCCGCTGCCTTCTGGATCAGCCGACCTGTGCGCACGGAACCAGTGAACGACAGAGCGCGGATGCGCATATGTCTGCTGATCGCATCACCGGAAGGCATACCGTGCCCGTGCAGTATATTGATCACTCCTGGAGGGAAGCCAGCTTCATTCAGCATGGTGGCTACTAGATGCGACGACAGGGGTGCTTTCTCCGAAGTCTTCAGGATCATACAATTGCCGGCTGCCAGTGCTGGTGCGAGCTTCTTGCTCAGGAAGACCAGGGGCGCGTTCCAAGGGATAACAACGCCCGTCACACCATAAGGCTGACGCATACTCATGTTGACGAAGCCTGGGGTGTTGAGGGACGAGGTACCGGTTGGATAAGCAGCTTCCGAGAAGTAGCGGAAGTGCACTACAAACGTTAGGTGAAAGACGTCAGCATGTTATCCTCCGTAGAGGAAGGACGGTGTAGAATAGCTTCTATCCTAGACCGCCAGGAAGGCTCGACAAGCTGAAATGACCTCTAAGAGTCATCTCAGCTAGTAGGCGCTTCAGCCCCTTCAAGTCTAAGACATAGCAGTGCCTCGTTCCACCTAAATTTACTCACTAGTCGCATAGTGGCCGTCGAAATAGGTTCCGACAGGTCGGCCAATGGAGAGTGCATCAAGCCGCGCGAGCTCGGGCGTGGCGTCTTGTCTGAGCTGGGCGAGCTTTGCCAGGGGCTTTCCGCGCTGCGTAGGCGAGAGGCTGCTCCAGGAAGGGAATGCCGCTTCAGCTGCAGATACGGCGGTGTCGACATCCACGACAGTGGCTTCGGCGACTGCAGCTTGTTAGCGATCGGTGTCGATGAAGGGAACAGAAGTCCTACTTTTGCCGACGTGCTCTCCTGAGTAAGGACTGCTCAGATCGAACGTCTTCTGATCGGAAGCATCAACGAACTCGCCGTTGATGAAGAGCTGCGCATTAACTGGCGTTTCCAGTGGAGCCATAGTGGCGTGTTGGGTTGAGAGCACAAGGATTGAGATGGAACAAAATGGGCAGCTCTTGGTCAGAAGGGATGATCAAGTTCAAGACATTAAAGAAAGACCATTTTGCCATTCATACCTCTCGCGGATGTTCTCCGGTTAGTCTCCATCATTGAGCGGCGAGGGTCCACACGGCAGATCTGGACGGATTTGCGTCCTGAGTTTGTGCCATCCAGGGCCGCACGCCAGAAGGCCCCTTGTCTCTCGCTCTGAGAAAGTGACTTCCGGACGCTCATTGTTCGAGGTGATGTGTTATTAGCAGTAGGGAGAACATGGAGCGCCACGCCCACGCCCAGGCTCTTCGCGTCCGTGCTCTGCGCATGAAAACACGTCGTCGACTGCTCAACTTTCACCTTCCTTCTCCAGCTTCTAAGTTCGATTTCAACATCCCCAAAGACTTTCAAGCATGGACGAACTCGAACCTTTGATGAGGTGGGATGATTTAGAGTCGGACGTTCGTCACTGCAAAGCCTTAGGGCGCCTGATATAGGCGGCGGCAGGTCCTCCATGACACTGTAGGTACAGCAAGCGGTCTGTAACGGAGTGCTCCAGCATTGGTATTGGAGAACTTCGGCACCATCCCACTTCCGTCTGCTCTTTGGCCCCTAGGATGGAAAGCAGACATCTCGTCGTCGATGGCGCCTCGATTGTCAGACCTCCAGGTCTTTCAAGCCTTCACCAGCCTTGTAACAATCCAATGCATCTGTCCAGTCGCTATTCCTCGGCTAGCAGTCTCCGCTCGTCTGATGCATGCGTGTTGATCACCCCGCTGCTGGAAGGAATCCTGCCGGACGACATGAGAGTCTTTCAGCCACTCAAGACCATCATCAGGTTGGAGTAAACTGGTGAGAGTACATGTGTGCAGCCGACCTCGGCGTCAACTCTTGAACCTCGATGCTGAAGCTATATTGCTGGACCTTGTCATCGGCATATTCGATTAAGTCCAACTGTAGCCTCGAGGATCCGTCCTTACATCAACATGGTGCAAAGTGAGTAGTGATGGAGGGTATTTAGGGCATGCCGGCTCTACTGACTACGATCATCTTCACACCAGATGCTGGAACGACCATAGCCAGCGCCCTAGGCCTATCGGCGTACCTGAACGCCAAGTACCATATAGGCAAGGACCTCTCACACCTTTACTACGCCCGCCGCGGCACCAAATATCAGGACCGCCTTCGACGTCAAGGGAAGATCAACATCTGGCAGACGTTCACCGAGAACGCCATCAAGTTTGCTGAGCACGACTGCATCTGGTACTCGGATCCAAGTACCAGTCCGCCGACGGTCCGTACCTACACATGGAAGCAAGCCCACGAATATGCTTGTCGGCTGGCGCAATGGTTCCTCAAGGCCGGCGTCAGACCAGGCGAGTGTGTTGGCTTCTACCTGCAGAACTCGCCTGAGCTTGTGCTCGCCTGGATGGGTCTGCTTGCCATTGGATGCTGGCCGGCGATGATCAACTACGGCCTTGTTGGAGATGCTTTGGTACACTGTGCCAAGATTGCTGAATGCCGTCTCCTGCTAGTTGACGAAGATCTTCAAGACCGTGTGGTATCCAACGATGACCTGCTGGTTATGGGAATCACGACTCGAGTCATCGATGGGCCTTGGAGGGATGAAGTCGCCCAGCTGTCAGCCGCTATGCCAAGTAAAGAGTACACCAAGGATGCCAACGAGCAGACGAAGCTGGCGTTGAGGTATACGAGCGGCACGACTGGCTTTCCCAAGGGCGTGATGGCCACCACTGGCAAGTACTACTCTCGCCTAGCATCACAGTTCACCCAAATGGGTATTCGACCTCTCAAGGAGCGAGGCAATGCCGGAGACAGGTGGTATATCTGCATGCCCATGGTCCACTCAACCGCCGGCTCGGCCTCTCTGATCTGTATGATCATGCCGACCACCTTGTGTATTGGGTCAGTGGCAGAGCACTCTCACTTACCTCTACTCACCCCTCTGTACTAACAAAACGGCAGAAAGAAGTTTTCCGCATCTCGCTTCTGGGATGAGGTTCGTGAGTCTCGCTCAACGATGGGCACTTACGTCGGCGAGATTGCGCGCTACCTGCTCGCTCTCCCTCCTTCACCCTTGGACCGGCAGCATCACCTCCGAATGATGTACGGTAACGGTATGCGCCCTGACGTCTGGGGACGTTTTCAAGATCGCTTCGGAATCAAACGCATCGTTGAGTTCTACGGCAGTACCGAAGGCGGCCTGTCACATCTCACCATCCAGGAGGGAGAGTACCTTCGCAACGCTGTCGGGCATGATGGCTTGATCAGGCGATGGCAGCTGCACGATCAAGTGGTTCCCGTGCTGGTAGATGCTGAAAGCAACGACATCGTACGAGATCCAGCAACGGGATTTGCCGTCAAGATGCCATATGAGGTCGGAGGCGAGCTGCTCTTCCGGTTGGAGAGCGAGGCCAGCTTCGTGGGTTATTGGAAGAATCCAGAAGCCACAGAGAAGAAGTTCGCTCGAGATGTGTTCAAGAGAGGCGACCTGTTCTATCGCACCGGCGATTCCCTGAAGAGGACTCCAGATGGCAGATGGTCTTTTCTGGACAGGCTCGGGGATACGTTTCGATGTGAGTCTCTCGCAGTGACAAAGAAGGCGCGAAGGGTCTGCTGACGCCTTGTCCTACGCTTCAGGGAAAGGAGAAAATGTTTCCACGGCGGAGGTCTCTGAATGCCTTGGACGGTTCGCTGGTGTGGTAGATGCCAACGTATACGGAGTCCAGGTTCCTAATCATGACGGGAGAGCCGGATGTGCTGCCCTCTTGCTTGCGTCAGATGCCGCCGAGCAGTTTGACTTCGATGGACTCTTAAGGTGCGGCTCTCTTATTCACAAGATGACCTTGACTAACGTCCTCGCAGGCATGCGCGCAAGAACCTGCCAGCGTATGCGGTGCCTTTGTTTCTGAGGATTGTATCGCAAGCGGCATTGAACTCGAGCGGGCTGAAGCAGGACAAGGTACGGCCTCGTCTGGATGGAGTCGACCCCTCGAATGTTGGTGGTGACAGACTGTACGTTCTTCGGGGCGATCGATACGCTCCGTTCAATCTCACGGACTGGGAGGATCTGGCGCAGGCAAGAGCAAGGTTGTGATTGCGTAGTATGAGGTGTCCAGTGAACCAACAAAGGGGTCGACTGCTTAGTCAAGTGACGTTGCTGTTATGAAGGCGATCGCAAATTCTGCTCTCACAACACAACCCAACATCTCTCTCGTACCACTACAACATAACACATCAAAATGTAAGTCCAGACACATCAGAGGAATGCGAACAAAGTACTGATAGCTGCCACTAGGTTTGATCAAAAGCGAGGAAGAGGTGATGGTGAAGAAGACCGCAGGGGCGGCGGTGACAAGAGGAGGTTTGGGCAGGGCCCAGAAGGCCACAGGAAGGCTCTGGCGCGGATAGACGCCGAGATCGAAGCTGATCGGGTGGGGGCGGAGCGGCTCAAGCGCGCATGCCACGACAAGGTGCTAGAGCTGCTGCGGAGAGGTTGGAGGGCTGACCAGCTCCCTACACCTCCGCAGAGCTGGACGCCACCTACTTTGCCTCAGGGTATTCATCCGCCGCAAAGCTCGGCTCCAGGGCCACCACAGCAGCCTACACAGCGGCAGGTGAACGCACCGTCGCAGCATATGGCTAACAGGTCGCAGCAGCAGCAGCATCAGCAGCAGGTTTCTTTACCGCTACAACATGACATCAAGCCTGTGCTGAACCGCAGGCTCAGCATGACAGAGTCGCAGAACCCGCGCTCTTTGCCTGGGAGCTACCAGCAGCAAGTGAGGGGCCAGGTTCCCTCACCGACTCCGAGGATCAAGCAGGAGCCCCAGAGCCCGGTGTCGAGTCCGCGTTCTCCGAGCAAGAGGGAGCCCGAGCGAGAGTAATCAACCTCTGGGCACCGGATGATGGCGGTCACGCCGGCGGAGAAGAAGGCGGTTGAATGATGGAAGGGGAAGTATGTGACGCTCGAACCCGCCTCGTTGAGGTCTTCGAGACCCTCCGACGGCTGGGTCTGTCACATGGGATGGGAGTGTAGTCAGGTAGCCCATGCAAATGACGGTAGTTTCACCAAAAGTCTTCCACTGACGTTCTCTTGCACGTAAACGTTCTTCAGCCTGACTTACAGCCCAAGATCACTACCCAGTAGACTTCTTTTACCGGAGAGGGACGACTGCGTCCTCCATACTTTGTGCAGTATTCCCGTCTTGGACCCCGATCATTCCAGCTACCTTAGTTTAGTCTTGAGCCCCTCGCTTCTCTAACACAGGATCAGGCCGCAACACGATGAACATCAGCGCAGCCATCTCCCGGCCCGTAAGAAACCAGAACGATCTGGTGAGTAACTTTTATCACTGGACATGGAGTGTCCACAACCAGACCACCTCCGAGCATATGCAGTACGAAGTCGCCGGCGAAGCGAACGACATCGTAGCGAATGTCTTGCACACTTCTCCGGACGGGAGATGCCTCAAAGAGATCCTCACAGGCCATATGGACATTGCCTCCACCCAGCTTTGGGAGCAGACAATTCGTGGTATGAGAATCCAGAACGAAATCTACAGCTGGGACTGCCAGGACTATGTGATTGAGATGATTGATACTTTGGAGAACGTGGGCCTCCTTGGCTCATTTGAGAACTATACAGCGGTCAAGAACAGGATATTGCAGATGCGTGGGACTATTGAGGAGACGTATCGACTAGTCAGGGACTATGATCCAGCTACGCTTGAGGCAGAGGATGAGCATTCTGATGTCCAGACGAGCGGCGAGTCAGAGGACAGTCTACCGCAGCATGTCCGCTCTGAAGAGCTCATCGTGGACTCGGACGATGAATACGACTGACAAAATCCTCAAGCTCGTTGTCACCTACTGCATCCCGCACAACCGCTCACTCAGTTCCCAAAGCCTCCTCTCATCTTCAGGCTTGTACGCTGCCTCACTATACCCAGTCCTCCAGGGCGAACCTTCCTTTTCCAGCGGCCCAGCCTCACCCGCATCCTCCAAATATACACCACCTCGATGGCTCCACTCTTTGCCAATCGCCGCCCAGACGGTGGTCGCAGCGCCTTGTTCAACACTCTTGGTCTGAGCTTGATACTGCGGATCGGCCATCACAGCATCATACTGCAGCGTCCCGGCCATGTGGCGCTGCAGAGGAGTCTTGGTGCTTCATAGATGCAAGGAGAGTGCCTGGAGGTGCTGCTGCTGGTACCGGCGGGTGAGCTCGTTGGCCAAGTAGATATTTGCTAGCTTGGAGTTGCCGTAGGCGACGCCTGGGTGGTACGGTGTCTTCGAATCGAGGTTGTCAAAGTGCAAGGCGGGAACGTTTCGATGGCCAGTAGAGGATACCGCTATCACGCGGGAAGGCCGCTCCGGTGTAGCGCCAGCGAGCAAGGCCGGTTTGAGGATTTCGAAGAGAAGGAAGTGTCCGAGGTGGTTCGTGCCCAATTGCAGCTCGTGGCCATCGGCTGTCTTGCTTTAGGGGTAGCCATCACACCGGCGTTGTTGATGAGGACTTTCAGCGTTGAGGCTTGTGATAGGAATGTCCGAGCGCCGGATCGAACGGAGGCAAAAGAGTCCAACGACATTTCAATCACCTTCACAGGTCTCGAGGAGTCAGTCAAGAGCTCTTAAGCAATAGCATTGCCTTTGGCCGTATCGCGAGCAGTGATCCAGACGTTGGCTCTGGTGAGGTAAAGTGCTCGCGCCGTTTCAAATCGTTACGCGAACGTCAACGTCGGGTCGTTTTCGGCGCGTTGTACAAATGTTTTGTTGTTGTACCTCTCACCGCTTCGCGGTTCGAGGATAGTACCATCCTTGTTCTGTGGTTAAGGAAGTGCTGCTATTGTGCACTTACCGTACTATGCTTGTTCTGTAGTTGAGGACGTATAGTTGTTATACTCTCACCGCTTCGCGGTTCAAGAATGGAATGGTTGCGCTTCGCGCAAGAAATAGTGGCCCCGTCCAGGTCCGCCTAACCGCGGCCTGACGGGGGCGGGAGAGCGCTGTCGCGCTCAAAAGTAGTTCCGCCTCCCGGCGGGGGCACCTGCGGTGGGCAATTACCTTTACAACCGGTTTGGCGCTTCGCGCCAAATTCGATTCCCGAGCTGCATCCAGTAATGAGGATATTGGTGCCGGCGAGGCCACCAACGAGGTTTTGATCGCGGACAGCCTGTTCTGCTGTTGGACGTTGGTCTCCTGGTCCGCTGAGTACGGCGTGCTGCTCAGCGTAGGGTCTGAAGAGCGACATACTGGCGGCTATTGTCGAGAAGCTCGAGTTCCTGGGTGATGGAGTCTTTCTGGCGATATAAAACTACATGTATGTATGTCGAGCCTGTGGTAGTTTAGCAAAACGAGCGTGACCTGGACTTGCCTTGAAAGGAGCCATATGAAGGCTTTTTGTATGATTGAATGAAACATGACCGGACTTAGGCTGGAAGGCATACGTCCTTGCTCGCCATGAGGAGAGCATGAAGGAGGATACATGGCCATTGAGCGCCTTCTCAAGGATGGCAGGCTGAATAACGAGGACAGCACCGTTGTTCTGGTCTCTAACATCCTGCAGGTGGGCGGGAGATAGCGGAGATTCCGACGACGTGCAGGTTTTTGCGTCGTCTGCTCGAAGCGGCCGCAGGAAGGAGAGATTGCCTTCTGAAGGCTACTGCCAGCTATGTATAATGATGCAGCTGACAGCCCTTTGCCGCCATCTTCTTCCACCGATAGAAGTAGGAGGTTTGGTACACGTCCCCAGTGTAGTCGACGCGCCGCCATGGCCCAGTGGCCAGCCGAGAGCGCCCAGAAACCCGGGTGACTTGCATTGCCCCGATAGTGTCGATAGTCCGGCGCAGGGACCTCGCGTGGCTTTTGGTCGTGGGAGGAGACGGGAAGTTGGCAGCAATGCACTCCCGTTAGCGCCTAGCTGGGAGGCCTGTAGCACACGGTGGAACATGTTCATTGCAACTCCGATGGTCAGTGTACGAATAACGTGTCGTCGTCCCGGACTGTGTCGAAAGGGTTGTCGCATGTGAAGAAGAGAGGATCGACAAGGAAAGCTCCTACGCAATCTGGGATCGGCAAAAGCTGTCCAGCTCCGCCCGCGCCCAAGCTTCACCACTTCCAAACGTACGACCACGACCACCACCTCTTCCGACCCCCCACCCCCTCTCACCACCCCCCTACGGAACAGCACCACCCTCATTACTCCCCGCCCTCCTTGAACCCCAACATTCGATATCGCCAGTGTCCAGCGGCCTCGCCATCAGAAGGCCCAGCTCGGCGTTTCGGGAGGCCTCGAGCTGCTGACCCGCCATTGGGTTTGCTGCTGAGCTGGACATCACGCGTCCGACCTCCTCTTTCAAGCGCCCGTTCGACTACACTCGACCAAGATGGCTTCAGCGGAAGAGTTGAAGACCCAGGGCGCCATTGAGGCCTCGCGCGACCCGAACAGCAGCGTCGATGCTCGCGCAGCCGAGGATATGCTTATGAAGCAGTCCCAAGCTGCTGGTGCCGCCGCGTTCGAGTTTGACCCGGACGCGAGCCCAGAGCAGAAGAAGGCGCAGATGAAGGCGGTAGGTGAAGCAGGTATAGGGAGTGTCATTCGCCAAGCTGACAGCGGTGCAGCACGCCCCAGTCGACCGCCCCCACCGCAAACACCAGACTGCTGCGCTCATCACCGACCAGGACGATGGCCAGACCGCCGGCTACGACCTCCCACCTCCCAGCAAAGACGGCGCTCTTGCTGCTGCTTCTCCGACCAGTGCCAATGGCGACATTTCGAAGGATGAGGACAATGTCTACTCCAAGACTGGCTGGGCGCCGCGTTTCGGTAACCCCAAGGACGAGGACGAGGGTACTATGCTGGACCACCAAGACTTCCTAGAGGGCAAGCTGGACGACAAATTCTTTGGCGACTGGTACCACAATGCTGCGGTGATAGTCTTTGCCTGTCTCTCATCGTGGGTGGTTGCGGTGCTCGGAGGTGGTCTCGGATGGGTATTTCTCGTCATGGCGGCTTGTGGAACCTACTACAGGACATCTATTCGACGCGTACGGCGCAACTTCAGAGACGATGTCAACCGAGAATTGGCCAAGGCGAAGCTTGATACTGACACCGAGACCTTGGAGTGGATCAACAGCTTCTTGACCAAGTTCTGGCCAATCTACGCGCCGGTGCTTTGCGCAACGATCATTCAGTCGGTCGATCAAGTGCTCAGTACTACTACTCCCGCCTTCCTAGACAGCATGAGGATGAAGTTCTTTACGCTCGGCACGAAGCCACCGCGGCTGGAGCACGTCCGAACATACGCACGCGCCGACGATGATACGGTTCTGATGGACTGGAAATTTAGCTTCACGCCAAACGACACTGCGGATTTGACGGCCCGCCAGATCAAGAACAAAGTGAACCCCAAGGTCGTGCTGGAAGTCCGAGTCGGCAAGGCTATGATATCGAAAGGTCTGGATGTCATTGTGGAAGACATGGCTTGCGAGGGTGTCATGCGAGTCAAGGTCAAGCTCCAATTACCCTTCCCGCACATCGAGCGCGTCGAGATATCTTTCCTCGGCAAGCCCAAGTTCGACTACGTCTGCAAGCCGCTTGGTGGTGACATGCTCGGCTTCGATATCAACTTCATCCCCGGACTTGAAACCTTCATTCAGGAGATGATCCATTCTAGTTTGGCGCCGATGATGTACGACCCGAATGTCTTCCCTATTGAAGTTGCGAAAATGCTTGCCGGCAACCCAGTCGACCAGGCCATCGGTGTACTGCAAGTTACCTTCCACGGTGCCCACGGCCTCAAGAACCCAGACAAGTTCTCTGGAACTCCCGATCCGTACGCAGTCCTCAGCATCAACAACCGTGATCCTCTGGGCAAGACGAAGACAGTGGAGCAGAATGCCAACCCGAGATGGAACGAAACTGTCAATGTCATCCTCACCAGCTTGCGCGAGCCTCTAACTATTCAGGTCTACGACTACAACGAATACCGCAAGGATAAGGAGCTGGGCGCGGCAACATTCAACCTTGAGCAGATTGAAACCGACCCCGAGCACGAGAACCAACAGCTCGAAGTCATCGCCAACGGCCGACCTCGCGGTGTCGTACAGTGCGATATCCGCTTCTTTCCAGTGCTTGAAGGCCAAAAAGTGGAAGGTGGGCCTGATGTGCCTCCACCAGAGAGCACAACTGGTATCGCCAAGTTCACTGTCGAGCAGGCCAAGGATCTCGATGGGACAAAGTCTCTCATTGGCTCGCTCAATCCATATGCCGTGCTCCTTCTTAACGGGAAGGAAGTGCAAGTATCGCAAAAGCTTAAGCGTACGAACAAACCGATCTTCCCAGACGCTACCAAGGAGCTGCTCATTACGGACCGCAAGAAGGCTAAGCTGGGCCTCGTCATCAAAGACGACCGCGATCTGGCCACCGATCCTATCCTGGGTTCCTACCAAATAAAGCTTGACGACTTGATCGAGCTTGATGCGAAGGGCCAGGAATGGTTCAACCTTGCGGGGGCAAAGACTGGCCGTGCGAAGATGACTCTCCAATGGAAGCCGGTCGCCATGAAAGGTGCACTGCTGGGTGGTGGGTATGTCACGCCGATTGGTGTGATGCGCGTCCACTTCAAATCCGCCAAAGACCTGAAGAATCTCGACACTGTTGGCAAGTCTGATCCGTACGCTCGCGTGCTGCTGTCAGGTATTCAGAAGGCCCGGACAGTCACCTGGAAGAACAACCTCAGCCCGGCTTTCGACGAGATCTTCTACGTCCCAGTACACTCTGCGAGAGAGAAGCTGGTTGTCGAGTGCATGGACGAGGAGAATGTTGGCAAGGACCGGACCCTTGGCCAGGTCGAGGTCGCCGCGTCAGACTACATTCAGCAAGGAGATGATGGCGAGTACATGATACACGACAGCAAGAACGAGGTGATCTCCTCTCAGCTCCGTGTCGGCAACAGCGCACCAAAGGGCACATTGAACTTCACTATTGCTTTCTACCCAACACTGAATGTTATTGACCCCGAGGAGGAGCAGGAAGAAGAGAAAGCTCGGACAAGCCTTGACACCGCAGGGCGGCCAAGCATGGAAAATGGTACGACACCTACCGGCCCGCAGCACGCTAGGAGCGATACTGCTGGTACGAATACCAGTGTCAAGACAGCATCGACAAGCAAGAGCACCGAGAACGACATGGCCAAGGCGTTGGCCCGCAATGAGAAGGAGCAGACGGAGACGGACGAGGTCAAACACGCTGAGGTGCCGAAGGTCAGGATCGAGAAGGATGATTTGACTAGATACGGTGAGCTTGGCCTGCACTCAGAGGTCGCGCATTTTGCTAATGGATCACAGAATCTGGTCTCATCGTCTTCAAGATCATCGACGGCCAGCTGGCGCAGACCGGGACCCATCTCGAAGTCCTCATGGACGACATGCTGTACCCTGCTTACTCCACCGGCAAGATCAAGTCTACGACTTACAACTTCAACGAGACTGGGGATGCCATGGTGCGCGAACTGGACCTTTCACGCATCACACTGCGATTGGTATCCGAGATCGACAACAAAGGCGAGGACGACGAAGACGACATCAAAGCCAAGATCCAAGGTCCCACTCTTGACACTCTTAAACGCTGCCTGTACACACCAACGCAGATCAGCTTGAGAGGCAAGGATGGCCGCGAGAGCAAGATCACGGTCTCGATGCGCTTCTTGCCGGTCAAGATGCAGCTCGATCCGAGCGAAAGCTTCAACAATGCTGGCAATCTCCGAGTGGAAGTTCTGGACGCCGCTGATCTTCCAGCTGCCGATCGCAATGGCTACTCGGATCCGTACTGCAAGTTCCTTCTTGATGGCAAGGAGGTGTTCAAGACAAAGACCGTCAAGAAGACTCTGCACCCAGCATGGAATGAATACTTTGAAGTGCCAATCCGGAGCCGGACTGCCGCTGACTTCAAGGTCGATGTCTATGACTGGGACTTTGCCGACAAAGCGGATCATCTCGGTGCTTCTGTCATCAGCCTGAACGCTCTGGAGCCCTTCCAAGCGGAAGAAGTGCGACTCAATCTCGATGGCAAGAGCGGTGCCGTGAGGCTGAAGATGCTCTTTAAGCCAGACTACGTGACGCGCTCACGGCAAGGCTCTTCCACATTCTCCGGCACTTTTGCGGCTCCCGGCAAGATCATTGGCGCGCCGGTCAAGGGTGCCACGTTCGTTGGCGGAGGTGTTGCGAAAGGTGCAAGCTTCCTGGGCAGCCGGTTCAAGCGCACATCTTCCAGCCAGCATGCTCAGCAGAATTCGCAAGAGGTCACTGGTGGCATTGCTGATATGCGTGATACAAGCATGGATGTTGGTGAACCAAATGGCAAGCCGCTGCCGAGTACTCCGCATCAGCGACAGCGCAGCTTTGGGCAAGGTCCGCAGAGTCCGACTGCTGTTGATCAAGGCACGGCGACGATCTCAGTTCTTAGCGCGACTGGATTCCAAGCTGATACTAAGCTCGAAGTCAAAGTGCTGCATGACTCTTCCAAGGGCCTGAAGGAAGTGCTGAAGACGAAGGCTGTCAAGACTAAGACTGGAGAGGTCGTATATGATGACGAGACCAAGAAGGTGCCATGCAACGCCGACCAGCAGTTCCGCATTCACGTCTTACACTCTCACACCTTTGGCTCCGCGGACGATCTCGGCGAAGCTGGATTTTACGTCAACGACCAGTCATCGGGCGGGACGCAGGAGATCAAGGTCGGCACTGGTGTTGTTATCGTCCGGTCGTCCTTCATGCCCACGGACGCGAGTAGCACTCGCCCCACAAGCCTGGCGCCGGAATCACCAGCCAACAAGAAGCATCTCGGAAGGCTCGTAAGCAGGAAAGAGAGAAGCGTCACGCCGTCTGGTTAGGAGCCACACGTCAAGGGCGTTGCCTCTAAAGAAAAGCTCAAGCATGGGACGAGGAGGGTCTACCAGGAAGGGCGAGAGGCTTTCCGCAACTCGGTCGGCTCGCTGTATATGCGGACGGACTCTGTCGATGCACCGAGTTTGTGGGAGCAGGAGGAGGAGCACGTCGGCCCACGTGGTGAGCGAATTTTTCCCGCCCCTCAAGCCAGAGGTCGGAGCGTCAGCGTGCGTGATCAGGGTCCGAGTCAGTTGAGGTGATTGATGGAGGGTGGAGCTTTTTCCTTACGTTGAGATACCATTGTGTTATGCTTGGAACTTCCTTTCTACTGTATCTTTGCTAGAAGTCACATAGGACGAGGAAGGAGCTTTGGCTCGAAGAATCGGACAACGTGTGTACGTGGATTGGACTGCGATTTATCCTACCCGACTCCCTCAGGCGTGCACGTGATGAGCAGTCCCCGCATCTCGACTCAACAGCACGCTTTCTTCCCTACTAAGGTACTCACAACTCCTGCTGACACTTGTTACCCTTCTAATGATTGCACATGCCGGCTACGGTCTATCACCGAAGTTGTGCGCTCTTGCTTACTACGTCTGCTTGCTTTACTTTGCCCTTCTCGCTAGAGTCTGCGCCAGCTTCTGTCCCTCCGACCTCCTTTGTACCGATGGCACCACGTTACACGCCGCTGAACCCGTATCACCTCCGCTCTTCGGCATCTCAACGACAGCTTCCTTCTCCTTCGCATCGACTGCCTCGTGGTGCGCGCTAGCAGCCACGTCATTTCCGCTCTCTGCTATCTCAGCGGCCTCGGAGCGTCTTTGTCGTTTGCCGCCTCAGCGACCTCTGGAGCGTCCTTGTCAGCTGCCTCAGCATCCATCGACACCTGCTCTTCATCGACGTACTCGTCTTCTTCCTCGACTCCGCTTTCTTCAGCCTTCTCTTTCCAAACGTCGTACAACGAATCGATGGAGTCCTGGAGGTCCGCGAAGTGGTCTTTGGTTGCCTGGTAGGGACCCGGGACGAAGTTGCGCGCTTCTTGCTACAAACCTTTCGCTCCGTGGTAACACTCGGCCATGTCCGTGGCATATTCGCAGCAAGCCCCGTGGAGAACGAACGCTTCGATCCTGTAGTGGCAGGGCGCATCTTGTTCTTGAAGAAGCTGCTCGCACTCTTCGGCACAGGCTTCGAGATTGTCGGCATCTTAGAGTGCTTTGGCTTTGGCTATGCTTGTCGCGAAGCTCTGTGAGGGGAGGCTGTCCGCCGCGGCTGTAGTGACTTCTACTGTGCATAAGGTAGGTGAGGTGAGGTGAGGTTGTAAAGGTAGGCGTCGTTCCTCTAATGTATCTTTGCTAGAAGTCACGCAGGACGAACGAGCAGCTTTGGCCCGGAGACTATCTGAAGATTCCTTCATCCCCGGCCTCCAAACTGCCTGGCAGTCATCTTCACCAGCCTCTTCTCGGTCCAGCGTCGAGCTGCCTTACCCCAAACAATCATCGGGAAGGTGGTCGCCGCTGTCACAAAAGCGAGAACAGCAGAGAGGACGTGCAAGCCCACCAAGCCCATGCCCTCGACCCAGTACGAGAAGCATACTGCTACGATAGTGGCGCAGACGTTCCGAACGAAGCAGACGCTGATCATGGCGTCGCCGATTATATCCGCATAACAGTCCATTGCATATGTGAGCGCAGCGTCCCAGAGCGCGGTCATGGAGAAGCCGAACATCGCGGACCCAATACAGGCTACTATCCAAGGCATGCCGTACGCTGTGGGCAAGCCAAAGAGGAGAAGCGACGCCGGAAGAGTAAAGACTGCAGGGACAGCGACCCAAAGGACCATTTCCGGTTCGAAGATGCCGTTGTTACGTCGTGCGAGGCGGACGGTAAGCCAATCGTTGAACAGACCGCCGTATAGCGACCCGAGCACGGATCCGATGAAGGGTGGGAGGTTCATGAGACCGATGCCGACGGAGCCGAAGTTGTAAGGAGGGTATGTGTAATATGTGGAGTACACGTTGACGATGACGCTGAACCAGGCGAGGACTGAACCGTACCTAAAGTGATGAACAGAATGGTTAGCAGATGTCTCGACAAGTGGAACAGAAGGGGTGAGGTCACATCAATGCTGTAAAAGCGATCGCAGGAAAGGTGAAGAGGATGTAAAATGGTTGGTACGTGTGGCGTAGGACCAGTCGCCAGTCTCCGTCGAAGGCACCCGGTTGGAAGAGCGCAAGGCGTTGGAGGTAAGTCTTCCGCTTGATGGCACTGTCGAAGTGTCTTGAAGTTGATGTCGTGCTGATACCCAGCTGGGCCATTTTGTCATCACTGATCTTGCCATCGTTGGCTGAGATGCTGTTCACTCGCTCTTCGGTCGCTGCCGGTGCCTGTCCGACGTCGATCGGACTGTACTTCGAGTCCTCATATAGGAATACGAAGGCGAGGAGACAGATTCCACACAGGATGGTCGTCCACCACCAAATCCATCTGAAGCCCTGGCTCTGCGCTAGATGGATAAAGGGGTCAGTAGACAGTCTTTAAGACAAGAGGCACCCTTTTGCTTAACATTGCTTACCTGAGTATCCGGCAGCGACTGGCGCTAAGAAGGATCCGGTGGTCGTCATGAGCAGGTATATACCGTTGCAGGTCGCCCGTTGGTGGACGAAGAACACATCCGCAATTGTCATCTGGCAGATGGCTTCCGCAATCGATCCAGCCAGTCCGGCCACAAAGTTTGCTCCGATGAGATCGCCAGTGGTTTGCAACCTTCCTTGCCAGATAGCCGTCGCCATGCTGACAGCAATGGAGACGAGGTATATCGATCGGCGTCCGAACTTCAAGGCAAAGGGGATGAAGAGTACGCAGCCCAGTGCCAGTCCAGCACAATTTACACCAAAAGAAGCCGACATTGAGGCGAAGGAGATTCCCAGATCTGTATTGAGATCTCCCCATATCACCGACCCGATGTCGACGTTGATGAAGACGATAAGGACGTAGAAGGACACCAGGCCGTAGTGGAGTGCTTTGTACCATTGCGACCAGTTTAACGGATCGTTGCTGTGTCAAATCGTTAGCGATTAATTCCATACTCAGGTTCCTGTTGATGCTGCATTTGCACGGCAATCCAAAAAAGACAACGTCAACGCATTTGAAGACGGGGAGCACTCACGGATCACTGCTTGGGATCGGATGAAGGATGATCTCGCCATGCTTCCTATCAAGCAATCTTTCGAGACGAACAGTGCCAGGTGGGAAGTCGACTTCCATTTGGTCTTCCATAGTGATCGTACAATGCTTCAAAGTCGTTACGAAAACCGATAAACTCGCTCTCAGGCTCAAACACCAACTACATATATGTCAACAAACCACTCCCTTATCTGCCCTGCTGCTGTATCACAAACCTAGTCCATCTTCAGTATGTCCTGCCGCCCGCAATTCCGCTATCAACGCTCTGCCTCTTATTCCCTCTTATCGGCGGCTAGATGAAGGACGAGAAGGCGGGGTGGAACTCGTTCGCCGGCCTAGCCTCTGGCGGCCACATGGCCATGCATGCACGCAACTCTAAACTGACTCGCGAGATATCAGAGTCAAGCAAGAGACAGTGAAAGCGGCCAATCGAACATATCTGGCAGCCTTTTCCGAGACCCCATTGCAGTCAAAAAGGCTATCTTACTCTCGACGCGAGGCGATTGCAATCTGTGAGAACATCTATTCTACGACTCACTCTAACCTACGGGGCTGCTTTCACTGCTGACTTTTTGAGAGTCAAGCCTAGTCCAAGCCCAGCGCTGCGATCCAATAATTCGCCCCGTCATCGGCGCTCATACCCTTCAATCGCTCCAGCGACACCTCGTACGCCTTTGGAACGAATTCTGGCTTCTCCTTGTCAAGCACAGATTCTGCTACATGCTTCCCGCATAGCCAGGCGTTTACCATGCCATAACCATTGAAGCCAGCAGAGATCCATTCACCCTGTCCTTGCCGCATCGTTGCTTCCTGCGGCAGTCTACCTACCAGCGGCAGGCCATCGGATGTGAAGCCCATGATGCCTGTCCAGGCACTCTTGACTCCTGAAGTCATGGCTCTATCAGGCTCAATGCCGAAGACAGCATTCATCGCCCCTCCCATATGCGCCAGCGCAAGCACGCTGTTCACGCTGTCGTCGGTATTACCTATCTCCGCCAGACCACGCTCGTAAGCTTGACCAAGCCCACCGCCAGCGAATATTTCGTTTGATGAAGGACTCTGAATCACGTAGTCGAAGCCGTGGTCGTATGTCAGGCTCCATGAACGCCCACCGGCATACTTTTCGGAGACTGCGGTCGGCATCTGTGTTGTCATCTGCCCTCTGACGGGGAACAGCGGACCTCGAAGGCCAGGGAGTAGGTGCGCTGCGTGGCCGTTGGTTGCGTGGATAATCGTCTTTGCTTTGATCGGACCGCGAGATGTTTGTATGAGGTAGCCGCCGGCGTTCGTAGAGTCTATATTCTGCACCGGCGTTTGCGCCTCGATGCTGAAACGGTCGGAGTGTCGCTGTAACAGTTCCGCAAAAATGCCCGTGATCAAACGATACGGCCACCCAGCTCCAGCCGAGGCGAGATAGCCCCCAACTGCGTTGTGTATGCCATGTTTCTGTCGTTCACCGTAAGCTCATGCAACTCAACAGACAAAAGGTCATCGAACTCACAGATCCCAACTCCTCCCTCTCAACGAGCCGCCCACGCCCCCGAAGCTCAGGGTACGCATCATCAAACTCCCTAACAGCCGCAGAAAACTCATCGAATCCAGCTTGCGTCGTAAACACATTCATCGTCTCTACCCGCCGCACTTCCCCAGCCTTCTGCAAAGCCGGTGATAGTCCGTCGTTCAGCTTGAGCAAGGCCTCAACGTTCGCCAAAGTGAAATGCACAATATCTCGTGCTTTCTCTGCACCCAGCTCTGCAATGCTATGTTCTGGAACGGCCTTGATGTTGCCGCCATTTCGACCTGCATTTCTTTGATCAGCGGGCGGTCGAACTCATCTCAGCGGTGCGAATGACCTGTAGCACCAGAGCAGATGTTGCGCGCTTCGAGGACCGTAACGCGGACATCCCCATCGTTGGACAGCAGGTGCTCCGCGATGCTACAACCAGTGATGCCAGATCCGATAATCACAACATCCGTCTCACCAGGCAGAGAAGCCGACTGTATCGTGGCGACTTGCTCCGATTCCGGTTGCTGCCAGTATGAAGTTGTCGGGTTGGAGAGCGGCAGGCCTGGATCTTGATTCAATCGATCGCGGAGGCCCGTGAAGCGAGAATCTGCCTTGGTTCATAAGTATTCTCGTTCAGGATGGAAGAAAGTAGTCGGCGTACGCATGGTTGCTTCGCTCGTGATGCCAGCAATCGAGAGGTTGACTATGTCTGCAATCGTGAATTTGACTGCGCCGTTGAGTCGGGACCTGGGCCAGCGCTACCTCAAGCACCTAGAAGTCGAAGGACAAGTGCAATAGTAATTGATGTGCATCTTCCGTCGGAGAATGTATCTGTCACGTGCACAAGCTCATGTCGAGCGATAGTTTGCCGCCTCGAACTTCCCGAAAGAGCGAGATCACAAATCGGCACACGCCGGCCAACATTCACCTCTTATCGCGCCCTCGAGTCAAGCATTATCAGAAGGCCCCCGACACCGGGCTGGATCCAAAGAAGTGAGTAGCATAGCACTATCTACCTATTCGTATCTCGTAGCTCGTATCATACCCGCCAAACCATCGTGAAGTCATGTCCGCCCCTCAACTCCTCCAAGGCGTCTCATTAGGATACCTCCTCCCATCAACTCCCGCCGAGAACCGCGTCTGCTTCGGCCTGCTACTCCTCCTATCCCGATCTCTGTCCCTGTCCTCCGCACCACTGTACGCACTAGCGTCGCTGCCACTATACCTATGGCTCCTCCGATCTCTCCCTGGCAAATGTCCTTGGCTTGGTGCTCCGCTGCCCCTTCGACCATGGTCATCGGGTGGTGGACCCATGGGTGGGAAGCCGGGCTGGCTGGTATGAGGCGAGTCGTCGTGCATACGTGACGGAGACTGTTCGTAGCGCGGGCGGCGGTCGCGGGAGGAATGGTGGCGGGAATCTCTGTCTCTGTCGTCGCGGTGGCGGGAAGAAGGGTCTGGTGAGCGGCTGTACGGTCTCTCCTGCGCCCGTCGTACGGAGGGGGCCTTGCGAGGTGGTCCCCACTGCTCCCCGGACTGGAATCGAGGCTGCGGTGGAGGAGCAGGTTGAGGCTGCTTGGCTACGTGCGACGCGAACAGTGGGCTGGCAGATGGGCCAAAGGACGGGCCGACGCCATTTGCAGACGGAGCTGGACTGGCGCTGTCGTAGGTAGAGTTGCGCCGGGATGGATCGTCAAAGCCGTGGAAGTAGTCAGGATACTCCTTCTGACTCGGCGTCGGCTCGTGGCTGCGACTATGCCTAATAGTCGGGTCACGTTCGTCGGCAGACTGCTGATGGCTTTGGTAGTGTGAACCGGGTCGTGGCGACACACCCGGCGGTGGCTCATCCTCGCCAGAAGATCCGGAAGGCGGATGGTCCACTTGTCCGCTTCGTCTTCGCGATTGCTTGCTGTAGCCCGGCCCGAACGAGGCATCATATCCAGCTGAAGTGGGAGGCTCGCTAGGTTGCGAGTATCGATTGTCCGGCAGACTCGTCCTCCGCTTGCCATACCGATCGCGCTCACGACTTTGACTCTTGCTCGGGTGCCGTCCATCCCACAAATGCGGACTGCCGATGTTGCGAATGACATGGCCCATGGTAGTCGCAGCCCCCTTACCCTTATCTATCACGGTCGGCCGCGGACTGAGCTGCGGACGCTTGCTATTGCGCCTCACAATCGACGGCCGCCCATCCACATGCCGAAACAGCGGATTGCGGAAGTACGCCAGCGCAGGACCTCTCGAGTCCACCGACCCCTCATCGTCCTCTACTTCCTCCTTCTTGGGGTGCAATCGTTTCTGCTCAGCCTGCTCCGCTTCGATGTCCCTCTGATGTTCCTCTTCCTCTGCCTCCCTTCTCAATCGCTCCGATACGCCTTCATACCACGCCACCATGTGCTTGTCCGGCTCCACAGGAAAGCACTGCCGTGGCAGGATCTTCGGGAACACCTCTCCACTCTGCGGGTCCTTGACATCCCATTTCTGTACCGCCTCCATTAGAAAGCTGGAGTGCTCTTCTGGACCCAGCAGCAGCTGGATAGTCTGCCACATGATCCATCCTTCAGTCTTCAGCGCAGGCACAGTCGGGTCGGTGAACGCGGTCGAATGCGACAGCGGCTGTAAGCTGTGCAGACACCCCAGAGACTTGTAGATGAATGCTATACTCTCGCTCGGCGTCCCGAGGAACAGCTGGTCGTAGTTCCCATGCAGCTCGCGGTAGAAGCTCGCCAATTGTGTAGGCGTAAGGTCTGGGCTGTCGTAGGGTTCGTGGTGCTCGTTCTGCGCCTATGTGTCAGTGATAGCGCTCAAACTATGGGACTGCGTTGCCTACCATCACGTCTTTCAGACCTCTCAGTAGGCTCTTCAGGCGATCCGAGCCTGTCTTATCCGGCTTGAATAGGTAGCCCCAGTACTGGTATGCTTCGCGGTTCTCGACATCCTGCTCGTGCTGGTCCGCCTTCTCTGCTTGCGCGCCGCCTGGCGACACTGAAGGGCCGTTCATGCTCGTCTCGCTGAGTTGTCGTCGCCGGAAGGTGTGCGACTCTACCTGAGCTTCAACGATGCCAAACAAGCGACTGACGGCGGATGAGTCGCAGTCGGCCCCTCAACCGAGTTGTTGGTTTCGTCTTCGCCTTCTTGGTCGCATGGAATGCAGGGCTGAAGAAGGAGTCAGAGCAGGAAGAGTGGTCCCTCCGAGAGCACCCGACGGTGTTTCACATGGGTATGGCAGCTGGTCAGGTGTAATGACCTAAAGCACAGTATGCAGCACGCCGACGTCACACTAGCGCTGTGACTGCTCGAATGGGAGCAGGCAAAGCAAGCACATGCTCAAGTCAAAAAAAAGACATCATGTTACAGATTAAGCTCAAAAGAGCAGAGATTCAGGAATTCCATTCACATCTATACTTCATTCTGACTACAGTCTTCATCAAGGGTGGACAAAGACATCCATCACGCCAATGCCATGCCCATATTGCCTTTTCTATAACATCGGTTGGCCAGCACAGCTGAACCAACACCGCACATCGCATCAAAGCACAATTATGCCCATGACCATTCTTCATTCGCAGTACAGTACCATCACCAGAACGGCCTGCCCTGACTCCAAACCTAGTGCTCCAACAGACGCAAGCTGCCCTGCACCACCACGTTCTCCAGCACAGAGCCCGGCGGGATGTCGATGGTCGAGCCCTCGGTCGCCACGATAATGACAGTGCCCTTGCACGTTACCCCGCGGCCAAGGTTGACCGCACCGGTTATGGTGAGATGGTCAAGCTCGAGGATCTTCGGGATGGACGGGATGCGGGACTGGAAGCTGGACACCTTCTTGAAGTCGTTGCCGAGCTTGATGAGCGGCGCTGGGCCGAAGCGGTTCGGGTCCATCATGAGCTGGCCGTGCTTGAGGGTGTAGAGGTCCGACTTGACGAGCATGAGGTCGGAGCAGGTCTTGACGGGCAAGAAGCGCCTGCGTGGGACGTTCACACCGTGGGCGTTGCTGAAGTGGCGGATGGCGGCACCGACAGCCGTCTCGAGCTGCACGATGCTGACGTCTGCCTCGCCCTTCTTGTCCGCGGGAATGCTCTTGCCGTTCGGGATGATCTCCATGCCGAGCTCATTGTTCTCTACGACCCGCTTGACGGCGCGCAGGTTCATCCAGACGTTGTTGGTGTTGAAGTACTTGAACTTCTTGATGCTCTTGAACTCGTTCACGTACTGCTTCGGCACCTGTGCGATTTCGAGCAGACGAGCCTGGCCCTCGTAGTCGATGATTGTGCCGCCCTTGACGTCCGCCTTCGTCTTGGGCGTCAACTCCATGATGTACTCTGCTTTTGTCTCCACCATGTGCTGGAGGATGTTCAGGTCAACGACCGCACCAAGGTTGTCGGCGTTGGAAAGGAAGAGGATCTCGATGCCGCGCTCGAGGAGCTTGTCGAGGATGCCGGAGTTGTAGAGGGACTCGTACACATCACCGTGGCCTGGTGGGTACCAGTCGGAGATCTGAGAGTTGGCGTTCTTCGGCGCAGGGAGGAGGGAGTCCTTGAGGATACGGGGGTAACGGGACTGGTTGAAGGTCATAATGTCGATGTTGTGGCCCTCGTACTTCTTGATGATGTTGGCGGTGTCGGCGTCGGTGTTGAAGGAGTTCATGAGCACGAACGGGACGTTGACGTCGTATGTGCGGTTGAGGTACTCGATCTGGCGGACTGAGAGATCGAGGAAGGACATGCCATCACGGACTTCGATGACCGACTTGGGGCCAACGCAGCCCATGGAGGTTCCGAGACCGCCATTGAGCTTGAGCACCGCGAGCTTGTTCAAGAAGTCGACAGAGTCTGAGTTGCCCAGGGAGTCGTAGTCCACCACCTGCTCGGCCTTTGGAGGGGAGATCCTCGACCACTCAATCTCGTTGCCCTTGGCCTTGTCGTTCAAGTAGCGGCGGAAGAGAGCAAAGAAGTTGTCCATCTCAGTCTCGAACCTCTGCATCCATTGTCAATATTCTGTTTCCAGCTTTTGGAGGCTTTTCTTAACATACCTGCTTGTCCTTCGGGTCGGTAACCGTGTCGGCGAGGTTGTTGAGGGCATTGCGCATCTGGGATGCAGCAACTGAGGTGGAGGTGTTCTCGAAGGCCTGATCGTTGGAGCCATTGGTTAGCCGTTTCTGCATATTGAGCGTGCTAATCGTTGCAGGGTGCTCGCAAGGGTGTAAGAATGTGAGGATCTATGGACGTCAAGAAGCAGTGCAGATGGCCGCTGCGGCCCTCTATATCCAGTCAACGTGTCGTGGTGGTGATATATCGGACAGTTCGCAGAACACACGACCGGGATCTTCCAAGTCATCGGACGACCCAGTCCTTCGTTTCACATGTGCAAACGAAGTCGTCACGCTCGAGCCACTTTCCCGACGTCGTAGTCTTGGTGCTTGGCCCACTGCCGGTGACCTTGTGGAAGCATTACTTTCCAAAAGAGCTCGGAAGCTTCAAGAGGCCCGGTGGAATGGCTGAAGTCTGCTGGTCATATCTGCTGGGTTCGGCGAGGCATCCGGGATGCTGCCATTGAGTGTAATCTCAAGGCTGCGACAGCTCATTCGAGCCTCGCCAGCTTTCTCCCACCGTCTCCCAGCAAATGCAAGTGTACTAATGCCGTGCAAAACGTGGTTCGCCAACCAGCAAACAGCGCTGAAGAAAAGTATGAACTTACCACGTGCGACTGGGACTTCCCATGATGCCTCCCCTGGTCGAAGCCTTCCGATGAGCCGTTAGACGACGGCTTGAGGTGCGAAGGCAGCGCGTCCTTGATCTTGGATGCCATTGTGCGTGTGTGGTGTGGTTATTGAGGTGGTAGGGTCGATGTTTCTGAGGAAGGAGAAGGGTCAGAAATTGTTGAAAGTCAAATTTCAACATGTTGCTCGAGAGGTGAAGCTTACGCTGGTGGGGTTGCTCGAGCTCAAGAGGCCAACCTTTGTGACGGGAAAGCTCGTCACGTACCACACAGACACTGCTTTCGACGTGAGGAAGAGGGAGAGGGAAGAAGATGGGAATGAAGAGCGATCAGAAGCGATCCTGGTGACTTTTAACAGCGGCTAAGGTATAGCTCCTGCCCACCAAGCTAGAGTTTGCGGTTGGGATTTATCTGCACGCTACCGCACTACGGGCTGCCTCCGCAACCCACCTCCGACTGCTCTTCTATCTCTGGACTGTCTGGCCTCCACTTATGGTCGTTCATTGCCTCCCGTGTCCGTGGGCTCTCTGATCCGCCTGCCTGCTCCCACCGCTGTCTCTGGCCTGGACCCGCAACTGCTATCAACAACCGAGCGGCCGAGACAACCTGTTTGCCTTTTCTACACCGACTTTAAGAAGATCTAAGACTATCCGCTGTCAGGATATGTATTGACTACTTGCATGCCATTCACCCGTGGTGCCGCGTCAAGGCCCAACGTCTCGCCACATCCCACCCACGAGGCCATAACTCCCGGTGAAGCTCAATCGCAGCGCTCCCACGAACGTTTTACGGAGGAACACACACTGCACGAACAGCCTGCAGAACCCGGTCGGGGATCGGCAATATGCAGGTACCCTCAACGCCACAAATGGAGCCAAGTACGTGTAGGTTCCTCTTGCTATCGTGGGCTGCTCACCGCATCTGATGTTGCAGAAGACCGAGAGACAGGCGGCGACCGTTGTCCCAAAGCAGCCGAGACGCATGCGGATGGTGTGGTCAATACTCACGACCGTCTATCGATTTCTGACAGAACATTGTTTGACGCAACTCAGAGACTGTGAATATTTCCAATTTTCAAGACACCTCGATCAATCAATGAACGTTAATGTCTCGATCCCTCTCATTTGCCAGCGCGATACTCATATGAAGGGCTTGATCACTCTAAGACCATTTCCCGCAACGGGCGCCGGTGGAATGTTACTCATCGCCGGCTCTCGCTCCTCGTCCTTCTTGATCTGGTCGTTCTCCTGCTTGATTTTATTCGTGGCGTCCTCCATGTTCTGCACAAATCATCAGCATGTGCGACGTAATTAGCAGACTCGTCCCCTGACTCACAACATCGGGAGCACCATTGGGAACCGGTGAACGTTCGGTCGTGCTGTCTCTCGCAGGAACATACAGCTCCACCACTGCCGCATCTGCAAAAGTGATTGCCTTCGGCTTCTCCAACCGCAGGCGCACGCTCGGGCTTCCATAGCCTCTGTCCCAGAAGTCTCGTGAGAGCAGGGTGATGGCACGCTGTGCCATGAGCTCCAGAGTCTCGAATTTGGAGTCTTCGATGAGCTTGTAGACTGTCAGCGCCTGCGACCTACTAGAATATGTGTGATGTCTCACCTTCGTGAGCAAGTACTCAATCCTCAAGACGTCACCTTCTGGGAATGGCTGTCGATTCTCCGGCTGCTGCGCATTCACAGCAACGTAGTCAAACTCCAGACTGGCGATGACCGGCTGCTTCGCCTCTCTCTCGTTTTTGTTCATTCCGACCAGCGTCATGAGCCGCATGTCGTGGATCGAAAACAGCCTGCGTACAGTCTCGAACTTCTCGCGACCATGATCTCGTACATCTTTCTGAATCCAGGTAAACGAGATCTCATCCCCTGTCATGCTCGCCTTTGGTAGGTGGAGCTCGGTGACTGTACTCTCAACCACGTTCCGGCCGTCTGGTCTTCGTCCCATCTCGCGTACCAGGTGCTCGACACCTGCCAGTACCTCAGCGGGCGTCCCTCCACCTGGATTGGATCCTCGGATGGCCTTGGCCAAATTGCCATAGTGGATGCTCTCAGAAAGGTCGTCCTGTCCTTCGGTAGAGTTGAAGCCATTACGAAAAAAGACCGAGACGGTGGCGAAGCCAGGCTGCTCCTTGATCTGGTTCCAGACATTGGGCGCGTTGATGGAGTAGGGAAGCATGAGGTTCTTGACTTGGACCATGGATGCGGGTGCTTCTGGATAGCAGGCCGGGACGCGGACGTTGAGTGCTGGACATCGCGAGGGGGTCATCTCCGCGAAGTGGGCACAAATGCTAGTGATGATAAGTTTTTTGCAGACAGGAAGATTGATGTTGTACAGGAGAGGACTGAAACGGAAATGCTTGCAGAAAATGAAGATGTAGACAGTGACGACAAGAGATTCGTGTTATTAGCTGCTCACGCGTGTCCGCCCCTACCTTATGCCCTAACGCATCGATCGCGCATACTCAGGGAAGGTTGTCAAGGAACTAGCAGGAGTACTAGGTAATGGAGAGTCTTTCACATGCATCTCGCGTTCTTGCCGTGGCTGGTGAGTTCGACAGCCACACGATCGCCACGTTTGAAGGTGGCCATAGCTCTTCGAGAATCTTCCTCAGAGGATGAACGTTTGAAGATCCAAAGACTGCATCTGAACATTCCGCCTCTCTCAAATCGACCACTTGATCCTGCGAAGAAGAATACAGCAACATGGCGGACGCACTCAAAGCCGAGGGCAACAAGCTCTTCTCAGCCAAGGACTTCAACGGCGCAGTGTAAGTCGCAGCAAACAGCTCAATCCGGTCACATGCTGATACAGTTGCAGAGACAAATTCTCAAAAGCAATCGAGATCGAGCCCTCAAACCATGTGCTATACTCGAACCGCTCCGGAGCCTATGGAGGGCTCAAGAACTGGGACAAGGCGCTCGAAGATGCTACCAAGACCACCGAGATCAAGCCAGACTGGGCCAAAGGCTGGGGAAGGAAAGGCGCGGCGTTACATGGTGTCGGCAACCTCGTCGATGCTACAGATGCGTTTGAGGAGGCTCTGAAGCTAGACCCGAACAATGCGCAAGCAAAGTCAGGGTTGGACTCAGTGAAGAAAGCGATTGAGGCAGAAGCAAGAGCAGATGGCGTTGCGGGAGACCCCACAGGTGGCATCGGGAGCATGTTCAACGATCCGCAGCTCTACCAAAAGCTGTCGAAGAATCCAAAGACGGCTGCGCTGTTGGGAGACTCACAGTTCATGGCGAAGCTGCAGAGTCTGAAGGATAATCCGAATGCTACTGGGGAGATGTTCTCAGATCCGCGCATGCTGCAGGTGATGAGTGTGTTGCTCGGCATTGACATGCAAATGGGCGAGGACTTTGCGAAAGGTGCTGGAGCTGATGCGAAGGGAGGTGAGGACGAGGAAGACGTTCCCATGCCGGATGCCAGACCAAAAGAGGAGCCGAAGAAGGCGGCGGAGCCCGCACCCGAGCCAGAGCCAGAAGATGAGGAGGCAGCTGCAACAAAGAAGGCTAAGGAGGAGGCGGACAAGGAGAAGCAGCTCGGTACGACGGCATACAAGAAGCGATCGTTCGACGAAGCGATACAGCACTACACCAAGGCGTGGGAGATACACAAGGACATCACCTACCTCACCAACCGCAGCGCTGCCAATTTCGAGAAGGGCGACTACCAGGCTTGTATAGAAGACTGCAAGCAGGCTGTTGAGCACGGGCGCGAGGTGTTTGCCGACTTCAAGATCATTGCCAAAGCGTACGGTCGTATGGGATCGGCGTGGGAGAAGCTGGGTGACCTGGCGAGTGCAGTGGACAACTACCAGCGCAGTTTGACAGAGCACCGCACACCCGACATCCTCACGAAGCTCCGCACCGCTGAGAAGAACAAGAAGGATGCCGACCGCACCGCCTACATGGACCCGCAAAAGGCAGAGGAGGCGCGAGAGCTGGGCAACCAGAAGTTCAAGGAGACCGACTGGCCGGCCGCCGTCGAGGCCTACAGCGAGATGGTCAAGCGCGCGCCCGAAGACCCTCGCGGCTACAGCAACCGCGCGGCGTGCCTGATTAAGCTCCTCACCTTCCCCGGCGCTGTACAGGACTGTGACGAGGCGATCAAGCGAGACCCCAAGTTCATCCGCGCATATCTCCGCAAGGCTCAAGCACTCTTCGCCATGAAGGAGTACAATCGCTGTCTCGACGCCTGCGCTGAGGCTACCGGCCAGGACACGGACGGCAAGAACGCGCGTGAGATCTCGCAGCAAGAGCAGAAGGCGCTGGAGGCGATGTATGCGGCGCGCGAGGGCGAGACGGAGGAGCAGGCGCAGGCGCGTATCCAGCGTGACCCGGAGGTTATGCAGATTCTTCAGGATCCGGTAAGTCAGAGCAGAGCGTCGAGTTGGGAGATGTGAATGCTAATGCTTTGGTGTACAGGTCATGCAGTCGATCCTCCAGCAGGCCAAGGGCGACCCGGCGGCGCTGCAGAATCACATGCAGAACCCGCAGGTGCGGACGAACATCCAGAAGCTCATGGCTGCGGGTGTCATTCGCATGGGTCGGTAGATGGGAGACGCACGAGCAAGAAGCTTTCCATTGCTCAGCACTGGCATCCACCGATGAACTATCTGTGCTGCGAAGCTGCAAATGATGGCTGCAGATGATGGCTGCAGATGATGGCATGGAGTGAGACTACCAGCGTGATTCATAGCATAGCGAGGCCTGTAAAATATCTTATGCCTGTGCCCTTACCGTTGCAGAGCCTTCTTCATCTTGGTTCGGACTTTCAATCGAGCACCAACGGCTCGATCGCGCGTGTGCTCATTCACTTCGGGGTCCTTCTGTGCGCGATCACAGGTAGCCTCCAGTGTTGCATCGCTCGTCAACGGCATTCGACTTCTCACACAGAGTCGTGACTTCATGTCAACCTACGACTTGCGCTCCTTCCTCAACTGTATTTCGACCTCACCTCATCATTTGACCTCACCTCCTGTCCCCCATGATCACATGCTCTATTAAAATCGTCCCAAATACCATCCAACATAGCACCCGTTGGCGCCCGCCGACGTATAAGATCCCTGGCCCACATAGGCGCGACGCAGTATAATGGACAAACACATAGGGAGGTTGGCAGCACTGAGGTAGAGCGAGATCGAGTCGACCTTCACCTTCCATCTGCAAGTCTTAATTGTTCATGTTCTTTCATTCAATATTCATCGACAGCCTGTTCCCTTCGTCCTACCTTCGGAAGTGAACGAAGCCACTGTTTCTCAAGCAGCCACTAGACCACGACGTTCACGTTCTCCGAGGCCTTGCCTTCTGGACCTTCACCGCCAGCACACTCCGCCTCGCCGCCGAATGAGAAAGTAAAAGATGGAGTCACGGCGCTGCAGGAGGGGAGCGTGATGTCATCAGGCATGCCGCTGGTTTGAGAAAGCCATCGTGAAATCCGCTGTGCTCAAAGAACCTCGCTCGCCACCTACTTCGCGCGAAGCAAACATCACACCATTGTTCATCCTCAGTCTGCCACCAAGCATCAGCGCTCTGCAGGTACAACGCTACGTCATACAGCCGTCCTCCTCCTCGGAGCGCTCAACGACAGAACGAGGCTCTCACCCCCACCGCATAACTTCAGTGAGGCTCGCGAAGGCCTCCAGACTCTCGGCGCCGCCCCAGCCTCTCTCGCGCCCAGGGCTCACCTGGCCATTCTTCCTTCTCTTTCTGGCACAGCCCACCTTTAGCGCGGCCTTCACGTAATCCCGTGCCGCCGGCCTCCGCCCCATCTCACTCAAAAGGATGGCAGCAGAGTTCGCTGAACTCGGCGCTGAAGGTATTAACTGGGTGACCGACAAATACTACGATACGATCTACGACAACGTCGACGCCCGAATTCACAAGAAGAAGAGAGCACAGCAAGCGCTGCAGCAGCAACAGCAGCAGCCTGGCGGCCAGCAACAGGGCGGCCAAAAGAATCAGAGTCGCGGTAACTACGACAACTCTTACAATCCGCAGCAGCAGAACTATCAGACCCACCCGCCGCCGCAGTCGAACAGTGGTCGCAGGAGGCAGAAAAATCGTCTACCGAGTCCAGAAGGCAACGCACCCAACTGGGACAGTCGCAAGGAGAACCAAGACTTTGACCGCGAGAGTGAAGTGAGCGAGCGAGTGATCCGCGCTTACGAATCCGAGCGCGACGACCCAAGTCGCAAGGCGGAAAGTGTTCTGTCGAAGCGCGATCTCAAGAAGCTGAACAGCAGAGACGCCGCGAAGATGTCGTACGCCAACGGATACTCGAGCGGCAACCTGCAAGCGCCGTCGGGGTACGAGCGGAGAGCGAACAGCCAGCAGCCACCACGGGGTAGGTATTACGACGACGACGATAGCGATTACGATGAGCGCTCCGGGCGCAGGTATCGCGCGAGCGGGCGTGGGTATGACGATTATGACGACGACCGAGGGTATGGTCGCGAGGTCATTGAGACGGAGCGTTACCGTGGTGTAAGTCTTGCATCCTCACCAGAATGCGACAGCTTCTTCTGAAGGATATTACGCTGACATCGCAACAGCCCGCAAGAGACTACGACGCTCGTCGCACCGGCTACGGCGCGCAAAAGGGCAACGACCCCTACGGCGCCGGCGCAGTGACGCAATATCGACGCTCTACACAGAATGTTGACGACTACCGCTCGCAACGCTCCCGTTCCCGCGGACGTCGTGATCGTGGCCGCGACAGGTCTCGTTCCTACTCCGACTCACGTTCGCGTTCCCGTTCGCGCTCCCACAGCGGTATCCGCGGCAAGATCGACGACACTTTCGACACCAGCGTCAAAGGTCTCGGAGCTGGAATAGCTGGCGCCGTTGTAGGTGGACTGGCAGGTCGCGAGTTCGGCAACAAGCATAAGAACCGCGACGCAATCATTGGCGCCTTGATTGGTGGCCTGGGTGCTAACGCAGCGGAGAATAAATGGAAAGACTGGCATGACGAGAAGGAGGATAAGCTGAGACGGGACGAGGACAAATGGGAGAACAAGTGGGATGGGCGCGATGGACGGAGCAGGAGCGCGATGAGATAGGATCTTGTCGGCGACTGTTTGAGCACTGAAGGACGGCGTGAAGGTTGTTTGGGATCCAGCGAGGGGCCACGGGTTCATGATTTGACGAAATGGAATGATGCATGCATGTTTTCTGGGAGGGGCTGAAAACTGGGCTTACGGTATAATGAGTTTGGCGCTCTCGGAATGATCAATGAATGAATGCAGACTCTCGAATACTTTGTCCAGGGGACCACTTCTTCTCGAGTGCAAGCAAGAGCAGTCTCAATACGTCGTCGTCGTGGCAGGTGCTCACAAAGAATGCGTCCAGCCCAAACCTCAACTTGAGCCCCGGTCTTGATACGAACATCTTCTCTTCCGCAACGACACCTCACCTCACCTACCTCACCCCTAAGACTTCCTTTAGACTATCTTTCCCACCTGAGATCACTGTCGCTACAGCTCCTCCAACCTAAGCATGTCCTCACCCCTAATAGCGCATCGTCCTGGCTCTCAGTCCTCAAACTCCAACGCAGAAGACCACGATATCGCCGAAGAAGATGCCCTCCTAACCGGCCATCGCACTTCCAAACAATCACCCAGGAGCTCTTCATTTTTCGACCGCAGCAAATGGCGAGAAATAGGTCTCTTCGTCTGGGCGCTGCTCGCAACAACCGCCGTGGTGGTCCTAGCAGTCGTATACCAACACAGCCGCGCTTCGAACAATGGTAGTGATGGCACTTCACCACCCTCGGGCAAGAAGAACCTCATATTCATGGTCAGCGACGGCATGGGACCTACTTCCCTGTCGCTCACTCGCAGCTGGCGCCAATACACCGAAGGTCTGCCCTGGGACGAGACTCTCATCCTCGACGAGCACCTCATAGGCCAGTCGCGGACACGATCTACCAGCTCGCTTGTCACTGACTCTGCGGCCGGCGCTACGGCGTTCTCGTGCGGCATGAAGAGCTACAATGGTGCTATCTCGGTGCTGCCCAACTTCGAGCCATGCGGGAGTGTCATGGAGGCAGCGAAGAGGAGAGGATATACCACTGGTCTGGTCGTCACAACTAGAATCACGGACGCCACGCCGGCGGTCTTCGCTTCCCACGCCCGTAGAAGGGAGATGCAGGACGATATCGCTAGGCAAATGGTCGGAGAGAAGCATCCGCTGGGCAGGATGGTGGATTTGATGATGGGAGGTGGACGGTGTCATTTCTTGCCGAACAGCAGCATGAGTGGTTGCAGACATGATGACGTGGATGTTGTCAAGATTGCGAAGAAGGAGGGCTGGGACTACATCGAATCGAAGAAGGAGTTTGAACATCTTGGGACGAGTGTCAATATGCCGTTCTTGGGGCTGTTTGCGGAGCATGATATTCCTTACGAAATTGACCGCCGGGAGATGGACGATGCATACCCGTCGCTTGAGGCTATGACGAAGAAGGCGCTGCAGCTGCTCGCCGCGGAGACGAAGGATAAGGAGGAGGGGTTCTTCGTCATGATCGAGGGCTCACGCATCGATCACGCCGGTCACGCCAACGACCCTGCTGCTCAAGTTCACGAAGTGCTCGCCTATGACCGCGCCATGGCTGCCGTGCTGGACTTCATCAAGGACGAGGAGACGCCGACACTTATGGTTGCCACCTCAGACCACGAAACCGGCGGTCTCGCCACAGCACGGCAGCTGCATAGAGAGTACCCACATTATCTTTGGCACCCCAGCGTCCTAGCCAATGTCAGCCATTCCGCCGCTTTCACCGCGCACGAATACCACAAGCACTTGGACGAGCACAAGCACGCCGAGCATGACTCATCCTCAAGTGAAGACACCCGCGCCTGGCTCGCTCAGCTCTCCTCGAAAGCCCTCGGCATCCACGATTGCAGCGAGGAGGAAATTGACACTCTGCTCGAAGACCCCGTCCTCGCCGCCTGGACGTTCGCAGACATGGTATCTCGCCGCTCGCAGACCGGCTGGTCCACGCACGGCCACAGCGGCGCAGACGTGAATATCTACTCCTCTAACCCTTTGCTTGCCAAAGCTTTGGTAGGCAACCACGAGAACACGGACGTCGGAGCTTTCCTACGACACTACCTCGACCTAGACGAAGAAGTGAAGACCGTGACGAAGAATTTGCGGGAGCATATGCACAGTATCGGCGCGGAGACGTATCTGGGCCGCATACCGGATGATGAGGAGCGGCTCGACGGACAAGATCATCTGGACCGGTATGCGGGCGACCACAAGAAGAGGGGTGGATGCGAAGTTTGTGGGCTTTAGGTTGGTTATGCGAGCTTTGCGGTTGTGGGTGTTTATGGATGGGTGGTCTGCCTACTGAGCTGGGTATTGGCGCTTTGTGTGTGAGCTCGCTCTGAGTATGGCTTCGGTTTGGCGTGTTGTTGCGTACAGATACCCTTGCTTTCTATGGCGTTGCTAGATGGGTAGGAGGAGCTGAGAGATGCCCTGATGAATGATACATCTTCTGCATAGCCACCGCGCACTGGTTGGGTCCGGCTTTGACATGATGGCACCCTAGAGCCTTCTTCGGGTCCCGATATGGAAGACAGTGAGGTGGTGTGATGAGGCCCTGCAAGCCGAGCGAGCCGTCATTGCAAACGGAAGCTCGGCTTGGAAGGCAGTTGCGACTAGCGGTGTCGACAAACGGACATCGATCGCTTGATTATGTTGCAGTGAGAGAGCATTAAGATCGAATTGATCAGGATATAAAGCCAGTGTCGGTACCGAGCAGAGAGAGCAAAGAACGACGACCGAAACAACACGACGAAAAGACCGAAGCAATGTCCAATCCAATGGTTCCAGAAGACTACATCAAGCTGAACAAGGCAAATTGGGACGAACGGGCACCAGAGGTACAGCACCTTCTCCAGCGTCCTGATCGATCGTTGACAGTATACAGCACGCCAAGGCGCCAGACTACTCCTTCCAAAACTTCCTCTCCGACCCAGACTTCCTCTCCAATGTCGTCAAGTTCGACATACCACTCCTTCCAGACATCAACGGGCTCTACATCTGTCACCTGCAATGCCATATCGGAACAGACACCCTGTCCTTAGCCCGCCGCGGTGCCGCCCACGTCACAGGCCTCGACTTCTCCCCTGCCTCCATCAACGAAGCCCGCCGCCTTGCAGCCAACGCCTCTGGCGGCGACAAACTCTCCTTCGTCGAAGCCTCCACCTACGACGCCCTCACCGTCCTCGAACCAGCCTCATTCGACCTAGTCTTCACAGGCATCGGCGCCATCTGCTGGCTCCCTAGCGTCAACCAATGGGCCTCCATCATTTCCGGCCTGCTCAAACCCGGTGGAAAGTTCTTCATGCGCGAAGGGCATCCGATGCTCTGGACGCTCGACGAGAAAGTGACAACGCATCTGGCGATTAGGTACCCGTACTTTGAGACGGAGAAGCCGATGATGTTTCAGGACGATTCGACGTACTTGAAGCTGGCGGATGATTGGAAGACTTTTGAGAATGCGAGGACGTTGGAGTGGAATCATGGGATTGGTGAGATTGTGCAGGCGTTGTTGGAGGCGGGAATGGAGGTTATGGAGTTGCACGAGCATAAGTCGATACCTTGGGAAGCATTGCCCGGACAGATGGTCAAGCTGGGCAATTGTAAGTGTTCCATCGCGTGCCCGGTGCTATTACCGATGACGGCTAACATACCACGGTGCAGGTGAGAATGAGTTGAAGGAAGGCAGAGATCGGATACCACTGTCCTACACTATTCAAGCAGTCAAGAAGAAGTAAGGAGAATGATGTAGGGGCTTGAACGTGGTTGGTTGTAGAAGCTCGAATACTTTACGACACTCTGAGTTGAGCGATGTGTCCGAATATGCGGCGAATGTCTCATCGAATGTAGAGATGTGCCAGATCTTGCATTGGGCTGTAGCTTGTTAATTGATTGTACCTTAGGCTCAAGAGGCTCTAAAGGTTCGGCAAGGCAAAGCTGGTCGCCTTTTCGGTTCTCCTTGGCGGGACCCTAGCAACGATGTTTTGGCCGATCAGCACCAATTCCAACTTCAAGACCTCTGAGCACCATCAGTTCGCACGCAGCAGCAATAATGGATGCAACATATACAAAGCATCTTAGCGAAAGTATTCCTCTCTCCGACGCGCCCAAAACATCGACTCGAAAACGAAGCACCACGCAAACCCCACGCAAAGCACGCCTCGCACAACAAGAAGACATTCCTTGGACCGCAGCACGATGCAACAGACTCCTGCGAACCATTGCCTCTCGCATACACATTTTACGGCGATTATCTGAGAATGACTTTGCCGAGCAAGCACTCCGCACACCGAAAGTGAAGCGCAAGCGCGATGTAGCAGAGGATGCGGCAGTCGAGAAGCTTGGGATGAAGTTGGCTGCGCTGGAGACGCCGAGTCGTGGAGATGATCCAGAGTGGTTTCCTGGAACTGGGAAGAAGGGCGTGAGGAGGACGTATGGTGGCAGAAGGAATGCTAGGAAGCCTGAAACCGACACTCATTCAAAGGACAGCAGAGGCGATGTTGGGTTTAGGACGCCGTTCATCAGGAAGATCTTGCGTCCGGAGGCTGCTGTGTCGCCGGCGGATGATGTATACTCCACTTCAAGCCGGATGGCGCAGATGGGAAAGAAAGGAAGACAGGATGCGATACAGCCGAAGACGCATGCTGAAAGGGCCCTGAAGACGCTGCTGGATTCGTTTGATAGCTTGTTGGCAAGCACAGATCCGAAGGTCGCGGAGTCGAGAAGAGGTGCGGGTTCATTGCTGGGGATGTGTTTGCGCAAGGTGCCGGCCTATATCGATTACGAGCAGAAATATGCGGAGGAGGAAGAGGACGACTGGGGGTTCGATGCGATTGAGACCGTGTACCTGGATCTCGAGAGGCTAGGAAGAGTCTCGTGGCACGGGTTGCGCCGGGTCACAAGGGCGCATGCGGTGAGGATGATCATCGACGCCATGGCCGAGCGAATGTGGCCGCTGAGGAGCCTGGATTCGCTCATGGATATCTGCACAAAGCACCATGCGGTCAAGGAGGGCCATGAGCTATTGCGAGCCTGGTTGGTAAGCTCGAAGGGGAAGATCGAGAAGCCGGTCGAGAAGTTCGTGGAAATGGCCTTGAGATCGGACAGCAATGGCTTCTTGTTCAGGACTCTGGGCGAGCTGCTTTCGTCTGAGATACTGGGATGTACAGAGGTGGCTTCAGTCACGGAGCTCTGGCACGCATTACCTGTCGCTATGGCCAGGAGATCCTCTCAACGTTGCGCCATCGGCTTCCTTGAGCAGTACGCAAGTGCATGCAGCAAGCTTCAGGACAACGGAGACGAGGAGGCAGCTTCCAGCGAGCTGAATGCGCTGTGCTCTACGGTGCCGCTACACACCACCCTGCCGCTGCTCACTTCCATGTGTCTAATGGCAAGTCACCGAGCCGGTCTGCAAGAAGGCGAAGCAGAGGCAATGTCCGGCGAATTGCATCGAGTCGCCCTGAACATTGTCCGTATTCCGACGAGACACGACACTCCCTGCGATCCGGTCATATGTCTGAAGGTCCAGGATTTGTTCTTGACCACAGCCATTTTGGTCGGAGCCGTGCGAGGAGATTCCGAGGCTTCGAGCGAAACCGTCGGCTTCGGAGCACTCTCATGCCTGCTCTACGGAGACTCGCAAACAGGGTCGGCATCAAGGAGGCGGTTGGTCAATCTCAACAGGGACCGGGCGGCGCTCGTGTGCAAGGCGATCAAATGCGTGGAGTCCTTGGATAAATCAGCAGCACAGGCCATCGCCAGACGGGCTTGTACGGGATTGATGCAGGCTGCGGATACGGTTACCGATAAAGGCGCTTCGATCATGGCAGATCTAGCCGTCGAGGTCGCTGCAACGTGGGCGGAATACCGAGGCGACAACGACAGCTATGCATTCGCCGACGACATCCAGCGAGAGGCTCTGATCTGCTCAAGCGATCCTGCTAACCACGATCCGTCAAGCTCTTCGGGCGAAGTCGGTGGCTATCGATGGGAGGAAGGCATCGGCGAGTGGGTGGCCGCCACTCCTGCTGAGCGGATTGCCAAAGAGCAGAAGTCTAGGGAAGGCTCCGTTATCAGTCAAGACTCTGGTATTGGGATGAGTGAGCCAGTGAGCCCGAAGGTCAAGCCCAGCGAAATGAGCGGCGAACAGCCTGATCAAGCCGACTCGCCGCCTGGTCTCATAAGCGGCAGCTCGTCGCCGGGAGAAGTCGATTCGCCAGAGCTGGTATACCATGCACAAAGTATAGAAATGGCTGCCGAGTATGGCTCATCTCCACTGAGTGGCAAGCTGGGTGCAAGGAGACAGGAGCCTACGACGGAAGCAGGAACCGAACACACATCTCCGAAACCTCGAGATGCGCAAGACGAACATGACATCGACCTCCTGACGCCATGCTTGCTGAAGCCGGGCGGGACGATCCAGCTGGCCCCAGAGCAGGATACATTCGACGACCGCGACGAGCTCTCCATGACTCCATGCCGGTCCAAAGCCGTCCCGGTCGCCACGGACCGCCTAAAGCTCTCTGTCGAGCCAACGCATCCGGACGACACAACCAAGCAGCCGTCGTCTCCAGATCCCACTGTAGCAAATCACCATGTTCAGGACGACAAGGACGAGCTCTCCATGACTCCATATGCTGTCCGACAGGCCCAGACACCCGTTCCTGAGCCGAAGAAGGCAGCCACAAGGGCACGAAGACGTCCTAGAAGAGCCGTCGAGACCACACCTGCGAGGATGACTCTGCGCTCGCAGCAGAAGCGTGCACGAGTCCAAGCCGTTCCTTGCTCAGGCGGTGTTAGTGACGATGAGCTTGGTGCTTGAGGGTATGTCCTCCACGGTTGGAGTGTTTCGTATTGGACCATGGCATCCTCAACAAGAACCCAAGGCGCGAGGAAGCTTGTCGTTGTACAAACTGTACAGGATAGTTCATCCCTCGTTGTATGAAACTTCGATATTCCCCCTGACGACTGCCGGTTATGTCCAGCATTCCAAGGTTTGGCTCCACGTTTTCTGACCCATGCTGCTGGTGTCGGTAGACGCTAATCCACGTGTACCATGGATTTCACCCAGCTCCTCGGTCGAAAATGAACCTTCAACAACGGTCGTTCATACCCCGTCGTGATACGTTGAAATGATGGACACGCTAGCTGATGTGCGTTCCACAGGAGGGACCATGGCTGAGAAGTTGACGGCAGTGCTATGCTTAAGATTAGTCGACCAGATATCGTGGTAGGGACGTTGCGCCGGTTGTCCCCTCCAAGCATACCATGCCTAAGATCAACGCACTCATATGTCCACTCCCAGCAACCCGCATATCAACTGTTCCATAAAGCGAAACAGCAAATCCATAAGCTCAACCATCTACTGCCTTCCCGCCTCTCCTCCGCCTCCGCTCGTACTGCCCATTCAACTTCCCATCTCGTAGTAGAGTCCCATAGCATCGCGGAGCTCGTCTATAGTGGTGCACGCCTGGATCGCAAGCCAGCGGCAAACTGCAATGCGCTTAGGGTCGTCCTATGCCGATGCTGGGAGTGTGCGGAAGCGGCTTCGCACGTCAATAAGGTGTAGGTAGCATCTCATACATGTGCTGCCTTGGATGGTCACCGGCGATACGCTGGCGAGTTTCTCAAGGCCTGTGTACTCATGCCGTCCTGAGCCTACGCTGCTGTGGTTGCCGGGGCCACGAGCCTCGTATGCTCGCCGGCAGATCGGACAGCTCCCATTGACTGCGACCGGCGGTGGCCAAAGAATCGCCTTCAGCTCCTCGAAATTGGTGCAAGCCTCAATAAGAGCCCATTTGTCGTTGCTGGGATCGACGGTGGATCTGTTCATGTGCGCAAAATGCATGCCCTCGGTGCAAACATAGCATGTCCTGGCCCCCTGAAGGATAGGTAACTTGTATGCGTGTTTGAAGTGATATTTGAAGGCTGTGGTGTGATCCTTGTGGTCGTTTGTTGTATGTGTGAGTAGTCCTCGATTGTAGATATCGTAATTCTCACTAGTTAGCTCTGCTGTAGTCGGAGCTGGGTCGGGTACGAGATCTATCGCGGCATCGAGCTCCTCGAACGTCTTCGCAGCCAGCATGGCTTCCCATCTGCGGCTATAAATCCCCGTGTCACCCCATGTAAGCACCCTATGACACATCTGCTTCCAGCATGGCCCACAAACCACTGAAATGTCCGCAAGCAGCGGCACCTCTTTGACACAATGAATGAGGAGCGGCACCTCTCGAACAAAATGGTTATCCCCGGTGACCATTTGGCCGAATGGCGCTTGTGGGTCGAAGCCTGGTTCGTGTTTCCGGACCCTGAGCTTCATCTGGCATTTCGGGCAGTGCAGTGGACAGTACGGGATGTCGGTGTCGTCGCCAGGGGAATATAAACACATCATAACTGCCTGAGCTCATAGAGGTGTTGGGACATGCTACGCTCAAGATTAGTCGACCAGATATCGTGGTAGGGATTTGCGGTCTGTTCTCCTTTGTGGCCAGCACGTGAATCGCAGCATCTTGAATCGTTGATCCAGTGGCATGAGGCGCTCGCCTTGAACTTGCACGTCTTGTTCTCCGTCCGAATGGAGGTCATTCTCTAACGCCTCACCGCCGTCCGCATTCAAGCAGTACTCTTGCTGAAAGCTGCTTGGGTCGGAAGATACCTTTCGTCGAAGAACGAGCCGCCTCACCCGCTCTCCTGGAGTCGTTCTAAGTTGGCTCCGACATGCTTTCTGCTCTTCTTTTTATGTGTGCCCTCCGAATGCCTTTTCGTCGAGAGTATAGTCAAGACCGAGTCGAGGCAAATTATGCGCTTGGTTCGTTGGTGGATTCGATTGATATGTGTACATTTAGAAATGCTAGCCGTTGGCCTCGGAATTCTTTTGATTCAAGTCTTAGGTGGTTGGCTTGCTGGTTGATGCTCTCGATCACGTTGCAGTTGGTCAGATCGATAGACATATATCCAAAGCAGAGGCCGGTGTTATCGATCATATACTATCTCCTTGGACAAAAAGAGTCTCCTATGAAGTGAAGGCCGAATGGTAGAGAAGGGCAAAATAGGTGATATGCAAGTTCACTTACAAGTCTCACCCATTGTCGTTGTCGTGAGGTCGTATCTGAAAGTTGCAGCTTCTGACTTCGGTCTCTTTCGACTCGAACAAGCACAATGGCGAAAGTACTGGCTGTTCTGTGCTGCGGCAAGGTCGAGATCTTGCCAACGATCTACGAAGACGAGTAAGTCAATCACATTCAGCTCATGGTCGTCGAGGTCGATACTGCCGTCGCCGTCGTCGCTGTGACTGACATCGCCAGTTTGACGGTCGCGGCAGAGCATGGCTGACATATGATGCCTTAGCGAGCACAACACCACCACCACCGAGCAGTAAGTCCTCCTTCTCGACGCGTAGATTGCCTTTGCTGGCACTACAGTCAATGCTCTTGCTGCCATGCTTCAAGACCCGACGTAGAGAACATGCTGACCAGGTCACAGGATAACGACCGAGGACACCGGAGACGACATCGCCGACCTCATCGCAGAGTAAGGCCTCCCTCCTTGAGTTGAAGAAGACCCCAGTATACCGCTTGATCTTGATGCTAACTTTCAGGCAGGGTCGGCGATGAAGTCTTCGAGTCCGACGAGGAATGATGTGAGTCTTTCTTTGATTTGTAGTGCCCACCTGCCCCTGCACTGTTCTGCATACCCATCTCGAGCGAACATTGCACATGAAAGACGAGGAAGGGAAGTTGCTGTTGTCGGCTTCTCGAACGTTCCCGCCTCCGGACGACTCCGCCAAGACGATCAACGTGACGTCTTCCCATCCGTCGAGCTCTGTGGACAGCCACTCTTCCTCTCCTACACACCTCCATCGACAACCTTCGACTCTCCGAGATGGCGTTCATCCTCAAGCGGCCGTTCGCGATCACCAACGCGCTCAAGCAGGCGCCCCGAGCATCACAAGGGACATTCTCCCAACCCATCAAACAGGCGATCCGGAGCTACAGCAAGCAATCGACGCCACTACGACCATTCCCAAAGAACGAGAATGTCTTCCTCAACGCCTTCCGACAGTCATCCCGGAGGCGCTATCAATCAACAGCGCCCGCAAACCCCGTAGCGCAGGGGAACCTCACACAACGACTCATCTATGGCGGTACGTCAATTCAACAACTCCCCGGCTTGATCGTTTCCTATCCTCGATTGTGAACGACGGAGATTTTCAGGCGATGATTGACTAAAGTACAACAGGCGCAATCTTCGGCGGCACCCTCCTCGCAATCAACCTTGTCTTCAACCGCGAAACACGAGAAGATGGCGGCATGCCCCCATACGAACGATCATACCTCAACGATACTTTCCTGCACACTGGCTTGGGCGTGGGCATCATCGGCATTACAGCAAGAGCACTTCATATGAACGGATGGTCGTATCGATTGATGTCTGCAAACCCATGGCTCGTCCTCGGCATTGGTCTGGTCGGTTCCATCGGCTCGATGATGGTCTGTCGCAGCGCAGACCCAAGTAACTACCTGGTGAAGTACGGAGCCTGGGGCGCGTTCAACGTGACCCAGGCGGCGTTGCTGAGCCCACTCCTGTTCTTCTCTCCCGCCATCTTGGCTAGAGCCGGTCTTTATACCGTTGGAATGATGGGATCGATCGCACTTGTGGTATGTACTGAGAAAGATTTTCCCGGACACGATCACACTACAAGCGGCGCTCCGGAACCTCTTCTTTTTATTATTCTACAGAAGCTCGAGAAACTTGCTGACCCTTCTATCTACCTAGGGTGCTACGGCTAAACAAGACAAGTACCTCTACCTCGGCGGCCCTCTCCTCGCTGGTGTTGCGATTGTTGCGCTCTCTGGACTCGCACCGATGGTTCTCCCGGCTACGGCTGTTCGCACAATGATGTGGACTGAGAACATCTGGCTCTACGGCGGTCTGGCTGTAAGTTTAAATCAACAACATGTGTATGGACGTTTGCTGAGTTATACCAGGTCTTCGGTGGCTTCACACTCTACGACGTACAAAAGATCCTCAATCACGCACGTATGGCCGAACGCGGCATGATGAAGAGAGACGCGGTTATGGAGAGCATATCCCTCGAACTCGACTTCATCAACATCTTTGTCCGCATGGTCCAGATCCTCGCAATGCAGCAAGGCAGGCGGAAATAGGCCAACAATCAGTCAAGGGAGGTCGGTTGCTTTAGCGGATGAGATACTCAGGTGCATTCTATGAGCGGCACGGTCCAAGGGGCGTTTGGGAGGGATATTTCCGACCGAAATGGATGTACCATTAGTCTCTGCTCTCCAATTCCAAGCACAAATTTGCTTCCGCCTCAATCGTATCTTCACAAGTGGCAGCTTAGTAGATTCTCCATCTCCGCGACACGAATGCTTGCTATGCTGCTATACGCCCTGCTGTTGGGCAGTGCTCCCCTTACGAATTCGGAGAACTATGCGGTCGTCTTGCCTCGCTCTGCCTTCTCCGTGGGCATCTTCCACCCAAATGTTTCTGAGCACACTTTGTGGCAGTCCGGGTCGTGGAGACTGCCATATCATCTGGTACGTGGCCTGCCTCACGCGCATGTGCCAACGTGCAGTTAGACTTCTCCGCGTCTGTCTGCCGAACTCTCTTCCAAACCACGAAGCCACTCCAACATCGCTGCTGTTCCGCTCCAGCCGTCACTTCGTTGATGGGTCACGCGTAATATTTATGCGGTCTGTTCCACTGGGCTGACATGTCCTCTTCTCCTCCATAAAGCTAAGTAAGGCGGTATAAGCACTCTCCCTGCGTACTCCTTCAGTCCCAGCTGCTGCTCTCACCTCTGCCTTCCCAAAGGACAAGATCAATCGTCTGTCTCTTCTTCTAATAACCTCTACCTACGTGATCAAACAACATGCCTTCCGCAGACAACACTAAGCCTCCGTTCGAAAGAGTGAGCCCAACCAACACCCCCTCCTCTCCACCCTTCCATCCCGTCCTAACCATCTCACCACTAGATCCTCATCGCCGGCGCCGGCCCCAGCGGCCTCCTCCTCGCCCTCCTCCTCGCCCAACACAACATCCCCACCACCGTCCTCGAAGCCTGGCCCCAACTCGACACCCGCCTCCGCGCCTCTCAATATGGCGTCCCCGCGACCCGAATATTCCGCCGCGCAGGCCTGCTCCCTGACTTCCGCGCCGCCTCGATCCCGAAGTTCCCGGCGATCTGTTGGCGACGCGTCGCGGATGGGGAGAAGCTTGTGGAGATCGATATGGGGGTTGTAGAGGACGAGGAGGATCGGATGGTGGTGTTGCAGCTTGGAATTATTGTTCAGATTATGTATCGGCATTGTACGGAGAGGTTTCCAGGGTTGATTGATATCAGATTTAATCACAAGGTGCTTGGGGCTGGGGAGGAGGCAGGGACAGGAAAGGCGTGGTTGGATGTGGAGATTGGAGGGGAGGAGGAGGAAAAGAGGGTGGAGAGGATGGAGGCCGATTATGTGGTTGGCTGCGATGGGTCAGGGAGTGCGGTGAGGAGGAGTTTGTTCGGCAGGGAATGGCCGGGGCAGACATTCGATTGTCGGTTCATTGTGCAGAATGTGTTTTACGAGGGGTTTGAAAAGCATGGTTGGGATGGAGGTAACTACTTAGTGGACAATCAACATTGGGGGTTGGTTGCGAGAAGAGGGCATGGAGGGTTATGGCGCGTCACGTACGGAGATCCGGCGGTTGGACTGACGGACGAAGAGTATCTTGCCCGGCGGCCGTGGCATTTCAAGAATATCCTGCCTGGTGCCCCGGAGCCGGACGAGTATAAGGTCGAGCAGACGAACATGTATAACATCCACAACCGCTGTGTGCCGTCGTTCAAAGTTGGACGGATACTGTTGGCGGCTGATGCGGCTCATGTTTGCAATCCGTGAGTACAGACTCTTGATTTAATGTTGCTCTCTGCCATGATCAATGCTGATCCGAGGGCGACGCAGTATGGGCGGCTACGGCTGCATGACCGCCTGTCTCGACGTCGGTGGGCTGGCAGACTGCTTTATCGGCTATCACGACGGTAATGCAGGAGAGGAGATATTAGAGACGTATGCAAAGGTTCGACGGGACATCTTCCTGAAGTACGTTGATGCGAGAAGCATCAAGAACTTGAATCGAGTATGGAAGACAGATCCGTGGACGGTGGCGGAGACGGACAAGTTCTTTGGCATTATCAAGGAGTTGAATAAGGATAAAGCGGCATTGAAGGAGTTTCTGCTGGTGAGTCCTACGACCATGAAAGTTGGTGTGCGTACTGATGATCCGGGCAGAAAATGTCGAGCATTGAGTACGATTTTACTCAGCATTATGACAAGCAGCCGCAAACCAATGGGTCGATCAACGGAGCAAAGGGTACGCCGGCGAGTGTCAACAGAGATGTCGCTGCTTCTGTACAGCTTCAAGTATAGACCATGAATACAGATATCCGCGTGAACGTCTAACAGAGAATTTCAGGAGTGAAGGAGGCTCGGAGACATGACTGCCATTGATCGGACAGCAGCTCGCGCTAGCTTATTACCCCCTCGATTTCTTTCACATGCTACGAGCCAGCGACGACGAGGTTAATGGCAAACCACCATCGGTTGAAAGTGCTGTTGAACCGGCGAATGTCTCTTTTTTAACGATGTTACATGCTACGTGTGTTTGACAGCAGCAAGAAAACATACCACATTCAACTGTTCGTTATCTCAAGAACGACTACGTCCACAGACTCCGAAGCAACGCCACGCAACTCAATATCGCAGTCCCTCTCACCGCTCCACGAGCTCTTGGTTGACGGTAACCACGATCTTGCCCCTCGCTCTGCCTGTCTTCTGCCTCGCAATGGCCTTCTTACCATCTACAAAAGCAAACTCCGAATCAACGACCGCCCTCAGCCTACCCTCCGCCATCAACCCACCGATCATCTTGAGGTCGTCCACCTTCGGCACCGCCGCCATGACCCCGAGCTTCCTCTGTCCGCCACCAAGGAAGCCTGGCAACAGCATGGCTTTCATCATAGCCCAGACAAAGCCAAAGCCAGGCGATGCGCCGACAAACACGTACTTAGCGCTGGGGTTCGTGTATTCGTGCGCGTGGAAGTACAGATCGAATTGGGAGCCCACATTGTCCACGACATGGTCGAACGGCTTCTGCTTCTTCAGCTGCTCCAGGACGGGCGCTTGCTTGTAGTCGAGGACTTCGTCTGCACCGAGCGACTTGCACAATTCAACGTTAGCGGTCGAGCAGGTTGTTGTGACGTGGCAGCCGAGAGCTTTGGCGATTTGAATGCCGAAGGTGCCTACGCCTCCCGAACCGCCATTGAGAAAGACTCTCGATCCGTCTTTGACGTATGGCAGAATCGATTGGCAGGCGGACAGACCTGCGATTCCAACAGTGCAGGCCTTCAATGGATCAACACCTTCCGGTAACGGGGCAGCAGCAGTGCTGTTGACAGCAGCGTATTCGGCCATCGCGCCACCAGCGGCCGTGGGGCCTGAGACGCCGAACACCAGCTGCCCGACTTTGAACGGAGAGCCAGCAGCTGGTTTCACGACACGGCCAACAAGGTCCAGACCGGGTGTTGCTGGGTTCGAGACAGCGAGGCGGCCGACTATTGGAAGCTCAGCGATCTTGTAGTCGACCGGGTTGACTGCCATTGCGATGACGCGCACGAGGTTCTGGTCTGACTTGAGTTTTGGGAGTTGAGCGGACGGGTTGATCTGCATGGTATTTTCGAGCCCGGCGCCGGCGGTAGTGTATTGCCATGCTTTCATGGTGGAGGGGATGTCGTTTTCAGCCATTGTCGGAGAATCCGTAAGGTGAGAGCTGTAGAGTGGGTTGATCGGTCCTCGACGACGATATGGTGTTTGAAGAGGCCAATGGTTGTCTTGTGAAGAGCTGATGAATGTTTGGACACGGAAGCTGGATCCTTCGTGCCTACTTATACCATTTCTCATACGCACCTTGGGTGATTAGTCGTGCAAGCACGCAGTGAAGTCAATCTGAGCGTGCTGTTCAAGCGAAGAGAGGTTAGCGCCGCAGAATGCCACCTTCGCTTGGAATGCATGACGATAATCAGCCAATCATTGCAACCGAAATGCTCCAAATTTCGCAGGATACTTTGCAGTAAGTGGCGTATTGTTCCGACTGACGGCACAATGGCTGCCCGCTCCGGCCAGAGATCAAAGATATATCCGCTGTGACTTTCTCTGTTGCTCAACACATGGAAAGCACACAGCTATATGGTCTCGGTGTTCAGCTTGTCGTTGGCCTTTCCGCGAACACACTGACCGAATTACATTGTTAGGCAGAGAGGGAAAGCCATCAGCAACGGGATCTTGTAGATGCAGCTGTCGATGCTATATTCACAATTGAGAAGAGAAGCAACCACCCGCTATGCTACATGCTATGCTCGATCCAACGACTGTGCAACGCACATCTCGTAATACCTCCCGCGCAGATTTTGTAGCTCCGTATGAGTCCCCATCTCCACAATCCGACCGTTGCCAAACACGAATATCACGTCGGCATGCTGGAAGGAGTCAGTATGTCTTTCGAGAACAAGTAGATGATGACTGGACTCACTTTTATCGTGCTAAGTCGATGCGCGACAGCGACGGTCGTTCTGCTGGAAGCAGCTGCATCGAGCGTCTGCTGCACGATCCGTTCGCTCTGAGTGTCCAGTGCTGAAGTTGCTTCATCCAGCAGGAGCAGACGTGGGTTGCGGATCAGTGCTCGAGCTATAGCTATTCGTTGTCGTTGCCCACCACTGAACTGCAAACCTTTACCGCCGCAGGGCGTGCTGAGACCTTCGGGCAACGACATGACGAAGTCGTATGCGTTGGCCTTCTTGCACGCTTCCAGTATCTCTTCGTCAGAAGGGTCGTAGCGCAATCCCAAGGCGATGTTTTCGCGCACGGAGCCCTGGTACAGTGTCGGTTCCTGCTGTACCAACGACATGTGATCACGGTAGAGTCGTGGGGACAGCTTCGCACTGTTGTCGCCATTCAGAGTTATGCGGCCGGAGATGGGGTCGTAGAACCTTTCGAGCAACGAGATGACAGTCGTCTTGCCGCACCCCGATGGCCCCACGCAAGCAGCGTACGAGCCGGGCTTGATGTCCATCGAGATACCTTTCAGCACGCGGGAGGCGTCTCGCTGCTTGTATCTAAACTCCACGTCCTCGAGCGCCAGGGGCCCATCTCCAGATGGCCCGATAGACTTGTTCGAGTCGTCTTCTCCGATGCGTGCTTTGAGTGTTCGGAGCCAGAGTATATAATTGGCTGCGGGTCTGGCTTTCGTGATGGAAGAAGAGTAGCCAAAGAACTGTCCTGCTGCCTGGCCGCCGAAGATGACACCGATGAAGACGACGAAAAATTGGATGACGGTATATTCGCCGGAGATCAACAACGTACTGCCGTACCAGAATCCCAGTGCTATGCCAGGGTTAGTCTTCTCGTTGGCGTGGAAAAGAGCTTCAGTCGTGGTACGTACCCATGATAAGAAAGTCCAATGACTGGGAGAGAGAATAGCCTATCATAGTGCGGAAGAACGAGCGCGTAGACTTGTGCACGATGAAGTCGAGCATGTCCCCGTACTCCTTTAGGATCTGTGACTCCAGTGTGAGTGAAGCAACGGTCCGAATAGAAGTGACTGCTTCTGTTGCCAGGCCCGCACTCTCGGCAAAGCGCTCCCCTGCTGCGTTCTCGAGCTTCTGGTCCAGCCTGATCTTTGCATAGCCTGAGCCAAGGAGCAGAGGAAGGCCGCCGAATACCACCACGAGACCGAGCTTCCAGCCGTAAGCGATTGCAACGACGCTCGATGACACGACGTTCACAAGCACGATGAAGATAAGCAGCAGATTGCCCGCCAGGAGTTCGAGAAGGGCGTTTGGTACCGAGGACAGCTTGGACGTCAGTGCCCCTGAAGTATTCTCCGGCCGATCGAAGAAGTCCTGATCCATGCTGATAATGCGAGTGAACATCTCCGACCGGTAGCGCTGCGTTACGATTTGAGCGATCTGGTGAAGTCAGAAATGCCAGTCATGTAAATTCATAATCGAAGCCCACCTCATTGCAAATCCACCCAACGACGAAGTAGGCGAACAGATTAGCCAGCGCAACTATGAAGAACATCAGAGCAAAGAAGTCCGCCCGTTCGCGGCCCTCGTCAATGGAGATAGTGAAGACGTTGATCAAGTGGGCGTCGAGCAACGCTTGGGCTGGGAACGTCCCACCTGCGACCAGGCACGCGACGCATGACAGGAAGAACCGGAAGTAAAGGTCTTTCTGCTCCGTCAGCATGATCCAGATGCACTTCACTAAGCCATATCCAAGGGTTCCAGAAGCGAGGTGATCAATCTCAGCTTCGGCGGCAGTTTGCGGCTCGGTCTTCGTCCGTTGCAAGGTATCGGTGCGGCTCATTTCCAGATCATTCTCTTCCTTCGAAAAGTCCGCGGCGTCTCCCGAAGTGCTGCCCAGGTCTTGAGCTCGCACCAGCGAAGCATATTGACCATCCAGCTTGATGAGCTCACGATGCGTGCCTTGTTCGACAATACGGCCATAAGACATTACCACAATGTTGTCAGCAGCTTTGACAGTGGCAAGCTTATGGGCAATGACGAGAGTGGTTTTGCCAACAGAGACCCGGTTCAGAGCATCTTGCACTATGCCTTCCGCGCGAGGATCCAGAGCGCTCGTCGCCTCGTCCAGAAGCAGGACCTGCGGGTTGGAAACAATGCTGCGAGCTATGGCCACGCGTTGCCTGTGTACATCTGTGTTAGCTATATACCCAGATTTTTGCAATCCCTCAACTTACCTTTGGCCGCCACTAAGCATGCTTGCTCGCTCGCCGACCTGTGTCTGGTATCCGTCCGGAAGATCTTGGATGAAGCCATGCGCATTGCTGGCTACGCACGCTTCCTCCACCAACGCTTTCTGCTTCCCCGGGTCAAGCGTAGTTTGAGAGTCTACCAATCCCTTAGCCACGTTCTCGAAGATGGTTCCTCTAAAGAGAACAGGCTCCTGCTGGACGAGACGAATGCGGCTGCGTAACCATTGAGTGTTGTAGTAGCTGAGTGGTTTACCGTCGAGAAGTATATCGCCCTCAGATTGCTCGTACCATCGTTCGATCAAACCGACAAGAGTTGACTTGCCGCAGCCGCTTGCGCCAACCAGGGCAGTGGTCTTTCCTGCTGGAATCGACAAATTCAAGCTATGCAGAACTTGCGCTGTCGGACGCGAAGGATATGTGAAGGACAGGTCTCTGATCTGGATATCTCCTTGACACGTCGTGGGCTGCTCGCCAGAAGGTGATAGAGGGTCGAGTTGAGATGGCTTGTCGATGATTGAGAACAGCTCGGAGGCAGCCGACGCAGCGTTCGTGAGCGCTTGGATCTGGGGTGCAATCGTCGACATGGCCGTGGCGGAGATGGTCACGGCAAGCACGACGTTGATGACCGTTCCCACGCTCTCGATCTCGCCACTAGCATACCTGGAATTCAAAAGATGTCAGCGGTGGTGTCGAGACGCAACATGAGCTCACTCACATTCTGAAACCTTGCCAGAAGGCCAAAGCAGTGCCGCTCAGAACGCAGAACCATTCCGTAGCAAACATAACGCCATCTGTAGACTGTCAGCATGTATTAGCAGCTCTCTGCCAGACTACCTACAGTTGGGAGACTTCTTCTTGCCAATCTCGCGAGCAGCTTGAAGGAACTCATTATAACTCCGCACCATCTTCTCATGGGCCCAAAAAGCATGAACGGTCTTGATCGAGCTGATGGCTTCCTGAGACAGCACACCCGCCTTTGAGTAGATGCGGGTGATTTTTGATTCGTGTACCGCGTCAATTGATATGCATATGCTGACAACGACGAAAATTGCTGGGACGATGCTCATGACGATCAGAGCTAATTTCCACTGTACGGCGAGAGCAATGATGAAGCCGGAAAAGAAGAGCGATAAGCCTTGGAAGATGAAGGCAAACTTCTCCGCGATGCCTTGATTGATCCGGTTGCCGTTGGTCGTCACCTGGGATGAAACGGAGCCATTGCTCTCCTTGTCGAAGTGCCAGACCTCCTGTCGAAGAGTGCTGTCCAAGAAGGCATACCGGACGGCTCTGGTCGTGCGCAGGGCGGCAATGCTCACGCATACGTTGGAGATGTAGACGACGCAGAAGCGGCCGACGAAGAGGTAGACGAAGTAAAGCACCAGTTGGTTGACGGTGGAGCGGAAGTCTGAAGCGACTCCATTCCCTGACGTGGTTTTCGTGAACTCTGTCGTGAATTGGCCGAAGACCAGTGTCATCAGAGGGAGGGCGGCACCCGCAGCGATGGCCAGTCCAATGCCGATGGCATAGAGTATTCGGTCCAGGCGGTCGGTGTAGCGAAAGATGCGCCAGAAGTCGGCGAAACTGCCTGTCTTTTCTTTGTCGTCTTCATCTTTGGCTTCAGTCTTCTGCTCGTCCTTTTTCTCGCTGCTATCTTCATCACTTGTCCTTGCCAGCTGTCGTTCAGCTGCGAGCGTTGTAGGGAGCTCATCAGCTGTTGGCGGTGGCTTCTCGTTGAAGGACGTCATGACTTCGAACCTCCCTCAAAATACAAATCGCATTTCGCAACAACCAGGCTCCACCCACGCACAAGAAGAACTTATATACCTACTATCAACGAAGGCATCAACGCCCAGCTCTTCGGCGTCCGCGCGAGTCGACAAGAGAAAGATGGCGCGTCTCAAAGGCTACTCAATGCCTGCGACGAGTCTAGTCGATTTTTCATTAGGAGATTCGCGCCGCCGCGGGAGAAAGGTGGCGTGGCGTGTCCGTACGAGCCAAGGAGGTAAGTCAAGGTGAGTCAAGGACTGATTCTCGGAGATCAGCAATTCCGGACCCTACCAGACGACAGAATTACATGGGCTGCCATTTGGGAGAGTGGACGGAGGAGGCACGCAACCGAGCCTCCGTTTCTTGGTGCTGGGCGAGTCTTCACGGCGGCATTGAAAGCGAGTTCCGTATTCCGTTCTTTCAATTCCAGAGAAGCTCACAGGCCCAGGCAGCATAGAAGTTTGGTAGTTAGCTTACTACTCCCATCAATACACAATAAGAGTCTCTTGGTCTGTACATCCTCGTATTCATTGGCGCGCACTCAAAGACCGGCGCGTTGAGATCAGTTTCCATCAATCCCGTTTAGAAGCATACAATGCTTCATGTCTATAAGTACACTATGGTCCTCCCCCACGATGCCATTGTCCACACAGTAGTCAATACACTCCACAAATAATGCCATCCGCTTCCAACGGTGCTGATAACTTGCGTTCGACCTCTTCGGTCTGACGAGGCTCAGAACATCACTGCTCACGCCATCACAGCAGGCCAGACCTCAAGCACCAGGAACGCGATGCTGCCAACCACCGCAAGCAACACAAGCGCCTTGGAGGCCATTGGATGCTCCTGCTGAAAGCCGCCCACAGCCAGTCTCGTATCTGTGCCGAGCGACCTGAGCTTCTCGCCGCCGAGCTTGTAGTACATCAGGCCACCGAGAGCAATGGAGTAGCCGAACCACTGCGTTGGAGCAACAGGGTCCTTGAAGATGGCCATGGAAGCAATAACGAGGAGGATATCCTTTAGCACGCCGGAGAGCGTCAGGACGACAGCTGAGGTCTTGCCGATCTGTGAAGACGTAAGCATAGGTCAATGCCCAGAGATTTACTGAGACTCACCAGAAGCACAACGGCAACATTGAGTCCGAAGGCAACGAACGCATTGGCGATGAGAGTGCCAAAGCCCAGGCTGTAAATATCCAGCATGCTCATCTTGGGCGCTTCGACGAAGAGCGTGAAGACACCGTTGATGACGGCGCAAGCCGGTGCAAAGTAGTAGAGGGACACCATTGGATCCATCTTAAACTCCGCCGAGCTCAAGAGGCGCTGCACCATGACCAGGCGGGTAGCCTCGAACACGATGCCGGCTGCTTGGACTGGAGGGGTCTGTTAGTAGGGAACGGCCGGCGGGCGGAGAAGCAGACTCACAGAGGAAGCCAGTCAGGTCAAACTTGATCTCTCCCCAGGAGGCAATGGCGACACCGACAACGATTGCTGAGACGTTGGCGAAAGTCCTCATGCTTGGCGGTGCAAGGCCAAAGACCCATGTGGCGAGGAGGGTAGCAACAGCATTAGAAGCCTAGAACCGTGTTAGCTACGCAACCGTATCACTAGGTTGGATGGACGGTACCTTGAGCATCTGGATGAAGGAGACACTGAGGTACATATATGCCACGTTGCCGAAGATCAAGCTCAAACTGAACATGATACCGATGGGCACAATGGCGCTCCTGCAGTTGCGCGTGATCAGCGAGCTGGCCTTAAGGAGATGTTCCCGCTGCTTCGAACTTACATGTACTTCTGCGGCGTCATCGGGACCTTGTGTCTCGAGTCCAGGTAAGGCGTTGCACGCGCGAGAATCTGCGTCATGAGCGCAGCAAACACCATGTGCCACGTCGTCAAGAAGAGAGCTTGGAACTCGTAAGCAAGAGCAGTGGCAATGTCGTCGTGCTTGTAGACTTACGAAATGCTACAATGCATGATTAGTCTTCTAAAACTCGAAGCAGTCTCCAACGCATATCAAGACTTACTGAACTTGGCAGAAGAAAGGATCCACTTGTTGAACAAGATCACGCTAGAACTCAATGCAATCCATAGCCTAGCAATTCTCATTAGCAATCGCATCTACTGCGTCCCAAGTTCGAGTCCGTACGCGATGAACACTGCTGGATGCAGCCCTCCATCACCCTTCGGCGCCTGAGCCTGGGCTGGGGCAGGCAATTGCTTCTCCGACACGCCACCCTCGAGTTTGCGCTCCGACTCGCCCGAGTTGCGACCGCCGGATCCCATCGTGGAGTGCTCAATGCAGGTGGAGATGGCTTTGTGGTGTTTTGATGGTTTGGCGGATGAGGAGGGGACGTTGGCGCGAACAGACAGATGTCGTTGAGATAGGGGATCCGTTTCAGCTTCGGGAAGGCAGTTTCGACCAGCGGGACCACCCGACGGCGCTAATCCGACACGTGCAGATGCTTATTTTGAGAGCAGGGCAGAAATAGCTACAATAGTTTTCGTGCGGGTCTGACAACGGTTGAAGGGAGATGGAACTTTTATGGGATGAATGTCGGAAACTCAAGACAGTGACTATGCTATCTCTGGTTCTGGTGTCTACGAGTGTTGTACTGCCTGCGGCAGAACAGGCGGCCGTGAATGTTGTTTGGAGCGCTCAACCTGAGCAGCACATTGATGAATCGACACTGGTGTGCAGGACCATAGACAGCTGAGGTCCTGGAAAGGCTGCATTCGCTCTGAAATCGCGCCAGAGGACCATCAGGCTAGTTGCTCCACCAGGTAGTTATGTATCAAGCCTATAAGGGCCCCCCCAAAGCTTGTGCCTTACGTTCGTTTGATCGTATCTCGGCGGACCACGAGCCTGTTTCCTTCATTGACACGAGATTTGGACGGATCCTCGGCATCGTAGAACGCTTGTGATCCACGCACTTCGCCGGCTGTGATGCGCGTGCTGCTGAACAGCGGCTGCTGGAGGTACAGTGGTAGATCTCCGATCCGGCCGTCATGACCATTCTCACCCAGAGCTGACTGGTGGTATGACGCCAACCTCGTCTCCAGCCTGTATCACCATCGCGCCCTCGCCTTTGCCCGCCTCCTCGTCAAGATCCACGTAGTCGAGATTTACAGTCAGCGCTGCCGACTCGAGCACTTTTGTTTTGAAGCCAGGGTATTTCGTATCCAAAGCATCCCAGAGCTGGGCCACGGGCATTGGAGCGGGCAGGAAGTCATGCTGAGACTTCGTATGCGACGTCGCCGCGGCAAAGTAGAGGACGGTGAATTGGCCGGGAGGGGGCTTGGATACAGATGCCATAGTCTGCGTGTTTCAATTGTTAGCGCGAAGTCTTGAGCCTTTGCGTAAGAGATGTAGTGATTGAGCTGGCGTGTCAGGTAAATAAAGAATTTGATCCACAGAAGCACGAATGCTTTCAGGTAATACATGCTATATCTTGAGCATCATCCAAGCGCTGAGGAAGGTTGACGAGACTCACCTGGCATGTGTATGCAAGAAGAAAGTGGCAGATCTGAGGAAACGAATTGGAGGAGACGGGCAACGTTGCGGGCACCGCCGGAGGTCTTCTCTGCGGAGTTTCCCGATTGGGACACGGACATGCCTGAGATACATATGCTCGTCGACAACACAGCCCGCAAGGTAAAGACGACTCAGCATCGGTATTGCAAAGCATGCGAACCTCCAGTGTCGGACGTGTCGTCAAACGAGCTCCTCGAAAAACATTACGAATATCCAAACATGCTGCCTCCGACGGAGAGGAATCAGCATCGTTGTGGGCACCAAGACGTCCCTTAATCGTATCATACTACAGACCTCCCCTTTCAACTGGCACAGCAGAGTCAGTTGGCGATACGCCGACCACCGATGGAAGTGACCAGGTCTCGAAATCGCAAAAGAGAACGCGAAAGATTCTAGGCGAACACTTTCCACGGACTTCAGATGGGCAGTCAGTCAACAGTGTGGCTCTGGCCCAGTTATTGGCAGACGAACCACCACCCATGCTTGCAGATAAATGGGCCCAAGAGGTAGCTCGCATGATGAGGGGTGAAGATATTCATCAAGAGGAAATTTCCACCGAACTGAGGGAGGCACAGAGTCGTAAACGGGTCAAGGCTGTCAAGGCTGGAGGTTGGGGGATTGGTACTAGACAAAAGCGATCGCTGATCAGTGCAATTCGGAAGGTCTACGGTGTGGAGAAGTCCGCAGGGAGCACTGACGTCGGCCAGCAGCCACAGAGGGCCGACGAGCCAGGATATCACGACGCTCCTGCGGCTACGCCAAATTGCGAGGTAGAATGGGAGGAATGGGAGGCTAGCAGAGCCAAGTGTAGTTCCATTGATCGCGACTGGCGGTTTTGGACACTCCCCCGCGGTTGGATCCGGCATATTGACCGAGATGAGTCGCAGTCCCACGCACAAAGGCATGCAGTCATAGGCATGATCCGAGACAGATACTACACGTGGGATGCTCCGGAAAAACACTTTTTTGCCATCACGGGACGGGAGCTTGACAATAGTACGGAATGGCTGGAGCCGAAGGGTGCCACAGACAAGAAGGTCGAAGAGCAGGGGCTAAAGATCAAGAAGCATGCCTTACGGGGTGACGCAGACGTCAATTTAAAATACAGCGCAGTCAGGATAATGCATCACGATTCGAGGCCCACGCCCCGTTACCGATTTGCTCCAGACATCCAGGATGAGGAGTCACGTTCGAACGCCCAGCTGCAAGACGATTTACTCGCCGTCATTGATGCGCACCAGACATCAGCCTCCAAAATTGATGTGGCTTCTCTTGACGCTAGCCCGCTGGCCACCCATGATACGCCTCAGGATGACGGCCACCTAACTTTTCCACCTCTTCGATTCCAAGTGGGGACTGCGGCGCTAGCAGACGGCTCCAGGCTGGCTGCGGAGGCTCGTGAGACTTCCTTCCCAGGGTTACAGGACTCTCATCGCGTCGAGCACACTGAGCAAGCCACAAGCTCTACAGACGATGAAGCTCTACCAAAAGGCAGCATCAGATCCAGGTCTGGTACCAACAACAGATCGGACGAGCGTCACGAGGAGCCAATGCTTGAAGCATACAAGCCCTTCTCCAATCCAGCACCCTCAGCTGCAACTGCGCGAGGCGGCAGACAAGCTTCTTCTTTCACACCCTCGGCCAGGCTTACTCAGCTGGACATGTCACCGTCAGCGCATCCTGTCTGGTCGCAAGCTCGCGCAATACATTTCACACGGGTGGCACGGCAACAGCCTGCAGCAGAGCCGAATTTCGGAGGACACCATGAAGCTGCACTGCTCGCGAATCTTAAGTCCTCGAAGCAACCAGACATCCGCACGCGACTTCGCCAGTGGCAAGACCTTCATGGCAACAAAGAAGAAGATACGAAGCAGGAGTCTGTCTTTCAAGACGACCCCCAGACCGGAGACTTTCCCAACTCAGCTACCAGACTGCCCGACATCAATCCATCTCTCCGCAACACCGAAGCGGACCAACAAGAAGAACGCGAGGCGGAGGCACATTTTATGAGCAGTCAGGCCGAGGATCTTGACAGTGGATTCGATACCCGAGCACTACAGATGGGTGATCTAGTCGAGCTAGAGTTCCTCAACCAAGATCGAGAGAGTGTCATTGCAATATACATCCGTCGCTCCTCCCGCACGGGCGGCCAGTTCTTCACCATATCGGGACGGTGGATCTTTGCCGAGGACCGCATGGTCCCCTATAGCATTCCTGGATGGGTCTCCCCGAAAGCTGTTGAGCCTTTGCTGGAGCACATGCCTGAAGCTCGTGACGGCGCTGCCAGGGAAGAGCTCTATGAGCAAGCTTACGTACACGACCTGTCTGTCCCGCGTGAGGTAGCTGCTCCTCTGGTCAGCCGGATGGTTCAGTTCTGGTCGGAATCGCAGGAGATATACCGCAACAACGCTTCCTCTCTAGATAATGCGCACAACATTTTGGCGCATGAGACAGACTTGAGATACGGCTCCTTGGTGTCTGCGGCTACAACATTACTGCAGGTTCCTGCTGACAAGCTCCCTGCTACCGCGCTGTACACCGTTCGTGCGGCACTTACACGCGCAGGATTTGCCTTCAACATAGATCGTCGGTCGCACCGCTTGACTGGCTACCTCCAGATTCGATCCAAGGAGCAGGTGAAGATGGTGAACACTGTGCGTCGGTGGATTCGAGACTGGCAAGACGACCTGGCGAAGCGTGCCGCGCTTGCAGGTACTCGTGATCAACACGTCAAGACTCCGGCCACAGCGCAGTACGTGTACGGCTTCCTGCAGAAAGCGCGCAATATCATCGAGCAAAGCCGCAAGGATCGCCATCCTACGCCATCTGGTACAATCAGTCCAAGCAAGAAGCGTTTTCCCATCACACCGAAGCAGAATTGTGTCAAGGTGACATCTGATCTACAATTCACGGATCAGGAAGTCGAGATTGTACGATTTCTGGAAGCGTGGACATGCAGTACTCTTTTCATTGGCTTGCCGGGCTTGCAATCACTGCCGCCTCTTCTATTGCAGGCAACTGGAATGTATGAAGATCTCGATCTCGACATGGTCACGGGATGGATGTTCATGCAGGAGCTTGGGACCATAATGCCGTATGAGAATCGCGTCCGCTTTGACCAGCATCTCCTCCTACCCTCAAGCCAGCACAGCAAGCCGCTGCAGAATCTCATGACATCTCTGCTGGATATGCGAGATAAGCCCAATTTTTTTGACACGATGAGCGGAATTCGCCGCAATTGGGGCGATATGCCTGTTTACTGCATCGACGAGGCGTCTGCGCAAGAGATTGACGATGGTTTAAGCGTGGAACGAGCGGGCGCTGACGAGTGGTGGGTTCGTATTCATGTCGCGAATCCCACAGCGTTCTTCGAGCGTGATCACCCGCTGGCAAAGATGGCCAGGCACATGGGTGAAAGTCTGTACATGCCTGAGCGGACATACACGATGTTGCCTCGTTGGGCAACAGTGAGACATTTCAGTCTTGCAAAGAACAGACCGTGTTTGACCTTCTCCGTCAGAATGGACCGCGAAGGACACATCAAAGAGCACATGATCAACTCTGGCTTCATCCGTAATGCCATTAGCTTGACGAAGGATGAAGCGCAGGAGCTGATTGGCCACGCTCACGAAGGGCCGCAGAAACGGCAACACACGCTCACCGTTGGAGGTGAACTGCCACCACGCAAACCTCGCAAGAACTTTACCGCCAACGTCACGCCCGAGCAAGTCCAGGAGCTCAGGACGCTGCATATGCTTGCGCAAAAGCGATCGGACATACGGCGGGCGAATGGAGGAGTCTCCTATGACAACGAGCGGCCCGACGTCGAGGTATGGCAATCCTGGGACAGCCCTGGTTTGGCTTGGGACCATCCGCACCGCAAAGGCCGCCGGAGTGTCGAGGGTGACCCTGTCATCAGCATGAAAACTCGAGAGCTGGGCAATGTCTTCGCCGCACCCCCCAGCCCTGCCCAGATGATGGTCCAGGAAATGATGTTGCTTGCGGGCGAGGTTTCGGGGATGTGGTGCGCAGAGCGACAGATCCCTGCGCTGTTCCGTGGCACATCCAGAAAGCCGGGCTTGCCGGACCCGGACACTTTCTTGCGCGAAGTCTTGGAGCCAGCCACAAAGGCCTCGCCGACTGGTGAACGGCCGATGCACCTGGGCATGGACTACATCATGCTGATCGGTAGTGCAGCGCTGCGGACACGGCCGCTCAAGCATAGGACCCTGGGTCTGAACTACTACGAGAAGGTGACGAGTCCACTACGCAGGTACGGCGACATGATTGCGCATTGGCAGATCGAAGCAGCGCTGCGGGAGGAAGCGCGGAGGGGCACCAGCTTGGTGACCGAGGACACGAAGGTTGATCGCAGCTTCCTCCCGTTCAGCGCACGAGTCCTCGAGACCGTCATGCTCGGCCTGCAGCCGCGGGAGCACATGATCATGCGCGCGAAAAGCTACGCCAATCAGTACTGGGGCGTCATGCTGCTGTTTCGCGCCTTCCACCACGGCGAGTGCGAGCTACCATTCTACACCGAAGCGGATACTAGCAAAGCGCGGATGCGTATGTGGGTTGCGAGCAGCGCGGACTTCGATCCTCGCGGCTTCGCCCATGGATATAGCGTTGAGCTCAACATGCCTGTGGCTATGAGGGACCCGAAGGTGTTCGGCATGGAAGAGGCGTTGCGGGGAGATGTGTGGGAGGCGGAGATCTATATGGTGAACGTGACGTACAGGAGGATCGAGATTCGGCCCGTTAGGCTGGTGGACAGGCCCGTGGCGACACCGATCCCGGCGAGTCTTAGATGGTGAGGTGTGGCCAGATGTCGAGCGCCGATTTTGCTTGAAGAGGCATACAGAATGGCCAGCATGAAAATGTCGCGGTACAGCTGTCAACGCGGATGCTCTGGCCGAGAAGCCGTAGACTGCCGTGCATTGCAGCCAGGTACCTGCTGTCGCTGGCACGTGGAGGGCCGCCGCATCCCGACAAGCATTACCTACGCTTCTCCGGCACCACGACGAACCGCAACCAAAGCGAGTCTTGGACCTTCGACGATTGCTGTACGCCGAACAGCCTACCAGTCACCCTTTATGGTGTACGCCAAACCATGTCATCGCGCGGCTCTCGAGTATTATGATAGTCTGCCTTAGATAGCAGCCTTTCGCGTGTATGGGCATACCTCATCGACAATAAACGTTGGAGGCTGAACGAATCAGGAAGTTGGGGCTGATCCATCAGCTGCCCGTTCGGGTTCGGAATCACGCCGCCCATCCTTCCAGGTCGAATTCTCAGGGCGAGAAGTTCTGGCTACATGTAATTGGGTCAGCGCGGAATACTTCCTACTGTGTCCAAACCGCCCCGTTCTCAGGCTGACTCTGGGGTCCTGAAGCCTTAAGCAGAGTGTTATCAGCTTTTGTATATTATCCACCATGTGTAATGGCATGACGGGCAGAAAGCCCGCACTCGCGTCGAACGTACCAATATTAGTTCCGCCATTCTTCTGTACGAACTGTCGGATATCGAGCAGGAACGAGTAGCAAACTATCTTTTAGCATGTGACGTCGCAAGAGGCTTCGAAATAGAAGGCCAAGCACTCGCAAGCAAGGATATCAGACCCCACGTTACTTCTCTCCACCTCCAGCGCACAGTCTTGACAGTTCCGAGGGCTTCCTAGACGAGTCTGCAGGAGCCTCAAATGCCCGCAAAGGTGCTCATTGGGCGAGATATAGACGAGCGCTCACCTGAGCACTTGCGGCCTCCATCACCTCGTGTCATCCAATACCTTACGGCAGCAAGGGCAGACGGCTGATCCAGCAGACTTGGGGCTTCATTCAGCCCAACCCGTTGAACCATGAACTGGTGTCGGTGTGTGTTGCAGCTCAGCATTCCGGCGCAGGCTCCTTCCCCTTCCTACCGCGCCTCTTTCCGCGAGGGAACAGCGCCCTGGACTCCAGGTGGGGAAACAGCCCTACGCCGCCACTTCCAGTGCGACCGCTCTGTCGTCCAAACCGGTCAGCAGACAAGCGCGCCGGCGTCTGCAGAACTGCTGTCATGGGCTGGAAATGCACGTTTCCAATAGCTCGAGCCACTTCGAGGCTTGTCTGCTGTAAGGTTGCTTTGGTCTCAACTGTCTAAGCTATACGGAGTATTTTCTCGGTTGCATGATCCTGGGCCTGCTGGCCTTTATTGGTGTATGCTGCTGCGAGGGAGGGACAAGCCGGACCTGACCAACACATCCACACTCGACGATCTTCAGTACGAGCCTGGCCCTGATTTTCTCTCTCACAGGTCGCCGGCTCTGCGGAGCAGCAGTACGCCATTGTTCTGCTACCATGTGGTGACACGAATGGTGCTGGAGCTTTGTGCTTCCCACGTCGTCATCCCTTGCGCATACGCAACCAAGGAAGTTGGCCTCACTCCAATCTAGCAACGCTGTCTTACCCGCTACGGTCGTTGCGGCCCCATCAGCCTCGCCATCGAGGCTCTTTGAGTTGCGCCAGGTGCGGCATCCTTCACTGTCATGCCCACGAGATACGTCGATCCTGTCCAAGCGCCTTCGATGTCGATAGCCGAACAAGGCACAGCATGGAAGATTCTCTGCATGGGCTATATACTGTAAGCTTGCAGCACATGTTGGTCCTTTTCCTTTTCTCAGTGGGCTTGAGTACACAGGTAGGACAATTCACCCACCTACCGTACCACACTCTTTCCTTGGCTTGGTCGATCTCGAGTGGTTGGGGTTGCTTTTCTCTGTTGACATTACAACCATGTCTGCCTACGCCAAAGCCGCAACGGCGGCGCTTGCGTCCAGAGGTCTCTGGTCGTGGCCTGGCTTACACCCATGGAGTGCGTATTGATATCTATAATATGCAGTGCTACCTTTGCTGACGACATCAGTTTCGCCACTTGGTACCCCCGAGCATCAGCATATGCCACCATACCTCGAGAACAACCCGCTTCCGCAAGGTTATCCATGGGGTGGCAGAACAGCAAAAGTACGTCGAAGCTTGAGGCTCTTCAGTCGAAGTTGACAACAAACGTCTCTTGTTGAAGCTGATCACCATAACAGAACACGAACTACTACCAAGAAACACCTAATACTGGCGTGACCCGACACTATGATTGGAGTGTGGACAGGGTGGCATGCAACCCTGATGGACTGTTCGAGAACCAATGTCTATTGATTAATGGCGTATTCCCTGGCCCGACCATCGAAGCCAACTGGGGCGATTGGATTGAAGTTACGGTCACTAACAACATTCCGGACGAGGGCACATCGATTCACTGGTGAGCGGAAGCATATTTTCACTCAAGTGAATGAGTACTAATCCTTGAGCCAGGCATGGCCTTCTGCAAACAGCCACACCATACATGGATGGCGTACCAGGCAATACTCAATGCCCAATCGCACCTGGCAGCACTTTCACATATCGCTTTCAGGCTGATCTATATGGAAGCACATGGTATCATTCCCATTGGAGTGCACAGTACGGTAGCGGTCTGTTTGGTGCAATCAACATCTATGGACCGAAGAATTGTGAATACGATTCCGATCTGGGCCCGGTCATGATGCATGATTATTTCCACGGGTACTACGAAGAGGCTGTTCAGAAGACGCTTGCGGATCCGGCGTCAGGACAGAACGGGCCACCTCTTGCGGACAACAACCTGATCAACGGCAAAGCATCAAACGGTCCAGCACCAATGGCATCCTTCAATGTCACCTCCGGCAAGACGTACCGCCTCAGACTGATCAATACATCGGCGGCTGCTGTACAGAAGTTTTCTATCGATGGCTACACAGTTACTATCTTCGCGAACGACTTCGTACCCATCGTTCCGTACGAGACGGACGTTGTCACACTTGCCGTCGGTCAAAGATCAGACATCCTCTTCAAGGCCACCGGCAAGCCCACCGATGCAGTTTGGATGAGAGCATTCCGGCCACCGGCGTGCGGCCCGTCAGCAGGTGGCGAAGAAGTAACCGCTGCGATATTCTACGAGGATGCTGATCGCTCGCAACCGCCCACCACATCTGCTGGCCCGAACGCGTATAGCCAGTTCTGCGGGAATGATCCACTGTCCCAGACTGTGCCATACTATCCAATGGCTGCCGGCGACCCCACGACGACAGAAGTGCTACCGATCAAGTTCGAGTCCAACGGTACGGCGCTGTTGTGGTATCTTGCGGACCAGACGTTCCGTATCAATTACAACGATCCTATTCTACTGGAAGCTAAGCTCGGAAACCTCGACTTCCCAGAGATCCAGAGCGTGCACAACTACGGCACGAATAAGTCTGTTCGCTTCATCATCGAGAACCCTGGCAATCAACCACATCCTATGCATCTTCACGGTACGTAGTACCTCGCACCAAACTTTGACGTTGCTGATGTTTCTTGCCCAGGCCACAACATCTTCGTCCTCCAAGAAGGCTCATGCTCAGGCGACGGCGGTGTTCAAGGCGAGCTACCTGGTGGCCCCGGTGCGAACGGCACAAAGCGCGACCTCGACATCGATCATGGCGTCAAGGTCAAGCGAGAGGGTGAAGGAAGCTGCTGGGACGGCTCGATAACGAACCCTGAGGTATACTAGCATTTGTGATTCACGATGCGGATGAGAAGTCCTGATGCTGATTCTTGCTTTCTAGAACCCTCAACGAAGGGACGTCCAGATGCTGCAGCCGGGCTCGTACATTGTTATTCAGTGGTTTCAAGACAACCCGGGTGTCTGGCCGCTTCACTGCCATATTGCTTGGTCAGTGATCAGTGCTCTCAGTTGATTTTGCGCTTACTGATTCGATCAACCAGGCACTTGAGCGCCGGTATGGTATGGATGGTACTCGAGAACCCAGACGAGATTGCAAACGAAATGCAAATACCGAGCATCATGTCCCAGACATGCAGAGACTGGTATAGGCAAGGATCTAACATGTCTAGGATGTCCGCTAACTCTCTTTGCAGGTCCGCGTATACCGGAGAGAATGTGGTAAAGCAGATTGATGATGGCATCTAATATGATTGGGTATTTACGATAGGGAGACGCTCCGTAGATGGAATTAGCCGATCAACCACGGACTTTCACGACAGCCAGGCACGGCGAGATGATGTACATAATCTCTATGGAGCACGATCGTTCAGCATCCAGGCCATTCTCGTTCACTTGTCTTAGGAAAGTGGACACCAGTAGCTGTAGTGCGGTTCAATGAACATCAACCAGGCCGGCCAGTTTCAATTCTACGAGCAGTAGATGATTGTGCATTTCATCCATCCAACAGGATCCGAACGACATACCACTGGTGCCATTTCATCATCCCACTCCAACTGGAACAGGAACATCCGGGTCTTCCAGAATACCACGTGCTACTCTTGCAGCTCACGTTGTCCGGCCTTGCTGTCGAAACGAAGTCTAACGATGCGGGCTCCGCAATCGGGATCGCTTTGCAAACCACTTCAAACTACCATGCCGAATTATCCGCCTCCATACCACCTCACCATTCGTGCAATAATTTCCATCGCGAGGCCCACATTCCTCCGTCGAGCACAGAGCAGCAGCTGAACGCGATTCATCCGGCTCGTCTCCGCTCGGCTGCCCATGTGGTGCGGGGGAAAGAGTTGGAGGAGGCTGGTAGATGAAGTCATGCACCTTGCTTGACCGGGAAGTTGCTAGGCTATCTTCGGCAGACGACATGGGGATATCCAGATCAACAACGGAACGTGGAGGGAGGGTTTTTGGGTTTTGGGACCTGCAGGGTCGACGATGCTTTTAAAGAGCTCGGTGAGCTTGGCTGGTGGACAGGTACTTCGTCCTTGGTCTCTTCTCTTTGCACTTCCCTCTGATTTTTGTCGAGAGGTGTTGTTGTAGCCATTGGAAGATCAAGCGTATAACAGCAAAAGTCAAGATGCTTTCAAGCGCAGTGGCGCTGCTCTTAGCAGCCTCGTCAACGCTTGTTTCTGCTGCGAAGTCGCCCTACCCACCATTCTCGGGCAACCCATTCAAGAAATACGACCTGGAGGCGGAAGGCATCAAAGCGACCTTCATTCCATACGGAGCCCGCTTGACCAACCTCTACGTCAAGGATCGCAAGGGAGCATGGCAGGATGTCGCCGTGGGATACGATACTGGGGAGCAGTACTTGAATGACACCGAGACCGTCCACACTTTCTTCGGAGCTGTAGTCGGGAGATATGCGAACCGGTTCGTACAGTTTGACAGCTGTTGTGAAAACCCAGCTAACGTAACCTTTCCCCCAGCATCAAGAACGGAACCTTCACCATTGACGGACAGACCTCGCACATCCCCAAGAACGACAACGACGGCCTCGACACTCTGCATGGTGGCTTCGTTGGCTACGATCAGCAAAACTGGACGGTGGCCAGCGTGACCGGGAACAGCATCACTTTCTCCTTCTACGACGAGCACAAGTCTGGCTTCCCGGGCGATGTACTCAACCTTGCCACCTACACTCTGACCGACGATGCGTCGTGGATCAGCCGGCTCATCTCCATCCCGTTTAACGAAGCCACTCCAATCATGCTCTCAAATCATGTCTACTGGAATCTCGGTGCCTTCGTCGATCAGCAGTCGACGTACGTCCTGAACGATACGCTCTATATGCCCTACGCCGACCGCTGGATCGAGACAGACGGCATCCTGATCCCCAACGGCAACATCGGGGTCACCAACGGCACCGCCTTGGACTTCACGAAGCCCGGCAAGACGATCGGCGAGGGCGTACAGAACGCACAGGGCTACTGCGGGACTGGCTGCACCGGCATCGACAACGGCTTCATCCTCGACCGTCCGCGGTACGGTAGCCCGGATGACCCGAACTTGGAAGTGCTGCAGATGTACAGCCCGAGCACAGGTATCCAGATGAGTCTGGAGACGAACATGCAGGGGACGCAGATTTATACATGCAATGGCCAGGATGGGACGACGCCGGTGAAGAAGGATCAACAGCATGGCAACTCGACGACGATGTTGGAGCAGCATGGGTGTATTGTTATTGAGGCGCAGGATGTGAGTTGCTGTACCCTTCTTTATGAGGTTGAATGTACTGACTCGTTCGTTGCAGTGGATCGATGGTATCAACCAGCCTCAATGGGGTCGCCAGCAGTGGCAAATCTTCTCACCTACGACCGAGCCGGCTGTCAACTACCAGAAGTATACCTTCACGTGCAAGTAGCGGTACTTTAGTCGCCCGGCGGGACATGGCCAGAAAGTTCTCTATTGGAGACAATGTATATAGGAACATCTAATGAAAGCGCGAAAGCGAGCTATACCATCTTACTCATGACTTGTGAAGGAGTTTGTACAGTACGTGCAAGTCGATGATGTGGGTGATGCAGATGTGAATATCGATTGTCAACTCTCTGTCAAGATATCCTTTACTTCCATTGCGTTGAAGTCTGTGTAAGGTATAGACTCATGTGTGCGAAGTGAATGTAACCCTGCGCACGAGCCAACACCGGCTTCTCGTCAACTTCCTCGCCGACACGGGCTGCCTCCCTCCGGAGCACCGAACACTTGGAGCGCACAGATCCACCATGAGCAACCAGAACGTCCTTGATCCGGCATTAAGTACGCAGTACACCAATACCAACCACCAGAACCGCCAACCGCTGCCGCCGCCATTCCCAGCCGTTGCTCCAAGACCGGATGGGCTGAAGGCAGACGGCGGGGCATATGCGACCCAGCAGAGCCCGCAGCCTTACTACTACCCTTCTCCGCAAACGAACCAGACGCCGCAGCAGTCGGGGGTAGGAAGTGCGCAGCATAGCAGTCAGACCAGCCCGGAGAATGCATACCAGTCGCAGCCGCCGGCGGAGGGCGCAGGCAGCCCGGACAACGGCGATGGCGCAGAAGATGCGAAACGACCTCGGGCATGCGAGGCATGTCGCAACCTGAAAGTCCGCTGTGACCAAGATCCAGCGCATCCGGAGATCCCGTGTAAGCGGTGCGCGAAGGCAGGCAGGCAATGTATCATCACACAGCCGAGCAGGAAAAGGCAGAAGAAGGCGGACAGCAGGGTGGCGGAGCTGGAGAAGAAGTTGGATGCCTTGACGGCTGCGTTGCATCAGCAGCAGCAGGCGACGGTACCGCAGTTTGACGCCCAGCAGGGCGGCGGCGCTGTAGCGCAGGCGGACATGCTGCAAGGACGGAGCTCCGTGGGCAGTTTGGCTGGGCAGTACCCTCCACCTCCACCTCCCCGGATGGGAACGAGCCAGTCTGGGATGCCTTCTGGATCCAACGACTTTCCTGGACCACCTGCGAAGAGAAAGCGTACGGATGGAGAGTTTACTGGTTCAGATGCCTCTTTTCAGCAACCTAGCTACACAGGAGAGGCGAAACGCAGCAGCTGGGTGTTCGAGGAGTCGAAGTCGCAACCCTACGGAGCTATGTATTCGGACTTGAGACGCTACCTCCCGTACAGCTCGCCAGAGGAGTTTGTCAAACAGATCAACACCATCATCAGCCCGGACATGGCAGCGCAGACCTTCCACCGCTATTGCTCCAAGCTAGCGCCAAATCTTCCTGCTGTCGTCTTTCCTTCTGGCACTACTGCCGAACAAGTCTTCAGGGAGAAGCCGATTCTGTACGTGTGCATTCTATCTGCCGCGTCTCACGGCAACCTCCACCCGGACATTGCGAAGAAACTCACCCGCGAAGCTGTGGGCGCTATTGCCGACTGCGTGGTACGAAGTGGTGCGAAGAGCCTTGAGCTTATTCAGGCTATGCAAGTCTTTGCGCTGTGGTACAAGCCGCCGGAGAAAGCAGAGCAGACCAACTTTTATCAGATCATCCATATGGCTGCCGTCATGGCGCTTGATATAGGTTTGGGGAAGCGCTTCAATCCCGCGAAGGCGGAGCGAGGATTTGGGGGGCGGAATGCGAAGTATGCTCCTGGGCCTGGGAAGATGTTACCGCAGGATTCAGATACTGTCGAAGCGAGGAGGGCGTGGCTTGGATGTTATTATTTGTGTGCGAGGTGGGTCTCGAAGAAGCTGAGAGCTACTTGCTGATTGTTGAGCATAGCTAACGTTGGTGCAGTGCATCTATGGTTCTGAGACGCCCAAATCTGGTGCGCTGGACAAACTACATGAAGGAATGCATCGAGGTCCTCGAGTCGCACCCAGACGCATTGCCATCCGACAAGGTCTTCTGCCAATACGTCAAGATCCAGCATATCTGTGAAGAAATAGGCCTGCAGTTTCTCATGGATGACAATACCGCCAATATCAGCATCACCGATCCAAAGGTTACATACGCACTCAACATCCTGGAAACCCAGCTCAAGCACTGGAAGGAGAACATCCCGGCTAATCTTCGTACGCCGAATCTGATGTTCTTCGAACACGTCACCTCGCTGTACCTCCATGAGATAGCGTTGCATTTCGATCACAACGTCGAAGACTTCCGCATGCCATTCACCGAGGCGTCACTCAAGTCAGTCAACAACACTTCCGACACGCTCACGCAGAACCAAATTGCTGCGCTCGAGGCTTGCCATCGAGCTGCGCATGGAATTCTTGACACCATGCTGGGGTTTGATATCCACGTGGTCAAGACACTGCCGATGCTGATCTACTTCGTCCGCTGCATCTACGCCCTCGTCATCCTCATCAAGATGCACGTCGCAGTCTGCACGCCAGGATCGGAACTCGGTAAGATGATGAAGCCTGAAGACCTGCGCGTGGAGTATTACATGGACAGCCTCATCACAATGTTCAGCTTCGTGGCCAAAGAAGAAGAATTTCGACCTCATCCGAAGATCTTGCGGATCCTGAACGTGCTACGGGAGTGGTTCGGCAAGCACAAGGAGAACGTCGCTGCTCAATCGAGAGGCGAGCCGATCCCGCATCCCACTCCAACCGTCGAGAAGAACGCACAGCTCGGCCAGACACCTCTGCACCTCCTCAGCCAAGTCGCCAACCAGCAGCGCCCGCCTACACTCGGCGAAGCCGCCGATGGTCCGGCCGGCAATTCGCAGCAGCACGACTGGACGTTCTCCAACCCCAGCGCCGTCAACTATGCCAAAGGAGCGCCAGCGAATGACCCGGCGACCGGCACGGGGTACAGTACCGAGATGCCATACGGGGCTGACCAGAATCTGGGCCTTGTTGATCCGATGAACATGGATTATGGATGGGGCAGCGGATTCGAGCAGGCGATGGACATAGCGTTGTATGATACGGATGGGTTGCAGCAGGGTGGGGGGTTGGATTCTTGGTTTCTGGGTGATAGTGTGGCGCCATTCGGGTTTAATGGGGACATGGGGCAGGGGTGGTGAGGAGGATAGCAGCACCTGACTCTCTGGGCTTGCGAAGAAGAACGTCCGAGTTTTCGCGAAAGGACCGAGAGAAGTCAAGTCTTCAACAAGGTATTTACCGCTCTGTAGCCGCATAACAGCACCATAAGCGTTTGATGTTCTGAGAACGTCCGGAGCTGAGCTCCTCCTTGCCTTGTCGTGACTCCTACTTGCTCCTGCCTATCTCGACGTAAGCTTTTCAACCCGCCGTCCTGTGTCAACTCCACCATCTGCACAAAGAACAAGCAACAAGACCGCGTTTTATCTACACAACGATGCATCTACAAACAATTTTCAGCCTCCTCACGATCAATCTCACCTTTCGCCTTTCTCATTGCGAAGCGCACCACCACCTCCAACTAACCGCTCTACTGTCCACTGAGGACAACCCACGAGCGAGATTCGAATGCTGGGAAATCAGCGACCCCTTCACAGATTATCCAACCGTCGGCGAAGGTATCATAGGTCTCGCAGACGTATCCAACGTCTCTTACGTTGTGCTACCGCCGAGATCAGATGAGGATCTGCATAGGCCTCCGCATCCTATGTTCGTTGTCTCCTCTCCATGTCTAATCAATCAATTTATTACGTGTTTACAGTGTCAACAGGTTCTTCGTCCTCCTCTCCGGACTCGCGCACGTCACACTGCCTGACGGGGACGACGAGCTATGGATCATGGAGGGAGTCAACGGGTTGATGATCGCGGCGGACGTGTATGGGCTGGGGCATTTTACGGAGTATCCTGGTGATAAGCGTACGGTGGCGCTGCAGGTGCCTTTTGCGGATGGGAGGGTGATGGGGCATAGTGTGTGGTTCATGGGGGTGTTTGTGGTGTCGGAGGAGTCGTGGGGAGGGAGGTGGAGGTGGATGGGCAGGTGGTTCTCGATTGAAGTGTTCAATCAATGCTGACTCGACGGTATAGTGATCGATGGAATGACGTCGTACGGCGAGTGTCCATAGTGAGCGGTCGTAGACGAGTGTTATAGCTGCCGGCGATCCAGGCTGTTGGGTTGAATAGAAGCGGACCGAATTGATTGTCGACTGGTCGACACGAAACATGCTTTTCCGACCGGTGCGTGAAGTGAGAAAGGAGACAGCAGCAAGCAAAGAAAGAATGATCATTCCTCATCTACAAAGTCCACCCAAAGAAAAGTCCAAGCGAATGATGACATCCCAAACCCTCGTCTGACCAGCAGACGATACGGACGATAATGAATGTTCCCACAATACTCCTCCGAAGCCTGAGCCTCTATGCCAATCTTGTCGCCATGGTAAAAGCAGTCTTTGATGTACGCCGCCGCTGTGCTGGGAAGGAGTCTGCCGTCGTTGTTGTTGCTGTCGTTTGAAGTCAAAGGCGTTCGAGCGAGCGTCGTCGGTGGTGTTGGTGTGCGACGGTCGCATGCCATTCTTTGCTTTATCAGAACGTGTTTCAATAGCTGTTGGGGTTCGTGCATACCTCGAACGCCTTGACGGAACATCCACGTCGTCTTACTTCGACCCCTTGCCGGTCTCACCCTCTTTGGGCTGAGGTCCGTCTCCGCGGTAGAGCACAAGGGACGATCCGTGTGTGCGACCGCTTCCTTTGCCCGTCTCTGGATCGTAGGGACCGTGGCGGCCTGACCCACCGCCGGTCTCCCCTTCACGGGGACCCATTTGAGAGGGGACGGAAGCCCCTGAGGTAAAGCGGTCGTTAAACATCGTGATACTTTGGTAAGGTTCGTCGGTGGTGATGCTCAGGAGTTGGTTGAGCGAGAGCAAAGTCGTCTTCTAAGCTTCGTGAACGATTTGACAGACGAGCTGGGGTGTTCAACGTCGAGTTGGTGGTAGTACAACAATGTCAGAGGATCGGACGGAGGAAGAGACTTATAACTCACCACTCTCAGCAGCACAGCGAGCGATTTTCGCGAGCCATGGAATTGAATACGCCTCACCATCAATCTCCAAGCCACTCGTTGTCCGGACCCGCTGTTGAGAAGGGCCGCAGCTGGCGGTGCGCATATTTGAGTGGTCCAGTCGGGTTGCGAAGCGCGTCTCGATATGAGCAGTCACCAAAGCACTCAGGACAAGCGCGAAAGGGGCCCCACCGGGCAGCGCTGTCGGCAATCGTCCGCGTGGTCGTGTGCCATTGCATCGCCATGTCCGAATGCATTGCATTCATAACCGAGAGTTGAAGATGAGTCGAATGGGTTTGTTCGATTGGCAGGAGCAGAGTGAACCCAAGATGAGAAGCTTGTTCGCCACCCGTGCCTGTATATGGATATGAGGCTCCTCGAAGCTACCCGCGTGTTCCTGACGGCAGATCAATAGGGCGGACGCCCGCATTACGGCCGTGCATTGACTCAGTGGTCAGGTGAAGGGCAGCGTGCATTACGACAGGCGGTAGATCTTTGAATATTCGTGAGAAGCCGTGCTTTGATTCGCTCCATCGGGTAATGTTCGTGAAGAGCACATGATTCGAAGCAACTCTTAGTCTCTAAAGAAGAGGCATTTCTGCCCAGCGAGCAATAATGACATTCTACCTTGCCCTTGCGCGGCAGCGCCGAACCCATCATTGCCTGTACAACCGCAGCAAGCGGGCGTGGTCGCCCTTCGTTGGGCACCAGTGAGCGCTACACAGGCATGGCGACCACGCGGAAGTCACTGCGTTCGTCGGGCAAAGGTAAAGAGCTCAGAGAGACCTGGCGGCCTCCGATTCACAGCAGACGGTTCGGGTCTCGTGGCTTGCCCGACTGGACGGGAAATGGCGGCCGCGGTGACTGTACGGCTGTGCCTGGCCATCGGTGGCTATGTGTTTTGCATATCATCCTCAGTCTCCATGTTGGGAGCAAGGCATCGGCAGGGGCTCAGTGATTGAGGGATATTCTCGTGACCGCAGAAAGGTTCAGCAGTGCCCTCTAACCTTGGCGGTTCGCACCCAAGTGTTTGTCACGGCATAGACGGCGTCTTTGCTGTGCTGCTCTGTGCTAACAGTAGTCGTTAGTGTTGAAGCTTGATGATGATGTTGCTCGTTGATTGTTACACGAACTTTGAAGTGCAGTTGGCTGCGAACAGCCGCTAGCGCGTCGCGAATTGCAGCCAACGCCACGCAGCTGGGCCTTGGATTTAAGGCACCGCGCAGCAAGGCTACAATACTTGGATGATAAGGCAACAAGTAGGGATTCTTAAGCACATGACGGTGGTCAGGACTTGACGGCCTGGTATTCCTGCGGTCATTCAAGTGGCGACCAAGCCAATGTACTACTCACCTCCCAATCTCTGAATGAAAGAAGTTTTGAAGATTTATGATCATGCTTGACTCAGTCAACATTTCCATCCTCATGGCGAGAGACATTAAGCTGCGTTCAAATATATACACGAAATGCATTATTAGTACAGCCTCCACCCATCATCCAACCGCTCATAGAGCAAAGACCGCCACACCAGCCGCAAACACCAACCCGACGAAGCTCGCGGTGAGCGAAGAGCCCGCGTTTGTCGCCGACGGCCGCGAAGGAGTCACACTCGATGGGATGGGTGCGTACGAGCTCGCGCTCGAGGCCGGGGCAGACATGGAGGTGTAGAGGGTGGGCCTGATGTGGTGGGTCGGCATCGGCTTCATGGTGGTGTTGTGCGACATGTAGCCGGTCGGGCGCGGGTGAGTGCCGTTGGGCATCGAGTGAGACCAGATGCCAGTCGGCGCAGCGTAGCCAGAGGAAGCGACCATGGACCAGGCGGAGGAGGCGGAGGAGGCGGCAGACGAGTAACCAGCGGCGGCGGAAGAGGAGCTGGAGCTACCGTAGCTGCCTGGCTTGTAGTGGTCGTTGGAGACGGAGAACTGGGTGGTGTACTGGTATTGGCCGGTGGCGTCCACGATGAGCTGGATCCCGTATCCGCCCTCGCCGCTGGATGGCTCGAGATCGTCCTCTGGAGTCCAAACGTAGTACCCAGTGTTTGGGTAGTTCTCGATGATGCTGTACTGAGGGATAGCGTTCTCAGAGGGGCCCTTCAGAAGGACGAGCGTGACCGTGCCATCGGTGGTGGGGTCCCAGGAGACTAAGCTGGTGTAAGCTGATGCTCTTTCGCGATCGCATCCAAGCGCGACCACTTACTGGTGTATGGCTCTCCGGCAGGCACGACATCATGAAGACCTGGAGTATAGATCGGGTTGCCCTTGGGCTCAGCACCAACAGGCTTGGTGTATGCGCTCGTGAAGGGGATGAGGCACGCGAGGCCGGCGGTGAACAGGCTGAACATGGAGAAGTCCGACATTGCGAGGGTTGTTGTTGGTGTTGTTAAACGAGTGACTGCGGTAAACGCTGATGGTAAAGAATGGCTGAAGAAACAAGTCTTCTGGAAGGACTGACTGCAGTATTGCTGATGTGGAAGAAAGAAGAATGCAAAACAGCTGTGGAATGTATGTACTCACCGGCGCATAGCCGTTTCAATTTCCTCCACATTGAACGGCGGCAGGGGCATCGCGCACTCTTCCCAGCAAGCCTCGTCTGGTTCCGTCTGGCGTTCCTTTCAAATTGAGGTTCTCAAGCGAGCCATACTGCTTCTGGGCGAGTATAGGAGCCACGTATCCGTGCGCGGCGAATGGGAAGGGTGGAGTGGTTTCAAAGTGCAGCCAAGCGTCCGTAATCTCCTTTCTTTTATTCCGTCAAGCCGTGATTCTGTTGGAGGACTTCAAGGCGCGTCAAGGGGCGTGACACGTGAAGTCGTGTTCGCTCCTCAGAAGTACATACATTCGTTCAACGATGGCAGAAGGCAGAGCAGCGATTCTCATCGTGGAATCGCCTTCTTGCCTGAGCGAAGAAACTCTGACATCGATCTGTAGGAGGTCATACAGAACCGCGAAGCACTGCACCGCAAAGGAGTACGCGCATGAGTTGTGAAAGACCACGACGACAGTGGAAGACAGGAAAGGCTACATGTGCTTGAATTATATGCTCATGTTGCAGGTAGGTACGCGTCAGCTCGTCGGAACTGCACCTGCAGCGCCAGAGGCCAAACCCGTCTTGGAGAGACAACAACACAGCCCGCCAGCGGGACAATCAAGTTGTGAGATAGAACGACACTCTAATTCTCCAACACTGTTCAGAACTGCACCTCTCTTTACAAGACTCCGCATCCCCAACAATGGACCACGACAATCGCCGCGGAGCGCCGTGACTGACGCTATCCGCAACCTTGCACACAACACCCAATGGCCGGAATGGCGGCATCAAGGTCAGCCTTTGCACCACTCGATACGAGATAAGACTTTAAGTCGACCACATCTCTTCACTCTCCTCTTATCACATTCGACAGTCTGAACAAAATTGATCAAGTACTGTATGTACAATTGAATTTTGGTTCGTGCTATAATACATTCACACCCAAACGCTTCGCTATCATACATCCATTTTCCCTCCTCAATGGAAAGCGACACTTGCATGCCGGAGCGCAAGCGAAGGTATCATTCATCATTGCGTTGAGCGACCGTCTCTTTCTTGGTTCATCATTTCGTCGTAAGCGTCATCAAACTTCATAAGAACATCATCGTGTATCGACAGGAAAGCCCAGACGCAGGCTCGACGGCATGCTCGATCAGCCACACATCGAAGAATCTGAAGACTCATCAGCAACGCTCACAACCGCGCAGAGACAGTCCACCTACCGATAGAGCCCAACTTCGGGATGATGCCAGCACCAGCCAGGGCCTGGAAGTCCCACTCAGGCGCACTCTCCGTCTTCCACGTCCAAAAGATCCATCCGGACGCCTTCTCATACGCCGCCATCTGCGCATGAATAAACGACCCGATATTCTGCTTCGCATCCGAGCTAAGCCCAGCCACGGTACCGGTCGAGTATCCCTCGCAGGAGCCGATGAAGTACGAATCCTCGAACGTGCCGTCGTACCGTGCGCCGGTGTTGCGACCGTTCAACCATTTCGCGCAGTCGGTCATGGCGCCCGTCCATTCGCCGGCGACGGTCCATTTGTTGCAGCCGGCCATTTCGCCGCCGTAGGAGCAGGCGGTGCTGATGTGGTCGTGGGTGCTCATCTCGAGTTCTGAGGAGTCGAAGACTTCGTCTGGTGGATGTCAACAAGGCGGCAGCATTCGACGGCAGGGTCATAGACTTACAGTGGTGGGTGTCGACCATGACGTTCCAGAGCCCGTCACCCCAGCCGTTCCAGTAGCTCAGGTCCTGGAACGCATCGTGGATTGTCGTAGCCACTGGAGCGTTCTTCAGGTCACCCCAGCTGTCGTAGTAGAACTGCTCGACGGTGTCCATGTCCAGTTCCGGACCCATGGGCTCGTTGAGCAGTTCAATGGACGCCACAGCAGGGTTTGACGCATGGTCCTTCTTGAGCTTCTTCAGAGCCTTGTGGGTCTGGGAGACGGTGTTGCCCTGGGTCCACTGGATGACACCTTTGTTGCCTGAGTTGTCGAATCCGTTCTGGCTACCTGGCGCACCGTGGAGATCGATCATGACCTTGATACCATTCTGGCCAGCCCAATCGATGGCCTTACCGAGCCACTCGTAGGCGCCTTGGATGTATGGATCACCGTCCACTGGCGCAACTGACCAGTATCCGATCGGGATGCGGACAAAGTTCAGGCCGAGCGAGGCCATTTCGCTGAAGTCACCAGCAGTGATCCAGCTGCTCCAGTGCTTCTGCATGCGCTTTTCCATCTCGTCCTTGCCGAGCGTGGCGCTCATGCTGTACTCTGGAGAGGTGTCAGCAGCATATTCACGACTCTTTCCAAGGCTGCCTTACCATCCATGACATTGTCAGGTGTCGCTTCGAAGATCGAAGGCGTGATCCAGGGCTCGAGGACCAACCATCCACCAAGATTCACACCCCGAATCTTCTGGTGATCGAAAGCGAACCCCATCCCACCGCGCTTAGCCGAAGTCATCGTCGCCGCCGGGGCCGCATGACCCAAGGAAGGAAGAAGCGCTGCGGCCGTCAAGACGAGCGCGGAGAGCTTGGTCAAGGTCATGATGGTGAAGAAGGATTGTTATTAAGCTTCGAACAGTGGTATTCCACGACAGCAGGCCATTCACGGACGGCGAGATGACAAGAGACTGGCAACTCTTCGAGGTCAACAGGAAGGAGCTGGTCTTCTTTTCGACGAGAACTCGGCCGTCCATCTCGTCTTATACCGTAACACCGCACGCCCGCATCCCTCTCCATCGTGACCCGCCGATCATGACGATCCTCCGCAACCACAAGTCGAGCTATACAAACAACGCATCCCGACACAGCAACCGCCGACGGCCACAGCTTGGGTGGTACACCAGCTCGTCATGTTTGCGCTTAGCAGATGCTGCCCCACCAGAGCAGTGTGCAGCGGGTGGAGTGTGGTGGTGTCAGCTGTAGCAGAAGCAGCACTAAGATCGTCCTGGTGGTCACCTGTCGGGAGCAGAGAAGCTGAATCATGCGCACAAACTACGTAGGCGCCGGCGAGAAGGGCTGTTTAGGCGTGGACGCTGAGAGGAGAAAGACTGCCGGTGCTGTACGACGACGGCTGTGGCTCACGCAGGTACTGCTTCGATTGGGTGGTATGGCGCAACGGAGAGCAACTGCGGGCTGATGGAGGGCGTTCGCTGGCTTGGGAGACCGCTCACCCGTCCCGATGAGCGTTCCGAGTGTGGCTGGGTCTCGTTGTCCCACGAGGAACGCTACCCGAAAGCGACCTATTCACGATCGTCGTGCGATCAACAGCATTCGGCCGCCGTCATTGCTCCGGGTAAAGCAGAAAAGAAAACCCAAGCTCTCACCCGACACGCCGTCGTCACATGGCCAAGCTTCTGGCGTATTATGCTTAGTGACCCTTACCTCGGTGCACCGGGATGCACACGCATCTGCTGTATTGCTGCTGTGGTACAGCACGATAGGTTTTCGTGAGGCTGACAATTGACCATGCAACGTACTACACGACGTTCGTTATCCGTTCCTTGCATGTTTTTCGCCCTCGACGTCGGTGCAAGGCTGATTTTCGTCAAAAACACCATCTCGAATTGCCCCGCGAAATCGAAACAACAACCCCAGCTTTTGGCGCGCAGATCATCAAACACGATCTCCAGTCCAAACCTTGAATGGTATAACAACCGACCCAATGGAAACCCGATATCGGCAAGGGACTGACTTAGCTGACTTAGTCAAAGTCAAGATTTCGTCACTTTGGTCACACGATCAAGCAAGAGAGTGAAGAGTGACGAGCCGAGTCTTGTTGTTCGGGATGTGGTCGTTGGTAGGCTGAAGTGCCGGACGACCTGCTGACCTTCGACGTCTTCTGCTCTTCGTTGGAGTTGTTTGACGACGGACGAACGCTTCGAGGCTGGAAGAGGAAAGTGTCGGTTATGCTCGGTTCTGCTAATGTACCAACTTACAGTGTTCTCAACCCTCAGGCATGCTCCAAACCTGAGAGCAGCTGCCATGCTGGACAACATCGATCAACCACTTCCGAAGTACTTGGTATAGTAACTCTTCGCGTGCCCATAAACAAACTGCAAAGGCATGCCACCACCTACACTCCGAATCAACATTTATCCTGTCTACAACAAGAAGTATCTACCCACTCAACGGACTCTTCGTCGGGTCCCACGCCGAAGGCGAATACTGCTTCGTATTCAATGCCTCCATATCCTCCTTGCTCAGCTCAAAGTCGTAGATCTCTTTGTTCTCCTCGATGCGATTGTGCGTGACGCTCTTTGGCAGGATGACGAAGTTCTTCTGCAGACCCCATCGGAGGAGGATCTGCGCCGGAGTTTTGCTGTGCTTCTTCGCTAGAGGTGCCAGCAGTGGGTCGTCCATTCTTTGCGAGCGGACCAGTGGTGAGTAGGCTTCAAGGACGACGCCGCGCTTCTCACACCACTCCACGATGTCCGGACGAGCCAACCAAGGGTGAAGTTCGACCTGATTGACGGAGAGGACACCTACTTTGTCCTTGGATTGTTGCTAGCGGCTAATCAGCGTCATCGCAAACATGCCAACATGAAGGACGTACCTTCTGCCATTGCTCGAGCTCGTCCAGGTGGTGGACTGGTCCGTTCGTCAGCATCAAGGAGAGATCAGCAGACATGACTGGTATACATACCACCATAGTTGCTCACCCCGATACTCCTTACCTTACCCTCCTGCACCTTCTCAACCAGCGCTTGCCACGCACCAAGTCGTCCTTCTTTGCCACCATATGGTGCATGGAGCAAATACAGATCAATGTAGCTGAGCCTGTTCAAAACAATCAGCATACACCGACCATGGAGCAACACTGGTCATAGCTTACCCAGTCTTCCTCAAACTCTCATCTACGCATTTCTTCGCTCCATCATAGTTGACATCCCGCGGTGGCACCTTCGAAGTGAAGAAGAGCTGCTCTCGCGGGACGCCAGACTTGAGCATACCCTTGGCTGAGGGCTCTTCGTTGCGGTAGACTGTCGCGGAATCGACGTGTCGGTATCCGCTCTTGATAGCGTGGTCTGTTACGTCCTCCGCGACGTCGGCTGGCCTGTTGTTCGTTCAGCTTCCTCGTGGCGAATCTAGATCTCGAGGGAGCTTACGTTTGGTATACACCTGGAAAGTTATCAGTATAGCTGTCTGTCGATTCGTGATATTGGAGACTTACCGTAGCCCAGTAAGGGTATCTCATAGCCGGAACTTAGCTTGAGTTTCGAGTTGATGTCGAGTTGTTTCGCCATGGCGATGCTTGAGGCCGAGAAGAATCGCTGCTGGTGGCGGATTGGTTGACGAAGGAGCGTTCGATGAAGCTGCAATGGTCGTGTGATAGTGGCAGTCATACCAGATGAATCGATCGAATGAAAGCTTCAGGTGGTGAAGAAGATGGAGGAACCTGGAAGTGACATGTGAAGGTGAATTCATCGAATCACGTCACTAGCGCGAATCATAATCATCCGAGACATTCTACGAGATCCAGGTGAACTTGACCACCGACAGCACTTTCTCTCGCGCTGTCATACTCGCCCTCGTCAGGTCACTGCAGGAGGACACCATGAGGCTCATCAAGCAGAACATCGAGCAAAAAGATGGCTCCGGCACGGCGACACTCCTGCCAGAAGAGCCAGAAGATATGGTGAGCATGCCCGCGCAACAAAGGTGAAATCTGCCTGGACAGTACGCTGACGAACGCGCAGTGGCACGCATACAACCTAATCCGACCCAACGACCTCCTTCGCGCCTCCGCCGTACGGAAGATCATTCAAGAATCCGGCTCCGGCAGCCGCTCAGTAGATCGAGTTCACACCACCCTCACCATCCGCGTCACGAAACTGGACTTCGACCCCCAAGCATCTCAGCTGCACGTGTCAGGAAGAGTCGCCGAAGAGAACAAGCATGTGAAGCTGGGCAGCTACCACACCCTTGACCTTGAGCTCCAGCGCAATTTCACGCTCGAGAAGAACGAGGGATGGGACAGCGTAGCGATCGACACGCTCAAGGAGAGCATAAACCAAGATGCGAAGGCGCAGCTGTGGGCTGTGGTCATGCAAGAAGGGCTGGCTAACATCTGCCTGATCACCGACCACCAGACCATTCTTCGCCAGCGAGTCGAGACCAGCTTGCCGAAGAAGCGCGCTGGCTCTAGCGACCATGACAAGTCAGTACAGAGGTTCTATCAAACGACCTACGACTCGCTGCTACGACAGATCGACCTCAGCGACCCCAAGCCACTGCTGCTGGCGAGTCCGGGCTTCACGGCGAGCAGCTTTCAACAGTTCATCAAGACGCAAGCTGCGTCTGGAGCCAATAAGCAACTTCAACAGCTACTTCAGAAGATCATCGTCGCGCATTCAGCTTCCGCACATCTCCACAGTCTGAGCGAAGTCCTGGCGAGTCCAGCGGTGACGAGCAAGCTCAGTGATACGAAGTTTGCGCGGGAGACGCAGCTCATGGACCGCTTCTTCGAGCTCATGCGGAACGATGATGCGCGAGCGTGGTATGGCCCGAAGGAGTGCGAGGCCGCTGTAGAAAGGGCTGCTGTAGGGAAGGGTGGGGGCGTCCTGCTGATCTCAAACGCTCTCTTCCGAAGCCAAGAGATCAAAACGAGGCAACGGTGGGTGAAGCTAGTAGATGAGGTGAAGGAACAGGGCGGCGAGGTCAGAGTCCTGAGCAGTATGCATGAGAGTGGGAAGAGGCTGGAGGGGCTGGGTGGCATTGCAGCTATCCTCACGTACCCGATTGAGGATCTGGGTGATGAGATTGAGGAGAATGGTGAGGAGGACGATGCGTGGATGAATGGAGATGGGAACGGGCATATGAACGGCATAGAGGGTAGACGAGAGTACGACGAGGACATTGACATATGATACCCAACGTACGAAGACATGAGACCTTTGCCTTCAATAGCGCTAGTATACGGACCGTTCCGTCTTGCCCAAAGTAGACGTCAAGTGCATGTCGAGTGAGAATGTTCTTTCCTCTCAACAAAATGTTTGCAAGAACACCTCGAGCATTACAGACCTCACTCAGAAGATCAAGACCCCTCACTCAACGACAACTTCCACTTGCTGCGATCCAGAAGTTCAGCACGCAATACCGCACCATGACGGAAGTCAAGACTTTCAACACCAAGAAGGCCACTCAGGGTAGGTCCTAACACATTCTCAATACTCTGTTCCCTACTAACATGTTCACCAGCTATCGGCCCCTACGTGAGGCCTCCCCAAGTTGAGCAGCTCGCTTCTCCATGACTGACAGCAACCCAAGTCCCAAGCCGTAATCGCCGGCCCACACATCTTCGTCTCCGGCCAGCTTCCCGCCGATGCAGAAGGCAACATCGTGCAAGGCAGCATCGCGGAGATGACCACTGCTTGCTGCGAGAACCTCAAGAATATCCTTGAGGATGCTGGAAGCTCCATCACCCGGGTTGTGAAGGTATGTTCTTGCCGCTCTGCCTCGAGTTGTGACGGTGTCTTTTTTGCTTCTCGTATCTGAGGCCGGAGCGCTTCTGATGCAAGAATGGGCTGAAGCTGCTGTACAGATGTGGCTCAGAGCTGACTTTACTTATCGTAGGTCACCGCTTTCCTAACGACCATGGACAACTTCGCCGAGATGAACGGAGTGTACGAGAAGTACTTCACGCACAAGCCCTCGCGCTCTTGCGTGGCCGTCCACCAGCTGCCGAAAGGTGTGCCGGTTGAGATTGAGTGCATTGCGCTATCGGGCAAGGCATAGACCAAATGCCTATTGGCCCTAGGGGGAAAGGGTGCAGTGGTACAGCAAAGCTGTAGTCGTCAAATGCCTTGCTGGCAGCTCATGTAGCTCTATGCTATCTGTCTGTACAATCATGTGCAAAGCGCTAAAAACGCTGCCAAATGTCGAAGAAGTCCTCCCATCCATGATATCAGGCTCGTGCCTTTCCATTTTCCTCTCATCCTCGAGAATGCAGAGCCAGGTGATGCCATATGCTACAGACCCATTTCCCGCCTCCAGGCGTCCCCCCGAAAAAGCCACCCATGTTCAAAATCAAAGTAATCCATAAGCGAGCGGATGGGGTATCATCATGCAGTAAAATCCAATCATCGTCCGTAACCAGAAGAATTGTCATAAGGTCGCACTTCACGCAGCGCAACCATGTAGTCATTGCATAGGCATGAAAGTGAAATGTGTCGCGTTCTCCACCGGGCTCGAGTAGTGCGTGAGACCCGGCATCGAGCCGACGGTGGAAGCGAGGGAGGCGGCGGCTGTGGTTTCGAGGTCCTGCCATTTGCGGGCGCAGTGGCGGGCGGGCCAGCGTTCGTTGATGCCGTAGTCGAGCATCTGGGAGTCATGTTAGTGGACGTTTGAAGGTAAGAGGGGGAGTGAGATGGACATACCCGTTGGGCGATAATCTCCCACTTGTACTTCTCCCAGTACTCGTGCGCCTGCTTCAGCGCTTTGACGTCCTCGTCCTGCCATACCCGAAACTTCTCGCGGAGCCGCTTGTAGCGCATCTGCAATGCCGCGACTTGGAAGTTCTTGCCGCGATCTGTTTGGAAGCGGTTGGCGATGTCCTTCCAAGGGAGGCTCTCTTCCTCCTTCAGCTGCACCAGGAAGCGGTCGTCTTCGCTCAGGTCGGCAGATGCCACGGAAGACGTTCGCTTGCGCTTCTTCGAGGAGCTGAGGGTGGTCTCTTGCTGCTCATCTTCGTCCCGCTTCCGCTTCTGTGCGGCGACTTGCTCTGGGTTTGGTGCAAGCGCTGGGAATGGTCGCTTGGGGATGGGTTGTCGGATCTCTGGTGTGGATGAAGATGCATATTGCTCCTCTGAGCCATACGTCTGCTGGAACACACTCGGCGGAAAGGTCGAAGTCACTGGAGGTGTTGGGTGCCCGGCCACACTCGAGTAAATACCCAGTCCACCAGTGGAAGGCCACGAGACATGTTCAGCTCCAGGTCCAAAAGTACTAGGGCTACTCCTCGGCCGCGATAGGTCCTTTGTCGAGAACAGCGTTTGCGGCAGCTGATAGCTAGGCGGATGCATCGTATACGGCTGAACAGAAATATCCGGGATCGACGCTCTCGCGTACTGCGGCCAGGGCTGACTCTCCATGGTGGTCGTTGGGAAAGGCGTCATGTACGACTCGTTGTAAGCGTACTGCCAGTCGTTAGCGATGGTCGTGGCGAACGGGTCCAGCGCGGGCCTGTCGTTGCTCGACTCGGACGGCGACGTGGTACATACAGTGCTTGGGGTGTACCAGTCCGAGGCGACGAGGCCAGATGTATCCGCCATCGAGCCCGCATTGAGAGTCTGTCCGGCCAGGTTCGGATACGACTCGCCGGTCGACATGGTGGTTGGGTACAAGAGTAGTATTGTTGGCGGGGACCTTGCTGTTGCCAACGGGACCGAGTCCGAAGGGTGAGATGTAGATCACTGTTGTTGCTGTTGTTGCTGACCTTTGTTGGCAAGCCTATAGCGGCTGGTAATCTCATAATCGAGTGAGGCATGTTGGTCCCTATGTAGGATGAGCAGACACTGGGCTCAGACGTAGCGGTTTCCCTCGATAGACTGTTAGGGCCATACCCAGGCACGGGCCTCTAGAGGCTTAGGCCCATCGACAGGGCAGGCTTATTTTGAGCGCGGTAGATCTAAAGAGCCGCACCGTGCCGACATAGCGCGCCTGCAAGGGACGTTAACGTGCGAAATCTCACCATCCCGCAAGAGGCGTGGTTTTGACGAGCGCTTGGGGCCGTCGATTTGGCAACGCCTGCTTTGGCGTGCAGCAGAAGGGCGGGAGGAAGGTTAAGCTCGTGCGGCTGGTGCTATTCATGGTAAATTGCAGGGCTGATGGAAAGACTGGCCAATCGAAACTCCCCGCGTTCTGCTCTTTATGCGAAATGACTGCTAAATTGTGCCTTGCATGAACCGTTGCTGCACCCCGCTGTCGCGTGGGATGCTGTCGCTGTCGAGTCCGTCTATTCTTTCGCTCGCTGAAGAGATGCCACAACCGTCAGGCTGGTGCTGTATAGCGACAGCAACGGCCAAGCTCCTCAATACTACTACGTCTCTGCCGTCTATCAGCAGAAGTGCTGCGCCCTTTGTCAATACTCCGTGGCTGGCAGTCCATACTCACGTTCCCATTACTTGGGAGGCCTGCAATTTCTCGTTGACTGGCCATCGCTGCTCAGTGAAATGAACAGATCTCAGGCACTGCCATCTCACGATAGCCTGAATGTCGGCGACTCGGCCATGACGTCCGCGCTGTCATTTTGCTGCGCCAAACAGCCTTAAAGGTCGACATGGAGCTCTCTTGGGAAGAGGTTAAAAATAGCGCCTGAGGAGAGAAATGCAGCTAATAGCTCCAAAGATAGACGCACTGTGCGTGAAAAAAGACAGCTAAGTCAGCTCAATCTGGCGAAATTAGCTGTTTCATCTCCTTTAGCTGCAGCAGAGTGTTTATTTTGGTAGACTAAATGTGAATGTGAGATCAGATGCATGGGTTTGAAACAACCAGAGGAAACTTACTCTTGTCTTCTTCATTTCTCTTGCAATGATGTCGATAGCAAGCCGGGAAGCCGGAATTCAGGAACGGGTGTTGGGTAGCAGCGGCTGGGAATCTGGATGTATGCTATCTACTGCGTACCCTGTGGAAGCAAATCGGATAGTTGAAATGCTGCCATTCGAAAACCATTATTAGGCGTACAGGTCAGCGGCGGCGGATGCTCCAAGCGTACGCTGGTCACCACGCCGCGATTGACTCCGCCGTGATGTGCGGAAGTGAAGCTGCCTTTGGTGACCATGTCGACCGCAGACAGAAGACTCAGCCGGGACACAAGGTAGGCCAGACGACGACATCGATTCGATCTCAAGGTTCAACATTCCAGCGCGCCTGCTCTACGGCTCGTCGCCCATGTTACTGCGCCCTGAGTCGGCAGCAGACGCTGCCGCCGATGATCATGTGTCGCTGATCCGGCGTTCTTGGCGACACTGTGGAAAAGAGCTTTCGTGAGTATCCTAAGCCCACCGCATAAACATTAGTTCATCAGATCAACGCCTTTTCTTTGAGCCCTAAGAAAACAACTTCTTCTCCACCCCAACCATCCCGTGCACATTCCCCTCCGCCTGCGCGCTCGCCGTCCGGAACTCGAATCGCACCTTCCCGCTCTTCACACCGGCCTGCAGCTCCTTCAGACTCTGCACTCCGATATCTTGCAGACTGTGCTGGATCCCGGCCATCAGGTACGGCAGGAACTTCGTAATACTGCCCCGGTCCAGCACACTGCCGCTCACACCTTGCGCGACGAGCAGCTTGTCGCCTTCGGAAAAGTAGCGCGCGGTACCGGCGTTCTGGGCGGTGTTTGCGGCTTTGGCGGTGGCGGTGTTGAGGGTGGAGCCGGCGGCTTTCTTGTCCTCCATGGCGTCGATGGAACCCATGCCGCGGTAGGTCTTGCGGAGCTGGCCGTCGGGGCCGACGACATATGCGCCGGGCGACTCAGTGGTGGCGGCGAGGAGGCCACCCATCATGATGGTGCTTGCGCCGAGAGAGAGGGCTTTGACGATGTGGCCGACGTTCTGGATGCCGCCGTCTGCGATGCAAGGGACGCCGAATTTGGCTGCAAACTCGGCGACGCGGTAGACGGAGGTGGCTTGCGGTCGGCCGACTGCCATAACTTCTTGAGTGATGCATGCGGAGCCGGCGCCCATACCGATACGAAGGCCATCCACACCTGCTGCAATGAGAGAAGCGGCCTGGTCGCGAGTCACCACGTTGCCACCGACGACTTGGATCTGAGGGTAGGTCTGCTTGATCCAGCGAACCATTTCCAGCTGATACATCGAGTTGCCTTGACTGCTGTCGAGGATGACGATGTCCAGGCCAGCGTCCACAAGCGCTCTAAGACGATCCTTGTCGGCCTCTCTCGTTCCGATGGCAGCTGCGGATAGTAGTTGTTTGGTACCAGGAACCTTGGATGCCAGAGGGAAGTGGAGGTTCTTCATCAGATCGCTTCGGCTGAGAATAGAGACGAGGTTGCCCTGCGCGTCTACGATCGGCAGCTTGCCCTTCTTCGAGCGACTGAGGATGTCGTTTGCCTCGCTGAGGCTGATGCCTTCTCTGGCTGTGACCAGGTCTGTGCTCATGACTTCTGTAACGGGCGAGGATGCGTTGTGGTGGAATTGGGTGTCCCGGGGCGTGACTATACCAACGAGCTTGCTTCGGAGTGTGCCGTTCTCTGGAAGTATACCGTCAGCACCAGCTCGCCAGCAACCGTGCAGCTATGTTCGAGCATCATAATCAAGAAGTGGTCAGAGAAGACATCTCCACATTGCTGCCGGTACGTTGACCAGCAGCTGACGGTGGAACGAAAGTTATGTGATTTGTGTGTTCATCAGGGAAGAGAGGGCGTAGATATAGAATTTCGCACACACTTACCAGTAACCGGGAACCCTCCAAAACCCCACCGGTCCTTCAAGGCCCTCGCCTCTGCCACAGTTGTGCTGGGTGAAATCACGATCGGGTCCAGGATGAATCCGTTCTCAAACCTTTTCACCTTCCTAATCATCTCCGCCTGCTCCTCGATACTGCAGTTGTGATGCACCACACCCACGCCTCCCAGCAGCGCCATATGAATCGCCATATTTGACTCGGTCACCGTGTCCATAGGTGAAGATGTGAAGGGGGTCTTGAGCGTGATGTTGCGGGTGAGCTTCGAGGTTAGGTCGACGGTGCTGGCAGGGAAGCCGATGTAGCCTGGAAGTAGGAGGAAGTCGTTGTAAGTCAGACCGCCGATCTGCGTGTTGTCCATGAGCTGGTCGATGTCGATGCCATCGCGGTGGGTGTAGGACTTGAGAAGGGAGAGGGCTTTCGAGGAGTCTTCGTAGGTCTCGTTGTCTTCTTCGTAGGTACCGTTGGTCATGGGCATGCTGCTGTTGGCGGCGGCGCCTTGGGACTGCTTCAGCTTGACGCCGTCGATGTCGTCGTGGACGCCGTTCGAGAGTGTAGAGTTGCTCATCGTTAATGCAGTATTCTGGTGTTGCTGTTAGTTGAGATCACTGTTGGCCTTGAGACCACGGACTTACCCCAAGAGAGGGAGGAAGAAGAAATCGAGTCTCGAAGAAGACTTTTTGAGAGCACGAAAAGCTTAAACGCGCCAAGGTTTCTGGGGTAAGCAGGGGTCCAACCCTACTCCCCTAAACTGTCAAACATGTGATAATCAGCTTTAGAATATTGAAGTGTCGACGGCAATGACGTCCGACTTCACGAGTTGCACTGAAGGGTGCGAAGAGTTGTTTCTTTATAGTTTGTTACACTCTAAACTCCTATAGACAGATGCTTCAACATGTTATTCAGACTTGTTGTCCCTACCGGACCATCTTCTCCGACGCAGCAACTCCAGGCCTGCGGATGTGTCGAGCTGCTTTTAGCTGGCCTCACGAATTGACACTCTCCAATCGGTCTAGCACTTTGCCCCTTCCGCCAATGTTCCTCCGATCTGACTTCGGGGGTACTCTTTGATCTGGTGTTAGATGCCGCGGCAGAAGGTCACGACACAGCACACTGTTCTGCTGTTGAGATAAAGAAGACAATGGTAGACACGGTGACACACTTGATTGATATTAATAGATATGCAAGATACCAATGCTTACCTACGTAGCAGCGCCCGCACTTTCGGAAGCCCATCGCCGTTCGCGAGTTAATGGTCCAGCTTACCTCTGTCACTTCGGCTGGACTTCCGGAGACTTCGCGGCCTTCTGCTGGAGGCGCGAGGAGCGTCCCGGCTTCTGCTGCATGTCTGTTGATGAACGACGCGAGCTTGCTGTATCCGGCATGGTCTGCGGCTGAGTCTCGCGAGATTGCGGTGCTGTGTCTTGTCGCACGAGCGCGCGACCGTACTCTCTGTCGATGTTCTCTGGAGTGGCAGAAGTCAGAGGAGCTTGAGCAGCAGATCTGTCGGCAAAGGGATCAGGATGAGGGAACTCATGCGCCCATGCGAGTCCGAGCAAGCGGTCCCATTGGAGCTGCCAAATGCCATCCTCTTTCCAAGAATCTCTCACAGCTTCGATGGCCTCTTCGTCGATATTGTACCGCCCGAAAAGCGGCCCGTTCCAACCACGCTCGTGGTACACCCAAGTTTTCTCTCGGGATACCTGGCTCATGAATTGGTGATACGGGCGGGAGGGTTCGGTTTTTCCGAACAGTGAGAAGTGGGGGTCGTGAGATCGCTGCAATCATGTCGGTGGCCACTCGTGAGCGCCGTCGAATCGCTCGTGTCCCCAGAGCCAATGAGGACTAGGACTTCGTTGCGGGTAGCTCTGCCTCGAAGCCCACTCGATGTCCAAAGGGCGGGTATCCAAAGGCCAGGCTGGGCCCCACTCCTCCAGCTATATCCCATCCTTGGTCCAGTACTGTCTTACATTGTTCTCCGCGTTGGCCAGAAGATCAAGATCCCCGTGGAAGCGCAGCGTCGGTGGTCGATTTTCAGCATCTTGCTGGCACTTCAATCGGTTCATCTCCCGCTGCGTTTAAAGCTGGAACATGTGGTGGGACATCCCTCTACGGCGCTTTTGGCGCTGCAAGAGCGCCTGCTCATACAGATATTGATCTGGTCTTTCCGGCATGGCTGAAGGGCACTCTGTTGTTGCGCCAGACGGCCGCTCCGGAGGAGCCTCACCGAAGCGGTGGTCGTTGGCGTCGGCAATGTCATCTGCTGAGAGGTGTCCAAGTGCCAGGGTCACCTGGTCCAGAGTTCGGCGTACATGATATGCGGCCGCAAATCCTTTTATGATGCGGTTTGGGGAGTCCATTGAGTGTGCGACTGAGTATGTTTGAGGGGATTCGATCGGGGGCGACTGGGTATGTACCTACGAGGCGAAGGACTTTGCGCACACTGGCGGGCGAGCGCAGGGTTATGAGGGGCCACCAAATGCCCAAACCCCGCTGCCATTCACTGCAGGCGTCCGATAGTGACCGCATGATGCTCGTTTGCTATGCTGCTCCGAGCCAGCGGACATCAAACAATGAAGTCCAGAGAGTCGACATTGAACGGAAATGCCAAGGTTAAGCACAGACTCCAACCTTACTGTGAACCTTAAATACATGTACGACCACATCGCTGCAACATCGTCTCCTGCATCTACTATGTATCTTCGCCCTTGTACAAGCGCAGGCGTTAGAATATGTTAGACACACGTACTAGACAAGCAGCCGACCACACTGAACGGCCAAGCACATTGCTCTTCTGGACTTTCTCCCAGCAATCTCGAAAGTAGCCCACAACATCGCTGCCCGCTCGCTGCAATGGCGCCATCGACCAGGTCCCACGTACTTCAGCGAGCTCTTCGATCAATGTAACCCTAGTAGAGAAGACAATAGGGTGAGTGTGAAGTATGAGCGATAATTATTTGATTTCCAGTTTCTCTCTATCCTGCTTTCTGTACTAGACAATTCATTCAAGCCGATTCTACTTCAGCAACCATCCCCTTTCTCGAACACAACCGCACGCTGGGCCGCTTTCTTCGCTCGAACCGACGGCGACCGCCTCTCCAAAGCCCGACCTGGCAAACTCCTCCCAACCTCTGGCTAGACTGTTGTGGCTCTTGGAAACCCCAAACGACCACCATCAATACGAAACTAGGAATCTGCTTCACGCACCGCAACATCGTGAGCTTGATCACCGCCGTTGACCTCTGCGCCACATCGGTGAGCGATTGCGCCATCAACGCGCTTAAAGTAAAACGCATTGCCATCTGCAGCCACACCGCCTGCGGAGGCTACAGAGCCGCGCTCGGCAATGAAAGCGTTGACGAGATCGACACATTGCTCATGCCGCTCTGGCAGCCGCAGTCAATACATGCCACTGAGCTGGAGAAGTCGAATTGGGACGCAAGGTGGAGGATGATCTCGAAGCTGGACTTCATGAATGGGGTGGAGGTGCTGAGATAGAGCCTGCATGTTGCGCAGTGGAGTGGGGAGAGGGGGTTGACGGTGCATGGGGTTGTTTACGAGCTTGGGACGGGGAGACTGAGGGAATTGGAGGTGCTGGTTGAGAGATGGGAGAGGAGGGAGTGACTCTTGAGGGTGGCGAAGCTCTGAGCCGGTTTAGAAGAAGTCTGGAATCATGGACCTGAAGCTAACGGGAGTACGCCCTGTCACACTACCATTCGACACTCGCCGTGGACCACGGGCTCTCTCCCTCCTTTCTTGACAAGTGTTGCTGACAGAGTTGCCGCTGAGCCAAATCGGAGGGTGTCGTAAAAGTCGTACCGTCCACCCACTTGTCTGCCTTGCAGCTCTGTGACTTTGATATTTACCTTTTTCCTCATGGGCTCCACCGCGGTACCCGCCCGGGTTCCTTTGGAAGTAGCTCATACCGGACTTTGCTAGGAAACGCTTGTTGTAGACATCCAACACCATAACGTCCCAGGGATCCGCTTTCGACAAGGCCTAAGAAATGGTTAGGAAAGGCCCAACTTTCGACGACAGTGGGACTTACCAAGTCGGCCATACGTCGGGAGGGATCGACTCTTTGCCCCGCGACTTTGGCGACTAGATCCTCGACGTGGTAATCGTGATGCTGGCAAAAGCTCTTCAGGACTGCTTCCACGGTGCAACCATCTTGAGTACCAACGACGGTGTCGAAGTGCAGACCGGTGACGTTGTCATGAAGGACGAAGTGAAACCCGTTGAGGCTGTGCATGATGATGACCGGCTTGCGATCCTCCACGAGCTTCTCAACGAACTTGTTCATCTCGGCATTCACCTGTTGCGTGATCTCGCTGATCTTCTGCTGGATCGCCGCTTCGAGGCGATGGTTGAGGTCGGCGCCGCCGAGAGATACTTCGACAGTGCATGTCTTGTAGCCTAGCTCTGTCGGAATGGTGGTGGTGACTTTCATCGACATCTTGCTGGTAGTTGTTGGGTCTTGTCGGGTTTGTGGAATCTGCAGAACGGTTGTGAAGTTATGGAAGTTTTGGTGGACGGCATGGTCAGTGCGCTGTCACATGCGTGGATACGAAACGAGTGAGAAGTGTGCAAGGCTGTGTCTGAGAAGCACCAGCGCCAAAGTGTTAGGCCTTAAGCGAACTTCTGTTGCGGCTACTTGATTCTTCTGCAAACCCATTCCTTTCCATCAGCGACGGGTGTCAGAGCAAGTGACAGCGTGTTCTGAATGTACCCGTGCGGTGAAGTTCCTGTCGTGGTCTTTTCTCTCCCCATGTCGCTCATCCGAACAAACCACGCAGTGCACTCATCGAGCCAACACCGCCCACAGCCAGAGCGGACATCCGCAAGATAGCCTCGTGCGTCATAATACATCTCAGGCTCGAAGGCCACACCATCACTGTCCCTTCTCCTGCTCAGATTTGAACACCTCCAGCACGTCGCCGCTCTCAACACCCTATCATATGATCAGCCACGCCATAGCCTTTCGCTCGACCTAACTCACCAACTCCTCAATCCTCCTCTCCACCCCAACCCGCCACCCACGCACTTCCACAACAACACCATCAGTCGACGAAAACTTTTCATGCACCTTCTCATCCAAAAGAACATCACTACAAGCCCTCACAACCTCCCCCACCTCACACTCCCAGGGCGCAAACAGCTTCACCCGCTTCCCGTTCACGTGATCCTGGAGCACGAGTTCGACGTCGTTGCTGTCCGGGAACGAAATCTTCGACTTGCGGTAGTGGTCGCGGATCCGCTTCTCCGTCTCGGCGACCGCCTTCTGCACCAGGTCGTCGATCAGGAGATGGAGTGCGGTTTTGGTGTCCGCGAGGGAGTGGTCTATGGTGCGTAGGATGTCGCTGACACTGGTGGAGCTGTTAGTAGTGTTTTTGTTCGACATGGTTGCGGTGGCTTGAGATTGGCGGAGCGGTGGCTTGGGTGTAGTCAAGTTGGAGGAAATTTAGGGAGGCTGAGGAGTATTTGCGGGAGAAAGTGGCGAAGGCGCTGTCACATGCCTTCGTATGAAACGAGGGGCTAAGGCAGAGTGAAATCGATCTCGAAGACCTTGGCTATAAAGAAGGAACGATTAGTGTACATAAAGGTTCATTGCAGCTACTTACTTCGTCTGTCAAAATCGCTGCATCGCCAACCAGCATGAGAGCAAGTAAAGTGGGTGTTGGGTTGTAGCTCATCCTTTGATAACACCACTGCAGTAGAGAGGTGCAATTACCTGCCGCCGACCACGACTCTCGCAAGATGGCCTTCCTCCCAAACCCGGTCTAGAACGGCGTTCACTACTCAGACTTCGTAGCGTCGTAGACCTTCAGCACATCACCGTTCCTAAACCCCTAGCCCATCGTTAGTAGTGCAATAGCCCCAGATCCTGATGAACCTCACCAGTTGCGTGATCGTTTTGTATATATCAACGTCCAGCCCTTTCCTTCTTGCGACGAAGCGGTCAGGCAGGAGCTGGGTGCGCGAGACGTCCTTTGCCAGGATGACGTTACTATACTGCATCACCACCTCTCTGAGCTCACAGGCACACGGAGCGAAGACCTTGACTTTTTCGCCGTGCCAGGTGTCACAGAGCACAAGGTCGATGCCATCGCAGTCGGGGAAGACGATCTTTGACTTTTTTGGCTCTGCGACCGCCCTCTGCACGGCCTCGTCCATCTTTTGCTGGAGAGCGGCTTGCATGGGGCCAAGAGACACTTCAACGGTGCACGGTATGTCGCTGAAGGTGGTCGTTATGTTAGTGGTGACTTTGATCGACATGATTGTTGTGGTTTGAGTTTGAGTGAACTCGTGTCGTGGGTTTGGTGAAGCTTGGAAGAAGTTTAGCACGATTGAGCAGGCTTTTGTATGAAGAGGTTGTCGGAACGCTGTCATGCACGTATGCTTTCACTGCAGTCAATCGAAGCAAGCTTATTGCAGGAGCATGACGGAGAGGCAAGAGGACGAAGCGAATGTGTCATTAGACGGCGAGGCTGGTGACCAATAACTGCTTACCTTGTGATTGCATGAGAGTCACATACTTCCCCTGGGGTGCAAGTGATCAATGGGCGACTGTAGAGGTTCTTCATGGTGTATGGGCTCACCACGTTCGTCTCCTAGGAGGTCCTATATCCCCTCCCGTCGTTGAATGGTGACCAGCAAGATCATGTGAAGCACTGCAAATGATATGAGTGTCTAGAGGAAGATGCGGCCGTCAAGGCCACAGCCATAGACTGACGTCTCCGGCGGTCGTATATAGTGAAGTCGAGGTATGTCCGCAATGAAGCACTGTACATCTTGACGGAGGCCAGACACGATGTCTCAGTTTTCGATGTGTAACGGGACATCAGCTAGCGCCCGCTCTAGATCGACCAATAGCCACGCTGATGGAGAAAGTTGAAATCGAGGCAGGTCGAGCGAGCGACGCGCTCGAAAGAGTAGCCGCTAGCAGAGCTTAACAGGCGTGTTTATTGACAACAGAAGCCGACTCCACCTCTGCTGTGTGACGAGGCCGACTCCCAACAACCCACTCCAATTGCTCCGTCTTTTCCTTTGTGTGTCAAGCGGATTGCATTGGATGCGTGGGAATGTATTTGACTCTGAACATACCGCGAGACCGGCAATGACGATAGTGATTCACGTGCGACTTGCGCCTTCCTAGCAACCGCAGTCATCAAATCTCAGACGAAGACGCGCCTGCTGGACACAGCACCACCACGGCCTCCAAAGGCATAGCGAGCAACTGCTGCCACGATGCCTTCACACCCGACCTTCACCTCGCCCTCGCCGCCGCATAACCGGCTCCGAGACCACAGCCCGACCAAGTCCTCCCCTCTCCGGCATACCGTGTCCACGCGCTCCAACAACAGCGAGACCGACCACTCCTCACTCCCGAGTCGGCAAGGCACCGTCAGCAGTAATGCGAGCTCTGCGTATAGTAATGCAAGCTACAGCGGCTATGACTCTGCCAGCGACCCCTTCGTGAGCCGGCCTTCCAACACCCCGCGAGCCACGGCAGGTGCTAAGCGCGACCGGTCCGAGTCGCCTGTCAAGAAGAACGCGGCTTTTGCGAAGTGGGAGCAGCGGGAGCAGGAAGTGGAGCAGACTCAGCAGTCTTCTACGCCTAGTTGGCACAGGAGATCGCAGACGATGGACGTCAGCCCGAAGAAAGTCAAGGACGAGGATTGGCGTTCGGGCATTGGACGGAACGAGAGTCGCGCTGCGCTGAGACCGGTCGCTAGGAATATCGTGACAGATGCGGCGCCTGCTGATCCGCCGCCTGTCATGTCTCCTCCATCAATGGATATGCCTCCGCCACCTTCGCCGAGCAGGAAAGAGAATAATGACTACATGAGGTATCGTGGTACGAGCGAAGACGACGGTTTTCTTACAACACCGAAGAAGTCGCCTGGACAGCATCGAAGAGGACAGAGCGTGGACTCTTTCGTCGCGCATTCGCCAGAGCACACGCCTACGGCGCCATCGCCGACTTCGATGAGCAGAAACAGCTTGGCTACGCTTTCAAGATCAGATTCGATGCGGGCCAGTACGAGACCATCGAGACCACATGGTCATGCGCGGTTTGGCTCTACGGATATTACAGCGGCGCCTCATCTGGATGGCGAAGATCTGGCGAAGCTGCAGAAATCAACTACACCGCAGTTTCAGCATCTGAGCAAGATGGCCTCAGAGGGCGGAGAAGAAGATTACAGCGTCCACTCGAAAGAGGAGCAAGTGGTGGGACTTGCAGGTAGAAGAAAACTTCAACGGTCTGGCTCAGTACGATCAAATACAAAATCAGGATCTAGCTTTGCAAGCCAATACGCTAGCACGCGGTGGATGGACACGCAGAGGAAGCATCTTCAAGCCTATGAGTACCTATGTCACATCGGTGAAGCTCGAGCTTGGATGGAGGATGTCCTGGATCCTGTTGAGCTACCCCCTATTGTACAACTCGAGGAGGCCTTACGAGATGGTGTCACACTGGCGGAAGTGGTCGTCCGTCTTGGACCGAAGCTTCCATACGACCAGCAGTGCGCTCTTGGCTCTCAGAAGATCTTCCGCTCGCAACGGCTACAATTCAGACACTCCGACAACATCGCTCTCTTCTTCCGCTTCCTGGCACAAATCGAACTGCCGGAGCTCTTTCGCTTTGAACTCGTCGACTTGTACGAGAAGAAGAATGTCCCGAAGGTCATCTACTGCATTCACGCGCTGTCATGGCTGCTGTACAGAAAGGGTGTGGTCGAGTTCCGGATCGGCAACCTGGTCGGTCAACTGCACTTCGAGGAGCACGAGCTGGAGGCCACGCAGAAGGGTATCGATAGGAGTGGTATCCAGATGCCCAACTTTGGCGGCATGAGAGAGGCAATGGAGGTCGAGCCCGAGCCCGAACCTGAGCCTGAGCCGGAACCCACCCCTGAAGAGCTTCTGATGGAGCACGAACACATGATCGTCGACCTTCAAGCTCAAATACGCAGCGCTATGGTCCGCATGCGACTAGGCAACATGATGCAAGACCTCTGGGACGCCGAATACAGCATCGCCTCCTTCCAAGCGCTGGCACGAGGAGGTTTCGCTCGCGAGATCTTCGCTTTCCGATTCGGTATGGACCATTCGACCCGCCAATTCCAAGCTGCTGCGAAGGCTTTCCTGGTGAGAATACGACTGCACAGAAAGGAGCGCTCGTGGAGGAAGAACGAAGCCAAGGTCGCGAAAGTGCAGAGCTTGTGGCGTGGACGACAGGAGCGGGCTGAGACGAGGCAGATTAAGACGGAGTTGAGGCAGCATCAGCATGGGGTAAGGGAGCTGCAGGCGGCGTTGCGAGGCGCGCTGGGGAGATGGAGGGCGGGTGATCTGTGGCATGAGACACGAGAGGCTGGCGACAATGTTGAGGCGCTGCAGGCTGCGATACGAGGCATGCTCGTAAGGAGGAGTATGAAAGCGCAAAAGGCGGACGTCAAGAGGGCGGCGGCGCAGGTCGTGCAATTGCAAGCTGCGGCACGGGCTCTGGTTCAGCGGCGAGAGCGGAAGGCTCAGCACGGGAAGTTTGAAGTGCAACATCAAGCGGTTACGGATGTGCAAAGTGCTGCCAGAGGTCTGCTTGCACGACTGCACAACGCCAGGACCAAGGGCGCGCTGCATGGTCGAGAGACGAGCATCGCGAAGCTGCAAGCTGCCGCGAAGGGACAGGAAGTACGAAGACAGAACGCTGAGATCCGGCAGCGACTTCAAGATCAGCACGGAAAGGTCCTCGAACTCCAATCGCTCGCCCGCGCCATGCTGCAAAGACGAAGCATAGGAACCCGCCTCGCCTCACTCGAGGAGCAGGAAGAGAACATCACAGCCCTCCAGTCCCTCGCCAGAGCCTACGTCGAGCGCCAACGAATCTTCGACCAACTCGTCGCCATGGAAAAGGAGGACAACTCCGTCTCGCAACTCCAAGCCTTCGCCCGCGCCATGCTCCTACGAAGCAACATCGGCCGCCTCCTCTCCGAGCTCGAGGACCACGAAGAGGGTATCACGCACTTACAAGCCGCTTGTCGCGCTTTCACCGTCCGACGCAACTTCGAAGAGAAGCGCAAGCACTACCGCGAGAACATGCAGAAGGTCATTAAGCTACAGTCTTTCGTGCGCGCAAAGCAGCAGGGCGAGAGCTACAAGAGTTTGGTGAATGGAAAGAACCCGCCGCTGCCTGTTGTGCGGAAGCATCTGCATTTGCTTACGGATTCGACGCTGGAGTTTGAAGGCGAGCTGGAGGCTGAGCGGTTGCGCCGACAGGTTGTCGAGAGTGTCCGACGTAACGAGCTTGTGGAAGGCTACGTCGAAGGTCTGGACGTGAAGATCGCGCTGCTGGTCAAGAACAAGATCACGCTTGACGAAGTGGTGAAGCACCAGAAGCACTTCGGTGGCTCGGCTTCACAACTGCTGAGGAACGGCAGCACATTGTCTTCCCAGCATAATGGCGGCTTGGATCTTAAGGCGCTGAACAAGAGCTCCCGCAAGAAGCTTACCGGCTACGAGGAGCTCTTCTTCATGCTACAAACTCAACCACAATACCTCGCTCGCCTCTTCCAGCAGGTGTCTGGTCGAGGTCTGACGGAGAAGGACGGCAAGAACCTCGAACGCCTCGCTCTGACCATGTTCGGCTATGCGCAGAAGCAGCGGGAAGAGTACTTCTTGATCAAACTCCTCGCCACCAGCTCCCGACAGACCATCGCGCAAGCGCAGAACCTGGAAGACTACCAGCGACTCCAGAATGGCGCTTTCACCCAACGACTCCTGCTGAGCTACGTCCGTGGACCAAAGGACCGAGCATACCTTAAGAGCTTGCTCGGGAATATGGTCCGGGAGGGTATTTGTGGGAAACAGCATTTGGATCTCGAGAGCGATCCGCTGCAGATCTATCGCGCGATTTTGAATAACGAGGAGTTGTCGACCGGACGCGCTTCTTCGAGACCGAGGGAGATGCCACGGGAGGTCGTGATCAAGGAGCCAGATGTGAGGCAGAGTTACATCGAACACCTGTCTGCGCTGCGAGATCTGGGCGATGGCTTCTTCCTTTCGCTGGAGGAGACGCTGCATCGGATGCCGTATGGGATTCGCTTTGTCGCCGTTGAGCAACACCGTGCGCTCTGCGAGCAGTTCCCGCATGAGGACCCGGCGCATTTGGCTATGCTGGTGGGGTTGTGGCTGTGGAAGTCGTACCTCCTACCCGCGTTGCGCGAGCCGGAGATGTGGGGAGTCATTGACCGTGGTCTGAGTCCGGTGCACAAGCGAAATCTCTCGCAGGTCGTCACAGTACTCGGGCAGATGGTTTCGGGCAGGCTGTTTGGTGCAGAGAACTTGTACCTCCAGCCGCTGAACAACTGGGTCTCGGAGTCGCTGGATCGATGGCAGGAGTGCCTGCACCATTTATTTGATATCCCGCCGGCGGAAGAGCACTATGATGCCGATCAGTTCAGTGATCTGTACTCCCGGACGAAGCCGACGCTGTATATCAAGCTTTCAGATATCTTCACGCTGCACTCGATGTTGTCTGACAACGTGGCTGCCGCGGCGCCGACAAGGGACGACCCGATCAAGGAGTTGTTGTCTGACCTGGGAACGGCCAAGAGCAACGAAAGCGACCTCAGCAGCGCCTCACACGGCGGCGAGATCACCCTCACGCTCAAGTCCCGCTTCACCGTCCAAGAGGACCCCAACGCCGAAGCGCGCGCCCTCTTCACCGCCACCAAGCGCTTGGTGCTTTACATCATCAAGGTCCAGTCAGGATCCAACCTCATGGAAATCCTCCTCCGCCCCATCAGCCACGAAGACGCCGACCGCTGGATCCACCTCGTGCAAGAAGAGGTCGCCGAGAAAGAGCGCAAAGAGCGCCGCCCCGGCGCCGGTCCCAAACGCAACTCCTCCGTCTTCGACCCACGGGCCTCTCTGCGTGGTGCAAGAACCCAAAGCATCTACTCCGAAGCCCCCTCCACCTTCTCCGAAGACCGCCGCGACCTCCTCGACCTCCAATCCCTCACCTACGCCGAGCTAAAATCCTCCTGTCTCGAAAACATCCTCGCCCTCGAAGCCCCCTCCATCGCTCCGCAATTCAGGGTGAGCAGACACAACAACTACCAAGACCTGCTCAACGCACTCGCCTCGGACATCCGGCAGAAACACCGCCGTCGCCTCGAACGCCAGCACGAAGTGGAGAGCACCCGCGCGACGCTGACGCAGCTGGACGATAAAGCGGCGTTCTTGGAGGACCAGCTGAAGAGCTACAACGATTACATAGAGCAGTGTCTGCACACGCTCGCGAGCAAGAAGAGCGGGAAGAATAAATTGACCCTCCCGTTCACGAAACAATGGTCTCACGAGCGCGAACTCGAGCGCGCGGGTCGCCAGCCGAAATTCGGGAGCTACAAGTACTCTGCCCGCCAGCTCGCGGAAAAGGGCGTCCTGATGAGCTGGCCCGGCTACGCCCCGGAGCACTGGGGCCAACTGAACGTCGTCATCAGTTCCGACGAAGTCGGGGTTTTCCATCTGGAAGCGAGTAGCGGGAGCATGATGCTCCCCGGCGCGAGCGCGAATTTGCTGCTGGATGAACTACTGCAGGCGCAGTATGAGAATAAGCAGAGTATTGGTGTGTTTGAGGGGACGAATGGTGGGGGACAGGGGGAAGGGGCGCGGTTGGCGGTGAATTTGCTGCTGCATTTGGTTTTTAAGAAATTTTATCGGGATGAGTAGGTGGAGTGGAGTACTTGGGGTGGGTGGGTGGTGTTGAAGGGGGAGGGGGAAGGGGAGTGTGGATAGTATACATACCCCGTTTGACCGACTGACTGCTTGGATGCATGAGTGATTTGATTAGATGAATGCGATGGTTTATTATGCGTGCTTGTAAAACCTCTCCCCTACTGATCTAACCCTCCTCTCTATTCCACCTCCTTGCCCATGGTTTGCGGTGCTGGGTTGTGGAAATGAATTGCTTAATCTGTAGTGTTTGGGCTCTTACGAGGAGCCAGCGGTCGATGTTATGAAGCTGTGATGGAGCAGTAGATGGGCAGAGCAATCCGACAGGCAGAATCGTGAAGGGTGAAGATGGGCAGAAATGTGGACAGAGCTGAGCTTGAGGCTTGGAGTTGATGAATCTGGTTGATGAACACGACTACAGCTCATGGATCTCCACCTTCGCTAAGAGCACATCCGGGACGCCATGTCTGATGCTATTGATTCACATCTACTCGTCATCCTCATCCTCCTCATCCTCCGCCTCAATCGTCGTCTGCGCAATCCGGTCCAGATCTCGCTGTCCGGCCTGCGTGATGCGACGGCCTCCCTTGTCCTCGTCCTGCTCCAGCACACCGATCTTCTCGAGCGCCTGCATGACTTTCCTGTCCACGGACCCGGAGGCGTCGACGTGGTGTGAGGGGCGGAAGCCCCGGTTCTTGGTGCCGCCGTGGACTTTCCTCAGACGGCCGACGCCGACGGTCTTGCGCATGTAGACGTGGCGGGCGATGGCGGCGGCGCGGACGTAGAACCTGACGCACCATTATTAGCGCTTTCTCAGTCGGATGTTGGGGGGGATATGCATACCAGTCAATCGACTGCGGCGGCAGCTCCTTGGCATGGCTCGTCTTGACGGTATCGCTCCAACCTGTAGACACATGTCAACACTTTACTGTCGACATCGATGCCCCCCGTCCCACACGGGATTCAGGTATCTCTGTTCTTGCCATGGCCTCATGACCTCGGCATATGCTTCCTTCTCTTTCTGGGACGAGGTGTGGTGGTGGTGTTCACGGACCTGGGATTGGGAGACGGCCTTGACGCTTGAGGAAGGCGGCGTAGGCGTCAATGAATTTGTCCGCTTGGACGTCGCGAACGGAGACACCGGGCATCGTGGCGGTGGTTGTCGTAAAGGGGTGGTGGTAGAGGTGGATGGTGTGGTGTGCTGGCGGATGCGATGAGGTCGATCTTTTCTGAGGTTCTTGAAATCTGGTGTGTGTGAGATGCGCCGGGAGCCGGCGGAACGTTTAACCGAAGGCATTGGCTCGACTTCGTCCTTCCATATTGGAAGGCACGTGCTCGACGTTTGGGCAGCACCTGCAGTCAATCAAATAGATATGCAGAAGTCGCTACATTACGTTGTCTTGCTTCAACTACGACTTTCGTCGTCTTCACAACATCTCAGACTTCACTGCTGCATGCTGACCCACTCTACTGCTTCGCTAATGGTCGACCACTGACGATTGTAGCAACACTCTCGAGACAGCCTGCCCTGAACCTCATGAGGAACGCTCTTCGTGCCACCTGATACATTGGCAGCGCCCTGAAGATCTTGCTTGCGTAGAAGATGCTATCAGGAGAGCAGAACTCCCGATAGCACCTGAATTCGCCATGTCGGGCCAGCTACCAGCATCAGCAGCCGTCCGTTGGACTGTGCTGTCTGTGGTCGTTGGTCTTGCGCTCGTAGGCGGATGGCGGGCTGTAGAGAAGTTTCAGTCAAGGCGCAGACTCAAGTCCGGTATGTCCACATCAATACATCGGCACGGACTCTATGTCTACAAGACTAACGCTGCATCAGCGGAAGCATCTGATCCATCACTCCTGGCGAAGCACACCACATTCGGGAGATACACGACACCTTCTGGATGGACGTATCCTCGGATCCGTGTCTTCTACAAACCACACTTATACGCCGACAAGCTCCCGAAGAGCATTCCGCTTCTCGTCTTCACCCACGGCCTGGGCGGAAGTGCTGCACAATTCGTGCCTTTGCTCACGAGCCTCATCAACCAGGCGCCCTGTCTCGCTATTGACCTCCCAGGATTTGGACGTTCGAAATTCGCACCTGGTCACGAGAAAGCCTACACAACTCACGCACTCGCTGAACTGGTGGCGACTATCATCAAAGACTACCGCGATGCTGAGATCGACCAGAAGGTTGTCCTCGTGGGACACAGCATGGGATGCTCGATCAATGCCTTGCTTGCGTCTTCAACTTCTCCGCTGTCACATCTAATAGGAGAAAAGGTTGTTGGCAGCATTGCCATTTGCCCGAGAGGAGACTCTCTGACCTCAGACGAGGTTGCATTGGTGCGCAGAATGTCGTGGCTGCCGTCTCCAATCTTCGATCTGCTTCGACTGGTCGACCGCCGGGGAGGCACTGCTAGCCGTAGTGTCTCGAGAGTCGTGGGCGAGGAGGCCGATAACGAGACACGTAGAATGCAGCTGAGATTTAACATGCAGTCGGAGAGTGCGCCCTTTCTGCGCATCATGGCCGCTGGTATCGGAGCAGAAGGTATGCCTGGGAAAGCCGTCTGGGCCGGCATCAAGATACCGCTGTTCTTGGTTGGCGGCGAGTCCGACCACGTCACACCAGCCCAGGAAGTCGAGAAGATCAAAGGATGGCTCACCGAATCACTTCACCTAAACAACAAGAGCCAAACCCCTGACGGGTATTCCAAAGACACCGTACCCGCAACAACAGGCGACACCACCACCGCCAAACGCACCGCCAACCCCACCAACCCCCAAACTGACCCTCCTCGGATGGACTCCGGCGTCGCCATCAAAGACTCCCACACCACCACCCGTCACGCCTTCGCCCTCAAAACCACCATCTTCCCCGCCCCCGCCTCCCACGGCCTCATGTACAGCACCGACACCGTCCGCATACTCTCCGGCATGATCGAGAACTTCCTCTCCATGCACGTCGACGAGCGGTTAGGAGCCAGCTGGCAGCTGCAACACTTGACCACGAGCGGGAAATGGGACGTCAAGAACCTCAAGAAATGGCAGGCGGTCGAAGCATGCAGTGAGCCGATCGGCGGGTTGTTCAGGGCGATGAAGACGATGCGGGAAGTGGATGATGAGCATAGTCCGGAGGGATTTGTGGAGGTCTATGGAGTCGGGAGGAGGCAGGATGGGGTGAGCGTGGTGGTGGATATAAGTCATGAGGCGCCGGTGTATCATCCGGAGGGGTTGGAGGAGAGGGGCGTGGGGTACCGGAAGTTGCCGACTGTGAGTAAAGAGAAGCCGAAGGCGGAGGAGGTGGATCGGTTTGTTAAGCTGGTGGATGAGTTGAGGGGGGAGGGGAGGTTGAAGAAGCAGGATGAGGGTATAGCTGGCAAGCACCCGACCATCGGAGTGCATTGTCACTACGGCTTCAACCGGACTGGCTTCTTCATCGTCTGCTACCTCGTCGAGCGAGAGGGATACCGACTGGTGGATGCTATACGGGAGTTCAGCGAAAAGAGACCGCCGGGCATCAAACACGATCACTTTGTCAACGAGTTATACGTCCGGTACGCGGTGAAGATGGAGCGGAGAGGGACGGTTGTTGGGGATTGATGGTACGCATATTTGTGTGCTTGTTTTGTAGCAGCGTATACCCATTCAGCTTTCGAATTGCAACCTGTGCCATCCGGTCGAGGGACTTGCTGCGAAGATCCGCTTGCTCGGTGTGCTCGAGGAAGTAGAAGCCGTCGAAATGGAAGGCTCAGGCTGTTTGCTCATTGCGACTGTGACGTCTGACTGCGTTCGTGACACGTTGAACAGAGACGAGTGGTACAGTTTGCACACAACGATGGGACAGTACCTCTCACCTTTGTTGTGTGGCATCGGACAAAGTGAGGCGGGAATGCCCTGAAGCCTGCTCCTCTCAGGACAATTTCATCTTATTCATCATGTGCACCTCTTCAGCGTTTTCGCAGCAATCCTTCGACCACCCGGCGACAATAGCCCTCAGCCCAGTGAGCCGCGGCCGCTCATTCGGATCGGAATGCATGCACCGCTCGACCGTCTCCCTCCACCACATCGGGATATCATCCGCATGATCCCATTCAACAAACACTTCATCCGGATGCTCGATGTCCTCCCACTCCCGCCTCGGCTGCCGAAGCAGCATCCACATCGTACGTCCTAGACTGAAGACCTCCGCCAGCTCAACAGCCAACGGACACATGCTCGACCAGATGGGGAAGACGTTCCATTCGTTCCAAGGGAAGATGCCCGGGCCGCCTTCTCCTCGGTTGCTGCGTGGTTCACCGTCGTATTTTCGATATACGATCCTTTCGATACTCTTCATGTCTTTTACACCCACCTCCTGGATCTCAACTACATCCCACGTCCCATCCGCTTCCGGAGCGAGAGTTATAGGCGAAGCGTCGTTCTGTTCCCAGTCGACGAGAACGAGGTTATCGTTGTCTTCGATGCAGAAGTTCCACGGGTTGATGTCCATATGATAGGTCAGCGCTACATGGTGGGTATGCAAGATCACATCCACCATCTGAAGACACCAGGCTTGTTTGAGCGGCAACTCGATGCGAAGGCCGAGATCGTAGTTGATCTCGAGTCTTTGCCCAAGGTCTCCGGCTTGGTAGTAAGGGTGCAGACAGCCGCAGATGTATTCGATCCCCGATGCCCAGTTGATCTTGACCACACTCTCGGGTGGCGGGAGGAGGTTGGGGTGACGGGGCATATTGGCGAGGACGTTGTTGGCATGATGCATTGCCCTCAACAGGCTCTTGAGCATGTCGACGTCTTCATCGACCCGGTGTGTGAGGAAGATGCGGAAGTCCAGGCCTTTGAAGACGTAGTGCTCGGTAGCTGGGTCTTCTGGATCCCAGGCTCTGATTTGGACTTTGGTTGTACAACCCCTTCCACCGAGGTGGTCGTAGCCGCACAGGTCCTCGAAATTGACGGACGATGTGGCGTTCTGGAGCCATATGTCAGGTTCGCGTTCTTTGTGTACGCTGAAAAGCCATGATGTTAGTTTTTCCGGAGCTCCAGCAAGAAGCAGGTTAAGGAACAGTTGCAATCGCGGATCATGGTGGATCTCCCATTGAACTGCTTTGTCCTTGGAGCGGTCAATATCATGGTCAAGGTCAACGACGACGCCCCTCGCTCTGACCGCCAGGTCCTGGACAACGTCCGACCAGACGTCTTCTATTGCAACACCTATCTGCTCATTCATCGCTACAATGCTCGGAAAATTGTACAGCAACTTGTCGAGCGCGGACAGGTCCTCATCCTCGGGCGATTTATGATAGTAGCGGACGACCCGGTTCCCGAATGATGATGGCTCCTTCGTAGGATCCTGCTTGAACCTAAAGATCGCCGTGAGCTCCCCTCCGTGCGCTTGGGCAAAGACTTCCGTCTCATCGGTCGAGCCCCAGATATGTCCAAGGGTGCAGTTCGTCCCGGCCGCGGGTACCGCTGGTTCTTCTTCCGCCATCTTGCAACCGCTGAGATGAAGCGTTTGAGGGATAACATGTTCAAGGCCTGCAACGAGAGCGGCGAGGCTGGTGCAATCGGACAGTAGTGGATCTGTGCGATGGTGCTGTCACTCAGCACCACAGTCTGCCCTACCCTGCTGGCAAACATTTCCCATGTTCGTCTTGCTTGCACTCCGTAGATCATATTTGCTCATCGATGATGGGAGCTTGGGCTCAGAGTGTTGAACACTGCAGCTTGACATGTCACACGTCCTATTCCGTAATCTCAATGAGGAAGGCAGCTGATCCCTTGCATCCTATGTTTGTTTGCCAAACAAAAGCTTGTTACACTTCGTGAAAATGTCTGTGTCGGCGTTCTCAAACCCATCGCAAGAGGGAGTCTCACTTCTGAAGCCGACAGGTCCATAGCATGATCATACCTGCCGCTTTGTTATCTAAGCGCGTCGTGTAACGGCGGAGCGTCTCCCTGGAGGCAGGCGCGAGTTGGCAAAGGCAGTCTATTGCGGTTGCTCCTCCATATTCGCCTCCTCAACTCACCTAGTTGCATCTTTTCGACGTCTCCACCTCCCTCCATACCCTCAATACTGCACCAGAGCCCTCAAACTCACAAACACTCAATCAACCACAATGCCGTCCATCACCACCCTCACCACCCTCGCCCTCGCCGCCCTCACAGCCGCCGTTCCCCTCACCACCCCAGCGGCGCCTTGCAACTCATCCGAGTTCACCATGACGCTGCAATACGGCTACCCGCCCACCAACCTCTCCCTCACCGCCATCGACAGCGACAACCCAGGCACCCTCAATATCGTCGGCCTCGATCCTGCCTCTTACCGCGGAACGCCAGGTACCCTCCCTACCTTCCCACGTTTCCAGTCACGCAAACTAGCGGTTAATAGTGAAGCAAACCGGCAACACAACCAACTCCCACCTCAGCTTCGACATCCAGGCGGGCGACGACTGCGAGACCTCCCAGACCGGGCAGTTCAGCATCTACGTGCCTGATATGGGCGAGCTGTACGGACAACAGCAGCCGATCACTGCTACGAAGGGCGGGATGTCGTCGGAGATGTTCGTGGGTGGGGGAGTGGTGTTTCCGCATTTGACGGCGGCTTCGCAGAGTTGGTATGGTGAGTTTGACAATTCCGTGCTTGTCGGTTGATGGTGCTGTGTGCTGATGAGGTTTTTAGCGTGCCCGATCACTGTGCAGGGAGAGGAGTACATGGGCCTCAGCTTCGGGGTGTACAATTCGAATGGCAGTGCGCCGTGGAGGTGTACGTATGCGCAGGTGAAGCAGGAGTTCGACATCCCTTGCGACGAGGCATCAAGGTGATCGAAGCGAAGCTGCGCTGGGAAGGCACACTTCCTAAGCATCGACAAAGTGCTGGAAGTACGAGCTCCGAGCATCACTGCGCGCTTCCAAACAGCGCCGGAGCGGAAAGATCTGAAGCAGTCAACACATTGCATTTAGATGATTGTACATACCCACAAACACCATCATACTATCTCGTCTCATTCTTCAGAACAAATCCGTCACAGCCCCATGACTAGCATCCCCAACAAGCCTCGCATACTTCGCCAACGTCCCCCTCGTCACCGGCATCGCCGGCGGCTTCCACGCCCGCAACCGCCTCTTCACCTCCTCCTCGCCCACATCAAAGCTAATCTCATGCTTCGCCGCATCAATCGTAATCACATCCCCATCCCTCACCACAGCAATCGGCCCCCCCACCGCCGCCTCGGGAACAATATGCCCCACGATGAACCCGTGCGAAGCACCGGAGTATCTCCCATCGGTTATCAACGCCACGTTCGTCAACTTCGCGCCCATAATCGCCGCGGAAGCCTTCAACTGCTCCGGCATGCCCGGCCCGCCTTTCGGCCCCTCATACCGCACCACGAGGACGAGGTTCTCGCCGCGCGGGATCAGGCCTTTGTTCAGCGCGTCGTCGAGTTCGTGTTCCTTTTCGAAAACTCTCGCTTTGCCCGTGAAGCTCATGCCTTCTTTTCCCGTGATCTTGGCTACGGAGCCGCCGGGCGCGAGGTTGCCGTAGAGGACTTCGATGTGGCCCGTTCTCTTGATGGGGTTGTCGAGGGATTTGATCATTTCCTGCCCCTGCTTCAGCGAAGGCCAGGACTCCACGTTTTGCGCAAGGGTTCGGCCCGTGATGGTGATGGTGCTGCCGTCGAGCAGGCCGGCGGCGATGAGGAATTTGTGCACGGACGGGATGCCGCCGATTTCGTAGAGGTCTTTCATCAGGTACTTGCCGCTCGGGGCGAGGTCGGCGATGAAGGGTATGCGGTCGCTGCAGCGCTGGAAGTCGTCGAGGGTGAGGTCGACGCCTGCTGTGCCGGCCATGGCGAGGAGGTGCAGGACGCCGTTTGTGGAGCCGCCGAGGGCCATCATCATGACCATGGCGTTTTCGAACGCTGCGCGGGAGAGGCATTGGCGCGGGAGGATTTCCTTTTCCATGCAGATTTTGATGCATTCGGCTACTTTTTGCGTTTCGCGCATCTTGGCCGGGCTTGCTGCTGGTGTGGACGAAGAGCCGGGGACTGTGAGGCCGAGTGTTTCGATGGCGGTTGCGAGGGTGTTGGCTGTGTACATGCCGCCACACGCTCCTTGGCCTGGACATGCGTTCTTCTCGAAGTCGGTGATGAGTTCCTCTTTGGTTTGCTCGGGCTTGTTCGGGTTCTTGAGGCTGTTGTAGATGTAAGACCCGTGAGCTTCTAGAACTGTTGCGATGTTGATGTCCTTTTCCAGCAAGTTCGAGTGGCCAGGAAGAATCGAACCACCATAAATCATGATGCTGGGGCGGTTATGCCTCGCCATCCCCATCACGACACCAGGCATGTTTTTGTCGCAACCAGGGATCGTAATACAAGCATCATGAAATTGAGCACAAGTCACAGTCTCAATAGAGTCCGCAATAAGCTCTCTCGACTGAAGACTGAACCGCATCCCCTCGCCACCCATCGTAATGCCATCCGAGACGCCGATAGTGTTGTACTGCCACGCAAGCATATCTTGCTTGAGGATAGCAGCTTTCGTCTCCTTGGCTATGTCCAGTAGATGAGTATTGCATGGGTTCCCTTCCCACCACACGCTGGCCACCCCGACCTGCGGGTAGTTCTTGAGCTGGTGTTCGTTCGGAACTCCAGCGGCGTACAGCATCGCCTGGGCTGCCGGGAAGTCATGTTCGCGAGTCAAAGTAGAGCTGTATTTGTTCAGTCCTGATCCTGGCTTGGAGTTTGGGAAGTTGAGGAAGCGAGGCTCTTCGGGCTGTTTTTCCTGTTCTTTGTTGTGTGGATCCATTTTGAATGGCGATGCCGAGTGTTATTGTTGTAAGAACTGCTTCCTTACCACCGCTGCCGACACCTTCAGAATCAGTCGAAGGGAGGGAAGAACAGACGTTGGCGAACGAGATGTCCCGCATTGATGATGACTCTGGTGGTGGAAACAAGTGAAGCTTATTTCATCTGCACCCCACAGCAGCCCCTCCGAGTGTATAACCGGGAGAAAGTCAGCCGAAGGCGTGTTGTTCGGGGAAGAGGGAGTCTATCCAAAAAAACGCAAAGAACCAATTCGCAGGAGAATGGATCGAGAGGCTTGTAGTGCCTCGCTGTTGAGAACGAGAGGTCGCACAGGCAAGCAGCGGCTGTACCTACACAGCGTCTTGAACGATCAAGAACTCGGACATTCTCACAGTTTCATTCTGATGCCAGCTCAGCTGACGGGTATCATAGCCATCGCATATCTCTCAAACGCTCGAAAAGACTCACTCGTCCTCATATCCGCTCACTGCCCATCCCGCGCCTGCGCCCACTCCGAGCTCGCGTTCTCCGCCTCTTCCGGCACGTTCGAGTCCTTATACTTGTCATCCTTCGCAACGGGCGGCGGCGGCGCATCCGTATCATCATCGTCGTCCTCAAAGTGCGCCGGGTCGATCATTTGTGCGTCGGCCGCTGCGTCTGTGTCATCCGCGTAGCTCGATGCGGCTGTGTTTCCTTGAGGATCGCGGTCTTGCAAAGTGTCGTCCGCACTCACGCTGATGCCTCTGTTGCCCCAGCTTCTTCCACTGTGATCTGTCTGTGGCCTGATTGTGCCGCTCTCTTGTCTTGCTAGTGCCTCATCTTCTTCCGTGACGTCTTCGTCCTCGTTGTCTGCTCGACTCCCGCGGCCGATAAAGCGGCGCACGAGGTAGCTCTTGCTTAGGTCGTCGGCGTCGACGACTCCACCGCCTCTGAGCTTGACCCTTTGCCTGCTGTAGTAAACCCATGCGAAGTCGACGTACAGCGCGGTCTGGATGACGCCGAAGATAACGCTCGTCGGATCGAAGTGGTGCTCAGTGATGCCCCGCCAGATCCAATTGAAGATGTAGAAGAAGCGGTAGCTGCCGAGCGTGACGAGGTAGTAGCTGTCGATGACGGTCGGGACGGTCGTCTGTCGCAGAAGCAGGAGTTGAGGCAGGACGCAGATGCTCTCGAGGACGATGCTGAATGTCCATAGAACCTGTATCTCGACATGAGTACTTTCACCAGCGGATATCCATGCCATCGTACCAACCTCAGACAAGTGCAAGTTGTGCTCAAAAGTCAAGCACACAATCGGCGCGCTGACCAAACTCCCCAACAACGACCACATCGCCAACTTCCACGCATACTCTCGTTCCCGCGTACGCGCATACACCCGCATCATCAACCAGACAATGTAGGCGCTGCTGCCGATGTAGAAGATCTTGAGCACCGTGTTCCACCAGCTCCACCATGGCGGCACCCAGAAGAGGTCCAGGTAGCGAGAGCCGAAGACGAGGATATATAGGAGTTGGGTTAAGAGGGAGACGCCTTCGGCCGACTTGTTGCGGTGAATGGCCCAGATCAGGATGCATTTGGAGGCGGTATGGGAGAGGTCGCCCAGGACGCGGAAGACGTTGAAGGAGATGGCCATGGTCGTGGAATACCGGGGTGTGCCAGTGTTGATGTAAAGACTACATCGGTCTGTCGGCAGATGTTGAAGAGGGGGTTGGAGCACGGCAACAATCACAATAGCTGAAGCCTTATACGAGTCCGGCCACATGGCATCCGTCGCTTGGGATGACGCGAGCCTCCTGCAAGGGTCCGAGCTTGTCGCAGACCGTTGGAAGCATCCACGTCTTCTGTCACTCCATTCTGGTCCTCTTCTCTTCATCTATCAGTGAACAACATTTTCATCGAAGTGCAGACTGTTTACATTGGAAGGGCGATCGGAGCTTCTTGTACGATGGGTGCCCGACGACTTGATGTAGTCGACCTACTCTGTGCTGAGAATCACACCACGAGGCTCACAAGAGAATGGTCAAGACGTTGAGCAACGCTACCATCTGTAAATGATGCTTGTGGATCAGTAAGCAAAGAAAATTGTGAGTTATCGGGACACCATCTGGCTTCGTCAGTGTCTCAATCTATCAAGGAGGTCCATCTACAGCTCATCATGCCCTTCTGCATACCAAGGGTACAACACAAGATGACCCTGTCTTGCCGCTTGTTTGCTCGCCGCGAAAACATCAGGCTGCCGAACGACATTCGCGATCTCGACCATACGGGCTTCTTGGTTGGCCTGCAGCCTTTGACCGAAGACCAGGAGATGCTTTTCGGACCAGGCCTCGCCACTCAAGATCACATCTACGACAGTACGGCCAGCGGCGTCAATGCCCTTGCTAAGGTCGTCGACTTTTGCAACGGTCTGGTCCCAATGCTCTTCCAAGCTGCCATCTCTGCTTTTCCGACCTTCGAAGGTGTGCCCACCGAACTCTGGGAAGGTACTCCATGGAGTCCAGTACGGTCGCGGTCCTTCTAACCAGAGCGAAAGGCTAGCATTGCTGAAGTCGATGACGATGCTCGTCGGTGAAAGCGTCTTTGGTCCGCACTGCTGGAGTCTTGAGGTCGCTTTATGGTCCGGAGAAACACAATGGTGCTTTTCCGTGTAGGATAAGGTGTTGTACGCCGCTGGTCTAATCTGCTTGGCGTCTACAGCAGCGTCCAGGACCTGACGCCAATACGAAGATTCGTCCAGGCGAAATCGATTACGGTACACGGCCGCGGAGAACTTCCTTGTGATATGCCAGTACCACAAGGATTCCAGATTGTCGTTCGCCATCCAGCTTACCTCCTGGAATATCTCTGAGTCTGTCCGAGGCTTGATTGTCGTGAAGAAGAAGTCGGGAACGGCGATTTTGGCGTACTCCCATGGCCTGATGCTGGTGATATTGAACTGACGCTTCATCTGCGGTTCCATGCTGCTTTTCAGATCTTTGATCGCCGCTGCAAGAACTGCTGCATCGGCATCGTCGACGAACTCATCGGTATCGAAGATCGAAGGCGAATGCGTAGGTCTGCGGGGAACAAACACCTCGAGAACGTGCCACCAGGAAGACTCGGGGTCACGGATCAGTTGGTGTTGCCGCTCTCGTTCCTTCTCACGGGCTCGCTCCCATGCCTCCTGCAACCCCTCTATAGGTGCAGATTGAGTCAGGTGAGCTTGATGGCAGACGCCGAGGTACTGGCGCATGACATTCTGGTAAGCCTCGCCTCCGTGGACTTTTGCGACAGCATAAGTTGACGTGTTCGCCAGGGTCACTGAAGCGAGGACGTGGTCCAGGGTGAATTCAATGCCAAAGGCAGGTTCGCCATGATAGCCTCCAGCAGCCCTGGGCGGCTGGCTCTTTTCAGCCAAAGTCTTGAATGTCGACGGTGAGCATAAGACGAGGCCAAAAACTGAGAGTAGGAACCGCATATGCATGGTTATCATTCCGGCGGAGGAAACAGCAAAAGATCTTGCGCCATGCTCTATGGAATCTGTCCTGAAGGCGTCGTCTCCAGGCTGACGTTTCCTGAAGCGCCGCCAAGGCTCTTGGCATACCGAGTCTGGACGATACCAACGACCACCGCTCCTCACCACATATGCTGGTGTACGGCGCGGACAACGATACGCTGTCATGGACTCTTACATGCTGGCAGTGCAATATCTGGAGCAGCGAAATGCATCGAGAACACTACACCTTCTTTCGGCGTCTCCATCTTGGGCACGCCAACACCTTTTGAGTCCAGACATACAGTCCACGTCGAGATGCAGTGACAACGGCTGTATGGCCCAGTCATCCTCTCACATGGCTATGCTTCCACATGGTTATGCTTTCACATGGCAGTCACTCCTGCGCTCCACTGGTGGCACGAACTTGTGCTGTGCCAGGAGCAACACCTCTGCCTGCCGCCGTACGTTGCCGCACTCTCTACGCCGCAATCCAACGTTAGACAGGCACACGAGACAACAGAACCGCCTCGCGATCTATTCGCAGCATCGGGGCTGTAGAACGAAGCGCTTGCCAGGCTCTGTGAACTGCCAATCTAGTACAAATATCGGCCAGTATCTTCATGACTTCAGGACTCGACATCACTCTAGGACCGAACCCGAAGACCTCTACCAAGGATGTTTCTCTGCAGCCTCGTCCTTGGTTCGATCGTCATTCGACAAGCGTACGCAAATCCCATAGTTGGCCCCCCCACCAATCTGGACGCTGGACGTTCGGACCGCAACATTGCCGCGAGAGATCATGAGCCTGATCTGAGCACGTTGACAAGACTCTACGGTTACCTCGGGTGTAACAAGGACGACGAGAAAGCCGTCAACCGGGCCTTTGCAGACGCCATTGAGATTGCCGCTGCCGTAGCGCCATCAGTCAATGATGTTGATAAGATCGACCCCAATCTACGGCACAATGTTGTCTGGTAGGGTAAGAAAGACAACGTGTACCCGATATGGTGGACGAACATCATTGGTAAGATCTACCGCCTTGGTCTTCCGAGATGTGGACGTGTCGCTGACTTAGATTATAGGTAACCTCAAACGGATGAGAGCTCTCAAAGACCACTGGTACCTTGGCGACATTTGGAAAAGGAGGTGGGAAGCAGAAGTTTCGCAGGTTCAATAGCATAGCTGACACAACCCACCGCAGATACTTCGAGATCCGCTGCCATAACAAAAATGACTGGCTCGACCAAGACGGCAGGGGTTGCAACGGAAGGGCCTTAGCAGTCAATGCGCACACTGTGGCAAAGGGTGAAGCCGGAAACCATTACGACGTCATCGTTCTGTGCAACGAATGGTTTGAAGACATCTCTTTCAAGGAAAAGGTCTCTCGCATGGACGACCCAAACACCCCGCACAAGCGCAATGATGTGATGAGCCTCAAAACCCAAGGGAGGCAATATGCCGACTGGGAGATACTACCGACACTGACAACTCGGGTCGCACGCAGGCTCACGACTCCTGCATGAGATGCTACACACGAAGAACAGCGTTTGGCAAGAAGGAGACCTAGCAGGACTTACCAACCCCGCTGCGGTTGACAAAGAACTCCCAGGCACGCGATGGGAAGGAGCTGCTTATGACGCAAGACGGTCTAAATTTCTGGCAAAAAATGCAGGTATGGATTTCGCCGGAAGAAATGTCGACAACTACGTTTACTTTGCGCTTTGGCATTACATGAAAAACCGATGGGATATCGACGCCATCTCGCCGCCGGGTGAATGGAAGAACTACCCAACCGGGCACTCGGCTGGCTACACCGACTACCGTAACGGGATCACCACCCTGCCGGAGGATGCGTACGTTGCTCAAATCAACCAGACGCTCATCGACAACGGAGGGTTTGTGACCTACGGTGGCAACGATTGCGATGTCGACTCAGATTGTGATGAGTTTGTCTACCGGACGAGCAGTCGTCCTGCTACGGTGAAGGTGATGCACAAAAGACCTGTCTTTGCAGCTTTGTGTACGACCCCCCGGCAACTTGATCGGGCTGAGGTGACTACAGAGCTGTGCGATGGTGTTGCTAGACTATGCATGGAGTTTGTTTCATTTCATGGGATCTCCATCGATCCACGGCTTTCTTGTTTGCTTCCACAATCGAGAGATGGCTAAGGAAAGAGACGAAAATGCCAGGTTGTCCGAAGAGTGATGTTCGAAGTGGCAGAAAACGTCGAGCTCCCAGCAGACTCGGTGGCTTAAAGAGTGGCTCCCCAAGACCAAAAAGCACCCTCACTTCCCCTTTGTACTCTGCTCCAGCGCCTCCAACTCCCTGAGATCCTCCGTGACATCATCTCCCACAACCTTATCAATCTTCGTCAACGGATGCTCCGGGATCCCCCCTGCGCCCTCCCGAGCCAGCTTCCCGACCCACGGCACCGCGTAATGGCACCACACCATCCGCTCCGGAGCCATGTACTCCTTCTCCAGATCCTCACGATCGATCGTTGCGGACCACAGATCCAGCATTGTCGGCCATCCCCACGCCTCCGGGATGACGCCCGGGTCGATCGAGTAGCCGATGCTGGTGCCGCAGCGGGAGCAGAACCAGCGGGAGCGCTGGGGGGAGGATCTGTAGACGGAGAGGTGGGAGTTGGCTGGGTTTGGGTTGCGGGGGTCGAAGATCTCGGACGCTGAGGCGGAAGTGCGTTCGCGGTCCGGGATGTCGAAGGCGCCTTCGCTGGTGGTGGTGGTGGAGCGAGGGAGCACGGACACCTGGACGGTCTTTGTCTCGCAGACGAGGCCGATGGGGAGGATCTGGTTGGCGCCCAGACGGCAGTTGTTGCAGTGGCAGAGAAGGACGCAGGGGATGCGGAGGTCGCCGATGTCTGTGCCGGGGGTTTTGTAGGGCGTCGGGGGTCGCTCTTCGAATGGCGGGACGTGGACTTCGTAGCGGATGGCTCTGCAGTTGCAGCCGCCGTGGATGGTGAGGGCTCCTTTGGGGAAGGACATGGCGATTTCACGTGGCTAGTCGAGGGCTTGGTATCGATGCGCAGCAGCTGATGAAGCGTTGAGATGCTTCTTGGTGGTCCTTATATTCCTGTTGGCTCCTTCACGCCCTGTATGTCAAAACATTGCGCCCTGTTGGGGGCCAAGAAATAGCGGCTGAGCGAACCCGGCGTGCTCTTTCCGCAGGAATCTTATTACACCCATGCGCAGTACGACACTTCCTGGCCTATCGTTATCAATCTAGAGAATGGCGAAGAGTGTCGGATTGTAGTGCCGATGGACGCGTCTCCAAACGTGACTGCGGTCATGAGTAGACGCAGAATGAACGGTCTACCCTGCAGATGCTTTGCTAACAATGAGTCGCTGTCTTAATGCGCATGCTTGCTTGCGAGCTCAGTCCTGCCAGCCATTAGTGGACGATCCCATTGTTGAAATCTGTCCGCAAACTTACTATCAACACCTTCCTTCCTTCACACCGAGTCCCACCCATGCCAACAACCTCTAAATCATACTCCCACCATACCCATTCTCCACCCACGTCCGCTTTTCCCCCTCATCAGTCTCCTGCTGCAGCATCTCCTCCTTATCCAGCCAACCTTGCCGCATCATCTCCTCCTCCAAAATCTCCGTAACCCTCTCCAGCACCTCAACGCGCTCGAGCTTCGATGGCTTGGATGAAAGCATTGTGGCGCCGTAGTTCATGAGGTGGTTGATGAGGTTGGTGAGTATGACCAGGAGGACGTAGAGGAGGATGTTGCCGGGGGTGACTGTCTGGACATTAGCTCTCGTCTTTGGTGGGTAGTGTATTGTTTCGAGATGGAACTTGTCGTATTGCGAGAGGTCGATGTCTGCCATGTTTGCTTTGTTCGGTAGTTGGAGGTTGCAGTCGGTGTTGTCAAGCGTTTAGGCGGCGTCGAAAAGAGATTACTGGTGAGTATGATGTGGAGGTAATGTGGTGTCGATAGTGTTCATGTGAACGTTGACGTTTTTTGAGATGCAACAGTGACGGATGAAGTCGTGACTGGCGTGAATCAAATTGGGAAGGAGCTGCCTTTCGAAGTGTGTATTCGGAGAAGGTAAGATGCCATTGAAAAATTGGCGGAGCATGAAATGAATGAAAGTGGTCAGGCTCTTACCAACACTTACTCCCTGCAATCGAACTCATAGGAATATTCCTGAAGCTCTACTGTACAACGACCTTCACTTCGCCGTTCTGCAAATGCTGACGTACACTTTATCACACCCTCTGGCTCCAACAATCATATACACCATCGCAGCACTGTCCCGCCCGTATCTGTTCCGCAGCCCCTTAATCCCAGCGGGCGCAGACTTTCAAAGGCGACGCTCGTAAGTTCATTCTAGGCCGAAGAACAGCAAGAAACGAAGCGCGGGTTCCCGAAGGGCGTCCCAGCAGCGACGAGACCTACTGTTGTATGTTTTGCCTTTCCTTCAGCTCCCATGGGCACTCGGGAGTGCGGGAGAGAAGGCCTTGTGGTAGCCATGTTGTGCGAGAGGAAGTCGGGAAAAGGAAGGAAGTGGTAAGATATGGAAGGAGAAGGTGAAGTTGAAGGATTTCGTCGGTTACTGAGCCATGCCAGCCGTCAAATCAGCCAGGTATGAGGGCACAGCGCATCCGCATTCCGTCGTGTCGCCCTCCTAAGCCATGCGCATTCACACTGTGTCCGCCGCAAATCAGCGATCATGCTCTCCTGTCAGTTGTGAATCTTCACTCACACTAGCCGTCCTTTGTTTTCTTCTCCTACCGACTCGCGCTCCAAACCCCCTTCAACAACCCATCCTTCTGCGCCAACCGATTCACACAATCGTCGCTCTCCCCCATCGCCCGCACAAATCCACACAGCGCGTACACCTGGTTCTCGCCGGTGTACCGCCCGTTCTCGTCGACTTTGCCCACGGACAGCTGGACGGAACCGTGGTCTTTGGCCGTGATGATGCGGTTGGTTGCGCTGCACTTGCGGGGGACGTAGCTGTGGGAGAGGGTTAGTGGGGCGCGGTGGGAGAGGGGGGACGGGCAGGGGGGCGCGTACAGGTCGACGAGCTCGCCGCGTTCGTTCTCCATTTTGGCTTGAGTTGTGTGTGTGTGTGGGTAGTTGTTCTGTGGTGTGTGTGTGTGGTCGTTGTCGTAGTGGACGGTGGTCGGAGGTTCGCATCTCGAATTTCGATTGATGCCAAGATTCGCATGGTCCGTGCACGATTTTGACCTTTGCGTGAGCAGCAGCGAAGGGCACGAGCAGGCAGTTGAGAAAATTGCTTATGTTGTCATCAGACATTACCATTCATTCTCTATAGCTAACAAGCGTCGATACATGATCATGCAGCCAACAGCATTGTACAGATATCTAACCATCTCAAGAACGCCGCGCGCAATGATGGGAATCATGATATGACAAAACACAAATCCAACCCTTCCTCGATGATCTCTCACAGCATCAGCGCAGCAACGAAGAAGCCCAGCAATGCCACCGCGCTGCCCGCATACACCGTCGAAGCCTCGCTCATGCTGCCATTTCCCTGCTCGAACGAAGTAGTCCCACCTACTTGAGTAGGCGAACTATCAGCCGGCGCGGAGCCACTCGGAGAGTTGCCACTGCCGCTGCCACCGTTGCCGGCCTGCTGCCCTCCAATCTGTTGGCTACCACCACCAGAGATACCAGGGACAGTCTCGGGTGTTGACGTGGGCTTCGAGCCGCCGGAGGTCTTGGACTTGGGCTTGAAGTCGGGGTTCTCGCCGTCTGCCAGCATAGAGCCGAGGATGGTGTTGTTGTTGCCGATCGCGACGGACTGCTCCAAACCTTCCGAGTTGAGGTAGTAGTACGCCTCGTCGCCAGTTTTGGTAGTGTCTGACGGCGGGTCGTAGCACTCCACTGACACTTCCTTGACTTGGGCGTAGTAGTAGCCGTTCTGCATGTACTGGCTGTCCCAGTCGATCAGTCCTCCAGCCCACGTTATCGTACCGTTGCCGTTGGAAGGAAGACCAGCAGGCCAAAGGGAGAGCTGAACACGAGACGGTGTTTGCGGGAAGTGGTACTTGTTGTCGGTGCTGTTGTAGGTGTCCTTCTTCTGCACTGTGCGGCCGACCTTGCCATCGATGGCCCATGAGATGTAATCGGGTTGCCAGTCGATAGTATAGGTGTGTGCCTCGCTGACGGTGTTGGAGGTGGTGAGGGCTTTGCCGTTATCATCTAGAGAAGCATCAGTATTCTGTCCTTGCCAGCTAGCAATTCAAGAAGGATGACCACTCACAGTCCGTCACACCCTGCCAGTAGTAGTTGCTCTGCGCCGACTCCAGGTCCACGCCAACAAACTCGAAATCAATCTCGTCCTTGACATCGCTCATCATAATGAACGCAGTCACCACGCCTTGTCCTTGGCTGGTGGTCATTGTCGCGGACATCTTGCCGTACCATACATAATGCGTGCTCATTAGGAGTGTTCCCACCGTGTCCGGCGCCATGGTCAACAGGACCGCCTCATCATTGTACGCCACAGGCACACCACTGGAGACCCAGTTCTTTTCCGATGCGTCGCCGAGATATGCAGTATTCGATTCAATATCGTCCAGGGAGGTGAGCTTGTAGTCGGCCGACTTGCACACAGGCGCGGCCATGCAAGAGTTGATGGAGAAAGAATTTGCTGGATCGCAGCCTCCCAGACAGTACGCGCCAACACCACATCGGCCATATTGCGAACAGCAGGGTGTGTCTTCGGGGCATGGGCTGCCCGGGCCGCAAGTGGTGATAGTCGCTGCATAGGTGGAGGAGAGGCAGAAGGTGGCCGCGAGTGCCGCGGCGGCGTTGAAGGTGTGTCTCATGCTGTGCTGTATCCCAATGCAATCCCGTGCGCGCAATCTAATGTGTCGTGGTGTCGTAGCAATCGAATTGCTTCTCGTTGGTGCAGTGTTTGGGGCCACGCGTTTGAAGAAAGGGCGGCTCGTCGCTCGGTATGCCGTGTGTTGGCGGACGCTGCTTCCCAAACGAGTGGTACGTTGCTCGTGGCCGCAAGAACGAGTGTCTGATTAGAATTATGAGAAGATAGAGATGTCGCAGGCAAAGAATGAAGAATAAGGATAAGCAGGGTGCTGAAGGTTTATGCTGTCGCCAGGGAGAATCCCCATCGAAATCGCTAGCTGCAGCGCCGTCGACCAACCAATTCGCCACACTACCGCCTGCTCTGGTTAGCGACAACGTAATCCTCTCCCTGCGTCTGCAAGGCTTTGAAGGCTCTGAACTCTACGTGTATTTCTGGACCTCTTGCATTTACACAACGAAATTTAAACAGGACATCGATGGGATGAGAACGAGGTGCTGACCGCTCGCGAGACGGTATGGCTCGTCCACGCCAACATCGCACGCCTGATTTTCACTAACATGAAGCTCGACAATGATGGGATGAACTTCCCTCCTCGCCAGGAACGTCGCCAACGCTCATCCTCCTCGGCTTCTTCAGGGGCATAATGGATCCTAAGGAAATCGCTCGAACCGACGCGATGCACCACGAAGCGCTACTGAAAGGCATCAACTCAACTTCCGGCGTGAGGTGTTGCATAGTGTCTTGCATGGAAATCGTTAGGTGTAAGACATTCAATGGACTCACATGGAAGAGTCTCAGGTAGGTGCCATAGGCAACCGCCTCATTGTCTCCATCTCGTGATATCAGGGACCTCTTCCCGCAGAGCCACGATGGACATCTCGCATCTCAACCGTTCCACATTTGAAGGACTTCTCACACACCTTCCAAGACGAACTGAACACCCACCCGCCTCCGACTCGTCTGCATTCACCTCGCCAAGACCAACATGGCGAAACCTGAGGTCACCGAATCCCCCCTTGACAGCATCTTCCGCCCACACGACTTCCAGCCAGGAGAAGAGTACATCGACCTCTACCACGTCTACGACAACCTCTCCCGCACCCCATTCGTCCGCCGCACCGGCATCTGGTGTGCAGATCCGCGACCAGGCCCAGTCCACGCTCTGGAAGCCCACAGATCCATCACACCTGCATCCATGCGGAAGCACCTCGATCCGCTCAACCGGCATCCGACGCAGTTCATCTCTTTCTACTCGGAACGCGAGGCTGCTCTAGCGGAAGTGCAGCGACGGCGGTGGGAGGTGAAGGTTCCTGGGCCTACGAAACCTGGTGAGTTGGAACCGACGATGAGGGATCGGGATGTCACCTCTGTCCGTATGGCGCACGTGCGTCTCCATCCGGGCACTGAGGTCTACTTCTTCTCGCGTGCTGAGATGCTGGAGATGATGGAGGTTCATCCCGAAGTCGGCATGGAGCAGTATGTTCTGGAACACTCCGTTCCAAGCGAGTGGTTTGTATGGGGCTATGTGCGGGAAGAGTGTGTTGAGAATAGGGAGGACTTGTGAGCTGATCTCGATCACAGCTGGGGGAGAGTTTCGCCTCCTCTGGCAGATGGTGTGTCAGATTTGCTTGTGACGGCAATGCGCGCTCTTGACGTCCGCCAGCACTACCATGCAACGCGGCTCAACGGCGTATATCATCATGTCGATCTGGATACCGGGGTTCGTGAGCGTACAAATGGAATTGTGCCCTTCGGAAGACTGGTCAGCGGCGAGTAATTTGTCGCTTTTTGATCTGGCTGGCGCTGTGTGAGCTTAGCGAAACGATAAGTCCTACTTCAAATGCATCTGTTCACATCCAAGATCACACTCCACACATTACACATTATGTATCTACCCTCTAGCGTGCTCGTATTCATCTTATCCTCGCTTCGTTCAGGCATCGTTCCATTTCCCACCTGCAATGCCCAATTTCTTCGCCGCCTTCTCACTCTTCCTTCTCACGTCAACCGCCCTACACGCCAACGCAAACAGCACAAGATGCCCACAACTACACCTCGATCAGCACCACCCACCACCTCCAATAACGAATTCCCAATTCACTCACCCAACAACCACCGCAAACACCGCCCCCGCAATCTCCACCCCCTTCAACACCTCCCCCTCCATAATGACCCTCCCATCTCCAGACGGATAATCCTCATTGCTCGGGTACTTGTACTTCAGATTCGTCGCGAGCAACAGACATCCCATGGCCCATCCGAGACCCCAGCCGATGAAGTCGAAGGGTATGTCGATTCCGGGATGGTAGGGGTGAGGCCCGCGGAGGAGATGGAGGAGGAGGGTTGGGGTGCTGTAGAGGAGGGTGTAGGCGGCCTGTGGGCAGATTATCTTAGTCGATTGGGGAACTGGAGGTAATGTGAGGGTTAGGGAGAAGGGACGGACTGGAGCGAAGACCACGGCGTCTGTGGATGAGCCTGGGCTTGACGTGAAGAAGTATTCTTGCTGCGAGTAGGCTATCCCCATCAAGATGAAGGTGAGGACGGCGGCGAGGATGGTTGCGAGACGCAGGAGGGGGACTGGATTGCGCGTATTGTTGAACATGATGCGTGAGGGGAGCATGATTGCTGAGGTGCGGGCAATGAGATGATGGATCAAAGGCAAGTAGTGGCTGCGGAGGAACTGTTATGCATGCTCTGAAGGCCATACTCTGGCTCAATGTTGGGGTGGGCGAGGCATCGAGACAGAAGATATTGTTAGGTCGATTGGCTGATAGGGTCAGGATTCGTTGCATAGCCTGGCGATCGGTTTGGACCCCATGGCTGGAAGAATGCAATGCTCAAACCAAACCGTCTAATCGCGAACATCGTTTTGAGTCCTAGAAAGGACGGGGATGGTCTGAGACCAGATGTTGGTTGATCAATGGGTCTGGCTATGCGCTTGGTGTGGTGTCACAGCATATTCGCCTTCTTCTCAGCCGCACGTCAGGACAACTTCATTTGTCCAGAGGATAGTAGTAACTCCATCGATGCGTCGGGTGGAAGACCTATAAGATGAGGTTGTTCTCTTGATTTGTCACTGCATAGCAGAGCATCGCTGCAGCATCTCTAACCATCTATTTCCCACTCGCCTTCGCCTTCGCCGCCATCACGCTCTTCACCGCCGGCCGCTCCATCATCTTTTGGTTCCACTCATAACACTTCGGGTACTGCGTCTTCCAATCAAAATCCTTCACCATGCCCGGCGCGAAAGCGTTCCAGGGGATGAACATCAAGTCCGCGTAGGAGATTTTGTTGCCGACGAGGTACTCGTTGCCGGTTTTGGAGAGGTGGGCGTCGATGACGCCGAGCACGCGCTTGATCTCGTTGGCGTAGCGGTCGATGGCGGAGGTGATGTTCTTTTCGGAGTGGAACTGGGCGAGTTGAGGTTAGTGGAGCTCATCGAAGGAGGTTGAAGGGTGGACTCACCAGCGAGAACCACGCGAACTGGCCGTAGTACGGTCCCTGCCCGCTCATCTGGAAGTGCTCCCACGACTTCTCGAGGTATTTCTGGGGCGACTCGGCGTAGGAGAGCTTGTTCTCCTTGTCGTAGGTGTCGATCAGGTAGTCGATGATGGCGCCGGACTGTTTTTCCCGTAAGCTGGATGCCACACCTTCTTCCTCGTCTGCAGACTGACCTCAAACAGAGTGATGTCCTTATTGTTGGGATCGGTTATAGCTGGGACCCGGCCATTGGGGTTGTAATTGACGAAGGGCTCCTGCTTGAGGACACCAAAGTCAAGGAACTCAGTCTCGTATGGGACGCCGAGTTCTTCGAGGATAATGGCGACCTTCCACGGGTTGGGGCCTTGTGAAAACGATCAGTGTCTGCTTGTATCTCCTGTTGAAGACATCGTCATACCCGTGGCGTGGGAGTAAAGGTGGATGGGCTTCATGCTAGACATCTTGATATTATGGTGAAATCGAGCAATTCGAAGAGATTGTAATAATGCAGAAACAGTAATGTTTGGAACCTGAGAAAGCTGTAGAACAGATGACGATAGGAAATATATAGCTCTTCGGTACTTTGACCTAGGCGCGGTAGCTCATGCCATTGAACCTGCACGATGCCGTCAATGGTCCTTAAAAGAACCATATCGGCTATTTGTCATCTGGCTCATTGAGTGGGTAGCAGTCGAGCGGTTCTATTCCTCGATCAAACAGACTCTGGACTGGCGTGGTCGAGGTCGGTAGCTTTGCAGTCGCGGGCAGACTGGCTTACCAAATGCATGTGGAGTCTTGCCTTCGAAGGAGCAATTTAGCATCCTTTTGCGGGCCGGACGCATTTGGCCAACGGTGGGTCGACACGTCCATTCTCCGAGAAGGATGAAGACGATGAAGGTTGATGAGGAATAAGGTACTGTGTCGTGAGGACAGCACGGAAGCTCTCATCTCCTCCCCGCAGCACCGGAGTCTGGGCCAAAATGCGGCCGCTGCTTCCGTGTTCCGTCCTCTCTTGAACTTCTGCTTCGACAACCATAGTGAGGGACTCCACTGATCCGGCTTGTGACGATGCCGGGCTCGCCTGGAGGATGCGGCCGTCGCTGGGCAGCTTACGGCGCATCTCGGGAGCGAGGCCTGCCGCGAGATGTGAGACGGTCTTCAGGTCTGGATGAGAACACCAGTCTTCTGCCTCGCGAGGGCGTGTGCTGCAAAGTAGAAAGAGGCATGACCTTTCCCAAAGACGATGCGGCGGGATCGTTTTGTGAGATTGCTTCAACCGGCGCAGGCGGAAAGTCTTCGCTGCCGAGAAAGCCCTCGAGACCATTCGACAACGACGGTAACCGCGCTTCTTCAGCTCGCCACGACATCAAGCGAATGAAGTCGGGACAGCCTATGAAGATGACTGCAGCGTTGACCCGCGGCTCGTGCAGCACGACCTGCCATGCCGCATGCCCACCTAGACTGTCGCCTGCGATGATGTGGTGTTCGACTTTCGCGCCCACTTCGGCGGGAAGATAGCAGGGCAAGAAGTCGACCAGTGTACTAACATCAGCGGTCGTGCCTTGGTATGTCGAGAACAGAGCCGCTGCTGCGTTCTTGTTACCAGCAAGCCAGTTTGTATTGGCCTTCGTCGAAATCAACCGAAGACCATGGTTGCGCTGGTCGAAACAGACGGTAATCAGGCTACCTCGCTGTCCTGCTGGCCGCGTCGCACAGCGTTCTCGCCTGCACGTCTCAGCACAAAAGCACCATTCTCTGATGCTTACTCGAGCGCTGGCAAGGAATAAGGATGTTGCAAAATCTGTTTTTCGCCTTGCTGCAGCGGGTTGCTCTGATCAGAGGTCCCATAGATCCGATAACCGGACGTCTGGATCCTTGGTGGCTGTCGCGACACCAGTCGGCCGGTGATCTCGAGCGTGGTCCATGGGTCCAATTTGGCAGTGGACTGAAGATCATCTACGATGACGGTATGGACGGTCGAGCCGTCCGATATGGTCAAGCTGTGGCCGCTGCCGCCGGTGGCATCTGGAGGTTGTATTCTTCCCTTAATTTGATACGCCACCCCTTCCACACCATCCGATACGACCTCACTACTACAAAGCCGGCAACCTTCACAACGGACTCAGAATAACCGCTGACGACCCTCAAGGATCCGAGTGCTTCGCAGCCCTGGACGCTGACAGGATCCCAGAGCGCGACTGGCTTGCGCGGACTGTCCCGCACCTCATCCGCGACCGAGAGCTGGCGATGGCCGGACCGCCTCAGATCGCTTACAACGTACCGGCGTCGGATCCGATGAGCCAGGACTAGCCAGGACTCCAATGTCTTCGCCAAGTTCACTGAGCCGGTCCGCGACAAGTTCGATGCTAGCCAGTGCTCCAGGTCGGGCTATGTCATGCGACGCTCGGCGCTTGATGATATCGGTGGTTTGCCGCTGGTCAATGTCGGGGAGGACATCGTTTGCTCTAATGCGACGACTGGAGCGGGCTGGAAATGTGCTTTTATCGAGGATCAACTGCAATTTGGGCAGGCGCCAGGCTCGCTGCACTCGTATGTGTCACAACGTGTGCGCTAAGTATGTGTCAAAACCCAACCGCCCTCGAAGCAAATGCTGATGCAAGTTGAGTAGAGCAACGGCAGCCTGCTGGTTGCGAGACGATCCAAGTTCTTCCTAAGCAGGAGTCGCCGCCCACCCATCGCCCAAGCCTTCGCAATACTGCATGCAATCAAACCATACATGGCGCCGCTGACGCTGGCAACTTTCGTCGTGGTCCCCGTTACCTTCGTCACGATGGCCCTCAGAGCGGACTCTTCGGCACCACTACATCGTGGCAGCGTTCGTAGCGTCTTCGTTGTACTCTGGACCGCTACTCAGCTCTCGAGACATCTAATATACGGACCTCTCGGGACCCGCAACATGGTAAAGATGATGCGGAATCGATACTGGACCCTCCCATGTACGTATCAGCTGCCCGCCTTTTCAGGCGCTTCTGCTGATCATCCGACAGATACAGCATATTGCGCCGTCCGCTCCCTCTCCGTGGACGCAAGCCATCTAAGTTTCCAGGTGACCGGCGCACACAGATCCCCGGCAAACGAACGCTCTGCCACGCATCGCCAGCCTCTCCCCTGGCGCATGCTGAGCCCGCTGCTGCTTTTCCATCAGCTGTTTCTCCTCGTCCCACTAATAGGCGCCGTCACCTGGATATGCCATGCCTGTACCATACGAGCAGTAGGTGGCGGCGAGCGATATCTCTACACAGGCCTCACACTCCGGCTGCTCGACATGCTGCTCGCTGCTCTGGTGCCGTTGCAGTATATGCTGTTCCCGCCTACAGTACCGGAGCGCGAAGCCCTTGACGACTGACAAGGACGGATTACGCTACGCGAAGTCGAAGAGGTGGGCGAAGAGGGATCGCGGGATCGGGGGGAGGATACTGCTGGACCTGCTGGTAATCCTTTACTTTGACTGGATGTGACCCTTCTCACCAAGAGCCACCAGGAGGGTGTGCACGGGTCAGAATCCATGAGCAGCATCATAACTAGACCGCGCTGATGCTATAGAGGACATGCTTACAGCCGGCCAACACAATGAAAGTATGATCAAGGGTTGACAGCTTTCACTGATCTATCAACTTGCAAAACTACACGAGCACCACAACCTTGCCACCCGCCTCATTCCTCTCCATCACCTCATGCGCCTCCACAATACTCTCCACCCCACGGAAGACCCTGCCCATCTTAATCTTCACCTTGCCGTCCCTCAGCGACCCCAGTACCTCCGACCAAGGCGTGTTCTTCCCCGTAAACGTCCGCTCGCCGTACGACGTCAGATACCGACCAATAGGCAGCATGAAGTTCGGGACAAAGTTCGGTATGCTCCAGCTCCCTCCTAACGTACCGGCAGAGCAGCACACACCCCCGTCCGCAAGACATCGTATGCTGTCCGGAGCAGTCACGGCGCCGACGAGGTCAAGCGCCTTATCCACGCCTTTCGGGAAGTGCGCCTGGATCTTCTCCTGCAACTTCCCATCATCTACGACCACATGGTCCGCACCAGCGTCAAACAGCACTTCCATCTTCGCCTCTGCCCTCGTACTCGCCACCACAGTCGCCCCAGCCCCCTTCGCCAGCCCAATCGCCGCCATCCCCACTCCACTCCCCGCTCCCCTCACTAACAGCGCATCCCCCTCCACAACCTTCAGCGACCGAAACAGACACCCCCAAGCCGTCTGCAGCATCACCGGCACCGCACCCAGAACCTCCCAACTCAACCCCACCTCCCCCTCCGAAGCAGCGACGACGATACAATTCTCCTTCGGCGCGACGCAGAACTCCGCGTACGTGCCTTCCCTCTCCCTTCCTAAACCACCCAGCGCGGCGATCACGATACTGCCGCTGGGGAACTCATCCTCACAACCCGGAGCAGCGGACACAAGGCCGACGCATTCGATCCCGAGTGTTCGAGGCAGAGGCACAGGGCCCATGGGATTCGGCTCGCCGAGACGGGTGGAGAGTTCAGCGTGGTTGAGGCCGATGGCGCGGATGTGGATGAGGACTTCGTTCTGCTGGGCCGTGGGGACGGGACGGTCTTCGAGCTTGAAGCTGGAGGCGGCGTCGCCGAGTTTGGTGAGGGTGAGGGATTTCATGGTGGTTGGGTAGAGAGGTTTGGTGGATTGAAGGAGTGGTTCGATGGGTTTGAAGAGGTGCTGGAGCATGTTATCACTTCCATATTGTAGATGGTCGTGGCCATTTATATCGGCATCGAGCGATAGAGTGCTGCCTCGTCATGGCGGAGATAGTTCAGGATCCTGTTGGAAATCCGTTACGATGCCCGGACGAGTGTTGCTGGAGTGTCCGGCGACGGTCGAGACATTGGAAGATGTGTCATCTGAGGTTGTGCATGTGAAGAAGATCGCCCGAACGATGTGCTTCTGTGCCTGGCGCTATACCAGATCGGGCAGTTCTGGATTCCAAAATTCTAGCCATGACTCGGGCTAGATATGAGGAGCAGGCTTCTGTGCTCTCTCTGGACACCACTCTAGTAGGATCATCGTTGTTAGACAGAAACTTGGAGCCGCTGCAGCCGAAAGCAGCGAAGCAATTGGTGGATGATAAGAGACCAACGAGGAACATTGCGCTTAATCAGCTTTTGTCGGTCCCGAGAGCAAGCGATCAGAGATCGGAGACTTTGTCTCATCAGCTACCTTACCCCATCAAGCTTGCAAGCGCAGCACATTTTCCGATAGCGAATCGTGAATCGTCCACCAGCGAGACGAAGCAATCACCAAGCCCTGCCTGCCAGCTTAGCAAAGGCTTCATCCTCCTCCTCCACCTTTACATCACACAGCATGCCTCAGCCCCAGCAACCCCTCCGCCACCCTCCCCTTCACCACACTACTCGTCAGCTCCTGCTCATTCGGCATCGCCAGCCTCCGTCTACTGCTCGGGGGACTGTCCAGCCTTGCTGCGGCATGCATTGGCGTCGAGACCTCTTCTGCAGGAGGTGCAAAGGGCAGCCCGTTCGATGAAGTGGAGATAGGCGGCGAGCTCGGCAGCTGCGTGTCGTAGATCATGCGACTGCTGTACGCCGTTGGTCTCAGCACAGGTGCTGGCAGTAATCTCGGAACGGCTGCTCGCTCTCGATCTCGCGCTGCGATTGCTTGTGCTTCTTGTCGTAACTGCTCGACAGCCTCTCTTGCCGCGGCGTTGGGATCGAGTGGTGAGGCTCGTGAGCGTTCTTCCACGTGGAGGTCGAGGAAAGGTGTCTCGACTTGGTTCGTCCGTACTTTGTACATGGCGACTCGCAGTCGGAGCTTGAGCATTTCGGCGTTGGAGATGGTTTTGAAGATCGATGTGGAGGTTTGAGAGGACGGGTCGTAGTTGATGAGTGAGGAGAAGGACTTGCGTCCTTCGGAAGAATGTTGAGTGGAATCGTCTTCTTCGGAGGGCGTGTTGGGTTCGGTGGGCGAGGCTTCGGTTATTGTTGGAATGTCCACCTGTAGACGTATCGTTGTTAGTATGTCTCTCAAACATCAGCATGTAGTCTGAAACATACCCTCATATCCTCCCGCGACTGAAAGACAGGACGAAGGCTCCCCGCATCCTCCATCGACTGCCCACTCTCATCCTGCCCACTCCGCTCATACGGCCCATCCACCTGACTCAACAGCTCATCATCCGACAGCTTCCTCCTCTTCAGATACATCAGCCCCTCACCGCCCTCCATTGCCGCCGTAAAGCTTCGCTTCAATGGGCTGCCCGCCAGCGGCTTGCCCGTGAACATTGGGCCGGAGGTAGCGGTCTTGATGTTTGGTGACACTTCTCCAAGCACTCGTCTGTTAGATGTAGCATTACGCTGATGAGCTGTGGGTTTGGCGGGCGACATGTTCTCGTCGTTGGTGCTTTGAACGGTCGGTGAAGCCATGATGCAGGTACGCGTCTGGGTCGGGAGGTTGCAGCTTTGAGGTGTGATCGTGATTGTCCGGGAAGATCCTTCTCCAGAACGTGAAGTATCCGTCACGCCAGTACACGAATCGAGATTGTGTTGTAAACGAAGCAGTGCTGGGAGAAAGGTGTTGATATGTCGAGTCGCGACTTGGACCCTGCTTAGAGCTAACGCAAAACTGGCGCGAGCTGCACGTGACTGGAATTTCCAGGAAGTTGCAATCTTGGAAGAGATGAGGACAGTCTGGACGCGGATGATATTGTCTTCTCGACGCCGCAGCTGTTAGCATGTGAGAATATTAGCGCCCTTGCAGTCGTATGCGCATTGGAAGGGGCGACATCAGCCCTATGTAACCCATACAATGCTGTGTTACTGAAATTAAAGGAGGAAACGTAGTGTCTTGAAGTTAATGTCATCTTCTCATCGGGCGCTGGTAGTTCTAATGTGATGCTAGCACCGCTAATCCACTCATATCGACATCAGAGAACCGGCACCCTCAGCCCTGTACGCCCTCTAATACTCGCCTTCACCCGCCTGTGGCTGCTCGCCGCCCTCCTGTCCACCTTCCGCCTCGGCCTGCCTCTGCTGCAGATTCGCCTGCGCCTGAGCGGCCTTGGCACCATAATCCTGGGAAGCTGGTTGCGAGATGGGCTGCTCCTCCTTTGGCTCAATGATAGTGACGCTGTCGGGCAGACCCTTGCCACCAGACTTCTCACCAGCCGGGTCCATGGGAGAGGACGAGGCGCGCATGATCTTGACCTTGATACCGAGCACACCTTGACGGAGCAGGACGTGGCGGACGGCGGAGTCGATGAAGTCCTTGGCGGGCTGACCGGAGTGGATCATGAAGCCGTCGGTGAACTTCATGGATTTGGCACGGGCGGCACGCAGCTTGCCGGAGACGACGACCTCGCAGCCTTTGGCGCCGGACTCCATGATGAAGCTGGATGATGTCAGTAGAGCTCTCGAATCGAAGGGTATACTTGAACTCACCGAAGCACACCATAGCATGCACGACGAACGGCAAGACCGTTGAGAAGCTTGTAGCGGAGGGACTCGCACTGGGCGACGGCAGAGAGACCACGGGACTGCACCTTGGCGGCGTAGAGCGAGACGCTGTCCGGAGGGAAGCGGAAGCGGTGAGTGATCAGGCTGGTGAGCTGTATAGACGTTAGCACCTTCCCCACGTTGTATTGATATAACGATATGCCCACCTCGCGGATCCTCCTGCCCTGCTCTCCCAGCACCTCCTGAGTGTGTGTGGCGCGGATGATGATGTCGGTGACGGTGGGTGTGACGCGGACCTCGACGCCAGAGTAGCCCTCCTCGGCCAGCTCGCGCTGGAAGAACTCGTTGAGCTCGGCGTAGAAGACACCGTCGGCGACGAACTTGCGGCGCTTGGAGATGTTGGCGCCGCTGAGGCCCTGCGCGGGGGCGGTTTGCGATTGCATGGTGGGTAGTGTTGTTGTGGTGGTCGTAGAAGGTGTGTGGTGAGGTTGACGTTGCTTGCTGTATGGGAGAACATGGAGCGGCGCACCAGATCAATTTTGTAGTGATCGCTGAACTCTTGGCGCTCGCTCAAGCTGCCTCATTCGGCCTCTCCGCACTTTCATCTGTCGCATCAGCTTTCTCGACGAACCGCAGCATCTCGAAAGACAACCTCTCTTCTCCGACTCATCAAGTAAGTTCAACACTTCGACAGGATGGTCATCGTATTACCATTACGTGTTGAGAATGGAGAACAGGAGCATCATCTCATGTCTGGACTTTGATGAAGGCTCGAAGGAGCAGGAGTCGTCATCTCCCGTATTCCACTCTGCGACAGACCCCCAAGCCTAGCACCGCGCCTCCGCCAAAAGACGCATCTCGCGTCGACCGGGGTTGCAACAGCGGCTCAATGGCTAAAACACGCGCATGCTTGGCCCTGTTACATAAAGTCTTCAAAGTGTCCCGCCTTCGTAAGTCTCGCAAGGTATCTCCTCACATCGTCTCTCATCGTCACCATGGCACGAACACTCCGCCTCCTCTCCTCCCTCACCCTCTTCACCCTCTCCCTCGGCCTCCCTCTCGACGACATCCTGCTCCAAATTTTCCAAAACATCCACTGGCTCCCCAACGCCCTGGCCCAAGTCACCAGCGACCTCGCCCCGCGCGCCGTCTCCTTCCAGCCCAAAGCCGGCGCGACCTTCAACATCGAACTCAGCGTCGTGCCCAAGACCTCCGAGGCCAACGACCAGAGCTACCACGTCTGGGACTTCGACATGTTCGACGCTCCCACCTCCACCATCAAAGCCTTCCAGGACAAAGGACACCCCGTCATCTGCTACTTCTCCGCCGGCAGCTACGAGGACTGGCGCGGCGACGCCGACGACTTCCCCTCGGCGGCCCTGGGCGAACCCCTCGGCGGTTGGGAAGGCGAGTACTGGCTCGACACACGCAACCAGAAGATCCGCAGCATCATGGCCAAACGCATCGCGCTGGCCGCGAGCAAGGGCTGCGACGCCGTGGACCCGGATAATGTGGACGGCTACACCAACCCCACCGGTTTCGACCTGACGAAAGCCGACGCGGTGGACTACCTCAAGTTCCTGGCCAACGAAGCGCACTCGCACGGCATGGCGTGCGGGCTGAAGAACGGCGGCGATGTGCTGGGCCAGCTCGTGGATGTAATGCAGTTCAGCGTCAACGAGCAGTGCGTGCAGTACAACGAGTGCGACTTGTACCAGCCGTTCATCGAGCAGAACAAGCCGGTCTTCCACATCGAGTACACGGAGAAGAGTCCCGCGGCGGCGAGCTTTGTCACGAAGTCTTGCACGAACAAAGGTGCGAAGGGCTTCTCGACGCTGATTAAGCATATGAGTCTTGATGCTTGGACGACGAAGTGTTAGATGTAGGAGGAATGTCGGAGAGAGGATTGCTTGGTAGATCGCGGATAGATCAGCCTGTGTATACTTCCGCTCCGAACAAGTGCGTCAAGGCTTCCTCAGCCATGTCGGAGAACGAATGTGTCACAGAAAAGCTCCGACTCTTTTTGCTGATCTGATAAAACATACCAAGCTGCCAACGGTGATCTTGGCCCAGTAGGTGATATCGAGCCGCGTGGTGCATCTTCTCCTAAACAATGACAGCCCGCCAACGAGGGCAGCCCTTTCGGGTGCAATGTGGTCTGGCAGAAGCTTCCCAAGAAAGCATGCATGAGCTGCGCTTGATGAAGATAAATCTGACTGGTCTCGCCGGTCGGTCGTTTAGATTTCACTTCCCTACATACTCCCACCACAATCTAAATTAACCCCCTCCTCACCAACCCTAAACCCTCTCCTCCGTCTCATTCACCCTCACAGCCCCCTTCTCCCTCTCCTCCAAATGGTCCTTCCCCGCGCCCTCCGCTGCATACGCCTCAACCCCCGTACAGACATACGTCTTAAACTTCCTCGCCGGCACTTTCGCTTCAAACATCTCGTGAATCTCCTCGAGCGTCCGGTCGCGCGTCTCGGGGATGTAGAACCAGGTGAACACCGCGAGGATCATGTTGCTGCCGAACCAGATGTAGCCGTACTTGGGGCCCCAGTCCAGGTCGAGCGGGTTGATGAAGTAAGGGGCTGTGAAGGTGCCGAGCCAGTTGCCGAGGAAGTTGAGGGCGGTGGCGACGCCGAAGACGTAGCCGCGCAGGGCGGAGTTGGGGTATTCGCCGCCGAGGAGCCAGGCGTAGGGGGCTGGAGTGCTTGTTAGTATCGGGTGGAGATGGTGAGGGGTGGGAGGGGCATACCGTAAGCGACGTAGAAGAAGGTGAAGAGGCAAATGAAGGCTACGATGACTTGACCGGACTCCTTGGTGTTGGGAGCGACGGTCCAGGCGATGGCTTGCGCCAGCTGGGAGAAACCGCAGGCCAGGACACCAACGAGCATGATGACGCGGCGGTCGATGACGCGCACGTAGAGGGTGCTGATGATGACGCCGAGCAGACCCATGCAGGTGACCATCAAAGAGTAGGCGAAGGGGTCGGAGACGCCGGCGATGGAGAGGTAGTAGGTGGTGTAGATGTTGACCCAGGAGGAGCCTGATGTTGCGATTAGTACGGTGATTGTATGACAATGCTCACGTTCGACATACCGTTGGCGGCGTGGAAGCAGATGACGGCAATCGAAAGACCGGTACGTCGCAGGTTGGTGCCTCGCCACATCTCCAGGAACAGCGCCTTCTTGTTCTGCTCGACCTGCTCTCGGGTGGACAGGCGGATCTCGTTGAACTCGGCCTGAAACTCATGCTCGTCGATGTTTGAGTTCCGCAAGCTGCGCAGAGACTTTTCGGCCTCTGCTTCTTTGCCATGGGCCACCAGCCAACGCGGAGTCTCCGGGAAGAAGAACAAGCAGATGGACTGGATGGTTGGTGCAGCGAAGAAGACCGCCAGTGGGATGCGGTAGGCGTTCTTGTTCATGATGCCCGCCGTGCCGAAGTCGACGGATGCGCCCACGATGGAGCCGATCGAGAGCTGTGCCTGGTAGACAGCGAATGTGATGCCACGCAAATGGGCCGGAGCAACTTCGTGGACGTAGAGTTGGGAGAAGGTGAGGAACCAGCCGACAGAGACACCAAGGATCAGACGAGCGGCGTACAATGCTCCGACGCTCGTGGTGCCCAGCATGACCGCGGTGGCGATGAAGTTGAGGATGGTGGCTCCCCAGAGTCCGAACTTGCGGCCCATGAAGCTGCTGAAGGGGCCGACCATGAGGGAGCCGACGAAGGTGCCGATGGTCATGAGGGATGAGATGAGACGCTGCACGGTAGGCTGTTGCGGGAATGAGTACTCGTTCGTTGTTCGCCTGCCCCAAGACATTCAACTCACGTCTATTGCCCACGCCTCCGTGGTATCGTCATAGTAACCGTACACCTCCAAGAAGCCCGGCATGCTTCATACACTGTAAGCCTAATGGTCTCGAAGGCCGCTGGTGTCCTCTACTCACGCCATGAAGCCACCGACGAGCGAGTAGTCGAGCCCTGGCGTGGCGTTAGCAAGCTCTCACTCGATATGCTTGTCTCGGAGCTTACCATATTGGAATGTACTGATCGTTGCAATCGCGCAAATGGCCACACACTTCTTGTGACTAAGGATGTCGAGCTTCAGCGGGTTGGCCGAGATGACAGCTCCTCCGACCATGGCTGCGGTGGTGTGCTACACACAAGCACAAGCACACTTGGGAAAGAGCGATGAGCGAGAGGGGAGAGGTGGGTTGAGATGGTCACAAAGTAGACAGCTCGACTCCCACGGGACGTGGGTAGCTTTAATGCAGACACCTTGCTCTCTTCACTCGACCAGTCCCCATGGGCAGGGGATTTGCATGCACCAAGAGCTCATGGAGGCGCATGGGTTGGAGATCGTGCCGCAGCCCGCGACTTGGCGCTGTCGAGTCAGTGGTGGTGCAAGCGATGGAACGTCGGATGCCAGCCGACGCTGCGGAGATTGGGTCTTGGGGGGGGATCGGCAGTTGGACCGCTCCATGTGTGGCGCCCCGGCGAGCATGGGGACGGCACACCTCCAGGGTCTACAGGAGCCACGTGCAGCGATATCTGGGCATTCCTCCGGCACATGGTGTTGCACCATTGCCGCGTTGGAGGAATACCCGGCCTCAACTGGCAACACTCCGAGGCCGAAGGAAGCGACGAGCCGTGCATAAAGGGACCACCGACGCGGGACCACCGTCTCGGATAACAGGCGAACACACAACTGACTCCCGTGTCTCTTCATCACGCACGTTTCGAACAGAGCTCCCACCCCTCCAACAACCTACCCCCTGCTCGGCACTCAACGTCTTATCAAAGCTTCGACCCGCCATGGCTCCCAGCGCTGTCTCCGAGACTGAAGTTCGTTTGGACCAGAAGACCAATGGCCATACCAACGGGACTGGCAAGCTGCGCCGCGAGCCGATGAAGAATTCAGGGTCAATCGACCACCTCGAGTATGTTGACGTTACGCCCGTCATCGGCCGCGAGTATCCCACGGCCAAGATCAAGGAGATTTTGACAGCGTCCAACTCGGAGCAGCAGCTGCGGGACCTGGCCATTACCATCTGCGAGAGGGGTGTCGTCTTCTTCCGTGCCCCCCAGGATGACCTTACCGTGGAGGAGCAGAAGACGGTGACCGATCTGCTCGGCAAGCTTACTGCACGACCAGAGGAGAATGGTTTGCATGTGCACCCCCTCTACAGGGATCCTAACAACATCCCGATGGCGGATGGGACGACCGATGAGAACATGTATGTCGAGTTGCTGAGATGGGTACTGCAAGACCTGCTAATGGTCTCGTTCTAGCTATGTGATCAACTCTGAGGCCATGAAGAAGCTCTACAAGACCATGAAGGGTCGTCCAAACGAGACCAGCGAACCCCGAGACCTGGGCCGTGAATGGCACAGCGACAGTACGTGCATGTACGCTTGAAAAGTCATTCTGAAGGCTAATGGAAATACAGGCTTGTTCGAGAACTGCCCATCAGACTTCAGCTTCCTCCGTATGCAGGACACCCCTCCAGCTGGTGGCGACACCCTCTGGTGCTCCGGCTACGAGATGTAAGCCTTCCAATCTATCTCTCCGAGAACCCAACACTGACATCCCCAGCTACGACAAAATGTCCCCCTCCTGGCGCTCCTACATGGAAACCCTCACCGCCACCTGCGCCCAACCCGTCTTCAAATCCGCCTGCGAAGCCGGCAACTACGAAGTCATGACCCCCCGCGGCTCGCCCCTCAACAAGGACTACGAGTTCGCCCCCGTGCACCCGGTGATCCGCACCCACCCCGTGACCGGCTGGAAGAGCATGTTCGCCGGCGTCGGCCTGCACGTGTCCAAGATCAACGACGTCTACAGCTACGAGGACCAGATGATTCGGGATTACATTATGCGGTTGATTACGAGGAGTCATGATTCCGTTGCACGGATGCATTGGACGAGGCAGGCGTGTGCGATTTGGAGTAATGAGTGTACTTTGCATGCGGCTACGGTGAGTTGTCCAGCTCTTGGTCCTACATGGAGTGTAGCTGACGAGATTTCTAGCCTGATACCCATCTCGCCAACGGCGTGAGGACCGGTGTTCGTGCTTCAGGAATTGGAGGCGTGCCGTATCTTGACCCTGCGTCGAAGGGACGCCATGAGGCTCTTGGTCTGCCATTTGCATGATCGCACAGTCACGGAATTCTAGATGCAACCAAATCGTTATAGAACCTATTTCTCCATCTATGCCCTTCGATATTCCGGCGTTCCAACCTGTGCTGCAAGGCGCGAATGTCTTGTACGACCAGGGCGTCTAAACAGCTGCTCGGCATTGTTTACTTGACCGCTCGACGACAGTCGTCTTCATCTCCCGTCTCCTTCAACATCGGATACCTTCGGCTACCAAGATTACCAAGCGTCACCTTTTTTGCACACTTGCTGAGTCGAACCGTCTCTTGGTGCTTCAACGGTAGATGCTGTACTCCATCTGCCGCCGGTGCATTCAAGTCATGTCCATCTCCAGGCTCGTATATGAGCGGCCGATGATCTCCGAGCCCAGAAGTCCCAAGCGCTGACGAAGAGCTGGAGAAGAAGCTTCTTTGACTTCTCCAGAGGATTTCCTGGTGCCACGTGGGCGTAGTTCCGTTCTTTGGGTCATCCATACCACCGTATCCCGTCTGCATGTTCGGCACGATCTCTTGGCTACCTAGCTGACGGCAGATTGTAGAGATTGATTGCCGTGGAGAAGTCTGAAGTCGAGTGAGTAATACTTGCACTGGTTCGAGTCGATTTGGAAACACCACTGTTGTGCTGCCACTGCTGCCGAATTTCGATCGTCGAGGTTTGTTAATACGGCGTCAAAAGGCCGGAACCAGCGCTGCTGGCAGCGATATCAGGTCGTTCAGAGATGCAGGGTCGTTATTCGGGAGCTCTGCATCCGACCGCTCAACGAGCTCAGCCAGGTTGTGGCATAGTGACAGTCGGCGAGCAAAACGTGCAGTCGGGGTGTCGCCAGAACGCAAGAAACCGTCCAAAAGTTCTACAGCGCGTATTCTACTCCAGCTCCAGGGTGTCAGAGCACGACTGCCACTTGCGATCATGGATCTGACCACGTCGGAGTGAGATGGCGATTCGATGGCAGATGATGGAAGGGGAGCGGAGACACTCAATGCTACATCTTCGGCTCCCGAGCCAGGATGAACAGACATTTGGAAGTAGCATACGCCTTTCCCTCCCCATCTTGCAGGATAGCCTTCACCCACACTTTCCTCCCGGACATCTCAATCAACCACGCTCGAGCGAGCACCACACACGGCGTGCTAACGGGGGCCTTGTAGTCAATCGTCATGGTCGCAGTAGCCGGCGAGATAGGGTTAGGCGAGGCATTATGAGCGATATGGCCAGATATATGGTCCAAAATAACCCCATTGAAACCGCCATGCGCTCGGCCAGTCTTGCCATCCACGCCATCGCCAATGGAGAGCAGAAAGCAGGCTTCCCAACCATCCACCGCCTCCGGTTCCTTGCTCGGCCGTCGAAAAGACAGATGAGACCGGATGCCGCGATCAGAGTAGAGCGTATACTCGAACATGGTATTGCTGACTTTGTCCGGTTTGCTGGCGTTCTTCTCGTCCGTGACGGTGTTCCAGCGGATGTCCGGGTTGGCGAGGAGTTGTTTGCACCAGTCGTGGGTGAAGTCTGGGTGGGCTGCTATGTGGCTGTGCCCGAGGTTTTGCTGTAACTTTGAGATGATCGACATTGTTTGGTATGATCTGTGGTAAAGGGAAGATTGTGTGTTGTTGTTGTGGTGGTAGGAGGTAGATAAGAAATGTGCAGCCGAGGTCGAGACGAAATGTTGCTCGTCTTGCCGAAAGCTTTGGACCTCACTTGCACTTCTGCAGGCAAATAACAACGTCCAATCGAGCACAGCACATGAGTAGAGCAAACAAAGGACGGCCGAAACGACAGAAGATGGTAAGACAAGCTGGAGGTGCATTGCATTGCTCGTTCTGCCTTAGCCGCGATGACTTGCATTGCTCTCGAGCCTTTCCACTGTCCAGGTCTTCGACTTTGCTGTCAGTTTTCGACTTTGCTGCCAGTCTTCGATGATATAACAATACGTTTTCTCCGAAAGTATAACATGGCGTCATGCCTCCGGTGATAGGCATATCCCAACATCGTCGTCTTCGAGAGCAGACGCTTTGACACGTTAGCACACTTGTTTCCGGCTCGCTGAAGCTTTGCACTTACCACTGGTTTGATAGTCCACACCTGCCAGCCCCCCTGAACGAAGACACCGCCACCTTGCGCAGGCAAGCGCCGCTCGACTACTCGTTGTCTCGCCTTTCCTTTCTAGGCAGCGCCACGACGACAGTCGCAAATCTCGTTGTCGCCCCCAGAGTTGCGCCTGCACTGCCGTTGATCCCGGAGTTCTCCCTCGAGGCGAATGATGTACAGCTTGTGGACGTGGAGTTCTGCCTCGACTTCGCTGGCGGAGAAGTGGCTCTCGTGCAACTGTGACTTGAGGCGATGGACCTCCTTTTCTGCCTCCGCAAGCTTCGTTTCAATACCGTTAGTCTTGGCTTCTGCATCTTTGAGCTTTGCCTCTGCTTCCTGGAGCCTTTCCTCTGCTTCTTGATCGAGTTTTGCAGCGCTCGATTGTGCAGCCAGGCCAGCATCCCGGACCGTCACAACACCATCGTCCCACTTACTCCGCTTCGGTGCACGCTCATCTTCACCCTCATACTCCCGTAGCCCGCGGTTCCGCTTTTCAGAGAAGTCGGAAATACCGCCGACGTTCGCCGAGCTGCGCGCGACTTTCGACGGTTCGAGATCCAGACGATAGACGCTCACCACAACTGGCAATGCCATGCAGATAGAGAGCCAAAGAATACAGAGCACCACCGTTCCTTCGTCCATTTCGTGGAAGGCGGTTTTGAGCAGCCAGGAGTGGGGTCTGTTCGCTGGCGTGGGAGCGCCTAGGTTGTGGTGGTGTGATCGCAAATGCGAGTGGTGATTTTGGCAGTGCCAAGATCCATCTTCACATGAAGATGAGAAATTGACGTGACGTCGCAGCAAACAAAAATGTGATCAGTGCGCGCGACACAAAGATATCTCGCGCTCCAGCTTGGCCACACACCTACCTCGACATCCGCTTTGTTCACCCACCCACAACCACAATCTGTAAAGCACACCCACTCGTTGTTCGTGTCCGGAGCGCACCCAGCATACAAGCCATTGGCTATTGTCTTCCCAAGACTTCACCTCACGCAAAGACCGCGCCGCGCAGGCCGTTTCGCCACTTCACCACCCCACCACCACACCACCTCGAGCTCTTGCAGCTCTCTCGAAACCAAAACAGATCTCCTGCGCTACTCACCCTGTACAGCAGCATCATGGCGTTCCAGCAGTTTGAGAAAGCCATCGTGTCCATCAGTCCGAAGCTCATCGGGAGCGAGTTTGGTGTATTCCAGGATAGCGAATTTCAGCCGGCTCTCACAATCATGTACCCAATCGCCTGGCTCCAGAAGCAGATCCTCGCTGTTGCGCCGAGCGACTACACGCCGGTCCCAATACTCAACATCGTCTACCTCCCGCCAAGCCACTCCACCCCAGCCGTCCTCCACTCTGAACCGACACCGCAAGCCGGACCACTCCCATTCTACCTCGATCTCTGGCACACTCTTACCTCGACTCTGGCTGCGGTCATGGATGGTTTCAATCACTCCCCTCTACTCTTCTGGCTTCTCCTCTCGGCTTTACTCCTGCTCTTCATCATCATCGGCGCATCATGCTACTTCCTTGGGGTAGCTCGAGCGCGAAAGGACCCAGTTCATGAGGATATCACACCGCTCGATGCACTAGCCAAGAGCTCGAATCTCGGGAAGCGGCACCTGGCCATAGCTGCTGTCGTGGGCTTCTTGCTCGGTCTCACCGATATCTCTGGTCAATTCTGGAAGCTGGCCGCCAAAATTCATGTCACCAGCGGCTCCTTTGTCACCGTTTGCCTTGTCGCATACTTTGTCCTGCTCAAGTACATTACCTGGAAGGCCTTACCAGTCGCGGAAATCTTTCTCGAACACGGAATGCTCGCATCTGCTGCCATACTATCGGAAGAGCCTGCCACAGCTGTTCCTGTCGCGGAGACATCGCGACCATCGACATCCTCTCGCGGTATGCAGACCGGTGATCTTCCTGTGTCGCCTGCTGCACCACCATCGCCTGTTCTCGACTTCTGCATTCCCGCCTGCGCCGCTGTATCGACTGAGCCGACCGTCCCCGCCGTTGCTGTTGTCGAGAACAAGCCTTCGCCGACTGTCGCAGCTGTCCCTGTCCTCCGCATCGTTCGTCCATACCGCGGCACTACACCGACTGATCTCGCGGCGAGTGCTCCTGTTGCTGTGGTTGAGAAGTCGTCATCCTTCGTGTTCAGCGGCCCAGCACCCACGGCCGAAGACTTCGAATTCTTCGCTCCGTCCGCCTTCTGCGCCGCCAACCCTGATGCGCCAAAGCGTTTTCCTGCGGCCCAGCAGCAGATTCCTGTTCGCGACGAGGAGAAGCCTGGCAAGCTCGTCGCCGGCTCGAACCCCACCGCCGCCGAGTTCAGCTTCGGTTCGCTGGGCTTGGCGACCAAAGCCTTCGGGCCTGGCCCAGAATTCGAGCCGGCCAGACCCCGGCAGTTCAATTTTGCTGTCGCAGACGGGACGACAAGCAACGCTGGGGCGGTCGTCTCCCAGCCGTACAGGCTGCAGGGGGGTGAGCTCACCGAGAGCAGCACCATGATCCCTGTTCCGGTAGTCGAGAAGAGCGCACCAGAAGCTGCGACCAGTGAGACGGTCACGCCAGAGCCAGCTCAGGAACCACAGGTGCCGGAGCTAGCGGCTGAAAAGCAGGTCGGCGCTGAAGGGCCTGACGGTCGGCAGGAAGAGCAGGGTGTCTGGGGTGAGCATCGTGCGGGAAGTGAGAGGACGCACAGGAATAGGAAGTTGAGAGGAAAGAAAAGAGCGGCGGCAAGGGGGCAGGTGGTCTTTGAGTGGAGGGAAGACGGCATTGCGAAGGAGTATGAGGGTGGGAGGGTGGAGTATGTGGACGATGGGAGAGTCGAGCATCCGGATGGGAGGGCAGTGTATCCAGATGGAAGGGTTCAGCATCCCAACAAGGAGGTTACGGAGCGGTACGGAAGGAACGGCGGCCCAGCTCCCCCGTCTTGAGGCCAGGCGTAATGCTTTTGGCCGCAGAGGGGTCGAGACACGTTCTGAAGGTCAGGCAAAAGCTTTTGACCGAAGGCGAGTGGAGATTCATTTAGCACACCAGGCTTCGGCTTTTGGCAGCAAATGGATTGAAACTCGACCTGGAGGTCTGGCTTTTGCTTTTGACCGATGGCGTGTTGAGACCCGTCTGGCGGCCAGGCTTGCGTCTCCGCCCGGCGGAATGTTGCAGGGGGTGTTGTTCATGCTCATGGTTGTTTGATAGTTCTTTTGCTGTGAGAGAAGGAGATTCCGGTTCTTTGGCCTGCTGAGTGGCCAGGACTGCAGAATTGATGTATGAAAATGCTATGAAAATGCTATGCCGACTCACTGTTCACTCTATCGTTCCACACATGTTCTAGATCTATCAAATGAAGCATGTATGGCCATTTTTGTAGCTGGGATGATGAGCTGAAGTCCAACGCCCTCGACGCGCGGAGGTGGAGCACGACTCCCGCCAAGGTTGCCAATGGCCGCGGCGAGGAAGGACAGCCACACCATATCCAACGTCATGCTCGTATTCTCTCTTTCTACGGATATACCCACGACCTATCCTACAATTCAGCGCGTGCGAGAGTCCCTCATCCACCTGCGAGACCACAATGACCGCCCGATGACCAGCACATCCGCAACTCCATCCTACGCGGCGGGCAATGGGCGCAGATGGATCAGGCTCCGGCAACGTCTCAAAGGCGCCGGGGGCCAACGAGCATCCAGTCGAAACCCCAAGACTATCCCCTGAAGAGCGAGCTGTAACGTTCCGCCAACGCATGCAAGGACCAGTCGACCGACTGTACCGGACATACATCGTCGAAGGACTTCTACGACAGAAGCCGCTGCCTCCCTCGAAGAATGGACGACATATTCCTCTAAAGGCTACCCACGATGAGCCATTGGTCGACGAGAGGCGGGACCATGCGTACGTCTCGAACAGTGTACGGTCATCGCGATATACCGTTTGGGACTTCGTGCCGAAGCAACTGTTCTTCCAGTGCACTCGACTCGCCAACTTCTACTTTATTTGCATTGCGATACCGCAGGCGATTCCTGGATTCAGTACTACCGGTAACTATACGACCATTCTGCCGGTAGCCTTCTTTATCCTCTTGACCATGTCCAAAGAAGGATACGACGACTACCGGAGGCATCGAATGGACGTGATCGAAAACAACGCGCTGGCGACAGTACTACGGCCGAAGCACTCAGGTTCCTCCACAAACACGTTCGGGAAGTCGGTATCACGCACTTTCTCTAGGCTGTTGCGAGCACTTCCACTCCCAGGCAGGCGAAGAAAGCGCGCAGCACGTGTAGATTATGAAGAGAAGGATGCAGACGAAGACGCGGACAGCCATTGGACTAGAGTCAAGTGGCAGGACATCCAAGTCGGTGATGTGCTGAAGCTGAAAAGAGACGACCAGGTGCCCGCCGATATTGCTCTTCTTCATGCGAGCGGAGAAGAGCGAATAGCATATGTCGAGACCATGGCTTTGGATGGCGAAACGAACCTCAAGAGCAGGACTGTGCCGCACGCCCTGCGAAATTGCTGCGACATCAAGGGCATCAAGGAGACTGAAGCGGAGTTCGTGACCGAGGATCCAAACCGCGACTTGTACACTTTCAATGGAAGCGTGACGGTGGACGAGAAGACTCTTCCGCTGACTCTGAACGAAGTCTTGTTCCGGGGTAGCGTCCTGCGAAACACTCAATCCATCATCGGTCTGGTCATCAACACTGGTGAAGAGTGCAAGATCCGGATGAACGCGAACCACCATCCACGAGCAAAGAAGCCACGTCTGGAGCGATACACCAATCACATCGTCCTCACCTTGATCGCTTACGTGATTATTCTATCGGTCGGCTGCTCAGGAGGCTACCTCATCTGGAGAGACAGCACGGAAGAGCATTCTTGGTATCTCAACGATGCTTCTGTTCCTTACAAACAGATCATCATCGGATATATGATAATGTTCAACAATGTGATTCCGTTGTCGCTGTATATAAGCTTGGAGATTGTCAAGGTTGGACAGATGCTAATGGTAATGGGAGACGAAGGAATGTTTGACGAAGAAACGAACACGACTATGACTTGTAACACTAATACTATTCTGGAGAACTTGGGCCAGGTCAGCTACGTGCTGTCGGACAAGACGGGCACTTTGACGGAGAACATTATGCAGTTTCGGGGATTGAGTGTGGCTGGCACTGCCTGGCTACACAAGCAGAACGACGGTGAGGCGGTGATGCAGAAGGAAGGGCGAAAGAGTGTCACCGTGAATAGGAAGTCTGAGGACCCAGGAAAGGGCAGCTCGGAAGGTGATGGTCCGGGCATTGTAATCCAGGAGACAGAACTTTCCACGGCACCCACTTTGGACCGACGGACCTCTGACTATCTGGAACGGCCTTCGTTGCACAGACGATCGACAGATCACCGGCGGCCAGGCTACCTCGAGGGTACAACCGCAGACCTCCTTGCGCGGCTGCGGCGCAATCCAAGCTCTGCTTTCTCTCGCAAGGCTCGCGACTTCATACTCGCGGTAGCGTTGTGCCACACAGCTATTCCGGAGCGGACTGCCGATGGCGCGATCAACTTCCAGGCCTCTTCGCCAGATGAGATTGCGCTTGTAAAGGCTGCGCAGGATCTTGGGATGCTCGTCATCAACCGCACGACCCAGACTGTGACTCTGCACGAGACTGACGATGCGGGTAAGGATGAACGAAAAACGTACGACGTTCTGGACGTCATCGAGTTCAGCAGCAAGCGGAAGCGGATGTCAATTATCATCAGGTATCCAGACGGCGCCATACGACTGCTGTGCAAAGGTGCCGACAGCGCCATCCTCCCTCGTCTCAAGCAAGCGGCACTTGCAGCACGAAAGTCGCAGGAAGTGCGCAGAAGCATCCAACTCGAGCGTCAAGCGAATCGCATGAGTGGGCAGAGCACACCTCGGACCAGCTTTGGCGGACGTCCGAGCCTCACCATACGGCGCAGGAGCTCACTGGACATTCGACCTGATCCGAAGCGGCACACGCTGGATGTGCCACGATTCGACCAGCATCTACGACCTCCACTTGGTCGCCATAGCACAGATCGCAGGAGTATGCCATCCTTCGACAATGCCTCCGTTGCCGATGACGGCCAAGTCTTCACGCGATGTTTCAAGCATCTGGAAAATTTCGCCACTGATGGCCTCCGTACGCTTGTCTTTGCGCAGAAAGAGCTCACAGAGGACGAGTACGCTTCGTGGAAGCAGCTTTATCAAGATGCTACCACTGCTCTGCTCAACCGGCAAGAGCGCATTGAAGCAGCTGGCGAGGTCGTCGAGCAAGGCATGGATCTGCTGGGTGCTTCTGCCATCGAAGACAAGCTGCAGAAGGGTGTGCCTGAGACGATTGACAAGCTACGCCGGGCCAACATGAAAATCTGGATGTTGACTGGCGACAAGCGAGAGACGGCCATCAACATCGCCCATGCAGCCAATATCTGCCAGCCGGATTCAGAGGTTACGGTCATTGACACTACCAAAGGCAATCTGCTGGGTCAGCTCCATGGCCTCGCGGAAGAGCTTCGAATCGATGGACTGCACAGCGTTGCTGTCATCGATGGGCAAACACTTACCGACGTTGAGGCCAACAAAGAGCTGTCCGACCTCTTCTACTCGCTGCTACCGATAGTCGACTCCGTTATTTGCTGCCGAGCAAGTCCAGCCCAGAAAGCAGGTATTGTGGAAGGCATCCGAGCTCGCATGCCCGGACTCACTCTTGCGATCGGCGACGGCGCGAACGACATCGCTATGATTACCACATCCCACGTCGGCATCGGTATCTCTGGCAAGGAAGGTCTGCAAGCTGCCCGTGTAGCAGATTTCAGCATCGCACAGTTCCGCTTCCTGCAGCGCCTTCTGCTTGTTCATGGCCGCTGGAACTACATCCGCACAGCCAAGTTCATCCTGTGGACGTACTGGAAGGAGATGTTCTTCTACACTGTCCAAGCGAGCTATCAGCGCTACAACGGCTACTCTGGCTCCAGTTTGTACGAGCGCTGGTCGCTTACCGCCCTCAACACCCTCTTCACATCTCTCTGCTGCATCCTTCCCGGCATGTTCGAGCAAGACCTTTCAGCCGAGACCCTCCTCGCAGTCCCCGAACTGTACGTCCACGGCCAACGAAACGGCGACCTCAACCTCCCAACCTACCTCATGTGGATGGTCCTCGGCACCTCCCAAGGCCTGCTCGTCTGGTACATCTCCTGGCAAATGTACAACAAGCACAATATCATGGGCGACAACGGCACCTACTCGGTCGGGAACCTCTGCTTCAGCCTCGCCATTATGTGGACGAACATCAAACTCCTGCTCATGGAGACGCATTACAAGACGACGATCATCGCCGTCGGCTTCATCATCACGGCTGGCGGTTGGTGGGGCTGGAGCGCTTTCCTCGCTTCAGCGTATTCGGAGAACCTCAGTCCTTTTGACGTCAAGTACGGCTTCAACAAGGGCTATGGCACAGATCCGAACTGGTGGCTCACGCTCGTTGTCACGCTCGCGGTGCTCGTCACGATTGAGCTGGGCTGGAAAACTGTGAGGAGGTATCTGGCGCATGCGGGCTGGTGGCCGCTGTGGAAGCGGAGGACGGGTGGGAGCGCGAAGAGTGCGGAGGAGTTGGATTTGTCTGTTTGGCAGGAGATGGAGCGGGATCCGGCTGTGAGGGAGCGGCTGAGGGGGTTGGCGAGGGATCAGGGGGAGGAGGTTGAGGGGAAGGGGGTTGGGGAGGCGTGGAAGCCGGGTCGATGAGAACACCGTCGATACTGTGTAGTTTGTTGTATATGCCAGTTTCTAAGACATTCTTCGTTTGGCTGCTTACAGTAGAGATGGGTGTGTTTATAGTAGGTCTCATTTCTCGAGCAATGGTGAAAGAATGGGCTAAGCTGCATTCATCTTGTCTCAGCCCAGACAACGCAGGCGCGGCGGCGGCAGCAGTTCTCCACAATGCTTGACCTCACTTCTCCTCTCCATTGGCAACAAAAGTAGAAATGCTCGCTGCCATCAAACGCAGCTCTGTAAATCTTGTCTTCTTCAGTGTATACTGCAATATACCTCTCATCAAGCGACCATGAGCCAGTATACAGCGGCCGTCCCAAGCGATGGCCTGGTGAGGCCGGAGATCAAGTTCTTCTTCGAGGAGTTCTACAAGATCTCTGATACTGCGGATGCGCATGAGAAATACGCAGAGACGTTTACGAGCGATGCGAGGTTGATCATGGGGCCGAACGAGGCGAAGGGTAGAGATGGTACGTCCAGCAGTGGAGCGGAGCGGAGTTGCAGCAGCAAACTCTCCTCAGCGGGTGACACCGTGGACATTTGCTAACGAGGGCACAGAGATCATCAAGATGCGCCATGGGATGTGGGAGAAGGTGGCCCAGCGCTCGCACAAGCCCGAGCAGATCTATGCCTTTGGCAGTGGCTCGGATGAGGTGATGCTCAACGGGACGGTGGCGTACGTGTTGAAGGACGACAAGAAGACCGAGACCGTGTGGGCTGCGAAGGCACACTTTGTCAAATTGGATGGTGTGCTGAAGATGGACTTCTATCAGGTCTTTTTGGTCAGTACATACTCTTAGACGATGATTCGAGCCACACTGACCTTGTCGCAGGACACCGGGGCTATGGCGAGAGCGAAATGATCGTCGAATGCTTTTGGTTCTTGCCTTTGATGCAGGTATAGTCACGAGATTATGCAATCTAACGTGCAATCAGCGGTATGAGCTGACAATGCTTTTTTCTTTGTCCGTTGTCTTATTGTTGCATGTTGCCAAGACGACAATACTTGACATACATCTTCACATGAAAATCCCCACAGCTTCCCCTTTCAGTCAAGCGGCCGAACCTTACTTTTCTGAGACGTCAGTACACAAGCTCTCAATAGCGGTTTTTCGAACAATCACAACCACTTCTCGAGCATCTGTGATTTCTCACAGCGCACTTTCTTTCTGACAAACAACGCCAACACCACCACACGACGATCAGCAAGAACCACTGCAATGTTGGGCCGCCACCTGACATTCACGATCCTTATTGGATATCTCTCCGCGCACTGGTGGCCTGCCGCTGAGAACTACGACCAGTACACTGCCGGCCAGTTGGCCAATGTCCCGGAGACGCAGCGCGTCTTCACCCCCATCCCCTCCCTCCCCTCCCTCCCCTCCACCTCTTCCGCAGCGACGAGCTGCCCAGCGCCGCTGGTCGGCGGCTATACTGGGGTGACCGGCACCCCTCCGGCGGAGAACTGGCTCGCCCCCTTCGGTGACGACGACAGCAGCGAGGCCGGTATGGCCGCCTCCGTCTCGGCAGCGGAGGTGGTCAACCGTACTTTTTGCAGCGACTGCACTGGGGTCGCCGCCGCCGCCGCCAGCGAGACGAACCTCGTTGGCGTCCTTCTGTTCTTGTGCTCCCTCCTGGCTCCTTGGCGGGACGAGATCTTCCTGATTGTCTTCACCATCCTGGAGATGACGATTCTTCCGCCGTTGCTGGACTTCCTGTGGTCGCTGGTTTCCGCCCTGCTCGTTCTCCCTAGCCTCCTCGCCCTCACGGTGGGCTCTTCGTCCGCTACAGTGGCGCGAGCCACTGTCCTGCCTGTGCGAAGGTTCTTTCTGGGCGCTTTTCGCGTGAGAGAGTACGCGGAGAATGCGTACCTGCGGGCCATCATCAGGGACCAGCGGGAGGAGATGGCTGTCCTCCAAGCAAACAGCATCACGGTCGCACACCAGGCCCAGGAGCAAATCAGACTACTGGAGGCCAGAGTTACGAGCCTGCAAGACGACGTGAACTCTTACAGAGAGCGCTTGGACAGTGCGGACGCCCTTGCGCAGAGACATCGGGACGAGATCAACGTTCTTCGTCTGCGTCGGGACGAGCGAACCAAGGAGCACAGAGAGGCAGTCGAAGGCCTGAAAAACGAGCGAGACGAAGCTCAAAGCCAGATGACGAAGCTCCAAAAGGAGCATGATCAGCTGGAGGAACAGATGCAGAAGGAATTGGCACAACATCGCGCGCGCGCCGTCGACCAAGTCGAAGATGAAGTCTCCCAGCTCGAAGAGAAGCTCCGTACTGCCAATGAGAAGATCAAAGAGCTGACGACTGAGAACGCTGAACTCACAAAAGAAGCCGACGATGCCCAGGCCCAACTCAAAGCGGCACGCTATGAGATCGAGAGGATGCGGCAGCAGCAGCAGTCAGCAGGCACAGAGACAGCGACCGCTGGAGAAGTCCAGGAAATCAGGGACCAGCATGCACGTGATCTGAAAACGCTACAGGATGAGCATCAAAAGAAGATCGACAAGCTGCAGAGTGACCATGAAGAGGCACTCAAGAAGCAGGCGAAAGAGTACAAGAAGGCGTGCGATGAGAGAGTCAAGGGCGTGGAGGAGGATCACGCACGCGAGCTGGCAAGGCTGCAGAACGAGCACCAAAAGCCGGTCGAAGAGCAACCGGCTGCGCTCGAGACGCAGGCGAATGAGCACAAGGAGGCGCTCGAGGAGCAGGTCAAGCTTCATAAGGAGGCGCTCGACACGCAGGCCAAAGAGCACAAGGCGGCATGTGATAAGCGAATCAAGGCCGAGAGAGAGAGGCGTGAAAAGGTCGAAGAAGGTCTGACGGAGGAGTGGGAAGGATATTTCAACGATGCGAATGACAGAACCACGGCAGCCAAGCTGGCCCTCGAACAAGCCAACAGGCGCCTCGCCGAACTGGAGAGCCCAGAAGCCACCGAGAAGCTCCGCGAAGAGCGCGAACAGTGTCGGAAGACGAAGGAGACTCTCGCGCAGCAGAACGCCAAGCTCACAGCGACTCGCGAGAGACTCGAGAAGGAGCGCGAAGAGCATCAGAAGACGAGGGACGCTCTCAACCAGCGGAACGCCGATTTCGCTGTCACTGCAAATAGACTGCAACGGGCGATGTGGGAGTTTAAATACTACCAGGCCACACAATGGGACAACGAGCGACTCTACAGCGACATCCAGACTCAGCAAAGGGTTAACAACTGGCTCCAGCGAAGCAGAAATAGCACAAACCAGCAGCTCCGCGATGCTAGGCAGCTGATCAAGTCATTCCAAGAGGAAATCCCGAGCGTGCTTGACAATCAACAGAGGCTCATGGCTCTTGGTCGCCTCGCTTTGCAGTTCAGGAAATGGGTGGCAGAAGAGTTACAGGCTAACGACTTGGAGGAAGAGACTGCCATGATCATCGATAGGATTCTACAGACCGCCGATGCTCTCCTCGCTGAGGTTGGGCCGGAGATCATTGAGGGTCTGATGGCTGAGGCTAATCCTCCTGCTTCTAACCCTTCTGCGTCCAACCCTCCTGCTACCGACCCTCCTGCTACCGACCCTCCTACTACCGACCCTCCTGCTTCCCACCTTCCTGCTGCTGACGCCTCTGACGCCACTACTAGAGGAAACAATGATGAAGACGAAGACGAAGCGCCGTGTCCAGCGCCATTCTCAGAGCCAGATTCCTCGGACGAAGCACCCGACTCCGGAGACAGTGCACCTCCACCAGCGCGTGACGATCTCTACGAAGATAGCGATGACGAGGAGTATCGCGGACGCAGAGACGTCTCCAAGAGCAGCAAGCCCGGCGACGGTCCTACAGCGGGTGAGGAAGCATCCAGCACTGTTCGCGCCGGCGAGAACGCTCCCACTGGCACTGCTGAGCCGAGCCGTCCGTCTGCCTCAAATGACGACGTCTCCGAGAGCAAGGAGGGCGGTGATGCTGCTACGGCGACGGAAGAAGCACTCAGCACTGCTCCGACCGGCGAGAGCGCTCCTACCGGCAGCAATGGCCCGAGCGGCCGTTCTACCTTCGGCGGAACGGCGGAGGAGAACAATGAATGCGTCATCATCCTCAGCAGCGGCGAGGAGAGCGATAATGAGGAGGAGGAGGAGTCTGAGGAGGCGAGCGGGGAGAGTGAGCTCGACTTTGAGGATGTTCCTCTGCAAAGAGGTGGGCAGGTCGATCTTGGTGGCAAGACGGAGCTTGCGGATGTGACTATCATTGACCAAGAAGAGAGTCAAGAGAGCAGCCAGCAGCAGGCCGACAGCACCCCTCCCGCCGACAGCACCAACGATGCCCCCGGTGCAGCGGATATCGAGTGTCCGAAGGTTGAAGCGAGTCTAGAGACGATCGCAGCTCGCGACATCAAGCCACTCCGCCGGACTCGTCGTCGGAATGCTGAGTACCAGTGTCCCCCACCGCCAGTGGCGAGTGCCTTCACGCTGGCGCAGGAGCAGTACAACGCAAACAAGGGCGAGGCTCCCAAGGTCGACGGCTTTAATGCTGCCACTGTAGCGGTTGTGCCGCTCAATGAGACTGTCCGTGGCGAAGAGAACGTTGACATGCCCGGCATGTTTACGTTTGGGGGCACTGGCGCTGGGAACGTTGACACCACCGAGAATGCCACTGAGAAGATGGATGAGGATACTCAAGAGGCTCAGAACGAGACAATGGGCCAAGGTCAAGAGCAGGATGGAGGCGAGAAGATGGATGAAATTGAGAAGGAGATCAAAGATGAGCAGATGGGCGACGATGAGAAGCAGGCTAGAGATGGGAAGGTCGAAGACGATGTCGAGATGATCAAAGACACGCCACCACGGTCTCCAACGGGACTGGAGAGCACATTGGAGCAGACGGACATCAATTCCCCGGCTACAAGTAGGCTCGCGCCCGCAGGCCAGGAGCAAACGATGCAGGACGCTGGTACTGCTTCCAATGGAGCGGATGCCCAGGATGACGACATGGGCGAGAAGGAGTCAGACGCCGGTTATGCCTCAGATGAGGAGTTCCACATCTATGAAAGCGACGGAGAGGAAAGCGAGAGAGCGGGCAGCGAAGGAGAAGGCAGCCAGGGAGAGCGCAGTCAAGGAGAACGCAGTCAAGGAGAACGCAGTCAAGGAGAACGCAGTCAAGGAGAACGTAGTCAAGGAGAACGCAGTCAAGGAGAACGCAGTCAAGAAGGCAGTCAAGGAGAGGGCAGCGATAATGGATTCTGGCAAGCCGACCTTTGCCGCTGGATGAACGGATCCAATGATCCCCAGCATCCCGACGAGCTGCGCGACAATCCTAATTATGAGCAAGCTTGCAGGAATGCCGGCATCGATCCGGATGACCCAACCGCTCGACCTTCAAGCGGACGCGGAGGACCAGTATACAACCCCTTTAACCCTCGACAGAGCCGTCAGGCGGCGGTACAATCCCCCTTCTCGCCGGCGAATGGCCCTCAGTATCCGCCGCCAGGACCATCCGCCTATCCGCCGCTGAATAATCCTCAATATCCCCAGACAGGACCAGCCCCCTACCCGACGTTGGGTGGTTACAGGTTCCAGTCGGCAACAACAACCCCATTCGCCTCCAATGGCCCAATGTATCCGCCTCCTACACAGCCTACCCCAACCGCTGGTCATTTCTCTACGCTCCAGCTCTCAGCGATGACACCAGCCGCCGCCTCTACAGCACCTGGACCAAGGTATCAGATGACGGCACCGCAGCAGCAATCGGCAGTCCCCAACATGCGGCTCCATGCGCCTCGTCAAACAACACCGGCAATGATCCCAGGTCAACCTGGCTACTAGACCCCATCGCAATCTCTCTACCAGCAGCTGCCGGCGACCCCGAGTCACACTCTCGCCCCGCAGCCCTCCGGGCCTTACACTCCAAGTGGTCCGCCTGGCTACGTCCCTTTGCACCTCGGATCGAATTTTACTGCCCTACGCCCGAGCACTGCTCCTCCGACGCCCGAAGAGACTGCTCGGGTTTTGGCGGCGAGAAGAGCCGCTGGATTGACAATTGCAGGAACACCGGCCAACCACCCGTGGATTCCTAAGCCGCCCGCTTCGAACCCAGGGGCTGCTTCTTCGGCGGCTCCATCAGCAGCACAGGAGCCGCAGATTGATCCGAGACTCCTCGCAATGAGTCCGGCGCCGCCAGTACTGCACATTGATCATCTCACAGGAGGCCCGGCATCACAGATCGATCCGGCTCTCACAGGGGGCCCGGTGCCGCAGATCGATCCAGCTCTCGCAAGAGGTACGGCGCCGCGAAGGCGAATCATGCCGGCAAGGGGCACTCGCCGGGGCGGCGTCCATTCGGACAGTCGTAGCGAGCTCAGGAAGCTTCATGAAGATTACCCAGATCAATACCCCGAGATTGGCGAAAGTGAGGAAAGCGAGGAAGAGTGAAAGCGCGATTGCGTGGCATAGGGAGTTGGAGCTTGTGGTATTGGTGTAAGGTAGCATGAATTGGCAAACTCATTAGAAATGTTAAGCGGCTCATCCCGCATTCGCGTTGGACCCTGAATCCCTCTGTCTTCACATGCTCGAGTGCTCCCTATTCTTTGCATGTTCATGTCCAACTCAACGATGCTCCTTCGATAACACGATTTCCAAATGCCCTCGTCGCTGCTCCCGTCCCGCTACCAGCAGAACGATGCCTCCGCCACCTACTTCCTACCCTTAGTCCTGCTGCTCAGCTCTGTCGTTTCCAGCATTGGCACATCTGTCGCGCACGCCCTCCTCACCAGCGCTGTCGCATGGACTGTCTTGAGCGTATACACCAGCGTCAGACTACGAAGAGGGCGGAACGGGAAGGAGGAGAATGGTGTCAACAGGCAGGCGCGCAGACTGTCATGGGCAGCAGGGGGGCTACTTGCATTGGCCAGGATATGTGAGCGTGCGGTGGATGGGAGGGGGATATGGTGGGCCAATGTGTGTATACTCCCGTAATACTACTCTGCTGTCAATATGCTAAGCCGTCCTGAATCTATAGGGCCTCCTTCCCTTGACCCTGACGATTTTCCTCTCTACCTCCATCCTCCCCCCTCTCAACGAGCCGACCAGCCCCCCCGCGAGTCCAGAGAAATCACGACCGAATGCCTCCTACCCAACGAGTCCGAATACATCCCTCATCATCCTCACAGCCTCGGCGGTAGCAGCAATCTTCGCCGCGCTAGGGTCCAACGCGACCATCGCCCTAGGCCTGTCGGACGCTCTGGTCACATCTCTGGCTTTCTTGCTGGTCGAGCGGGCGCACAGCGAAGCGAAGCATGGGAATAGTGGCGGCAGCGTGATATACGCCGCTAATGGCCTTCTCGCGCAGCCAGCTGCTGGATCGGGAGGCAGTGGGGATGCGAAGACGGCGGTCATGAGAGATGTTGCAGTGGGGTCAGCTGTGTGTACGACGGTGGCTGCGCTCACGCTGGAGAGCTTTTCGTTTGGTGGATTGGGGTATTGGGGAGTTTTTGGGCAGGTGTTGGGTGATAATTGGATGTTCTGGGATGGCGTTTTGGGAGTGGCGTATGCAGTGGGCATGGTGAGCTTGCATATGGTGGTTTATGGGGTGTTGTTGCTTTTTGTGAGTCTCTCTGTCCTGGCGGCTCCATCAAACTCTGGAACCAATGGTCCTACGGCCATGCTCAAGGCTGTCGTTCTGCTTTGTGAAGCGATTCCGTAGCCACATGTGCTCCTGCTAATCCTATTCCGAACAGATACAACGGCAAGGCTCACTGGTAGCGAGCTTCGTCCCTCTGGCGGCGTCCATATGCTCGCAAATGCTCGTCGATTTCTCCTTGAGCAGGGTATGGTTCGCCGTCTTATGCGCAGTGTCGACATATACCTTCTTCGACGAGCAGGAGACCTTCTCTGCAGGATCCGGGAGGACACTGCGTCCAACAAGAATCTTGACTCTCGTCGCCGTCATCTCGTTTGGCGTCCTCGCCGTCCTGTCTCTTCGCCAGCCCTACGAAGCATATCGCTTCAGGACGCCTGCAGATAGCACGCAAGGCACCGGAGAGTCGGACACGCGACCACCTCCGACCTCATTTGCTCCACTGGAGTTTACCAACTCGCGAGTGCACCCTATCGATCAGCTGGTGCGGGACGCCGAGGTCGAATGGATGAAGGTTGTGCAAGGCCAATCGCAAAGCCTGGAGCAAGCGGTGGCTGAATACAGACGGCGATACCAGATACCGCCTCCGCCAAATTTCGACAAATGGTACGAGTTCGCAAAGCGGAAAGGCGTCCAGCTTATTGACGAGTACGACACCATCTACCATTCCCTCCGACCTTTCTGGGCACTGCAGCCCGAAACCATCAGAACACGCGCCCAGGAAGCCATCGGTAACAACGACAACTTCTTGATGGGTCTACTTATCCGCGATGGCACGGCAAAGTATGTTGAGAACGGACAAGACTGGCTGCAGCAAGCTGTCGTTGGCATGATTGAGCAGTTCGTCAAGTACCTTCCCGACATGGACATTGCCTTCAACACGCATGACGAACCTCGCGTGGTTGTGCCCCACGACGATCTGACACGCCTTGTCAAGGAGGCGACCAACAAGTTCATGCCGGCAGCCTTCGCCAACCCCCATCCTCGCAACTCATTCTCTCCCCGACCGAACGACCTCACCATTGGGACTCGAATTCCGGAAGCAAAAACAACAAGATTCAACGTCTACGCTCATCAGCCCGTCTGGATCCCTTCTCGCCTCTCCTGCCCACCAGACAGCCCAGCACGTGCTCTCGACGAAGGACTTGCTGGGGACAACCTTACCGCTTACGCCTTGACAGAGCTCGGCTTCGTCTACAACGCCACCGCCTTCTCCGATGTCTGCAACTCCCCCTCCTTTGCCGGCAGCCACGGCTTCTTTGAGCGTCCAAACGCTTTCAATGTCGTGCACGACCTCTTCCCCATCTTCAGCCAGAGCAAGATGAGTGCTTTCCAGGACATCCTCTACCCCAGTCCATGGTACTGGTACGGCAAAGTCGACTACGTCGAACGCCAAGACCTCGATTGGAAGAACAAGATCCACTCCATGCTCTGGCGTGGCTCCACAACAGGTGGCTTCAGCCGCAACGGCGGATGGCGCCGCCAGCACCGACAACAGATGGTCAAACATCTCAACGCCCTCGACAACGCCAAAGTCCTCGAGAACATAAACAAAGACCCCGGCCGCGACGAGAATACGCCCGAGTGGAAACTCAAGACCGTCCCGCGCTCCGACTACAAAGAAGTCATGGACGTGCACTTCTCGCACATCGGCCAGTGCGACCCGGGCGACTGCGACGCCATGAAGGAGTACTTCGGCATCACCGAGGGCGTCGACCAGCAGGACCACTGGAAGTGGAAGTACCTGCTCGACATGGACGGGAACGCCTTCAGCGGCCGTTTCTACGCTTTCTTGAAGAGCAAGAGCTTGGTGTTCAAGATGGCGGTGTTCCGGGAATGGCATGCAGATTGGCTGAAGCCTTGGGTGCATTTCATCCCGTTGAGTTTGCGCGGTGATGAGGCGTTGGAGGCTGTGAGGTATTTTTCGGGTGAGCCGGATGGGAAGAGGGATGCGGTGAGGTTGGCGGAGCAGGGGAGGGAGTGGGCGGCCAAGGCGTTGCGGAATGAGGATTTTGAGGTTTGGTTTTTTCGGTTGTTGCTTGAGTGAGTGCTCTCCCTCTCTCTTTTTCTTGACGATGGAAGGTGGTGGAATGTGCTGACATGTGCGTGCAGGTATGGTAGGCTTGTTGATGATGCGAGGGCGGAGATCGGGTATGCTGGGTCGTAACCAGAAGACACTTCTTCCGTGGTCTGGGAAAGAGTGGGAGGCCTTCTGTAAGATATGTGTATAGCTGTATCATTGACACCAACTTGGTCATGCTCCGAGATCGTTCTTCATGCTTACATACGAGCCAGTGTTCGGCCAGCTCTCTATCACTCTTGACCACCGACTTCGCACAACATCCGCCTCGGCCACTCCAACAACGACCGTTCAATGTGCGCCGTCGGCTCGGCATCGCAAAGCTCAATAATCTCCTTCAAGCCATGGCGGCCCATATCATCCATCCACCAGATGTCCTCGGCCAGAACGACTAGCATGAGCCAATGGGCGTATACAGCCAGTGCGAGAAGATCTCCGCTCACCAGCATGTCAACGAAGCCTTTGGAGATGTTGACTGGCCAGGTTTGGAGCGCCCTCATTAGGCTGTGAACCTCCCTGTAACAGGTTGTCTCTGTCACTTCTCGAAGGTGGCTGATCGCTGCCAGCACGTCTTCGACTTGTTGGTCGTTGAATGTCGACCACTTCGCGGCAACTGCATTGTCCAGGGCCTGAAAGCGCTGGCAGGTCGTCGTTCGGATGAAGTTGAACTGCGGATGCGCCTCGAAATGAGAGCTGACGTTGTACCAGTTGCCGTTTGAAGGTTTCGCATAGTTTCCGTCCGGACCCAGGTCTCGCGCTACCATCTCGTTCATGGGTCCACTAGAATCTTTGTAATGATGGAATACCGGAATGATGCCACGGATCATGTGGAGCCACGTCCATGAGCCTAGCTCAGTTATGGACCAGCCGTCACGCTGCTGATACACGCGGAAGAAGCCCAAGGACAGCACAGTCAACAGCCTGGCGCAGGCCAGGTTCGGATCGGCATCACCTGGACTCATCTCTCGCAGCTGCTTCGAGCTTTCGTCGACAAACTGCTCTCCATAGTACTCCGCCGTCTGCAGGTACTTGAGTGACTCGTCCGGCGTCTGCTTGGTGTCGTGATGCAGGCACAAGGCGGCGAACGTGAGCATGCCCAGCCGGACGGTCGACGAGCTGTACGCGAGTGCGGGAATGACGGTGTCCCACACCGCCTGACTCGACCCGCCGTAGAGCTCGAACATCCCACGCGTATGGCTGAGGTAGTGCTGCACGAGGTCCGTTTCGAGCACTCCGAGGGTACTGGGGGATGTGGCGGGGGAGACTGGAGAGGCAGAGCTGGGGGTGGAATCCGCCTTGCGACTAACTACGCCTTCGCTTGATGAACAGGTCCTGGTTGGAGCGTGTTTAGAGCCTTCGTCGTATGTGCATTCGAGCCCGCGGCGCTTGCAGATAGTGCACCCAGGGCGGGTTTCGTCGCACTGCCAGTGGTCAGTTCCTCGTTCTCGTTCTGGGCGCAACGGAGCTCACCTTCACCCGCCTTCTCCTGCAAACGAGGCATCCCGTCCGACTCTTCTTATGCGATCGTTTGACCCGGAAGCTTGGAATCACAAGACTATCAGTGCTATTGTGGGCCATTGTGGTGTCGACCATGTCATCGACCTAGAGCAACGGCTCCCTGGACCAGCAATGTTTCTAATACACATGCTGTCGCCTCCGCAACTCAACTTTAACTCCGCACGTCTTGCAGTAATCTGGCGTCAAATTCTCCCGAGCTCACGACCTCCATAGGGCTGACTTTGTACGAATTGTCGAATGAGGCTGCGACTGGCAAATTAGTCACGTCGTGCACGCCAAGGACGCCTCGCTGACAGATTGCCTGATGCACGTGTGTTGAGCGGGCTGTGCAAACGAAACCTGGGAACGAGCACCACCACCCCGATGTATGCATACTGGCTCCACTTTTCAATACATGCGGCTCGCCGACCCCTGATATCACGACCTGCCATGTCTCGTTTGACAAATGGTCTCCATCGCTACCCCTCCTCCTCCCCATACCTTATTCAGCTTCTGCTCTATGCGAGAACGAGCAGCTTCAATGGACGTTGACGTTAGACAGCAGTGAGCAAGGCGATCAATCCATATAAAGAAACAGCACGGCTTCACAGAATGTCTCGAAAATCACCCCTTCGCCAGCACAAACGAAAAACATCTCGAAATGGCCGTCGCCGCAGTCGTCGCTCTCACAGTCCTCTGGTCTAAACACACGAAGGGTAGTGCTGTACCAACTTCGTCGCTAACCTCCGCCCACCATGGCGATCCGAGGTGTGTCGATGTGATGCTGCCGGTCTCTGTCACCTCGCAGAATGCCGTCTATGATATTGTACAGATTGATACCAGCATCGATGCGATTGCATATGCACTCGACATGGACTCTCGATCAGCTCCGAGCATCGAGGAGCGCATCCTCCGCAACATCACAGTCAGCGACACCTACAACATCGCCGCAAAGCTCTGCATTTCTCGCAACGGTGGAAAGAAGAATCATCTACAGATCGCCACTCATGGCGGCGTCTTCGATTCACGATACTGGGATGCGCGAATCAACCCCGAAGAACATTCCTGGGTTCACAACGCCCTGGCTGCTGGTTATAGCATCCTCACCTACGACCGACTCGGGAACGGCAACTCTGATAAGCCGGATCCTTACCAAGTCAACCAGATTCCACTGGCACTGGAGATCCTTCGCGGCATCACCAAGATTGCTCGGGAGGGCCATTTGATGAAGTATGCCAGCCCAGGCAGCAAACAGTCCAAAGCCCAATTTGACAGGATAATCCACGTCGGCCACAGTTTAGGCAGCGCGATATCCTTGGGCATGGTGACGACCTACGGCAACGAATCAGATGGCGCCGTCCTGACTGGCTGGACTACAACGTATCAATCGACTGGAGGAAAGACCACGACGTTCGATTTGCAGCTCGCTTCGGAAAATGACCCAAAGCTCTTCGGTGACTTTCCGAACGGGTACGCCGTTCCCAGTACGGCTTCAGCCATCCAGACTGGCTTCTTCTCAACACGCAGGAACCACACCGTCGGCATTGGCGGCTTCACGCCAGAGTTGTTGGAGTACGGCAACTCGATCAAGTCCCCGATTGGGGCGGCGGAACTGCTCTCTGCCACGAGACTGAACCTTGGCCTCGCTCCGGACTTCAGCGGGCCCATACAGTTCGTGCTCGCGGAATACGACTGGCTTGTGTGTGATGGTGATTGCAAAGGGACGACGAACATGACACTGTTGGAGCAGCTGTATCCCAAGGCGACCGACATCAATGTGTACACTCAGCCGGGCACTGGCCATGGGCTGCCACTTCATCGTGGCGCGAACATCGGTTTCAAGGCTTCCTTCGACTGGTTGGATCGGAATGGTTTGTGAACGAGTTGGAAGGCTGTTGAGTCTTGGAAGCTTGAGTCGGGCATTGAGATTGATAGCGTGCATGGTGGAAAGTGGTCTGAACAGGGGATGTTTCTCTTCCGGCCCGTCGCTTTGACCGTGCGTAGATAGCCCACCTTAGTCCAGTTGATAACAGCGGCTCGGCGAGAACTTACTCTCTTGAGACAACAAGCACCTTCGGCGTCCCCAGCGAAGTACAACGCCTTGCATAACTCCACAAGAGCACAGCCCGCGATAGACGAGGACTCAGGAGGATTGGTAATGTTGATATGCCGATCGAGTTTCAGTTTCAGCTTCAGCTCCGACGTCACATGCTTGGCTCTGCTTCATCCCTTTCAGACACCTTGGGGCTGAAAATACCAAGAGGTTTTGATATGCATCTTGACTCTTTTATTCGCTGCCATCCAGTGGAAGATCGTTATGCTGGAGTCAGCGTCGCAGCTCGGGCAGGCCGTCGCAGTTGTTCCAAGATGAAATATGTATCTGCACGACAACGCTCTGATTTGTTACGTCCGTAAAATCGTCGACGTCCAGAAGAACCCTCAGAGATGTCTTCACACAGGCAACACTATGGGGAGGAAGGGAGAATGTCCGCACGGCAGGTCGAGGAGCAGAAACCTGCAATGGCAATGCTAAATGTTCAGCACGTTACATATACAAGTCCTTCCATCCAGGAATCTCAAGACGAACTACTGTATGCAGAGGCAGATGAATCTTCAGTGAGTATCAGCCGTCGAGCACTGCATACTACTGCTGATGTCTCCGAACAGATGAACTTTCGTCGAGCAATGGTACTGGTCGCCATGGGCTTTCTATGGACATCTTCTCAGATGCCGCTGTACTTTGTAGGTCCCTCAAGTCTCCGCTGTTCACCATACTCCAACTAACACTACGTGCAGTACGGCGGAATCCAAATCAACGTCCTCCAGTCCATCGGCGGCTACGCCCAGTTCGTCTGGCTCGGCCTCTCAGGCCTGATCCCCCTGGCAATAGTTACACCCTTCGTCGGCGCCCTATCCGACCTCTTCGGACGTCGCAACATTGGTCTCACAGCTTTCGCCCTCATCATCTTTGGCAACATCATGTGCGCCACCGCGCAGCACATGAACGTCTTCCTGGCCGGTACCATCCTCATCGCCGTTGGTGCGGGAATAGGCGAACTGGTCGCGCTCGCTGTGACGGCGGACATCGCACCGCCGAAGCACCGTGGATTGTATGTTGGCGCTGTCGTCTCGACGGTGCTGCCATTTTGTCCTTCGACGTTGTATGCGCAGTTGATTGCCCATGCTTCGACGTGGCGATGGGTTGGGCTGTTGATTGGGGGCTGGTCGTTTGTTGGTACCGTGCTGCTGGCGGTGTTCTACTGGCCACCTCCGACGAAGACACTGCATACCCGAAGAGAGCTCTTCTTGAGAATCGACTGGACCGGCGGGTTTCTGTCCACTGCGGCGATCTGCCTCATCCTTGTAGGACTCTCGTTGCCGACATCTGGATACAAGTGGTCGGACCACAGAACACTCGTATCTCTGATCTTGGGCATCTTTTCGGCTTTCGCTTTCGCCATCTGGGAATGGCGCTTCGCTCGGTATCCTATGCTGCCAGCCCGACTCAAGGAGAAGAACCCACGGGTGCTGACCATCGTGCTCCTCATCATGTTTGTCTCAGGAGCTAACTACTTCGCCGTACTGGCTTACTGGCCAAACCAGTACCAGAACGTCTACGCCGACGGCAGCCCCACATCGGCTGGCATTGGGAGCCTTCCCGTGATGCTCGGCATCATCAGCGGCAGCATTGTTGTTACCGCGCTCGTCTCTATCCTCAAAGGCAGGATTAGAATGCTGCTTGTGGTGTCTTCAATTGTTATGGTGGCTTTCAACGGTGCCATGGCTGCTGGGACGAAAGACAACCTACCGGCAATGTGGGCGATCTTATGTGTGGCCTGCCTTGGGGTCGGAGCAACGCTGGTTCCTACGCAGGTGATTGCTGGGATCATATGTCCGGACGACTTGCTTGCGACTATTACTGCCATTACGATCACAGTGCGCATTTTGGGCGGGTGCCTTGCCTATGCTGTTTACACGAATATCTTTGCATCCAAGTTCGCCAGTGAAGCGGCGACAAAAATTGTACCGACGTTACTCAGCTACGGCATCACCGATGCTCAAGAGATGTCAAGGATCGTGGAAGTCATTCGAGGCGGTGGCTTTCAGTTGCTTGCTGACTACCCGGGCATCGAAACGCAAGCACGAGTTGCAGAGATCACTGCTGCAGGAAAGGAAGCACTGCTTCACAGCTATCCTGTTGTTTACTATGCCAGTGTTGGATTTGGCGCTATAGCTATCATCGCGAGCTTCTTCTTGACTGGTATTGAGGATCAGATGACTGGAGATGCTGCTGTGAAGATTGGCTGAGCAGAGAATTGCGAGCGATAACAAGCTGATGTCCTAAGCCTGCTGTCAATCCCTCGGATACGCAATGACATTCATGTTGGACTGGCAATGGACACCGTGAGCATGTGCATCGATGCCACGCATGGGATCGACGATGGTCCAATCGAACCTCCGGAAGAGCTGAGATTGTTAGCACCACAACAGCGACAGAGAGACGAGGTGCGTGCTCACCTCGACAAACGCTTTGTGCAGCTCCATCATAGCGATATGCCTGCCCAAGCAGAGGAAGCGACCGGAGCCGAAGACTGAGTCCACAACTCTCATGTATCTCTTTCGGGTGTCCTCGTCCGCTTCGATCCAGCGCTCTGGGCGGAAGATCTGGGCATCGTCTCCGAACACTTCTGGATTCCTACACATCGCCTCATCGCAGATGGACATCTCAATGCCTTCCGGGTAAAAGACACCCTTGAAAGTTTCACCACCAGGAGGCGAGCACTTTCCTTTTAGTCCGAAGAGCGGCGGGTACATCCTAAGCCCTTCCCAGAGGCAAGCGACGAGGTATGGCAGCCTCTGCGCCTCGGTGTACTTCACCACGGGATACGACATGACGCCGACATTTGCATCGATCTCCGCCCGCAGCTTGCTGTACGCTGTAGGGTTGCCCATCAGGAGGAAAAGGGTCGATCTGAGCACGGTAGTCGTTGAGTCGGAGCCAGCGATGATTTGGAGCTCTGCCTCGACTTCGCACTGCACCTGGCTCAAACCCTTCTCGACGAAATGGCCAAGCATATCCTTCTTCACCTTGCGATCGGGGCCATAGCGCTCAGCGACAGCTTTCCTGGCTACGCCCAACATTGGGCCCATACCGACTTTGTCGGTGTCCTTGGGGCCTGCCGCTTTTTGGAACCAGGGCTGGAAGAAGATCCAGCGGAAGAACTTGTGATTGAGAACAAGGTTCAAGATCAGCAGGAAGTTAGAGCTTTCCTTGTTGTAGTCCCAGAGATCTCTGTTCGCCTCCAGGAAGCCGAAGGGTCCTCCGAAGGCAATGGTGGATAGTACGTCAAGGGTGAAGTAGCGGGTCACCTCTGCGAGGTCCATAGGTATCTTGTGGTATGAAGTCTTGATCAGGTCAACCATGTCCATGACCCTGGCATCAATGTCTGTTTCAAGTGTGTCGATGTCTCGACCGTTGTACTTAGATTATATTATCAGCTGACAGTAACATGCACAGCTACTCTCGGGACCATGACTTACACCACCCGCCTCCCGAGCCTTGAGGTCGGCATGCACCTTCTCGTCCCTTGTTGAGAAGACTGAGTCCGTCCGCGGGTCCATGCGCATCCCATCATACCAGCCGGATCTCGTCCATTTGCTACCGGGAGCATTCATGTGCCTAACGAGATCGGCGTCATCGGTGCAGAGCAAATTGGGTCCAATGCGGCATGGTGAGCCTGGAGAAGGTGTCAATCATAGAGTTCTTCACAGCAGTAGCATTCGACTATACTCACCGTACTTCTTCAGCGCAGCATACTGCTCGTTGTGCGTCCTGGCATTAATTTCCTGCCAAAACAGCCACGAACGACTGAACGCAGCCCAACGAGGCCCGCGAAACTGCCGGAGCTTGCGATGGTTGACCACGCTCCCGGTGATAAGGTAGCCTATGAGGAGGAACGACAGTACTACCGCAATGGTAGCAGGTGTCACTGGGCAGAGTGAGATGGCCATCCCGTCACTCCCGCCTGGCTGGTCGGGCGGCAAGAATCTGTGTGCCGCGAGCGATAAGGAAAATGCACACCCTGCTTGTGAGAGGTCCTTTCGAGTCTTTGGTTTTTGAAGTCGTAGCAATGGAGAGAAACGCACTTGCCTTCGTTCACGACGTGCAAGAGGCACAGCTACGCTATTAGCGGTGGAGCTTCTTCCAATGTCTGGCTCGTCTATTTAACGAGCTGACACACGCAATTGCCATTGGGCAATGGCACGGCAGAGGCCAGGTTCAGCAGGCTATTCGTCAGGGCCAGTAGAATCGTACAGGGCAGCAGGCCGTCGGCAGCGTGCATGTAGCCACCACGTGCTATTTCATCCGGCGTAGCACAGCGCCGCAAGCTTTCCGAACCAGTGGCTTTGTTCGCCATCAACGGCTCTCCAGGGCAGCTTCGAATGGCCATCTTCACTCCATTGACAGTGTTGTTCTTGGATTGAACTCCGTAGGCGATGTAGGGGAATGTAATCTTCTAGCGGACGATTCGTGCCGTGGCTCTTCAGCATCCGCAACCTTGACAGCTGCACGAAGTGCCCCAAGCCACGCGAACTGGTGGCTACACCACGCTTGTGCTGCACGGCACCCGCTCCCCGACACATCATGCAGCGAACCACGTTGGGCTACTCGTCTATCAACGATCCTTTCGCAATGTCGCGTGACTGCCAGCGCTTGCAACACACCTTCACACTTCTGCTATCTTACCGTTCTTCATTGTGTTTTCTCAGCAAGAAGAATCGCAGCCAAAAGCTCCGAGGAAAGTTGGAAGACGACCATCACCAGGAAAATCGTACGGGATTCCCCATTAGGAAGTTACTTTCCGGCAACTTCCGTCTTCAAGGAGAGCCGTGGTCTTCATAAAACGGCCAGCACCCTCATCTGCTGACAGAGAGGCACTGCGAGCCTTTCGATCGCCTAGATAATATATATGGCGAGTGAGCAGGGCCAGATCGAGGCCCTCGACAACTCCAGCGACGGCGGCTACAGCGATGGCGATTCTGGATACGGCGGCGAAGGTGCATCTTCCACTGCCTCGGTGCAATCAAGCATTTTCGATTACGAGGAAGAGTATGGCCGCTCTTACCATGCTTTTCGAAAGGGCAAGTATGTGATGCCGAATGTGAGTGAAAGAGTCTCTTCAAAAGCACAACATTACTGACATGTTGGAACAGGACCACCGGGAGCAAGAACGAATGGACATCCATTACCACAGTCTGCGAATGACCATGGAGGACAAGCTGTACATTGCGCCAGTCGATCGTCCTACCGCCATACTCGATGCCGGCACGGGTCAGTCTAACGCTACGCCAAATCGTTTGACTTTTGCTAACGAAACCCACAGGCACGGGAATCTGGGCAATGGACTGTGCAGACGACCACCCATCAGCTTCCGTAGTAGGAATCGACATCTCGCCCATCCAGCCAACAGCCGTGCCTCCCAATCTCGAGTTCCAAATCATGGATTTGGATGAGGAATGGGACTTTACAGCCAAATTCGATCTGGTCCACACTCGCTTGATGAATGGCTTCTCCATCCGGTCGTGGCCTTTCTTCTACCAGCAAGCGTTTCAGAGCATGAGGCCGGGCGGATGGGTGGAGAACCAGGAGTTTGATCTGAAGTTCACCGCTGACGACGGAACGATGCCTGCGGACAGCGCCGTGAACCGTTGGATGGATTTGTGGAACGATGGGATTGGGATGTTAGGCCCAATGACCGGAAGATGCTACCCGGAACAGATGAAGCAGCAGATGGAAGAGGCTGGCTTCATTAACTGTCAGATCCATCCCTACAAGATGCCTATTGGTACCTGGGCGAAGGACAAGCGACTTCGGAGAGCTGGCTTGTTCAACATGGTCGGGATGGTGGATGGTGTCAGTGGTCTTAGCCAACGGGTGTTTACTCGCGCTCTTGGCTGGACCATCGAGGACATGGAGGTGCTGCTGATGGAAGTACGGAATGAGTGGCAGAATCGGAAGATTCATTCGTATATCCCGATGTATGTGTCTTTCGTTGCGGAAGAGGAGACTTCGGCTAACGTTGAACAGCTACGTGGTGATCGGACAGAAGCCGCCGTGAGCTTTCTCCAAGACCAAACGGCCGAAGACTTCCTGGATTGCTCTCTACCATCGTCGGCGTAGTTCCAGAAGACGAAGTCGCTGCGCTCTTCGCCATTGGTGGCCTTGTTGCGCTCGTCTAGGCGCTCCCAGTATGCCTGGCCCGCTGCTTGCGAGGGCTCGGACGGTGCGAAGAACAGGCGATGCAGGCAATTGTCGTGATCCGGGTGTGGTTGTCCGGCGAGTTGACCGACTTGCTTCTGTTGCTCGACTGGATGATTTATAACGCCTTCTCCCCCACTCGGCCCGAAGCCGAAAATGATGAGCTTCCGAATCTGGCCAGCCGATGCATTGAGCGCAACCATCTGCGCGATGTACCCGCCCATACTGAAACCTAGGAGGTCGGTCTCTTTGGCATCGATCAAGGCCAGGAAGTCGATGACGTGCTGCACCATGCCCTCGATCGTGTTCGCAACGGAGCCATTACTTTTGCCTACTCTAGCGTTGTCGAAGAGAATCACTGGACGGTTCGAGCCAGGGTGTTGGTGAGGAGCGATCCGTGCTGCCGCGGAAGTGGACGAGGAACATCAAGGGTATGCAGCTGCTGGCGCCGAAGCGGCGGTAGGCGTAGCTCTGGTCGTCGTTGGACACATATTCGATTCTGGCTGTTTGGTGATTGGGATCCTTTGTGCGAAGGAACGAGCTGGTTTGTTATGAGACAAGGAAGATCTCGTTCTCTAAGGGCAGTGCAAGAAGCAGACAGCGACGCCAGCTACCTCATGCCCAGAGTACGACATTACTTACTGTATCTGATACTACCTAGGCTATACCACAGATCAATGTGTTAGCTCGTTCGTCAACTCATCTACCTTCCTATCTAGTCGCTGGCAGTGGATGTGTGAAGAGAAACATGACCTTTGGCCGATTGCACCTCGCCTTCTTCCTTTTCTTGGCTGCTGCTGTTGTAGTCTCGAAGTAGTGTTGTCAATCATACATGACCAAGCAGCAGCAGCTGAGAGGCCGTCTCGGGTGTTCATTCCTTTCGTTGATGCCGCAAGGCTGAGGGCAGCTTGGCCGTGCTACCGGCGGCGCATTCAGCCTTATCAGGAAATGATGTTTCAGCGGTCGACCAATCGAACGTTTGTCCCAGCGTTAGAGCTGAATCATCTGCGAGAGCTTGACGATCTGTTCTATTTGTGCTGGTATACTACTTTCGAATTGAATGTGAGCAGCAAGTATATAGTCCACATCGTCGCCATGTTTTTGGTAGAAGGTTGCGTGGATATACCTACAACTGCCAGCACGAGCTATCCAAGCTTCCAAGAACTACCAACGATGAGCCTGCGATCCAGCTTGAGCAACATCATCCTGGGCGAGTCTTCCACCTCACAACACCCGCCCTCTGCAATGTATCCACCGCCAGGGCCACAGCATTTCCCACCACCACACCATCTTCCACTACCACAGCACTTCCCGCCACCACGAACGCCTTCACCCTCGTTCCGACAACCTTCACCATCGTTGCAACAGCCTCTACCATCCATCCCCTGGCTCCTAATCGACAAAGAAGAAGTCCGAAGCTCCCAGACCAACACCCCACTCTTCCACATCACCCTCTCCGCCGCCCCAGGCTCGTGGTCCAGCAAATCCTTGGTAACCCTAACCCGCGCGTCCACCGGCCTCCCACTCGGCAGCATACGCATCCGCTCCAGCACGGAAGTCATCGAGCTCGAGGTCAACGGCGGGGCGACAACGATGAAGGAGGACTCGATGTGGGCGAGTTTTCGTTGGTACATCCATCCGGTTGTTTACCCAGGAGCCAAGTGGGTCTGGAGCGAGTCCAAGGGGGGGTTTAGGTTGACTGATGGGGATAAGAATGGGCGGTTGCTAGCCACGGTTGAGGGAAAGACGTTGGTGTGCGAGAACGTTGGGTTGCCTGAGGCGGCGGTTGATGAGGTTGTGTTGTCGGCGGTCGCTGTGTTGATCAAGAAGAAGAGGCTTGGTAAGGAGAGGGAGGCCGTGGAGGGCTTTGGTGAGCTGGCTGGGGCGCTGGCTGGAAGTTGAGTGAAGTACTTTGATCTCGACCAGGTTGTCCTGTTGACGATGTCTCCAAGAGCGTCTTCGTGAGCAGAGCAGGCCCGGCGTCCAATGTTTTTCTGTTCAACGTATGCGTTTAGAACCTGTGAATCTCCTTTTTCTGCACCCCAAGCTCTGTCAACGCCCCCTCCTTGCCAACCATAGCATCCTCCATCTTTGGTGGTCCACACAAGAAGACCTTCTGTCCCTTCGCGTCACCCCACGCACCGTCCTTTTGACACCTCGTGATAGCTTCTTGCAGCAGAGTCTTGTCCACGTAGCCTTTCCGGTACTTCATCTCGTCTCCCAGGCTAGGAGCGTCAGGCTTCGCTTCGGGCCCTGAGACGGCATATATCACACGCAAACGATCTGGATGCTGCCGCTCGAGGCTCTCCAGCTCCTTCTTCAGCACAATATCCCTTGTCCCATTCACACCCCACAGCAGCTCTATCCTCGTCTTGTCTTCCGGATTCGCGAGTATGCCTTTCGTGAGGCTGTAGATTGGAGTTATGCCTGCTCCACCAGCAATGCATAGAATGTCCCGCTGATCTTTAGGTGTGGTCCATTGGCCTGGCAGAGGGCCACGAACAGTCAACTCGTCGCCGGGGTTCAGAGAGTGCATGTGCCCACTTGCGCGACCATCCGGGTACTTCTTGACCATAAGCTCGAGGACGCCGCGTTGGTCGAGGTCGTGGACTGGGGTGTAGGGGCGGAAGATGGGGAGCCAGGCTCCCGAGGGCGTGTGCTGGGTGAGAATGGCGGCTGGTAGGCGTAGTAAGTTGCTGATCCTCATCGTCTTCTTGAAGTTATCCGCGACTCACCTCCAGGAGTAACACCGCTGACCTCCTTGTCTCCACCCGGCAGAGCAAAGGTTATGCGCTTCGTGTCATGGTTGATCTGTTCGACGTTGGTGACCTTCAGTTGTTTCGAGAACAGCATGTTCTTTGGGAATGCGAGAGTCTTCATCGGCGGGTTCTGCGCCGAATCCAACATGAAAGGCCGCCGTGGCTGAGAGACATAGTATGCCGCCGCGAAAACGGATGTCGCTGTTGCGGTTGTGAGGAGAGGGCGGCGTGCGAACATGGATGCCATCGTGGCTCTGGAAGTAGATACTGTGACGGTACGGTCAACGCTCAAGGCGGAGGGCAGAAGAGGTGATTGAGTGGAGGTGTGGCATGAGTGAGACAAGACGGAAGCTGAGAGAGTTGAAGCTCTATTCATAGTTTACCAGGTGCCGGCCTTTCGCCGCATGGATCGCATCCCATGGGACCGACCTTGTCATTGTTGCCAGGAACGATCCAATACGAGTGAGTGCCATATCGAGGGTTCGTCCGGATTCGTATGCATACGGACGAAAGGCGCATACTAGGCTGATATGGGGCTGCCTCTTGCATGTGATTGTCGGACTCTCGGGCAAGCTGTAACTCCGATGCAAACCCGAACCTCCTGACCTCCTCCTCGAGCTGTCTACCTTGTCCTGCCGTGGCTAGATGAGCAGGAGTACGCGGAACAATACGTCTACTCTAGGGCAAGGGAAGCTGGATCGCCGTTTCTGTCGGAGGATGACGGGGATTTGACGGAGATTGAAGTGCTGTATGATACCCTTCGATTGCGCTGGGAATGAAAAATGGATTGTGGAAGCATGAGCATTGCGTGTACAGCCAGAGAATCGTCGTGTAAACCAAAACCAATACCCAAGTCAGAAGACCGCAGGCGTTCCTCAAGGTCGTCCCTTTCAATGCCCGCTACGCGGCTCAAACTCCTCCTTCGTTACACTCTCCTCCGGCCCACTGCCCGGCTGTAGGTCCTCCTTCGTGGCATGAACGGCGGTTCCACGCCCTGGCTGGAGTTCCTCCTTCGTGGTTTGAGTCTCGATACCCCGGTTGGGCTGCAGTTCCTCCTTGGTCGTGCTCTCCTGTGGTCCGCTATCCGGTTGGAGCTCCCCGACGGTTTTGGGCTGGGTAGAGCCGCTGGAGGTGCTGGGTTGGAATTCTTGCTCTGCGCGTTGATCGCCCTTGCCGCTGGGGTATATGAGCTGGGTTCATCACATTGGAAAAGAGGCATGAGGTAATTGCATACACGCCTTTGACCTTCTCCTTGATCTTGTCCATTGCGATACTTCAGCCCTGGCAGTCTTCCGATGCAACAACTAGTGTGAATGTTTCTTGATATGAAACAGGCCCCGTTCGATAGTTGTTAATGTTGCAGTATGTTTATGATGATGAGGAAACCGTCCAAGATGGAAGAACCAACCTTTACTCGCAGTACCATCCCAAGTACCCCTCTTTCACGTTGAAGCTGGACGTCGATCGGATGGGAGGAACCTGGGAGCTCTTCCACTAGAAGCATTGCATCACAGGTAGCTTGGGATCGACACTTGAGTGCTTTTCGAGAACCTCCGTCTGATGCTCATACAGTGCTGCAACTAATTATCGTTGAGGCCTCGTTGGAGAGGAGACCAGCAGGCAATTGCTGCTCGTCAACATGACAACCGTAGTCCCCTGTGTACTATACAGCACGTCTACGAATGAGACAGTCCTGGGCAGCAGGATCAAATCATCTTCACCTCCCAGGCTCGCTCGCCCATTCTTCGCCGCTGCGTCTCCTCCAACATAGGCCTTGCACCGCTGTTTTGTAATATCTATAAGAGATCTGGGTCAGTCCAGTCTCAGGGAAGCAGAGATTGCTCATTCTCAGTGCACATCGAGCAGGCTGCAGGTACCCAAAGATTGCTACTTTTACTCCCGTCTAGTCCTGTGATTGTTGGCTTCTGAAGTGGTCTGATGCTACCTACATGTGACGCAGTAGGCTGCCACATGTTAGCATTCGGCTGCCTGATTAGAAGACCCGTCTCCTTCCACTAAACATCTTTCTTGGAAACTTCAGCACTCTACATCCACCAACATGGCACAGCCCGCAGATCCACTGGCGAAGACCAACTTCACCTTCGCCGACTCCCTCTCACCTTACAACGTCTCGATGAAAGCCTGGCTCACCCAATCCAACCGACAAAATGAACTCAACGGCATTGCCACAGCCATCGTCATCTCCAGCTCCGAGAACAAAGTCCTCCTCGTGCAGCGCGCAGCTCACGACTCCATGCCGGGGAGATGGGAAGTCCCAGGCGGCGCTGTCGACGAAGAAGACCCCACGATCCTCCACGCAGCGGCGCGGGAGCTGGTGGAGGAGGCAGGCCTCGTCGCGGCGCACTTCACTCGTGTGGTCTCGGAAAAGGCTGGTCTAGATCCTGGTTATGTCTTTTCGAATCGAGCTGGTACAGCGACTTGGTGTCGATTGACGTTTGCGGTCGAGGTCGAGAGTTGCGAAAGGGTGACGTTGGATCCGAACGAGCACCAAGCCCACGTTTGGGCAACAGAGCAGGAAGTCCGGGATCAGAGGGTGGAGGGGCTGGAAATACCCATCACCACGAACAGTGTACAGGCGACTATTCTGGAGGCTTTTCGGTTGAAGAGAGAATGAGCAAAGGCTTGGAGCAGAGGGCTGAGGGCATGCTCGATCCCTCCAGCCACTGGATCATTGTTCTTGTGCTCTTCAAGGAATGACAGATGAGCGCATCTGCTCGCCTGTTACTATCTCCGGTGGGAATAGGCTCACGAGATGCTCAGAGGAAGGCAGAGGTATGCCAATAGATGGGCTGCTACTCCCGAATTGGATGACAAACTCAGAACTCAGGTATGCTCCGATCCACCAATGGTGTTTGGGGTTCGACAGTAGCTTTCATAAGTACTGCTCGCACTCGTTTAGAGGTAGTGCTGCGTCAATGGGGCAGTCGTTGGAGTTACGGACTTAAGCTTGCTCGCACGCCAAACTTAGCTGCATGGAGCTTCCAAGATCGTCAACATATATATGTCGTTCTTCCTCTTCATTACCAACATAGAACACTCATTCGACTTCTTTACATTACAACCATGAACGAATGCTGCACAACAGGCTTCCGCTGGAACGGCACACCCACCGGCCACGAAGACAAGATCGGAGACCAACCGGCCTACATCGCCGGCGACAACAACAAGCGAGCCATCCTAATGCTGCACGACGTCTTCGGCTGGACATGGAACAACACCAGACTACTCGCCGACCACTACGCGAAAGAAGTAGGCGCCACCGTCTACCTGCCCGATTTCTTCGGTGGATGGACTGCCAAAGAAGGCGATGCGTGGATGAAGCTTGAGAATGGCAAAGTCTCGATGGAGACGAATCCGGACGTCGACTGGCCGGCTTTCTTTGCGAAGAACGCACCTGAAGTCCGCCTACCAGAAGTCGTTGCATGTGCTCGCACGCTTCGGGAGAAGTATGACTTTGTGGGTGCTGTTGGTTTTTGCTGGGGTGGCTCCGTTGGTTTCAAGCTCGCTGGCAAAGAACAGAATGGCCTGTTGGACTGCATCACGATTGCTCACCCAGGCACACCTTCAGAAGAGGATGTTCGTGGCCTCTCTATACCGACCCAGATCATTGCGCCAGAGCACGATCCCACCTTCACGCCTGAGGCGAAGGAGATGTGCAATCGAATCATTCCGACGTTGGGCATCGAGTATGTCTACAACTACTTCCCTGGAGTTGTGCACGGTTTCTGTACGAAGAGTGATCTTGGTACTGAACAGGAGAAGAAGTCGTTGGAGAGGGCAAAGGCGGCGGTGGAGTATTGGTTTCTGGCTCATATGGGATGAGCAAAGCCGTTGTACAGATGATCGGCGGGAGGTTGCGTACTTTAGGAGGTGTATCATCTGTTCGATAAGAACGCTGCAGGCCTGCACCTCACTTCGCTTTAGTTGAGGTCGCGGTCAAACTCAGAAGTACCTCCAATCACTCATCCTCTTCCACAGCTTGCCACAGCCCAGACGTCTTCTGGCTAATGGAGATCTTCTTTCTGTGTCCGCCGGTCTGGCCTGAGCTCGTCCCGTTCATCTTGCTGCCGGAACCTCTCTCCCGGTCCATCACCTCCTTCATCTCCTTGAAAGGCGCAGGAACTTCTGTCGAGTTCGGATCGGTCTTGGTTAAGCTTCCACCCTGCGGAGGATCGATGTTCCTATGAGGAAAAGTGCAGTGGTCAGCCGCAGCTCAGGCGGTTCTGAATGGAGCAAGTGCGAGGACTCACCATTCCGGCACCACTCTCGTCTTGGGCCCGTTGTTTGGCATAATCTCAAGAACTGTGCCGCTCTTGTATTTGCCTTCCATAACAAGGTCGATCATGGCCTTCGCTACGTCGTCCGGCCTCAGGGCTTCGATTGACTCAAAATTACTGCGGGTCCGCTTCTCCTCAGTCCAGAGTGGCGTATCGACAGCGCCAGGGCAGATGGTAACGACTTTGATACCTTCGTACTTCTCCAGGAATTTCATGGACTTAGTGAACCCAACGATTGCTAAAGTAGGATGGAAGACGTGAGTAACAATGTTTCATCCCGAGCAGGACGACAGAGCAGCGTTGCTTACCGTGCTTTGTAGCAATGTAAAGAGGGCAGTTATAGGAACCTGCTAGCCCCCCGACAGAGGCGATCGGTAGGACGACGCCCTTTTTGTTCTCTCCGACGAGAGCACGCATGGCTACGCGAGTGAGCTTGACCGGATGGTCCACGTTGATGTCTGTCATGGCATAGCGGTCGTCCTGCTCCGGGTCTTGCCAGAAGTTGCTGAATTTCTGGCGGGAGTCAGCATTCGTAAGGTCTAGAGAGGGAGGAAGGTGGTCATACAGGCTCAAAAACTCCCGCACCAGCAACGTAGACCTCCGGAATCGATCCAAACTTCTCCTTGGGGCCGGTAACAAGAGCCTTCAGTTGATCCCACTTGGTAACGTCGGTTTTCTGGAAGATGACGCTGTCGTTGTCGTTGACCAACTTCTCGGCTTCTGAGGTGAGTGCGAGGTCTGCGATGACGACTTTGGCGCCCAGGTCGGCGGCGCGTTTGACGAAGCATAAGCAAATGCCTGGACAACAGTCAGATACGTATCAATTGAAGACAGCGTTGAACAAACCAGAACCGCCGCCTGTGACAACCACAACTTTGTCTTTCAGATCGATATCTCCAACTTCCATGATGCTCGAATAGCGGTGGTACAAGTAAGCTGTTCAGCAGTTCGTGCAAAGTGTGAGTATGCAAGCGTGAAGAACGATTACCTCGATTAAACCAATGAGTTCGAGTCTGCAGCTTATACCGACTGTGAGGGGTCGTTAGCGGGGGCAGCACAACTGATTCTCATCCGAGCTGCAGCGGCATCCGTTCTCCGAGAAAGTCTGGAAGTATTAGTCCAAATATACAATGCAAAACATCAGCGAGACAGTGTAGACTGTAATGGAGGGAGTTGTTGCAATATGAAGGCTACCACGCTGTCATTTGGAAGTTCGCCGGCACTGCAGACTGCATGAAAAAGGCCTTGAACTGTGCTGCATAAATCTCAAACTTAGGTGGGCCTACCTCTGGAGGGGGCAGTAGTACATATGTAGTAATACCATAGGAGGATTGTGGTCAGAGGAATCGTGTGCTTGCCTTCAGAGATCGATCCGATCCAGTCTTGACCACTTCGCCACTTCCGTGGCCACAGCGGTTGAGCTGAGAGAAGTTTTGTCGCCGAACATGCTGTTAAGGGCGATGGAAGCTTTAGGGCATCGTACTTGAAGAAGTGTCGCGGCTTTCGAAGGTCTAAGTGTCTTCCATGTAACACGCGCCGGCAGACATGGCTGCGCCGGTAGTCATGGGAATATCACAGCGACAGCAAGGTGCAACGCGGTCCTTCGTCAGCCACTGGGTCAAGGTAGCAAGCATCTCGTCCTCCGGGCCTCTGCTGCTGCGGTTGGTAGAATTGTTGATGGGCCCATTTCTCTCGGCGGCTTTGAAAGCCGTGCCATGGTATACCGATCCACTGCCACAACCTTCCTCAGGCTCACCATCTGCGGCTGACCAAAGCATCAGGCTGGACAGTGAAGAGTGTCCGGAATCAGTCCCATCACGTCGTTCCAGCGGGTCTCTCGCGATAGAAGCCGATTAAGTCATCGACGGCCTAAGTATGGCCAGCTCGATCGAAGGCTGGCTCGAGAGAGTCGCGTCGAGCATTAGCTGATACGATTCGTTCCGATACTCCAAAGCCAACGTGACCGGGCAGAAGCTGTGGCTAGGCGATTGATGCTGTTCCGTGGTCGTATAGAAGGTGGAACTGAGTCGAGAGCATCGGTGGTGGTCTGGAATCAGGCAGAACTTTCTTGATGCCTGATCGCAAAGCAGCAGCAGCCGACTTTTCGAGCTTCCACCTCGACGACCAACGCTCACACAACCTTCGCAACACCAACTTTCTCACTTGACATACATACAACCACGACCAGCGAACAACTTCACACCATCCACCACTGACGACACATCACCATGGCCAACTACCTCGCCTCCATCTTCGGCACGGAGCAGGACAAAGTCAACTGCAGCTTCTACTACAAAATCGGCGCCTGCCGCCACGGCGACCGCTGCTCGCGCAAACACGTCAAGCCCTCCTACTCGCAGACCGTGCTGCTCCCCAATCTCTATCAAAACCCGGCCTACGACAACAAGTCGCGCCTCACGCCCTCCCAACTCCAAAACCACTTCGACGCCTTCTACGAGGACTTCTGGTGCGAGATGTGCAAGTACGGCGAGATCGAGGAGGTGGTCGTGTGCGACAACAACAACGACCACCTGATCGGCAACGTGTACGCGCGGTTCAAGTACGAGGACAGCGCGCAGGCGGCGTGCGATGCGCTGAACAGTCGGTGGTATGCTGCGAGGCCGATTTACTGCGAGCTCAGCCCCGTTACGGATTTTAGGGAAGCGTGTTGTAGGCTGAATAGCGGGGAAGGGTGCGTGAGGGGTGGGTTCTGCAATTTCATCCATCGCAAGGAGCCGAGTCCCGAGTTGGATAGGGAGATTGAGTTGAGTACGAAGAAGTGGTTGAAGGAGAGGGGGAGGGATGAGAGGAGTATGAGCAGGAGCCCGACTCCGGAGCGGTGAGGAGGCGTAAGACGAGAAAAGGCATGATGGAGGTCCGGAGGACGTGAGGTCGACGCAGAAGAGGCGCGCAGTCGGCTTCTATGCACCAGCGAGCATGCTTTTGGCGGCGGGGCAGCCAGCAGACTGGATATGCAGGGGTGTTGAAGCTGGTCTGCTGCCCTTATCCAGCGCTCTAGTGCACAGAGTCTCCGACCAAGCTGGAGATCACTGTTTGTAGCGAGGCGTTGCGGATAGTCATGAGGCATTCAAATATTTCCTGCACCAATGATGAACTCACCTAACTTGTCAATCTGTCCATTACCGTTGTGCAAATACAGTGCCGCTTCTCTAATATCATGAGCTCGTTGAATATATATGTACCACCGACCACCTGCCGTAACACCAGCCGTATTGTACCTTTGCCTCTTTGTCCACACCCAATCATCTACCCGCTCTCAGGCAATCATCGAGCATACACCATCCTCTCCACTTCACCCAGACCTCTCGCATTGTCACCTCAGCCCCCCAACCACACCCCCAAAACTCCTCCTCACCAGCCTCGACACCACATCCTCCCCATCCTCGTCCCCATCCCCGCTCGCAAGAAGATCGCTCTGCACCAACCACACAATCACGCCGACAATCGCCGCGACAAGAAGCAGGAAGCACAGCCAGAAGATCCAGCAGATGCACGTGCGGCGGGAGCGTTTGCGGTTTTGGCGGGCGAGCCAGGAGTCGCTGCAGCATACAAATTAGTATTGGTGGAGATCAGGGGGACAGGAAGAGTGAAGATGGGGCGTACCTGTGTTTGAGGGTATTCGCATTCTCCTCGTCGAGGTGCACAGCAGTGGAGAAGCGTTTCCAGAATGCTGGGTCGCGGACGCCTGCCATTGCGGGAGTATGTCGTGGTTCTCAGGTGTTGCAAGTTTAGTTTCGATTGTGCGAGCGTATGTGGAGGAGATTGAGGTATTGTCGGCTCGATTTTATTGTCGGGCGCTTCGTCGTCGCTCAATTGATGATTATGCCAGAAGGAGCAGGAGTCTCGAAGTTCCAGGCGGCTGGAGTATGCGGGTTGTGGAATGCTGGAGTGCAGGTATCGTACGGTCGGTCGGTATTGGCGATTGCTGGATTATGCGAATCTCTTGAGATCGTTCGTAGGCGATTATGCGGTAGCAGTGGATTCGGCCTGTTCTTCGTGCAGTCTCCTGAACAGATTACAGTAGTAGTGGTGGTATAAACGAGCGACAACACACAGTCAAAAGAGCGTAACGAGCAACTCGCGCAAAAGAGTGTAGCGCAGAGAGCCCTTCAACAAGCGACAACGACAAAGTAGAACACTCACACTGCTCACACGTGGGAAGTCAGGTGAAGTGTATACGAAGGTCAAAGGTACAGAAACAGCACGCGAAAAGGAATCCTTCCTTCGACGCCAAGCAGGACTCAGCCTCCTGTCAACAACGCCAACCGACCGGGTCTCCAGAAAAAACACGGACTGGAACCCTGTCCACCCCGTTACCCAGACGCGTTAAGGCGTTGGAAGTAATTTCGGGGAAAGGAGTCTGATATACCACATCTTCCCTATCTTGCATTAGTTTAGAAGGAGCGGGCCGTTCATCGAGAGAAAGAGCGAATGAGAACAGCGATGTTCCTGCGTTGGAGAGATAAGGTTAGGGGCCGGGAGTTTTGGGGCTGCAGTGCCGAGAGGGAGGCTGAACGTGAACGAGGAGACGGGGATCTGGTGGCGTGGGAATGGGAGATGAGGCGGAGGGAGGGGAGGGAGGGATTGGCTGGTGAGGTGTGATTACAGATCGAGGAAGACTTCTCGTGTGCTGAATGCTCTGGGATATTCTACTGCTACTGCCATGTACAACCACCCTACAAACCCAACACAAACTCCGCCCAAATGCTGTTACGCCGCCGCTATGCAGAACACATAATCAGAAATGCCCGCCCAGTACCAAGCCAAATCATATCATTCGCATCCAAAATCAGCCAAGCCCCCAAGCCCGGAAACAAAAAACGCCATCATGCAAAGTGTCGCGCGTGAGCTCTCCTCTTGTGCCGCGCAGCTGGGCTCTTCTCGCAATCGTCGCTCATAGTCTTCGTGGGCGCGGAGGAGCCGGGAAGAGTGAGGATAGTCGGGAACTCGCTCGCATATGCTGAAGCTGCCTCCGGGCTTACAGGCGGCGAAGAGGCCGCAGCTGGTGGAGCGCTCTCGCTGGGCTGCACGGTGACGTACTGCGTGAAGTAGGTCGTCTTGGTGACCGTCTCCATACCTTCAGTCGGAGTGGTGCCAGAGCTCGCAGGTGGAGACGTTGCAGCCTTGTTGCTTGGAGCTGGCACCGGCGCGACTCCCTTGCTCTCAGATGTCTGCGCCGGAGCTTGGCTGGTAGCGGGAGAGGTCTCCGCTGCACCGCCCGTCGCAACCGGAGGCGCAGTAGCAGCTGGCGGCGGGCTCGCAGTGATCTGAGCCGCAGCACCACCAGTGGCCTTCGCAGCAGCCAAAGCACTCTGAACGACGATGTCGGACAAAGACCCAGTCGCCCACTTGCCAGACGGACAGAGCGGTGGTGGTATGCCCGCCTGTTGTTGTAAAGCAAGAAGCGACGAGCTGCACGAGCTGGACCAAGCCGGATTGACCTTGGTAGTTGCCGCGAGCTTCATGTTCCAGTCCTGCACGGTGACCGCATGTGTAGTGTGCGCTGTGCGGGCCATGTAAGTCTCGACAGCCTTCGTCTGGAAGTTCTCCTGCAGCAAGGTGTTCGTTGCCGCTTCGTCTGCGATCTTGACTTCGCCTGGGCTGTCGCCCTCAATCTCGAAATCGGCGCAGGTGGTGTAGTATTCGTCTTTGCCTTCCGGGTAGATGCAGTCCTCCTCGGGAAGGGTCGGCCATTGCCAGATCCAGTATGTGGTGAGTGTGCCTGGCTTGACGTTCTTCGGGATCTGGACATCGCTCTCGCACCACTGCTCGGCGGTGGCGTTCTGGTCTGGGATCATGTTGGGGAAGACTGCTTGACGTCCGACAGAGAGAGTGCAGTCGTTGATCTGGTGGCACCGTCCGTCGTCATAGTTTTGAGCGGCGAGCAACCATCCACGGCCATCGCCGCCAGTTCCTTCCTTGTTCCACTTCATGACGTTCACGATCTTCTCATCGTTGATAGGCTTCGTCGTGCCAAAGACGTAGACTGTGCCGCCTTCTTCAGGCTTGCCTTTCAGTGTCCAAGGCAGAGTGACATGGCCATTCTCCAGATACTTCATCGCGACGAAGCTGCCCGGCGCAGCCTTCAGCTTCGGGTACCGTTGGTCGGTGTAATTGGACGTCCGCTGGTTTGGGTGGCAGAGAGAGTCGCTTGCATTAACACGTAGTCGCACGCTACCATCGGACATGACGGACTCCGCCTGAGGTAGCAGCCAAAGCGAGTTGGCGTCGCCTTCGAATGTGGGATCTGTTCGTGCGACATAGCCTCGACTGAAGCCGCGGTCGCCGATGTAGGAGCCGTCGGGGCCGATGACCTGGTACTCTTCGATCCATGTATGTGCATTGGTAGGAGGTGCAACGGTCGCAAAGAGTGCCGCGAAGGCGATGAGCTTAGACCTGCTAAACATTGTGGGCTGTGTTCGTGTGTTTGTGGAGAGGAAGGAAGTAGCGAAGACCAGCTTCTGCCTTTGTACGACGGTGGGTGTGTCGTTGTTCGTTAATGTCGTTCGTCGTTCGTGAATGCAGCCAAAGTGTCAGGTCCAGCCGTATCCGATGACTGGTGATTAAGCCGAAGATTGTATCGTGACTCCAGGTCAAGAAGGACAAAGAAAAGGATAGATCCTGTAGAGACTGGAAGAAGGTATTGTCGAGGAAAGAGAATGTGCGTCCAGCGCTGAGGAAACAATGTAATCGCAACAATGGAACAATGGGTATCAGTAGAAGAGAGATCGCTGAAGTGAGGTTGTCGAGGAATAAAGAAATGCCAGCCACGACACACGACTCACGAGTGAAGGTGTCTTTGTTTGTCTGCCACGCAAGGATAGTCGCGGTAGATACTGTCGCATGTGGGATACAGTGTTGAATATGTGTCGCACTCACGATCTCTTGGTGAATCAGTCCGGGCCCGCGGGAGGCGCTGGATGCGAATGAAGCCACATGGACAGAATGTTCTAAACGCAGATCGAGGGCTATTACCGGGCACAGCGCATCACGAGGCAACGGCCAGGCTGGTCTTCGGGATACTGTCCAGCCCTATGGTGCTGCAAAGGCGTTTCTGCGGCGTGTGGGTGAAGTGATTCCGCGCGTGGTGTCGCATGTCGCCGGGCGAAGAAGCGCGGCATAGGGTAGACTGAGGGAGGATCTGGACTCTCGTGACACGAATAGATGTCGACGGCGCCTTGCACGCTTCCGAGACCAACCGTTCGCGCGGTAGGTCGACGTTGTGAGAATCGTTTGAGAGCGTGAACGACGGCGGAGTGAGGTTGTTTCGAGCTCGAGACACAGATCTGAGAAGCTCGTCACTGATTGGCTGTCCGGTTGTTCTTGCCGTTGCGGTTGCCGCCGAGCCGCACCTTTTCTTCCGCTCGGACAATAACCACCACTCACAAGCAGAATGGAAGAGATCGTGTGTACATGTTTCGAGAAGGCCGAGCTGTCGCAGAATGGAGGTGCCAGGCAGTCACGTACTCTGTGGACATGCGAAGTCACAACGTTTAACGACCGCGACGACAAACTCTGCGCATGGTCTCAGATACCATGCCCAGGAGATACTACAACAACCCAATAGAATCCAGAAGGGGGTCATCAAGGCTTCGGGTCGTCATCCACCCCGATCAAGATCTTGACATGCTTCTCTCGCTCATGCAGCAAAGCCTTGAAACCCTTCTCCACGCCTTCCTCCAGCGAGATCTTAGCTGTGATCATCCGCTCGGGCTCCTTGAGGCGACCTTAAAGCAGACATGTCAGCTCTTGACATCGGAGGAATTGCATTCGAGCACGACTGACCATCAGCAATAGCATCAATGACCTCCTGGAACTCCTCTCGTGAGTAGATGTTACTCCCGACGTACTTCAAACTCCGCCTATTCAAGATGTTCGGGTTGAAAGTAATGTCCTTTTCGAAAATGCCCACGTTCACAATCGTGCCTTGCCCGCGCACACTGCCCATCGCAGCGTCCATACTCGGCTGCACGCCAGCACATTCAAATGCTACCTGCGGCCCCCAGCCATCCGGCGATACCTCCTTGGCCCGCTTCGCGACATCATCGTTCTTCGGGTTGAAAACATGCTTTGCGCCAGCACCTCTCGCCTGCTCCGACCGCAACTCCGAGAGCTCGGAGACCGCAATGTTCTTTACTCCTTGCGCCCTCAAGCACAGAATGACAGCGATACCGATCGGGCCCGCTCCAAGCACGAGCGCAGAGTCTTCCGGTTTTGCCTGGCCTAGATTAACTGCATGCCACGCTACCGCCAACGGCTCAACAAGTGCGGCGATATCCAAGCCCATCGATTCCGGGATGACGTGGACGTCTTGCGCAGGGATGCAGATGTATTCGGAAAATCCGCCACCGTAGCCAGAATAGCCCAGGAAGCCCCAGTTCGAACAACAGCCCCAGAGCTGCTTGTCGCACCAGATGCAATTCCTGCACGATAGAACAGGAAAGATGGCGCACTTCTTCCCTACCTCCAGCCCTAGCTCTCCAGGCACACGGTCGTGAATCTCGACAATCCTGCCGCCGAACTCATGGCCCATGATGGTTGGGATCTGCTCCCCAGTGACTGCATGGGGCTTTGTTGGTGCATTCTTGGGCCCGACCATGTACTCGTGGAGATCAGAACCGCAAACGCCAGCCCAGCCGATTTTAACTTTCACCCAGCCGGGGCGGAGGGGTGGCTCGGGGATGTTGTCGAGGCGGAGGTCTTGATTCCCGTGGTAGCGGAGGGCGCGCATTGTGTCGGGCATGTCTAGGGTGGCGTCTCTGGGTCTCAGTGATATCCGTGGTACATATAGGTGAGTCTTTCTGTCGTGGGATTGGTCTGGCTAATGGCTGCAATATCTCGAAGATCAGCTTGTGTGAGCAGGCGTAGAGGTGCTTGAATTAATTTTATTTTTGAATTGGATTCTTCTTCATTTGATCTCACATAGTTCTGCGCGGCTTGTTCTTCCTTCGGGGGCCCATGTCCGAGGTCTTGCCTCAGCATGAGGGGTCTGGCTTTCTCCAAATTCGAGCTTCCATCAACCACACTTCGGTGGTTTGACTTTGCCATGCACTTCATGTGTTTTGCTTACTGCATGTACTGTTCGTCTGGGTTGAAAAGGCAATCGACCATCAGTCCCTCTGCCCACTGCTTGAAGGGATGGCGCATCCCCGGCCGGGCACAGATACGCCCGCACCGCCTCTTCAGCACATTCCTCTTCCACAATGATATCTTGACTTGCCGGTTTCTTGCAAGCCCGATCAGTTCACCCTTGAATTGAGCGCCTTCTTCCCGTGCTCCCTCACAATGTCGTCCAGAATGCCTCTGATCTGCTTGCACCCATCCAAGCCCACCGAAATCATCGCCTCCAACCTCCCCATCTGCACCCTCGTCTCCATAATCAGCACATTCACCTTGTCCTCCCCACCACTCGTCCCCACCGTCAAGAACGGCAATTCCTGCTCCTCCAACCCATTAAGATCGAGCAGCGGATCAGCCTCCTCATCATTACTAGCATAACTCGCCGTCGACCCCGTCGTACACGCCACCACATAATCACTCATCGGCACCCCAGCATCCACCAGCGCCAACGTCGCCGCGTTCAAACACGCAGCCAGCAGACTCCCGTCCTGCGAAAGCACATGTATCGCAATCGCAATCGTGCTGTGCGGAAACAAATGCGTGAACAGCGTGCTGCTGAAGGCCGAGGAGACGGTATGCTGCATCTCCTGCGTGCGCTTGTCGCCGCGGCCGTGACGTTTGCGGTCGACGCCGCTGAAGCCGGCGATGGAGATGTCGGTTTCGATGCGCGCGGCGTTGGACTGGTCGCGGCTGCCGCCGCCGCGTTTGGACTCTTGGGGCCCGTTCACGGTGCAGATGATTTTGGTCTGGCCCATTTCGAGGTAGGAGGAGCCGTCTGCTGCTGCTTGGGTGGAGCTGAGGGGTGTTAGTGGCAAGGAAGGAGGTGGGAGGGGAGGTGGTGAGGTACATTTGGCCATGGATGCGGCGGAGCTCGTTCCAGCGACGGCCGTCGACTCGTCTGTAGGCGTGGTTAGTATGTTGTTTGAGGCTTCTGATCGTACAATAGCATCCTAAGGCTCAATGGCCATCCCTTGAACTGCTGATCTTGACATGGTGGTCGCCGGCGTCCTTGGACTTACAATTGAGCCAGGCTATAGCTTGAGGAGTCCAGCGGCATCTCTCTTACGATATAATTGTCAAGGTAGGCTTGGTACAGTCAAATGGAAGTTGGACGGATGTTCGTAGATCCAAGACAGCTTCCAAAAAATCTCGACTTTCACATGCACTCCAGATTGGATTTCGCGGGGAAGGCGCGTCACCCCGCCACGCGTGAAGTGCCAGGCAACCTCACCTTTGGTTCCTTTTTGTCACCAAGACAATTCACACTCTCGAGAGACGCTTGATATAAGAATGCAGCAACATGGCAGCCCGCAAATTCGGCAGTGGCTCGCGCCACCTCTCCATCGAAGAACGGGTCAACATCGCAGAAGGCGAAGACGAGCTGAGTGAGTCCGACGACGGGCTTGATATGGTCAAGACGAACGGCAAAGGCCAGGTCAGCTTCGACGAGTACATCAACTCCATCGACGCCGGCGACAACATGGTCGAGATATCATCGGACGAGGGGAGCCCAGCCGCGAAGAAGCAGCGGCGCGGCATCTACCACGAGGAGAAGGGCGAGCGGGTGGCCTTTGATGACGACGAGGACTCCGATGCGGTCTACAAGAGCTTCATCAAGCGGCACACTGAGAAGAAGAAGAAAGCTGCCGCCAGCAACAAGCGGGTGAAGGCTCGAGCTGCTGGCTCATCTCTGGTCGGCAAGAGAGCGAAGCCTGCAAGGAAGGCCAAGGATGAGAACCAGGTGTATGGAGACCCTAGTGATGACGACAAGGAACTCATGGAAGACTCCCTGCCGGAGTATCTGCAGACACGCATGAAGGAATGGGAGAGGTGCAAGCAGAGATTGGGCGAGAAGGGCTTGAGGCTACCTCCAACGTACGACGACATGTACTTCTCGGACGACGAGCGGCTCGAGACGCTCAAGGAGCGCCCCAAGTTGCCTACCAACGCACATCCTGGCAACTACGAGGATCACTTCATGCCGAAGTCTGGCGGACTGATACCCGCGCCAATCGCGCAGTATCTACGGAATTATCAGGTCGAAGGCGCAGAGTTCCTGCACGAGAAGTTTGTGTTCCAGCAAGGCGGTATTCTAGGTGATGACATGGGTTTGGGCAAGACAATCCAGGTCATAGCTTTCCTCACTGCAGCGTTTGGTAAGACGGGCGACGAGCGCGACAAGAAGCGCATGCGCAAGTCACGCCGAAAGGACGAGCACCGCTTCTATCCCAAAGTACTCATCATCTGTCCTGGCAGCTTGATGTCAAATTGGCGGTCAGAGCTGGAGCGTTGGGGCTGGTGGCACATCGCCACTTACCACAACAGTGGAAAAGCGGACGCAATCGCTGCCGCAGAGCAAGGACGGCTCGAAATCATGATCACGACATATCAAACCTACCGGCTGGACCAAAGCGCCATCAACAGCGTGATGTGGGACTGTGTCATTGCCGATGAGTGCCACATCATCAAGGAGAGGAAGTCAGAGATCACCAAATCCATGAATCGTGTCAACGCTCTCTGCCGGATCGGGCTCACCGGCACTGCGATACAGAACAAGTACGAGGAGCTGTGGACGCTCCTGAATTGGACTAATCCCGGCACCTTTGGCCCCATGAACGCCTGGAAGCAAGCCATCTGCATCCCTCTCAAGCTGGGGCAGAGCTACGATGCAACCAACGCACAGCTTGCTAAAGCGAGACGAACAGCGACCAAGCTCCGCGACAATCTGCTGCCTCAGTTCTTTCGCCGACGAACCAAGAAGATGATCGCAGCTGAGCTGCCCAAGAAGAGTGACCGTGTCGTCTTCTGCCCGATGACCGACACTCAAGCCGATGCCTACAACAACTTCTGCGATTCCGAAATCGTCCAGGCAATTCGACATGCTGTAGATCCTTGCACCTGCGGCTCGGGGAAGAAACAAGGTTGGTGCTGCTACCAACTCGTCGACGGGCAGAAATGGCAGAACTTCGTGTTCCCGGTCATGATCACTCTGCAGAAGCTGTCGAGCCACGTTGCTCTCCTCATACCGTCCAACGAGTCAGACAGAGAGCGTCACGACAAGGACCTGGAGCTGCTTCGCACCGCCTTGCCCGACATGTGGGAAAGCCTGTACCGCGAACGCCAGACCATCATGAATTACGGCAACACGGCGTTCTGCGGCAAGTGGAAGATTCTGCGCAAGCTGCTGTCCTACTGGCACGAGAATGGAGACAAAGTGCTGGTCTTCAGCTACTCTGTCCGCCTGCTCAAGATGCTGACCATCCTCTTCAAATCGACAACGTCCTACAACGTATCCTATCTCGACGGTAGCATGAGCTACGAGGAACGGCAGAACACTGTGGACGAGTTCAATTCGGATCCACGCCAGTTCGTCTTCCTCATCTCCACCAAAGCGGGTGGTGTCGGTTTGAACATCACATCAGCGAACAAAGTTGTTGTGGTCGATCCCAATTGGAACCCTTCCTACGACCTCCAAGCACAAGACCGCGCATATCGCATTGGCCAGACGCGTGACGTGCAAGTCTTCCGCCTGATCTCCGTTGGCACTATCGAAGAGTGCATCTACGCTCGGCAGATCTACAAGCAGCAGCAAGCCAACATTGGCTATAACGCTTCCGTTGAGCGTCGCTACTTCAAGGGTGTGCAAGGGCAAAAGGAGCAGAAGGGCGAGATCTTTGGGCTGGGGAACATGTTCGCTCCTCTTTCGACCAACATAAAGCTCCGCGACATCGTCAACAACACCAACATCGCCGAAACACGGGCTGGCGTCGAGATCGCGGGTCTGGATATGGAGGCTTCTCAAGACGACGACGATGACACTTCCGACCCTCTACTGGAGGAAGGGAAAGCAGATGCAGCCATGAGCCAGCTCGCCGCTGATATCATCGACGAGCCCGGTCTACGGAGGAAGGCGGCGGCAAAGACGGCGAAGAAGAAAGACGCCGTCCAAGCCATCCTCGCCTCTGCTGGAGTGGAGTACACACACGAAAACGCCGAAGTCGTCGGCACAAGCAAGATCGAGATGAAAATCTCCTCCCGCGCCCAGAAAGCCGGCAATGACATCGGCCTCGACACGGACTACGCCTTCGCCCGCAACGCTTCACAGCTCGACCCCGTCGCCGAAGCGAGTAAATCTCACGCAGCTGCCGCGCCAGGCTCAGACGACGGCGACACGGACGACGATCTCGACTCCAAAGCAGTGAAGTACAAGTATCGGCCGCCGAAGGATGTGCTGCAACGCCAGTTCTGCTCGATGGCGAAGGTGTTTGGGTATGAGGATCCGACGGAGTTTGCGCTGGTGGTGGAGGGCTGGACGCAGGAGCAGAGGAGGAGGTGTTTGGAGCGGTTCTATGAGGGGCGGAGGGAGAAGTGTCGGGAGTTGAGGTAGGTGATGGGTTAAGGTGATGGATGTGGAGTCAGGATGAAGACGAGATTATGATGGGGACGATGCGACGAAGTGCACGAAGTCATGACGAAAACGTTGCTGGCACGCATGCGTGCCGGTTACTTCCAATATTGGCAGGTAATTGGGCACATGGCAGAGGCGAGTCACACATCTTTAGACCTGCTGATCTGCAGAACAGCGATCATGGAATGCATCCACAAACACTTGTCAGCTTATGTGTCCCATTTTCTGTTTGCGTCCCCGGTTTGGCCTTTATCTCTTCGAACGCGGCCTCCTGTTCTCCTTCGACATTAAAGCTACAAGATCAAGCCTACCACAACAACAAATTCACTACAACATCAGGCCTCGAACTTCAATCCTATACAGTGGACTACAGCCAAAATGCCCCCGGCAAACCTCAACACTTACCTCGAGCTCGTACGAGCATGTGACAAGTAAGCTATATTACCAGCGTGCCGACTCTTATGGAGATCGTGTCTGACTTGTTGTTAGCTTCCCATACGATCAAGAAGGTGGCAACGACAACGCCAGCGCCAGCGCCAGCCCTGAAGGCAACGACAAAACAACTCCGGGGAAGAAGGCGACTCTGACCATCACAACGTAGCCGACCTATACAAACTTCTGCTTCCCTTCAGCGAACAACCTCTTGGCTACATCACGCCCGAAGTCATCGCAAATATGCCTTGGACATCGGTGTTCAGCATCAACCACTTCGCGCACACGGTCTCTATGCATGCCTCCTCGGAATGGAGCGATCTGTCCAGAGAATGTACGATCGCTTTTGCCGAGTTGGTCAGAGCATGCATCGACCGTAGGATCTTTCCCGGCACCTGTAGCACACACAGCGAGCCGTTTGCCATGATGGGAGCACCGTACCTGGTCCAAATCGAACGAGATGCTGCCTCATTGTTCGGCGTTATAACCTGCCGCGCACACCTCACTGCCTACTCCTACACCCAGACCGGCAGCATGCGCGTTTGGGTGGCACGCCGTAGCCCGAACGTGGATAGTTTCCCGAACATGCTGGACAGCGCTGTTGCCTCCGGTGTACGCGCCAGCGAGGGTCCATTCGGGACCATCATCCGCAAAGGCAAGGAAGTGTCCATACCAGAACACTCCGCGACAATGGCGAGATCGGCAGGGTGCCTCTCCTACATGGGCTTCAGTCGACACGGTCTCGTCGTGCCCCATCTCCTGTATGTGTACGACCGGAATCTGGTATTTGCTGTGCCGGAGCCAAACGACGACACGGTGGCGGAGTTCTTAGCAATGAGTCTGGACGATGTCCAAAAAGCATTGAGGGAGAATCTCTTCACGCCGGATAGTGCTGTTGTCATGATCGATTCTCTTATTAGGCAGGGGGTCATCACGTCAGAGTCGGAGCCAGGGTATGTCGAGATGGTGATGCGGATGCATCGTAGGCTGCCTTTTCGAACACACGGGTCTCGGGCGGGTGATTGAAAGGTGGTTGTGCTCAGAATCTGGAGGAAGTTTGCAATGCAAGTAAGGAGATTGAGAACGAAGAGGTAGGTTCTGAAGGTCACTGCTGTTTCCTTGACCAGGATCTTTTCTTCCTGTGACTGTCTAGATACCATCCATCCACCGTTCCAAAGCTGATGCCGGTTTCTTAAATCTGGTAGACCTCCTGTTCTCTTCCCTTCAATGGATTGATAGTATTGTGACACGGCCAAACAGTCTCGACGAGTGAACTTGGGGCTGCTGAAAGGTTTCCCTGCTTCGATAACGGCGAGGAACTCGGCCACCTCGTACTTGAAAGATCCCTTAACAGACGGCGCATGGATCACCTGCTTCGAATCGCCGTCCTTGTCAGAGACGCTGTTGAGATGCAGTTCAAGAGTGTCGGCCTCCCACCAAGGGCTAGCGACCCGGAGTTTCCCCTCCGTGCCAACGATCAGGAGCTCTCCAATCAACATCCCTCCTCCCGAAGTAATGGTGAGCATCGCATTGCCCTGCTCAAACTCGAAGATGTGGACTTCTTCGCTCGGGAGACCGGGTAGGTCTTTCTGAGGCGGGAACCGCGCTAACATCTTTGTCTTGTCGTGACGGGGCAGTATCCGGGCGATTGCCATTAATGCATCAACGGTACCCTGCGTAGATAGGGTCATGCCGGCGAGAATCTCTGGCGGGGTGTATGCTAGTTGCACGGAAAGGATCTCGCCAATGTCTCCATTCTGTGAAACGACGACAAGCCTTTCGAATGCTGGCCGGTATGCGAACCACGACACAGGAAGCAGGACCGACTTCTGGATTCCAGCAATGCGTTCGACGACGTGCTGCCGGTGGACATACTTGCCCCGGGCAGCGGCGAAGGTATCTGAGCTCATGCATACCGTTAGGTGAGTACAAGCCGTGAGTACAAGCCAACCGACAGCGCTCGAGGATCTCTTGGTGGACACTGTGAAACTCGTCGAAGGCCCCATATATCGTGCCCCTTTGCACGGCTGCGTCCTCGTGTTTCTCGTTAAACGGAGCTTTGGCGCTCTTGACAAGCCACCCTTTGCACTTGTCCATTCGCTCGACCTGGAGTCTTCCATTGCCAGCCAGTGCTTGGCATCTTTTCTAGTTTGCCATGATCCAGAAGAACCGAAGATGCCAGGATCCGGTAGCTTGTTCCTGTCCTGATTTGGTGGCGGGACGAGCAGGCGAAGGCCACAATTTATGTAAGCGAGGCATTTTCCCAGAGCGAACAAACAAGAAAATGCTGTGTACAGGCGGAAGCTCTCGTGGAACCACTGTACGCTGAATAGCGAGTGTCCATGATCCATATACGACACAGCTGAGTGGACCCGGAGAATCAGAATGGCTAGAACGTCTTCTGTTCGCGGCAGTTGTACGACGTAATTATGAAGTTGCGGAGGGTCGCATTAGCTGGTTGCTCGTCTTTGACAGATGCGCAGTTGTACATGCGAACCATCGTGCGCCGTTCTTTGGACTTCGCACACATGTGGCAACAAGAGAAGTGGCGAGCCAGCGTGCGCTTGGGATGCTCTCTTCTTCCTGGATCTACGGTGGATGCCGGGTGTCCATCAGATTCTGAGTAAACTTGCGGGTCTTAATCACAGGTACAGCTGGCAGAATGGGCATCTTGATGCTGTGTATGGGTGCTGTCTTCTTAGCAACCAGTCGTGCAGCAGCGGCAGCAAGAAACATCACTCAATAGCTGTGATCGTCATTGCGACAATGTCAACCACCGAGACCAGAAAGCTACTCAAGCTCCTTGACCTCGATGCTATTCTCTGCCTTCGTTGATGCCGTTTACATGTGATCCGAAGCATCCTACTTCTCATCTTCGGTACGTGAACGCGAGAGCGTCCTCTGATGGCAGTTCTTGAGGGATCTAGATCACAAGGGTCGTCTGTTTGATCTCATGGTCACGATGGCGTCCCAAGAAAGATCCTCCCGGATGGTTTGACCATCTGATGTCGGTTGGACATCTCGATACCACCGGCCGAAGAAGCTGCGGTGCTACTCTGCAGGTGTTGTTGGTATCGGCCTATGGAGTCTGCCGCCGCCATCTTGATCCTGTATACTGTACACAAGAAGAGTAGCCCCGTTTCGTTGGCCTTGCTACCGAAGAGCGAGACACCATGATAGTCGTTCTGCTGCCATTGGGCTGCTATAATTGCCGACAGATTGAAGGTTAAAGCTGTGGTTCATGTTGCGAGAGCAAGCGAGCTCGAGGAGTTAGGTCTGATGTTGGCCAAGATAGCCACCCTTGGCTCGAATCTTTTTCATATCCCCAGACTTGGCAACCCCAGGTTTGTGTTGGAGTCGGGTTGGAAGGATTGCTACCATTTCGTCTACACCGACCGAAAGAAGCAATGTTAACGGACGACTATTCCGGTCCCTTGATAGTACCTGATTACACATCGGCGGTACACTGATGCACGACCGAAAAAACCTCCTCACGAGTGCGCTTCGCCATCCCTTCAAATGACCACAATCTTGGCCCGACCGGTTGATGCGAGCCTAGCACCCAAGCAGAAGAATGAACGGAGCGAAGTCGCGAAGAACGACAGCAAAATGGCGCCACCAACGTTTTCGATGTGTCGTAGCAAGTGTTGTTGGCGAAGAGAATAGACAGTAGGGTCTTGGTGTTGACAGATGCAATCTCTCCCCCTCGAAACAACTCCTTCCAGCACACCTGGAACAGTATGTCAGTGCGTAGAAAGGCCCGACGCAACAAGAATCGACAGTGGAGAGTGTATAAAACGCAGTCTTGTTCGCTGTGAGTTCATCCAGCAACAAGCCCTTCGTTCCAGGTTCCTTACCTTCGCTACAGAGCACGCAATTACCGCACCGTTGTCATTCAAGGGCACCGCCTTGAAGTACCAATCACCCATCAAGATGCATACCAAACAGGCTCTCGCTCTGGGCGTTGCAGCCTTCTCCACCTTGGCATTAGCCTCACCAGTCACACTCAACCTTACCACCGAAGGCCTGATTAAGCGGGGTCTGTCCGAAGTCATCTGTGGCTTCTATCCCAGCGCTTCGGAAGATCTCGGGTACAATGTTATCCGTGACTTGGAAGAGAAAGGCGATCTCAATATCTAAGTCGCTGCTCATGAATGCTTTCGCCTCGGGTGCTACGACACCAGGTAGGCTTCTCACCTCTGACGATACTCTTGACATGATGCTGATTGTTCACCAGTGGCGTGTGAGTACAGGAATCGTTGGGACTTATGGCGCTCAGCCTGCCGCGGGTCCCAATCCCTGACACAAGCTGACTGTTACAGTTACGTTTGCAATGACCAGGACGTCATGCTTTTTGTTCCTATGAACGAAGTGCTCGACAACCTCATATATCTGGCAGAGGTCTGCGTGGACTATCACCTGGTCGACATTGGTCCGCCCGGCGGCACTGGCCTGATGGCAGGTACCAATATGCCTGGCTCTGGACGTGTGCGAGTGACCGACAGGGACGGATACAATGTCAATATCGGATACTGCAACGGCAACGATGGGGATGACGTCAGCCCAAGCGCTTACGGCTGGCCAGGTCAGTAGGCCCTTTTTCGATTCTCCACCAGCAAATACTGACGTATCCTCAGGTCCTAATGGCGAGCCTTGGCTCCAGGTAAGTCTGTTCACGGACAGAATGGGCGCCTTGAATCCTTGATGAGTCTTCCTAACTTGGTCCGTTCGTCCAGTGCGGCAAAGATGGCCAGGTCCCATGCCCAGGTACCGGATGCATCGAGGGGAGTCTTGTGGTAGAGAGCCAGGAAGCGATCGCGTGCCAGGATTACCTCGGTGCTGGATACATCGGAGTAGGCGCGACCTACATTTATAGCTCGGTAAGCAGTACTGCATGCAGGCAAGGATCTCGAATTAACGGGCGATTCTTGTCGCAGACCAGACAGGTTGGAACCACGTGGACAGTGGGCGGCTTCCTGAGCATTGACACCAGCGACCTCGCTCCGGTCTCCGTGCAAGCCGACTTCTTCGCCTCCTTTGCGGAGACAACGACCATAGGCTCGTCGACCGGAGTCGGCGATACCTGCGGCTCCGAAGACGCAGAGGGCGACTATACGTGCGGTCTGCACATCCGCCCTCAGTGTTACGCCATGACAGGCTACTGTGACACGGAGGCCACTGGGCGGGTCCCATGGGTGAGTTGCACTATGGCAAGACGGCTCTCGAGCGGCATCAAATTGCTGACACCCTCGCGCGTTCTCCAGGCAAACGTCGTCCCGCAAACGTCGTCCGATGGCGTCGGTGTCTTTACGTCTGAGATCTGCATATGTGAAAACTGTCCGGGTTTTGACGACACTATCGACCTCGAAACTGCGCCGGATGCGGTGTGCCACCTGCCATGCGCTGGATGCATGCCTTGACGGACGTTTCATATCTGTCGAGTGCAGTGTAAGTGGTGCTAGGCGCGGTAAAGGCTGGGATATCACTGGCGGCGCACGGTTACACGAGTCGGTGGTTCCTGATGATGGATACGATCTTCTCCATATTGCAAACAAAATCAGTTGATAGGGTTGAACTGCGACTTCCACTAGTTCCAGTCCTGTCTTCATGCCCTCGAGCATAGTGTATACCACTGGACCCGTCCCGATTTATTTCGTACATGTTTCTGAAGTGGTTGAAGTCAGTCAGTATGGATTGAGGCGGATGACCTGACCGCCGTTCTTCGTGATCTGTAGGCTTTGGGCCAGCTTTGACAATGCCTATCGACCCTCGGTACGGCGGAGTGAACTTGATTAATGGAATGGCATGAGTAGAGAGTAGAATTCGGGTGTCCCTGGAATCAAGAGGCTGAAGAAGAACCAGCCGGCTGTTGTCAAGCAAGCTCACACTAAGAAATCTTGTTTATCCCGGTAAACGCCCTTGGCCCCTATCCCAAAATAACCAGCGACTTTAAAGCCTCTCTTCCAAGGAGAAGGGAACCGCAGCTGGTTGTAGTCAGTGCGTTCAGTCCATAGATCCAGGTAAGAGACTCAACTTCGATCTGTCTTCACTGTTTCAACACTCCCTCCCAGCAACATGTCCCTCCTCTCCCGTGCTTCTCTCCTGCTACTATCCCTTCTGCTCACCTTCACCACCGCTCAATCCTCCAACAACGCCTCCGCCGTCTTCGTATACAATGGCTCCGACAACACCGAGTTCATCTTCGCCCTCAATGCAGACAAGAGCACAGGCGATCTCTACTTCCACCTCTCCTCTCCTGCAGGGAACGCTTGGGTGGGAGTCGGCATTGGAGATCAAATGAAAGATGCGTTGATGTTCATTGCATACCCCGCCGGCAACGACAAAGACGTTACGATCAGCCCGAGAATAGGCAGTGGACACACCGAGCCAGAATATCAATCAGACCTCAAGCTCGATCTACAATCTGGGAAGGGTTTGACTGGAGCGAACACTGTCAGTGGGAACAGCAGGGAGACCAAGAACATCATTGCGGATGGAGTATGCAGAGGCTGCGCGAAGTGGGATCGTGGGAGCATTGATTTGACGAACAAAAAACAGCCGTTCATCCTTGCGGTTGGCCCTGTCTTCCCGGCGATCGCATCTAACTCTCAATCTGCTGGTTTGACTAGGCACATGTTCTACGGACACTTCACGATGGATATGACCGCTGCGACGTCGAATTCAGGTGGGGCTGTGCCGCTGGGGCCATATAAGACGAAGTCTGCCTCCAATACTGCTACCAGCACCAAGATGGACAACGACCCTGCTCCTCGGATCCACGGCGCCGTGATGAGCGTTGTCTTTGTCATCGCTTTCCCACTTGGTACCCTCATGCTTCGAGTATGGCACAAGGTGAAGGGGCATATCGCAGTGCAAGTGGTTGGGCTGGTTCTCTTCTGCATGGCTTTCGCCGGTGGCAGCGTGGTGTCGACGCAGTACAACCGATCGAAGCACTTCAACTCTGCCCACCAAGTCATCGGCATTCTGCTGTTGATCGCACTGTTCGCTCAGCTTGGGCTAGGAGCGTACCATCACAAGGTCTACATGAAGACTCAGCAGAAGACGATCTTTGGCAAGATTCATACGTATCTGGGGCCAGCTATCATGCTCATCGGTATCCTCAACGGCTTCTTGGGTTTCAGATTAGCAGGTTTGTCCACCATCTTTACAACATTACCCCCGTGCCCTCATACTGACGTTCTTCCAGGCGCCTACTTCCTCGCCATCCCCTACTCAATCATCCTCATCGTCTTCGCCGGCATCTACCTTTGTATCCGTGGATACAGCCACATCCGCCGACGCAGGAACGCCAGCAAGAACGCCCCCGAAGGATATCAATATCCGCATTTCGGCGCTCCACCTCCACAGTATGGCCCGCCTTTTGGTGCACCGCCGCCTTATGCGCAGCCAGATGTGCCGTTGCAGCGGTTTGAGAGCTCGCAGAGTGTGCCGAGGGCGGACTCGCCTGCTGTGCAGCCGCGGACGATGGTGTGAGTGTATTGTTGGGATTGGTCCAAGTTGCATTATACGGTGTCCGGGACAGAGCATTGGGGAATCGAGGCGTAACAAGGGCGTTTTAGAGGGACAGCCGGTTTGGACTCAACAGCAGCCTGGAATGAGCAAGTATGATTCGATCTTGAAGATATGGATGACGTACAAGAACTGTACATCATCGCAAGCTCTATCTCTATCCAGATCTCTCCAGCCTTTTCTTTCTACAGCCGGTACTTGAACTCCGGGTTCTTCCGATCAGTAATGTCAGCAAACTCGATATCCTCCAGATGCTCCACCATTCCCTGCCGTATCATCTTCGCCCTCTTTCGGTTCTCGAATATATAGTACGCCTGCAGCGCCAGCGTCAATGCCACAGCGACGAGGCAAGTGACGATGATGGTAATCTTGGCAGGAATGTACTCTGGCGCCGACTTCTCCGTGAAGGTCAACGGGCCTATGATGTTGCCCACGCAAAAGGAGATGAGGAGGAAGGCGTTCATGGTGACCTAGAGGGAGAAGTGTAAGTAGAGACAAGGCGGCCCAAGGCAGGTTCGGATGAATGTACCTTCTTAGTATGCCCGGCGTAGTTAGCTGCGACCCAGCTATACATCAACGGAAGACTGCTGCCAATGACATTCGTCAAATAATTGCCCATCAATTTTCCGAGCTTGCTGTCCACGAACGCCATCAAGCAGCCTCCAAGAGCACCGGGGATGAGCAGCGAGATGATCTGGATGCCTCGCATGTTGTATCTTCCTGCCAGATAGGTGGCAGAGGAGATTGAGATCATCGAGATGACTCCAGAGGGTATTTGGAGCAAGGCGGTGGTTTTGCTGTCGAAGCCGAATTGGCGGATGATGGTTGCTTGGTAGGATGAGACCGCTCCGTTGGGGACGTTGGAGGATATAACGATGAAGCCGAGCAGCCATGTCTGAGGGTCGAGAAAGCATTCGAGAACTTGGGCAGGTTTGAACTGCCTTCTCATCAATATGCTGTTGATGGGGTTTGAGGATGTATGATGGACTCACATGCTTGTTCTCAATACCCGTCTGATTCTCCCTCAACCGCTGCACGGCCCACACCTTCTCCTCATGCGTAAGGCGGGACTTCATCGGGTTGTCGGGGAGGATAAAGAATACAGTTATGCCAACAGCAACCGTAATCAGACCCAGCAGCAAGAACATCGCCTGCCAGTTCGTGAACGCATTACCGTTGTAGTGCTGGAACCCGAAGCTGACGATGCTGCCTAGGATCGTGCCGGTGCCAACGCCTAGATACCAGAGTCCAACCCTGAACGGTTGTTCCCCATGTTTGTACCACATTGAGGTGACCAGGATCAAGCTTGGTGCGACGGCGCTTTCAAAACAGCCGAGGAGAACTCTCGTAGCCACCAGACTGCCATAGTTCTTGCATGCGCTGGTCACGGCTACGATTGCTCCCCACAGCGCCACCATGAGGCCGAGATACTTTGCTGTTGGGAAGCGTTGCATTCCATATCCGTGTGGGAACTCCAGTCCTAAATATGACACATAGAAGATCAGTGCCAGTGTCGAGAATTGGGACTCTGTAATGTTCGCATCGTCCTGCAACCCCATGACGTTGGCGTAGTTGATCAAAGTCTTGTCTAGGTATTGCAGACAATAGCAAGACCACATCAGCGGCATGACCATCCAGTCGATCTTGCGAACGAGACGTTTCTCATCCTCTGCGGTCATGGGTCGGACGGGACCTTCGCCGCGAAGGAAGTCGAGGGCGGCATCGGCGTCGCTGACATCTTTAACGATGCCGACGGACGGAGCGCGTGGAGGGGATTGGGACTCGATGTCCGATTTCTTGTCTTCGTCCATGTTGGGTGCGGAAAGATGAGATGAGAGGACGGAAGGAGAGACGGGTAAAGGGTAAAATACTTACTGCAGCGTCACCACGATAGAATACTTACGTTTCATTATCCACATCTCACCTCACAATCGCTATCACTTGGTATACGTGTGGTGATGTCGTTGATGGGGGAGAGTGCTGGGGTGTAGATAGGCAGAGCGAGAGAGTGGTTGTGATCGACGAGATGCGAGAAAATTCGCCAAGCCAAATCCGTACCTGCCAAATTCGGCTTAGGCCAACCTCACCTCCAACAGCACCTGTGCACGTGGTGCAATCAGGGCAGCAGAACAGATGCAAAGCAGATGGATCAACTATGAAAGGAGTGCTCGACGTCTGTACCAGCTTTCGAGGTGTCTGGACACGTGGACGCATCAGTACGACAGTGGGCCAAGCTCTAGAGCGGGATCCCGATCTGGCGGCTCCAAAACCTACTCCGGCTCACTATGCTGTTCCTTTACCGTCCAGACGAAGTGAAAGACAGTCTATTGAATGATTCTGGTGTAGAAGAAGATGGAGATCTATCAACAGGCGAGCTGTCGATGATTGTGGCGATTGGAATATCCCAACGACCAGCAGAGATGGACTTCATCGCACGGATGTGTGGAGAGAAGCGGCTTAGGAGTGGCTCGTAGCACAGAAGGGATCTGTCAGCATTGAGCTTAAATTCGACCTCAAAGGAAGCCCGCAAACGCTGGATTCGCGTATTCGCTGGTTTGTTGCCCAAAAGACAATCCAAAAGACAGGTGTCATTGCTACATACAATCAAAAGAGCAAAAATGATGACGAGTTTGATGAGTGTGAAACCAGGTATCTCAAGAGTAGAGAGCATTCGCTGGCAAAAGTCAAGAGTTCCGAACCTCAATCAACCAACATTGGTGAGAAAAAAAAAAGGCATATTGATGAGGGTGGCTAGTTGGAGGTTAGTCAAAGCAGTTTTAACATCGATTGGAGTGTGCTTACGACTCGAACCCACGCGGAATTACCCACTAGTATTGGGAGAAACCATTCTTCAGCACAGTTTTCACAGCCTGAAACTAGCGCCATAACCACTCGGCCACCTCACCAGAGTATATTACATCACGGCGGCGCTGTTACAATATATACCCAGCTTACGACTGCCCGATTGGGTGATTTTCCGAATTTTGGACTCGGAAGGAAGGAGCGCAGCCCAACGACGCAACAAGCATTTCAGGACGCAATGAACTCCTCAGAACGATCCGAAGTATCGTATCGGCTAGGAGATAAAATCTATGAAGCGCTACGGGATCGTGGGCAGAAATTATCTTCCAGCACATCGGGCAATTTTTGGTGCTTATCAGCGGTACCAAACCTACGCAACGCCACTTCTCCAACTCTTCTCTGTTCTAGATTTCTGCTTTCAACATTCGTGCATCTCTACAATCGTCTGTTCCAACTGTCAAATATTTCCTATACCCAGCATATCTTACTCCAAACATTTCCTCTCAACAGCATAATAACCACAACCCCTCTCATTGCATCATCAACCATGTCCTCGTGACCAACCCAGCCCCAAACACCTCCAACGAAGCTCTCGAGCTCTGCACATTCTCACATCCACCACGATGGCGATGTACACCCGCCGCTCCTCCACCGAGTCCTTCTCCCGCCGACCCTCCCACTCCCCCACCCCATCCGAAAACCGCAAACTCTCCTTCAACCCCGTCGGCCAATGGGTCCCGCCCGCCGCGCAAGAGGAACCCGTCGGCGCCTTCGAAGTCGGCAAGGGCAAGAGGATCCTGCAAGTCTGCATTGCAGTGATCTACTGCCTCTTTGGCGCTGGCGTGGTCTTTGGCTTCGCGGCTATCAAACCGGTGTTGATTGAACAAGGCGTCTACCGCGAACGATGCACGAAGCAAGAGCTGGACGACGGGGTGTGGGTGTGTTACGAGCAGGAGATACGGTTGAACTTAATGTTCACTGTCGCGGCCGTGAGCACGAACGTCTGCGCCTTACCGGTCGGCACGGTGCTGGATCGCTTCGGACCACGGGTGTCGGGGCTGGTGGGAGCGGTGTTCCTGACGTTGGGAGCGCTGGCGATGGCGTTCGCAGCCGATCTGCCGTTCGATGCGTATATACCTGGATACCTGTTTCTGGCGCTCGGGGGGCCGTTCATCTTCATCTCGTCGTTTCAGCTGAGCAATACGTTCCCGAGACGGTCGGGGTTGATTCTGGCGCTGCTTACGGGGGCTTTTGATACCAGCAGCGCTGTGTTTCTGGCATATCGGCTGCTTTACGAGGGCAGTGATGGGATGTTCACGCCGAAGAAGTTCTTTCTGATTTACTTGGTCGTACCGGCATTCGTTGTTGTGGTTCAGCTGTTCATTATGCCTGCAAACTCCTACAAGACGGTTGGAGAACTGGTCAAGCACGCCGAGGACCCGGCCCTAGACGAGCACGATTCAGACAACGAGATCGACGATGAGGGTCGAAGGAACGCACTCCAACAATCCCGCCGCGAGCACCGCGAAAGCGTCGTCTCCGAAATCACCAGCCTGCTCGGCACAAAATCAGGCGACGAACAAGCCGCCGAAGAAGAAAAGAAAGCCCAAAAGAGCGGCGTCTGGGGCGCGCTCCACGGCAAGACCGCCCTCCAACAAATCCGCACCCCCTGGTGGATCTTAATCATGCTCTTCACCGTCCTCCAAATGCTCCGCATCAACTACTTCGTCGCCACCATCCGCACCCAATACACCGAGCTCCTGCACTCCCACCTCCTCGCCATTAAAGTCAACGAGTTCTTCGACGTCGCCCTGCCCCTCGGCGGCATCATCAGCATCCCCTTCATCGGCCTCATCCTCGACAACACCTCTACGCCCTTCGTCCTCGCGCTCCTCGTCACTCTCGCCACCGCCATCGGCGTGCTGGGCATCATCCCCGACCAAATGTGGGCTGCGTACGCCAACGTGTGCCTCTTCGTCCTCTACCGCCCCTTCTACTACACGGCCGTCTCCGACTACTCGGCCAAAGTCTTCGGCTTCGTGACTTTTGGCAAAGTCTACGGGCTCGTCATCTGCGCGGCGGGGCTGTTCAATTTCGTGCAGACGGGTCTGGACGCGCTCACGCATAAACATTTTGGGAATGATCCCATACCGGTGAATGCGGTGTTGTTGGGCGCGGCGCTCGTGGTGGGGGTCGGGTTGGTGGGGTATGTGTGGCGGAAGAGTCGGGGCATGGAGAGGGAGAAGTTGGAGGAGGAGGCCGAGGGGGCGAGGGAGGTGTTGATGCCGGAGGCGGATGCTGAAGAGGTTGGGAGGGAGCATGGGCATGAGAGTTATGGGACGGCGTAGGGTGGAATATGAGGTGGGCACGGGAAGGAGGTGAAGGGAATCTACCATGGCTGAAGATATGAATGTAATGACGATGCTGCTTTTCTAGCGAGGCGTTGGTGGTTAGCGGTTTGATTTGTTTACGAGTGAAAAGCATCCAAGGGCGAGAATAATGGACTGTATCTATGGTATGAATGCCTAGCTTCCATATCCACCTCCACGGCCACGCTCATTTCATCAACAATCAAGCGGCACATCCTTACTCATATGCACAACCGTAAACCCCGACGGCGCACCCATATGCCCCTCGGGATACCTGACCTCATAGTCCACCTTGAACCCTCGCCCAAGGTGGAACGCCCCACTAACCTCCTTGATCGTCGTCAACAACATGCGCAACTTCGCCTTCCCTCCCTTCTCCATCCCCACCACGAACCGGCGCTTCACCTCCGCTTCCCGCATCCGCATTAAGTGGCCGGCGAGCCCTTGCCGCCGCAGTTGCGGATCGACTGCCAAGGTGCTCAGTTCCCAGGCCTCCGTGTCGTCGTCTACGAGCCCGAAGCGCTTGAACGTGTTCGCTTGGTCGTTGGGGGCGGGTTCCAAGATGGCGGAGGTGCCGATGTAGCGCTTCGCGCTCGCTGTGGCGATGGCGGTCTCCGTGCCGGTGTAGGAAATGACGTAGGTGAACGTTCCTGGCGTAGAGCCTAGTTCGTCGAAGAGTTGGTTGTCGTACTGAAGACGGTCGCGAGGGATGTTCTTGAAGCCGTTGGATTCTTTTTGATTGCGGAAGGCTTGGATAATGAGTTGGATGAGGGAGGGTACGAGGGGAGAAGCGGCGAGCTGGGTTGTGCTGAAGAGGGTTACGGTTGTTGGGCGGTTGTTGATAAGCGGGCCTTCGAAGGAAAGTGGTTGTGAGTTGTCTGCTTGGTCGTGTTGTGGTTCAGAGTTCTTCTTCGACGGGAATGTGATACCGGGGATTAAGCCGTCGCCGTTGGTTTGAGAGACTGGCTCAGCCATGCTTTCGAAGGGTTGGGGTAAAAAAGAAAGACAGGCAACGTTAACAAGAGATACTGTACCTGTATTCTTCGCAGACACAGGCTGTCATGTCTGAAGAAGTCTTTGCTTACGGTAGAACTACATGTAAGGCGTATAGGTCCTAGCCAGAAGAGGAAGCTGCGAAGAAACACGGGAGTGCGAAAGCGCGCTTTGGTTTCTGGGGCCACCCGGCGGAGAGATGTTACAAGGCTGATAGCCTTTCGGAGATATTGTAGATCGTGGGGAGAGAGGCAAACCTTCCAACGTCTGGAAGTCGTCGGCGGACATATCTAGGTAACGTTCTTGTTCAGGCTGTGTCGAAGTGGGCGTAGAAGAAGTTTCAAACTCCCACTGCACGGGCTGAGCGGTACGTTGCAGGTTTCATCTGTTGATTGGGCGCAGTGATGCAGGCACTTGTGCAGCTCTAAGAGTCTGTCTGCCGGATGAGGATATTGCGAGGTGAGTGGGGGGTACCGGGCGGTGACATGGCCCCCATCAGCATTGCATCCAAGGAGCCGTAGGGCATACCATCTTCACCAATGTCTGGAAGGAGGTAGATGTACAAGTAGAAATAGAAATAGCAGTCTCAAGCTTGCGGAGCGGAAGACGGGATGGAAGTTTGATTCGAGTCTGGAAGCTCAGGACGAAACGGCAGGGATCGAGCACACCACCACCGCCATCTCTTCCTCCTCCTCAACATCTACCACCGATACCACCACCCCCACCCCGCCCTGTACACAACACTCGCTCCTCATACTTCCTTTCGTCCCGACACCGAGCCCGAGCACCACCGGACCACCAGATCGACTCTCGAGTCCGCCCTTGCGCTCCGCCGCCGCCGCCGTTGTACTACCCCTCGACAGCGCCACGTCCGACATCATCGAGACTTGTAGTAGTATTACTCCAAAGCCTGCTCTCCGGCGACAACCTCACCTCGTCATCAACATCTCACTTCAATCTCACTTTACTCGCGAGATATCACGAACCCACTCCCACTTCGACATCCCCGACTCTTCGCCTTTCATGATACACCAACGATAGCCAGTCAGGATGCCGGACCTCCAACGAGCACCTGGCGGGGCAGAGACGGATGGGTCGCACTCAGACGGCTACCGCGCATTGGAGAAGGCCTTCCGCGATTCATGGGCACCCAAGGACGATGCATTGCTCTCGCGCAGCCTGTCGTTCAGCAACACCCGCTATCCTGATCTCAAGCCGTCAATGCCTGCAGCCTGGCCGGAGAGTCCTTCAATCGACGGCAGCTCCTCCGATGTGCAGGTCCATGAAGGCTTCGAGAACATCGCCATGCCGCCCCCACGCATGCAAGCGCGCGCATTGCATCTAGACGACAGCGGTATGCCGCCAACCCCACCGACGATGAACAACAGCGACGGCGCGGATACTTTACAGGAGCATCGCGCAAGCCCTCCTCCAGTCTTCGCGGACGATCTTCGCAATGCGCTCGAGTCAAAAGCCTCAGGGCTTAGTACGACGCCGGTCAACGCTGTCAGTCCGCCGACACCTGATCCTTCACCGCCAGCGACGCTGGAAGCGCAGCCAGTAATGGCGCAGAAAGAGCAGGCGCATTTCTTACATCCGATGTTGGCGGATAGACGAACTCCGCACTTCCTGAAGCACCACGCCAGTTCAAAAGCAGAGTCGTTCAGAACAGCGCGCGAAGATCAGCCGCTGAGTCCAGGTCTGAGCACTTCGCAAGCTTATTTGCCAGAAAACGACAGACTTCCAGATCATTGGCTGGAGAACACGCGCGACCTGCAGTTGGCCGGGTTGGGTCTGAGCGACACAGCAGTCTCCAAGACGCCAAAAGCGCCGGATGCGGTCCCATTGACGACTGTCAGCTCTCGAAGCTCCAGGCGCAAGTCAAAGCACGAATCTCCTCCCCAGACCAGAGATGGACCGGGCGAAGATTGGGAGAAGCATATCAGTTATGTGAGCGGTCCGGATGAGCTGGAAGAAGAGCCCGCAACAAGAGAAGTCTCGGAAGAACAACGGGACGAACAGCCTCCAGCCGCTGGACTCGGCCTTTCTGGAGCCGGCATCGAGCAGGAACAACATACAGAGCCGGAGCACTCAGTGGAGGATGTTAACAACATGGTATACAAGCGCATCCGTGAAGAGAACGTCAAGAGACATAGCGCGATCAGCAACAACTCGGCAGCAATCACTGTGGGCATTTACGTTCCGCCGTCCGAGTCTACACCACACACCCTCAAGCGGCAGACGAAGTGCCTGTTATTGCGTGGGGACGGCGGTCCTGAGAGCAACCGGGGCAGCTTCGACGGTGACATCAAACCGCTCAGCTATAAGAAAGCTCGTATGCCTGAACGCCAGAAGAAGCTGGATGACTCTCCTGTCTTCGAGTCAAGCATACGGCAGGTCTCATCTCCTGCTCGACTTGGTCCAGACACCTCCAACATGACTGCCCTTACATACGCGAGTATGCAGGACTCTCCAAGCGCACGGCAAAGGTCGAGATTCCAGCCAGTGGAGCGGCAGCACACCCTCAAGCATCTAAAACCTGGCGATCGACTTTCTAACAATCTGTCGGTACGTCGAACGAGCCTGCACGGATCGCCAGCCTCGCCCAACACCTGGGTCGCGAGCCTGCACGAGGCCGAGCCGCCAGTCGACACGCCTCCGCGCACACCACCGAAACGCGTCCCCAACCCTGAAAGAGTCGGACATAATGTTGGGGTCAAGCGCAATAGCGTGGGAGGTGCGAAGCCAAGCCGTGTGCTGGAGAAGTCTTCTCATCAGCTGCGAGGCGTCATACCCTCTGTTGACACTGAACCGGAAGAGTGGAGTCCACCCAGCGGCAAGCTTCGGAGGTTCTCGAGAGAGGAGAGGTTGGAGAACAATGGTGATGTACGGCGCACGAGCGTGGGCAGTTCAAAGGACGCCGGGCGAGACCACAGCTCGGAAGGGCGCAAGCTGTCGTCTGACAAGACTATTACGTCCTCGCCGGAGAGATCTTTCCTCCCAACTTCGCCGAGAAAGAGCCTCGATGCTCGCTTCCTGCACCCTACGACCACGCCAATGTCCACCAGCCAATTCTCCGATCGCACCGTCGAAGTTTGTGAAGCCAGCGGCGTGAGGATCTACCCTCACAACAACGACAGCCTGCTTGTCGTTCAGCATGGCTCGCGACCCGTCAGCAAGGACAAGAGCACACCGACGTCTCGCTCAGTCGAGTCGCAGCTCCGCGATCTCGGCGAGCCCATCTTCGCCGCGCAAGTCGACCCTCCGACACCTACGCTGGGTGCTACGGACAGCGACGAACACGCTGACAGTCCACTCACAAACCCACGCACCGCCCCCGAACCACCAGTCATCAAATTCATCCCTCCCACTCCATGCTCCGAGCTCGAGCGCCAACTCACCCTTGACACCCGCCCTGTGCCAGAACCCAGCACTCCACAACGCCGCCTCAGCCTTCTCCAGAAAGCCCGCCGCTACAGCGACAGCCTCTTCGCTCGCTCCTCGGTCACCTACCGTCCCTCCCCACCACACCGCGACGTCCACCTCTCCCCTCTCTGGCGTCCGCAGTACTTCTGGGACGACTTCGACAGCGACGAGGAAGAATTCCTAGACGACTTCGAAGCACCCGGCACACTACCGAAAGGCGGCGACACCTCCGAAGTCACCACCGCTCAAACTGGAGGCAAAGGCATCTTCCCGCGCGCCATGAGCAAGCGTCTCCCCGGCTTCAGAGGCAAAGGCGGCTTCCTCGTCGGCAACAGCTTGGGCATCGAACGGCACGGCACCAACGCCCGCCGCCACTACGTCGGCACCGTGGAGCGACGGCTCGATAAGCGGGAGAGCGAGGAGGTGCTGAGGAAGTTGCCGCAGAATACTCGACACCCGCAGGCCGGGCCGCTGGTGGCGGAGGAGTCGAAGGGTGGGAAAAGAGTGTTTGTCGTGCCGTTTTCGGGCGGGAAGAGAGCGCAGTGGGTGGGGCCGGGGAAGATTGGGGCCATGGTTGAGCGCAGACGGGAGAGGAGGGAGGAGCGGGAGGCGGAGGCGCGGAGGGAGAAGTTGAGGGGTTTGATTGGGGGGAGGGTGGCGAGTTAGCGAGGGATGCATGGATGGAAAAGCACGGGAGTATTTACGGGATGGGATGGGATGTACATTTGGCATGGTATGGCGAGCGACAGCATGGGACGGGACAACGAAAATAACGATTTGGAACGACAGCGATGATGGGATGGATCATGTTGATGATGATCTTGGGATCTTTTAATAAGTGTACATAGCGGGCATGATGTTGGATGAGACTACGAAGCGAAACGAACCATCAGCTGGCACGAATTTTCTCCGTACATCTTATATTGCGAAACGAATGTTTGGCCCCCATCAGAAGTAACTCCATTCCTTCCCGCTCGCTCTTCCTCTGCCTCTATATAGGATCGAGCAGGTTCCTGGGTGACAGTGAAAGTGTGACAGCTCTCACCCAGAATCCCGCTAAGCTGTCACGCTTTTCTTGCTTCCCAGGAAGCAGGTACCTGACGGCCCTACATGGGGTTGAGCAGGTTCCCGACGGCCATGGTACCCGCCACCGTCATGCGCTCAAACGCCGCCAGCATGGCCTCTTCGCGCAGTCGTGCGTCTGCACATCCATGATCAGCAAAACACCCGGCGAGTCAGTCGAGATGATGAATGAACTTACACCTCCTCGCCGCCACCTGCGGCAGGGTCATGTACCCCTGCTCTCGCATCTCTCGATGGAACCTGATGCGGCATGCTACCGCGGACCGGCCGATGCGGTGGGAGATGATGCTCCAGTGGCAGCGGAAGACATTGAGGTGGAGGTGCACGAGCTCTGCGCGCTGGAAGAGAGAGACGGAGTTGATCAGTATTGCTGTAAGCTTTGATAGGGTAGGATGCGGACGAGACGTACCAGCAGCGGCGTCCAGTCCTGACGAGTGTTCCGTGCCGTGCTCGGCTTGCGCGGGCTGTTGGGACGACCGTCTCTGCGTGGGGCCATTACGATTGTTTGTTTGACGTGGTGGTGAAGATTCTGTGGTGAATGATGGTGTGGAATGATGTGGTGGAACGATGGTTTTGCTGGAGATGGTGTTGTAGATGAGAAGGAGAAAGGAAATGCAGGTGAACTCCTCCAAAGCTTTCTACTGCTGGATGGCAGCAGGCAAGACTGTTTCCGTGGAACGCGCAAGAGCTAGCTACTCAACTGACATGATGGAAAGCGGGAGGGTAATCAAAATGGCAGTGATTCTTGTGACTCTGGGGTGAACCTGCCTGAAGTGCTGTAGACTGAAGTGCAACCACGGGTTGGAAACAGATCGGTACTGGTCAGCAAAATAAACAGGCCAACAACAATCTCTGGAAGGGCATATGTTGCTTCAGCTCCACCGGTAGCAGTGCGCAAGGACCATGCTGCAAGATGACTCCTGGAGATGGCGACATCGAGACGGACGGTAAGCTCAGCGGTGTCTAGGAGCGCCTGGTTCGAAGTAGTAGTAGACATTCATTCCTTCCGCGAGTTGTGATCGCGGTGGCTTCTCCGATGCTCTTGCGTCGAATACGGCCCGTGATGGAGAACAGCCAGGACGGCGGCCGCAATCTTTGATTTCGGTTGAGACTCGGGCTCAGCTGCTTGCCGGAGCCCTCCAGATTTTTTGCTGTTTCGTAGCATCTTCGGCTCCTTTTCTCACTGGTCTGCGACGTACTTGCCTGCGACCTGGACCGCCCATCGCCGGCAGTGCGCAGGTGTGATCACCTCGTCCGCGATGCGCCTGCTTCATTCCGGATTACCAGGCCGCGCGAAGATTCTAAGCATTTTTTTGGGCGTCCAAAGAGATGCTCGCCTGTCTCGTGAAAGCATTGCGAAGCCATTTGATACGTGAAGTCGACATGGAACTCTAATGGCGAGCCCAGCAGAGCCGTCGCACGCGGAGTCTGACCAAATGCTCGAGCGATGGCGGGCACGTTGACCAGTTTCTCAGCAAATGCCGCCACTCGCAGCCGGATATGTGTGGCTTACCTTCAGAGGCGCTGGTGAGGATGTGAGGTTATCAAGTGAGGTTACGGAGTTGTCGGAGTCGTTGAGAGTGATGAAGTGAGGTCGAAAGGTCAGCAGCCTCATGCGGAATAGTCTTGGCATCGTTCTTGATCACCTACGACAAGATCATTGACAATAGAATGATTACTGAGCATCAGTAGAGAATGCAGACTCGCGACTCCAACGATACCAGTATCATCAAAATTGACTAGTTTCGATGTTATCACGATACCTCCTACATCGCACAGAAGCCCTAAGGTCTCGCCCTTGAATGCCAAGACCAAAAACTCCCGACCCGTCTCTACTCGAACCCATGCAGCCGATCTCCAAAAAGATCGACATCCACCCCAGCAAATGATCACCACTACACTGTGGCGGAGTGCATATCCACGCTGTTCGCCGCTGCTATACAAAGAAACACGTCGATCTTGCGGCAGGTACGGTAGTGTGGTAGGGTTGCAGGGACGACTGACTCGACCTACAGGTATCGTTCAGCGAATGCGCGGAGCGACCTACGGACTGAAGGAATGGTGTGGTGGGTGCGGATGGGTAGGATTGACGACGGGCGTACGTGTGTGCTGTACCTGCATGGAGGCTCAGTCAAAGATCATCATCCGCTGCATGTGCATGAGGTACGAGGTGCAGTTGCAGTAGTCCTTCGATTGTGAAACGACCTTCTATTGCAGTAGTCTGAGAGATCCCAGAAGCGTTTGTCAAAGATTCCGTTCCATTAGCTATTCTCATTCGCCATCCGTCCATCCTTCATGCGTCGTATCTACCTGATGAGCTATACTACGACGCGTGTCCGAGTATTAGTGGTGGAAGATGACGAGATATTGACATGTCCAGCACGTCGAGTGGGTGTCCTGGTGTCCGCAATGCCGTCAGTATTCCTCCCAGTCCTTGCGATGCTTCCTCCAAATTCCCATACGAAGAGGTTCATTCTGTCTTGGATTCCTGTTGTTGTTCCTCCGTTTCCTCTATTGTCGTTAATGCTGTAGTCCCTTCATGTTCTGTCCCGATCTCCGCAGCCTTGTCCTTGCAAGCCGCCGCTGAAAACCCGCTCCCGACTTTGCCAGATATGATGCGCCATCTGTCATCTTCGTATTCCTGCATGGCCGTTCGTAGCTTTTGTAACTGTAGCAGAGTCAGTCAGCGATCACGTGCGCCTCATATCGAAGTCCATACAGTTTGCTATTGCCGCCTTGAACTTTCTGCTTCAGTAACGCTGCTGTCATCACGTACCATTTCGTCCGTCCAACCTGTCGTCTTCGCCTTGAGCTTCGTGCAGTACCGCACTTGCAACGTCCCTGAGCTGCGACCTGGGAAAAAGTCCGCGATTTGCTTCCAGGTCAGGTCCTTGGTCTCTTTGAGTTCCACAAGTAATGCGTCGTCCTCGGGTGTGAACTTGAGCTTTGGTCCCTTCGGTCGTGCAGCAGGTGCCGGCATACCAGCTTGTCCGACCACGCTCGGTGGGCCATGGTCTTGTGAGGATGATGCCTCGCCCTGACCCGTCCGTTGCGACTTTGACGGAGGTGGCTGGTTCGGCAGTCTGTGATGGTGATGCTGCGGCTGTGGGGTTGGCGCGACGTATGGCGACTGTCCTCCTTGCGAATGATCCACGGAGTGACGCGGAAACTGGTACTGGTAGTTGACAGTGTCCGGCTGAAACTGGAGGTGTTGTTGCTGCTCGGTGGGGAGCTCGAGGTGCGCCTGTCCGGTAGCATGAGCCTGCAGTTGCTGAAGACCAGGGTACTCGTAGGGGGCCGCTGTGAAGTCTTCTGCTCGACTCCGCTTTCGCGACGGCTGTGGCACTTGCTGGTAATTGACGACCTGCGGACTTTCGTAAGGGCTGCCGTAATGTGATGACGACTACGGTTGATCGATGGTAAGCAAATGATCGGACGGACTCCCATCTGGAAGGTTACTCACAACGTGAGACATGTGCCTCGTCATCTGCGACGGCATGACAGGTTGCTCAAGACTGTACGACGGTTCCGGTGCCGTCATCTGCGACGGAAGTACAGCTGTCATAGCATGCTGTTGAAACCCTTGCGACTGCTGCGATGGCGTCTGGTGGGGAGTCTGTTGCAAATACTGGTTCGGTGGTTGGAAGGCCTGAGTAATCAACTGTTGATACTCTGCCTCTGTCACCTATCGGGAGAAGTCAGTTCTGCTCTCACTGTCTCATCTTTGGAAGGATACTCACCTGATCCGCTGCCTCTTCCTGCGACTCCTGCCCTTGAGCGCCATAGCTGAACGTGAAGTCCGGATACTGCCTCGCCAGGGCTGCGATGGAGCATTGAGGCTGCCAGAGCCCAAAGCCCAGGCAGCTTGCCGAGGAGTCGGGGCTCGCTGGGGGAGTGTCGGGGAGGAGGCCACCGGCAACGAGTGTCAACGCCGTGATGCCGGTTGAGCGAGGGTCGAGTGCAACAATGTGCTGTTATTGATAAAAACGTCTCTGCCTGTTAATACACGGAAGATGCTGGGGGCTTAGTAGGCCAGCATAGAAAGTATGATCGATCTCAACGACAGTGATACCATTAATTAACGACGGGTAGTAGTCGAACAAGCGATCGTGGTTCCTTATGGTGATGGGGACGGCAACGAAAGTGGCATGATTCTTCCTTCTTATGAACATGCGCCGTCACAGGATGAGAGGATGATTACCGCATCGGACGATATGAGAATGGGTTGACCCTCGTCTTGGGATCGCCACGCTGCAGGTGGTGGTCTTAACACAGCAGACTCAGGCATTCCTAGGCTGAAGATTGGCTCGAGGGTAGGGCAAGCGACCCAGGCCTTGCAGTGTCGAGCACGCATTCCGCAAAGATCACTCGCAAGGGGCAGTGTGCTTGTCGTCGGCACGCTCTGGCATTGGGTGCAGTCCAGCTGCAGGTACGGGTCTAGCAGACTCCACAAGCAGAGATAGCTCGAGCACATGGTGGTTGAAGGAGAGACTCGGCAGCAAGCGGTTCCTGTGGACGGGACGATCGTGCTCGCTGCCGACTGGTCGAACAGAAGAATGACAGGCTCGCTTGGAAGGAAGTATGGCGTTTCAGGTTCGCCACAGTGGTGAGTGCCGACAAGCTTTGAAAATATGCTTAAGAAGCGAGAGAGGCTGAGCACCAATTGTTCCTATTCATAGAGAGAAGCATTATCATTCCTGGAGATCGTCCAAATTTTGTCCCCGAAGAGAACGAGATGTGCATCGCGGCCACGCAAGAGAGGACCCTGTGTAGACGGCAGTTGCGCCGCTCGCTGCCCGAGAAGTCTGGAAAGCGAAGCGAAGCTAAGCTGACGGAAAGCCGGCGATCCGCAAGGCTCACCGTTCGTCGCCTTCTCCGCGAGACAAGAGCAGGTATTGGGGTGTTAGAACGCGGGAGGGGACCAGGCCGGCGTCGCGCAGCTGGGAGCGCTTAACGTCAAGTTCTGATGGCCATGTCTCCTTCTCACAGGCACTTTGGCATTTTCACAGCGACAGCAGAATCGCCAGTCGTCCGCGGGGCCAATCGAACAGGAAACTTGGAATAGCACTGATATAGGGCAGGGGTGCGGCTTGAGGCGTTCGGTTATGACGTCGGCTGTATTCTGAGAGGATAGCGACTTTTGCTGGAAGAATAGCTCTCCGACACCACCAATGCAGGTGTATCTGCAGTCTGCATGACTTGAAACACACATGTCGACAGGAGGGTGTGGTACCGGAGCAAAGGAGTCCGAAGTGTTAGACGAAGACGAGGTGAGGTCGGCGCAGTTGACTTCCAGACTCTCTTGGCGGCGGAAACACTCGATCCCGGCAATCTTCACGTGACCGTTTTTCGCCACTCAGCATATGCTCTGGCATCGGAGGTCGCGACAAGCTCGTTTACAAGTCGGAGACGCTTCTGACGGCTGAAACTCAATTGCAACCCACGTGGGATGGAAGTGGTTCTCTCCGTTGTGCTGGAAGAACAGGTTTTAAGATTTGGCTCGGGGTTAAGCGTAAGATGAACAAGCACACAAGCACGCGAAGGGGGTTTCAAGGGTTTCCTGCAGGTCTGGAGGAGCGACTCATTCATATATCGTGGTCTGACATCCTATTGGACTACCTCAGATGTGCCTTTCAACCTGCAATGCCTCCGGACCGCCAATGGCTGGTGGCAAAGCAGTCCCCAATGCCGTCCCCCTGCGTTCCCATATCGCTCCACAACGCCCGAGATCCTTGCTATCCCCCCATATCCTCACGCCGAGCCGGTACAACGGCGGGTATCTTCGAATCGAAAAAGAGTCGCCTCGACAGCGAGTATGCTCATCCGGCGGCTCACTACGGCCAATGGATGGCCCAGTAGCAATCATGCCAGCGTACGTTGAATTTTGATTCCGTTTTACCATTTCACTACACCTTCCAGCCCTGGTCCTTAGCAAACTGCTCACACGCCTGTCAAAGGACCTTCTGGTCAGCGCGACTGATCTCCCCGATGCCACAGACCGACAATTTGGCCGGCGGACGGTCAATGGCTCAACTCACCTTCGCCGGCTTCCCCACTTTGTGCCCAATGACTTTCCACTTGTTGTTGTCGTAGTCTTTGATGGCCTGCAACAGCGCCGCGCTCTGCAGATTGTCAGTCAGTGTCGTAATGTGAACGGTTCCCGCAGTGAGGCGAACGAAGTTGCTGACCTCGTCGTCCCCGAACTCGGCGTAGTGCATGTCCTACAGGCGCGTCAACATTGATGGTCACGAAGCAAAGTATGCGCGAGTGGACAGCACGCACTTTATACCAATGCTTCTTCACACTGCCTTCCGTTCGCGTGGGAAACTGCTTTGCAATCTCACTCCAACTTGAGCCTTGATCGCGCAACTGCTTCAGCCTCTGCTCTTCTGCAGGCGTCCATGGCGTGTTTGTCCTCCCCTTCTTGACCACGGGACTTGATAGTTGATTCTGCTGAAGTGAAAGACCGATGTCTGTGTCTGTACTCGCGGAAAGACCTGATGGATGCGCGTAAGCACTGGCGTTGCTGCTCGATGAACCAGGCTGCTCGAGTTCAGAAATCCGCCGCTTACGCGAATTGCTAGGTGACTGTGCTGGTGGCTGTTGGAACTGTTGTTGGGACAGATTCTGCGTATGTATCCCGGGCGGGCGATAAGATGGATGCTGTGGGAACGCGAACGTCGACTGGTCCTGATGCGCCGGCGCGTAGTTGTAGCCCTGCTGATACGGATTGCCTAAAGCTGAAGAAGGCAGGTCGGAAGGAAGAGTGAGTTGTGAAGGCGTCGCCGAGTAAGTGTTCGAGGTCGACGCAGTGGGTTGGAGATTCCGCTTCTGTTGACTCGGGTTGGGATTCCTGGCGACAGCCTAGTCAGTAGTGGTTTTACGCCTGATAACCCTCCACTGACTGCCACAACATCGGCGGGATGAAGAGGTACAGCGTGCGACAAAGCTCACTGTTGATTTGCATACGACATGGTGAAGTCGTCGTGGGCAGATCCAATGCGCGCTATCTCGCCAGGTAATGGTTTGTAAGCGAGCCACGACCTCGATGCATGGCTCTTCAGCAGCGGCGGGTGCGGGCTAGGGCTGACGGGTTCTTAGTTGGGCAGCTCGAGCTGGGAAGGATTCCAAAAGGTATCTACAAAGCGCCGAAGGTGGTACTTTGCAAGTCTAGATGGGCGAAGGCCGGGTGGAGCGTCTTTTCAGGCGGAAGATGTGATGTGCATGCAGGCAGATGTCAAGTGACGAACGTGCTGGGGGGCGGCAGGGTAGCTTCGCGAATGTGGACTGAACAGAATGGCTTTGGGGAGAGAAGATGGAGGAAAGGACAAGCAGGGCTGGGGGAAAGAAGAGCGAACCTGCTGCGAGTGGACGAGGGCTGCGCATGTGTGAGTGATGTGCATCAGTTCGTGCGAACAAGCGAGACCATCTGCACATGGGCCATCGTCGTCCTGTCGTATGCGGCGCCGAATCATTGAGCTTGACGTCGCGACAGACGAGGGGAAGGTGTCAACCCCATCTGCACTTTTGCGGGGTAACGCAAGACATGCAGATGCTTGCAAAAGCATGTGCCAACAACGGGAATCGTGCTGGATTAGTCTTATCCGTCGTCGATTTGGTGTGTCTTGAAGAATTGTTGCATCGTTCGCAGCACGTGTCACCCACATCCGGCTGCATGCCGATAGTGGACCTGCAACAGATGCTGTGCTTCTTCGATGGACGGCTAGAAGGCTGGAAGCGCAGCAAATCTCAACGTCACCTTTAATGATTTGCTGCAAGGAAGATGGAGATCTGCCTCAATCGATAACTCGGTACCTCATTCAGTTTTCTCTGCTACCTCCGTGCAAAGCCAAAGCTGGACGGAGTGGAGCAACTTCATGCGCTTCTGGCTGTGAGAACAACATGAGCACACTCAAGCTTCAATGACAGCGAGTGACCCACTGAGTCCATGTCGCTGTCGAAGCAATGATTTGAAGCGTACTTCAAGCATCCGGTATGTACTGACTCTGTGATCGCCACGAGCTATAGTCCAGGAATCGTCACTCCAGCAGTAGGTGTGCTGTCGTCGGCCGCTCATTGAGTCCACCCCGAGTGTTCATTTCGTGCTTAGTCCATCTCGGACTCCATCAGCATCCATCCCATCACTTCCCTTCCCGCCACCCAATCGGCACCAGCGCGGCCGCCACCTGCTGCACCCCTCTCTCTGTAGCCAGCATATTGAACTGCGCCGCCGCATTCCTCGTATCCTGCACCTCGAGCCTGACACCCAGACTATTGATATGACTCCTCGTCTCCGGACTCAGCGGCACAATCGAGCGTCCAGTGCCCAAGATGAGCAGATCCGGCTTCGGCCACGCCAGATCCAGTATCCCCCAGGCATGCTTGTCTACGTCCAGCTGCCCTTTCGCGTTTTGTATTTTCCCGCCCGGACTCTTCACGCCTTTTTCATCGTTTCCTGTAGCTCCCGCGCCGATTGTGCCTTCTTTCCTGCCCTCGCTGATCCAGGGCCGCCATTTGAATGCTTCTCCCCCGATCAGCATGACGCCTGCACCTGTGACTCTGAGACCGCTGTTCAAGGCGAAGCCGTCGTCCATGCATGCGTCTACACCGGTCGTAGGCGCGGGGGTGTTGCCCAGGACGTTCATGGCATTGAAGTCTGTCTGCGTGTCCTCCTTACTCGGCGGTCCTCTGTCTTTCGACTTGGGTGCTGCTGGCGAGCGCAGCGATGGCGCCGCGCCGAAGCATCGTGCTTGTGGAGGTGTCTGCGCACTCTGGATGAGGTGTCCTCGGAAGGAATGAGGACGTATAGTCGCGGTCCTCCGGGACAGTGCCTGATGGAGGCATGTTCGGCATGCCGAATCGACGAGTCTTCCGGGCATCGTGCTCGATCTATAACCGTCGCTGACTCCACCTGGTGTGATTTCGAACAGTGAAGATTGGTGGAAGGTGGTAATCTGTTGAGAGAGAGGATCGATAAAGTGCAAAAGGTGGTCAGCCAAAAAGTTCCCACTCGCGTACCTGATCGAGGCGTGGTGTCTTCAATGGCTTTTTTCCGCTTCAACTTCACAACCTCACTCTCTTACCGTACTGCTATTGTAGTCTACGAGCCACTTCGAGCCGCTATTGTAAGTAGCTACGAGCGCTATTGTTCCATTGTTATTAGTTAGTCGTCCTATTATCGTCTCGTAACAATAAGGCTAATTTCCTATATCTACGAGCCGTTTATATAGCTCGCACTTAACCCTCTTATATAGTTATCAAAAAACACTATCTAGCTATACTAGTTATAGTATTCTTTACTCTAATTAATTACACTACTACTATATTAATTAGCCGGTTTAATTAATTAACCGGCGGTCCCCCCCCCTCCTCTACTCCCTGTTACGAGCAGATGCCCGAAACACGACCGATTGGATCAGAACGAGCGGGGACTTGCGGGTGTCGTAATGAGCGGAC